GGATGACAAACACGGGAGGAAGGTTAAAACATGATTGGGGCTGAATTTGCTGCCTTTTCGACACACCATTCTGCAATCTATCCGCAGCGCCAGCCAATCGGCCACGCAAAGACGTTTCCATCTCAGCTGAAGGGGGAAAGAACTGAACCATCCATCAGTCGACTGTCAGGGATATATCCCCATGTTTGGCGTCGACGTCGCTCATCGTGATAGAATGGATGAGGGAAAAAAAAACAAACGAACGATCCTCCCGCACCCCCATATCTACTCTGTCCTTCAGACGATGCAAGGAGGCGCTCCTCGAGCTTCCCAATTTGCTCGCTTAAAATTATTCATCACCCATCAGAGGCACACGTACGTACTCTGTAGGGATGTATGGATGGACAGGTAGGAAAGAGAAAAGGAAAGGTGTGCCATTTTGTTTTCAACCGTCGACTGTCTGTCCCGCCAGAACTGCAACGCAGCGTTGTATGTAACTATGGCCTACGCCGACGATGCCCAGATGGAGACGAGGAGATTAGAGTAGGACGATCGAATGGAACGTTCCATGGGAAAGTGGCCTTTGCCTTGACCAAGTGTCTATGCTGGATATCCTGGCTGCCCCATCGATGTACTGGAGACAAATTCTCCGAAGGTTATTCCCATCCGAGACAAGAGACGACGATAGGACAAGACGAGGGTGGCTTCGTATAATGCCACGGTAAGCGATAACTCATGTCATAGTTGGGCAGATCCGGGCCAAACTGCAGCCGACCCGTGTTGGAGATGTGCTTTTTGATAAGGGAAGCAGGGAGGCAGGAAGGGCGGCTCTAGGGCGGCGTGGCGTCGTGACTAATGAAGCCAGAAAGGGCGAAAAGGCGGTGTCAGGCTGAAGGGTGCCGAACTTGGGCCGTCCTGCCCAGGTGGGTAACTTTGCGCTGTTTTTCTTAGGGTTGGGCACGGAAAATAAACGTGCCGAGGCTGGGCAGAAAAGAAAGGAAAAAGCCGAATCGGGCAGATCGCATCGCCCGTATAAGGATGGATGAGTAAGCGTCACATGACTGCTTACATACGCCACTAGGAGATCGCCGCCTCTATACTACACGATAATACAATATACTATACGGATACTTTTGTATAAGGCGAAGACCGGAGAAGACTGGGGAAGAGAGTAGAAGGTCTCAGGCCGGGTAGTCAATAGCCGGTAGGCCACTTCCTTGATTGAGTCCCGGAGGTTGCCTTCAACGTCTTACCCTCTGACCATCGAGCGTCGACCGTCGCCCCTGCGAACCCTTGCCATCTCGACATGTACGTCAAGCCCGGTTTGAAATTCGATGAACATTAGTGAGAGTCTAATATAGATAGTTAAAAGAGGGTATAAATATAGAACGCTGACTCGATGAAAACCAACTGCCAAGGCCGTGCATCTGGACGTACAAACCGGTGGCTGAATAACGTGAATCAGTGCTCTTACTCTCGTAGAACTATCTCCTCGATCTGCATCACCATACTTCGTACATATGGAATAGTATGATCCATTTCACGGAGGCCCGGACATCTGCCCGTCGCCATGCTTTACGTACACTCCGTATATAGACAGACCAGGCCGATCAGCAGGTCTAGTACTCTGTCTGTGAGTGAAGGTCGAGTTTTATGCGTGGCGTGATGCAGTCGACATCGTATATCCACACAACGTGAGATCACGGTGATAACTCATGTATATCGTACATTAGTGAGCACGCTTCATGCAGCGTCCCATCCCTTCGGTGGACTTTTTCTTGATGCCAGAGTCCAAAAGGAGGTCAAAGAAGCTAACAAGTCTGAGCTGTTGGTTCTGCTCTGGCTTGCGTTTGGTCGCGCGAGGCCCAGGGAGTTGGTATATCACGGAACGAGAACGAGCCTCAGCCCAAGGACCAGGCTCACCCTTAAAGCGCGAACGTACCACCGCCGTGGTTCACGATATTCGAAGTTGTATAGGGATAATCAAAGTAGTAGAGGAGCAAGCCGTAGTATACCGCAAGCCTGCCCTTTTCAGTTCACCCTCCGCCCCCTGTCCATGTCGGATATCCATGTCAGACCCAGATCCATCCAGTAGCAACTCCACCCACCAACGCAGATGCAGATGCAAGACGCAGACGCAGACGCAGGACGTGACGAGGTTCATCCTTCCACGTATTCTGACCTGGCTTGGACCTGCAACTTAATTTATGCGAGGGACTCAAAGCACCCGGCAGGGATGGGGACCGGTGGACACGCCCATCTTCGTCTTCAGTGGACGAACGGCGAGCAATCAGCCACATTTTTCCCCCTTCGGACACGACGCAAGTCTCGCCGAAAGCCTGTGCAGCTGGCCTTGCTTTGCCCGTTCTGGGGTTAGCTGGGAGATGCCATGGGGTTATTTGTTATGTTTACTTCTTTTTCTTGTCACGAACTAGCGCTTCATCTAGCCTGCTCGTCGTTGGTTGGTGTGTCTGCCAACCGTCGCTCTGGCGCGCCTCGCCCTGAGACTGAGACTGGGACGGAGACTGGGACGGAGACTGAGACGGACGGAGAGCCGAGGATACAGACAGTAGAGGCGACGACCTTGGCAGCAGACGTCTGACGGGGACGGCTCTTTGTTACGATAGCACGGAGTACGAAGAAGTTTCTCGTGTGAGAGTGATATCGACCTACAGCAAGTAATATCCCAACAACCCGAACGGTGGTTCCTGAATGCCTGGAATCTCACCACTTTGATCACCGAGATCAGATGAGCATTTGCCCAAATCCTCCCGGAGACTCGCCCAATGGCGATTGCCACAGCAGACTTCGCATTATAATCTCCTATAGCCACCGACGGAGAACAGGCGAATCAGGCGGGCCAAGTTGTTTAGAACTGCTTCCTCCAGAAATTCCTGCCCATGAGAAAAGTTTCTTAAAGTGGACAAGCGTTGGCCAGGGATGATGACACCACCCAGAAATAGAAATACACCACATATTTTTCATGCTGGATGATGATGATATGATGATATCGAAGGCCAAGGGCTTCTCCGCACGATCCCAGCACTGAAACCAATACCAGGCCACCAGCCGTGTTCGAAGGCCCCAGGTCACCAGTTAGATTTCAGCCCGATCATCCCAACATGGGACAGGGGCAGTGTCGTGCATGCAAATTAATCAAAAAAAAAAAAGACACTTATGATGGTTGCTTTTTGCAAGAGAAGTGATGAAATCTACGCAGAAGCCTCTCCCAAGAAGGAGACGAGAGAGAGATCGACCGCTTTGATTCGTGTCGAGACATCGTCAACATGACCAAGCTTCGACGCAGCAGGCATAGACAAGCCCCTTTCCCCAATAAACCGAGTCCTCCTGCTAATCCACAGCACGCCGAAGCTCCGCAAGCCTCGCACTAACCTGCCAGCTGCCTGCCTGCCTGCCTAGTTGAAAGAAACCTCACGCTGACAAGGCGATGCCACCTATCACCGGCGTCGTCGATGACGGTTTGTCGTTCGCCTCACACCCACTCGGACAGGCCACCACCACGCACACGCACCCAACATCCCATCTTGCATCATGTAATACTCGAGCTAGGCCAACTGGCGAGCATTAACTTTTTTCCCTGTCCCCAGAGCGAACTGTGTTTGCTGGCTCGTTCTTCGTTGGCCCTAGACGCTGACATCCACCAAAGAGGTAAATCTCTGTCCACTCTTCTATCTATCTATCTGTATTTGCCATCTGCTCGGCCGTTGATTCGTCTACTCGCAGAACACCGAAACATCAGTGGATAGATGATGTGGACTGCTAGTTTCAGCACACGAACCCATTGGCTGTCATAGAGCTCAAACTTCGTGCACAAGCTACGACATGTACTATGTAGGGGCTCAAAAGACAAAAGATGAAAAAAAAGGACTTATTTTCAAATATCTTCTCGAAAGATGTGCATCCTTAGCGCCCTTCTGAGCGAGAAAGGGGGAACGATCTTTCGCTTCTCCATGCACTGCATTGACCCGCCCTAATCCAGTCTACGACTACGAAGACAACTATGTATGGCTATGGCAAGGGACCCACGCCAGGCTTGCTTCTAGCATCTCTGTCTTGCTCCTGGAGGCTGGCGCAGGCTGGCTATTGGCAGGCTCTTGCAGCTTTGCTTTTTTCTCATCCACAGTTCTCTTCCTTTTTGCATATACAAATTCTTTTTTTTTGCAGCTGACCCATGGACCATCTGGCAGTGGCGTTCCCCTTCGCTCGTCCCATGGAGCCTGGTCCGCCTTGTTTCCCACGGAGCTACGCTGCGTGAAGGGCCGTCTTGCGCCAATCAACGCCCATCTCCAGCTTTAATCCGAAGCCGCTTGCGGTACCCTCAGATAGAGGATAGTAGGTATATTTCCCGCCACCACCTGCCTGCCCCAGCGATAGTTGAGAAAAGGTGACGATATTCTTCCCCCCTACGGCCGCTCGGCATTTCTATCTTCCTCCGGATTTTTTTATATGTCTATCCATGTCGACATCGTTCTATATCCTTCCCGTCTCGCCCATTTCTCACGACCGCTCAAAGCTTACCCCGTCCTCCTATCCCATCCCCCCTTGCACGTTCCTTTTCCTGTTATCACTGATCACGGTCCTTTAAACCCTCTCTCCCTTCCATCATACTTGGCCCTCCTTCCGGCCCATATCGCCTCCGCTTCGCCTTGATTCAAAAATACCCGTCCCTGCCGTTACCCTTTCGCCTCATTACCTGTTCTGGACCTCCCATACACATACCAAGGACCAAAAACCTTCAAAAAAACCCTACTTACGCCGCAATACCTTCGTTTGTTGTTCTGTGCCTATATTATCCTGCCTCCCTCCCCCAAGCTTGATAACGGCCAGATGGACTAGGGATTCCTCACTTTCTTTTTTTCTGATCAATACTTCTTTGGGTTTGAACGGGTGTTTGTTCATTCAGTTTGTCTTATTTAATTCGAGCTTTTGGACCACATTTGCCAGTTGGGACTTACCAACATATCTACTGCTTCCACACATTCCCATCTAAGTATCAGGCCATGCATCTTCCAACCCCGCCACAGTCGCCCCAACCAGTCTCCTATTGCGATGCTCCAGAGGACAAACTTGGGTTACTCCTGGCCAACCGATTAGAGCTTACCGGCATACTCGGAGTAGGCGCATATGGAGTGGTATATTCCGCCATCGACATCCAGACAAATACACCCTATGCAGTCAAGGCCCTGAACAAGGCCGGCCTGGATCCCAGACAACGAAAGTTCCAGCAGCGGGAGATCAAGCTACACCATATGGCCAGCCACCACCCCAACGTTGTTTCTTTGGTCCGCATCATGGATTCCCATGATTGTACTTTTGTTGTCATCGAATTCTGTCCAGAGGGCGATCTGTTTTCCAATATCACCGAACGTGGCCACTTTGTGGGCAATGATTTCCTAGCAAAGCGTGCCTTTCTCCAGATTTTGGATGCCGTGGAATTCTGCCACAGTATTGGGATCTACCACCGGGACTTGAAGCCGGAAAACATCTTGGTCTCCGACCGTGGTATGAACGTTAAGCTTGCAGACTTTGGCCTTGCCACGACAGACGCCTACACCTCCGACTTTGGCTGCGGCTCTACCTTCTACATGTCTCCTGGTACGTCTGTCCTTTTTACGCATTACAACATTAGATACTAACTACGATAATAGAGTGCCAACAATCTACACCTGCTGCCTATGCCTCCGCGCCCAACGACGTATGGAGCCTGGGTGTAATCCTTGTGAACCTTTCTTGTGGCCGCAATCCATGGAAACGAGCCTCTCCAGAGGACGCAACCTTTTTGGCTTATTTGAAGAACCCGCAGTTCCTAAGGACAATCCTACCACTATCCCTGGAGCTTAATGCAATTTTGAGGCGCATTTTCGAATGCGATCCTCAAAAGAGAATCACTATCCCAGAGCTCCGCAAGTTGATCCTGGAATGTCCAAGGTTTACTGTCCGTCCATCGGTCCCAGTCCTCTCTCCACTAGTCACACCACCAACCCAGAGTCTGCAGTGCCTCAAGGAACCAGTGGAATTCGTGCCATTCAACAACTCCTACCCTCCATCTCCACCCGCGGAACTCATCGAACCTCAATACTCCAGCTCAGCAGTTTCCGACACCTCGTTGTCTGACGACGACTCAATATCCTCTTGCTCCTCAACCGAATCAACCAACAACTTCCAACCGCGATTTGTCCCGGCTGTCATCCCACCTAACTTCTGGGGCTCCTTCATTCCGATCAACCACCCAGGGCAGAAGTTGACCAGTCGACATAGACCTCTGGAACAACCCATGCCCATCACGGTTCAATCCTAATATCCGACTGAATCTAACGTCAACGAATCTTCTTTTTGGAATATACGTTTTTTCCCCTACCTCTTTAATTATTACCCGAGGACCCAAAAAAACCACGGATAGTTATCTTTTTTTCAATTTCCATGGTTTTTCAATCTTTGGATTTAGCCGAAAAAGCCATACCCAGGAAATACCCGCCCCGGAAAACGTTCTTGATACCTTCTCGACTCGCTTTTATCTGGTTCTTTTTCCTGATGCTAGCTCCGCGTTTTCTGCCACTTTTACCCAGCCAGCGTTGATGAATTCTATGGATCCCGCTTCTCCGTTTCAACACATGTCTTGATACAATCGCTACTTTCTCCTTTATTTTCTACCTAATATTCGGATTTGGAAGCTATTTCTTTTTAGCATTCTGTTTCATTTCTGTATTACGTTCACAAATATGTCTTTGGCTTGTTTTTTTTTTTTTTTTGGGATGGATGAAAATGATGAAACATTGTTCTGGCGTCTATTTTTTATTCAAATTCTGAAGGAATGTTTTTGGTTTGGGGCGTTTTGAATTATCTCATTTGAATGGGAAAGGGGGGGCGGAATACTTTGATATGTATGCATGCGGTTTGAGATGCATCTGGAGGTTTACTCAATTTTGGTTTTGTTTTTCTTCACACCCTTTTTTACCAATAGAGGTATACTTGCGTTGGTGCTTCCGGCCATTATGAAGGTCTGTTTTGGATTTTGATCTTCTTTTTGTTCCCTTTGGGATGATGAATTCTCTACTTCGAAACTGATACCCAGAATATATGTTCAACCCTTTTTTTTTACACTCGGAGCACGCTTGTCTGCAGCAGGAGGGAGTCATACCCTCTATCCGATGAGAGATATAGCTGTTCTCCCAGTTAATGTATATATAATGGCAGACAATGTTACTCTCAAATAGACTACAGATTACTCTGTGCCCTGACTCCTGACTCCTGATTTGATTAATACCCGTGCTACGATGGTCCAGCACAGCCTACCTTCGAGAAGACGCCTACGCCCGTGTTGGTTGATAAGATTTCGCACTCGTATGGCGATGGCTGATGGTTCGACGCCCGAGTCTCAACACAGCCTTAGCCTTGTCCCCCTTTTCTCGCCAGGCGGAAAGCAGTTAATGGACATGCGCCCGTTCGCTATCAATTTCCTTCACTCGATCTACCATCCTCCGTATTTCGATGCAGGGGACTCCGATGACTGAGCTCACCCGATGCATACTAACGGGGTCTATTTTCAGCTGTCTTCACACTAACCAACTTAAAGTGCCACCAATTCCGGGGCCTTTTTTTTCGACATCGAGGATGCGATGCGGTCTAGCAACTCGGGTCGTCGGGCTCTCTTCCTTAGACTTCGGAGTAGGGATTTTCATAAAAGAAAAACGATGTGCAGGCCGAGATAATCACGCCGTACTCGTAAACTAGTCGAGACCGTCGTTCCATCCTCCACTAGCGACGGATCGACAAATTGATAGACCCCAGAGTAAAAGCCATTGGGCAACGGCCTATTATTTTTACCCAGGCAGCTCTGACGCAGGCCGTTTCCCAAGCGAAGTCAACTTAAACGCATCATTATCGACTCGGTTGGTCACCCGTACATTGACATTGCATGGGCGGGGCGCTGGCCCTGTTAGCGGTGATTTGGCTTGAAGAAAGTTGCAGTCGTGGGGGCGAGAAAGAAGAGTTCACTGACTTCTTTTAGACCTGCATGTACACATCGGCTGCAGGTAGTAAGATGGCCGCCTGATGCGTGGGACATGAGCTTGCACATGGATTGGGCGGACGGAAGGACGGAGGTATCGCCTTCAAGGGCGTTGTACGCTGCATAATTCCCTGATGCCACCGCCCGGTTGCATAGTCGACACCCATTTCCCTGCAGACATAAGACATTTTATATATATATATATATATATATATATATCTTATATTGGGCTGCCTACTCAGCATCGAGCATCCATCCAGCACGCATACATGCAGATGGAAGGATCACATGGAGTGCAGAAAATTCTTTCAATGTTTCTGTATTCCCTACCAGGCCATGCAAGTAGTAAGCCAATAATATACGCTGACGAAAGGGATCGGATGCTGCATTCTATTTTACTACCATGATGGGACCGGGGAGGTAGCGTATAAGCTATCTGCTGGTCGCCTTAGAAACCAGCCTGTCATGGAACCGACTGCCGGCCCATGTATCTGCCCAGGGCAATGCATCCAGGCCTTAGCTATCGTGGCTCATCCCCTAACCCCCGTCGGCTTGTGGGGGGCATGACCGTGGTTGCATGATATATGCAGGATATGGAGTACGGATATTCATATAAGCATTATTGGGGGGATACACAAATATAATGAATTTTTAGGCCTTTGAAATTCATCAGTATAGGACCCCACCTGCAGTTAATAATGAATAATATCAGGAATATCATGTTCATATGTACCCGTTCGGTAGATACATACCCTAGCAAGGCTGCTGAGATAAATCCTTCCGCAGAGGAGTTCATGACGGATATCCCGAGCCCTGCTTCAAAAGCCAAGGCTAAGAGTCAATAAAGACTCAAAATAATGCATGCCCCTATCGTAATCCTAGACTGGCTGGGGGAAACGTATGTGGTTCGAACCCAAATAAGGCTATATGTACTTATTGGAGTGAAAACCGAGTTACATGTGGGAAAAGATAACCGCGGGATTACTCTAGCTCAGTGATGTGTACAAGGTATGTGCATAATATATGGAGTATAACTCGTCCATTAAGGTGCAAGGAAAGGGTGGCCTGTTCTCTCGGGGGGATTCCTTTTACATATTTCTTCCACCAGTGACCATTATGGTTTGTCCATTGACATAACTAAGCAGCGGGCTGCAAACACCAAGAATGGACCTCGCCGCCTCTGTCGCACTGGCTGCTCGTCGGAGCGGAATATCAGCGTAAGCTTCCTGAGATTCCTTGGTCTGGGTAGGTAGCTGAGAGCCGGGGATGCCGAGAGCAACCTTCTCGCCGTCTGGAGTGGTGATGAAGGCCCCTGACTCCTTTGCTTGGGTCAATCGAGTCAGAACAAATCCAAAGGCGATGGTGTTGGCCCGGACGCCGAATTTTGGTCCCCATTCTTTAGCAATGGTTTTGGTCAGGCCGACCATGCCTGCCTTGCCAACTGCATAGTTTGCTTGACCACTTCACGGTCGAAGGATATCTCGTTAGTGGTTTTTATTGAGATAAGCTGCAATTCCATGGAGGTGGTGATACGTACGCATTTCCGTGGATTCCGCTGGTGCTGCTGATGTTTACAATCACCCTTGGTTCACCGTCTTGCACACGGAAGTAAGGAGCAGCAGCTTGCACGAGCTTGAAAGGAGCCGTGGCATGGACAGCAATGATGGTATCCCATTGCTTGTCGGTAAGCTGTTTCGATGATCAGCAACTTATGCACTCATTGAACGTTGGACAATGTCAGATGGGGGACGGTACCTTGTGAATGACGCCGTCCCAGGTAAATCCAGCATTGTTGACAATGATATGGATCTTGCCGTTTCCAAATTCAGCAGCCTTCTGAACGAGTCTCTTCAGGTATGCGCCGTCCTGGACATCGCCAGCAACAGCAATTGCTCGGTTGGGGGATGCATCATTGATCGATTTGGCGACGGATTCAGCTCTGGCTACACGGCATCATTATTCGTAAGCCTTCCAATTATCCATCTTATCCGCTGAACTCATCGTCTCTCGCTTCTATCTGGATGAGATCTTACTAACCGCTGTCGAGATCAGCGATGACAACTTTAGCACCCTCGTTGGCGAAAAGTCTTGCTGCTTCCGCTCCAATTCCCTGACCAGATCCGGTTATGATGGCCACTTGACCTGCAAGCATTCCCTGAGGGTAGTTGAGGTGCGAAGAGACCTGCGTCAAACGGTCTTGCGGAGCCATTGTGAATACTTCAGTTTCTGGCTGGTAGTTTAGAGCTAGGACAGGATATAGATATATAAGACGAAGGATGTATAGAGCTATATAAAGTATGCCAATCGAGCTTGATATGTGCCTGTAGATGGGTTGAAGTTGTCGTGTGGGGAAGGTTTCACTGTTTACCCCCAGCCAGGATGCCGAGGTCCCAAGGGCGCGCTACGACTGGGCGAAAGTCCCGAAATCCCGAGGCTGCGAAGCGATGAAGTTGGTATATCGAGATCTCTTTCTCTCTCTTGTTGGTAGGATAAAATGAACTAATAATAATGATAATGACATTAATGATATAATCTATGGGTTCATGTCGACGATACAAGTACACCTCCAGGTCTATACAATGCCCCTGACCAATTCTCTATCCATCGGGCTTAGCACGCGGCAGCAACACCACTATGTCGGTAGTCAAACGCCTTGAGGAGGCCAGTCAGATGGGAGCCCGCTGCAAGGACAACAAGGACATGGAAAATCTGATGCGAATGGCCAAGAAGGTCGTATTTCCCTGGGTGCAACCGTTCGGGGACTCTCGCAGCATATATCAATGCGCCAATGATATAAAGAGCTCCCTGCGTAATCAGCCAGTCCAGCCCGATCTGTTGGCGCGCCTGGTCGAACCCGAACGCAATCACACCGTGGGTAACAGGGAATATCGCAGAAAGACCCAAGGCCACAAACATAGCTGCCCGGAACGGTCTCAGCGCTGGCGTCCGGAAACGAGGAACCGTCGCCACAACAGAGCATCCTGCTCCCAGGAGCACAATCATGCCCCAGTACAGCCTCTGAAGGTCTGGCATACAGTAAAACCCATAGTAGACGCTTGGAATGAAGCTGCCAGTGATCAAACCTACTATTCCGAGGTAGTCGCATGCATTGCCAATGTAGGCAACCCAGGGCGAGTGGTTTGATATCGTGTGGTATGTGGCACTCATCCCGAGACAAAATGCTGCGCCAGCGAAGAAACAGCTGAATGCAATTATATCTCCCGCCGTTGCCGAGTGATACCGTGGCGAGATGGTTTGGTATAGGGCGATGGATATAGGGATGGTGAAGAGCGCCGGGAGCAGGTGTGTGTATATGTTGACAGTTTCATTGTGGATATAAGTAAGAGAATGGAAGCTTCTCACAAACGAAGCTGATGCTGGCCGGTAGCCAGTGTGAATGTGGTGGTTATCCTGCAGCCAGTGTGGTAGATCGTCCCAGTGGACGGTGGTTGTCCAGCTCTCTTCGACTGTCTTGATAACCCCTGATCCTCCTGCTGGCGTCTTGATCTCTTCCTCTTTTTCCTGTGTGAGGACGGTGGTCACCGGGCGACGCTGAGAAACCGCCATGTTGTTTGTTTGCTCCAGAGACTTCTTCTCTACATCTTCTCTCAAGACAGATGAGCCGTCTTTTATGTGTTCTGTGACTCTCTTCCCAACGTCTTTCTTCTATCTCAACTCTTTTACATTTCGGCATAACACGTGAAGACGTGCAAACAGTGCAAACTGGCGGCGAGGAAGATCGACTTGGGGAAAGAAAGACGCCGGAGCGCGAAGGTATGGACATGTATCTCTTCTTCTAAGCTGCATCTCGGGCGGTGGGCTATCCAGTGCTATAGATAATGTGTTGAATGGCATTCCTGACCCTATCCGGGGCTTGCTGGTTCGAGGGCTCACTCTATCCGAAGTCATGGCGAGCACCCCGCATTCAACAAAGTCCTCGCCGGTAAAGGGTCGACAGCGAGCGCAAGTACAGGATCCATTGGACCAGGCTGGGTTCGTTTCGAAGGGAGACGTAAAGTAGGTTGTCCGGGAGCAGCAAGCTTCTTCGGTTCTACGGCCATCAGCTAACTAGTTTGTTTTGTAGGTTGCTTGATCCCAAGACGCAAAAGGCGTACTATGAGAAAATCGTGGAACGATACATGAAATTCTGTAACGACTATTCAAATGATCTCGATGCAGCCTTTGCCTCGCTTCCAAAAAATCGATCCGAAGATTCGACCAGGAATCCGCCCGTGCCTACTGCCCCCGTTGTAGCTCGAGATCCTTCGTCTCGCCATGCACAGCCTGCGTCCATGCAGAATAAGTCTGTTCGACCCGAGAACATGACTGATTCGGCAGCCAAGGACCTATCAGTATTGCTTCTCTCTCTTCGGAAACTGCGAGAAGGCGTGATTGCAACTGCATCCAAGACGCCCGTGGCGTTTTCACAGCAGGTTCATATATTTTGCATTCGAACCGGTATTCTCGCTAGCCACCCTCCGTCCTATTATCCTCCGTTAAAGCGTCTTCTGCAAGTACTGCACGAGCCCTCGAATCCTTTAAGTGAATCGGATTTGCACGAGTTCACCGCCTATCTTATTCTTGATTATGCCTGCCGACAGAACGAGCTTCATCCGGCATTTGACCTCCGTGCAAAGTCAAAGAACGACTTCGAGTTTAACAACACAACCATTGACCACGTCCTTGCCGCTTTGATGCATGATAACTGGGTCCAGTTCTGGAAATCTGGTAGGGGTGTGGATGGGTATACGAGATCACTGATGAGCTGGGCGGAGGGCTTTGTCCGAAGGAGGGCGCTCAAGACCATCGCTAGAGCATACCTCTCTGTAGATCTTAGCTATATTATCGAATCTTGCACTGGGACAGAAGACGGCTGCACGTGGGACGATTTGGTTGAGAAGGAAGGCATGGGCTGGAAGCTAGAAGGCAACAAGGTGATAATACGGATCAGGAAGCCCGCCATCAAGGCGAAGTGAACTAGACCTGCTTGTCTTGTGTAGATGCGGGCGTTAAAGAGCATTGGTCACTGGCGGTACCTATCAGCCAAAAAGACAGGTGGCTCCTCGTGTGGCCGCTGGGCCGTGGTTAAGGTACGGCAGTTCCAACTCTGTAAGCGAGACGAGGCTACCCGATGCTATGGTATTAGACTAATGCATTCAATTAGGACCCGTGCAGATATCCCTCATACGAAAAATCCGAGAAAAGAAGTCTAGATTTTAAAGGCGCCATTTGGTCGTTCCCAGTTAAGATGTTCCGATTGGGGGTGGCGAGACACCCGCTCCGCTAATGCCAGCTTGAGAGCTCCTGAATTCTCAGAGCAAAGTTCGTATACCGTTGCTAAATTAAATGTGAGGCTTTGGAAGGAGCTGTGGTTGTCGATGAGAGACTCCAGGATTTCGCGAGACTTGACAAAAGAATTAGCCTTCCCCCGAATTATCGAAAAAGCAAAATATAAATAGATACTAAGATAGAGGTTCAGCCTTACCTGCTTTAAGTTCCCAACATACAAAAGGCAGACTGCGAGGTTTTGTTTGATGAGAACCTCATCGTCTGTGCCTGAGTAAGTTTTAAGAACGCCATTCCAATCAGCGACAGCATCATCGAATCTACCCTCTGCCATTCTTAAGAGCGGATCAAGAATACCAACGGAGGAGCTGGAAGGACCAGAGAGTAGCCTCTTTGCAGAATCTATATCTCCGATTCGAAGATGCAAAAGGGCTCTCTGATGGAGTCCTCGCGTGTCATCGTCAGATAGTGGAGCCATGCTGGCTAAAGACCGCCGTGCTGCCTCCAAATCACCCATTTCAACTAGAGCGTTAACGACACGGAGGCCTAGATCAGCTAACCGCCCTTTCCACATGGCCTTTTCTTCAGGTCCGATATCAGGGCGCATGATATGCTTCCTAGCTTCTAGTCCAAGTTCATAAAGACCAGATATACCCCGCCTAGAATCACCAAATCCAATGCTTTGCAGTCTTACGGCAACAACTCGAAGGGGCCAGGGTGCAAGGTGCGTCTTCTCCGGGGATTCTTCAGAGTTGCCATCCTTTGGAGCAGGAGTAGCGTCTACATAGTAGAATACAGAATTCAAGTCCTCCAAGGCCTTTGACTCTTGCGCGGCTAGGATGGTATTCCCCGTAAGCTCGAGACAGGTAAGGCGGGTGTATAGGAGGGAAAATATTGTTGAATAGTCATTTGAAGCTATGAGATTGGAGGTCAAAATCGTAGCTGCGAAATGCGCTGCGGGTAGGAAGTGGCCACTTTTCGATAGGTCGTTGAGCAAAAGTAGTGCTGAATCCAAGGACTGGCCTGGGAGGAGGCTCGGAAACTCCGAGCGGAAGGGAAGGGGTATTTCCAATTGCGAGAGCGGGTGGAATATCTCTGGCCGGAGGAGGAAAGAGAAGCTCTGGTTTACTTGAATAGGCGGGTTGTCCCTGGGTGATACAATGGAGTCCTTGTCCGGGTAGAATGGCAAAACATTGCTTTTGGAATCCCGTTTCCCCGAGGAAGTCGTCGAGGCTGCAGAAGGGGTATCTAGTCTATAAAACCGTCAGAGAAGGAATCAATCATGTTAAAAAGGAGGCAAACATACTCATCAGGAATATCCAATGGCCCCTTTGTTGAGCTGCGTGGCCGGGTAGCTGATTATCATGTTAGTTCACAGCTCTAAAGAGTGCACTGAGTGGTCACACCTTTTACAGACACATTCCGCCGATGCTGCGAGCTGGAGGGTTCCATGATACACTCTCTAGCTCCCACAGTGCATCTTCTATCTTGCTCACTTCACACCCTAAAGTGTAGCAAATGAACAGAAGCTGGAGAGACAGTGGTAGTGATGGTGATGGTGATTGTGGTAGTCGCGATATGAGCTCTAACAGCAAGATGGTTTCTGCCAGGCGGTGAGTGCACGGACCACGTGAGCCCCCTGATTACTTCATCCTTTTTGTCCTCAGGGCAGCAACATCAACATCGACAGCATCATCGACAGGCCCTGGAGAGTTGCTGAGACCCTGCTTCTTGTTGATATCTCCTGTCTATGACCTGCCTTCTCTAATAGCGTGCTAGCGAATTCCGCATGCCCAGCCGCGGCCCTCGGTATAGACCAACTCTACAAGCCGTGGACCAAGACACCGTATCTCAATTCGACCAGACGCCAATCCCGTCGCATCTGAAGATGGCACCCGCAAATAAATACTCAGTCATTCTCCCTACATACAATGAGCGGAAGAATCTCCCAATCATATGCTGGTTGATCGAGAAAACTTTCCGTGAGAAGTGAGTGCCGCTTTTGTTCGAATGCTTCCCCCTCTTACTACCCCCTCCGTCGCAATGGCATGGACTATGATAGATCTACGTTAGAGCAATATACTGACCGAAGAATTGTTCAATTGTATAGTAAGCTCGACTGGGAGGTCATTATTGTCGACGATGGCTCCCCCGATGGCACTCTCGAAGTCGCAAAGCAGCTCCAGGCCGCCTACGGCGCACAACACATTATCCTGAAACCTCGCGAAGGCAAACTTGGTCTTGGAACCGCGTACGTTCACGGCCTTAAATTTGCTACTGGAAACTTTGTCATCATCATGGATGCAGACTTCAGCCATCACCCCAAATTTATTCCTGAGATGATCAAAATTCAGGAGAGCACCAAGGCAGATATCGTTACCGGAACGAGATATGCGTCGCGTGGCAACCTGCGAGGCGGCGTATATGGATGGGATCTGTTCCGAAAGCTCACTTCACGTGGCGCAAACCTGATTGCAGACGTTGCGTTGATGCCAGGCGTCAGTGATTTGACTGGCAGTTTCCGCTTGTACAAGAAGCCTGTTCTTGAGAAGGTCATCAAGGTCACTGAGAGTAAGGGCTACACTTTCCAGATGGAGATGATGGTCCGCGCGAAGGCAATGGGATACAAGGTTGAAGAGTGTCCAATTACCTTCGTCGACCGTGTCTACGGCGAGAGTAAGCTCGGTGGAGAGGAAATCGTCGAGTACCTCAAGGGTGTCTTTACTCTGTGGCTAAAGGTTTAATGCAACTGGAATGACCCATCTATTTTCTTCTCTTCCATCGGCTCATCTCCTTTGTGCACGGCGAGTTATGGGGCATAAAAGGGTCGGGTTTCAGGCACAATTTTCAAAGGGAAATGTTGCCCTTTTTCATTATGGGGGTTTCTTGCCTGACACGTTATTAAATTGTTTTAATATCTGCTTTACTACCTCGAAATAGAATACCCAAGAAAGCAGGTTTAGACCACTATCAATCTTAACCCCAGGGTGAATATTGAAATTAATTCTAGTACGTGTATGTTATATGGGGTACGTGCTACTCAAACATGGGGCCAAATCCAGCTGATAGATCAAGGTTTCTCAAGGTTGGCAAGGAACGTTTGGATCCTCGAAAGCAAGTCTTGTAGGGGTTTAACTTGCCGTTTGCCTTGGGGAGAGTGCCTTACACCGGGGACAACGCCGCTGTTCTCATCCCAGATGCCAGGATTGTCACCACCTGCCTTTGTAGCAGTTTCCCATCTCTTCAGCAAACTCTCCATCTCCACCCATTCAGGAATATATTCATCAGAGCCTCCGGGTAAAACAAGAATTGACTTCCTTAGCCGGCCACACTTCCCAATCATGCCGAACGTTTCTTCTAACCGTTTATCCTCAAGGTCGGAGCTAAAAAGGTCGTCCTCAAGAGGTGCATCTGGACTATCTGGACTGGTTAAACTCAAGAACCGTTTGCTGGAGACAGGAACGTTCGATGGGAACCCAATACGCGATGTCATGGAGATGGGCAAAATATAGCCGTTATCTCCTTCTTCCGGGTTGGACTTTGCAATGTCAACCAGTTCATAAAATATCTCGCTTACAACGTCGGCCGAGTCTTTGGTGGTCCCAGTCTCAAGCATAGACAGAGTGGCCTCTCTGTCAGAAACTGGAGCTTGGAGGATAGCACCATCTACCGCAGGCCTTGTCTGGTTTGGAGGCTGCGAGTAAAGATAGTGAAGAACGTCTTGGCTTCCGGTTGAGTGTCCCATTATTGCGATCTTACAAGACTCGTTTGACGCAGGTTGGTCTTGATTCTCCCGCGCTTTAAGGGCCTTCACATAATCAACGCATTGTGCGAGCTCCTCCACGTCCTTATCTAGGCTGCTCATCCCCCATCCGGTATATGAAGACGAGAGCAGGACAAAGAATACAGACCAACTCGTCGATTCAAGGGCTCCAGCTAAATCATTCATAAACGGTACAGTGCATAAGCCGTCCGAAAGCCCAGCGATGAGAAGCAAAGCGTGAGGTTTCGCCTTCTCAGCTGTAGGAGACGTGTACTCGAATGCATTTAGACCTGCGGACTGGTAATCGCCATCAGCTTGCTTCTGTGACAGTGATACGATGGCCAATCACCAACAGCTAGGTTCAATCATACGTATTGATGGAGAACGCCAGCCCTTGCAGCTGGGGTAGATTCTGCCATTTGCTGTTCCATTTCTTCTGCGACAATTTGTTTGCCAAAAGGTAATTTCTTAGGTTTTATGCTTCCAAAGAGATGAACCCTATTGACTCTTATTTGTAGTCTTTTATGCGGCGATGTTGATGTCTATAGCGGCGGAATAAAATGGTGGGATGTTTGTTAAGTGACCGCAGCCGCACGGATGTTCCGCCAACCTTAAACCGTGGGCGGAAACTTTCCCGAGCGCCGGAAAGCTTAAATTGACGCGGCTATTTTGATCTCTGATCTATGGCGAGTTGCTGGCATCAATTACCTAGACGCCCTTTAACGGTCTTATTTGGATGTTTTATTTTATGAAATAGTTGGAGGGTGAATGCGGCAAGATACACCCAGCTCTTTATACCTATTACCCTTCAATAGAAAAGACAGATGTTGTTTGTATTAAACGACAATTGGGATAGGTCAGGTACGCGCAATGAATCATTAAATAATACAATATAAACGTCTGGTCATTACTCATGGGCTAAGTCTTCCACCCTCAGCAAGCCACTGCCCATTCCTGCGCATGCCCACCCAGCGCAAGACGCGTTTGGGTTCCACGCAACGGCAGTGACGGCGGTTTGTTCTTCGTATATGGTCATTAAGGCGACCTGGCCTGTTTCCTTCTCTTGCGCTGAGGATCCTTTGGATAGGTTAGTAGTTTCTGCCTTAAATCCGTCATAGAATTTAACGACGGCCCCCGGTGTTATATTGTTGTTATTTTCCCCACTGACCCACTCCTGTGAGAACCAATTCTGTTGCCACTGCTTTTCTTTGGAATGTAGTAGCTTTCGAAGAGGGTTATTAGCAATTACTGCACCGCTCGCGTTGCCAGCAAGAATACATGGGTGGTGTAAACTAGCGGTTGCTAGGGCTGTGACAGTGCTGCGGGACTTGAGGGCCGCAAGGCTGGAAAAAAAGCGGCGAAGAGGGAGAAGCCGAACAAAATCGCCCTCATCATTGGTTATGAAGGAGCGCAAAAACGGCGCATAGATAAGACACTGTGTTCCTACTCTTAATCGAAGCGCTTCGGCTATTTCTGCGGTCGGATGCAGGAGAGAAACTAATCGCGTTTGCCCACCCATGGAGGTTGCTGCAATAATATATGGGTGCGTTGGATAAGCTGAGACAATGTTAAGTATGTAGGTATCATGAACCGGAATGTATAAGTAAGGTTCAGGGTTAGGTGACTCGTCTTGAGCTGACTTAACCAAGCTCCATAAACCAATAGATCCGTTTGCGCATCCAATGGCTATATCTGTTGGCGACATCCAGGTAAGGCAGGTACAAACTGTTGAAGGGGGTTTGGTTTGGAATGCTGGGCTTTGTAACGTGACTAGAATTGGTTTATATTTTAGTATGAGTTGAAAACCAAATGACAGCTCTCCATTGACGTACCATATTCGGTCCCAGCGCCCTTGTCACACAAGTCAACATCAAAGACTTTGACAGAACCATCGCTCCAAAGTCCAGCTAATAGTGTAGGCTTCGGTGGCTCATTGCTATGTCCATTCGCTGAGGCCCTTTCTACGGCAATTGGGCACCAATAAAGGCGATTTATATTGCCGGAATCCGCGCATATGACCTTTTGTAGACGCGGCTTTATATTCATATTTAGTCTTCGCAATCCATTTACCGTATCACTGGCTTCAAACCTCCAAATTTGAATTGCGGAGGGGTATGGTGCAGAAGGCGTGAACGCTGGGGCGCCTTTGATACCTCCGTCGTCAAACTTTGCCTTCTGGCTGTCGAGAATTGGCGCTACTACAGCGAGATACTGAGAGTTCCCAGGACAATTCGGAGCCCAGGTGGCGCATTGGATTCGATTTCCCAGGTTCAGAATCCATCCCTCTCGCGCCTTCACTAAATTAGGAGTAGCGGATGGCCCTTCATTCGAGTTGGGCCCAGAAGTCCTATCCTTCTCTTTCTTGATGGAGACAGGCCTCGTGGAAGGCCATGCCAAACTAAAGTCAAATAGTTCGTCACGTCCTAGTAAGAAAGTAGTTTGTGAACCGGCTGGGCCCATCAACACGGTCAACTTTGGTACCTCACGACTAGGTAAGTAAGTCTGGCATGACTCTTCCGTGATGGCTGTAAGTTGCTGCTTCTCACGAAATTGGGCTCCGATATTACTATAATACCAATCCCAACCTGCGGTAGACTCCCGAGCCTTCATCGCCCTGTCAACACCAAATATATCCTGACTCCCATGTGGATTCCATTCATTGCACCTCTGGAGGCTCTCTCTACTTGGGAAGGTCAAGTCTAAAATCCCTGGCCAAGTATCTCTTGTATGGATTATAGGCAGTATATCTTGATCGCCAGACCCGAATGTTAGTCTCAACTGTAGAGTCTTAGAAGAATGATTCGATGGCTTCAGGAGGCCGCGTGAATAAGTTTGAGTGCTCGCTTGATTCGACTGCTTCTGAGCAGGTGGAGTAATATCTCCATCAACAGTAGATCCACGAGCCGGCCTAGGGCCAAGATTAGAGCCTTAAAACATGTTAGCCTGGATTCTGGGAAATTTAACCAAATGGACATCTCAGCCGTAACCTACGCTGATCTGGGTTTCTCGCAGCCTTCTTCCGTGTTCTGCCAGTATCCTCTTCAGTCTCATACTCCTCCTCTGACGCTTCTGAAGCTGGTGAATGTGCGGCCAGCTCATCGTCATAATCCGAGTCCCTGTGGCCTAACCTTGAGCCCACAGTGTCTGTTTCACCAGTGGCGATCCGTTGAGTCGCATTCCTCTTGGTTGCACTCATAACTTAGGATGGGTATCATAGTTTTCTCTTAGCATGAAGAAGACAGTAGTAAATAGCTTATCAAATAGCTTGTCTCGAAAATGGCATTTAATGGTTGTTTGAACTTGTACTTCTGACTTGGAAGCTTTTATGCCGTTTCGTGTCCAATCAAACTTTCTCGTTGCACCGTTGTTATTACATAATCATATCAATGCCCGCCTGGAGTCTCTATTTACAATCTGAATAGACATGATTGCTATTTAGCATGAGCTATAGGGTACTCTGTATACATGTAACTGACGATGATAGACTGTGCCTCTATAATCATAATCATTACTATGGCTTCTTGTATAGTAGCTAGGAATTCGTCGTATTCACATTCTATTCTATAGTTCTCATTAACAGACCAGCACATTATCATCTAATACATAAAAAGCCCAAAAATACAGCTTAGGATCCCAGAAAAACACCGACCAATGCAAGCATGCCGCCGTTATAAACGCTTCAAACTATTCGTACTCCAGAAATTTGGCATCTCACCCGAATGACTTATACTGGTACTAAATCATCGTTGGAGCCAAGGTCTTAAAATGTGACAGGAAATCACCGAACTTGCGAGGTGGAGTCGCACATTCATTCACATATCAATGCGAGGAGTGAGTGTGGGCATGTAAAATGTCATGTGGATTGAAAGTAGGGGGCTACCAGAGGATCCCGTTGGGAGAGGTAGATGGGTCGATAGTGGTGGAGATGTCACTGTTGGCCCCGTTGGAAAGTGCATCGAGGTAGATGTATGTTCCACGGACGTGCTATGAGTCGTAGTTGTTGGGCTTGCTGTGGAAGACGATGCAGTTGCCGTGGTAGCATGAGGTGATGTAGTGGTGACTGTAGGCCTCATGGTCATTGATGAGCTCGTTGTTGTTGGCAGTGGTGAGCTACACGACGTTGTTGACGTGACAGTTGTAGTTGTGGTCGTCGATACCGAAGGCTGTATCGTCTGAGTGATAGTCGCAGTATGGGTGACTGGAGGCAGAGTAGGCCCTGGCTTGTCGACAGTGACCGTTGCATGAATATCGGTTGTTGGTGTTTCAGGCCCTCCGTCAACCTGAACAACCGAATAAGGCACTGACCGAGGCTGCAGGGGTACTAATGGCAGTGAACTCGACAAGTGAGTGAAGAGTGCAGTCGACAGCAAGACATCTTGGAGTCTGAGTAGCATATTTTTAATGAATGTGTGGATGGAGTTGTAAGGTCACACTCCTGTACTTTGAGAAACGTTGATATTATCAGGACTTTATATTGTATCAACCAGGTTCTGATATAGCTTGCAGAACGCCGTTAAGGGTGGATATTAAAAAAACAGGATAATGAGATGCAGAATCACGGACGTATAACCACTGAAACAGGTCATATCTTCTCTGTGTGTGATGAAGGGAAATACTTGAGGCAAGGTTAAGTATATCTGGCTGTGAAGAAATTCGGTGGTTGGGATCCCAGCCACCGGAATTCCTTAATGGACATTGGAATCTTCCAGCTGGAAGACGTAACATAGTTTATTCCGGCGAATACGTGAGCACGAATCATAGATCCCACTCCGTCGTACCATTAACCCATCTATTGCCCCAGTGGCTAGTAGTTATCCGGTACTCCAGGGCCATGTCATGATGTGACGATGTGACGATGATGTAGAAAGTGGTGGTGGAGGTAAAAGCAGCAAGGGATTTTTGGTGCCATTTCTGACTAAGCTAAAACAGCGGCAGATGTGCTCCCTTCGGGCCTAGCGCTGTTTAGCTCCTTTGGGCACCTGCCTGGGACTCTCCAACTCCGCGAGAAGATAGCGACGACGGCCAGCTTGTTTGATATAGACATGAACTGTCTCCTGGCGAATTTGATCTAGTCGACTACCAGCGGATTATAACCCGATCACACCTCTCCTGTGGCAACCCGTCCCTGCGCATTTGACCCTAATTTCGAGGAGTAGACCTACCGCGGCCGGACAATGGCCAGTGCCCCCCATGTGCCGGAGGACCAGAGTCGCCTCCTCGAAGAGGCTCTGGGGGTGGTACGACAGCAATCGCATATGATGCGGAGGTGCTTGGAAACACCGGGAAAGCTGATGGATGCATTGAAATGCGGGTGAGTGCGAGAGAGCAGGCAGCATCTATACCTGGCTGACGCAACATTGGCTCTATACCACCACCATTTAATCCCCCACATACTGTACAGTCGCTAAGATGGCTTTCTTGTTGTCAATGGCAGATCTACGCTGGTTGCCGAACTTCGAACCCCTACATTGGGCCCAAAGCAATACTACGAGCTGTACATGTCGGTGTTCGATGCGCTTCGTCACCTGTCGGATTATCTCCGGGAGTCTCATCCAGTGAACCACCTGGCGGATTTATATGAACTGGTCCAGTATGCTGGGAATATCGTCCCTCGCCTCTACCTCATGATTACCGTCGGCACCGTGTATATGTCGATTCCGGATGCGCCAGTGAAGGAAATTATGAAGGACATGATGGAAATGAGTAGAGGCGTGCAGCATCCAATCCGCGGTTTATTCCTGAGATACTATCTCTCCGGCCAGGCGCGGGACCACTTACCCATGGGCTCCGGCGATGGACCTCAAGGCAACTTACAGGATTCGACCAATTTCGTTTTGACTAATTTCGTGGAAATGAACAAGCTATGGGTCCGGTTACAGCACCAGGGACACTCAAGGGAGCGAGAGAAGCGAACACAGGAAAGAAAAGAGCTGGAGCTTCTTGTTGGGAGCAATCTTGTTCGTCTAAGCCAGCTGGTCGACCTAGAGTCCTACAAATCGGTGATATTGCAACCTCTCCTAGAGCAAGTGGTTCAATGCCGGGATGTGCTCGCACAAGAGTACTTGTTAGAAGGTAAGCTTTGGATCATACGGGGTTATGTTGAGCTTAGGTTGCTGATTCCATGCAGTGATAACGAAAGTTTTCCCGGATGAATACCATCTACATACTCTGGACTCAATGCTGTCTGCCATTGCAAGGTTGAACCCCCATGTTGACATGAAGAAAATTGTAATCGGCCTCATGGATAGGCTCTCCACTTATGCAACCCGGGGCTCCGAAAAGAGCGATGATCCGGAAGTAAGGAAAAAAGCTGAGGAAGAGGCAACAGTAAAGCTGTTGGCAAACCTACAACTTTCAAAACAACGAAACGAGGCATCCGCAGCCTCTAACCAACAGAAAGCTGAAAGCAAGGAGAATGGTAATTCACAGACAGAGGACACTGACGTGAAAAAGTCCGAGGAGGGAGAAACTACTGCTAGATCTACGGAACCGGATGCAGCAGGTGACCAGAAAGATAGCCATGAATCCACGCCGACTCTTCCTGGGGATGTTAAGCTCTACGAAATCTTTTACGATCAGGTGCTTAACCTGGTGAAAACCCGAGGAATTCCCATTCAAGACACCATTGCACTTTTAGTTTCATTGGCAAATCTCGCCTTGTAAGTCAAACCCTACTACTAAACCTTTTCCTCAATAATACTGACAAGCATATAGAAATATATACCCAGACCGGCTAGGTAATTCTATCTTCATCAATATCTGTTCTTGCAGGAAAATGTACTGACAGCGAGTAGAATATGTCGACCAAGTGCTTCAATACGCCACGAAAACTGCAATTGAACACTCCGATAGTGCAGACTTCCATTCTGCGCCCGCGCAGTCTAGTATATTAAACCTTTTACTCGCCCCTCTCCAATCTTACGTTTCTATATTCACGGCACTCTCACTTCCAAATTATATCCCTCTTTTTGCTGCACAGTCATACTCAACCCGAAGAGCAGTTGCGGGCGAAGTTGCACGAAATATCATGCGAAACAAAATATTAATTAGCTCCCCTGAGAATCTTGATAATGTCCTCCAGATCTTACGGGTTTTAATCAAAGAAGGGATGCAGCAACCCGGTGGATACCCTGGTGCCCAGTCTCAACGACGCGGAGGGGAAACTGATGAGACAATCGAGGAGCAAGGATGGCTTGCGCGCATAGTTCATCTGATTCAAGGGCCAGACAATGATACTCAACTCAAGGTAGAACATATCCTTTGGCAATTTCGCGTGTCTTTTCAAAAGCTGACAAGCCCTAATAGTTATTACAAGCGGTGCGGACGGCTTATTTGGAGGGAAATGAACGTATCAGGTATACAACTCCAGCAATAATAACGTCGTCTATAAAGCTCGCCCGCAAGTATAAGAGCCGTGAACACTTTGAAGACAACTGGCAATCGCAGTCATCTGCACTATTTCGATTCATGCATCAGTGTGTTAGTAATTTGTACCAACGGGTAAACTCCGGATGTGCAGACCTAGCGCTACGGCTCTTTGTTCTTTGCGGTCAAACGGCAGATGAAACTGGCTTTGAGGAAGTTAGCTACGAATTTTTCGCGCAGGCATTCACGATTTACGAAGATTCAATTAGCGATTCAAGGGCCCAGTTCCAAGCCGTTTGTATCATCTCAAGCGCTTTGCATGGGTCTAGGAATTTTGGAAGGGAGAATTACGATACTCTCATCACCAAGGCTGCTCTTCACGGTAGCAAGCTTCTGAAGAAACCGGATCAGTGTCGTGCTGTGTACTTAGCAAGTCATCTCTGGTGGGTTGTTGAGAGTCCGCTAAAAGAAGGGGATGAACCGAATATTGTAAGTCCCTCCATATCGCATTGCCTACAATTTTATTCTAACATCGTTTTCTTACCCAGGTCTATCGTGATGGTAAACGTGTTCTTGAGTGCCTTCAGAGGGCGCTTCGTGTTGCGGACGCTTGCATGGACACCGCTGTATCGGTTGAGCTCTTTATTGAGATACTTAACCGCTACGTCTACTATTTTGACCAGCAAAACGAAACCGTGACGACGAAATATCTCAATGGCCTCATAGAGCTTATATATTCTAATCTTCAGTCGAACCAGACCGAGGGAGTGCCAGGTTCCGGCCTGGAGAATCCTAAACGTCATTTCGAGCGAACGTTGGGCTATATCAGATCTAGAGGATGGGAAGGAGTCGTGACAGAGGCACCAAGGCAATAAACCAGTTGAGAACAGACAGAGAAGGCGATGATACGATACAATATAATTTCTTGTTTTTCTCCATATCCCTGCCTCCGTAATCAGTTGTACACTGGTGGTGCTTTGTTCTTCGGGGCTATCGTACCCTCCCTTTTAGCGTGTCAACGCCGTTTACACTAGCTAATTCATACAACAATTTGTCGGCGTGTACATCAGTTATGTACCATGGCAATCCTAGTTCATAGTCACGAGCGATTGCTCGAGTATATACGAAAGACGTCTTTGAGCAAACATAATGAGAAAACGGGGTAGTAATTAAATTTCATTGCTGAAACGCCTCATGCATCTGCTTATTTGTTGTAAGAGCAAAATGCAGAAACGATAACTACCCATAACAGCATGCCAGCTGCCCCCACCGGCCTACCAGCCAGTAGAATTATTTGCCTTCCTTGCTGAAAGTACAATACATGGAAATTCGTATGCACCCTAAGCAGGGAAATGTGTAACACAGAAAAAAGAGCAAAGCTGAGGCGATATTGTAACAATGCAGGTGGGAATGAAAATGAAGTAGTGAAAGACATGTCATGTAACCACGAAAACAACATAATAGATGAAGACTGCAATGGTTAGAGAAAGAGGAAAGAGTCCGAGTTGACGGGGTTGGTATCTAAAGCTCCTAAAGAGCAACGAAGGGAAAGGGTGTACGGGGACGTGGAGACGGCTCGTAAGATGGTCCTGGCTAGCTTAGGGGTACAAGAAGAGGAGGTTTGGGGGGGTTTGAAGGGTCGTATTAGAAGGAGAAAGCCAGAGACGTCACTTAGAGATTGGGGGAAGACGATATTGGATGCTATATCGACAACAAACCTCCTAGTATGTCGGAGGGGGAACATTCATTGAAGAAAAATACCTGGCGTTAGGACCACCAGAACCAGTAGCGCCACCACCACTGCCTATATTGGCAGGGTAGCTATTTCTAGAGACGGGGCTGCCAATATCACCAGGGGAAGTATTAGGCTTGGTACCGGATAATGGGCTGGTGCTATCGGGTTCGAACTTGATGAAAGTGCCACGAGGCCCTGCAAAATCGACGATAAGTGAACCACCGCCGTTCTGAGGATTACCTTCCGTATCGCAGATGTCGAGCATCTCATCCAGGCTGACTGGGGTATCTAGCGGGGAATTTAGTTGTTCGATCTGACGTAGAACTTGGTTCGTGCTATGAAAACCGGAGCCTCCAGGTGAGTTTGCTGACAACTGTTTGCAAGCTTGGCTAACCAGCAAACGGATCGTAACGGGTCTGGGAGGATACGAGTGGTGAGGCCTTCCAATAACTCCGAAAGCGTTGTTGGCCCATGTTGGACCTTTTAAGGCGTTAGTATTGTATGTAGTTATAACGGTGTACTTGCAGAACTTACTTGGACCAGCACCCCATGAAGCCGAGCTGGGGAATCCTGGAGGTCCAAAGGACATTCCTGAACCCCAGGGACTTCCGCCCGAAGGTGCTCCCAAGGGGAAATTGGGGGCGTTCGTTGCTAAGGGCGGAATTATTAGAATTGACATTTCATGTAAAGGGGGACGTTGAAAACTCTAGGATGACAATGGCACTTACAGCCTAAAGATTCGGAGAATAGAGGGTTAGTTCCGAATGACATCCTTCCCGGTCCTGGAGCAGGAATTGGCTGTGATGGGGCAGTGTTGAGTGGCACGTCCGTATCGTCCAATAGCGCGCTGCTTCCTAGCTGAGTACTGAGTTCATCAACATCTGGCTGGTTTGAATGTGAGCCCTCTTTCCCGTGGTCATGAACAGTGCTTGACGGGCGTTGGATTGGAGCAGGCCGAGATCCAATAGGCTGATTTAGCGGAAGTGGCTCGTTAGGACTCCTCTCGAACGATGTCGAGAGCTGTCCAGGGCCGTGCATCTGAGAGAGGGCCTCGCGAGGTGCTTGAACGGGATGTGGAGCAAGAGGACCAGACGACATCAGTGGAGAGCGATATGGCAGCGCAGAATGACTTGGGTCCAGGCTGAAACCTCTGCCTTGACCGGGATGCCTAGGTGCGATTCCTGGAGGGGCAGAAAGCCCTTCTGGGGACCCAATACCTCTGAACTGGCTTCCGATGGGGTTAGGCTGATTGGGATACATGGAAGTTTCATGGCCTAGAGAAGAGCGATGCCCTATTGCTGGCATTCCAGCACCTGGTATACCATTTAGGCTTGGTATAACACCGAAACCTGGTGGTGGCTGGCCACGACCTGGTCCTCCTAAAGGTGACATGGGGACAGATGGTTGCGGGTTATGAATGGTGTTGGGATATTGAGTGACTCCCTTGTTGGAAACAACGCTGGAAGCGCCGGATGAATGCGCAGCTCCCGGAGAAATGGATGTTTGCAGAGTATCAATGTATGCAGGTTGAGAACGGGGAGATGAAGCATGCGATCCTTGTTGAGAAGCTTGCCGGGCGCGGACTGGTGTTGGCGCTTTTGGTATAACGGGTGTAGCAACTTGGAAATGAGGAGACTGAAGAAGACTTGGGGGTTGTGGGTGATGAAGGCCAGGCGGGAAATACGTCATTCCTGGTTGGGAGGTTCGCTTTAAGTTTTGAGCTGGTAGATGTTGATCTGGTTGAAGTGAACCAAATTCATCTCGTCTGCTCTGTTCGCGGTTAACGGTAGAATCTTTTCCTCGTTTTTCCAGTTCCGCTTTATTTTTCTGTTCCCGATCTTCTCGAGCCTTCCGCTCCCGAGCTTCCTTTTCTTTAGCTTCCCGTTCCTCTCGCTCCTTTTTCTTAGCCTCCTCGCGCTTCTTTTTCTCTTTCTCCTTTTGTTCTCGCTGCTTTCTATCGGCCTCTGCTTGTCGTTCTCGTTCGTCCTTCAGCCGCTTTTGTCGGTCTGCTTCTTTCCGGAGTCGCTCTTCCTCTTGGGCTTTTTTCTCGGCTTCCCTTTTCTTCCGCTGTTCCTCTTTCTTCCGCTGCTGCTCCTTGACTCTTGCATCTTCCGCGGCCTTTTGAGCAGCCGCTTCGGCAGCGCGTTCGGCTTCTCGTTTCGCTCTCTCTTCATCCTTTGCCTGTTTTTGTAGTCGCTTTTTGTCCTTTTTCTTCTGGGCTTCCTTGGCCTTCTTTGCTTCGCGCTCTTCATCAAGCCGGTTTTCTTCCTCTAGTTCTTCTATCAACCTTTGCTGTCGTTCGCGGGCGACCTTTTCTCGGTAAGCGGTTAAAACTCGTTGTTCGAACATCCTAGCGGCAAATATCTGGAACATCCGTCGACCTTCTTCCATCCGTTGCTCCTCCGTCATAGCGTCCTATCACCAGGTTATTAGTATGACGAATCCTGTCCTTCATCCTTAAACTGGCCAAACAAACCATTTCATCCTCCTCAAACTCGTCCTCTTCCTGGCTATCATAGTCATCATCCTCGTCATCGTCATAGTCTTCCTCGTCTAACGGGGCTCCATGGTTATGACCGGCCTGCATTGACTGATGGGCCGCCGATGATGCGATGTATTGGGTTTCCTCTTCACGTTGCATCCGCCGCTCCGCTAGCTGCTCCATCATGTCAATAAAGTGCTTTCCGTCATTTTTTAATAAATCATCCGCGACTGTCAGGATCCCGTCTGTAACGTTATTTTGTTAGCATTTATTCATGTATATAGCACATCAGCTATAAACCCTTACCCTTTACAGTTAGACTATTTCCAAAGGCGAAGAAGTCGGCCCGGGATGTTCTGGCCTCGATGTCGAGCTCGTCCTCACTATAAGACTCCTCGTCATCTTCCTCTTCTTCGTCCTCTTCATACTCTTCGTCTAGCTCATCTTCATCGTCGTCGTCCGGCAATTCGTGTACTCTCCCTCGTGACGGATGCTGGGCGCCGGGCAGGTGAGGATGGTGGTCTAAGGATCGAATGGGGGTTTGGTATAGGCGGGGGGGTAGCCGGAGTGAACCACCATTTTCGAACGAGGCCTGGTTATTGTTGGCATATTGTTCCAGCTCTTCATAGTAAGCATCGTATAATACCTCCAGTTCCTCCTCAATGGCTGTCCGTTTCCTGCCGCATACAGTGCAACTACACGAATGTTTTTGTTGTTCCTTCATTTTCCGCAGAACAGCTTCCTTCTCAACCTTGACTAGTGAGCGGCGCTCCTCCTCGCCAAGTTGTAACCAGAATTCTTTGATATTTTCCCGCTCTTCATGAGTCGACGTATTCCATATCCGATCCTTGGATATCCTGTGAGCTGATCGATACGCGCTGACGAGCGGCGGTGGTACTCCAACCGGACGTGCTGAAGACGTTAGGGGCGGCGGCGGTGGTGTCGAGTGAGATGTAGAGCTTCCTTCAGCAGCATTGTTTCCAGTCCGGCCCTTTTTGCCCTTTTTCTTTTTGCTCTTCCCTTTGCCTGTATTATTATGTTGGTGGTCTAAGCTCCCGTGGTTATCATGTTTATGCTCATGGCGGGAATGTGAAAAATGCCGGTCGTCGTCCGAATACCATGCCTCCGCATTCTCTATAGGCTCACTTCTCTCATTGGGTCTATGTTGCGTTGAATTGCCAGCATGCGCGTGTCTGACGCCGTTGTCGTAGCCATCGCTGCCATCCTGGCCGTTTCGGTTCGTAGGAGTGGACGAATCGCTACGCTGTTGCTCCGCGGCCAGACGGGCAGCTAATTTCTGCCGTCTCTTCTGCTTCTTCTTGTTGACACCAGTGGTCTGTATATTCGATATCTGGTTAACCAAGCACTTGTTTAACGGGGTTCCGGGACTTACGCCTTCTGCAGGTAGCATTGCGGACGCGGTGCTGCCAGCATTGGCTGTGGTGGAGTCTGAGGTGGTGGTAGCGAGCGGCTTCAAGGTAGCAGTCTGCTTTGCTGTGCTAGCGGAAGAATTCTGAGTCAATGAGCTTGTTGGCACGGCAGCTGGTCGTTTCGAGTTGGAAGGCATTGTTCTAGACTAGCTGTTAGACTTCTGTAAGCGCGTGTGAAAAAAAAACAAAGACGCCAATCTTGCGGGAGTGACGACAGAATTTGAAGGTATCTCGAAAGTAAAAGCTTCACTGGGGGGAGAACGGAGCGTTTAGGGTGGCAGGAGGAGCAGGCGAGGCTTACTCGAACGCTTATGTACAGGTTCGAGGAAGCCCTCCACGGGGTACGGAGGGCAAAGAACGGCGGGGGGGAGCTCGCCAGGGCGCTCGGGAAGGTGGACTGTCGGAGGTATAGTGAGGTCGACGAGGCGGGGAGAGGAGTTTTGACGCCGGGACAGCACCACGGAAGCAGAGCCGCGAGTCCAGGAAGGAAGCCCTGAGGCGTGTTGTGCGGCGAGTGCAGCTGCTGGCCCAGGAGGTTAGCTGATCAAACGAGTGCGTCTCGCGTGCGGCGGCGGCGTGGGCGTGAGGTCGACGGGTGAAGGTATCGCTACTCTTTGATATTGGTGGTGCAACGGCAAAATGCAGCGAGGCACCCCAATCTGGCAAGATTAGACGCCGCAAGCGATTCTCGTCTGGCGGCTTTTCTCACCGCCCAAGAGCGCCAGGGAAGCGTAATTCCGTGACGGTATCCAGGTATCTTTGGCCCTGTTCCTGGCGGCAAAACATGGTAATTTTGGTTTGACCCGTGGTACGCCTACGTTTTACCCTTATTTCTTTTGAGCCTCCTCCAATCAATTTGATAACCCCGAGAAAAGAATATACAAGAAGCTGCTGGACGACGATAGAAAAGGCAGCGGAAAGGCAGGAAACCTGAACCCGCCCGGCAAAGCCTGCAATATTGTTAGTTACTAAAAACTTGGTGATAATCCAGCCTCTAGCGTGTATTACCCAACAGTTACATTCCGCTCGCTGCGAAGGCGTTGACAAACAAACTCTCCTAGGCGAGCATTTATTTTTAACCTGAGCTCGAGCTGAAGCCGGCTGTGAGTCGCCTTAGCTGCTGCTGCCTCTCCTTCTTTTCCTGCGTCCTGTCCCTGCAGATTTAAACCCATACGCAAGCCCCTCCTGGCCCTTTCCACCCGGATCCTCCCTCCTCCTCCTCCCCCAAGGCAGACGGCGGAACGCTTTTGCGCATATGGTTGGCTAAGGTCATTACGTCCCTTTCTAGCTAATACTCCTTTGCTCCCACCTTGGGCACCGTCCAGCCTCACCTGACAAAGGAGCTGACATCGCTTGCATTCGTGCTAGATACTCAGACATGGGAGTTTGATAGATCAAAATAGGCACTCCTTCCATTCCCGACCCCATTTCACGGCACGAAGACGTCCATCTATATCGAACCCAGTCAGGCACCAGGCCGTAAACCCGAGATACACAGTCGATTTTTACTCCTCTAAAATCGTTCCCCGTCGCAATGGCGCAGCAGCAGGCCGACAATGTTATGCGAAGGTGCGTGGCAAGGATGTCTCAAATCAAGGGCTGTGGACGTATTTGGCCGTGGGAGTTGAGACCAGAACGACGTTTTCTCCAAACACGATATCTTTGATTAAGGTACTGACAGCTGCGAGTAGAAAGTTGGTTATAATAGGGGATGGTGCCTGTGGAAAGACCAGTCTTCTCAGCGTCTTCACATTGGGTTATTTCCCTACAGTAAGTTGTCCCCCGAGCAAGATGTCCGTTCCATCACATATACTAATTTACTCTTTAACCCTCTAGCACTATGTAAGTACAGCATGAACCAAGTACTCTTCCCCCAAGCACCGCACCAGCTTACCGAATGAAGGTGCCTACAGTGTTCGAGAACTACGTCACAGACTGCCGAGTAGACGGACGATCGGTACAGCTCGCCCTATGGGATACCGCTGGGCAGGAAGACTACGAACGTCTCCGTCCATTAGCATACTCAAAAGCCCATGTCCTCCTAATTGCGTTTTCAGTCGACACTCCAGATTCCCTAGAAAACGTCAAGCACAAGGTTCGTTTCTACCACCCCCACCCTATGTAAAGCTGTCTAACGGAAGTGAATAGTGGATCGAAGAGGCGAATGAACGCTGTCCAGATGTCCCTATCATACTGGTAGGACTGAAGAAAGATCTACGAGAAGATCCTCTCGCCATTGAAGAGATGAGGAAGAAATCACAGCGTTTTGTCTCCCCAAGAGAAGGCAGCGAAGCCGCGGCGGAGATTGGAGCCAGGAAATACCTCGAATGCTCTTCTCTTACCGGTGAAGGCGTGGACGACGTGTTCGAAGCTGCCACGCGAGCGGCACTCTTAACCTTTGGGAAGAACCGAGGCCCATGCTGTGTAATTCTATGAGATATTTGAACAACACACGCACGCTCACTCACTCACTTAAGAGGCCCCACGAACCTCTCCGTCTCGCATTCTACGTTTGGCTGTCATCTCCCTTACAGATTGACCCAAAGCCTAGCTACAACGACATACCCGCATTCACTACGGTCAGGCGAATCCGGCCGACATTATCTACTATACTTCCCAACCTCAAAAACGACTATCAAGATGACTTCTTTTCAAAATGGGTGGCTGGAATAAGGACGGAGGTGCAGGAACCTCTATCCTAATTCTATGACTTGTGTTATCATGGAATTACTTTGTCCTGTTGCATCACGTGGTGTTAATTCTGGGGTGTTTTATATATTTTCTTAGGCTTGGCTTTTCCTTTCTCCTTTCGCCTTCATCTCGAGCTCAGTTCGCTTTCTTCCGCGTTTTTAAGTATTTTATTCACTTAATAGTCCCTTTAAATACAACTGTCACGTTCACTCGGATTCAATCACTAGGCTTCCTAGGGATATAAGCGTTCTCGAGATAACTTCCGGCCTGCTGACCCAATTTCCCACCAACTCAAACCAGCTTTACCTCATGAGCCAATGGCCCAATGTTTCATCAACCGATATCCTTTTCTACCAATATGAGCCCCAGTCTTAACTTGAGCTCAGAGACTTTGCCAAAATTCCGTATTAAATAAACGGGGTGCGGAACCTGTCGTTAAAGTCGCAGAAGTAGGTACTGAGACAATTCTCGTACCCACCAGAATCCAACAACAAGACTGAGGCTGGTGGCCTGTATACGTCACGCTGGGCCCATGTAACTGTTTACATGCGGAAGCAACCACGCGATGGAAGCCCTAACATCGATTACGCGGCATCAAAGGTTCCTGCCAGGGGTCACTGAGCCTAGAGGAGGGATGTTCACCTGGGACAGTGTCGAACCCGGAGTTACTGCCTTCAGGGCAGCACAGCATACCCCCGATAGTTGGCCATAGTACCTGGAATATGACATGCTTAGACCTACTCTTGCACTATTTCTGTCTGATAAAGCTATACTATGCCTAGCAGTGCTACGACTGGAATCAACCCCCTGCACGCCACAAAATCACCGTGGCCAGAACGCTAGATTCTATCCATATCTAACCCCTCCGCAAGGGGTAACTCTTATATGTCATAACTTTGGGTATCCCTGAGTGCAGCCACTAGGCTAATACGTCTATATTGTCGTTTGGATGAACGTTGTCCATGGCCGGGAGCAGATACACTACTCTAGCCTAAATACGCTTAACTTGACTGTGATTCAAGCTATAAAATTCCTATACCAGCTCAAATTTCGGGCATCCTCTCTCCTTAGTTACTAATGCAATTAATGGGTAAACTCGGAGGACTAAGAAGCTTGGGAAAAGGCCGGATAGTGATCACCAAGTAAACGTAAGACAGCAATAGATTAAATAGACGAGAATAAATTCTACTTCGTTCGGTTTATGACAATGCGGAACATCCTATCTTATCAATATTTATCTAATGTACATGTATTCCATCTGCTTAAGCTCATCTACTACCTGCGGCAATAGGGTAACAGGCGAGCCCGGATGGTTAAAATAGTAAGAGAGAAAGCGTACTAAAGCCAAAGATATAACCAACACCACCCCAACTTCTTCAACAATATCATGGCTTCCAAGCATAATCCCATCCATCCTTGCTCGGGCTATCTGTCTGCAGTCGTCCATATTCGATTGGGATACCGTCCGAAAACACGCCTTTCTTGTTCATCGAGATACGGAATAATTTTCCGCCATCACCAACCCCGGTGCGGAGCTCCTCGCATGCATCCTTCATGCTGGCCCATTGGCGCTGAAGCTCTAGCTCATGTGCTTTCCGCTGTTTGGCACGGTATAATTGCCAGGCTCGATGAATTGTCCAGTGACGGAGGTATCGGTTACGTGAGAAATGGAGCGGACGGGGTGTGAGTGGATGGTTGAGGAAATAACGGATTAAGGCTAAAGGGGAATAATTAATTAGCAACTGAGGCAAATAATTGTATATAATGTGACATTCATGCACGACTTTCAGGCGTCGGTGCTTTCGAGCAGCGCATAGGGGGAAAAAAGGGTAGGAACTAGAAATACTCACTAACACGTCTGTCAACTTTCATAGGGCCCTTCTTCGCCTGTAATAGTGAGCTAGACGAGAACGGTCTAAGTGTATTGACGGAGGATAGGATTAAGCCCGATGCCAGTGTGTCTCTGCATGTTTGGCTAAGTAGACCTGGTTGTTGGAAGGGGGAAGGCCGAGCAGGAATTCTGAACACACTCGCGAGCGAGGTGAGAACGGGTGAAAAATGCTGTCTCATGGTTTGTGGGACAAGAGGACAAAATATGTATAGCACTTCAAACGGTGGACATCCCCCTGATTTCCCGCAATTAAGGCGACTGATGCTGGTCTGCCTCGAATCGCGATTTTCTGCTGGATTGAAGATGTTGAAGTTTCTTGAGTTGCTGAGATAAGCAGCTTAATATTAGACGCGGCCGTGGTCACGAGGGGTGGCAGAATTAAGCGCGCAGAAACTTTATGCCTTTTTTGGTAAACTGTTACAGCGCGTATTCAACCAGTTTAGTTGCATAGTATCAATCTAATTTGATAAATATATACATGGAAGGATGCAACATAATACATTTTGATCCATAAACTCCGGTAATATGCATAGTCCCGTTAATTATACATGGCCCCCCCGTTTGCTATGCTGATGGTAAGACGGGTTGTTGTGTCTTCCTGTCATAATTTAATATAACTCGTTGAGAGTGCAAGCGAGCGCGCTTATATCGGCAATAGAGCGTGAGGGCATCCTTGAGTAAAACGAAGACACAGCCGCCAATGACGCTTCTCCCCCATCGAGTTTGGAGTAACCATGGTCTACCTCTCTCGAATGGTAAAGGAGGATTTGTCCATGCCTTGGGAAGTGCTAATTTCAATATCCCACCCATCCCGGCGGAGATAGCTGGGAAAATCAGGGCACCGAGGATGATGTCTGCAAGATTGGTCGTTTCGCGGAGGACGTCAGCTTGGCGCCTTGCCAGGACTTGGTTACCTGGTTGTTCGTCATTTCGCCGTTCCTCCTCTTCGATGGCGTGTATTACTTGATGCTCGTTGCCGTTGAGTCCCACTTGTAACTCTATCTCCATGACTATCTCGCCTTCTGCCTGATCGTCGTCGGTGCCCTGGCCTTGTCCATCGCCTTCCTGGTTCCCATCGTCTGCATTCAATCGTGTCCGCACAGTTGAAATCCATTGCCGCTCTAGCTTGCCAAAAAATTTCTTGTAAAGTATGTTGTAGAAACTTTTAACGTATGGTAACGCGGCAAAGGTCATGGCTGCGCTTGGCGGCCATAACTGAATATCCATGTCCTGGTTATATGGATGGTGTGTTGCAAAGAATATGACAGGGATGGCAGGGAGCAAGCCGTCAGAGTATCGAGTTCTCGATAAAATCAGCGATACTGGAATCAACGGAAGGCCCAAATTCAACCGAGGGTTCCACGGCCCCTGTGTAGCACCTGCTAAGAGTTGCAGTGCCTTTTCCCTGCCGAAAATGAAATACATGGAGTATACTCCATGGGCGCAACATCCTGCCCAGACAGTCCCTGCAAGAGTAAAAGCTACTCCGGGTAGTACCAAACGGCCTAACATACCCTCAAATTTCCGTACAAGGTCAAGTATTAGATTACGTGGTCGTGACATGTGAATCTCTGACTTGCACTGTGGGCAGAGCATCGTTGCCCCTTCTTTATGAAGGTTATAGCCGTCAGTGTTCTCCATGTCCGCGAGCCAATCCAATAAGCATGCTTCATGCGCGCTGAGGGCGCACGGGCATGGTGACCGCCATTCCGTATTGAGAGGTGAATCTTCCGACTCGTCGGTATAACATATCCAGCATTTCCGGAGCTCATCTTCCTTCCGCGATATCTCAGCCTCAGTCGGGGAGGAAAATTCTGTGACCGGGCGCACATTGCTTTGTGAATCGGTCTCGGGTTCGCGATTGCAATCTATGAGCTCTACGTTGGAGACTTCGTCCAACTGTGTCCCCACCTCAGCGTCGGCCTCGAGTTCGGAGGATAATCGACGGTTGAGTAAAACTGTATCATCGGATTCTTCAGCGTGACTATCAACTGGCACTGCGTCGTGAGCACCCTCCCGGTCATTATCCCGCCGCGATTGTGGTTCCATATCAGAGAAGCTACTGCTAGATTCTTGTGGGTTGTCGGGCGCTGGGGGGGGAGACGGAGGTGACGCCATACGGTGGCAGATACGGCGCGAAATACAGCGGTCGTAAAAGCTAAAACTTGAGGTAGTCGGCTATTATCAAGGGGCCGTAGAAAAAGGAGCGTGTCAACCGTACGGGAGTGTCGATGTGCTCAGTTGCATGGTCTGCCAAAAGGACGACGCATGCTGACGTTAATCTTCTGTATCGCGCGCTTGCAAGAGCGACTTACCGAGGCGGCAAATATCATCATCACATGACCAATCATAGGCGCGTTGTGGAAACCTTCTATCAACAAGCAACTTTCCATCTCACTCTAAGACTTACCGTTTAGATACTATATAAGTTAACATACCACTAAAAGAGCGATGAGTTATTCGACTTGAAGATATGTATAAAAGATAGATAGTTGTCGGGTACTCCTCCTGGGGTTTCAACTCAGCCTACAAAACTAGAAAAACATGCTCTATATAGGCCTACCCGATTCATCTATTTCCATAACTATCTATTTTTATAGCTATGTGGGCTTTATTTGCCATCCCCGCAGCCAGGTCTGATTGACCTTCATCTCTTATAGGCTTCTTCCTCTAGGAGCTCCAGCGTCTTCTTCTCGTCCCCCCCAGAGGCGCACGGCCATCACCTGCATTAATATCAGCACCTTCCTTTAATAGTAGCTGTACTATCTCCTTATGGCCATTGAAAGAAGCAGTCAAGAGAGCACGGCCATTACCTGCATTAATATCTGCACCTTCCTTTAATAACAGCTGTACTATCTCCGTATGGCCATATTCAGAAGCAACCTCGAGAGCACGGCCATCACATGTATTCACATCAGCACCTTCCTTTAATAGCAGCTGTACTATCTCCTTGTGGCCATTTACAGAAGCAACCTCGAGAGCATCACCATCATTTGCATTAACATTGGCACCTTCCTTTAATAGCAGCTGTACTATATCCTTGTGGCCATTTCTAGAAGCAGCCTCGAGAGCATAGCCATTACCTGCATTAACATTGGCACCCTCCTTTAATAGCAGCTGTACAACCTCCTTGTGGCCATATTCAATAGCAACCCCGAGAGTATGGCCATCACGTGCATGAATATCTGCACCTTCCTTTAAAAGCAGCTGTACCATCTCCTTGTGGCCACGTAAAGAAGCAAGGCGGAGAGCACTGCCATAACGTGCATTCACATCAGCGCCTTCCGTTAGTAGCAGCTTTGCTATATATGGTAAGCCTTCCCCACACATGAACTCCAGTGGGGTTGCATCATCATGGTATCCATCGCCTATTGCCACGCTGCTCAAGTAACATGCGCGCCAGGTGCTGTAGGCTTGGTTTTGGCGAAAGAAGCTCATGATGCTTTCCCGGACCTCCCCGTCAGACTCGGCGCACCTGGCATTCTGCATCCAATACTGTGCGGAGTACCCAAAGCGCGATAATATTTTCTTGGATTCACTCTGGTCACCCAAAAACGACAAATACTCTAGGCAGATCAGTGATAACTTGGCATGCGACTGCAGCATACCCAACCGCCCTTCCCATTTGCCTTCCCCTTTCTTAGGATGGATGAGAAACTCCCTGGCTGTCAGGTGGATGAATGACAGGGTCGAGTCATAGACGCTGATGAAGAGGCCGCACAGATTTTTCACGGTGCTCTTAAACGCCTCCTCGGGCCACAGGTCCGACTTCAGGTTGCAATGAGAATTAAATGGATGCTTTTTCAGAGCTAGCGTTAAGGCTGTATTGGCTTCAGCAAGGGTCAGGGGCCGTTCTGCGGCCAGGATGATCTGCAAGAGAGCCTCTGTTTGAACTTGGTTTTTGCTTCGCCCTAGGATCTTCTCATATGCTTCCGATACCTCAGACGGCATATCTGAGAGGAGCGCTTCCACTTCGGACCGTTTGCCAAATTCAGCTGGGTTTTGCTCAATGATGTCAAGTGTGAGGTGCAGCCAGAGATATGTGCGGTTTTTCATGCTTTTTAGCCGTTCGGAAATCTTTCGCTGGTCACTCTCGCTAAAACCGAAATCAGCCGCAATTTGATCCACCTTGAAATCAATAACTAGATTGATCTCTTCGCTGATCTCGACAAACTTCTCATCACCGTCGAAGCGCACATACGCGGTGTCAGAAAACTTTCTAAAAGATGCCTCGATAACATCGTATGGGCGACTGGTGATCAGGAACTTCAGTTTGGAGGGCAGATTCTGAATATCGTTGGGTTGGCAATAGAAATCTTTCACCTTGTCGATCAATTGCTTTCTGCTATCCTTCTCGCATTCGTCCAGGGCATCAAGAACGCAAATAATTTCTCCAGCATCCGGTGATTCAGCGCAATCCTTGAGAATTCGCCACAGTTCGGAAAAGTTACTGCTTAGGGACTTGCCATGATTTTTATGGCTGGGAAGTGCATGCCTGATTAGGTCGCGGGCAGGATGACGCGTGAAAATCTGATGAAGAATTGCGCACAGGGCGTGAGAGGCGGACATACGGCGTTCATCTCCGTCCTTGAAAAAGAAGTAGCAGACAGTCGACGTCATGATATTGGTAGATAGTCGTCGCTCATCGACCAAGGTCCGCGACAAGACCGATTTTCCACAACCGGGGCCAGCAGATACCCAGAGGAGACTGGAAGTGTTGCTGTCCCGCCAATTGAGAAATCTGTCGTCCCTGAAGAACCACTCACATGTTCCCGGGACCCTTTCCGAGTTGAAATTTTTATCATCTTCATAGTTGGATGTAAGATCCTGAAGAAGCTCTCGCTCCTTCTCGTCTTCTCTGGTTTTCTCAGCTTGTTCGTTACTCTGTTTCTGCATCTTCAGAATTCCTTCAAGGATTGTTCGTGACATCTGGATCTCTTGTAGCTGACTGTCCCTGGACTGTTGAATCTCCCTTGCTTGGAGAGGGCTGATTAGACCACAGCAAAATTCACTCATTTCACCAATCTCTGTTGCTTTCCCATCCCAATCGTTCCAGCCGGTAATGTTCTTCCATGCACGGGAAGCTTGAGGTTTAGAGAGATGACATATAACGCGCCCCTGATATTCAATGACATACGAGTAGAGCTTGGCCAAGGGTTCTATGAGACGTCCGTATATATTTCCAACGGGGGGTTGAAGGTATGTGTCTTCATAGGTCTTCCACAAAATTTGGATATCACCGAGCAAATTAAACCCCTTCAACATGGCCTCATTGACCGTAGAGGCGCTTGTGATAAGCTATTAAAGTCAGCATCATTTTAGCAGCCGGAAATGTTTAGTTCCCTACTTACGGGGAGAAGGATTGAATCACCGGACCATGCTAATGCTGCATATGGTTGGCTGCTAAGAGCTTTTATGACTACCGGTTCAACAAAGAGGATGAACTTCGCCAACTTTTCAACTTGCTCTCGTATGATCACCTCCTTCCCCAGTGGCTGGATTCGCCATTGCTTCTTCTTCCGATTCTCCAACAGCTGCGTCACGATTGATTCGACCGACTTGGACGTTGTAAAATCCGCAACAGTTGCACCGTGGCCTTGTAGTGAGGCCAAGTACGTCGCGTAGTCTTCCATCAGGTCGGGCTCGCGGTTCTGCACCAGCTTATACGCCCGAGCCCACAATCCTTCCCCGTCGCTGGTAGGAAGAGGAGCCGCATCGGAAGCCGGTGGCTCGGCAGGGGCACCTAGTAGGGAAGGAGTAGTACCCAGAAGCGGCGGAGCAGACGATTCATCTTGCCTGGGAGGCTCTGCCGTAGTCACTTTGATAGAGGAAGATTTGGCACTGATAGGAGGAGGCCTAGTAAGCCCACTCGCCGATGGGCCTATGCTAGGAGATGTTGATCTTGCACTCTTGTCTCCTTTGCTCCGGAGTCCCAACTTAGAGAAGAGGCCCATGATCTTGCTCGTTTTTGGAAAGTGAAATAAGTTACTCCTCCATATATCGCAGACAAATTTCGACAGCTCTCTGCTTGACGGGGAAGTGGCTAGTTATGAAATGGGTCAACGAGGCGAGGAGGGCGAGGAGGGAGCAAGGACAAGGCTGTGCAGTAACCAGCCATACAATGTACTAAGTACCATGTACCATGCACCAGATGGCCTATGAGCGACAGAGCCGCATAGGTATCAAGGAAGATCAAAATTAGCAGAGCTGGTGGAAGAGAACTGTTCAACGCGCTGTTCAGAGAGCGTCACGACGCCCGGAGAACCTGCTAAGCTATAGAGGCCAGGAGATAGTTAACTATTTAGTCAAGGTACGGGCCGTTCCGCTGACCAGAGAGCGAGACGGCCATGAGCCTGTCTCGAGGCTGCGTATCTCCCGTCCATTCTATAGGGCGCATATCGCCTCTTTAGCGCACATATAACCCGCAGTATAGACGCCAGTAAATTCAGTAGGGGTAAGGAGAATCTGCGAGTGATGTTGCACTCCCTCGCGAATTGATGGGACAGTCAACAGGTTAAATATTTAACTAGCGTGTTCAGAATGCTGAGACTGTGGAGTAGTTAAATAGTCCACTCCAACTGAGAAATAAGCGAGACAGGTGTCCTTGAATGATGGAAACTATGCAAAAAGATATCAGAGGCTGCTGCTACCTTCTCTGTAGCCAACGGGGATAGGATTGTATTCGGCTCTTGCCACCGGATTTATCATTTTCTTGAATGTTGTTGGTTAAACGGGCGTCATTTTGGTGTGATTTTCGGTTGACCAGTCATCAGGAACTTATACGCATCGCCTGTATCTGCACGAGCCCAAGTGGACAGCAGCATTGGGGGACGTAAAGTGATCTTCAAAAATGAAACAGACTCCAAACGGTCAAATTATCTCCGTCAAGCCGTGTGAGAATCCCGGACATAGTTTTATGCAAGAGATAAGCCGACCTCTTGGATAAGATGCCAAAGTACGACGTCTCAGCTAAAGAGGCGTTAGAACACGAACGGTTCAAGATGTCGACGGACGGTGGCACGATGACAGACTAGTATACTAGACGATATTCAAATCATCATCAATATTTCAAGCAAACACACGGACTTCAATTGACTTCAATTATCTGCGCCCCCTACAGGCGTCGTGGATGCAAGTCTCCCCCCACACACAAAGCTCAACAACACATGAACGGAGCCGAATGAAATAAAATCGACTACACTGCCCACTTTTTAAAAGTAAAATTTTTTAATTCGCCCAGAGAATCCGAAAAAAAAGACGAAGCTGAAATGGCAACAATGAAGAAGAAGAAAATTAACACCATGGATATCGAAATCAAACGCAGGGAACATATGAAAGATGCAATATCGGAGGAGAAGCAGGCCCCTTGGGTCGGTCAGCGTGATCGGAGTTAAAGGTGGTAGGTAGGAATCTCAAATGGGGAGAAGGCGATTTGGGGACCTGGGCTATTTTCGGAAGATCAAGAATTCAGGAGGAAGAAGGATGGACGGGGGGGTGTGATTAATGTCCAGAACGCTTCTTCATTATGGCTCTTCGTTCTTTTTCCTTGGCTGTATTGAGAGAGAATGGTTAGTTGGGTTTTGCTATGGTGGTTTAAGTGCGAAGTAGGGAAGCTTACCTTCGTCATATACTAAGAATTCATGCAAGGCCTTTCCTGCAGGCACCATGGGCAAGACAGGAACCTTTTTATCGGTCATGATCTCCAACAGTGCTGGTCCCTCGCTATCTATCAACCATTGCAGGCCTGACTCAACCTGGTCGGGTTTCAAGCACCTTCGGGCCTGAACGCCCATGGCTTCTGAAACTTTTACAAAATCTGGGTTCTTCTGATGGGTGTGAGCGAATCTGTCCTCGTAGAACAAACTCTGCCATTGAGTGACCATTCCTTGTTCCTCGTTGTTTAGAACAATGACTTTGACGCCGATATTGAATTGGGAGGCAGTCGAGAGCTCGGTGAGAGTCATGTTGAAGGAGGCGTCGCCGTCAATGTCGATGACGAGGGCATCTGGGCGAGCTACCTTGGCACCTATAGCAGATGGGAGACCGTATCCCATTGTTCCTAGGCCGCCGGAGGTGATCATTGTGCGTGGATGGCGCCAGCGGAAGTGCTGGGCAGCCCACATTTGATGCTGGCCGACACCGGTGGTGATGACAGTCTGGTCTTTGCGGTGGGCGGTCAGCTCACTGAGTTTTTCGATGACCGCCTGTGGTTTTATCAGGCTGTCGGGGGTTTGGCGGTCATAGGCAGAGAGCGGGAAACGGGCTTTCCAGTCGTTTATCTGTGCGAACCATTCTGGTCGTTCAGGGACGGCATTGATGTGTGGGAGGAGGATGGCGAGGTTGTCGGCGCAGTCACCTTCGACGGCCTCGGTGGCTTCGACGACCTTGTTGATGTTCTTGGGCATCACTTCAAAGTGTACAATACCACCGCGGCCTTCGAGGGCAGCGGCCTTGGCCTGCGGGGCGAATTTGGCAATGTTTCCGGTAACACGGTCATCGAAGCGGGCTCCCAGGGCGATGATGAGATCTGCTTCTTGCATGGCCATGTTTGCGTAGGCGGAGCCGTGCATACCCAGCATGTGCAGGGATTTTGGGTCTAGCTCGTCAAAGCCGCCCAGACCTTGCAGGGTGGTGGTGACAGGGATGTTTGCCTTATCAGCCAGCTCCTTCAGGAGGGCAGGCCCTTCCGGACGAGCGCTGAGGCCCTGACCGACGTAGAGAACCGGCTTTTGGGCCATGTTTACCAACTTGGCCACGCGCTCTATGGTGGCATCCAGCTGTTGTCTGCTGAGTTCACGGGCCGCAATGGATGCCGCACTGGGGTGAGCGGGTATGCTGGATGCCATCGGGATGGCCTTGCGGAGAATACCACCAGTGACATCCTTGGGGAGATCGACCAAGACTGGACCGGGTCGGCCGCTGGTAGCGATCTCGAAGGCTTCCTTGATACGTCGGGGAAGCTCGGCGACGTTTTTTACCATCACATTCCACTTTGTGCATGCTCTTGAGATACCGATAACATCAGCTTCCTGGAAAGCGTCTGTGCCGATGGAGGTGGTCGGGACCTGCCCGCAGAAGACGACCATGGGTGTGCCGTCCGAGAGAGCGTCTTGCATGGGGGTGATGACGTTTGTGGCTCCGGGACCCGAGGTAACGAGGACGACACCTGGTTTCCCCGTTGCCCGGGCGTATCCCTCGGCCATATGACCGGCACCTTGTTCATGTCGGGGGAGGACGAAGTCGAAATGGCTCGAGTTGTAGATGGCGTCGAAAACGGGTAAGATGGCACCTCCAGGGTATCCAACTAAACATTACCGAATCAACATCTGCCCGACGAACAATCAAAAAATCGAACACTCGAAAAATCTCTGACTCACATATGTGTTTAACGTCAAGACGCAGCATCATCTCGTGAAAAATCTCGCCACCGCTCAACCCCACGAAACTAGATAATTTTCACCGTTAGGATAACGAAGAATATGCGGTGGAACAAGCCATCCGTGCTACGTACGAGTCATCCAGAGCCGGGACATTCCTCCTGTGCAGGGGAGACACCTCGTTTCTGTCAGCATCCTGGTTGAATGCCGGGCTGGGAATAGGCCTTGTCTGTCTGTTACGCCCGTTAGTCGTTTAACCTAGAGACTTCAGCAGCGGTCAACGGGGCCATACGGTGAGGAAGCGGTAGCTGTGCTCTGTCCGCGCTTTGAGGTATCCAGCGTAATCTTCTGCGAGACTCTCCTATACGGCGAGAGGGCAGCGGCGACGACGGTGGTCGAGAACTGCCTCCTACCGGGCTGTGACAAGCAATTGGCGGTTCTGAGGGCGCTCCTCGAGGGCCTGGCGGACAGCATCATCGTGAACGGTGAACGAGCAGTCAATTGCCAGGGGGCAGGGAGAAGGACGAGAAACTGAACTGTGAAGATGCAGAAGTCTCAGGCCTTGCGGGGAGGAAGCGGCCTTTAAAAACGGGGGGAAGGGGGAGGTTATGACTCTTTTTGCAGTTTTAGTCTTGCTTTCTTGCTTCTTCTTCTTCTTTTGCGGCTTTCGCACAGTCACAGCCCTTTTGGCTCTTTTGGGCCCGAGCTAACTTTTGGTCGATAGGGCGGGGCGACCTCGGCGGGCAGAAAGGGCCGGTCATCGGAGGGAGGGGGGCTTTTCATTGGTCAGTTGAAATAGGTCACGTGGACAGAAGGTTAGTCATCTCGATTAATCACGTGGCTAGTTATATGTGATAGTCACATGATGGGATGAGTAAGAGATGAGTAATATGATGAGTAAGCCAGTCATCTCTGCCACATAGAAGAGAGCAGAGAGAAGAGAAGGGAAGATAGAAGAGGATGTAGAGAGTAGAGGGAGTAGAGAAGAACATGGAGTTCGTGGATAGATATCTGATATCTGATAGACGATACTCCGTAGATAGGCTAGAGTTAGTGTCATCTTGTTCATCTGGCTGGCTGTGTCCTGGCAGTGTTAGTATCCTCTGGACGTATGCTCTGTAGACTGCCAACTGGAGTATCACATATAATATATGATGGGATCTTGCCCTTTGCAGCATCATGTCTTGCTGTGTTGTCGACACGGCTGGGGGATGATCACTCATTTATACAACCAGGCTGCCAGGCCGTTTTGAGGGTGCGCTTGCAGTCGGCCGAGTTTCTCGTTGCTTTTTGCTCCTCCCAGCATCCTTGTCGCATCTCGTCTTGACATGGGGGGAGACTATGCCCATGACGTAAGTATATACACAACGTCGAAACACCACATCCGAGCCAGCAGTACGGAGTATACGAATCGGCCATCAACAAAACGTCCAGAGAACCAATAGAATACCGTGGCCATCGCATAGATCAGGGTTTATGCTATCCCGCTGATCGGCCATACCTTAACTTACATCCCACTATCATATAAAGAACAACCCCGCCATGGATGCAGAACTCGTGCCGGAGACACAGTCGCTGAGAGACGTGTATGTAGCGGATGCAGACGCCCAGCAGCCTCTAGCACTCGAGCATCAGACCCGGTGGAACAACCTGATCAAGCAGTTCACGAGTCGCTATGGTGGACTGCCCGGTTTCGTCGCCCGGAGCCCCGGAAGGGTCAACATCATCGGCGAGCACATCGACTACTCGCTCTACGATGTGCTGCCTACAGCTCTGAGCGTGGATGTCCTCGTTGCGGTGAAGAGTACACCGTCAGACGGCCCTATCTCGACTGTCAAGGTGGACAACACCGACTCTAGATTTGCCGCGGGTGGATTCACCGTCTCCTCTGATCGGGAGGTGGAAATTGATGCTACCAAGTCCGATTGGGTCAATTACTTCAAAGCAGGTCTCAGGGTAGCTGTAAAGTATCTGCGGGAGAAGAAGTCGGGTTCAACTTTTGTTCCTGCAAACATTGAAGCCTTGGTCGATGGAAATGTCCCGCCGGGAGGTGGGATATCGAGCAGTGCCGCGTTTGTCTGTGCAAGTGCGTTGGCTGTTGTCAAGGCGAATGGACATAATATCTCCAAACAGGACCTCTTGAACATATCAATTGTCTCTGAGCGTGCGGTTGGCGTCTATTCGGGAGGGTCTGCTCATACCCTTTTCCCTCATACGTTTGTAACCTCCATACTAACGATACCATAGGATGGATCAAGCTGCTTCAATATTCTCTCGTCGAGGATATCTACTCTACGTCAGGTTCTTCCCGACTTTCAACGTACAACATGTGGCACTTCCCAAGGCAACCACTGAAATCACCTTCATGGTGGCCCAGAGCTTCGTCACATCCAACAAAGCCGAGACTGGTCCCAGGCACTATAACCTCCGTGTAGCAGAATGCACTCTAGCTGCCGTCATACTGGCGAAGAAACACAACATCACACTGCAAAAGGACAGCAGCTCATTAGGATATAGCCTTCGAAACCTGCACGAGGAGCTAATGCGTCAGGACGGCAGACATGAAGACCCATTCGAGTACCAGCTTGACTCCCTTATCCTCATTGTAGAGGAAACATTCACCCAGGAACAGGGATACACTCGCTCTGAGATCGCAGAACTCCTACAACTCACGGTCCCACAGGTAGAAGAACAGTTCCTCTCTTCATTCCCTGTGCAGGCGGAACGGTTCTTCCTTCGTCAACGTGCACTACACTGCTTCAAGGAGGCTCGTCGTGTTCTAGACTTCCGATCATGCCTTGCCCGTTCGCATGCTCTCGATCAGCATAATTTAGAGTACCTAGGACAGCTACTTAATGAATCACAGGCCTCTTGTCGTGATGTCTACGACTGTACGTGTCCGGAGGTTGATGAGATGTGTGAGATTGCGCGCAAGGCGGGGTCGTTGGGTAGCCGTGTGACGGGTGCTGGATGGGGTGGGTGTACGGTGCATATGATTCCTCAGGAGAAAGTAGAGGACGTCACGAGGGCGTTGAGAGAAAAGTATTATCTAAAACGATGGCCGGATATGGAGAAGGAGAAACTCGAACAGGCAATGGTTATCAGCAAGCCGTCCAATGGATCGTTTTTGTAGGTGGTTTCCTACCCCTTTTCCGTTGGCTGGTACTAACGATATACTTAGGATTACTGGTGCTGCAATAATGGACGGTGAATGATGCTGATGTTCAGGGTATATATTAAACGGTATTCCATATAATATTAAATTCAATCATTATAACGTTATATATTCGTCCATGCCTCTCTGTTCGTTGGTATCCTGTCCTTCACTTCCAACATAACGACCCACCTCTTTGCAGCAGGGCGTAGGTATAGAATTGTTACTGGCTTATATGGATATCCCACTTCCTGCCAGTGTACTTAGAGGCGGCCTCTATGATGGTCGTCCGTGGTGTTAAACACAATCCCCGGAATACCCATCTAGAGATAGGGAAGGAGTATGCACTCCAACACTAATACTCCAACACTAATGACCGACACAACCGTTCCTCATCGTCCCCAGAGGCGACATCATCGGTTATGTCCCCACAAGGCACACCCTTGGCTTGCCTTTGGTCTGTCCTTCATGGCATTATGGCATAGTTAACACGAAATCATAATATGTCGCGGTAGCTTGTATCATTTCATTTCTTAGCCGGCGCTTTCCCAAAGAAAGACGACAACTTTTGCATCCCCGATGTATTAACTTTCTTCAAATCCCGCACTCCTCGAGATACACTCGCCTTCTTCTTCTTCTCTTCGTCCTGGGCCTTTCTCTTCTTCTCTGCCTTCTCTTCAGCAGTTTCGTCATCATCATACCCTCGTTTCCTTCGAGACATGTCATGCATTGATCGCGACGCATGGGCTTCTGCTCGAAATTTGGCAATCTCTTGCAAGTAGTCATCCAGAGGCTTAAAGTCCATGGGGGACGATGAAGAGCTTAATATTTCAGTAACCTTGGTCGATAGGCTGGGTTGGAGGTATGATGATTGTATGAACGATAGCGCCGTTCGAATGCGCATGAGGCGAGATATTTCAGGGCTGTAACTGTGTTTTGGCTGAGACATATCTTCTTGGGTGTCTGCTAATTCGGTGATAGGGGTGGAAGCTGAGGTTTGTGTGGCAGAAAATGAGGATGCAGTAGCAGTTGTCTCAGAGGGCGTTTGGGAGTCGTTTGTGCTCTGCGAAGGCTGGGTGTCCTGTTCGTTGCCGTTCGTCTCATCCTTCGATACTGCGGGTGCCACTTTGCTCACATTGAGCATGGGAGGTTCTAGTGCCTGGTACACGAATCGCGCTTCAAGGCTAGGTGGTAGTCCATTCTTTACCATCCTTTCAACCTTTACAAATAACTCTCCCACGAGCTTGCTTTCACTATATCTGAACATCGTCCCGTCACCGTCGATCGTCTCGCACACGGAAGCCATCCTCCTTTCGATTATTGGCCTGAATTCTGCCGTATATAAGACTTTCCGAAGATGGGGCGAGATGTCTTCGTTGGCGTCTATTATATCATCGAGCGGTTGGAAGAGGGCACGTCCCGAGTTGCGGTTTGAAGGGACAATAATCGGCAGGATAAAAAATATAATGTCTATAGGGGTGGCAACATGCAGCTGGCCTGTCTTTGAAGTAAAGCCCTTCTGTTCCCCTGCTTCTTCGACCCGTTCCTGATCTCCTCCATCGGTTGAACTGACGAACAGTAAACTCCGCGATGTCGAGGACGGCGGTGAAATTGAAGTAAACTCAAACAGTCCCAGCTTAGGACAGAAGTAATACCTCGTCGGCTTGCCGGTTCGAGGATTCTGAAGCTGGATGAATCGCGCGTCGTCCGAGGCATGAGACGGTAGAATGAGCGTTTTGTACAGCTTCGGTGGTTCGACGACAGCTGCCTTGACAGTAGTCTCGCCATTGGCAGGCGTAGGCGCCTTTGTACCGGCAGCTCTCGTCCTCATATCGACGTTCGAGTCCTATATCAAGTTTTGTCTGCTCTCCCCGTCGCGATCGAGAAACATCGAAGTTCTTTCTACCTCAAAAATGTCCAAGACCCACACGAGCTTAATTACCTTAGTCGAGGCTTGGCAGTCGCGAAATTGACGCGACAAAAAAGGAAGATATAAATCTGTTTCTTTTTTTTTTTTTTAATACAACGTGTTCTCTACAGCTGGGGGGCGCGAGGGTGCTGTATTAGCCTGCGTATTCCATGTGCTACGAGATAACCCGCGATGCGTTTAACGCGCCGCAGAATACGACGTTTGTTTAAAATTGTTTTGTAGCAGAATCCTCCACACGTGATTGTCACCCTGGAAACTTTCCCCCCAGGAACAGAATCTCGGCCTCGTCTGGGTTTTAAGTGGTTGGATATTTGGGCATCAAAGGCTCTGCCATGGAACCCTCAGCTACCTGTTTGTCGTTGCCATGGGCCAGGTTTCCCTGCTAAATAACCCGTGGAAGTCGCACTACGAGAGTCCCTTCCCATACGTTCGATAATACCTCTTGCACCACGACAGACTTGTGCGATACTTGGAACTTGCGCGGCAACATAGCTATATACGTGGAGCGTCCAGAATCAAGAGTGAGTGTTCCCATACCGACCTTATATATGGCCAAATTACTGAGACAAATAACAGTGGGGGATATCCCATGGCCTCCAAGGTCCCCCCACGCTGCCCTGATGTCCTCCCCAAACGGTCGCAAGAAATTCGAAGATATTCAAAATAAAAGGCGGAATGCTCGAGCGGCTGCTACCGACTACGGCGTGTCGTCTGTAAAGGCGAGACGGATACTGGATGAAAATTTGGATGAAGACGAGGACGATGATGACGATGACGAAGAAACGTTACAGCTGAAACTTGCCGCTATAGAAGCTCGGTTAAAACTGAAGAAGCTACAACAGAGCAAGTCACGATCAAAACAGACAGACTCGGAATCCGAGAGATATGACGCACATTCGGGAAGCGCGAGCCCAAGGGCTGGGAACCAGGTGCAGCGTGCAAATCGCATTTTAGGAGAACGGAAGAGGAAAGCCGCAGATATGGTATTTCAGGAGAACGTACAAGTTCCTCTTTCTCCAATCAAGAAGCCACCTCCGCCAGCAAACCCCATATCTCCGCAGCGAGTCATTCTAGGCATCGACAAGGGACTTAAGGCACCTGATGTCTCGCTAAGACGTCCGAGAAACCTAGGCCAAAATGGTCACGACAACAAACAGCCTACCAGCCACCGGACTGGAAACCTCTTTAATAGAGGTACTGCCCGCGAGACACAGCTATTACCACCAGAGCGCACAAATCACCTTGAGAAACCCAAGAGTTTCAGTGACCGGATTCTTGAGAGTAGATCGACTGATAAAGAGCGGAGAGATAAGGCCTGGGCCTTACAGCGGAAAAGAACTACTGGTTTTGGCGTTGACAAGAATGAGCTGGAACGGTTTCATACGGCTGCGAAGGAGTCAACAATAAACCTGGGAAACGTACCGTCGACGCAACGCGAGCGATTAGCCTCCCCTTTACGTGCCACAAGGCCGGCCTCGCAAGAGAATATACCGCCAGCCCCGACATCGCCTTCTAAGAGAGATCGCGGCCAGTCATTAGGGGCAATGCGAGGTAGTGCCGAGACTAGAACATCTCGACCGAGCGAATCCCGGGCCAGTGAATCCTCCTCTATAGGGACGGATGTCAAACCTGCAGACCCAAGCAAATTCGAGCCATTCTCTTCTCTACACCTGTCTACTCGCATTCTACCACATTCATTCCTCAAACGTACTCTTGATTCCAAGACTCCCATGCGTATACCCGACCTTCTCCGAACAGTCAAAGGACCTGACTTTGACTCCCCTGAAACAGACGGCGATTATGTTGTCTTTGGCATCGTGGGCTCCAAGTCGGCTCCAAAGGAACATAAAGAGAAGAAAAACGGCGCAGACAATAATGACGATGAGCCTGAAGACGGGCTTAATTCAAACAAGTACATGATTCTAACATTAACGGACCTAAAATGGACCATTGACCTATTTTTGTTTTCAACTGCTTTTCCCCGTTACTATAGGCTGGCTCCAGGTACATTGATTGCTGTCCTAAACCCTGCGATAATGCCGCCTCCGCGCCACAAGCTGGATACTAATGCCTTTAGCCTGACGCTACACTCCTCTGAGGACACGATCCTTGAAATTGGAACTGCGCAGGATATTGGTTTTTGCAAGGCTGTTAAAAGGGATGGTAAAATCTGCGAGTCCTGGATTGATTCTCGCAAGACAGAATACTGCGATTTTCATGTAGAGGCGCAGCTCCGCAAAACCACTTCAGGGAGAATGGAAGTTAATAGCGGACCTGGTATTTCTACTAGGTCGGGGGCACGCCCGGGCGGGTTCCGTGGCGGGAGGAGAGACCAGAACGGTTCCCAGGCAAGTGGCCTACGCAGTAAGACAGAAACGGGAGGAAACTATGACTGGGCAACGGGTACTAGGTACTATATTGCCCCTGCTTCGAACCCGCCCGGCGGCGGGAATAGACAAGGCTATTTCCCAGGCAGAAACAACACTACCTCTAGTCTATTAGACGCAGACGACCCATTCATAGATGCCAGTTCGTTCAACAGAGGAGGCAACACGAAAGCCGAGCGACTCCGGAAACGCCTTGCAGACCAAGAACGAGAACGCACAATCGCTAGATCGTTAGGCGAATTTAAAGGCGTTGGGGCAGAGTATCTTCGAGCTCATCACAAGGAAGCCTCAGAACCTGACGGGAGAGGATCCTCGTCTACTACGACAAATTCCGGTCCTACAAGCAGCCAGGGCGGTTCGAATGCTAGCAATTCAGGAAATGATATTTTCCTCGGCCTTGATAACTTATCGAAAAGCGCAAAGGGTATCAAGCTTGGTCGTGTGAAGGGCAGCAATGGTTCGACGACAGTGAAGAAGACGAGGTTTATTACCGCGAATGGGATTAGAGAGGCTGGTAGAGATAGCCTTGGAAAGGCTACACACGATGGATCGGATTATAATGATGACTTGGACATTGTATAGTTTATAGATCCATGGATGGAGTTTTAACGTCACGTTTTCTTTCTTTTTCGTCCTTATTTGGTATTCTTTTCTTTTGACTGGGCCAGACTCGATGGGACATCTTGCATGGATGGTCTTGATCGTTCAGATTTGATCCAAGGTAGTTAGATGGGCATAAACCTTCTCTTAAGCAATGGCCATATACTCTATCCCCATATGTAGAGATGCCGAGCTCTATATGGTAGATTGACCAAACTCCTCTCCTAGTAAATGTTAATTCATTATCTGGCTAGTTTAGCTCCCTGCGCGTGTCGTGGTAAATGGTAATGGTATTAATCTTGCATTGTCCTATCTAAACGCAAACGTGCACCCCCAATAACCTCCATCAGTACGCCCGTACAAATAAAAAGCAACAATTTAACTGCCTGTTGAAAACTACAAAAAGAAGAAACCACATCCTAATATCCTTTTCTGCCACCGTTGCGTCCATTGGTAGTGGTATCTTGAGAACAAACTTATGAGAAACAAGTGAAAGTGAAAGTGGAACAAGTGACAGAAGCTGATATCAAGCTCTGAAGCTCGCCAGTGAGAAGAAAGTGAAAGAAGTGCAGAGTAAAAATGAAAGATTACAAAGGGCCATAGAATGGGAAATGGAAGGGCCAGGATGATTATGAGAGACGCCGCCCAAGGTCATGAACATGCAGTCGTTCGAGAGAAAAAGGAAATAATACGGAAAGAAGGCAAGATGAGAGGAGAAAGAAAAGGGGATGGGAAAGAAAGTAGGTCTCTTAGGAACGCCTGTAAGTAAGCTCGGCTCAACGAGTGTATCAAAAGAGATCCGTTGATGGTGTAGGCGGTGCTTAATGGCTGCGAGACTTCTTTGCGCTAGGTCCAGACTGGCCTTCGATGGTTCTCTTCTTTGCCTTTGTAGGAGTAGAAGAATGGGATTTGCCTCTCCACCATCGGTCAAATGGGCTGAAGCGCCTTGGGACGGGCGCCTCGGAATCAGCGTGTTCTGCACCAGCCTCCGACTCTGCTTTGATGGTTTGAGAACGGAGAGAACGTCCAGTAGCAAGTGGCGATGAAGGTGTCTCGGGATTGATAATTTGCTCTTGAGGCGTAATTGGATTGTTGGTAGCATCTGCTTCCGTGACCGCGGCGACCGGGCGATCGGTAGCTTCAACCTGTTCTTCTTCAGCCTCAATGATGGTGGATGGCGTAGTGGGCTCGGGCTCGGGTTCGTCTTCATCAGGGGTTGGAGTAGTGGTAGCTACAGGGAATAGAACACGGGGCTTTATGGATGAACGGGTCAACGGGCGAATGCGGGGCATGGCTTCGTTGGTGAGTTCACTGCGAGATGCCAAAAGACCCAGATCGTCATCGTCACCCTCGTCTTCCTCTGCCTCTGGCTTGAACTTGCGGAATGTCTTCTTTCCTCGGCTATATAGAAGGTCAATTAGTGTCAATTCCATGGGTATGGGGAGGTTTGATTTGTACTTACAAAACGTAGAGTAGTCCATCGTCTCGGCGAATGGCCTTGTCGACATTCTTGTCTCGTTTCTGGCTACCATCATCGAGCCTTCTGCGTTTCGTGCCATCCGCCGAGGGTTTCGATGTCGATGGCGCAGCGTTGTCGGCAGGCTGGCTTCGGAAAGGGTTGTCCATGCTATCATTCACCTCAGGAATGCGATCTCGAGAGTCCGTGAAAATAGATATAGCCTGCTGCTCTGCCTGCTGAGGGTCCGCCTCAAAGCTTTCCAGAGAGAAGCCGGTATATTTCTTGCTTCTTGAACGTCTTGGGGCCATGGCTTCCGGGTCCTCGGATTTGGAATTGCTGGAAAACAAGGTACGGGCAGCAGGTCCAAGATCCTCAATCTTCTTCTTCCGGGGGGTCTTGGCCGGCGTAGGAAGCATGCCGTTCACAGCTGGATCGTTGTGATCGGCGTCCATTGTATTATATGGATGGTGAAGTGAGGTAGAGCCGGTGTCATGTCTGACTCTGTTCTTTGGCTGAGGTGAAAGGGAGGAACGGGTGTTCATATCTTGTCTTTCACTCCTTCGCTTAGGGGAATTGTGTTGTGACTGCGGTGGGGAAATTGCAGCTCTATCACTCATGCCAAGCTGATGTAGCTTCTTGTCGCGTCTTAGGCTGTGTTGTTCTCTGAGGAGATCTGATGTTCTCGCGTCCAGGACGGCCGCAGGGGAGTCACTGAACAGGTGATGCTGGCCAGCAATGCGCTTGGAGCGACGAGGAGAGTATGGCTCGTAGTTATCGTATCGAGGACCATGGCGAGGAGTAGGAGGAGTCCGAATGGCGGAGGAGGGGGGCGGGGTGGTCGTCATGGTAGCCAAAACAGCGTGGTGGTCGGCGGTCTGTATCCTCGGCTACGGCGACGTCTTCATGCGGTGGAAACGGGTCCTTCGAGTCTGTAGAGGCAGTGATGGCGCGCTCAATGTTGGTCTTCTACCAGGCTCCAGGGTTGACGTTGCAGACGGGGATCTCTGGCAATGCTACAAGGGGAGGATGTAGATGGTGATGTCTGTGGGTGGTTGGTGAAGTCGAAGTTCCCAAGTTTAACCAGCCACACAAGTCGCGCACAGTCCATGCACTAACAACAAACCCAACACGGCTAGCGCGTTTCTTTACACAGAACTGTTAACAATATATCTACATCTATGTCTACATCTATGTCTACATCTATGTCTACATCTGTCGACAAGTAGGGTGTGACAATGGCGACGCCCATACCAGAGATGGATAACCTACAGCTACAGGATAATGAAGAGGAAAGGTGGACTCGGACGGAACAGGGCTCGTCCCAGCATAACGACACGGATGAGGACGACAGGGAGGCGGCTCTGCGGTCAGAACTAAAGTCGGTACGGGATATCAACGCCGTGATTGAAGGAGTCGTCGAGAGCCTGGAACGGGCAAAGGGTAACATGGAGGTACGCACCAAGTTGACCGTCTACTCCGTACACAGAACTGTTCGATCGTTAACTTGTTCCACAGAGCGTTGCTCGGACCGTATCGTCCGCCTCCACCCTGCTCGATACGTGGACTCGAATACTATCTCAGACAGAACATAACCGAAGACTTGTCCTGGATCCCTCCTGGCAGGGCGCTACACAGGATATGGCGGATATAGAAAACGAGGCTCGTCAACGGCAACTAGAAGCGGAGCGAAGAGAGCTCGAGCTACAGCAACGCAAGCAGGCACTGGAGAGGAAGGCTGAGGAAGAGCAACGAAAGCGAGCTGCGCAGTCGACTTCATCCGCCAGAGGGAGACGAGGGATTCTACGGCCGTCGACACGGGCTGGAGTGAGTCGCTCTCAGAGTGTCTCTAGGACACAGACGGGACAGCCGGCTTCGAGAGCGCCGTCGACAACCTCACGGGGTATACCTACGGCGAGGAGAACTGGCACTGAGACTGGGAGAAGCTCTGGCATAGCAAGAGGCCGGGGTAGGGTACGGGGACCCTGATGGGCAATGTAGATAAGCCGAGATGATACCCAAACCTATAGACGATGAACGTAGAAACGAGACACGGCCGTTAAACAGCAGTTAGACATGCAATACTCTGTACACATCCTATATCTCTCTCCATGGCTTGTAGCACAAAACGCCTTCCTTGCATCTATGACATCGCGCCAAGCCCGCCGCGTCTCCGCGAGCTTCTGCATATCATTTGACCGGCAAAGGCAGCAGATCGGTAAATATATCCAACTTCCACGGCTCTCTCCCATGAACAATACCAGGCCCTCCTCCCCTGTCGCCGTCACTTTACATCTACACCGGGAGGTATGAATTTCGCGCCATACCAAGACCAGTCTCCGGACATCGAGCGTGCGCTCTCCCCACCGCTCGCGAATACCGGCCGTATACACACCTCGTCCCCCCGTCAAACACCTTCACCGCTGGGCCAGAACCATCCCAGACACTCATCAAGCCAGGATCGAAATACCACAAGCAATGCGCAGGGGTTAGGGTCCGGGTTGGGCGGATATGGAAGAGACGTTGAAGGCGGGCGCCTGAGTTTGGGCGCGTTCGAGACAAGTCTTCCACTACGTATGGACTATGAGGCTATGCTGGCGTATCTATTGCTACCACCTGCTGGAGGAGTGTTTCTGTTATTGACGGAACATAAGAGCGATTATGTGCGGTGCGTGTGTCCCGTTGCTTCTCGTGGTGGCAGACGTACTAACTCGCTCTATAGATTCCACGCCTGGCAGTCAAGTTTATTATTTACTTTCATGTTTGTACGGACATCCTGGACCTTCAATCGTTTTGCAGAGCTTGATTTCTAACTTACCGCAGGTTATACATATGTTATTTGCATGGTCGAGCATCATATCTTGGCTACTGTTCATATGCAATCTTGGGCTGATTGGGTTCTTGAGTATGCATGCTTATCGCGATGGTGAGAGATATCCAAGCTGTCTATAGTCGCCTTTTACTAACTGTTAAACAGTCGAGACTCTGGAACACTATCAAGTCCCGTTCTTCGGGCCGTTGGCAAACTCCTTTGTCGATGATGAGTGAGGCCCGTACCCCTATTTATTTATGGTGAGACCCAGCCATGTCATTGGGGAATCTCTTTATTTTTCTTACCTCGTTTAAATGCATGCTGTATATTTGTCCATTTATATTCTTCTCTGATTATTTTTTAATTACTCCGTACTCTTTCTTTCTATCGTTTGGGGCGATGCATCGTTGTTTGGAACCATACTTCGTTTTTCTTTACTATCTATCTACTACACATATATACTTGTATTCCATTTTATGTTTATCTCCTCATGTATATAGTTGTCAAGGACACACAGGATACTACACTATTCAACTTACGAAACTACAGGAGCATTACTGAGAGCGGCCTCGAGTATAGCATTTAAAAGTATAGGATCATATTATTTACGGAGAGTCATAAAACAAATTAGAGACATCACAACAAAAAGAACAATTTAACTCGCTCACGCTGCAGCAGATAGACAAAAAAGGAAAGGGAGGTGGTTGGGTCCTGTTGACTAGGATGACTTGCATAGCAACAAATGAAAGGGTCATAAGGTGAATTGGGGACATTCGTAGCTGTAGCAAGTACATAGGGGTCATCAAGTTGATAAGATATTTGGGGTGTGTGTAAAGGCGCATATCTGCAGAAAACTAACAAAGGGAAAAAGGAAACTCATCATAGAGATAAAAAAATATCCGGAGCTGCATCATTGCAAATCACGGTCATAGAGGTGCAAAAAAGGGCCAGAAATTGACGAAGACATTGAAGAGTATGAGAACGGAAATTATGGTCCTCATGTTGACTAGAAAATAAGCGCACGAAATTGTACAATCGAGCCCGTGAAATGGGTGGGTATAGTTTATTCAAAGACCCCAGTGACTAGGAGCGTGGAAACGAATGATCTGAAAGGTCAAGTCTAGAGCTGTCGCTGTAGGATTAGCAAGGTTGAAGGTAGTTGCTGGGCACTAGGCCTGGGCGAGTCGCCTGGCTGGTGACTTCTGCTTCCCACCATCCATCGTCTTGATGTCTGAGAACGGCAAGAATATCTCCCTTCGCAAACCCAAGTTCTTCGGGGATGGCTGCGGAGTAAGAGTACATTGCGCGGGCTACAAATAGAAAAAGTTAGATTTTATGAAAAGAATACCATGTAGAGGGTGAACAGTGAGGACTTACCGAAATGCATCACTGGCCTGCCATCACGGCTAAGTTGTGGGGCTTCTGCCATTACCACGCTTCTGCTACTCGATTGTTGATCTTGACTGCCATAGCCTTGATCGGGTGGAGCACCGTAATACATGGAATGAGGACGTTGCTGCTGCTGATGGTGATGGTGATGTCCATATGCATTACCGCCTTGATATCCGCCTTGATACGCAGTATAGCCATCATTTTGCCCTCCAACATGTGGGTTCATCTCGTTGGATGAGAGCTGGAGTTCCATTCCACTGGCGCTTGCTGGCCGCTCCTGTCGTCTAAACTGCGGCTGAGGAGAGGCGGATCGTCTGATATCGTGCCTCACTTCATTTGGTGGTGGCTCGTTGTGGACTTCGTTGCGTACCTCGTTACGCATATCTTGTCTCACGTCGTTGCGTGGTGGTTCATTCCGTACTTCGTGCCTAACGTCATTCCGTGGTGGTTCATTTCGTACCTCATGCCTAACGTCGTTCCGTGGTGGTTCATTTCGAGCCTCCTGTCTCACCTCATTCCGCGGGGGTTCATTTCGTACATCATTTCGGACAGTGCTTCGAACTTCTGTTCGAGACTCATTGCGTACCTCATGCCGTATATCGTTTGGAGAAGCTTGACGGGAATATTGTGGAGAACGGGACGGCTCACGGACGATCTTGGTTGGTGTGACGGATACCGAGTGCCTATATCTACTGTTCATGCTCTCGGACTTATATGCCGGGGTGCTTGGCTGTGGAGCATTGTTGAACTGAGGCGCTGGGCGGGTATTGGTGTTTTGTGGTGGTTGGGGGCTTGGGCTTCTCTTAGGGGCAGGGGACGTGGCTCGTGGAACGGCATGATCAACGGTATTGGCCCTTTCTCTTGTGCGGACTGGCTTGTTGAAAAGGCTTTGGGTTTGGCCTACATACTTGCGGGTTGTTTTATGCATCTGTGCAGCAGTAAATGCTGGTGATGGGGCATCCAAGCGTTTAACTGGCATATCTTTGTATGATGGTGGAGGTGTCTCGCGCTGGGAGGAAGTAGATGGTCGGGCTGACGTTGGTGCAGAAGCACTGACAGGAGCTGGGGCAGGAGCAGTTGCAGGCGCAGCTGGAGGAGCTGGGCTTGTGATGCCGGCGTATCTATCAACAGATACGCGTATAGATGCCTGCTTTCCAACGCCCTTCAAGTCAGCAAGGGCCTGGGCAATTGGGTCAAGCTCATCATTAGCAGATTTGGCTGCCTTGTTTCCCCTATTGGCGTCAGGGGATGCCACGTCAAACACGTTATTCCCAACATTAAGCTGGAAATTCGCTCGAGGATCTACCGGCTCGGGGCTAGCTGCATGTCGACTAGGTCCTAGATCAGATTGAGTTGCCATGATAACTCTTGTCTGCTTAGGGGGCGCTGCCCAAGTTCTGCGATTTTGCACTGGGGCTGGAGCTTGGGCTGGGGCTGCTGGCTCTGCTCGCTCTGCTCGGCGTTCCTTTTCATGTTTGCTCTTCCTACGGAATGGGCTGTTGCTAAAGAAAGCGCTCCTCTTTTTCTGGACCTCTTTTGTAGGTGTCATGGCAGCAGGAGCTGGTGCAGGTGCAGGTGCAGGTGCAGGTACCGGAGCTGGGGCTTGGACTTGGACTGGGGCTGGAGCTGGCACCAGGGCGGGAGCTGGCGCAGGGGCAGGCTGGGAAACAGGAGGTGCATATTTAATTGGAGATTGATATCCGCTTGGTGGCTCCATGCTAGAGAAAGAGGTAGGATTAGAGTAATCACTCTGCGAATCCCTGCTTGATGGCCTAACAGAACTTCTTTCCGACGGTGGTCCTGGACGGCAGAACATGGTCATACCATCGGCTGGATATTCGTTGTGTGGAATATTAGTAGGAATATCACCATGTTGGCTTGGTTGGTAGTTGGGAGGAACATGTTGCTTTCTGCGCGGTTCAGGGGCAGGGGCCGGGGCAGGGGCAGGCGCGGGTGCCGGTGCCGGTGCAAGGGCAGCCGGAGCTGGAGGAGGAGCAGAGGGCTTCTTTTGGGGCGTAGCTGTGTTCTCACGGCTCGACTGGACCGATGGAGCAGTTGGGATCATATGCTGTGCAAGGTCTGAATGAGGGTCATGGTGGGATTCATATGTCGAAGGCTGGGGTGACGAGCTTCTGTATGCCGGGTTGATGGTGCGCTGGAACTGTGCAACTGAATAGTTTTCCTCCTCCGATGTCTCGGAAGCGTTGTCGTTCAGGTCACCGCGACAGAAGTTGATGTATTTGGGAGCATCCGGTATCTCCTGTCCTGTCGATCTTTCTTTAATGAAGGAAGCGATATCCTTCTCAACCTCACAGCTCTCAAGGGAGACACGGATTTTCTCGCAAGACTAAGAGGCATCAGCGAATGACTTTTCGAGTACCAGCTCATATATTACTTACAGCATCATCACTAACGCATCCGGTTGACGCAATGTTGGCATAATTCCACAGACTACTCTTTGAAAAGTCGAGTCTTTCCTCTTCTAGATCTTGGAATTTCTAGTTCATCATTAGTTTTTTGTCATGTGCTTAAAAAAAGATAATTGTAACTTACGTCGCAAGCAGCCTTCCACTCCTTATTCCAGCGGCCAGTGGTATCTTCTAGTATCTTAATTGCAGCTTCGTATTCACTACTGTTTGCGGCCAGCTGTATTTGGGTTTTTTCAAGCTTGGCCTTGTTCTTGCGCTCCTCTTGTCCCATAACCATGTGGCCCTGGGCAAGGTAGCCTTTAATTCGAAGACAGTCCTGCTCATATCTATCCCGTGACTGGAGTCCATGTGAGATTGTGTGTGTTTTGATGGGTATGCAGGGTATGTACCTTGTTGACAGCCTGGGTCTGCTGTATCTTAATTTTCAGAAGCTTCTCGATGCCATGCTGCACAATCTTCCTCCTCTCCTTCATTCCTCCGGCAAAGGCGGCCAGTGGTTCTTCCAACTCGCTCTTCATCTGTGCAGCAATGGCTGAATGAGTCTTTCCTATTATTTCCGTCTCTCCTCTGACGGTATCCAACGACGAACGGAGTGTCCCGGTTTCGTGGGCTCCAAGGGGTTTGCGACAAAGTGCCATGAGTTTCCTGGCGTACTCATCCTCGATCGCAGCTCGTGCTGTCAACTATATCAGCAATGGTCCCCGTTACGGCGTAGACAGAGTACTCACTGCTATAAAAGGCCTTTAGTTCGTCGCATGTTGACTTTGCATTGTGCATGCGCTCGAGCATAGGCAGGACGCCAGCGTCATCTTTGCCCCAGAAGTTATTCGCAACTAGACGAGAATTAGCTGGGAAAGACGGGTGGAAGCCGTGGAAAGTCTGGCGTACATGATAAAGAAATAGAAGGAGCGTCTGCTATTGCTGCCGGCATCGTCCCAGCGTATATCAATCTACCGGTGGTCTAGTTCTGGCGACAATGTTGACAATGTTGACAATGCTGACGTGATGAAGTGAAGATGAGAAGATGAGATGAAGAAATGAGAATGATAGGAAATCGTAAGTCGTAACTGGAAGAAGAGACAAGGTGGTACCGAGTGTGATATCAAAGTCCAACGGCGACGGCGCTTCGAGATGAGGTCCCCTGGTTGTTTACCTTTTCTGGTTGCGCAGGGCAACATGTCACGTGTATGCTTACTCATCCATATGCGCAAGTGGCATGTCCCGCCCGCCCTAAAACTAACCTCTTCCCTTTCTCTCGTTCCTTCGTCTTTGCTCTCTCTCTTGAACCTCCTCCTCCAACGACAGACCACGACGCCAGCCCAACGACCAGGGATACCGCGCCTCTTCCTCTTCCCTCTCCCGCCCTCCCGCGACCTCACCACCAGGACTGCCGTTTCTCGCTCGACACTCTCCTCCAGACGGACGCTGCACATCGACCAGACCTGGCCTTTGTTCCTCGTGTTCTCGCTTGCACCTTGCAGCAACCCAGCAAACTGCTAGAACTACCACCGTATTTTTTTTTTCAAACGCCCAATCACGATCAGATCAAATGATCGCGTCTCCTAGATGACCTTCCCTTCCCCTTCTCACTCCGCCCAATCCTCGATTGCTTCTGGCACCGATAAGCCGTCTACATCTCGATCTTCAAGACTTCAGCCGTCAGCTTGGGCCGTTCCCTCGTCCCAATCGACCGCTCGTCGTCCCTTGACCCTTGCGACATCCAACCTACCTTTGTCAGCTGGCACCTCCTCGCCGTCTTCTCGTCGACCGGCTGCTGCTGCTGCAGCTGCGGCACCATCCCACAACAGTCCAGCGCCTCTCTCAGGGCCTGCCACGTCTCCATTGGCCTCGACCTTCTCCGCAATCCTGAGCTCGACCTCTCGCCTCCCCGCTGCGCGTGGTAACCCTTCGCCAGCTCCGACTCCTTCCTCCTTCACTTCTTCCTTCCAATCTGGCGCACAGCAGCCATCACAACAACCGATCACATCTCCAAAATCAACTACTACCGTGCCTCCTTCGACAGCCTCGCACCTGGCGACCCCAACGGCTTCAGCACCAGGAGGAGGCGGTAGTGGTGGGGGTGGAGGCGGCGGAGGTGGTGGTACTGCCGTGTCAAGGGGCGCCACGTTCTCTCCTCTGTTGACCGGCACAGCTGTCGGCTCGCCAACTGGGTTTCCATCCGATAAACCCTCGTCCGCGAACGTATCGTCGGGCGGCGGCGCCGGCTCGAGCCAATCGTCTCTTTCCAAAATTTCAGTTGTCCAGGTCTTCCTCTTGCTTGACTCTATCAACGAGAAGGAAGGAAAGGAGAAGTGGGAAACCAAAGCCGCACAAATCCATAGGGTGAGTCTACGTCTCATGCTTACATTTCTGGCCAATGACTGACTCCGCCTTCTTAGCTTGTAAACTCCAACGGTATGGAAGTGTTTTCAAAGTACTTCCGTCGTCTGCTATCCGGCAATGCAGGCCAGATCTTTTCCGGAGCCAACAAAAATGTTGACAACGCCGGAAATTATCCCTTGCTGGTCCAGGAGATGCAAAAAGTAGCTCTTGACCCTGACCAGAGCCGAAAGATAGCAGAGACCATCGATACCTCTGAAGGCGATATATTTAGAGACTTCGATCTGTCAACATTCCTCGATCACTTTAAACTCGACCCCATTCTTAAAACCGCTCTAACCCTCGCCTTCAAAAACGTCACCAAATCAGATCTTCGTACCAAAGGTAAGCTCTACCCGATAGTAAATATATCTTATTAATTCTGACCCCTGCTGCAGCCGACGCCATATTGTCAGCATCACTCCCTCAGTTCCTCCAAAGCCTCTCCACCGTTTCCGAAACCAATAAAGACTCTACGCCATCCTTTATTGGTCTTACTATCGAACGACTTATTTTTAACCCGCCACGTAATTTTAACGAGGACATGAAGAGGAAGCTTGTGTATGATGTTCGCATACGCTATCAGAACTCCGATACTGAGATCCCAATCGAAGTAGAGTCCGCTCTGCAGATGTTCTCTCTTGCCGATCCACGACTGTCGCTTGTTCGCCAGATTCAGGCTCGTGGTCCGCAATCACTTGGAGATCCTGATTCCATGCTTGATACCATCAAGGCAGCTGGCACGGACGCATTCAGCGGAGAACAAATTGGCAATGCTATCCTTTACATTGTCTTGTCTCAATCCTGGCAGCAATACCCGCTCGACCTCTTAATCTCAACTCTTCAGAAGCAGCACTCGTCACACCCAATAAATTGGCCGGAGGCTGTACGCCAATTTGACAAGGACGGCCTTCGCGTTGACGCTTCCCAGTTCACGCGGTTGTTCAATGCCTTGCTCCCTGTTGCGCAGGAGGACAAGTCCCTCGACCTTCAGATGCTTTGGGGAGGTGACTGGAACCATAAAAATGCGCAGTTCTCTTTCCTGACTGCCTTCCTTACTGCCGGCATAGACGCAGCCGGCATCGACACATCTCAAATTCCTAACTTCCGCCCCGCCTTTAATCCTGAAATCTTCGATGATGCCTCTGAAACCGTTAAGCACCAGGCAGAACAAACGAAAAATAACCCTCTACGTTCTCTTGACGCTACCAAGGCAATTTTCGATCTCGTTCTTGTCTCTCCTGCCACCTGGGCTCTTCCAGAGAGTCAAAACTTTGTCAAGACTGTTCTCCAACACGACCTCCCCACCTTCCTTTGCTCCGCGTTTGCCGTCCCCCAACCGTGGACCAATGTTCAGCACAACTTCCTCGTTCGCTCATTCATGATATTCATTTTAAAACGCCAGGATGGATATCAATTCGCTCTTCACGGAGTGTGGAAACTCGACCAGCAGTGGGTGGGGGAGCAACTCTTCCATGCCTTTACCCAGGATCCTTCATGCACTGACCTCATTTATGAGCATGCGGTTGAGCATGGATGGCTGGATTATTTGCTGGACTTTACCAATGGCCTTGCTATGGACCTTGCATCGCTTGCCCACCAGAAAGGATCGTTTGACCTGGAACATTGGGTCAAAGGCACTGCAGGAAAAACCCCCGTCGATATGGGCGGCCTACTCGCCAAGTTCCTCAGGATAAAAGCTGAAGATGAATTGAGGGTACAACGAGGGGAGCAACCGGGTCCGCAGATGGTAAGCCTATCAGTTAAGACTGTATTTGCGCTCCTGATGATCCTTGAAGACTACATCACCGACCACGAGAACCTCACCCCTATCCAGCGAATTTGTCTTCAAACTTATCCAAGACTCATCAACTATGGCGAAGGGTTCGACGATGTCATCGAAGCTAATAGTGCCCGAGGTAATGCCATTCCTGAAGAAGTTGACAAGCAGATGCGTGATCTCTTTGGCAAGATGTACCACGAAGAGCTCTCACTACGGGAGATCCTTGAGCTGATGAGGCGTTACAAATCCTCACGCGAACCTTCGGAGCAAGATCTCTTCACCTGCATGGTGCATGGCCTCATCGATGAATACCACTGTTACCATGAGTATCCACTTGAGGCTCTAACGAAAACCGCAGTCATGTTTGGAGGCATCATCAACTTCAAACTAATCTCAGGCATACCATTAAAGGTTGGTCTTGGGATGATCCTGGACGCTGTGCGAGAGCATGAACCCCATGAGTCTCTGTATAAGTTTGGAGTCGAAGCCATTGAGCAATTAATCAGTCGCCTCCCAGAGTGGGTCGGATTTTGCAGCCTGCTTCTTCAAATTCCTAGTCTCCAAGGATCAACTATCCACCGGAAAGCTGAGGAAGTACTCCGTGAACAGGGTCACCATCCAATTAACGGAGTCGATGCAGCTGAAGTCAATGGCGTAGCTGATGGGCTATCACTTGCTAATGGTAGTATCAGTGACCTGGTCAATGAAGGAGCACCCCGCAAATTCCAATCTTTGCATGTAGACGCTCCACTTCGACCTGATATCTATCAAGAGCCAGACGAAGACACCCATGACAAAATCCTCTTTATCCTCAATAATGTCTCTGAACAAAACATCAAGACGAAACTTCAAGACCTTCGAGAGAGCTTAAAAGATGAACATCATCAATGGTTTGCGTCGTATCTTGTTGAAGAGCGAGCGAAATTACAGCCAAACTTCCAACAGCTGTACCTGGATCTTTTGGAACTTATTGATGATAAGACGCTATGGTCAGAAGTCCTTAGAGAAACCTACGTCAGCGCAATCCGGCTACTCAATGCGGAATCCACAATGAATTCTACCATCGACCGTACTCACCTCAAGAATCTCGGTGGCTGGTTAGGTTCCCTGACGATTGCTAAAGACAAACCCATCAAGCACAAAAACATCTATTTCAAGGAGCTGCTTATCGAAGCTTTTGACAGTCAACGACTCACAGTGGCTATCCCATTTACTTGCAAAGTTCTGAGCCAGGCAATCAAGTCGTCGATCTTCAAGCCACCGAACCCGTGGTTGATGGATATTATTGCTTTGCTGATTGAAATTTACCACTTTGCCGAGTTAAAGATGATCCTCAAGTTTGAAATTGAGGTATTGTGCGGTGATTTGGAACTGGATCATAAGACAATCGAACCATCTACGTGCATTAGGGAACGCCCTGCACAGTTGCACGAAGGATTACCTGTTGCTTGTCTCCCCGAAGGATTGGAACCTTTCGATGATATGTCCCTTGCGGGCATGAGCCGTGGCATTCGAACTGAACGAATTTCGCCCTCTTCCATCATTTCAAGCCTTCCCAAGCTTGACCAGATACTTGTATTCCCACCTTCTGCTGACCCTAACACCCTCAAGCAAATTGTCCATGGGGCCGTCGAACGCGCAATTGCCGAGATCATTGCGCCAGTTGTTGAACGCTCGATTACTATTGCGTCGATTTCGGCAGCTCAGCTAATCCTAAAAGACTTTGCAATGGAGCCAGATGAAGAAAAAGTTCGTCAAGCAGCTGGAACCATGGTTCGTGCTCTTGCAGGCAGTCTAGCACTTGTTACCTGCAAGGAGCCACTGAAAATGAGTATGACAAACTATATTCGTATGATTCAACAAGAGTACTCGGATCAACCGATGCCGGAAGGTCTCATCCTCATGTGCGTAAACGACAACTTGGATGCTGCTTGCGGTATCGTTGAAAAGGCAGCTGAGGAGAAATCGCTCCCGGAAATCGAAAAGGTGATCGAGTCACAGCTCGAAGCTCGTCGACGTCACCGTATCGCGCGACCCAATGAGGCATTCATTGATCCTTCCATGAGTCGATGGGCTTTGTTTATTCTGGAACCATACAGACAAGTCCCTGGTGGACTAAACAAAGAGCAGCTCGCCATATACGAAGAGTTTGCTCGCCAATCGCGTGGAACTGGCCAGTCACACCTCCAGCACGCATCAACTGACTCGGGTAAACAGCAGATCCCTGATGTCCTACAGGAAGCTTTCCCAGCCATGCCCAATTTGTCCACCCCTGCCGAACAGTCTGCGATCCCACACCCCGCCAGCAGAGGCCCACAAGACACTGATGTCCAGCAACAGGCGCTCTCCGGTGCGCAGCCGCAGATCAACGGCTTTTTAGAGGCATCTACTCCACGCGAGAAAATTGAAAGCCTTGTCACAGAACTTCAGCAGACTTCCCGGACCGAGAATGAAGAACACATCAAAGTTCTTGGACGTGAGAGTCCAATCCTCCACTCTTACAACCAAATTCTTCGAACTATTTTGTCGTCTCCAAATGGTGAAGAGTTGGCGAGATTGACTGCTATCAAAATCTGCAACTCCCTTTACACGCAGACTGAGAAGACTCTAGAGGTTGAAGTTCTCGTTCATCTGTTGGCAAAGATCTGTGAACTCTCGTCACTCGTTGCAAGATATGTTTGGGCCGTTCTCGCTGAGGTTGATGATGGACAAATGTTCAATGTTCCAGTTACTGTCGCCCTCATTGATGCAGGTCTGATGGATCTTCATCGAATTGACATGATGCTTGCCAAGCTGATAAAAGAGAAGAACCCCTCTGCCTTAGAGCTTCTCTCTGCACTGATGGGCCGTGTCTTACTGAACGACGAGCCATCAGCTCTACGATCTGACTTCTCAGGCAGCTTGGACGCAATGAACCAATGGGTTGTTGAAGAACCTGACCTTTCTCCTGCTCGCGACATCATCCAAACCCTTCGGGAGTCGGGCATCCCGGAAGCAGCAAACCCTCTCTTGACTGATCTAGCACGATCGAAGAGGGACCAAATGGAGTATATCTTCAGTGAGTGGATCGGCGTATACAAATTCCCCGGATCCAATGACAGGATGTATAGCGCCTTTTTGAAAGATATGCACCACAGACAAGTGATGAATACACAAGAAGACTCGGCCCTGTTCTTCAGACTCAGCATTGATATATCCGTTGCCATGTTCGAACATGAATATCAGAATGTCAGCGGAAATCTAGACGAAGCCTTCTTATATATAGATGCTCTCGCCAAACTGGTTGTATTGCTGGTGAAATTCCAAGGCGAAACTGACGGTGCCGTCAAAGCTAGCAAGCCAGCGTACTTGAACTCCATCCTCTCGCTTTTGGTCCTGGTTCTCAACCACCACCAAGTTATGCGAGGCGATAGCTTCAACCAGCGAGTCTTCTTCAGGCTCTTCTCAAGCATTCTCTGCGAGTATGGCGCTAGTGGCCTCCCACAGACAGACCAACACAAGGGCATGATGCTAGCTTTTGCCGATAAGTTTTTGTCTCTCCAACCTAAGCATGTACCAGGCTTCATTTACGGATGGTTGTCATTGATTTCCCACCGTGTGTTCATGGCCGAGATGCTTACCATGGATGATCAGATGGTAGGTCCATATCATTTAACTATATAAACTTCGTTGATCGTTTTACTAACTACGTTGTATAGGGATGGGAGCCGTTCTGTGAGATAATGCAAGTGCTGCTATCATATATCGGCGAACAGCTCAAATCGGCAACGGTGACTTTTGTGGCTAAGGACATCTACAAAGGAGTGCTTCGAATTCTCTTGATCTTACACCACGACTTCCCCGAATTCGTTGCTGAGAACCATTTCCAGTTCTGCACTGTCATACCAACTCACTGCAGTCAGCTTCGAAATCTCGTGTTGAGCGCCTATCCATCGTCGTTCCAGAAGCTCCCTGACCCATTCCGCGACGGCCTGAAGGTAGACCGATTGGAGGAAATGGGCAAGGCTCCGAAGATCACCGCAGACATTGTCACCCCACTTCAAGATGCCATGATTAAGGCACCCGTGGATAATGCTCTGCGAAGTTTCACTGCTGCGGATGCTTCTGTTCAGCAGATTTCCGAGACGATTTATAATTCGTCAACGAAGGAGACCGGGCTATTTTTCAACCCTATCGGCGTTGATACAGTCCTCCTAGAGGCACTTGTTTTGTACATTGGCCAGAGTGCAGTCTCTTCCAGTAACCAAAAGAGCGGTGCCGCCACCTTCAACATTTCTCCTGCTCTTGGATTCTTAGAAAAATTGGTCAACACACTACGCCCAGAGGCCCGCTACTATCTGCTCAGTGCTATTGTCAATCAACTAAGATACCCCAACAGCCACACACACTTCTTCAGTTTCGCCATCCTCCACATATTTGGCTCGGAGACCGCAGCCCAGCACGAGACGCACATCCGTGAGCAGATCATTCGGGTACTACTTGAGCGGTTGATTGTCCACCGGCCTCACCCATGGGGCCTAATCATCACTCTCCAAGAATTGTTGCAAAACGGCAACTATTCATTCTTCCGCCTACCTTTCATCCAAGCGGCGCCCGAGGTAAGGAGTTCCATCAAACATATTCATACCGACACATAACACTTTATTAAATTTTCTTTCTCTTTAGATTGGCCGTCTATTTGACGCTCTTCTGCAACATATTCAGCAGCAAAGCCCGCGCAGCCTGAGTTAATTCTCGCCCAACAAATCGTTGAAATTCTAGCAACGCGAAAACGCAGGTTTATACGACACGATATCCCTACGACAGATTCCCTCTTGGAACTACTCCCTAGTTGTGACATTGATGATGACTGTGACGATGAACAAACATACCACAACTTCATACGCTTACCTTAATACATTTGAGCCTTTGCGTGAGCATATGTACCTCTCTTTTTTTAATTTCCTTTAGATACTGCTCGGATGGGTTTCATGGTTCCTTGCTTTGTTTTGGACGGTATGCATGATCTGAGGTTGTTTATCGCCATGGCCCAATGTAATCTTAAAAACAGGTGTTTTTTGTTTTCCCTTCTATTATATTTATTAATCTTTTTTGCGGTTTTTGTGTATACAAGTCTTTAATCTCATGGAGGGCGAGATCAACGGTACGTTTTAACCAAAAGTTGATGGCAGGTACGGGGTAGCGTCCGGTTAGTTGGTCAGGAGTCCTCGTTCTTTACATGAAAGCAGAGCCTTATTATTATATACTATCAGGGAATAAACATCCAGTCCTAAGACTTGAAATTCTGAAAGCAGGAACAAGGCAATTCAAGGAACCTGGAGGTGCACGTGATATTCTGTGATATTGCCTAATCGAGTAGAGTTAACTCCATCGATAAACAATGATATCACCACATACAAATAATCCATATCGCATATCTGACAGGAACTACTCTGGCTCTCCAGTGTTCCAGTCGGACTCCGGCAATGCTTGGTTGTACGATGATATGAAACCAAACTCCATCCATCTCACAAATGGCGGACGTTAAACAGGAAGAAGGCATTTCAGTATGCATCACCCCTCGAAGACCAGGTCCGTGACATAGCTTACTCCCAGCCAGGCCGCCATACTACAGCCTGTTCGGGCTATTACCTCGAAGGTTGCGCAACGTTCATATATAAATCTACTACTCTTCACATGCGCCTCATTTGCTCTATTTGGCATATCCACGATATCATACTGGATATTCTACTACAATTTTGTCCCCCAAATCAGCCTCGAGCGCCAAGTTCATCTCCAATATGAGTAAGTTGAAAATAGTACCAAGATTACTACCTGTTGTGGGAGTTTTGCGCTCTAGAATTCAATTAATTGAGGTTATAGCGAGGGCTCTCCATACGGTACCGCGGCTATAGGATCACAGTTGATTCCTCTCCAAAAATACGACGTCAAGGTCATTTTGCAGCTCCCGTCTACGCCTGGCAATCGCGCTGCAGGGAATTTTATGCTAGATCTTGCCTTCCTTGAGGAACCTGATGATTTATCTGGCTCCACCGCAAACGTGTCTGGGAATGTCCTGCTGCGGTCGCGCCGCCCGGCCATGTTGACCTACACGTCTCCTATGGTAGACACGGCCCGTCAGTTATGGAGGCTTCCACTCTACATCCTAGGGCTAAAACGGGAGGCAGAAGAGCTCAAGATTGGGTTGATGGAGCGAGTGCAGTTTCCGCGAGGGAAAGGAAAAGTGCCGAAGGGTCTCAGGCTAAGGATCCAAAGCCACGAGCGTATTCAAGTATATAAAGCGAGTGTGAGGATAGATGCAAGATTTACTGGTTTAAGGTACGTGCTTATTGGATTCATATTTGATGATATCGCCGTCTCATCCTGTCATATTAACTTCACCCGTGTAGGTGGATCATGTACAACTGGAGGACGCTCTCTTTCCTCACATTTGGTTCTATGTTCTGGATGTTCTCTATGACAATCGCTACTGGTGTTTGGGTTCTACTATCTTCTCGGTCCACGGGGGAGAAGGAGAAGGACATAAAGAAAGAGGAGGATCTTGACACCGATGATGAGCCACAAGGGTCTTTGGAGGAATCCGCAGCCGCACAAATGCACGCTGCCGTGAGGTCTTCGCCGGAAATTAAGGTCGAGGAAGAGGATGAGCCCTCGGCATACGGTTCAAACGAAGATGAGGGAGCTGAGGAAAGCTCAGGCAAGTGAATGCAGCGACGCCGTACCGCCGTAGCTATTGTCCTACAGCCGAATTATATAATATATACTCCAGGGGGGTTAATTGTCCTATCATGAGAAGCAAAGCAATATATTCATCCTATAGTGCAGCTATAAACCCCTGCATTGATCGTAAACAATGACGACATATAAAATGCAGATTAGTTGGTGGGGTCAAGCTATCGCATAAATATTTCTGAAGGAACTTCGCGGGGCAAGAAACTTCGAATTCGATAACAAGCCACCGCAACTCCTACGAACCCCAAGCTGCAAAATGCATATCCTTGTAAGTTAACGAGTGCTCAGTTATTGACTTACTTTATATTTTTGCAAAAGGATACAAGTCGCGACTGAAACTAACACCGGCTGGTTAAATAGGTAGTCAACGACGACGGTCCGCCGTCATCTCAATCCTCGCCGTATATTCATTCCCTCGTCCATACGCTTCAATCCTCAGGCCATGTAGTATCTGTCGTACTACCGCATAGACAGAGATCATGGATTGGCAAAGCCCATCTTGTTGGGGCCACCGTCAAACCGACGTACTTTCACCCCGGTACCCTCTTCCAGGACGATGGCACAGTTCACCCACTACCACGCAGCGAAGAGCGAGAAATCAGTGAAGGCGACGAGTGGGTTCTCATTGACTCGACACCAGCTAGTTGCGTCCAAATCGGGTTGTTCCACTACTTTCAAGATCGAGGACCAGTAGATCTGGTAATATCCGGGCCAAATTATGGGAGGAACTCAACAGCGGTCTTCTCTCTTTCTAGCGGCACAATTGGCGGAGCAATGGAGGCTGCAGTTTGCGGATATAAATCAATTGCTCTCTCGTTTGCCTTCAGCTCACGCGATCATGACCCCGTCGTCATCTCAGAAGCCGCGAATCACTCTGTTCGGTTGATAGACTATATTTATAAGAATTGGGCAGACGGAGTCGACCTCTACAGCATAAACGTCCCTCTTGAGCCGGGAGTTGGGTCTGCGAAGATATTATATACACACATTTTAGACAATCGTTGGTCAGGGAGTTGCTTCGAAGCAATTGATGCTGAGATGAGCGGCGAGGATCCAGGATTACAGGAATACTTGCTTAGACAGAAAGAGGAAGGGAGTGCCGCAAACGGGGAGGCTTCCGGCCCCTCGACTGCAAGATTCCAACACAAACATTTCAAATGGGCCCCAAAATTCGGCGATGTCTACAAGAGTGAACAAACTAGTCCTCCAGGGAATGATGGTTGGGCGGTTAGGTCCGGATTCACAAGGTAAGCTTGTTTTGCAATCTATCTTACTATTCCCAAGACACTAGTCAACTAGTCACAACCGGCAAATCACTGACACAACCCTCGTTGATTAGTGTTACCCCTTTGAAGGCAAATTTCATGCATTGGCCAGGTTGTTCTGGTGAAATAACGCTGTGAGTGAAGAAATGGGCTTGCTGGAAGGAAATTGATGTGGTTCAGAGCATATATCCTTCCGTGGGCTTGCCAAATTCTCAATTGAACCGTGTATCACATGCCATTCGTCACTGCGTTTTTTTATTACTGCTGTGTTATTGTAAGAGTTGTATTCTGACTGCTCTGGATTGGCCCTTTTCATACAGGTTGAAAGAGACTCCAATATTTTATGCCCTTGTGGGTTGTCAAGACGCTTATGTACAACCCTTGGTCATAGGAGCTCTACAGAGACAATTCAAAAACACCTCTTACAGATTAATATCTTCCTTGTCCGAGCTACCAGACCCTTCTTCTCCGGTTCTTCAGTACAGGGTATATGAACAATCCGACTTCGAACATGTTCATACCCACCCTTCAACATCTTTGGTAAACTCTTATGTCATTCGCAAAGCATTGATACGAAAACATTTCTTATCAAATACGGTCGCCAATTGGTTAACAAAATACCCAAACAGCCTGCTTCAGAATCATTTCAAGCCTACTATAGACTTTGAACTGGATTACGCCGAGTTCCTCGACGAGGCTTTACTTGAAGCTTACGAGCTACGTGAGAGTCTAGATGCCAACGAAGGGAAAGAAGACTGCGATAAGGAATGGTGGATTTTAAAACCCAGCATGAGCGATCGTGCGCAGGGAATTCGCCTATTTAATAGCGAATCATCTCTTCAACAAATATTCGAAGAATGGGAACCGGAGGATACAGATTCAGAGGGAAGCACGGAGGACGCCACTTCTGGCCCGGACGCAGATGGTAAGGTAGATACCGGGATTGTTACTTCACAGCTACGACATTTTGTTGCTCAACCATATATTCTTCGGCCCCTTTTACTACCATCAACCTCAAACAGGAAATTCCACATTCGTGTGTACGTTTTGGCTGTTGGTAGCCTTAAAGTCTACGTCTATAGAGAGATGCTAGCACTTTTTGCGGACAAATCCTACGTCCCTCCATGGGAAAAGGAGGACGACGAAGAGGACGAAGCAACTTATCTCAGTCGCCACCTAACAAATACCTGTCTCCAGTCTGATACCACTGGTTCCGATGCCGCCCCTGAAAATGTTCAGAGGTTTTGGCGTTTGGATGACGCGGGTGCTTCTGTGCAACCAGGGTGGAAAGAACGCGTATACGAACAAATTTGCACTGTGACTGGTGAAGTCTTCGAGGCTGCTGCGAGGGGTATGATGGTCCATTATCAAACGCTACCCAATGCGTTTGAAGTGTTTGGGGTGGATTATCTAGTCGACGAAACGGGCAATGCATGGCTGCTTGAACTCAATGCATTTCCTGATTTCCGGCAAACCGGAGACGAGCTGAAATGCGAGGTCGTTGGCAAGCTGTTTGACGAGGTTGTAGAGATAGCAGTGAAGCCGTTCTTCCGCCCTACTGAGAAAGGCAATGCTGCAGACGACCAGGCTAATTTTAGATTCCGATTGGTGGCTAATATCGACATGGGAATCAAATGAGAAGGCTTCTGGGCACGTTTATCGTCAGCGCCGCTCTCTCGCGGATGTTACTGGCCGCCCGTGGAGAAAATTGCATGTACGGAGGCGATTCTCTCCTATTTCTCCCAGATGCATCGTGCATCGTGCATCCTGGCTGCCAACAAACATGTGTTACTCTGGAAAGTGTTGGCTGCAGCCCGGCGCGAAGGCACTATATCTAGGTGGCTAGCTGGCATATCGGCAACCAATGTACTTCGTCAATCCGGCAAATATACAACCGCGACGCTTGGATCGCCTTGGGATTGTGTTGCCTGTGAGACAGGGGTATAATGGCATTGGTTGTTATGAAATATGCAATATGCAAGGCTAAAAAAATTCGCTGCCCCTGCGAGTCACTTGATTTCTACAGGCCTTTCAACTAATTTTCAACCCTTGTAAATATGTTGTATTCTACTGTTCTTTGGACCGGGCTCGTCCCTGCGAGGCGTGTAAATTGCATTTTTTGGCCCCAGAATTCCTTTTGTCCCAGCGGGATGGGAGCGAGCGTGGGCATAAAGAGGCGAAACCGTTTGGACGGACTCCCATCTTTCGGATAACGTCCCCCATATTTTTGTTATCATTATTTGGAATGCTAATATTATGCCTGTGTCCAAGGTATTAAGATCCAGCTTAACGAAGATCTGCAGTGGGATTCTAGGATTATCGAATATCAACTGCATGCAACTGAATCTTTATAGGACGACAACGTTTGCTCTGATATAGCTAACCTTACACTCTCCCATACGGGATGCTCCCCTATCCGCGGCCTCCATCGCCACGTCTGTCTTTTTACCACTGAGGGCCTTGGGGCTAGGACCCTCTCGCGCTGCCGATTGGCTGTCGAAGTCACCTTTGCATAAGACAGACGCGGAGAATATGCACCAGATGGAGTATTGATCCCGTCATTTTCTCTCACACGGGCTATTGCATTCCAATGAAGCGTCAAGTCTACCGTGTCACCCTGGCTTGCAGGTAAATACGAGACGATAAACCTCCCGAGGGGACCTTACCTTACTTCATGTATCCCGTTCCCTCAGTGTAGGGAGTCTGTGGCGACCCTTTCACGAAGCGACACCCCCCCCCAGACGCCTATATGTGCTGCTATAAATGATCGCGAACTTATACAACAATGGGCATGGATTGATGGTCAAAACGAAAAGTCTAACAGGGATAACGTCCTACGTTCTCTTAATTACTGGCGGACAAGGGACCCGGCCTGCCCTCTGGGCGCTGAGATAGAAACCCTTTTACAAGCAACTTTCCGGCACAAGGAATCGCCGATTGGGTGCGACTAACATGTCTCAAAACACTGGACATTCAGACGGGGCGCCTATCACTGGATAATATATCAAGTGAGCACCTTCTTCGGCGTTTGCTCCGCTCTAGAACTCTGCGTCGACGCTTCGGCAGTCTATTCTAACTCTCCATGGAGCAGATCAACGAAGGATAAGCAGGTCGACTATCGGGCCTGGCGTTTGTGCTATGACAGCTTTTTCTCCACAGCAGCAGGTGTAGCATGTGTCGGGACCAGCTCGTCCATGGGCCCGTTCAAACAGCTATCTTATACACGGAAGCAGTGTAGATACACATCTTCTTTGACCGGAAGGGGGAGACTCCTTTCCTTCTTCCCGCCACCCAGTCACCAGTCACCCGGGGCATCTTCCCCCATCTCCAGGCCTGCTGTCACTCGCTCCCCGGCCGGAGGTCTCCATAAGATGCATTCGGGGGCCTTCACCTAGGCCCAGCGCTTGGGTCGCTGCCCTGGCACACGAGCCGCATCTATTTTTGTTCGTTGAGTGAGGGAGGTTATAATAACCCGTCCAGGTCACCCGCAAATCCCTTTCACTGCCGCGGAAGCAAACGGAAAGCGTTCGTCTTCTCGACTCTTCCTTATTTTTTCTTCATTGTTTTTGGGGGTCCGCCTGACTGGGAAAAAACCCCTGAGACTTCCTCGGCCGGTTCACTAAAAACTGCGCCTACCAAGTAAATAGTTATATTAACTTGGTTCCTTCCCGCGCGCAAATCAAAACAACAACTAAAAACCCATTTCCGCGCCTATGTAACCCTTCTTGTTTTTTTTTTTTTCCTTCTAAATGTTTACCACTCTCGCTCTGTAGCGCGCGCTGGGGTTTTTTCCTCTCCCCTTGCATCGACTTGAGTTTCTTCTCTCGCCTCACATATTCATCACCGCTCTTTGTTGTCCAGGGTTCGTGTCCCCCGTATGGAGTACACCCCCGAGATAGACACGCACACATGCTTTTAGCCGCATGCCTTAGTCGCCTTAGCCCGAACTAGGCTTTACCGCTCTCACCCAGCATCCTGCAACCTGCGAAAAAAATAATCGCTTTCGGCAGAGCGTTAAGAGGGATTTCGGCCTCAGCAGCCCATGAGCCTGCGTATCGGGTGGGCCGTTTCGGAATCATCTTCGCTGGCCTCGCCAAGATTAAAATAGTCTATCTTTCTCGACCCGCTGCACTTGGGGGACCTCAGACTTCGAGAGAGGGCATCATGGAGGGCTACGGCGCTGCGTCGCCGCCGGATGGGGTGTATCTTGCTAAGATTGTGCAAGATACGCTGCCTCCGTTAGCAGCTGCCTATTTCTTTGTGGCCTATCTCACAAGCATCCTTTCTCGCGACGGCAGCGAGAAAAATACGCCGTCGGCGCGACGTTCAGACATTGCGATCGGATGTTTAATATTTACAGTGTTTCTGACTTATGTAAGTGTGGGCAGAGATAATCCTGCGATCCGGCTGATCGATGATCAGTATGATGCTTACTCGTTCTTCTTTTGATTCCCCCCGATAGGTTGTGGACTCGATAAACCTGATATCTGCCACCTTTGGGGACCATGGTGTTGTATCTCCCAAAGGTCGTATTGTAAGTTTTAAGCTGGCATCTCCATGAATAAAAATCACGGTGTTAACAGAGCCTGCAGCTGTTTGGACTGTCGTCGGCCCTTCTCTGGCTCACTACCATCTTGCTGTACTCGGACAAGCCACCACAGCCAGTCTCATACCCTTTCTATGGCCACTGGTTGATATATCTCGCGTCAGAGATTGTATTGCTCCTAAGTCCCGTGGCCCCTTACCCTGTAGCAAACATCGTCAGCATCTTGTGCCAAATCTTTAGGGTTACTGCACTTTCATTGCTTATCTGTGCTGCTTTTGGTCCTCGGATCTTCCCAGGGAGGAAGGCAAAGCTTGACGAGGAAAATTCCCCTTTACTTGCACATGAGCAGCCGCTACTTGGAGAACCAGATGCCACTGGCGTCGGTACCAATGGAGCAGCCTATGGATCGTGCGACTCGAACAATTCGAACAACCTATCAACCAAAAATGGATCAAAGGACTCAAAAACGGAGGACAAAGTCAATGGCAGTGGGGAGAATGAGAAAAAGGGAGGCATTTGGTCGTCTATCAAGGACTTGAAGGTGCGATTTTTTTACTTTTCTCTCTCTCTCCTGTTCTGTATAAATCTAACGGCTGGTAGGCACTTGCACCGTTCTTCTGGCCTTCAGGGAAACCTCGCCTACAGTTCCTTTTCGTAGGGATGTTTCTCTGTCTGGTCGTCGAGAGAGCGTTGAATCTCATTATTCCTTTGCAGATAGGCCTGATAACCGATATCCTCAGTGAAACTCGAGGTAAAATCTCCCCCCCCCCCTTGAGCTATGATTATAGCGACACGTACCATCCAAACGCATAAATTGTCTCCGGATGCTAACTGTCAATCTAGGAGCATTGCCATGGAAAGAAATTCTGATTTTTGCTTCACTTCGCCTACTTGACTCCAGCGGGGGGGTGCCGGCGCTGCGAAGATTTATGTGTATGCCAGTTGACGACTTCTCATATTTGAAGCTCAGCACAACAGCATTCAACCACGTTATGTCACTATCTTGTGACTTCCACGATAATAAGCATTCCGGAAGGCTTTGGACCGCAGTCATTCGCGGCCAGTCGGTGAAAGACGTCATTCACAGCATTTTCTTCTTAGTTGGACCCATGGTTGTTGACCTTGTCTTAGCTGTTACCGTGTTGTATGTCAAGTTCGATGCTTATATGGCACTGGATGTTGCAACGGTAATGGTGCTGTTTTTGTGGTCGTCCGGAAAACTTGTTACAAAACAGAAGGATAAGCGACGAGAGTGGAATGAGGCTCGAGGTGCGGAGTTCACTGCTCTCTGTGAATCAACCGAAAACTGGCGCACAGTTTCTTATTTTAGCCGGGTGTCCTACGAGATATCGCGATACATGAAACTGGTAAAGGCCCAGCTACAAGCCCGATTCAAATTCAGATTTTGGGATCACATGGAGAGTGCGGCCCAGTCCGTTTTACTAATATGTGGGCTGATGGCTGCTTGTTTTATGGCAGCATACCATGTTGCTAGTGGAGAGAAGCCCATTGGCAGCTTTGTTATGCTGCTCAGCTACTGGGCTCAGTTATCCAGCCCCCTACAGTTTATTGCAAATGGGTTCGGGGAGCTGGCCCGCGATTTGGTCGACGTTGAAGAATTTCTTTCGATTCTACGCCAGAAGCCGACTGTCCAGGACTCACCCAATGCCAAACCTTTGAAATTCGAAACTGGGCAAATTGAATTTTCCAACGTCGATTTTTCTTATGATGGCAAGAGGGGAGTGCTCCGAAATATTAATTTCCAGGCGAAAGCTGGAGGCACCACTGCCTTAGTCGGCCAAACCGGTGGGGGCAAGTCAACCATTCTGAAGTTGATATTTAGGTTCTACGATCCCACTCAAGGTACGGTGCAAATTGATGGACAAGATGTGTTCGGTGTTTCTCTCGACACCCTACGTGAGGGTATTGGTGTGGTACCCCAGGATCCAACACTCTTCAATGCCTCAATTATGAGCAATTTACGGTACGGAAGGCTGGATGCCACTGATGAGGAGGTGATGGAGGCTTGCAAGGCAGTTGCTCTCCACGACAGATTTATGAGCCTTACGGATGGATATGACACGTTGGTTGGCGAGCGAGGTATGAGGTTGTCTGGTGGCGAGCTCCAACGTGTTGCCATTGCACAAACAATTCTCAAAGATCCGAAAATCGTTCTCCTAGATGAAGCGACAAGTAGTGTGGATAGCGAAACAGAAGCTCTAGTCCAAGAGAGTTTGCAAACGCTTACCGCAGGGCGAACGACATTGGTAATTGCGTGAGTACCCTTGGCTCTTGACTTTGCTCTTATTGTGAAATACTAAATATTTTAGGCATCGACTGTCTACCATCATCAATGCGGACCGGATCATTGTTATAAACAACGGGGAGATTGTTGAGCAAGGAACCCATACAGAATTGTTACAGAATCATGGATACTACCACCGCCTTTGCGTCCGGCAAGGATTCCTAGAAGCAAGCGAACCTGATAGTGGCACCCCCTTTTCAGAGACAACTTGTTCTTGCCATCAATACGCAACAAACGGGGAGAGGATTTCATGGAAACCGGATGCCCCAGAATTTATCCCTAAAGCGTATCAACAACCAGGCGGAAATGAGCTACAGCTCCCCCTAAGCGAGTGTGATCCAAATAGTAAATCTTCGGCGAACAAGGGATTTGCTGAACCCGCCGTTGATATTTATGAAACGGAGACAGACGACAGCTTTCACATTGAGACAGGGCCTGACAAGGAAAATATCCGAGTGAAACTTGCGGTAGAAAGTTCTACGGATATTGGAACTAGCGACCCGACGTTGAGGAACGAGACGGAGACAAGCCACGACGAACCTGGAATATTTTATCCAACGATGAACGAGAACGCAAGAGGCAATTCGCTAGGCTTTGACGAGAGATATAGTGCAACCACTACCCTAGACGAAGGGCCCTCTGTATCGAAAGGTGACGCACAAGGTTCTGATCGCCGAGGATTGTCAAAGAGTGAGCCTGCTACTGACTTGACAAGCAAAGCCTGCGTGGATGGCGATGAGGACTCGACCACCGCTGATGACTGGCAGACAGTTGGCGCCAAAACCAAGACTACGTCAAGCCCGGTTAAATCACAAACCAGAGGCTCTGCGCGTCAGCGCCATCGCCGCAGAAACTGGAAAGGAAGAGAGAACTATCAAAGAGCGGAAGCCGGACGTCGTGGACCGTGAACAGGCTTATTACCGCACACAAATTGTTAATCAAAGAGACGAAATGGAGTATCGGCGCAGGTAAGGAGCTATTTCGCTTCTTTCTTCTACTATGACATTCATGTTATAATTTGAACTAGGCGGAGTCAAGGATATAGATATGCCCATGTATATATATCGCCCAAAAATATTTCATAGCTGCGGCCAGGAGTTCGAGGGTCATAAAGGGGGTAAATTAGTACGCAACCGGCAACGAAATTGAAAGATAATTCTTATGAAGGTTTGAAAATTGCCGGTTCTGGTACGTATTCTTTTCCAGATTATTGAGCTTGCGTTTTATGTGGCTTGTTTTAGCCAAAATGTACTGCATGATTGCTATCCTTATCCGAATCTTTCCTGAGCAATAGCTCGCAGGTAATCCATCGTCTCATCCTCTTTGCGTTTATATGACCTAAGCCTAACCTCCCTCTCCTCAGCTCTAGATCTTAAGATCTCCTCTTTCCGCAGTTCTCGTTCATTCTTCTTTCGTGTTTGCTTCTCCTTCAATTTCTTAAAACCGTCATCTCCTTCTGCTCCACCCATTAGATCCGCGTCTGCAACACCCTCCACTGGTGACCCACCACGAGCTTCCGCAAATGCACGGTTAGAAGCTGATTTCTCCATTCGCTTTTCTAAAAGGCGCTCTCGAGATCCTGGCTCTGCTCGTGGTGCAATCTCGTCCTCGATCTTGCGAAGTTCACTTTTATGTGCCTTGAGCTCGTGCTTATGAGAAACTCTGTTTGCTCTGCGGGACTCTTCGAGATCTAACTGTTCTTCTTCTATAAGGGTGTTAGTTATGAAAGGAATAATGCCATGAGGTGATGTAGGCTGTGAGGCCAAAGAAAGGGTATGTTGTGCAGACGAACCTCGTTTCAGTGCTAAGTCTTCTAGGGTTGGAATTTTTGGGCCTGATCTATGAACCATTGACTGGCGATGAGAAACTGGTGCCTGTGGCCCATATGATTCCTCCTCTTCCTCCTCATCATCGTCTTCCTCGTCTGCTCTCCGGGATAGTCTTCCCTCCTCCCTACCCCCAATATGTGACTGGGGTTGTTTTGAGAGAGCTGCCCCATCTCGATGCTGATGTTCGTCAACGGAAACAGAGCGCTTCTCACTCTCATTCCTATAGGTAGGGGACGCCCTTCTACCCTGCGGCTTGTGAATCGGCGCATCGGAAGTCTCGCGGTTATATGCTCCTTCTACGGCCTTCTTAAGCGTTGCCGGGTCGTACCATCCTTCTGCAAGTTCACCCCGGTTCCTCAAACATGTTAGCTATTAGAACATAACAATGTACTAGAAAACAGAGTAATAGACAAGCACCAAGAAGCATCTCGCATAGCTCGTATGCGGATGGAGGGGTTATTATGCATTGTTCCTTACCATTTACCCATGAAGCTTTTCCATCTCCCTCTTAGTTCCCGCTCATCTAGCTCCTCTATATCGATATCTTTCTGGATATCCAAATACGTCCCAAATACTGGCTTATATCGGGATAAATCGCGCTTTGAGAGAGGTGCTGCACCTAATGGTAAAATAATCGGTAGAGCTTCGGCTGATCGCTGTCGCCGGTGACTCGATCTATCATCGTCTCGTCTGCTGCGGTGATGCTGGCGATGGCCATCATGGCGGTCTTCTCTGGGAGGTGAGCGTGATCGAGTATCTCCCCTTATTGCGGCCGATGAATGGCCACGATCGTAGTCACGGTGCCGATGGCGATGACGGTGGCGATCATGTGGGACAGAAGATGCTTCTTGGTGCGACATCGACGCTTCCTGATTCCCAATAGTGAGTTATGCTGACAATATGGCAAGGAATACTTGGTAGACTTTGTTTTCAACTCCGTAAGTCCAGCTCTTTTTAGAGATAACGTCACGTGATAATCCTTATCGGCCTTATCTCGAGCTCCTTCACTTTTATATCAACAAGAAGAACGCCAGTATATACAGCCATCTATTCAACTTGATATCATCCAGACTGCCTTTCGACATGGGATTGCATTTATAATACTCACGATCCCCCTTATTGAAGTCCGTCTATTTCTATCTAATCTCGAGCTATGATCATAGTCCCAGCATCGTCTATCATCTATTATTCAGACCTAATCCATCTGCGCAAACGCCTTCAGGGCCTCATGTAGCTTTCCAAATACACCGCTATGCCATCCCTTTAACGCTTCCCATTCCTCCTTTGGTAATGTTCCCCGGCTCATGCGCAACCATGCTCCCACAATGAAATCCGCATAATTTGGACCATTCCCCATCAGAAACGGCCCACTAGCATCCCTCTCGTACAACCTCGCAAGCCCACCCAGAGCCTCCTCAAACGACTTCAACAACTTTGTCCTCCCCTCCCCGCTAATCCGCATAACCTCCCATGGCATTCCTGCCCTCCGCGAAAACGCTGCCTTGCATTCCTCTGCAACAGCAGGGTCAAAAGGTAGCCCATGGGCCATTAGTTGCACATGCGCACTAAACGCAGCATCCACGTTTTTATTAAATCTGGCGTATTCCGCAGCAGTCCCCTCCGCCGATTTAGCCTCTGCAAGTGGCGCAAAAAGTGCCAAATCCCGGCCGAAGACGAAGTCCAGCTCCTGCTCCGGGAACAAGTCCCCAGCCCCGGAGGAGGGGTATTGTTCCTGTAGGTATGTCGCGATCTCAAAGGAGTCACCTACTATACGCCCAGTGGCTGGGTCAGAGATAACGGGTAGGGTTTGGTAGGGGGATCCGTCGGCGAATTTTCGTGAGGCGGGGATGTTGAGAGCACCACGGACAGAGCTAATGTCAAGCAGGGGCACCCAAGTTGTTTTGTAGGGAGTCTTTTTGAAGTTCAGGGCGTAGCGGGTTTTCCAGGGATTTGGGGAGCAGGCGAATTTTTCGGCCGGGGGTGCGAGGGCGATATCGTAGAAGGTGATTAGGCCCCCAGTGGGTGATGCCGTCGTAGATGTCATGATGCAACTGACACGGGGAACTGGAACTGTAATTGGAATTGTAATTGGAATTGGAGTTAGAATTGCAGGTGTTGGTAAAGTATAATGTGTCTGTGAGTTGCTCTATATACCAGTTTGTTTAGAGGAAAGAGTCATAATGAGCAATGAAGAGTTGATATACGTGGAACTTATACGGTAAGTTAGAATATCTTGGCAGATCAAGGCAGACACATTCCATTTACAGAGTATATTATTCTTTTTCTTATGTAGAACACTCAATCCTCAATGGTTGTATTACCATCCTTGTTGATCGATGCATCGGTTGCAAGCCGCCTTATACTTACTCCAGCATTGGGGATAACGGGGTTTTGTCTCATATAGTTTGGTCATGGCCAAGGCACATACCGTGCAAGGGTCCTGCTGCTCCTCAGAGCTCCCTTAACGCTGTACCTATAACGTTCATGCATCAAGCTTTACATCTAGCTACGTGGTAAATCGAATAGAATGTGGAAACATGTAGTCGACTCCCTAAGCTAGACTTCAATCTGCCGTTGGTGTATCAACTGTGTTTGTGCCAGGGCCTATCAGCTTCAGAGCAAGATGTAATTATATAGAGATATAGCTAGAAACAACCACCAAATTGCAAAGAGTATCATTTGTAATTGTTTAGTGTTAAAGAGGACAGATCAATGCTCTGTTACCGCTTTTATACTAAATATAGGCATACTGACTAAGTCACTTTAAGCTTAAACTTTAAATTAACCTTATTGTTATAACGTGGAAGTGAAATATTGGAATACACACAGCGTGTTGCCGGCAGTTTATTCTTTCCACGAGGATGATAGATTATAGAAGGAGTGTATATAAGCTGCCTTAGGTAAATATGATAGTATTGCATATTAGATAAAGCTAAGGTACAAAAGAAAATGGAGGCAGTGTACATTTGGATATAGCTCGTTAGATTGTGTTCCGTCAGAGTTGACGATAATATAAGATTGCAATTCCTCTTGAGGGAACGATTATTAGTCGAACACTCAATAAGCCACCTGTGAAGCAAGGAAGGCGGTCAAATAAAAGGAAGTAAGGGGATAGTAATAGGTTCGTAACGTTTGATTTGGTTTAGCTTGCAGTAGCTGCTGATTGCTGGTTATCTTCAGCCTTTTCAGTCTCACTAGCGTCTTCGACTGAAGGAGAGGCTGCGGCACTCTTGGCTTTGTTGGCAGCAGCCATCTGCCATGCTGGAATGCTTGCCGGCTTTCCGAGCTGAGAAAATGGGCTGCCAGATCGTTCCCGTGGAGCAGGAGTTGGGGCGGGTAGGGATGCAGCCGTAGTACTTGGGGTAGCGGTTTGCTGCGAACCGGCCGATGCTCCGTTCACCTCTGGTCGATTAACGGTGGCTGCGGTAGTAGCACTGGGTGCTGGCGTCGATGCTGTAGAGCCAAGTCTGTTGGTTAGGAGAACCTTTAGACTCCTTAGCTCTGAGTTGAGCTCCCTAAGTCGCTTCTCGTTTCCTTCCCGAGCCCCTTCAATCGCCTTGGGAATTCCATCCTTTAGGCCTCGTACTTCTTCGCTAATGCGTCTGGTATCTTCGTCACGTCTACGCGAAGATGATTTGAGCTCTAGCACCACCTCCTCGACCTCACGAAGTGCCGTATCGAGTCGTGTTGTGCGTGCTTCTTCGGCAGCTTTGAGAGCGGCAGTATCGGCAGAGAGCTGATCAAGGAGAGAAAATGCGCGGGAGAACTGTTCGTCTACACTCTCTTTGTCCTGTTGGAGTTGCGGTGAGGTAGGGGGTGCGATTAAGGGCGAAATGTAACGCTATAGAAAACGAGTAGTGTTAGTGAGCTATTGTATTTGGGAATAATTTCCAAAGCCAAAGCATTGTTGCTGTTTGACAAACCTTCGCGACAAAGTAGATGCCGTAGCTAACGCCGCCCATTACCGTTGCCATGATAAACCAATCTCTCCAGTCGCGCCTTGGGAGTCTGTGGCGTCGGATGTCATTAGCCTTGTGTATCCAGTAACACCCAAATAACCCTAGAGAAATAGATTTTGAGACACTCACTCTGGTGGTGGAGCTGCATAACCCCATTGCCCAGGTTGTCCATATCCATAGCTCTGGTTAGGTGAGGGCCGATAAGCTGCCGATGGTTGTTGGACGACTGCACGGCTTTGCTGCTCTGAAACCTGTGTAGCTGGACCAGATGATCCGCTCCTAGCCAATGCTAGGTCGACCTCTTCTTTTGTCAAGTTTTTGGATTGCAAGAATGCAACCTTCTTCTCCAAGGGTGCAGATGAAACGGAGGGATCCTGGAGGACTGTAGACATATGTGTGAGTATGCGGCGGAAGATATTAACAGGTCAGGCGAGCGATGTACGTACAGGTAACCTAACACGCGATAGATGGCGTTAGCTAAAGGTATCTTTGTATCAGGGACATGCGACATTCAACTTACCGCTGACGATATCAGCTCCTCTCGAGCCATTTCGCAGGTCAGCTCAAGATCCCAGATGTACAGCGGCGAGTAGCGATACCATGCACTTGCAGCGTAAGGGAGTCTCACGCTGGGGAACGAAGACGATGGAGCAGGAGTGTGTCTCCGGGGTCGATCGAAATATCACGATCTCGCCTTCCCTTTCAACGCCAAGCTTTTCGTCGACTTGCCGAGGTTGAACTTTCTGGGCCGCGGTCCCGTGATACTCGGATTATTGCTTATCCGAATACCGGATTCGGCCAGTGCCAAGATATCCTTTGTTTACATGGAGATAAGCCAATCTTGCATCACGATATCAAAAAAGGCCTTGGAAGGGAGTAAAGGACCAGGCAGATAGCAATCTTCACCGTGAATAGGGGCCGTCGATTGACCTGAACCACCTGCGACTTTATCCCGCCACCTTTCTTATCTTCTCCTTGGTTCAAAGCAAATAATACCAGGCCTGTCGCATCTCCGTCATGGCACAGGATACTGGTCTCTTTAGTGTCCGACGGCCACGCGAGGTACGATTTATACCCCGATTTATACATATAACCTGATGTATAGCATCGCTAACTATGACATTCGTTGTAGACCCTCGGAAACGTCCAAAATTATACAGCTATCCCACAGCCATCCTCTGCGCTGAAACGAACTAGCACCGCCGCCAATCTACAGAACCCGCCATTCACTTCTCAACATGCGCGGTCGACTTCTCTTGTATCGTCGCTTAGTCGACCGCAGCAGCCTGTTTTCCATTGCCAATCCACCAGCGGTGGGAATTACGGCATAGATGGCGGTCTATCAAGCGTTCGACGCTCCGTATCCCATAACATGCTCCATAGCGCAAGTGCTGGGCGCCAAAGTTATGCGCCGATGTCGATGGCTCCCCCGCCACCGCCCCAGTTACAGCGCCGAAGCAGTGTTTTATCGCGCCCGTCGACGGGCCCGCCTGTTGCCCATCAATCGTTTTTCGTCCAGGGATCAATTCCCGCGGGTGTACCACGAGACCCTCGCCCGCTCAGAGACCGGAGTTTCCAGGCGCGGATTAGCCAGGAGATATTGGAGTATTTAACGCGCAATAATTTTGAGCTGGAAATGAAACACTCTTTAACCCAAAATACATTGAAGTCACCGACTCAAAAGGACTTTAACTTTATTTTCCAGTGGCTATACAAGAGAATAGATCCAAGCTACAGGTTTCAAAAGAACATCGATACCGAAGTACCACCCATCTTGAAGCAATTGCGCTACCCATATGAGAAGAATATCACCAAATCGCAAATCGCCGCTGTTGGAGGCACACATTGGTATACATTTTTGGGAGTATTGCACTGGATGATGCAATTGGCCCAGATGCTTGATAGATACTATCAGGATCAATATGACTACGCCTGTGCGGAAGCAGGTGTAGATGTGACTGGAGATCGTATAATATTCCGCTTTTTGTCGAGTGCATATCATGACTGGTTACAAGGGGGCGAAGAAGAGGACGATGAGGTTGCAGAAAGACGGCTTATCCCCCATATCGAAGCTATGGCGGCAGATTTTGAGAAGGGAAATGAGAAATATGTGCAAGAGCTACAGGCGCTAGAAGAGGAGAATCGTTCGCTTCGAGACCAGCTTGAAGAACTTGAAAAGAATGCCCCTGATATCGCAAAGCTGGAGAAACATTTTAAAATTCTCGAGGACGATAAGAAAAAATTTGAAGATTACAATGAGAATGTTCAAGGGAAGATCGACAAATACGAAAATCGCATCAAGTTCCTAGAAGATGAGCTCGAGAAGATTGATCTCGAATTCCAGACTACCGAAGACGACCGGCTTGAACTGCAATCAAGTGTTGATAAGCGAGGCATTACGATTCAGGATATTGACCGCATGAGCACTGAGCGAGATAGGCTTCAGAAAAATGTGGAGGATATATTGGTGAAACTGGACGAAACGCATGCCAGAGTCATGGAAAAGGAATCAGAAGCCAACGCGAAACTGGAGGAGCTGGAGCAAGTCGCCAAAACGTACAACTCCCTTTCCTATCAAGCTGGGCTCATTCCTTCTACCACGGCCAATGCCAAAGGCCACGAGTTCGAGCTCTTCCTCAATATCAACGAAAGCAACTTCTCTTCATCCCAACTCGGAACATCACAGAATCACAGTTCATCAGAGGGTGATAGGTTACTTGCTGACGCGCATACGGGGTATCACCCAACCAACCTTATCAACTTGGACCTTCGAGGAACTGTTCGAAATAACCTTGTTGCCCTTCGCAAGGATATCAATGAACGCCGAAAGATTGCTCTGGACGAAGATATGAACCGAAGAGACCTCCTTGACAATATTAAGGAGGCCATGGACGAGAAAAAGAGCGAGGTAGAGGCATTAGAGCATAAGCGCCGAGCCGCAGAAGAGGAGTTTGAGAAAACAAAAGAAATAACGTCAACTCAGAAGTTGGCATCCGATGCTCAGATTGAAAAGATGGAGAAGGAACTTGCAAAGATGCGTGCAAGTCTTAGTGAAAGTGTTCAACTCATGGAGCAACGAGAGATGAATACTAACATTGAGCATGAGCAACTTGTCTTACGTGCGAATGCCTTGCGCGAGGAGCTTCATACCGGCATTGAAAGCATGCTCAACGATATTATCAGGTTCAAGGTCCATGTGCAGAAGGGCTTGGAAGACTATGAGAGCTTTGTTGCAGACGAGGTCGAGCAAGAACTAGGCGCAGACGACCTGGGTGATGGAGACCACGAAGCTCTTTAGAATGAATGAATGAGGCTCTCCTGATATCCCTCTCTTACTTTTTTTTCTATTTCATGATTAATGCTAGCCTGGATCATATTTTGGCGCATGGTTACCTTTGTTTTGTGAAAATTTGTTTGGGATTGGGCCTAGGGGTTGGGAATTTTTGTCGGAGTACTTGTTGGGTCTAAGGTACTCGGTAGATGAAGAGAGCGTTTTTAATATCTCAGACCAGATTCAATTTAAAGTAATATTATTCTACTGGAGATATGCATTTTGTTGAACGGAGATTCGGTGTAATACTGCCTGATCGTACGAAACACGTTAGTCAACTACGCCGTTTCATTAAATATCAGTGTCAGCTCTCCATCATCGAACAAATGCTACGCCCGGCGTTTTAACGCCTGTTTCAGCTGTAGCTGGCATCTCCGCGATGGCAAGATACATGGCCGTATGAGGAACATAAATAGGAGCTCAATATCGTGTATTTAGATGATCAGTGCTTGATAGATTGAAATCTCATAGATTGCTCCAGACCCACCTGACCAATCAAATCAATCAAATATCTCGTATCTCAGACATTTGGCTGTCTATTATTTGGAGGCATAGGTTGGATGACTAAGCGATATTTTGTACCTGACATTTTTTTTTCTGATGCATCTGAAGGAGTTCAAGCTGCATTTTTTATTGCTACGAGAAGAAATCAGCGAAACCATTTTGCAATATGCTCATAGAGCATTCACTTAGTCGGCAATAATCTATTGCATGACGGACCAGACATGCGACCGCCGCGCAACCCTGATCTCACTCTTTTATCTGCTCGAGGACCTCCATGATCTGTCCCAGATCGTGTCATGAGCATTTGCCCACGCCCACGAAGGATACTCCCGGGCCATAGCCTATTCCAAGCCCGGAGGCATGCGATCCCTCACCCGTTGACGCCATGTCGTCTCTCTTCCGGAATATCTCAACAAACGTTCCACGGTTCACCACATAACGATACACATCGACCGAGCAACAGATCGAACCGCCTACCATGTCCTGTGCCGCGAGGATTACGCAAGGATCCATCCGAATGGATAAAATACTTAGAAAAATACATTCCCAGGCAGAATTTGGATAAGGACTCTCCAGCGCGCGGTGCGACTGAGCAGAAGATTGATCAAGAAGATTGTGATGCGATACTGGAGCTTTTATATCAAGCAAGGGCACAACAGAATTTTGACCTCCTCACTATTCTTGGGTTCAAATTTGGCAGGTGGCAGGACTTTCATGCTATAATTAACAAGCTCTTGGATTTCGCAGACGCTGTCCGACCAATATCCAAGCGAGGCCGACTACCTTCGAATATCCATTGGGGTAATCTGGGCTCGTTTGATGGCTTATCTGGCGAAAAATTGGAATCGATCAAACCTACGGATATTCATTATCACAACGATGGCATGCCAATTTCGTCGTTTGACAGTTATTCGGAGGAACCGGTAATGCACAACCAATTGGGAGAAGCGGGTACGAGAATCGGGGCAATGGATGAGCTCTGGCAGAGTTTAGGCGTCTTCGTCCTTGAGGCAGCGGATGAACCAACGAAGGAGGGTTCCGCGCTCATGTCACATTTTTACCGTGTCGTGGCTCGCCTCCATCACCTTGACATGATCCCTCCGGAAATATACAAGTACACGCCCAAACTGGACCCTACCCTGCCCAACCGCCCCCCTGGGGTGCATCTTCTTTCCTATCCCATAATGAGTGTTTTGTCGGATGCGACTTGGGAGGCGACCGCTGCAGAAGATGCTATGGCCGACCCGGACAATTCGCCTTATGTAGCGCCTTTAAGATACAGGTCAAAGCAGCTAGGTTTTGGTGTCTGGCTTGAATTCATTCTTTGGTGCTGTGTTGAAGGGGGCTACGCTGCAGGAGCTGCCTGGATTCTGCAGAAATCGCGCAATCGTTCGAGGTCATGGAGTGTCCAGAGCTGGGCCAGGCTTTATCAAGCCAAAGGATCAATTGATCCACTTAAAATGGACCGTTATGATACTTGGGCACAATGTGGCGTGTTGTCGAATGAACCGTTTGCTGGCCCATCGAATCGTCCATTCCAGGGAATGGGACTGCGGACAATTACAAGTGAAGTGATTGTTGCCGCTATGGACGGACTCGTTAATTCACTTGGAGTAGGAGTTGGTGCTCGAGGAGATTCGCCTTCGTTCGTTTGGGAGCGTCTGGGTTTGTTGCGAGCTATATTGAGCAAGAACAAGATATACCTTCGTCAAGCAGACATCACATACTTGATTGTTCGAATTCTCGAGACAGGAGCCATTGTCCCAGAAACCAAACCTCAGTCGCTTGAACTTCTACTCAATCTCGCCCCATATATTCCACCCACAGATCAACCGACAGAGTCCTCTAGTCCTCATTTCAAAGGTTTATATCAACAAGAGTACGACCCAGAATATTCCGGCCTTGTATTGGGGTTATACCAATACGCGCTAAATATATACGCGTCAAGCGGCCATGTGTCGGGAACTATTGATGTGTTTGAAAGATTATTGGGAGCTGTCGATCCGGAGAAGGTGTTCGAAATACGTAATTCAGTTCTCGATCACAAATATCTTATCAAGGCGCACCCGGTTCGGCAAACGGAGCAAAATCGCTCTCGAAACATGAAACCTGCCAGTGGATCTCAAAATCTCCAGTTGTCAGCGTTATCCTGGACATTACTTTTGGATACTCTGACCTCTTCTCGTTTGTATCGACTTGCAAATTGGTTGACGAGCTCGTATGAAGAAGCTTTGAGGTCTTCTACATCCCGTTCGCGTGAAGGTGTTCTTATCGCAGATCCTCTGATTCGACTTGCAACTGCAACAAAAAACCGCGAGCTGTTTTATAATGTTGTCCAGGGGCTTACACCTCCCCTAGAGAATCAAACTTTGATCTCCTTGTTGAATTGGAGAATTGGAGAACTTGACTGGAAAGATACTGCTGAATTACTCTGTTATCTTCGAGATAGGAAAAACTCACAATGGGATGTCACCAATATCATGTCCCTTGGGGCGACGATATTTCGACTAGAGTGTCAGCCACTGGGGGAGTGTCAGTCCGAACTTGATCCCACTTTTGAAGAAAGCCAGGATGAGACTTTGGACCTAGCCAAGAAGTTGTTGACGGATGTCCTAAATGGAAAGTTTAACCAGCATTACAGTTATTCCACAGACCTGCACACTTCTGAAGCAACGCTGAATCAGGTACACCATTTCTTCAGCTCCATCCCTGGCTGCTTGTCCGATATCTGCCATGAGGTTAAACTGCAATGGGGCAGGCCCATTGAACCCAGTTACCGTATACCTTCCAGCGCATTCAACCGATTTCTTAGTGCCGTGGTTGATACACAGGGCTCGCTAGCCGGAAAGCGGTTATGGGATGAATTTTGCATCGAGCCAGTAACAACCATGGCCAAACGGATCAGAACTAAGAAGAACATGCTAGTTCAGACATCCCGTAAACGCATCCAACAAGCCGATATGATTAAACCATCATTCAAAGCAAAATCTACCCATCATAAAAAGACACCATTAGTTTCACCAGACCTGACGACGGTCCGCATTATCGCCCAAGCTGCTCTTGAGGAACAAAAATGCTTCTGGCAGCGTGGCCCTCAGCCTACCTACCCCAATGTCAACTCACTCACACCTGAAACGTACACAGCTGAAAGCGTTGACCGCATCCTAAGCTGGAGTGCCGAAATGTTTGAGCGTCTCCGTCTTGGAGATCGAGAAATCAACAGGGAACTTGACGGATACCCTCTGCGAAAATCCATGCCTACTCTTGCCCTTACCACTGCCGATGCTAATTAAACGACTCAACCTGCTGACAAAAACCCTTGATCATTAACATATAACCTTCTCATGCCATTTGTCTCGGCGCATTAGTGTATTAAAATCATACTCATATATAGCGAATACCCCTGTATTAATAGATAGACATAATATTTCAAGCACTTGTATATCAAATTCTTGCGTAAACAAGGAAACGCCTCGGCCGTAACGGCCTTAACGGTATATTTCTATCTAGACTAGAGCTAAATATTGCTTTCAACTTGCGGTGTGACTAGGCCGTACCCAAAAAGTATCCTGATACGGAGTATCTATGCTAGAAGATTCCACCGCTGTTGGTACGTAATAGCCCGTTTAGCTCATATAAAAGCTGCTTTCGCAACAAAGAAAATATCAACAGCGATGCACTAACACTCAGGTCAACCATAATTCAACCACATCTCAACTCTATACAGGACAAAATCGACGCCAACAGTTTAATAGCAACTCTAATACGGAGTAGATACCACACATATGGCTAAAGTCCACGCCGCCAACTTCTAGCTCAGGTAGTCCAAACTAGCATCGCAGAATAATTTGTCTATCCGGCCACTCTAAGAAGTCTTTGTCTATCTACCACTTCATATTTCCAAGAGCAAGGCCGCTCTCAAGCAGGCTGCTCGGTGCTACAAAACTGAACCCACCAAAAGGATCATCAGGAGCCTGGACACCCCCCATCTCGCCATCGACAAATCCCTCACCATCGACGTCCGTCTCATCCATGGCGTTTGCAGACGGCCCAGACTTAGTCGTTACGACAGGGCTGAGGGGCAATGAAGTGAAATCATGAGAGAAATTCTCAGCAAGAGCGGGGTCTGTTACGACAGGTTTGATCGGAGGCTCCACGGCACGCTTTTCCAGGGCTTTCCAGTCGATTTTCCTGAAGAATCGATGGGATTTGATGGTGCGTATGTCCTTGGACGTATAGTATCCTAGACGCTTCTGCGGTTCTTTACGGAGCAAGCGTGTGAGGAGATCTTTTGCATCGGGGCCCAGGAAATATGGTAGTACGAGTTTCTGCTTCAAGATCCTTTCCTGGATTTTGGCGTGATTGTTGCCCTTGAATGGAGGCGAGCCGGTGAGAAGGTCAAATCCCAAAGCGCCCAGTGACCACCAATCGCAAGCTTTGCCATAAGGCTTGCCCATGATTACCTCGGGAGCCATATACTCTATAGTTCCCAAGGAGGAATTGCACCGCTCATCGTCGTCGACAGCAACCTTGCTGAGGCCGAAATCCGTGAGCAGGAGGTGGCCGTCGGCATCCAAAAGGCAGTTCTCGGGCTTTAGGTCACGATAGATGACGCCGACATTGCAGTGCAGATGTTCCAGGGCGAGAACCATCTCCGCCATATAGAAGGAGGCCGTTTCCTCAGAGAACATGCGCTCGATCGCGAGATGGGTGAACAGCTCGCCTCCCTGCGCGTACTCCAGGATTAAATATAGCTTCTCATGGTCCTGGAATGCGTAAAACAGCTTGACAACAAACGGATGCCGGTTAACGCTTTCTAGGATCGCCCTCTCCGTTTTGGTCTGTTCCACTAGCCTCTTATGCACAGTAAGGGAAGCCTTACGGAACTGCTTTTGTGCATACAAGGCCCCGTTCATCTTCTGCTTGACGAGCAAAACTGTCCCGAATGTTCCCTTCCCAAGACACGTCAATGACTCAAAATCAGCGGCTGACATCTTCCTGTTGAGTACTGCTTTTTTCGCTTCATTGCTTGCAGGCTTGGGCCCTTCGCTGTTGAGATCTAGACTAACGAAGTCGTTCCCTAGAGGAACCTCATAGGTTGTCAAGATCTCGGTCTGGTCGCTTTCGGAAATTACGCTGCCGCAACTTGACGTTTCTGAACCTTTCTTGCTAGCCTCTGAGCCCGATGGTCGAGCAGAGCCAACGGCCAATGCGTCCAACTGGAGGCTAAGCGCGCTAATACCGTGGGATGAAGGAGGTCTAGACTCGAAGTTGTTTTTAAACGCACCAACAGGGCGAAGCCGGGGAGAGATGGAAGAACGTCCATCCTTGAAATAAGCAGGAGGTGTCTCACAGCCGGGTTGGGGGGCGTGCACGACGGGAAGCCTGGCATCCACATTCTTGGCCGGTTTCTTCTTCTTTTGTTTCTTTTTCTTCGCTTCATTTACGCCTCCACGGTTGGGATTCGGCTTGATAGGGGTCACATTGCCTGGAACCATACGGAAACTGCTTGTGGCAGCAGCCTGTTCACTGATCACTGTTGTCCATGATTTGGCAATGTCCGCTTCATCGGCTTCTTCTGGCTCTGGCGTTTGCGGCATAAACACGTCAGATACGACAAATTCCTCCTGAGGTTGCCATCGTGGCGAACCCCTCTTGCTCTCTGCTCGGTGGACAGAAAGCAGGTCGCTCTCTAGGACCGGATTCGCCATGTAGCCCAGTGGTGGAGTGGGTTTTGTCGTGGGATAATTCCTACTCTTGACACGGCGTACGAGGGGCGCGGGTCAGCGGCACTAGATGCCCGCGGGGAGGGAAGTGGCTTTCGATAACTGGAGTCACTGCACGGGGGAGTCAGCGTCACTCTAGCAGGATGATATCAGATATCACCGTGATATCTCTTACCTGTTTGACTCCGGGCCTAACGAATGGCCCTTTTCTTCTTTCTTTTCTTCAAGTATTCGCAAATGTATTGTTGTTCCCTTTGCTAATCTTCAAGTTTACCGTCCGCCCTTTTTCAGGACGGACCATTCACCGGTAGCCAAACCACCCTATCCACCTCTGTGCCTAGAATGTCAAGTCGTGGAGAGATTGCGGGAACAGTGCAGTTGTTATCACCCAAGGCTGAGGCAGGGAAAGCGGCAACGAATACTAGGCCGGAGCCAGGTACAAAGGAATCGATATAAAGCGAGTTTGTTGATAAGCCCATAGATGAGATCGTATATATGATAAAAGCGGTTAAAAATGCAGCTCTTGACAGTTCAATTCGTCGCTGGTTCTTCTCGTTGAAAGACTTCTTGTCCGTCTGTCGAACTTGACGTCAAGAACCAAAAGATCGCTAATCAACAAAAAAAAGACCGCTTAGGTAATCGGGCCGCATGCAACGAATCGGCGGCTTCTGATTGGCTAGTTTGATCACAAGTGACGGAGAAACTATGTTCCGGATATATGATCACATGATATAGCTATATATACAAAAAAGGCACATAGAAAAGAGCATTCGATGTTTGATAGATGATGCTTCACAGCGGCGGATGGGAGACGCCGAAGAAGCTAGCTGTGCGTGTTATCTCCAGGCCGGAATACGCTACAAAGGCCATGGCGCTGGGCTTCTCGACTCTGACCGTCACCTCCTCTATCTCAAACTGGGTGATCACAACCTTGGCCGCATGTGTAGCCAGCGCTTCCACCGTTTCGTATGAAGTTGTGTCAATGCTCTAAAGTTGGTATCAGCATCAAATAAAAGTCATTAATATAGGAGGTGAAGAGCATACCTCTGCCACCGCCGAGACCATCGCCTGATACTGTTTCGGTATCATACGAGATAGCCAATCTCCCTTGCCAGATCCATCCCGAAAGGTCAACGCAAGCTCGACGATTTGCTTGTCCTTCCGCTCATAGGCATTCACCCCGACGATACAAGCACATCGTATCCCTTCGACTCTAACAGTCAAGTCGTAGTCCATAGACACATGTTCTTTAAACCGTCTTTCCCTCGTGACAAGTGAACAATGTAATCCACGTTCCGCCCGTAATATGGCCTTGGGGAGATGAAGATCAACCGTTATCTCTTCTTTCTTCTCCACGAACCAGCTATCCTTAAAGATAGGGTCATCCTTGTCGCGTCCTATGGGGCCGATCTCTGCCCATAGCACTTTATATGCAGCATCGCTGATTGTTCGGGTAATGTCGACTATATCCTTGCTGTAGGAAGGTCGTTTCGTTGGGTCCTCTGCGTTCTCGTCTACCACGGCCTCTCTATTGCTGGATATTATTGCAGATTCGATAGATCGGTAGAGGGTGCCGTAGTTGAGGGTGCTGCCGACTGTATCGCTGTCTGCGGCCAGGGCGATGAGGGAGGCGGGGTATGAGATGCGCACGGAAAAGCTGGCTGGTTGCGGTTTGTTGGTTTGTTTCCAGGCGTTTGTTCGGAGATAGATGGGCACTGGGAGCTGGACGTTGCGCAATTGGATATAGTCGCATGGTGATTTGTCCATGGCTTCTGATATTGGATGCTGCTCAGAGGAGTGGTGGGATGTTGTAGTAAACCTGGATAGTGGGGTGTCAAGTTTATCGATTCAAAAGCTGTCTCGAGCTATCATGCTTCAATTTTTTTACTCCCCTATAATTAGAGGTCAGCTTGATGACAGAGTGTTAGGTACTACATTCACGCAGCTCGATGGTTATACAAGAGTCTCCAAGATAGGCTCAGCTCAACGTTGTACAACCTAATCATAAATGTTCAAGTTAACTAATAAAGTAAGCACAGCTCATGTTTTAAATACATAAATAACTACTAAAGTCCATCTCATGAAGCCCTCCGAATTTTACGATAACGTTCTCAGAAACTAAAGCTCATAAGAAATTCGTTTCGTGGCCCTTCAGAGGCCATACGTCATATTGGTTCCCCCCCGCCGACCACATAGAAGAGAAAAAGGAAATATCATTGCAACAGCAAATAGTGGAAAAAAGGGGACAACAGATCAGGACAATACATGGCCGTCAGCTGGGAGGATAGGAATAGAAAAGTTGAGAAATGATCATCATCGTCATGACAGTGTTTGGGCAGACGGATAGGATGGAGAAATGAAGAAAAGGTTGAGCTTATTCAGTACATCAGATATCCTCCCAGGGCTACGAGATTGAGAAAAGATAAAAATAACTCACGCTGTGCAAGCTATACTGAAACAGGGCAAGGAAGAATGAAAATGTGTTACCGACAAGATAGATCCGAAAAGCTGCTGAATTGCTGCAAGGTACGAGAGCGGTGGTATCCGTCTAGTTAACAGGTGTAAAATGTTGCGCGATTTTTTGGATTAGGGGGTTTCGTTAAGTAGATAGAGATATGAGAGTCGGTTCTGGCTGGCTGACTGGCGGAAGCTGGTTTGGTTGAAAAGAAAAGCTCGTTTTCATCGGACATGGTGAACGTCACGTCGGTGGCAGATTCTTACTCTTTTCTTTGGCTCTTCAAAAGGAGTAATAAGCATCAGGATCGGACGGAGGACTGGGTGATACGGTCTCTCTTTCTCTTTTCTCTGATGCCAAAACAAGGAGTTCAAGGTAAGGCGGGATAGGGGAAAGAAGGGGAACGCTAGATTGGAGGTAAATAGAGAGAATAGTCTACCAGTATCCGCCCCGGCGGTCATAGCCGCCTCCATATTCTCCACGGGGAGGACTGCGTGGTCGCCCCCCGAATGGAGCACCACGCGGCATGTACGGATCGTCGTAGTGACGAGGGGGACCGCCGCCGCCGCGCATCTCATACGGGTCATCGTATGGTCGGCGAGGTGGTGGGTAGTCATCTACGCGCGCACGAGGGGGTGAGCGGCGGCCGTAGCCATCACGCTCATAGTAGTCACGGCGCCCGTGAGGGGAGCGCTCACGGTAGTGGCCACGGGGGCTGTAGCCTCTGGGTGGACCGCGTCTATCATAGTCCTCGGCTGGCGGGTATGGAGGGCCGCCACGACGAGGAGGGGAACGGGAGCGGTATGGATCCCTGGGAACACGGTCCTCCATGGGTGGTTGGATCTAGAAGAAATGAAGTTGAGCTGTGAATCCATGTCATCTTATCCGGGGAGGGTGGTGAATTCCTACGTCCGCAGTGCAGGTCACTCGGGAACCTTTGAAGTCGGTGCCATCCAATTTCTCAACGGCGGTCCGGAGGTCGTTGCCATTCTCGAATTCAACGAATCTTTTTCAGGTCATGGTTGGTTAGTTCTCCACGAGGTAGAAGGAGGATCGGTCGAAAAAGGGGAGGATGCGAACCCTTTCCCGTCACGGTCACGGGTTTCAGAATAGACGACGTCAAGTCCTGACTGGCGGGCGAAATCCTTGAGATCCTAAAAAGAGAGTATGATGCGTGAGTCCTAGTGTCCTGGAAACGAAGTTGTGTGTGTGTATATATTTCCCTTCCCATGTCCGTGAACTCCAGTGAGCGAACAGGTTGCGAAGCCAGACCTGAACACCTCTCCAGATTGGAATGATGGGTGGATCAACCGAAAGGGGGATTTTCCAACCAAGCTCGACTAGAATTAGGGACTCTTATAAGGGTGGAATGAAAGGGCGAGGAGGGAAATGGTAATCTCAATCTCCACACGGTCCAGGGGAGAGCGGGAGCGGGCATAAGCTAACCTGCCAACTGGTCTCTGGCAATCCAGTTATCTGCATACGGTATATGGTTCGTCGTGGACGAGGAGCAGCAGACCGTTCGGGAGGCCCAGGGAATGGCTCTCTACGCCGTGGCCCACGCGCAAATTGTACCGTGAGCCTTTCACCTTTGAAGTCGGTACCATCTAAAATACATTAGATGGGTAGTGGTTTTAAGTCATGGTATGGAACCAAACTTATTTCATCACGGAACGGAAACAGATATGTCACGTACGGAAAGCTGAAGGACAGAAGGAAGAACGGATTCCAGTATTAGCAAGGCGTCGCATGGTTTAGTAGAAGACTCAAGAAAAAAAAAAGAAACAACAAAGGAAAAGGATCCAGTAAAGTAAACGCGACCACGGAGGTGTCCTCACCAGGAACGACATCTTTTGCATCCATAGCATCCTCGTATTCGATAAAGCCAAAGCCTTGCATCAGCTTGATCTCAGTTATCTTTCCGGTACCGTGGGAGCCGAAATGCTCTTCGATGTCCTGTTTATTGACTGGAAGGAAAAAACCCAGGCAGAAAAGGATGCCCTTTGAGTCAGCTGTAAAGGCCACGAACGATCCGGAACGGGACAAGGAGGTAGTTTTTAAGGCGGAGCCAGGAAGGTGGACATAGACATGGACATGGACATGGACGTGGACGTGGATAATGGGGGAATAGAGCAGAGCATAGCATAGCGTGGCACGTAGCATATCATAGCATGGTATGTGGCATGGCAAGGCACTGCATGACCCTTTCCTTCATCCCCATAGCTTCATGTTGTTTTTGGCCTTTTTCCTCTCCTGGAGAGGAGCGATCCAGACACGCGGACAGAGAGACGAGCAGGCAAGGGACTCCTGGAGTCTGGTCTGCGCTAGAGTCTGCCTATCCAATACCATTATCCAGTACAAGATGGGGTGACGGTGGTGACGGTGATGAGATGTAGTAAGACCAGCAGCATACCATTACGGGGCAGATTCCCGAGATAGAGACGGGTGGAGGATACTTCGCTCATGGTGAAGCGCGACGCGGGTTCCCGTAGATAGGATCAGGAGGTGGGAGGCCTTGGACTGCGGGCTGAAGACTCCTGGTGATGGTGATGGCGAGGGCGAGGGAGGTGGTTGTGGTGGTGATGGAGATGGTGATGGAGGTGGATGGAGGAAAGTGGCAGGAGAAGCGAGGGGAGCGAAGATTTGCTCGAGCGTTCAGCCATTCACGTGGCTTTCCCCAACTCCACCGACTATTTACACCGTGCTTATGGCTTACAGAGTACGAGTACATGATGAGTACATAAAGGAGACAAGACGATGAGACGATGATGAGACGATAAGAAGGTTGTGACGATGACGACGCTTTTGGCTCTATTCTGTACATGTCTGGATGAACGCTGGTATCCTTTTATATAAATCGCAATATTGATAAATATCAGTTAACCCTTAAGTGATGGAATACTTGGGTCCCTCGCCTCCCTGGGGAGTCTGCCAGTTAATATCCTGCGTAGGAACCTTGATATCGCACGTCTTGCAGTGGATACAGCTATAATCAACCGTTAGCATCGGAATCACCAGACTAAAGAGACAGACTTACTTCTGCGCATTGATCTGGAACCGCACGCCATGCGGCTTCTCCTTGTCCTCAATATACTCGTACACGCCAGCAGGGCAGAACCGATTCTCCACCCCCTGCCACTTCGGCCATGCCTCGGCCGTGTGTTTCTCCCAGTCGGCAACCTGGAGATGAACGGGCTGGTCCTCTTCGTGGTTCGTCCCCGTCCGGCTCACGCTGGTGAGTATATCGAAGCTAACGACGCCGTCGGGCTTGGGGTATTCGATCTTCTTGCACTCGCTGGCGGGCTTGGTGGCTGCCGAGTCTGTGCCGTGGTGCTTGAGCGTCCATGGGACGCGGCCGCGAAGGATATAAGCTTCCAACCCACTGTACATGATACCGCCGTAGATTCCCAGCGGTGTGTTGAATGATGGGCGCATGTTACGGACTTCCTTGAGTTCAGACCAGATGGTTGAAGAGCGTAGAGCGTCTTCGTACTCGTATAGGAAGATGGTGCCGTCGGACGAACCGCCCGAGAGAGCAGAGTAAGTTGCCTTTGCGGCGAGCATGCCGGATAACATGGATGTATGTGTTCCCTTGATCTTGGGCACGTTCATGAACCCTGCGCTGTCGCCGATGAGGGCACCGCCGGGAAAGGCGCATTTGGGGATAGACTGGAAGCCACCCTCGATGAGTGCGCGGCCAGCATAGGCGAGACAGTTACCTCCCTCTAGAACGTTGCGGAAGAGAGGGTGCTGTTTTAGCTTCTGGAACTCGTTGTAAGGTGATAGCCAGGGGTTAGGATAGTCGAGTCCCACGGTTAAGCCGATAGAGACCATGTTTTCGCCAAAATGGTACATGAAGGCGCCGCCGTATGTGTCCATTGGCAAGGGGTAGCCCATCGAATGCACCGTCTCGCCCTTGCGGAACTTCTCAGGTTGGATCTCCCATACTTCTTTGATGCCGATACCGTACGTCTGCGGCTGGCAGTCACGGCGTAGGTCGAACTTCTTCATCACCCGCTTGGTCAGGGAGCCGTGGCATCCCTCCCCGAGCAGAGTGACGCGAGCATGGAACTCCATCCCCCGCTCAAACGACTCCTTCGGCTTACCGTTCCGCCCGATGCCCACGTCGTTGGTTGCAACGCCCTTGACGGATCCGTCGGTGTTGTAGAGTACTTCACTCGCAGCGAAACCGGGGTATACCTCTACGCCTAGCTCCTCTGCCCGCTCCCCGAGCCATTTACACAGCTGGCTGAGCGAGATGATGTAGTTCCCATGGTTGTTCATCTGTGGAGGCGCGGGGATGGGGATGGCGTATTTCTCGGTCAGAAAACGCATCTTGTCCGACGTCACGGGCGTGGTGTGCTCGAAGCGGTTCGGGTTATCCTCCGACAGCCAGTCCGGCAGCAGCTCATTGATGGCCGTGGGCTGTAGTACGTTTCCAGACACGATGTGGTCTCCGATCTCACCTGCTTTCTCGAGCAGCAGGACGCGGAAGTCTTCGTTTCCAGCATCGTTGGCCAACTTCTTCAACTGGATGGCAGCGCATAGACCGGCGGGACCTTGACCATCATCAGCATTCAGCATACCACATCACATCAATTATGCCTCAAACTCACCTCCGCCAACGATGCAGACGTCCACCTCGTCGGACTCTCGCTGGATATCCTCCGGCTTGAACCTGGGCTCGTCCTCCTCCGCCTGCCTCCTGGCCGATACGTGCGAGAACGCTCTGCTCTGGCCGGCCAGCCCCGTCTGTCCGGCGATGCCTCTCTGCACCGCCCTCCTCTTCGAGGCCGCCGCACGAGTCGAGTACTGCAACCTAGCCGCCGTGGTGCTTGGTATCCTACCCGGTATCCTGGCGGCCCTCCATGCGGGGGAAGACGAGCATGCCTCTCTGCGCGCGAACGCAAAGGGCAGCACCGCGGACCTGGACGCCATTGACGATACTCCGTGCTGTCTCTAAACAGTGATAGATAGAGGGTCGATGGTAGAATGGATGGGTGGTCGGCCTGATGCTCCGGTTCGAGAGAGAGGTAGGCATAATGTTCCGACCAGAAGCTAGGGAAGTTGAGCCGAGGCCAGCCGAAGCAGCCAGTGAGCGGTCAGGTGATGGTCAGGTCGCCTAACTTGCCTTCCTCGGCGGTCCCGTGACGGCGCTTCTTCCTCGGCTCATCCTCTTACCTAATACCTTCTTACATAATAGCTTCTTACCTAATCATCTAACGACTAGCTTCCACGTATTCCGTATTCTGGATCTTCCTCGCGTCTTCACGCGTCTAAATGTATCACAACGGGATGCCTCGGACAGCTACATGTCGATTTCCAACACACCCAGCAAACACCGTCTCTGCCTTTTTTTTCCTTTCTTCTTCGTCTTCTTCTCCGGCTTCTTCTTTCTTCTTCTCCCACTTTCTTTGTATGGTAAATGCACGCACAGTGAGTCAAAGGGGGGGGAAAAGGGGTGGCGAGGCAGGCGAAGCAACGCGCCAAGACCCGGTCTATCGGCAGTGATTGGCCCCCACTAGTCCGCATCGGGCAGGCTCTGGCCCCACCCATGACGCCGCCAAAAGGAGAAAGGGGGAAGGCCGTGGCCCGAAGGACGTGGAGGGCGTGGGCGTAGGGCGTCTCCGAGTGCGCCGGGCAACAAGTATAAAAGGAAGGCCTCCGCCCGCCTTTCGCCTTGCTTGCGACGCCGAAAAAGCTCTTCCTGCTGGTCTTGGCATCTCGCTCCTTCGCCATTACATCATCTACCTCTATCTACATCTACCTACATCTACACCATCACCACTCTACTACTCTACCACCTCTTACTCTATCACCTCTCCACCTACCTACTAATAGAGAGCTCTGCTCACCGTACACTAGCGTATCAAAGGTAGTTAATATATCTTGTTGCCTGCTTGCGTTGGCTTATCACCATGCTTCATCTTCATCTTCATCATCATCTCATCATCATCATCATCAACTTCATCTCATCACATCACATCGCATCTTATAGACGCGATATCGCATGTCCCTGTTGCTGACTTGCGCCAGTTAGTGGTAGTTCGCGACCTTTCAGCATCGGGGGAGGCATTCACTTGTTCATCTCCCATCACTCTCACGGTAGGCCTGCATCAATATACCCTCACTCTCACTCCACTTCCGCTCGCACTCGCACTCACTCCTCGTCATGGTTCTGCGTGTCGCGTGCTGCGTGTTGTTGTTACCGCGTTGTGTTGCTGTGGTGCTGACTTTATGTAGGCTGTTGCTTAGCCTGTCGCATCGAGTCACCTGACCTCTTCGACCCTCGCCCTCGACCTTTCTCTCCGTCAACAAAACAACAAGACCTCCACAAGACAGTCACACCGAATCGCAATCATGGATTCTCTGACTACCCATCCCGCGACCGCGCAACAGGCAAAAGCGTTCACGTCTCCGGCCTCCCTGTCGTTCCCAGGTGGCGCTGGCGAACTGACCCCTCCCTCGTCCGAGAAAGAGGCCAACGGGGCCCTCCCCCACGGCCAGCAGGCTCAGTCCATGCTGCAGTCTCAGTCGCAGGGGAACCCGGCTGCGGCAGGCAGCTCGGGCACGGCGGCCACGCCCGCGACCCCAGTTGCGACTCCTGGAGCCGGCCCAGGCGTGAGCGGCATTGTACCTACGTTGCAGTGAGTATTTTATACATCATGATTTTCTGCTCTTGTGCATTGCATTCGCCTTTGCCCTTCTGGCCCACCAGAAAGCTGAAGCAAGATTATCATGAAGAAATATCGTTGCCACCGTCAATCTTGATTGTCGACTGGATCTCAAGACCATCGCCCTGCACGCGAGGAACGCCGAATACAACCCAAAGGTAAACATCTCTACATGTTTGTCTGCATAAATATACAATGCTAACTGGAACAGCGTTTCGCGGCCGTCATCATGCGTATTCGAGATCCCAAAACCACTGCGTTGATATTCGCATCCGGCAAGATGGTCGTCACCGGCGCAAAGTCAGAAGACGACTCGAAGCTCGCGTCCCGAAAATACGCCCGTATTATTCAGAAGCTAGGCTTCAACGCCAAGTTCACCGACTTCAAGATCCAGAATATCGTCGGCTCGTGCGATATCAAGTTCCCCATCCGTCTCGAAGGTCTAGCCAGCAGACATCACAACTTCAGCTCCTACGAACCAGAGTTGTTCCCTGGCTTGATCTATCGTATGATGAAGCCGAAGATCGTGCTGCTGATCTTCGTCAGCGGCAAGATCGTGCTTACTGGTGCCAAGGTTAGGGAAGAGATATATCAAGCTTTCGAGATGATATATCCTGTCTTGACTGGTAGGTCCATTCTGCGATGTAAGGTTTATCTACATCGTTCTAACATGTGCAAATAGATTTCAGAAAAGTCTGAACAACCCAAGACGATATCTATGACTCTCAACCGACCCACCCTTGTATTAACAGTTTCCTTCCATACGTTTTGAAAAAAAAATTGAACGAGGCATGGTACGGTACTGCAGTGGAAAAACTGATCAAAGCGCGTTCAACAATCTGGAAATCGTGCGCAACATCAACTATCCACGAACACCACTACCCAACCTCTTCTCTACGCCCCCCTTTTCCCCAATTAGCTCTTTTTGTCTCCTTTTTACTCATTGCATTTACACGGCGTTATAGCGACTTGCCACTCGGTTTGTTTCTTGCGGATAATCCCTGAAAAAGAGAAAACAACCCCCTTCCTAATGCCTTGAAATGGGCAACGACTAACATCCTACCTACTTACCTACCAACCAACCAAACAACCTTTAGAGAGAAGGCCTTTTCTTTTCCTACGGTTTTGCCAACGGTGCATACGGTGCTGGTGCAGGTTCATGTCTTTTCTTTCTTCTTTTACGTCTTTCCTGGGTCGTTTATTTATTTGACCTCCTTTCTTTCTTTCCTTCCCACTACGACCACGATTACATTGCGATTGCAGATGCATCCGTAATGAATCATCTTACCACGCACATCACATCAGCAGAGAGATATGGGACAGTGGATTCGATTCGATTTCTGTTCTCGTCTTTCCCCCATCCTATCTGCTTGCACTGCGTGTTTGTTTGTTTGCAGCTTTAAAATAAAAAAAGTTTCGGTGCAAGGGGAGGAACATGGGAAGTAAGGGAACGGAACCAGGGGAAGGGGAGTGAGTAAGTTTTTTTTTTTTTACCTTTTTTTCTTATGCTCCTTCGAGCTTATTAGATTGTCTCGAGGCATGTTGTGGCTTTCGTACTCGGTGGCCCTGCATTCGCATACATGCCTGCCTGCGCGTGCGCATGGCCGGCTTCTAACTTGTATTGTTGCAAGGAAAAGAAAATATATTAATGTTTTATGTAAAATGGGTTGTTTCTCATCTGTTTCGTTTCATGCGTGCCGTAGCGTAGCGTAGTCTTGTCTATCGTATTGACTTCGTACCTGCCGATCTATATATAACTTCACAGTCTACTACAGCCGACTGCTGACGTTGATGCCATCGCCCTTCGCCAATTCTTCAGCCAACACCATTCCCTTGACGCCAGAGCGACTACCGTCTTCCGTCCAGACAGTAGCTACACTCCCATCGGCCCGGGTAAGTGGTTTCTCAGCCCACTTCCACAGCGCAGCGAGATCAGCATCGAGTTGGCCCTGCATGGCATCCACGATCTTTTCGCCCAGTACGGGAAGGAATTTATATCCGTGTCCGCTGCCACCCGTTGCAATGAACAGTGATTTAATCTCCGGATGGAAAGAGATTATGAAATCGCCCTCTGGTCTATCGCGTGGAGCCCGTTAACACACACGCACCCTCCTGGACCAGCTACAGGGGGGTTTGACAAGAGCAGGGAACAAAGCAGGGGAAACTCACGTATCTGTATACCAGCATATGCGCGTCTTTGTAAACGGCCTCTCCCCCAGCGCAGGAAGCATCCCTCTCAGGGCCGCGCGAGCTGCCTTTTGCCCTTCAAGAGGCAGGGGCGCATCATTTGATGGGAGACTTACTTCTATCTTACCTGGTGCAGTTGGATGGTTGATTATAGTTGGATTCCGATAACCGTACGCATGTCTTCCGATCTTTAACTCGTTATTGCGTGGTGGAATGATGAACATCCCTGTCGAAAAGTCAAGTAGCGTCGGTATATCGTTAAGCTTCCTCTGTTCCTCATCCGTTAAGCGTATGTATGCCAGGGAATGGCCCGTGGCTTCTGCCCGTCCACGAAGGTCAATTAACTTCCCAGTCCATGCGCCGGTAGCTAATACCACGAGGTCGGCCGATAGCGTTTGACCATCTGATAGCCGGACGCCAGTAACTTTGCTGCCCTCGGCTTCATCGATGAGTAGTCTCTCAACTTGCCCGACGAGGAAACGTACCCGGCCCATCTCATCCAGCTTCTTCTTCGCATATCTCACTCCAGCCTCGGCATTGCCCCAGGCAGAATCCCAGTTCACGTAGCCGCCGTTAACGTGTGATCCGACGCCGTAGCCGGGTACTACGCGCCGTATATCTGCTGCAGACGGCAACTCCTGCACTGCATCGGGATTCAACCGCTTGACGTTCTCGTAGCTCCGTCTCATGTACTCGTGGCCTGTAGCGGTGGAAGAAACCAACACCAGACCGTTCTGGTGATGTCGTCCATCATGGCCCCAGGGTGTAGAGCGCCATTGCGTAAGAGCCGAGTTGGCAAGACGTGAGTATGCTGGGTTAGCGTAGTCGGCGCGTAGAATGCGCGAGGAGTCAACGGATGAGCCGTGAGGGTTTGGAATAGTCGGGGCAGCCTCTATAAGGGTTATGGTACCTGTGTGACGACGGGAGAGGGCTAAGGCCGTTGATACTGGTGGTGAAGTGTTAGTGAGCAGTCAACGGAGAGGGGAAGCCGGGGAAAGAAATACAGCCGAAGACGCCGCCGCCGACGATGAGGATTGAGTGTGGGAGTTTCGAGGCCTCTGTAGATGGTGACATCGTGTTAATAGAGGTGGAATAGACGGAGAGACGATGCGAACCTTTGCTCCTCTACCTGTCAAGGCCAGTCAGTATGTTGATGCCGGTGCGAGGTCGGCTGCCAGCTGGCGCCGAGAGTGGAGATAGCATCTAGTGTCAGTCGTAAGTAAAATAGCTAGTCAACGGCTAAGCCATCCCTCGACGATGCCAGCTATTGATATACCCGATACATGTTCAAGGAGAGGAAGAAGGAGTATGTTGATGCCATGAACAAGGATGAGCTGACGCTTATCGATAACAAATTTTTCTCACCATTTGCACATTTACACATTTACAGCATCAACAGCATCAACAGCACCACGACAGCCAGGTATCTGCTGGTCAATTGAGCCCGAGACAGGATGCGTCCATCTATACAGCTCCTCAAAGCTGTGCCTCGAAAAGCACCTCTGGCTCCTCTTCCGAAATCGCCGTCACCACACCTACATAGGTCCGTACTGCTTCTACGCGCACACTGGCAAGTGTTAACAAGTCTACAGAGCAACACCACGCAAACCTCCAGCTACTACTCATCATGACGTGCCGTCGCCATCACCATCTAGACCTCCGACCAAGTCCCGGCCGATCGTCCTTACCGTCGCGGCCGTAGCCATGTTCTCTCTCTCCGCCTACGCGAGCTACCTGTACACCACCTACCGACAAGCAGCGAGCTCCAGCCCATCCTCGATACCGGACCACGACGTATCAGACCGGTACCGCACGACAGCCCCATCGTACGATTCGGACGTCGACATGGCCGAGCGAATGATGCGTATGGGCAAGAGGCGGCGCGACCTGGTGCGTAAGGCGCGCGGAGACGTGCTGGAAGTCAGCGTTGGCACCGGCCGGAACATACCGTACTACATGCTCGGCGAGAGGAGAGGAGTAGACAAGGACGGCCGAGCGAGCGTGCTGGGCTGTCGGAGCGTCACCTTTGTCGACCTCTGGGGGGAGATGGTAGATATTGCGAGATGGAAGTATGAGGAGTTTGGGAGTAACAAGGAGAAAGGCCGGGCGAGGGTAGTCTTCCTTGCACAGGACGCGATGGCACCCGTCTCTCCTCCAATCAACGCCGGCAGCAAAGAGAATAAGAAGAAATTCGATACAGTGGTGCAGACGATGGGCCTGTGTTCGCACCCCGACCCCGTGAAGCTGCTCCGACACCTGGGCACCGTGACGGAGGAAGACGGGGGCAGGATCCTGCTTCTCGAGCATGGACGGGGCCACTACGCGTGGGTGAACAGGTTGCTGGACGATCTGGCGCCCGCCCACGCCGATCGGCACGGCTGCTGGTGGAATCGAGACATCGGGGATATCGTGAGGGCGAGCGGGCTGGTGGTGCTGGAGGCGCGGAGATACCATCTGGGCACGACCTGGGAGTATGTCCTGCGGCCAAGGAAGGCGGAGGAAGGAGAGGCAGCATCATCAGCAGCAGAGGATGATAGATCTACGGCTGCTCCTGGATCTGATGCATCTACTACCGCATCTACTGGAACAGACGGGTGGTTGGTTTGGAAGAAAGGATGAGGCCCTGAGCCTATAGGGACGAAGGAAGAGCATGCGGTGTGACGTTCCCTGCATGGAGGTAGAAGGATAGCTACATGTACTGGAAGCAAGTATTCGCAGGTACCTCCCCCGATCTACGGTGCTAAGTCCACTCGCCACCACCACCTCTCAACTATTTCCTGTCTCGCCTCTGGATTATGTTTCTGACAAGTGAAAGTGATATATGCAAGCCGGTGCAGGCGGTGCAGGCTGGAGCAGGCCGGTGGGTGTCGGTGCATGTTGCAGGCGTGAAGCAGCTTCGCAGGGATAGGGCCAGGGGAAGCGAGAGGTGAATCAGGAGCAGCGTCCGTTCTCCGTATAAACTCCGTATCGCCCCATCGAGCAGAACCCATAGAACAGGGCCGGCACACGACAAGAAGTGATACATGCTAGCGGCGCAGGGATGTGCAGGTTCGCAGTGCGCGGCGGCCCTGGCACCCTGGCATCCGCTGGCAAGTCAGCGATCGAGCGTTGGACGGGGGGAGGTAGGGATGTCGCCCGTTAGTAGGTGTATCCCCGGCAACAAGGGCGGCGTTGGTAACAGCCTTTGCTTGTTTCGTCCGTTTCGTCGGTCCACTTAGCACTTTTAGCAGCTGCTAGCACTCGGAGATCAGGATAGATCATGCTTAGAACAGATAGAACGATCGATGGAAGGAGATATGAGTATAGATTTGTATATATAAACTTGATATAGGAAGAAGGTTGAGATAGAAGAAGGAGGAGGTTTGATATACAGTACCTAGGGGTACATCCCTTATCTTATAGTTACGGTGACTGAAGAAGTACCTCGAAGTACCCACCTGCCCCCTTGCCCGATCAGGCCTAGCGCGCCCCCTTGCCCGAAGAAAGAAAAAAACCTGCTCGCCGCCTTTTCGTTCTGCCTCTTCTCTACTTCTACTTCTATCTCTATACACCGACACTCTCACCTACACTCCCTACACTCCCTACTACATACATAAGATAGAATGGGCTACAATACGCGCCGCAAGTCGCTGTCGCTGCCGTCGCTAGGCATCCACATCCCGAGCGGTCGCCGCGCCTCGACCACCAGGCCGGCCACCGCAACCAGCACGATCACGCCAACAACACCCTCGCAGCCCCCGGTGAAGAAGCTGAAGCGGTCGCACGAGTCGGCAGAGGGCGCAGAGACACCAGCAGCGGCTCCGGATGCCCTGCTGCTGTCCAAGGAGGCCGCGCGAGCAGCTTCCTTCCACACGCCGCCCCCGTCACCCTCCGCTGCTGCCTCGGACCAGGGGCAGGCACAGCTCAAGATAGACACCGAGGGGATAGCGGACGATATAGTGGTCGCCGTCATCCAGCAGCTCGAGAAGACCGGCAACAGGCCCCATCTCATCAAGGAGCTCGCCGCCGTCCTCTCCTCTACCACCGAGTCCATCGCCAAGTATGTCCCTCCTACACTCCCCCAAAGAATGTTCCCTACTCAAGGATAGACAATGCTAACGGAATAGTTCTGCAAATGCGGCCGCACTCATCTCCTCTCGACTGTCACTCTATCTCAAACGGCCGTGGACCGCCCTGGCGCCGTGTCCCATCGCCAAAGAGCTCATACCCGTCCACCCGCGCAAGGTCTTCTTCTACCTCACAAACTGCCCCCATCAGCCCCTGCCGCAGAACTCGCACGACATCATCTCGCCCTCGATAGAGAAGGAGATCACCCCGTCCCTCTCCAGCGTGGACATCGGCATCGACGACCAGGATCTCGACCTGGACCTGGACGATGTGCAGACGCGAGACAGGTCTCATCTCAGTCCCAGCCCGGAAGTAGATCTCGACATGTCCATCGAGTTTGACCAGGGCCTCGATCAGGACCACTCTGCCGACCCAACGGCCTCGTTTTCCATGCGCCAGCACTCTCACGCCCACGGACATCGGATATCGCATAACCACCGCGCGGCCTCGCCACCGCTGGAAGGTGATGAGCGAGAGTTTACGCTTACGGCTAGCATGGTACGCGAACGGACGACTAGTGATGATGGGACCGCACACCATCTCCGTGGTCTGCTTATGCACAATCAACTCGATGACCAGCAGGACAGCACCCTGGATCTAGACATGGACTCGCCTTACCTAGACGACCACCATACAGAGACCACAGAGGAGTATACGGACTACTTTAGCAGCAAACCCATCAGCATACCAGTCAGCAGTGCAAACAGCAGCACTGATCCAGGAGATACGGTATACGGCACCTCTCCATCTCCTTCAATTGCTTCGGAGGTCTCCTTGGCCTCTCTTACCACCGCCACCTCTGATTGCTGCGACTCGGATGAGGACGTCAAGCCACATGCCGCTCACGAACGGGCACTTAAGAGGACATACGACATGACCCTCCCCGGCATGGAGCTATCCCAGCCCCGAAAGCCGTTGTCGGTCGACTGCACCTTCAGCTTCAAGCTCGATACTGCTCTCGAGTCCTGGGTAGACTTCCGCAGCCCCGAGACTGTCGAGGTAGATGAGCTCGACGCCATCTTCGCTGACATCTAGTCTCTCTTCTCTTCTCCTATCTTCTCTACTCTTCACTTCTATCTATTCCCCTTACACTAATACGTCTTTTAACTCCTATCTCTTCTCATTACCCAATTTGTACTTCTACTTATCTGTATATATAGGTGGTTGCGTTTCTTCCTCTTCCCTCCTCATTTATTGTTTGTTTTATGTACTATTTAATCTACCTGCGCGGCGTACGGCACATCACTACGGGAGGGAGCATTTGTTTTTCTTTGCTTTTCTTTCCTATCTCTTTCATCTGCTTTACGACTACGGTGTTTCGGTCTGGCTCGGCTCGGTTCGGTGTTTTGGGCTTGATGTCTTCAAATAAGCGTTTTCTGTCTTTGTTTCTCGTCTTTTTTTATATATTTACGGTCCAGTGCTTTGCTTGCCTGGTTGCAGAGCAGGTTGCCTGAACAACACAAACAACAACACAAAAAAATCAGAACAGAAATTACTCCGCTTCTCATTTTTCTTGCCTTTTATTCCATTTCGGGTCTTCGCTGCTTGCGTTCTTTATGTTGAGAGTCTACGCCGCCTGTTTTACATATGCTTTCATGCATATAAAAAGTTCCGCTTGTTACTTCTTTGTTTCTATTTTTACGCGGTCAAGTACAGGTGGGAGGATGCAGTGCAGACGGAATCATCTACGGAGATCCCATATCCAATATTCCTACAGATGGCTGATGATGCGACATTAGAGAGATGGGTGATAAAAATATACGAGTCGAGAATGTTCAGTTACTTTGTTCGTCTAGCGCCAGAATGAATATATTATTATTTGTTTTTTATTCATTTATTATATGATCTGGTCTCATCTCGTAGCCATAAGTCATATATCCTGAGCATGTAGATAGATGTACATATGCTAAACCATCCCTCCCCCTTTCGCCGCCCCCTTCCTCGCTTGCCTTCCCTTTGCCTCGTTATCATATCAATACAACCCACCCATTCGCTCATCGATTCCCGTACTAGACATTCCCCCTCGCTAGTTCTAGCCAGATCTACCCTCCCCAGCAGTGAATAGTATGTTTCAACCCTATGCACCTGGTGGCGGTGGCGGCGGTGGCGGAGGGGGAGGTCGATGCGTCCCATTCCGTTCCCGTTCACGTTCGCGGCTAGGTATAGATTGGGCTTGTGACGGTACTGCTGCAGGAGGCGGGCGGGGGAGTGGATGTTCCATTCGCTGTCTCTGTTGGTAGGATGCAGGAACGCGGCTGGTCGTAGTCGTAGATGTGCGATGTTGGTCTCGATCTCGATCGCGTTCTGGTTCTGGTTCTGGATCGGCCTCTCCTTCTTCTCGTTCACCTTCTTCGATTTCTTCGCCTTCTTCTCGTTCTTGGGTGGTGTCTGGTTGGGAGGATAGGTTTAGGTTCGAGGCGGCGTTGGTGAAGGAGTTGGTTACTTGGAGTCGTGGTACGGTGGCAGCTGTAGATGGTGCCGGTGACTTTGACGCAGATACAGCGGACCGGGATATTGACTCCTCGGAGTCCCGGCGCTGGCGTTTGGGCGAGTCCGTTCCATTCGGGACAATCTCGCCGGGTTCTTCTCGGTCGTGTTTGCGTCCATTCGTCTCGCTGCCCTGGGACCCGGGACCCGAACCCGAACCCGCGCCTGAACCTGAACCTGATCGCGCATCATTCGTTATAACTTGTCTCGTCAAATCAGTTGCTTCTTCCCCGTTAACCGGGGTAGGCGCGTATTTCTGCCCTGGCTTCGGTAGCGGATAGTTGTCGTATATCTCTGCCATGCGATTACATGCGCGCCGCACCTCTTTCAGATCAACATCGATCTGCTCCCACCATGGCCTCCCCGCTTCGTCGTCTTTGAATGTAGAATCGCAGTGTCTGGCAGCTGCATACAGCGCGCTCGCAGCGATTGTCCTCGCGCCGAACTGTACACAAAGTACTGTGAATGTCGAATCGTTGACGAACGCCCATGCTGAATTCCGCAGTCGTTTGTCGTCCTGTACCTGGAAGAAACAGATGAAATCATAGAGTAGACGATATGGCTGTTCTAGCTGAAGATCAAAACAGAGAGCTTCCAGCAGTAGATCTTCGTTATGGAGAATGGTGTCCCGCCATTTCCAAAACTCCTTTGACTGCTCGTCCACGATGACGTTGGGCTGTTTCAACGCCACCCTGCAACAAGCTACTATCAGCTCCTTCATCTTTCGGCAGTTCTCCTCCACTTTTGTCGCAAGAAATAACGCCGTGGCTGCGATTGGGTAGGGATGTCTGCCTGGTCGCTGAGGCAGATCTACCATGCTATACCGCATAAAGAAGCGGTGCATGTATACGCTCGCCGTGCAGAGAGTGAGTTGTGGAAGTTTTAGCAATATACCGACTTGTGTGATAAAGTTCACGCCTTTACTCCGTTGCGTGTGTTCGGTCTCCATGGACATGCCGTCGAGTATGGAAGGGGCATATCGGAGGTCGGAGTCGGTGAAGAGCCATTGCGATTCGTTTGAGACGAGGACGGGGTTCGAGGGAGAGGGGACAGGTTTCGTTGGTGCCGGTGCTGACGCTTCCTCCTTTGATGAGGAGGTCGCTACCGATGACACCGGCATCGTGTACGTTAGATGCTGGGGTGAGACTTCAGTACACGTAATGCTGTAGTAAGTAAGCTGCCATAGAAATAGTGTATGACAGTGCTCCTGGACTGGGTGAGGGAGGTTATTGAGATGCGCGCGAGGGGACTGATATCTCGATTCAGGCAAGGAGGTTGCGCCAGCGCTCGCTCCAGGTAGAGAGTGAGTAGTTAGGGGTCGAGAAGAGAGGTAGAGAGTAACAGGGAGTATTAGAGAGAATAATAGAGGTATATGGGCTATATTAAAGCCATGATCAAGCCGAGCGAGCTTCCTGACCAACTTGCTGAGATCGAAAGCTGGTCAAATTGTCAAGAAGTTCGGAGTAACGATTTTACAGTGTGGTGTCATGTGACCAACACGCGATCTAGACTACATGTAAAGATGAATGATATACGATGTAGAGATGAATGATATAAAGATGAATGATGGATGATGGATGATGTACGGTGGATGATGGATAGATGTAGAGATTTACGATGAACGATGGATGATGTAAAGATGAATACATGACTCGTAAATTCTCCCAGGATTATCCCAATGGTATCATAATAGATGGCCTAGTCAATAGATCCATAAACAAGATAGAAACTCCAGGCTATCTCGCTAGAAAATAAGTAGGTAATATGCAAAATCATTCTTCTTCGCTGACTTCACTCTCGTCATCACTCGGGACATGGTTGTTATATCGTTGCTGCTGCTGTTCCATCGCCAGCCTTGCTTCTTCTTCTCTAGCACTCTCTTCAAGGGCCGCTTCCATTTCAGCAACTAGATCGTCCTCGAAATCAGCTGGCTCCTCGTCTCCGTCTAAATTGTTAGACGGCACATCTTCCATGATCTCATCTTCGTCATTTTCTTCGTCATCGTCATCCACAAGCCGTCGTCCGATTAGGAACGACGGTCGATTGTCGTCTATCTCGTCTTCGTCATCACTGCGGTATCCTGTCTCGTTGAATGTCGGGCGTTGCGGTGGAGGAGAGCCCATGTCAATGATAAGGTCTCCATCCACGATGATGTTACTGCCGGGTGATGCAGCCAGCCGTGATTTGTGTTCATCGTCCGAGGCAGAATAAACACCAACCAGATCTGGTGTCTCCACGGACTCAATGATAGTTTCAACCGGTTCCGGTTTTGGCGGGAGTGATATTGCTGCCGACGCAACTGGCTCTGGCTCCTTTGCGGTTGCATTCCCACTGCTAGCGGCCTTGGGTTGCCGTTGTTTCGGAGGACGGAGCGGATTTGGTTGAGCTTTGCTCTTGGGTGCAGCTTTCGGCTTGGGCTTTGGTTTCGGCTTAGCCGCTGGGGCCGGCACCGATCGGGGTGCTACAGGTTTGCTCACCACCTGGTGAGGATCTGGTGTCCCGGGAGATGAACCGTATCCAGTAGCACGTTGTTTGTTCTCCACGGCCTTCTTCTTCGGAAGGAAATGTCTGTAATCGAACGGATTGTCCGCATCAGCCGGCCCTAGATCCTCGTCCTCGCTCTCATTGTCCGCTTGTCTGCCAGCACTATCACCCGTAGACTGATCATCTTTTGAAAAAGAAGTGTTCAATTGACTGTATTGTTCCGCAACCTGTCGGTCTGTCTTTCCAGGCGCAGACTTTAGATTGAAGTTCAACCTTGTCGAAACGGGCTCAAGAATAAACGCCTTGCGCTTCGGGTCATAGATCAAAACTAGATTGCTATTCTCCGACTTTGATGCCGTAGATTCCGGGTCTACACCGCCATCGTACACGTACGTCAAGTTCGTCTGCTCTGCATTCCCGGCCTTGTCTTGTATCGTGAGTTTATATCGGTCTGGGGTTCCGGCGGAGGATATGGTCGTCCTTTGCTGTGGCGTTCCACCTTTGCTCTTGTAGTTATACGTCACATTCACGAACTGACGGTCTCTTGCGGTCTCTCTTCCAGCCAGCTTGTCTCCCAGCAGTATAGGGTATTCGCCTTGCCGTGTCGGATCGATCATCGACCCTCCGTTTAGATTAGGGGTTTGCGGAGCAGAGATGGTAGCCATGGCGGCTTCGTAGGGTGGTGGAAACGCGCGACGGTATACCGTATACGCTGGATATGAAGTCGCAAGGGCGTAATGGCATCAGCAGGCGATGGAACAGCGAGTAATAGAGGGCTCGATGGATGCTGTGATTCCTGAGCTGAGCCAGTATCAGCGACCTGCCGGCGAGGCTGTGAAAGAAACCTTATGAATAACGCATTATAGCAAACAATCCGACAACAATGGAAGCAATGGAGCCAGGTCTGATGAATGAATGTCTTTATCCAGCGGTCAAGTCGGGATGTCCCTCTCTTGCTGTCTCTGCTTGGGGGGCGAAAGGTGGGAGAAGCGGAAGTTGGTGAGACAGGAGCCAGATGACTGCGACCCGGCCTTCTGATCCGCCAACTCCGACCCTTGCATATATTCTTCAGGATGACCTTATATTTACTGGTGTCTACCGATGTCTACAGGTGAATACCGTCGATTCTAGAGTATGATTCTGAGCAACGCTATAGACATGGTCTCGTAATTTATCTGTTGGATAATATCCGGGGTAAGGTTTCTATCCAATGGCGTCAAGCGCCTTCACTTTGCGGTTGAAGAGCCGCCCTTTGCACCAGCAGCTTCACCACCGGCCGTCAGCAAATCTAGACGCTCGGCTAGGATGCGGTGCTTTCGAATTGCATCTTCCCACTCAGGAACCGCATCAGCTACGTCGTCGTCCGGCTCTTGCGTCCCCTCGGTAGTATCTAGCAGAGATAGTATCAAGCTGAAGTCACCGCCCAATCGACCCAAGCTGGCTGCGCAGTAGAGTACCTGGGTAAGCAGACTCTCCCTAGAACCCTTGTCTCTAACATTGGGCAGATATTCCTCCAGGGTCTCCGCCAGTAGCTGTGCCAGGTGCATCGGGAATGTAGCCAATGCCGGAGGTAACTGAGAGAGCAGAGATGGAACCCCTGCTTCTAAATGCGTGTTTGCTTGTTGTTGTGGTGGCGGTTTGATATGTGAATTTGTTTCCGACTCTGAAGATATGGGCGCAAATATATTCTTGTACAAAGACACAATCGCAAAGCTTTGTTCTCTGTAAATTTCAATATATCGCTTCAGGAAACGTTCCGTCTGTTGACCTCCAGACCATGTATTTTTCGATACATTCGCTCCTTCGCCGGATGGCCCCCTTGCACCATTCTGCCGTCTGCGGACAGTCTCTTGGTCTGCCAGCTCACGGAGTGGCTCGAGGGCACCAAGCATCGTCAGAAGGTTGGCTAGACGGCAGACGAGGAATAGAGCACCAAATGCACCTTCGCTGCTGCTCCCGGTACCGCTACCACCCGCTGACTTTGATCTCGATGGCTGTTCAAGGTCCGGGGCAATACGTCGTAGCCATCCGATAATCCTCATAGCAGGTGCCAGTCTAATATTCTGTACCCGCAGGTCGGAGATCAGGTTGGTGGTCATATCCTTCATAGCATCCTCTGCCTGCTGTGATATATCCTTGGCCAGAGGTGACTCTGGATATAGCGTCTGCAGCCGCTTGATATGTGCAAACAGGTCCAAAGCAGCCGAGTAATTCGAGCTGCTCGACAGGCTGCTCGACGACGCTCCGCCGGCATTGGCTGCAGCCGATGAAGAGCCCGAAGAAGATGACACCGCTGTAGAAAGCAAGGCTGGTAATTCTAGTATATCAGAGAGTATATCCACGTTCCTGGCTAGTTGGAGCGCCTTCTTCCTCCTGTCCAGTATCTGGCTCTCCCCCGTTTTACTGTACGTGGAGGAGAAGCACAAGGCTTCCTCGTCGAGCTTCGGGATAGCATCTCGCAGCCGCTGTGTCTCTGTGGCCAGGCGTGGAAGGGATGTTTGCAGTGACCGGAGGTTATCCGCAGATGTGACGAAGGACTTGTGAGATCGGTTGGCGAGCGCCTGGAGGGAAACGAGGTTCGAATGGGATGTCTGTGAGAGCGATTGGAGCTCGGTAGATGTTAATGAAGCAGTGTTTAGGGTTGGTATGCGGTTGAGGTATTGCGCAGTTGTTGCGCTGGTCGCGGGGGGAGGAGGTCGAAGGGAGGTATCCGTGGCATCAAAGTGAGGGACGAGAAGTTCGTAGAGTGCGTCCGCCATGATGAGACCAGGGAAGAGTCGTTTAGTCCATCAGTTCGTATTATTCAAATCTGTAGCTCGATAAAAGCTGTGGAGAGTAACCGTGAGTTGTTCTCTTTACTATGATCGCATTGCTAGTTCTATGCTAACATAGCTCCATGCTTACTCCGTAGATATCTTCTAATCGATAACGCGGGCAAGAAATATTATATCAGGAAATTATTATCTTCTGACAACATCCTCTCTCTCGTTCCAAGACTCGACACTCTGTCCATAGGTTGAAGCAACTATGCTAGACTTGATACTTTCTATACAGAATGTTTTCCCTTTCTACCACGTTATATACCAATTTGAACATGTGCTTCCTGTCCGCCCATAACTACGGTTCAGAGGCCCAAATAATAAGTAGCGGAACAAATCGTGGTAAGGGAGTCAGTAAAAGGGAAACGAAAATGCCTTTTGATAGCGTTGTTAACTTAGTATGGACTTCTGGTGAAGAAACAGAAAAAAGAGGGCTCAGCGTGTTTCGAGCCTGGTTCGAAAAAAGGGAGATGGGCCGCCCCTTTATTATACCTCGACATTTAGAAGGATCAAATTAGCCGTTCGGCTACTGTCTCGTAAGACGCGCAGAAGGCATAGCAGTTTATTAAGAAGAGAGTAAAGGCCATCAACGGAATTCTTCATGGTACGGAGTAGACTATATATCCCATCCGTCTAGTTGTCACTATCAATTACATTCACAAGACGACCCCGATAGACCAGATCCCTTCTTCCCCGGTGCTGTCTTTATTAAGACATGATGATATAATATTCCCCTTCTTCCGCCTTATGTTCCGGTACGGGGCCTCGAGCGTCCTTTCATGGGTATAGGCTGTGACGTTGACATATATGAGTATGGGGTCGTCCACTGCTATCCGCATCGTTTGTCATAACAATATGTTTGTCTAAATATTTTAGTTATTATAGACATCGGGTTAAGGAATTTGTTATTTGGTTATTGCATATTGTATCTGTTTAGATAGCAAACCTATCCATGAAGCTACGTTTGACCCCGGTTAGGTAAAGCTTCCTAACCCATCTAGCTTGCTTCATATCCAAATCGTTGACCGTGTTTCATATTTATTTATTTATACAAATATTTAACGAATATTTTTCAGCGGTGTGTATATAATTCTAAGCTTACGACTTATTGGAGATACTTCAGTTCTCAGTCACACCCAACATAATTCTTCAGTACGGACGTATGTGTTAAATAGCAACATGGGCAAGCCACGAGTCAGTATGAGCGATCATCCCTATGTGATATCAAGAGACATCGAAGCTAACACGTCTGTCTATCGCAGTTGATTATTCTGATCCGACATGGACAGTCGGAAGGGAACAAGAATCGAGAAATCCATCAGTCAGTTCCTGACCACCGCATCAAGCTTACCCCAGAAGGCCATCGACAGGCATTAGAAGCCGGCCGCAGACTACGTGAGATGCTACGGCCGGATGACAAAATACACTTCTTCACATCCCCATATCGACGCACTCGGGAAACCACAGAGGGAATCCTCAAGTCTCTCACCTCAGACGACCCCTCGCCGTCGCCGTTCCCCCGCCAGGGCATCCAGGTTTACGAAGAACCACGACTGAGGGAGCAGGACTTTGGCAATTTCCAGCCATGCTCCGACGAGATGGAGCGCATGTGGCAGGAACGCGCAGACTATGGCCATTTCTTCTATCGCATACCGAACGGCGAGTCTGCTGCGGACGCATACGACCGAGTTAGCGGGTTCAACGAATCGCTATGGCGGCTATTTGGAGACAACGACTTTGCTAGTGTCTGCGTGCTTGTTACCCATGGCTTGATGACTCGCATCTTCCTGATGAAATGGTATCATTTCAGCGTCGAGTACTTCGAAGACCTACGGAATATCAACCACTGCGAGTTTGTGGTTATGCAGAAGAACCCCGATAATGGGAAATACATACTACGGAATAAGTTACGGACGTGGTCTGGGCTGAGAAAGGAGCGGGAAAAGGAGCGTGAGGCCACCAATATGCCGATCATGTCCCCTGTCAGTCCGATGAGGATATGGGGTGGGTGTCCGGATGGGTGTGACCATGCGCGCCATAGGTACCGAGCAGCGAAGGGGTCGTTGCACCAGAGCACGTCGACTACGGGGCTGACGGCTGGGATCGAGAGGACAAGTAGCATGGGGAAGGAGGTAGAGTTGGATGATAGATACCAGGATGATGAGGAAGAGGAGGAGGAGGCGGCTTCAAGTGAAGAGCTTGATAAGCCTTTGCTTCAAATAAAACGTACCTCCGCAAAACATCAAAAACACAAGCATGGCGAATTGACTCCCAGTCTAGATATACCATATCTCGGCGGTCGGGACGCTGGGGGTTCGAACAGTGGCATTCCAACGCGCCGCACCACGCCGTCACTAGAGAAGGATGATGATGCCGCTGCCCAAAACAAAAATGTCGAAGACGTTGCCCGGCTGAACTCCACCTTAAGGCACAGTAGACATAATACCGAGTATGATAGAGACGACGACTACCCAGATGATGACGAAGGGGAAATAGAAGACGAGCAAGCCAAGCTCAAGGAAAACAGTGTTCAGGGGAGTGTATATTAGTACACGCCCAACTCTCGACCTTCATATTAATATCTAGGAAACCCGAGGACATTAACTTATCTGTACTCACTTTCCAAACATAAGCTGTGACTTTCTACATGTGTTAGAACGTTGCTGGGGATATCATGTATAAATTTAGAACACATCAAGCCATGGGAGTAATATATGTCAGATAACACCATACCTACCTTTCCATATAAGCTCCTGGTCCCATCTCTATAGTTTGCGATTCTTCGGCTGCGTCGGGGTGCCAAGTGCTATTTGGCGATTTCGACTATTAACAAGATTGCAAGCATCCTCCTGCGAAATAAAGGTAGCAGACACAGTGTCATAACCGAATTCAGCCAGGAGAAAATTGTCAACGCATGTCTTGATTAATTCAAAGTCGTGTGGAACTGCCTTTTCGCCGCGCCCGAAACGTATCCCCATCCATTTCTTCCCTATGGGAGGAATGTCGTTGCCGGTTAGCGGTCTAATCCCCATCTGCAATGGGATAATATGGGACGTCTTATCGGGCTCCTTTGATTCAATCATAGCAGCACTCGATGGTTCCTTAAAGGATACGATGAGCTTTGCATAGCGTGAAAAGCGAGTAGTTGTTGCTGTTCGATGGGTATGGTTTCTGGGCTTAGCAGAGGATGGGAATAGTTCAAGAATGTAGTCTTGTGGAATAATGTCAAATGACCCATGATAGTACGGTACAAAATGAGGTTTGTACAACGCTTCTCCGGGTCTATTCATGCTAGTTTCTAGCACACTATTCATCAATTCTTTTTGGTGGGCGGACCCTCTGTTAACCGACTTGAAGTATATGTGACAGACCAAGGCTTGGAGGTAGCCAGTCGGTTCTTCTTGAATTTGTATTTCTAGATACCGTCTTGCGAGGCTGCCTAGTGTATGCGCTGCAGATAGATGTGTTAATTAAGAGACATGACATGCATTGAGGTGAATACCAAGGAATTGAAAAGGAGCAAGGTTATTAAGGGAAAAGGGTAGGTTATACCTTTCGCGCTCTCTGGTGAGATATCATTCCAGGGGTTGACGATCTGTATACATACCGGGATCGGATGCTTGGTAAACCAGTCTGGGTGTACTCCAGTAATCTTCTTCACTTCCACCAGCCGGCCATCATGGGTAAGGAGTCGAAACTTAGTGTCAAGTGGGCTTTGACAGCAGCGATAGGCGTATTTCCAATAGCTTGCTAGATTTTGAGAAATTCCTAGGGCAGTAGGTATTTCAAGTAGAAAGATGCTAATTGGACAGCCTGGGGAAGACTTTTCATGGGAATCCTGAATTACTTTGCTTCTAAACTTGTCTAGTCGATGAGTCCGAACAGAAGCAACCTCGGATTCAGTCAGGTGCGCCAACCAGTCGTGATGGAAGTATCCCAGATACCCTTGGCGAGTCAACCCTAGGACCCAACTTTCTGTTGTGGAAAAGCTCGGTATTTCCATAATGATGTCTCCCTGTTGGAGGCCAGCAAGCAAATAAAGCCGTTCCATAAGGATGGACGGACGTGGCGTACAATCGCAGATAATCCTCTTGATATCGATTGGGAAATTAAGACGTGTGCTGCTGATATAAAGATCGCGAGAATAGGGAAGTCCAAAATAATCGAGTACATGCCCAACTTCCCATTGCAGAGATCCTCCGTTTGCGCCATGATGTTTTCTGTCCACCTCACCTAATTGAAACTCTTCCTCGGACTATGTAACGCAACGACAAAAATATTAGCAAGATTCCACTTCGGGTTATAAGGATACAAATACTTGCCTGCGAGTAAGTCGAGCTATTATCCTTCGGAGACCTAATAATTGTCTGGAAGGGGAGAGAGCTATTTGGGAGAGGTATATGATTAATTGGTTGGATAGGTGGGCGTTGGGACACGGAATCCCAGCATTCATCGTCATCATTGATAGCGGGTATCGTTTGAGAAGTAAAGTATGATTTCTGAACATGTTGTTGCCCTGCAAATTTCTGCTCGAGCTCGTTCAGTGCAGGAAGATCCGAATCTTCCAAGTATCTTACAATTGCATTCCAATTTTTATTGATATCCGTTAGGGAAATGCCATCTTCAATTAATTCCATCTCCAGATCCGCTCGTGAAGATCCGCTCGTTTGGCTTGGTTCTGTTGGAGTTGACAAGGTGGTAGGGGGTCGTTTCCCTGATTGGATATCTTTTTTGATATCTTCCAAGATATGTTCGATCCTCACAATTGCAGAGGATGAAATGCCGCTACGAAGAACACCGATGGCCGTTATGTGATAATTTAGCTTCGCACGTAGGGATTCCACCTCCTGCGCCGCAAACTTCACTCTATCCCAAGTTCGCTTCTCCGATTTCCCCAAGCTACGGTATTTGACCGCAAGTCCCTCGAGCTCTTGAAGTGTGGGCTTAAGATTGGAAATTGCAGTATTAATATATGCATGGTGACCTCGGCCGTGCCGGTTAAGCATCGAGTTCGAATCTTGGGCTTCATGTTCTATCTCCTTAAGGATGAGGTAGAGGGTGCTAGATATATTGCGTTAGCAGGCATTGTCTAAGGAATTGAGAGCTATTGAAACAGAAACAATGGCTGCAGATATTCAGACTTGCCTGAGTTCATTCACAGCTTCAGCATAATTTGAAGAAGCGGATTTACAAGCAACGTAGGCTGTCCAGCAGAGCTGAGCAACTGCTATAAAGTCGCCTATGGAAAAACCTAAAGCCATCTTCCCCAGGACAACACCACGACTTGGAATCTTCTAAATACCATGATTATTTGGAGCATTCGATTAAAAGTCGAAGATGGTTCAGCCGTGCAGGCTAGATGAAGAAATATATTCCTCCTGAGGTTGCACGTCCAGCCCCAGCCCGGATTTCACCTGGGGCCATATTGCAAGGGGAGTTACGTTTGCCAAGGTAGTTAACATATTGAACTGCGTTAGTCTACTCTGTACCAGTGAACAAGGGGAGTACAAGCGTACACATATATTGCTTGCAGCCATGGGCCGGCTTGACAGGAAAGACAATCTCCAGCGAGGTCCTAACTATATCTCGGTCATGTCACGTGACCGATAACTATGTCTTTGTCTCTCTCCTTGCCAGGTTAAAACGAACGACAGTTCTATCATGATCAAATCTATATCGTCTTCCTCGCTAGTACATTGACAGTACGGCAGCAGGAGCTGATCAGGAGCCAGATGACAAGTCATTTACCTGACGTTTTCTTGTGTGGCTCTCGAAAAATGAAAACGACAAGGCTGAGGGGCAGCCTGGCTACGCATACGAACTCGTCATGTAGGCATCCCACTCGCAGAGTATACGCAGCATGCGGAGATCTCTGCTATACGTACCCCCAAAGCCCCCAATTTTACCAGTGTACCAGTGAAACATCTTTAAATCTATATTATAATTACTAAACATCGTCCAACGTCACCCCTATCCTTTATCTATAGGCCTGTCTATTTTCATCCTGCGGGTTGTCTTTATCAGACTCATTGATAAATTTTTGGGGTCCTAAAAAGGCGATATTAACGCACATTCTGACCAAATGTCGGATATTCAACCTCAGGTAGACGTAGGTCTGCTCTCGCTGCAAGGCCTAAGCTTGTTCACGCCAGTCCTTGCTACACTTTCAGCGGATGACGTGAACCCCACTGGAATATTACAGATGGAGCACATTGGTGCTATTTTCCCGATCAGTGGGCAGTATGCAGCGAGGGTTCCTGACTACCTGCAGCGTTGTGCATCCACCCGGCTTGATCGTCTCGGCCTTCTTGTCGGATGGCGGAAGGATGATTGTGCATCATTTATGGCGAAATCAGCTGGCGGACAGGCAATTGCACTATTATCAACCTGTCTCATAAATATGTTTGGCAAAGAAAAGACGGGAGACATTCTGTTTGACCTCTCACAGGAGCTTAGTAGTAGCTCGACCAGTGTGGCAAGTGGTGCACAGCTACGAGAGGTGGCCAGTTGTTTGTCTTCAAAGCTTGCCATAATAGGGTTTGGAAACGTGCTCGCTGCTGCGGCGAGCCGCATACATGGCGTTTATGCGATGTTACAGAAACCCATGCCGGCTGATACTCTGGATGAAATGACAACCGAGTCCGCTGTTAACTTTCTCCATTCTCTATCCCTGGCGCTGCCCTCGAAGGACAGACATGTTCGCATATATGGAACCCAATCTCTGAGTTATATTTTTGCCTTTGTTATGATAATGTTCCCCGCGGACGCGGTAGTGTCAGTTGATAATGAAATTATCTTCGAAGGTCAACGAAAGTCGATTATTATTGAGTTTGGGGTTTCCGACTTTCCAACGCCGACAGAAATCACCATTGAGACTATTGTAAATGCGTCTGGCATAGTTCACTTGCCTATTGTTGTCACGCAGAGGGATCCTCCGGGTTTTCCAGGGGTGTGCCAATTCCAGTTTGGCGGGTGGCTTGCTCAATATCTGCGGCTTGTGTTTATTGACCAGGAGGTGGATATATCTGAAGAGCTTCTTGTCGCTTGTTGCGAAACGTTGATTTCCCTTGCGGAAAATATGAAATACTCCCGTGGGGATCCCCCGACAGCACAGGGCAGTCTAATATCTCTCCTAGGGGTTCGCCCTTACGAAAGGATGAGACGGATTTGCCAGACGGTATTTGAGGTTTCACCTCTAACACACCACACAGATCTTAAGGCTGCATTTGACAACCTTATAAACCGCTTTATATCAACATCTCGGCCCTGCTCGTGTCCGACTATATGCTGTGATATTAACCGCGCATGGGGCTACTCACCAACGGAGCCAAAAGATACTGCGTGGCAACCTCCATTGCAGAAGAATCCACTATGCTCGTTTCGAGTTCTCTGGGGTGCCCTCGGGCGTGCCTTAGACCATGGGCTTGCGTCCTTCTTCATTGATGCGGACGCCAGTGTCGTTGTCCCCTCCCCTTCCCACTCTATTGGCGCTATGGATATCATTCATGAACACCCCAAAAATGAGCTTCCAAATTTAAATATTGACAGCCTCCATAAGGGTATAATGTCTTGTTTCTCAAGCTCTGACAATGAGGACATAGACATGTCTGGCCGTTATCTGGCCGTTTCGAACTCCAGTACTATTTATCCCGGTAGGCTTCGACGGCTAGAATTAGACCAGGAAAACGGTCTAAGTTATGAACTAGTTGACGGGGTCCTTCAGTTAAACGGTCGGTATCATACGGCCCTGCGTAGCTCTCTAGAACCGGAGAGACCTGAAGCATCCAAATCATTATATTCCCACTCAGGCAATATTATACCTTCGAATGCAGGGGTGCACTCCGATCTGGTCCTCACATTACGCGAGCTTTCAAAGTATCTGGAACTCCGCTGTATAGTGGTTTTTTCCAAAACTAACATCCCAATTGACCTTTGCAAAGTGATTGTTGCTTCATATGGGGTTAAACGGGTTGGCTCGTGCGAGCACCGCGTGTACGAGCCATTGCGTGACGAATTCCGGGTTATATCAACTTCTGTTCAATCCCCTAGGGCACAAACTGGTTGTATTGCGATCGCTCAGGTATCGAGAAATAAGACTGCTCAGCTACTCTGTTGTGAGAATAGTGGCCCAATATTTCTGCAGCGAAACTGCTGCTTGAACTGTGCATGCGAGCAGGCAAAAGGATATTGTAGCTTAATAATTACCTACTGATATTAGTAGTAGTATATATATATATATATATATATGACTCTTAGTCTTATCAAGAAATTAGATAAATGGCATCTTTCTATATTTGATAGTTCGTATCCCTTAAGTTTTCCTGAACATCTGCCCTTAGGCGTGGGTATATAGTTACCCTTATAATAGGGGAGTGTCTTCATTATACTCCTTGATAAAATATAGTGGCCTTAAGGACCAATGGTGGGGACCTTTGTTCTCATTATTCATTGAAGTTGTATAGTGGCGTCAACGACATTCCCTTTTATCGATATCGTGATATATGTAACGGACATGCGATACCTATCCTATGTATCATAATAGGTGGAACTCTTGATTACCGAAATTTGTTGCAGTGACTGGGTATATTAGTCTTGATTATTGATCTGCATCACATATAAAGAACCAAGGCTATTTCATCTTTCCATGGTTGTCCTGGTGCGCTTTACGAAGTTCTCGTTTATCAGACTTCGTTCGGGTGTAGCGTTTTCTTCGCTTTCGTTGGAATAGGTATCGCAACCTGCTTCTTTTAACGGACATTTTGGAGCATCTTATAGTTCGCAACCTTCCCCTATGAAATGCAGGGAGATAGAAAGCAGGTTACTGATACTGCTTGATCTCTCGTAAAATGTTCAACATACCCCCCGGCCACCACTGCCTAGGACCGTTCTCAGGCCAGAGCCTGGTCACGAAATTATCGCCATATCTGTTCACCATTCCGGTAAGCGTCACTATGGGCAGATTGCCAATCCACCATGACTCCTCTTCCACTAGAAACATGAGGACGGACCAATGCGCGTAAATGTCTAACGCAAGCGCCTGCTCAATCGTCAATCCTGCTGCGATGTCATCAGAAGTGGCACTGATTGGGTTTTCGAGCCTCTGATCAAGAAGGGGAAGGACAAGGTCAAGATAGGCTTGGGGAGCCTGAACAAGGAAAGTGAGAAAGAACCTTGTCAGCGGCTCTGTAGGCCGTGGAATCACGGATCTGCTTGCAAAGGACCGAAGCCATGAGGCTACTTGTGGTAGCGACACATGTTCGGGCTCAAAAATCTCCTTGGCTGGATCGTTAAACGATGAAGATGAGGATTTTGATAGGTTGGATGGAGAAAAAGCGTTGCTTTGAATGTCCTTTAGGATTTCGAAAGCAGCGCTGCAGGCGGCCAAGGATTCATTAGAACCGTCGCTGTTATAACGAAAGGCAGAATCTAAGCGTTTTTGAAGCTTCGAAAATGCTCCGCTACTGGTGGTAGAGACAATTGGGACCATTACATGAGTGCGTGATGAAGTTAGAGCTGCCGGCTTGGTATTAACTTCCGGTAACGCCGAAGAATGATCAATCCCAAACTCCCCATCGGGGGACGGAGCCATGTTTGGGCTCAATGCATCACAATCCAGCGTTTGAAGTGTCGTTCGTATTCCGCGCATGATGACTATGACGTCTCTTGGGGTTGTTGAGAGAGGTTTTTGAGACTCACGCGTCCCACCCCTTTCCGAGATCCAATGATTTATTTGCTGACTCGCGGTAGCAAATGGTACCAGCATCAAGGCACTCGCTAGTAGCGGTTCTAGCTTCAACGTATCCGGGCATGACATCGATTCCCTCATCCGTTCGCTCGCTAAACAGTAATGCCGGTAGCCAGTCACTAGGATCTGATGGACCACACTCACGTCTGGTGGAATTTCCTTGGATATCATATCGCAGGCTAGACAGGCTGCAGATGCTGCCAGGAGAGAATGAAAGACGGTTTTGCTTTGTAACGCCAGGGTTGGCATGCCAATCTGTAACGCACTTTGGTCATTCTGGCAGTGAGTCAAGGTACGACACGTATGTTGCAGATAGTGGTGATACAAGTCGGTATCAGATATTCCCTTAAGGGCATCCGTGGTATTGGAGAAGCAGTTCGCTTCCACGGATTCTAGAGCTGAGCGTGTTGATGATGATCGTTCCGAGTGTGATGGAGCACTAGGTGATGGAGAAAGCCTGCTACACGACGAACTCGGCAAGGATAGTTCATCCCTTCGGTCCTTTGAAGGAAACCGGGGTGCTGATGGGTAGAGACATTTGTAAAATCCCGAAACACATCGTACACACGCTGGTTTCTCCTCATCACACTAAAGTGCAAGGTCAGCCTTGAACTCCAGATTTTCCTGGCAGGTAGCCACTCACCTTTATTCTTCGCCGCTTGCATTCGAAGCACCCATTTCTCGACTTTTGATGACGTCTTCTCGTTTTTATAGGAGTGTTTTGATTGTGATCTTCAGGGGTCGCCATTTTGATATCAGTAGACCTTCACTTTGAGCGTCACATCGACCAGAGAGCCTTTATATCTTGATGCACCATCCTCAATCCTTTGCCGCGGCTAAATTTTAATGCCTAACAACGCATATGTGACCTTGAATATTCGCGAGGCTGATATTGACCACTCTTGAACAGTGGTGCAGTCATCGCGACGAGCTGAGCGGTCCTTAGTGGACAACCAAGCCTGCCTTGGCGTCTCATGGCCAGATTCCTCTAAGTACTCAGCCTCAGCATATTCCAAATAGAAAAGCTAAAGCTGCGAGCAATGCCATAGTGTAAGAGAAACCCACATTGGCGACATGTTTCAAAATGATATTCGGTGCATCTCCGAGACCGAGAACGTATCAAACATTACATTTGTTTGAGATATAATATACGGATGCCATGAAAACAAGCTCGACGTAACAATAAATTTAGATGATGCCTAATGAGAGGTCAAATTCCCGTCTCATCCAGGTGGAATTTCATGTTCGGTTCGAGGATCAAAGTATGATATCCAGTATTTGTCATATGGATAGTTTCGAGATCCATGTTTCCCGAAGAATAGTATCAGATTCTAGCGGCTGAAACCGAGGCTGAATACCGCCCATGCCACCCTTGTAGGCTTTAATATAACTTTATATTTACTCCTTGCTCTAGTATTCTGCCCTTTGTCTTCAAAGCTGTAGATTATAGTAGAAATCTATTGCATATATCTAGATTATAGCATTCTATTACATGTGGAAAGTATAACAACGGAGACAAAGACAGCTATGAAAACTACTCTATAAAATAAAGGAGATAACATAAAATGCTTAAAAATGCTCGTCTAGAAGTGACCATGTACCCGTCTCGAAATCCGACCCGAGACCCGGATAGAGTGCTCTGTTGAAGGCACTGCTGACAACAGGCGTAAAGAAATTACAGCCCATTTTTAGCCAAGAAATCATACGTGACTTGGTAGCCAGCAGTAGCATTGTTGTGGAGAGTGAAAGCATGGCCTGTATTGGGCTGGATAGCAACTTCGATATCAGCGGCTTTAGGGTAAGTCTTCTTCAACTCCTCCAAGTCGTAAATTCCCTTGCAGTCACCGGCACAGATGTAAAAGTCGAACTCAGGCAGCATGTATTGTATCGGGCCCTTGAAGTCAGGTCCAGGGAGCCCAATGATGCGATAAGCAGAGGAGAATTCCCCGATTGGAACTGGCTGTTTGATGGCATCACCATAGTCAAGCATTTCTTTAGTAAACGCAGTCTTCGGGTTGCCAGCAAAGAAGATGGTCTGAATACCGCTCTTCTGGCATACAACGTATCCACTTGGTCTATCAAAGGGAGTAGAGCTCGTGGGAGCGAATTGGGCGTTGAACGATGCCATTCCAGCCTTCCCGAGGTATTTGCTCGTTAGATAGCCGGTGACGATTGCTCCGTCGGATAGAGAGCTGTGCTTGGCGATGAATGCGGAGGTGAGGAAGGACCCGAAGCTGTGGCCGACATGTATAACTTTGCTTGCAGGTTTTGCAACCTTGTTAAATGCAGCATTAGCGGGTTTTGCCTTCTCTGCGAAGCTATACAGGGTGCCGTTGCGGGCCATCAGGGTCAAGTGTCGAAGTATCTCAAGTTCAAGAGGTGCCTGAACAACATCGTACGCGTCAGGCTTGTCAGATTTACCAACTCCCAGACGGTCATAGGTAAGGATGGAGTATCCTGCTCTGAGCGTTGCCTCGACATAAGACTGTTTCTCTCGATCGAGCTCAGGGTCCCAATATCTTGAGTCGTAGTGCACTCCGTGAGTGGCGATATGCAGAATATCATTTTTCTTCCCAGCAGTCTTGGGAACACACAGTTGGGCGTGGATGTTGAAAGTATCGGAAGTCGTGGTGTTCTTGATTATTCTCGCTGCGCCGGCTGGAGTGCTCCAGGTATCTGCGTAGATTGCCCAGGCTATCGCATCGATGTTACTGTCTACCCTGGGTACGTCATAGATGGCGCTCTCTGAGGTAGCGAACACCGGGATATCCAACTGTTTGCAGTATCCGTTGGTATGTTTGGAGGAATAGATGGCCGAGGCTGAAACAGCATTGAAAAGAAGCAGGCCAGCCGTAGCAAAAGTGGCAGCCATTGTTGGAGTATAAACAAATGATATCAGTGTAGATATATTGAGTGAGCTTGTAAGTGTATCTGTAGAAGTAATGATGATGAGAGTGATGATGGTAGAAGTAATGAGCGTAGAATCAGTTGTTTATATATCTGTAGATTGTACAACACCGCCTCAATGCCAACCCTCTTGGAGGATGGCTTCTAATGCTAAAGCCATCGTAACCCGACGGATATGATGGCTGGCTTAGCATCGTTGAGTGCTTCATGGCTGCTTCTGCTGTTCTGCTGCCTCTTGGTCGTTGAAAGTATTTGATATAGAAGCGTATTTAGGCTTGACAGGGGTCGTATTCACATATCTTGGCGCTTACTAACACCAGCAGGGGTCGTATTCGACTGTTAACCAGGGGCGTATATTCCACATCTATCAGGGGGCGTATATCTTCATTCCGTTTCTACTGGCTGTCTACAAGCCATATGGCTGAAGAGCAAATGATATAGCAGGTAATTATGGGGCTGGGGCTGACGGTCATCGTTAAGGGTTGATCCTTCAGATTTAACAGCCACGAGCATAGGCATCGTACTATGCACCTCATAGATGCATGGATGATGAAGAATCTTCCGAGAAGAGCTGCCAGAATACGCTGAAGAAATACAAATCGTTTGCAGATCAGCTAAGAATAACGGCTGGCAGGCTTAGTCTCGACCGGACATTACACTTGCCATGAAGACATTCTCAGCACTGCCCTCGGAGTTGTTGACACACGATGAGTATCAACAGCTTCGACGGATATAAATATTTCGATATACCCTCACCTTCAGTAGGAGTTCATTCTACCATCATCCTTTCCAAAGTCACAAAGACACAAACCCTCAATCAAATCTTAGAATACTCTTATTCTTAATCAATCTCCACCTAGGCAAACACCACAATCTTTTCAACATCAACTACTTCATCAACCGGCATATTACGTCTTATACCATCTAAATCTCCATCACACCACTCAAATGGCCGCTCTCATCGTCGCTGTCGGCGCCGCTCTCTACGTCACTGCCGAGAAAATCCACGACCACAGAGAAAAGAAGCGTGCTCTGAAAGCTAAAGAGGCCCTACGACATGGCTCCGAAGATGATTCGATTATCGACACCGCCACAGCCAACGACCACATGGATAACCTCCCAGCCTACCATAAAGGGAACCTCCCGCCATACCACATGGTAGACCAGCATCCTGGCCCCACGCCCAATAATCAAATTGCGGGTTCATCGCACCGGTATTAACCCCAGGGGCGTTCGTGTTGAGGGGACGGGGTATCTTGCACCGTATGAAGGATGGTGGCATTTTTAGGGAGTTTTCCTTCGGCATTTTGTTTCAGTTGCATAGCATCCTTACGTGTTTTCTTCCGTGGGCTATTTGGATACATTCATAGAATAGTGACATGCATGGATAATCTGACTGTTCTATCTCAACTTCTTTAGCGTTAGTAGTGAGGCAGGCTTTAATATAGATGGTCTTCTCGTACGTGTGGCCAGAGGGTGAAATTTCCCCGACCTCCCCGAATCTACTTCACCTTCGTTACTACCCATTACTCACTCAATACAAAAGCTTTACGCACATACGCTATAGTCCATAATCAAATCACTATCTTACTTTTATTTATTCCCTATCAATTAAATACATTCAGTTTATTCGATTTATTTTTAAAGCGTAAGCGGGGATGTTCATGTCATCAATCAATCAATCAACCAATCAGCCATAATGAGCGACCAAAGCCAAAAAAAACCCACAAAGTCCATCTCAAACGCACCACCTTTATCCGAAGCAACCAAATAAAACAACAGCAAGAGCGTAACGTGGCATAAGCTATTAACGCAGACAAAGCAGGGCAAAGCAGGGCAAGGCAAGGGAAAATAAGTATGGAACATTAATACGTGGGTAAGTATGTATAAGCGCTATCTTTAAGAAGTAAACTAGACGGAAAGTAGAGGTAGGAGTAGGGAGTGGATCGGAAAAGGCAAAGGAGGGTATCTCTTTTCCTCTCAATGGAATTTTATTTATCTTAGACGTGAAGAGGGGAATAGATTGGTTAACAGAGGCAGAGCAAGCTCATAAGAACAGACATCAAGCGCAAGCACAAGCGACAAGGGGGTATGAAGACGAAAATAATGAAAACCCGTCGGCCAAAAAAAGCGGCTCAAACGAAAGCGAGGTATATTTTCAAAGTGTAGCGTAGCGTAGCGTAGTGTATGGGGTATGGTATGTAAATTCATCTTTTTTTTTTTCTTTCTTATGGGGTCAAGGTCAAGCGAGGGCGAAAAACCACAAAACCACAAAAAATAAAAAAAATGGAGCAGAAAAAAAATATTTTTTGGTTCCAGGGAATTATTAATAGAATAGAATGGAAAAAAGTGGAAAAACAAAAAACAATAACGTAAATAAACAGGCAAGGCAAAACCGATGCAGGAAAAAGCAGAGACAGAAGCAGAAGCAGGCAGGACATGGCAAATTGGCAGATAAACAGGGCGCGGCGGGCGCGAGATGCACGGTTAAAGCAGAGCAAAGCAGAAGAGAGCAGAGCAAGGCAAGCAAGTAAGCAGATGTTTTAATTAAGACCCCCACCATCACCATGCAGACAGAGACAGATAGACAGACAGGAGATACGGACAAAAGGAACAGGAAAGGAAAAGGAAATAGGATTGTAATTAGAGAAGAACCGCCAACCAACCAAAGGTAATAAAGGAATAGTAGAATAAAGGAATAAAAACCAGCGAGACAGTCTATGCTTTTTTCTTTCTCGTTTTGCTTTTCGGGGAATCGAGGTAAACTTTTTTGTATGTTTTTTTCGCGTCACTTGCTCGCGACTAGGCCACTCGATGGTGTCAGGTAAAGCAAACCGAACCGAAAATATACCCTATGGAAAGAAAGGTAGGTAAGGGAGTCTCGCTGAAACCGAACCGGACCGGACCAGGGTTGGGCAGGGCAGGACAGATAAATAAACAAACAGTGGTAGGCTGGCAGACATGTTTTTTTGTAAGACGGAAAGAGGGACAATTTTTTGGGGGGAAATATAGTAGTAGTGTAGTGTAAGGGTCGTGAACGTAAATTATAAGTAAGGGCAGACAAGAAAAGAGGCAAGGAAAGGGAAAGGAAACGGGAATAATACGTAATGGAACAACGCCAAAGAGCCGGAAAGCGCAGTGCAGGTAAAAGGAAAAGAAAAAGAAAAGAGAAAGGGAAATGTCTATGACGGAGATAGCGAGAGAGAAGCGCCTCCAATAACGATGCCCAAGTAGGAAATGAGAAAAGGCCAAGCGCAAAAAGGAAATGGGGAATAACGTGAATATAGATCTGATCAGTAATGAGGGAGACAAGGAACGCAAGTCAAAGCTAAAAAAATTGGGTTCAAAGGGTATGGTATGTAAGGTATGTATGTCAGGTCAAGTCAGGTCGAGAGAAATCATCAATCATCCATCCGCGTAGAACGAAGTAAAAAGTGCTCGAAGAAGGTAATAAACATAAGGCTGAAGAAGCAAAGGCAAAAAACGAAGAAGAGCAACGTGAATCGTTACGTTAGAATATTTTTTTGTCGAAGGAAGTCTAAACGGCGAAGGCAAGGTTGGAAGTGGAAGGACTTTTGAATCGAATGGAGGTAATGAAGTTAGCCAGCGACAGGTGAAGAAAATGAAGGTGTTAGTTAACCGGCGACTGGCTGCAGACCGAAAGCGGCGACGGGAAAGTAGAGCTCGTGGTTCTTTGCACAGTAGAGACAGCCGCAGCCCGGTCCGTGGCCGGTCCAGACGTTGCCGTTGCCGTTGTTGTTAGGGCTAAAGGCGTTGGCGTACATGGGCGTGTGGACGTAGGACGGCGGCTGGGAGCGAGGCAGCGGTAGTGGAAGGGCGGCAGGACCCGGGCGAGCGGTCTGGTGCTGCTGCGGAAGCCAGGTGGCGCAATATGGCGGTGGAGCGTTATAGGGCCAGGCAGCAGTCGAGCCAGAGCCGGCAGACTGGAAGTAGTCAGGTGTGCTGGGACCGGTGTGTGGAGCGGACGGAGGCGAGTAGTCCGATGCTGCGAGCGGTGTGGTGGCTGCCGTGGAGGAGTTGCTGGTGGTGAGCCATGGACAGGCGCTGCGTTGGTACTGGGGTGGAATGGGCCCGTCTGGGGAGAGCATGGCCTTTGGCAGGGCGCTGTGGTGGAGGGAATGACCGTGGTGGTAGTGTGGATGGCGACGCTGGATGTTGGTGTCGATGGGAGCGAGTTTGGCGCGAGACTCGTTGGACGATGCAACGGCAGCTGCAGCGGCGGCACGAGCGTCGGCCTTGACTCTCCAGCTATCCCAGTGAGCCTTCCAGGACATGAATCCGTCATGTTTGGTGTGGATGCGTTCGTGGATCTTCCAGTCGAAGCCGAAGAGCCAGTCGAGCTCCATGGTGTTGAGATCCGCGACGGGGATGCTGCTCACTTCGGCCCACGAGCGGTTCTGGAAGGTGTTGTCATCGAGGAACTTGCTGCCGAGCAGGAGACCGGTGGTGAGCATGCGGTAGACCTGCGTCGTGGCGGGAGAGGCAGAAGCAGAAGCAGGAGAAGCAGGGTAGATGTCGGCGGAGGAGAGCATCCGCATGCGAGAGGCAAGGTAGTAGAGACCGAGGAGGATGGTCGAGCTGGGCAGACGCGTGGACGAGAGGATCTGGGAGACGTATTTGCGGAACTGCGAGGGCGCTGTGGCTCCTGGGTGGACGCTTCGGAGCATGTCAATATCTGCAAGGACTAGCTTGGACTGGTAGAGAGCATACATTCCATGGGCCATCTCGGCCACGAAGTCGGTCATCTGGTCCATGTCGTAGTCTAGATGAGCCGCCACGCCGCCGGTGGTCTTTTGTTCCTTTGCCTGCTTACGCTGCTGTTGCTGCTGAAGATGCTGCTGCTGCTGCTGGATCTGGTCGTGGTGGACCATGGGATCGTGCCGACGATACTGGGGCGGAATGGCGCTGTCCATGGGAGCGAGCTTGGTTCCGTGCAAGGCCATGAGTCCGGGATGGGCGTGGTGGCCGTGGCCGTGGGAGAGGTTGCTGTAGAGCATCTGGTGAGCGATCATCTGCTTGTTGCCTGAGTCCCGGACGGCGTGATACGGGTTGGCGTAGGTAGGCTGGTACTTTTCGTACTCAGCTCCGGCCCCGTACCTGATGGGAAAGCCGTGGCCGTTGACGCTGGCGCTGGCGTAGAAGGACGGGTCTGTCTCTATGCGAGGCCCGGCGTTGGTGTGAGGCGGAGTTGGCGGAAAGGTGTTCAACCCGGACGCGAAGAACGACGGCATGATGGAGACGCAGAACAGAGATCGGACGGTGGTCTCCTGCCGGACGGCCTGCCCGAGGACGCTGCCCGAGGACGCTGGCTGTGAAGTGCTATCCTAGTATGACATTGGCGCTGTCAAGTCGATGCTATTCTGCTGTGCTGTGATGCTGTGCTGACGGTGATGCTGTGGTGATGGTGATGGATGGCGATGGCCGATAGAAGGAGTGTATGAACGAGACTTAGTGAAAAGCTCGCTCTTAGCAGACGATGAAGTAGGATGAGGATGAAGGTGAAGTAGGATGAAGGTGGTGAGGTTGAGGTGTAGATGTAGATGTCGAGAGGTGAGTGTAGAGTAGAGATGAAGTGAAGAAGAGATGAGAGAGAAGAGAAAGGTGAGGAGAGAAAAGGTGAGAGACTTCGCCTCGTGCGGGAAAAAGGGAAATCCCCATATTTAGCGTCAAGCCCCAAGAAGATCCAGCAAGGAGGGCGAAGGCAGGTCAGGTGAACTTACGCCTTACACCTTACACACTCTTACCGTAGACCTTACCATAGACCTTACTAGGCCAGACTCTACCGTCGCCTTCCGTCTCGGCTTTCTACCTACGGCTCTCTTCTTACGGCTCTCTTCTTACTCTCTTACTCTCTTACACTCTACTGTCTGACTTTTCTTCTTCTGTGCACTAGGTAGATGACTAAGCGGCTAGGGTTACCCGGACGACTCCCGACATACGACAGACAGACAAGATAGAATACAGTATGTCATAGTACAGGATGATAGAAGTAGATGGTGAGGTAGAGGATGAGGGGGGGAGAGGTAGATGGTAGATAGTGAGGGGGGATGTATGGTAAAGAGGTAGGAGGAGAAGGTAAGGTATGGTAAAGAAGAAGAAGTGTCAGGTAAGGAAGTGTCAGGGAAGAAGAAATGACGTCGTAAGGGGTGACTAATAGGAACAGTCACAGACCTGCTGCATGATGCAAAGGGAAGGAGAACGTTTATCACGGAGAAAAAGAAAAAGAAGAAGAAAAGAGAAAAGACTACGGAGTCCAGGCGAAGTTCATGGCGAGGTTTGCTCTGGCACCGTCGACGGCCTCGCCCTTCCACCTGTTCTTCCACTCCCACTCCTGCGCCGCCGCCTCCAGGTACGCCCGTCGACAGTCCTCCGGCAGCGCGGCCAGCACGTCCGCCGTCATCTTGAAGCTGATGCCGTCCTCTTCTTCGTTGGTAGAGATCAGACCGTTGGAGCCGAGGTCGTGGGTGTCGCCGTCTGGGCCCGGGACGAGGTTGAATGAGTTTGGTGCGGACTCGTAGTGGATGTCGTGGATGCGGAAGTTGCGGCTGAAGATGCCTGGGACGGGCGGGAAGATGGTTGACTCTGTCTCAAGTTCACGTTCATGTTCAGGATCAGAGAGAGAAGTGCCTGCGATGCGGTGGCAGAGGGCGTCGGAGGCAGCTTCAGGGGGGACGGCCTCCCAGCGGGCGTGGGTTGGCTGCATCGTCTTGGGATACATCATCATGTTCGTGTGGATGTCGTAGACGCCGTTGAGGTTCTCGCGGCGCATGCTCGCCAGTTCGCTGTTGAAGCGGCTACAACACGTTAGACATACATATAGATAGAGATAGAAGGGTAGAGATATAGATAGAGACGCACCTAGCTTCCCGGACGTGCTCGACCATCCAGTTGTCGCCAGTGACGACGACCTTGCGCTTCTTCGCCTCGACGACCTTCCCTATCGGCATAGGGACAGAGGGCGCGCCAGAATGATACACGCTGCTCGCCCCATGCCACGCAACGTACTGGTTCTTGTTATACTTCTCCCCGGCCCCAGGCAGCCTATCCTCAGGCACCGCCAGCTCCCCTTCCACCTCCCCCTTTTCTCTTGCAGCCTGAGCATGATAATCATCCACAATCTTCCTCCCGCCGATAATAATCTTGGCTCCAAACTCCCTAAACACAGACCGCGCAGTGACCACCCCGATGGCCCTCCCCTTGTATGAATGCGGTATGATCTCGCGCTCAATCAGGTCTCGTTTCGCGTCATCGTCGATAATAATCTTATACAGCAACTTATGCTTCTGGAAAAAGAGATACGAGTCGCGGAATCCAATACATCGCGCTGGCTCGGTGGATAACATATACTGTCTCTCTCCCTTATCCAGTATCGTAAAGATTCGAACACGGTATTCTCGCCCGCCCAGCAGGTTGCCCATCTTGTCTACTTTTGTCTCTCCCTCTGGGTCCTCGGGCAGGTCGACTTCGTCGTCAATCACCTCTAGGACGTTCCCTTCCTTGTCGAGAGGCATGTGGGAGGCGTGGGATGGGCCGCCGCGAGACTTGGACCAGCGTCCGCCGCCGTAGGGCCGGCCTCGTCCTCGGCCGCGTTTGATGGGGGTGTTTACGCCTGATCGGGGGCCGGGGGTGTCGCCGGTGCCGGTGCCGTTGCTGTTGCTGTTGCCGTTGTCGTCCGCGTCCCAGTCTGCAGGCTTGTTCTTGGGCGGTCGTCCGATGCGGCGGCGTCGAGGTCGGCCCATCGAGCTGCCTCGTCCTGCCGCGCTGGAGCGAGAGGGCGTGTCTTGCGCGCCTCCGTCAGATTCAGCGTCTCCGGCCGGTGTGCCTTCGTGCTCGAGTGGTGTCTGTGGTGTTGCTCGTTCATCTTCCTCGCCGTCTTCGTCTCCTTCTCCCTCGCCGTCCCCGTCACCGTCGCCGTCACCCTCAACGTCCTCCTCTTCCACGTCTTCCTCCTCTTCCTCTTCGCGACCGTCGTCCTTTTGCGGCGTGGCCACGTCTGCCATCTCTGCATCAGACTCGTCGGGCAGATCCTGTGGTGTAGCTTCTATTTTATATTAGCTTGACCTGACCATCTTATATCGGTCTGGCGCGCCACTTACTGAGGGACATGGCAGCTGCCTTTGCAGCCGCTCGGGGTTTTCGGGGCATGCCTGGAGATCGAGGCAGTGCCCGTTCGATGTTCTACTGGGAGTCGCAAACTGCTTTATCTACTCTACTCTTTACTCTACGTCCATCTCGAGCTTTCTCTTACACGTGATGTCATGTGACCACTACATAAGACGGCCAAGAAGAGAAGACGATACGAAGATATTAGATGATAGATAGATACTAGATAGTAGATACTAGGTGTAAAGGGTAAGAGTAAGAGTAAGAGTAAAGATAGACTAGAGGAAGTCCTCCGTAGCAGTAGTGGCCGGTTTACCCCGACGGAAAGGCGCAGGGCTTCCTTGCTCCGGCTCTTCCTGTGCACTTCCCATGCTCCCACGGCTGCTCCCTTGGGTTGGGCTGCGGGTGTCCTACCCTATCCCAGGGCCTCTGCCTCGTCAAGAGTCTATATGACGTCGTGTACTCACGCTACTACTACCAAGATGATTCCTCATATGCTCGTCCGTAGAATATATGGGGATAATGGGCCGGCAGCAGCGTATAACACTAGGCCAGGATTGCCAACCGGGCCAATCCATCTTCGCCCTTCGAGCATTCTCCCCTTTTCTTTTGATATCCCCCCGTCCTTTACTAATTGCCGGATTACCGCGATGGACCTTCCTACCCCGCGGCATCGCATGCATACACAGATACATGAGGCCAGCAAGCAGATTGGGCAGCGGGGGGCTAAGTTTTCCCATATCTCAGTCTGCTAACCCCCAACCACTCGGGTCTTTTCTTATTTCAGGCAGTACGCTGGGCATGTATATGCCGAAAACAGTAGTTTATATCGATGTTTCCTGTCGGCAGTTACACCCACGTCTGCGCCCGCACATCCGTCTATACTGAAAAGCAACCGAGAAAGGCGTAGGTACGTAGAAGAGAGCGTTCCACGAGCTGCGATGCGTGCGAGCAGGCCGTGCCGTGCAGAGCTGAGGAAAGTCATCCTCCGGCCTGCGGCCTGGTGATGGAGGGATGCGTCGATGTGGTGGTACAGCTGGGAGGGAGGACGCGGTGGGATCATCCGACCGGCCATCCTCACATCCTGATGAGTGTGAGTGGCAGAGGCTGGGGCGAGCTGAAGAGGTTCACGGTTAGCATAAGCGCTTGGTTATATATATAGATGCAGGTATGACTTATTAGTGCAACACTGATTGGTCTCGGAGGCTGTAGTCGAGGAAGCGAGGTAGCACGAGTAGGTATCTTCATCTCTTCATCTCTACCACCATATCATATACACTACTACCACCATATCATCATCACTACCATATCATCTGCATCACTACCATACTCACTACCATACTCACTACCATACTCACTACCATACTCACTACCTAGGTACCACCTCTCTGACTACCTCCCTGACTACCTAGGTACATCTCACTACCACCTACGAGTCTACCTCACTCCGTAGAGGCCCATAGTTCTCTCCACCGGTCCCTCAAACGCCCGGAGTACGAGTCTTAAGTGCTTCCTCCGGCTTCCTGCATTACCTAACTCAACCCTTGCCCGCTGATCTAGCGTTCTGGTCGTATCCTTTAAGATTTTTTTCTTCGCCCTCTCAACTTTCACCCCTCTCGTCGCTTCTTCAGATATATCGACATATCAATATCGACATCGACGTCTGGCAGTGGACTTGATTTGCTGCAGGGAGTTCAGCCTTCGCCTTCGCCACCACTTCCTGCTGGCCCTGTCTGCCCGTCTGCCCGTCTCGCCAATCACCAGCACCCCTCCCAGCCCCGGACCAGCGCCGCCCCGAACGAACGTCAACGGTGACCTCGACCTGACCTGATCCTGAAGTCGACTCGACCAGGCTTGACTTGTCCTTGCAAAGGCGAAAGGTATAGGGAGCAACGCACTTCGGGAGTGCTCGTGGATGGAACCCAGGTAACGATATGGCGGAGTTTGGAGGAGTAAATCCCCATGCCCACGCAGACCTCCTGCGGCAAGCGATGCTTCAAAAGTGAGTCTCACATCTACTATCATCTCTCGTCGCTCTGTCTCTACTTGATGTCTATGTTCTTCTCCGTGTCTACTTGATGCCTATGTCTTGTCTGTCTGCCAACGGCGTAACGGTGACTACTTGCTTGGCTGGTGAGACAGGTATATCTCCATGGCCAGAAAGTGGCGAACACACCACAAACCCCATCACCTCCCCAAGTCTGTCCTGCTGGATGGCGATGCATCCGCCTGTCCAGATGCTGAATCCCCAACCGGCCTGTGACAGCTTGGTGGCGTTCATCATGTCCTTGCAATAGCCACATCGACGGGAAGCGGTCGACCAACCTCTGGCCTATGCAGAGTCGCTAGCAAGACTCCAAAATAGTGCAGCCTCAGGATGCTGAAACAGCAGTCCCAGCCCCCTTTCCCTGCTCTCTTCCTTGCTCTCCGTCTCTAGCTCTGCTCTGCTTTGTTTTTTTTGCCCACAGAAATCCTCGTCCGTCGACTACAGATGGCTAACCCACGTCCAATATACAGCCAGAAACATGGGGACGACAGCCAGGACCAGATCGGCTCCATGGGCTCGACGCCCTCGGGAATTGCGACGCCGCAGCCAGATCCCTCCGACAAGCGCGTCCCGGGGATAATGCCTAGTTTCTTTGCACAGGTTCGTGCCGGTTCCGATTCTACTTCAGCCCCTACCACCAGTCTACGATCTCCTCCCATGCCTTCTCCAGCCCGCCATACCCCAGGGGAGCATAATAGTGATGAGCGTGATGTCGGTGGACGCTGCCAGGCCGCCGGTGGAGAGACACAGGGAATATCAGCGGCAGCACAGAAATCGCCAACCTCTCAATCTTCACACCCGCCCTGCCCCTCATTATCTGAGTCCACGAACCTGCTGGATCGTGGTCGCCAACATTCTGCGCCAGCTCCTTGCTCCTCCTCCTCCTCTTCTTCTTCCTCCCCTCCTGTCACAACCCAGAGCTTGGATGTTATATCAGATAAAGAGTACCTCGCCTCCGCCAGGGATGGAATCAGTCGTGTTGGCAGCGGCGGTGGCGGCGGCGTCCATGGCAGCGGTAGTGGTGGTGCCGTCAACCCTCTACCTACACCCCCTCGTTCCTCGTTCTGCTCTATCACACAGAAGGATACCGAAGAGGTAGAGAACGGTGCTCCCGAGATAGACACTGGCGTTAGCTCGGTGTACCGTGCCCTGAAGAACCTTATTTTCTCCAAAACGTCGCAAAAGCAAAAGACGAAGCGGCATACTTCATTCCCTGTCTCCAGTGTCTCGCCCGATGCCGTCATGGCCTCCCATTTCTCTAAGCCCTCCCGTCCTTCTTCTCAATCAATATCACAATCCCATTCCCTATCCTCATCCTCAAAATCTCCCACCCAACACCACCACTCAATCTCCAGCTCATGTGAGGAACTGGCAAAGCTGACTGACAACGCGGCCGCTGGTCCGCGTACAAAGAACACGCCCCCGCTTACCCCCCGCGCCATGTCCAATGAAACCGATGCCGCGGAAAAGAGAGATCCGCCGAGGTCAATAATAGAAAACTCCCCGCCTCATCAGGGCAATACGCCAGACAGTGCGTCAAACAGGAATTCGGCCACGGCTCGGAAAAGCGCGTCCAAAAAACCCACTATTTCTTCTAGATCGAGCGGGGACTCGGAAGAGTCTGGGGTTCCGGTAACTGCCTCCTTAAAGGGCAAACTAACAGTAAAGATAGTTGAAGGACGAGGGCTACGGCCTAGCATCGATCCCTATGTCGTTTGCGTTTTTGAGTGGAACGAATACATCTCCAAGGGCGCAAAGGCCGAAAAGGCTGGTCCAGGTGGTAGCCTAACAGGTCCCGGTATGGGCTCGGGGAGAAATAGACTGGAAGCGCTTGGCTCGGTGCCGATTCAACGGTCGAATAGCGACTCGGGGCGACCCATGGCTATTCCGATGAGGAGCCGGCAGAGCAGCCATAATAGCATGATGGATGGAGGACATAGTAGTGGGCTTACTGAAGTCACTGATCCCCAGTGGAATCACGATGCTATTTTGTGCGTTGCGCGTGCATATCTTTTTCCTTTACTACCTTCTATCCCCCGGCTGGCTTCCTTTTTTTTACTAATCCGAATATAGTGACGTCCTTGGACATGAATCGGAGCTTGACGTGTCTGTCTACGACCGTTCGAATCACGAAGCTTTCCTAGGCCACCTGAAGTTATCCCTCAACTTGAAGGAAGACCACACCACGCTTTCTGGATGGTATCCTCTACACCCACTCGCTCACGGCCAGGGACCCGTGTCGGGCGAGATATTCCTACAGATGAGCTTCCAGAAGACGGACAAGAGGCACTTTGGTCCCAACGACTTCCAGATCCTTAAGCTTATCGGAAAGGGCACGTTTGGTCAAGTGTATCAGGTGAGGAAGAAGGATACGCAACGAATCTACGCCATGAAGGTCCTGTCCAAGAAGGTGATTATTCAGAAGAAGGAGATCGCGCATACCCTTGGCGAGAGAAACATTCTTGTCCGTACAGCGATGACGGATTCTCCATTCATCGTTGGTCTGAAGTTCTCCTTCCAGACTCCTACAGATCTATATCTCGTTACAGACTACATGTCTGGTGGTGAGCTATTCTGGCATCTCCAGAAAGAAGGACGATTCCTAGAAGCCCGTGCAAAGTTCTACATTGCCGAACTAATCCTTGCCCTGCAACATCTTCACGACCACGACATCGTGTACCGAGACTTGAAGCCCGAGAATATCCTTCTCGACGCAAACGGCCACATCGCACTGTGCGATTTCGGCCTTTCCAAAGCCAACCTCACAAAGGACGATACCACCAACACCTTCTGCGGTACGACCGAATATCTCGCTCCCGAAGTCCTACTCAACGAAACAGGGTACACCAAGATGGTCGATTTCTGGTCATTGGGTGTTCTCGTCTTTGAGATGTGCTGTGGCTGGAGCCCCTTCTACGCCGAGGACACGCAGCAGATGTACAAGAACATTGCGTTCGGCAAGGTTCGCTTCCCGCGCGATGCGCTCAGCGCTGAAGGAAGGAACTTTGTCAAGGGTCTGCTGAACCGAAACCCTGAACATCGTCTTGGCTACCGAGATGATGCCAAGGAACTTATGGCACACCCGTTCTTCCACGACATCGACTGGGCTGTTCTGGCCAACAAGGGCGTTATCCCTCCCTTTAAACCGACGCTAACGTCCGTCATGGACACGTCGTACTTTGATCCGGAATTCACCACTGCATTAGAGCAGTCGGCGTCTCTAAATGCCAGGGCCGCTGCGTTGGCTAACGGGTTAAACCCTGCAGGCACGCCCTTGTCGCCGGGCATGCAGGCAAACTTCAAGGGGTTCACTTTCGTCAACGAGAGTTCGATGGAACACCATATGAACCACGGCCACGGCCATGGTAGCTACACCAGCCATCCGGCGGATGATTACATGGAGGAAGATTTCCCTGAACATGATCAATGGACACAACCTAACAAGGTTACCGGAAGTAACAGGACCGGCGCAGGCCATGGCGCCGGCGCTTCGGATCATAGTCATCGCATGAGCGGAATTGAGAGGACGAACACAACGAGGGCTTCAGACGCGCCTCAGATGTCAAACGGCGATGCGGACGGCGGTATATTCCACGACGATTATCATTTCGAGATGTGAGCATGGGGGAGCGAAAGAAAAAAAAAAGTAAACAAGAAAAAACGAGCGGAAATCTATATTTTTTATAAAAAAAAGTCACCTCCCCCGATACTGCCTTGCGTTGCCTTTATCTGCCTTCGTGCGCGCTGCCTTTTTTTAGTTGTGATCTCTCCTCCATCATGAAGTACATGACTTGATGCCGTTTGCACATACTACCATCCTATTTATGCTTGTGCTTTTTTGTATCTTCTCCTCCTTTCCTTGCCCTGCAATACCTCTTTTCCTTGCTATTTACGGCCAAGGCACGATCTCAACTTTATCTGATGAGGGTTTTTCAACCTCACCTACCGTTTTATCTTATCCTTTCCTACCTCATCTGTTGAATGGACACCTCAGCTCAGCGTTCTAGCCTCCCTTCTCACATCCCATTCCTATTCCCCATCCCATCCCATCCCATCTCGCTTATTTTCACTTCAACCATTTTCGTCTCATCAACCAGCGGTCGAGGGCGGTCTATCAGTGATCACGCAAACGAATCAAAAGAACAAAAAAAAAGAAAAAAGAAGGGGTTATACCGTACTGTCCTGCTGTTATATTTTATTTTATCTATCAGCCATATCGCTCCCAATCCAGTTTCATAAATACCAGATACGCGTTTCTGTGGTGCAGCCCTTTTCATCTCTTTACTCTTTACCGTCGAACTGCGTGGCATGGTCATCGTTCCGTACAGCATATTTCCAAGGTTCCTGCATGTAGCCAAGGGGCTGTGGGTGGTGGAGGCTGATATTTATTCATCGGTTTATTGATTTATCGTCTTTCCTATTCTGCACAACGGTCTATTTTTATCAACCCAGCCCGCCATCATTCCGCGTCTGCATACCTGCATTCCTGCATAGCATCGTATTGTCCTCTCTTCAAGTCCTTCCAGTAAAAACCATCCGTATCGTCTTTGCGTCTGGCTACAAGTGCCTAAGTAAGCCTGGTTCAGGGGCTGCTTAGTCAGTAGCGCGCGGTTCCTGCGCTAGTGCATCCCGATCCGGCCAACCAGGGGCGCCCGGGCCCACGCCTCCTTTTTTTTCGCAACCTCCACCAAAATCCATGGCTGCATCTAATGCTGTGACCTCATCCTCGACCGCACCACCGGCTTGCAAGTACGAGGGATGCTAGCGCTGGGCCACGGGTGGAGATGAAGGGCAGGGGGTGCACTGCTTGACAGGCTTAATGTGGCCTGGCGATAGGCCACATTCCGCTGTCGTGTTTCACCTTGAGTGGTGCCAGGTCTCCTTTTTTTTTTCCCTTGACAGGAAACGCTATGGACGTCAGAAGGTGTCAACTTTGGTCAAGGCTCCGATGAGGCGTCTTCCACGGGCGTAACATCGCGCCAGGACGTCGTCGGGACAGACATTGGTAGGCTGGTTGTCTCTGGCTCATCTCCTAGAAACAGCACCAAGACCAATACTCCGGACTCCATACCTACTTCTGACGGGATATATGCTGGACAATGTCTTTCGGCTCTCGAAATGCGGCTTCTCGACAACCGTCACCCTCAAGGAATCTACACACAGGGTTACGACTAGCAACCTTGGGCTTGTGGGGATGGGGGGGGAATGTTTATCGCCAAGTCCTCGTTCGCATGGTTGGTGGTGCAGGTCTTACCACACTAACTCACTAACTCGCGGCGCTATTCGTCCAAGCTGCTCGGGTATTGCTCTTGAGGCCCCCTAGTACTTCGTACGGGGATGTAGATCAGAAGGGGAGGAGAGCTGGTTTCGCGCGTTGGTGGCAGACAAACAAGCCTAATTATATACCATTTCGTCCCTCCTCTCCTCTTTCGTCCATTCACCATCAATCAGGCGCAGCCCTGTGAAAAAGAAACCATACATAGCCCGCGCAAACCGTTAGGAATCCATCCAGTACATACACAGAGACGGGGTACACGCAGACAAAGTACGACTCCTCTCTTATTTTTACCTTGAGAAATGCTGCGTTGCCATCGTCTGCAACAATGAGTGTCGTCGCTACTGCTACCTCTGGACCATCGCGAATGTCTTCAAACACCGCTTCATACCAGCACTTTACCCCTCCGCACGATCCCCCAGCGTTGGCTCATGCACGACAGGCTCCCCGTCCTCCAGTCAGAAGCCCAACGTTCCCCCTTCTCTACTCGAACCAGGTTGCCAATTCGAGCGCGCCAAACCTCTACTCCCATGCAACCGTCAGATATTCATACCACCCGTCGAAACATGGCAGGATCTCGCCGCAGGACCAGCAGCCACTGCAGGTCTTTACCAATCGTCTCCCGGACGAGGTCTACGAATGTATCCTAACCCATCTCTGGTCGTTGCATGTCGGTTCTTGCACAAACGGTTGCTTGACCTGTTATATGCGAGACTTGTATTCCCTAAGCTTGACCGATAGAGGATGGGAGAAGGCCGTCAGAGGTAAACTGTAAGCTCCATTTTCTTCATCTTTGGTGCATGTCAGTACGCGTTTTCCATTTTGCAAAAATAATAATAAGGCATTTTCGTGTCGTTATAGATATAACAAGATCCATCTTCACGGCAGCGATTCGCCAGCCCCTTTGAAGAAGTATAAGTGGAAACGTGGCAGCCGTTTGAGATTGCTTAGACGAACGCTGCGAGAGAGGAAGGCTCTGGCCAATATGGTCTTTGAACTAAGAGTTCCAGAACTGGATGCTCCCTTATTGACAGGGAAGCAACATCTTGTTCTACAGGAGTATCGCGATTTGGTTGCCTCCGTCGTCATGGTTTGCCCCAATCTCGAGCGTCTGTTGGGTCTGTCGATTCCGTATAATCACGACTTCGATCGACTCACCCATGCACTATCAACGAGGAGGAAGCTCAAGGAGCATGCTTGGATCATTGGTGAGAATGCAGAGGTGACTGAGCGAGCACAGAATAAATCCGCAGAGATGCTGGACCAAGGTCAGATATATCAATTCCTCAGCTACCACACCTCATGGTCGAAGCTCGAGTCCATGGTGTTGCACTCTATGGACTCAAAGGGTGTATTGGAACATGGAGTGTTCTTGCGAATGTTCAACTTCCTACCTGCCTTACGACATCTATCTGTTTCAGGCTTCGAAGCCGATAACTTTACAGACCGAACGTTACTCTTTCTCCCAGCCTTGACCTCCCTTCGACTTGAAGGGCTTCAGGGAGTGACGGAGAATGGACTGGCGCGCTATATGGGTAGGCCAGAGGCCAGGAGTTTAAAGTCACTCGCCTTGATAGAACAGAACATATCTTCGCTCCTTATCCTATCGAAAATCCTCGCTTCTTTAGGATGTCTGGAACGGTTCTCCATGGTACAGTCAACCGTCGTTCCATCACTACCAGAGGGAGAAATGGTATTCCAGCCGCTCCTTGCTTCGGCATCCCTGAAATACCTCCACTGGGATGTAGCGTGTCCGAATGCCGCCAACGCTCTAAACCAGATCGATACACTCCCCTTTTCCAAGATGCTGAGCACAGCAAATACACCAAACTCGCACCTAGCCCAGAGTATTCTACATGCCGGTTTCCCGTCCCTCGAACGCCTGCGTGCACCGCTTGATATAGATCCCCTAGGAGCATTACAAAATGTTTGTCGACCGTCGAAAAACGGCCTGATCATGGTCCCTGCGGATCGCCACAATCTCCCGAGGAGTTCCCATGGATCTCTACCCAAACGTCCCCTTGCCATGCCAGCGGGGAATAACCTATCTTCGGCACGTATACGCTCCCAGGCGCTTATTGATATGGCTGCAAAGGAGAACGATGCAGGCGTCAAAGTGGTCATCACCGACCATTCTGAAGACTTCCTTTCCCCCAACGTGATTATACAGCCCGGCTACGTTAGCTCTGAAGCAATTCTAGCCCTCAACAACGGCCACGCGAAAACACCTGCTCTCAAGATCCTTGAATTCCTGATACCTGCCTGCATGGGCCGAGTCGGTCTTTCTAACAAAAGCAGTACAACTGCCATCACCCCTCGATTCACCCTCCAACCCGATATCGTCAACTCAGACGCGGACGGTGGCCTAGTAAGCCATAAACACCTCTTTGCAGCAAACCAAACCGCCCTGTTCGCCGCTTCTTCCGCCACTCCTGCCCTCCCTCCGCTTCCAACTGCACAACACAACTCCAAACGAGCCAATACAAATGCCAGCTTCAGCGATGATGCTGTGTCCTCCCCTTCGACTACTACTACATCCACCTCCTCGTCCTCCCGTTTCTCGGTGTGGGGCGGGTCAAATGGACGTAGTAACCACGTTAGTGCGAAATCCAACGGCTCCAATCCACCAATGCCACCTAAAACTCCAACTTCCCCTACCAGGTCTGCTGCTTGGCCAGGTACATGTGGCAATGGAGATCAACCCTTTTGGGCTAGGGAGACGTGTAACGGTTCATGGAACCAGGGCCATAAATCCGGCAAGGAGTGGTGGAGTCATGCTGAGCGTGAGCGGAATATTGGTGGTATTAAGAAAGCCGATACTTCTGCAGCGATGCTCAGCGTGAGTGATATTTTCCGTTGATATCACCGTTTCTTTTTTCACCTTTTACTTGTATATCTCTATTTTCCCCTTTATGGTTTGACCTGGCTGGCGTTTGGGTTGGTATGAACCCTGTTCCTCCTACTATTTATTGTTTATTTCATGACCCCTTATTGCTTATTGTTCGCCCCCGGATTTACCCGGATACTACCTAAACAGGGGGATAATGTATAGTTTTCTTTAATGTGTACCACCAGGTGTTATAATGTGTTGGGATATATGTATGATCAAGGCATATTTACAATTATAGTGTTTAGTTAATTAATATGCACATGTTATGGATATAGTCAACTCAACTTTAATTGGTAGATTGCAACAGTTGATCATTAATTAATCTTTTGCTCAACAACGGGAACACGGATGGAGCTGGAATCAATAGTATGGCAGTAAAAACGTTAAATTGTATATCTAGAACAGAGTTGGTATTTAACAGGGAGAGGAAAGGAAAAATAGCTTCTCCCAAACTGTTACCAGCCTTGCGCATTTAGACATATATGCCAACATTGGTATCCTTCTTCTTCGCCATAACTTCCGAAATGGCATCGACGTAATGTTCGTGGCTCACTTTGTTGACACCCTTTCGTAGCGCAATCATACCAGCCTCCACACAAACAGCCTTGAGTTGGGCACCGCCAAATTCATCAGTACTCCTAGCAAGTTCTGGCCAGTTAACCTTATCGTCAACCGTCATCTTGCGAGAATGGATTCTAAGAATCTGGGCACGAGCTTCCTCATTTGGTAGCGGGAACTCAATCTTGCGATCCAAACGGCCGGATCGTAAAAGGGCGGGATCGAGGACATCAATACGATTAGTAGCGGCGAGGACCTTGACTCGATCGTCGGAGGCAAATCCGTCAAGCTGGTTGAGAAGTTCCAACATAGTTCGCTGCACTTCTCTGTCTCCTGACTTCTCAGAGTCGAAACGTTTGGTACCGATAGCGTCAAGTTCGTCAATGAAGATAATGGCTGGGGCCTTTTCCTTGGCTAGAGCGAAGCAGTCGCGTACCAGCTTGGCACCATCACCGATAAACATTTGTACAAGCTGAGGGCCGGCGAGTTTGAGGAAAGTTGCGTCTGTTTGAGCGGCGCAAGCTCGGGCGAGAAGAGTCTTACCAGTTCCTGGTGGGCCGTACATGAGGGCACCTATATATAAAAGTTAGTTGCTATCTGTACATATATCGTTCCTCGGGGTGTCAAAACAACATGATGGAGGATGGATGTTGCTATAACAGTTAGTGTATAATAGCATACCTTTGGGAGCTTTAATGCCAATCTTCTTAAACCTGTCCGCTTCCTTCATAGGCCAAACTATAGCTTCAAGTAGCTCTTCGATTTGTTTGTTCAGACCACCGACATCAGTGTATTGTTCCGTTGGCTTCTCATCCACCTCCATAGCCTTAACACGACTGTCATATTCGGCGGGTAGGGTATCCAGTACAAGGTAAGAGTCTTTATTCACACCGATTAAGTCGCCAGGTTTCAACTGCTCGTGGTCGACGAGACCGATGAGTGGAAGGAAGATCGTTTGTCGTGTAGATGTTTTGATGACTGCAGATTTGCCGACACGGGTAGCATCGAGATCGATATTGGCACCTTCTTCAGCCGCTTCTTCCTCCACGTCAAGATCCAATAACTCCACAACGTTACCAACTAGGTAGGGTAGTTGTCTAAGCAGTATCATGTCAGTATTTTTCGACGTCGCCTCAGAAAGACTTAGCGGCAATATATGTAAAAAGTAAGTCTAACCGGTTATTTTCGATCTTGTCCAGGTTCTCCCTTATCTTCTCCTTCATCGTGTTCTGCTCATGCGTCAACCGCTGGAATTCGCTCTTCATGATCCGCATGTCGTTTTCGATGAGTTTCCGTCTGTTGACGATGTCTCTTGTACTTGATCGTAGGATTTCCTCGTCTATGAGCTCTTCTTCCTGTTTCTTCTCTGACTCCTTCATCTCCGCATCACCGTCCTTGTCTGACGCCTTGCCATCGCCACCTTTTCGGTCATCCTTCTGGTTCTTGTCTTCGCGCTCAAGGTCGTCGAGATCCTCTAAGGTAGACATGGCGCCGAACGTAAGATAAACCGTAGAACGAAGGATAAGCTCAGTACAATGGGCTGGTCAGACAGGGTCAGCCCAGTTTCGTATGATACAAGAGCAGATATGCGGTTTGCAAGTGAGAGGCGTAGGTGGTTGAGGCTGTTGCTGCTGGACGAGCTGCTTCTCTTGGTGTTCCGAGCTCCAAGCTGATGCATCACGTAAGCTTATTGTTTGCCTGGGAGGCGCGTCACGTGGTCATTGTTTTCAACGTCTCCTGGCTCATTCTACTAGGTTCTTGAAGGCATGGAGTAACCAATTCTAGAGCCTCGACGACTATACCACAATAACAAGGTCTAAGACAGGGGAACATTCTATCTATTTACAACATGCTGTCTAACAACTGTTCCTTTCTAGGAATATACACGAGAATCCTTTACCATCGGCCTATATCTGTGCAAGCAGTTGGTCCCTTCCATTCTTGAGGAGGCGATATCGTGACACAAAATCGTCATGGTTGACTGTGATGTTTAAAACTGTCAATATGTGGCTTCTCTATAAATAAAATACCCTGCCTTCCTTGGGAGTACTTACTATATCCACCGCACATCCGTCTTTTTCCCGAGAATGCAGAGCGGCCGTGGAGGATTCTCCAATTATCGAAGACTGTGTAATTGCATGTAATCAGTCGCTATCCTCGAGTTCAGGTTAACCCTTGAGGTATACTTACTGAGTGGGGTCCCAGGCTCGAGTTTAAGCCAAATTTCCATATCAGGGCGCTTAAGAATTTCATTCCACTTTTTCGCAGCTCGGTACCAACGATGAATCGTTTCTAGCGAATCCCCATTTCCAGGGGCACGGTCGTCATTGTTCCACCGAACTTGGTACAGCTCCGAAGAATCGCTGAGGTGGTTTAACACCGAAAATGAGCTGGCTGGCTGGATACAAACATCCTCGTTTCCGCTAGAATGAGAAGTGATTTTAATATTGCTTAGAGCCTGGTAAGCTTCAGGGTCTTCAGCAAGCAGTGTACGAGCAGCTTCAAATCCATCAACTAGCAAGGTCTCTCCACCTTTTCCGCCGGTATGTGATAGAATGTGGAACATCTGAAGGCCTGCAGGGTCCGTAAAGTAAGTCGTGTCGGTGTGGGCATTGAGATGCTGTGATGTATATGCAGTGTCCTTCATCGAGAGGTCGGATGTAAAGTCCCAGAAGCCTCCTGTTTATATATATTAGCATATCACTCGTTCCTTGCCCGAAAGCTAGCAGACTTACCATAATGTGTCGGCCTGATGAAAGCCAATCGTTCTAATAGCTTCTCAGTCGCTTCAGGCGTCGCAGGGCTACCCTTGACGAAGCTAAAACCGAATCGATACTACAAAAACGAGCCGTAAGCCTTCCTGCGTGCGATGCTATTAGCTCGAGGGACGTACAATGTTATCTGTCCACTTCCGTACACCTTCGTCAGACGACATCACTTCCTCGTACGCTACAGTTGGAAGCGATTTAGAGGTATTTTTAACAAATTCGAGATCAGCCCTAGAAGGATGATTAAAGACAGTCGAAGGCAATGGTATCCTGAAGTCACTTACCGTAACGCGGGTCCTCCTGTGGAAGTGGTGTCAGGTGTGATATGGTTCTTTAGCCATTCATACGCGTAACGACTTTTATGGCCATCTCCCGCCCCTGTTTGAAAGTCAGGGCCGGGTCATTTGCATATTCAACGCCATGAATCATATACATACATTCTATTTCAAGGCCATCTGTCAGTGCATTTACAGCTACCGGTTTGCTGTCCTCGGGTAGCTGCTCATTCTCGTTAGCTTCGTCTCAAGGTCGTCGTGTAAGTAGGTTTCATTTACAGAAAAAGTATCCAGAAGCCTTTGCCTAGTCTCAGGATGTACGCATTGGCGGCACTGGCAGTTGTCCCTCAGCCAAAAATTTGACCTATACATGTCTAAATATTAGCTCAGTAACAGGATTTCGGACAAAATCAGGTAAGGTACCATTTGCGCCCTTCAAGACCGGGAATAGGTAGAGAAACCGAAGACCCGGCTAACGAGTCCAACTGAGGATCACTTGATTTTGCTCCCGCCTTCATGGAAGAGGAGTATGACAAAGATCTAACTCCAGGGTATAAGGTTGTAGGGTATAATTGGAAATTCGGCTTAAAAGGTGGACGCTATATTATAAAGCAGTGGTATTTATATCAATTTCCGTATCCATCGAAGGTACAGTTATATTCAAAGAAAAACAAACCGGTACATGACTTGACAGGCGGGATATATTATTCGTTGGTCTGAGAAAACATGAGCAGATGAACCGTATGAATATAAGATGTTGCAAAAGGGCTGTAGCTTACTGTGGGGTACGAATGGCCCGAACCAGTCGAAGGCCATTCATTTTTATCGTATCGTGTGACGAAAATGTAGATAAATATATAAAAAGAAAATATTGCGAGAACTAGAAGGAATAATGAAATCCTTCTCAACTTTACTCTATGGTGCGGGGTTGTAAGAGCTTGTCAGGAGAAGATCCCGTATAAATATAACTAAATGTCTGATCCCGCTAAGGAATAACCGGCTTCACGTTAAAATACGGATGGCTTCATAGCGAGTCCAAGAACCTCCGCAACAGCAACAAAAGAGCTCCGTGATTGGAGCTTGCTAAAACTTCCGATATCCAGAAGTGTCACGTGGCGGGGTACTTCTTCTGGCGCAGAAGAACATTTTATTAGGAGAATATCCAACTTCATGGACTAAGGACACAAGGTCAAGTATATACTTGTTTATAAAAAGGACATATACTACACCAGTAAGCGAATCAATGGTCATTTAAGACGTGGATATCTGGTTATCTCAGTGAAACTACCACGAGCCAAGGTCTTTATATAGATAAAAGTTCAAAACATAAGGGATGGCTAGAAAGCTTTCAAGAGCCTACCATTTAGGCTAAATATATCCATAATGTCGGGGTCTAAAGCTTGCTTTTGGCTCCTATAACCTTCACGAGAGCACGGCCATTGGACAAGACAACCTTGCCTTGCCCATTCTTGGTGATGAATATGATCTCTTCAAACCCATCCTCAAGTTTACCCGTCCTCCACATCTCCGTGATAAGTTTATCGCCAGGCCGAACTGGAGAGGCAAACCGGGCTTGAAATTCCCTCATGTTCTTGGGGTCGCTGCCACCGAGTTTCTCAAGGACAGCGTGGGCAGTCATGTTCCAGCTGAAGAGGCCGTGGATAATGATACCTCCGAAACCCATTTTCTTTCCAGGAGCCGGGTCCGCGTGGAGTGGATTATAATCGCCATTGAGACTAGGAAAGTTAGCCGTTGGGAACCTCGAGAATAGACATTGCAAAGGGATATATACCGATAGAGTAGTGAAGTATTCTCGGTGGTCTGGAACTTGTGAACTACGTCGGGGGTCTTCCCTTGAGGCGGAGGAAAGTTGACGCTCGCAGGCCCTATAGGCGGGTTAGAATTGGGACCTGGTTTTGAAGATTTGGGCCCAGCTCACCCTTTGGACCACCCCAATTGCCCTGGCCAACATAAAACCCGCTCCCAATGACCTTTGTATAAACCTCCCCACTCTCTTTATCCACGATCAAGTTTTCAACTTCCACTACAGTGCCGGCTTTTCCCTTATCATATACGCCAAGGACTTTGGACCGTAGTTCGAACTTGCGACCCTCACTGGTAACCGGCAAAGGTTTATAGAAGGTCATCTTCCTTTGGCCATCGACCGAACGCCGGGGGTCAAAGGAAGGGACACCTGGGATGTCCCTAGATGCTTTGCTGGCATAGAAGTCAATGACTTCTTGTGTAGTATATTTAAATGCTATGATGAATCATTAGGTCATGGCGAATAAGGGGACACGAGTGTCGTTAATATATAAACGTACGCAGAACGATAGGATATGTTGGGAAAGCTGCAAAATTAGGGTGCAGCTCCTATCCCATAAGCACAACAATTAGTTGATTAGCTTCCGGTTAAAGAGCTGAGTGCGTCACGTAGGAACGTACATATAAGAAGTGAAGCTCTTCAGCCGTGCAGCCAATGCTGTTAGCAAAAAGAAGGAGGTCTCTCTTCAACCAGCTCACCTCCTCGCTGGGGAATTGGTGGCCTGCTCCTGGACCGCTCATATTAGCGACTTTAGCTGTCTCGCTGATTGACCAAGAGGTATTATGAACGCAAATGAATGATAGGGCAGCCTAAATATCAATTCCTTATATATGGTATCTACAAGAACAACTATAAGCCTGCCGGTTCTTCTGGGGGGTTAAATAGTTGATATCAACAGCTCCTTGCCGGGAGAACTTACTTTAAAGCTGTTTAAGCCGAGGCTGCGCTGTTGAAATAACCGGCTTATTCAGCTACCAGCTGTCGGATAATTGTCTTAACCTTTATAAAGCAGTCATCCACCAAACTTTCAACAAGTAGCCCGCATGGCTTAATGGTAAAGCGCATCACTAGTAATGATGAGATTCTCAGTTCGATTCTGAGTGTGGGCATCTTTTTTTGCTCTTTCTTTCTCCTTATTTTTCTCCTTATTTCGCCTTCCATCAAGGGACACGTTTACAAACCTCTAACCATACTTAAGCGTGAACTATCTTTTTGCAACAATCTTATGTGCAATGCTTCAGTATTCCGTACTGAGATTTGCAAATAGTCGGCAGTTGGTGGTGGGTGTCATGTGACCTTCTCCTTTTCTGTTACGGCGACAGCCATGAGGGTACTGACATTTATAGTCACTCTACGGAGTACTGTTACTCCGTACTCAACGAGTTTGAAATGCCACAAGTAACTAAAATTTGAAGCTGTGCTTAGCTCTGTAGATACAACTATTCGTGGGTGGTTAAAGGGGGCTAAAGACGTGTGATGACTTCGAATGTCCCGGGATCCAAGTCCTCGAAAAGTATAGTATGAGGCACTGTCTCGGAGTCTGTACTTCTAACCTAATGTAGAAAGCATGTTGGCTATTCTTATTGACAGTAGGGACAGTTAAAAACTAAATTCCATGGGCGGTTGAGTTGTTTCAAAAGCATAGCAATGATGTAAATGAAGATGTTGGCTGGTTTGGAGGTTTGGAGCCTTCATTTAAATAAATGTATTTCTAAAGGTATATTATTATAACCTTCTTCAAAAAAAGTATTACAGCTAATAGATATCAGCTGCACTTCGGAACTTCCAAGACGATGGTGTTGCACGAAGTCTGCTCGGAAGAGATATTCACGGCGGACACACAACACCTGAGGGTTATATGCACTAGGGATTGCGGGATTGGTACCTCACACACTTCTCATTCTAGCTTGTTGTTCGTTTAGCAGCAACGTCACTGTACGGAGTAATTGCAATTCTGTCATCTTTGTCTTCTTGAATTGTCTCACGGACCTCCCTATTTCGTGGTCGACTAGATAGGTCCATAGGGGGAATAGGGTATCATTGACAGCCATCGACACCGTAGACTCGCATGGAGAAGGTGAAGTGAGAAGGGGAATGTTATAAAACAGGGCTGATATCTGTAGTTTAACTTCGCCATTACAAACCTCCGACTACGTTCGTCTCCATCCCTTGACTCGTCTTTAGAAGGAGAGGTGCGAGGTTGACAAGGTTGATGTTTAAGCGAAATATCCCGGCTAACCTCTAGGTTTTCAAGCGAGAACCTTGCCCCAACAATCAGCCCGCATGGCTTAATGGTAAAGCGCATCACTAGTAATGATGAGATTCTCAGTTCGATTCTGAGTGTGGGCATTTTTTTTTTTCTTCCATTCCCTTATTGATGGGAACGAATGGGCGAATTCTTTTTTTTTTTTGTTAAAGGACTAAACTAGCTAAGCCGAAGGGCAAGTGTATACTGTGGTAAGACGAGGTGAGAATAAACGACCTAGATGGTGGTCACTTCATAATTAATTATGCCAACCCAGGAAGGAATATTTGGGGGGAGACATCATATCTTCAGACGAGAAAATCAAAATATAAATGTATGCTAATAAACTAAACAAATCGGTTAGACTAAGCATCTACTCGAGGGTATCAATTGCAAATCGAGGAGCTTTAAAAAATCGCCGTTTATATCATCATCATCTCTCCTTTTATAGCCCATGCACTTAAGAACACGCCAGATACATTCCCAACGCCATTGCCATATTGCTTAGTTATATCTTTTCTCAACTCATACGTTCCGTAGTGAAAGAAACAAAGAAACAAAGTCCCAAGCAGATCCGAATCGATTTGAGCGAAAAAACAACGAAAAATGAACGCGAAGGTTGGCACTACCAGAAACCAGAAAAGCCGGCAGGTAGAAATGCGCTTAGCACATTCTATATTGGCAGAGGCCCTGGGTGTTACGGGTTTCGTCCTGGGCATCAAACTCGAAACCTATCGTGATATCGAGATCACGCTTGTTCTTCTGGTTTGGTCGGTTCTCCAAGAAGCCGGTGACGGCCTCCTGGGCACGGATGGTGAGGACGTCACGCAGGTAAAAGACGGTCTGCTTCCAATGGGTGTACTTGGCATGGGGCCCAGTTGAGAAGTGGACTGGCTTGTGGCAGGCGGTGAAGTCAATATCGAACCAGGCAATCAGGGCGTGGATGTAGTCGTCGCGTCTGGCGGTGAGGCTGAATGGGACTTTGAATGATAGGTCCGCGGCGGTAACGGTGTAAAGGTCGAAAGTGATAACGGCACAGGGGTCGCTGACTAGAGCCTTTAGCTCAACGGTGTCAACCAGAGGCTCAGTAAGAGCAACGTCCTTCATGGCCGAGTAGTCGAAGCCGTAAACATTGTCCCAGACTATTAGAGCTAGTTAGCAGTGTAAAAGTATCAAGGGGAAAAAAGTAGGGACGTACATCCGATCTTCTCCTCCTTGTAATCACCATCCTCGATTGCTCCAAGGTAGATGGTGGCCTTGTCAGGGAAAATCAAACCGTTGGGGTTGAGGTAGTTGTCTCTAGCGTAGAGGACGGTGTCCAACATGGACTCATAGAGAAGGAAGTATCCCATCCACTCTGAGATGATGATATCAACCTTGGGGAAGGGAAGGTTTACCTCCTCCATCTTGCCTTGGAGAAGGGTAATCTTGTCTGACATTCCGTTTGCCTCCACGATCTCGCGGGCCTTTCCAATGATGGAGGACATGTCGACACCGATAACATGCTTTGCGCCAGCCTTGACAGCAAACCTATTCACGCGGAGTTGGTTAGCCACAATCCACCCAGCTATCAAGTATATGTGCGTGGGAATGCATACATGCTGAGAATACCAGTTCCGCAGCCAACATCGAGAACCACCTTGTCCTTGAAAAGGTGTTTGCTATTGTAGATAGCATCACGGTATGAGCGAGTTCTCACTTCATCTTTCTATACGTGTCACGCATGGTTAGTATACATCCTGCCGCGTTATAAAAGTCGCATTCGAGTCCAAACTTACAAGCATCTCCTCGTGGATTCCTGAAATATGCCATCACCATTAGCAAGATATTCACAAACCACCTTCTCACTTCATATCATGGTGGGGGTATTACCATAATGATCGTAGCTATAGAAGAGTCAGTAACTTAACAATTACAGCAGTAGAGCTGTTCACAACATACCTCGTAAAGTAACGGACCTCAGCATGGTCCATTCCAACCATCCTGTCCGCGCTGGAGGCAGTGAAGCCCACCTGGCTGGTGCTATCTGCTGAAGTATCCATGATTGCAAAGGGACTCAACGACGAAACCGCAGAAAATTAGACAGTACGCTGAACGATAGAGTGACTAGGGCGTCTAAGCAGTAACGACTCGGAAGGTGAAATCGTCTGTAGGTGCAAGGGGAGAGAAAATTCCCACTGCTCAAAAGTTAGGCCTCTCCCTTCCCATAACCCACCATCTAAAAAAATTAAAAAAGACGCGGGAGATTTTCTTAGTTTGCACCGTTTGCACCTGCCCTGCTATTCTGTGGTCTTGTAGAACTCAAGGTCGAAGTTGTGTAGCTGTCGGGGCAATTAGTTTAGTGGTATAACGTCCGTTTTGCATCTTGGCATATCTACGGAAGGTCGTGATTTCGATTATCACATTGTCCAGATTATTTTTTTTTCTTTTTTTTTTCCTTTTATTTTTTATGCCCATACATGATTGTGTCTATCTTTTATATGTGTAGTATTTATAGCAGAGGCCTATTTTCATGTCAAGGGGTTCCTTTGCTGGCGTCGTCAGCTCCCCCTGAACAAAGTAGGAGGAGCTTGTTACTCTGTTAACCACTATAAACTGCCAAGGAGGATCACCCTTTTCGCGATCAAAGCGACTTTTGGAGCTTCCTTCAGGTCTTGCATCAATCATGAAACCCACTGGGATACCCTTTGCTCGATGGGTTCTGGCTCTTTGTGTTTGGTTACTCCTGGTCGATATATCCCAGGCCTCCCTTGGCGATAGACTGCCGGAATTTAAAGATTGTCTCGAGGTACAGCCTTCCCTGCTGCCTCATGCTCAGACGGTGTCTAACTATTCTTGACGAGATAGAAATGCAAGAAAGAACAGTGTGAGACAAAGCAGGTTTCGCTCCGTAAGTCTTGCCATACGTGACTACAACTCGTTCTTCCGACTAAAGGATCAAGCTTGAACAGCGCTACACCTTCGGCTCCTACTCTGGGACTGCCCGTCGAACTGCGACTACACCTGCCAGCATGTCGTAACCAACCTGCGGGTGGCCAGGGAGCCGCCAATGCTCAACCCAGTCGTCCAATATCATGGCAAATGGCCCTTCCATCGAGTCATGGGCATCCAGGAGCTCTTCTCCGTCGTTTTCTCCCTCTTCAACTACCTCGCCCACTACCGCGGAATACAGGCAGTGAAGGAACGGATACCGCAGTCTTTCACGATGCGGAAGTACTACCTGTGGCTCGGCTACATCGGACTGGCTAGCTGGACGTTCAGCATGATATTCCATGCGAGGGACTTTCCCTTGACGGAGAAGCTGGACTACTTCGCGGCCGGGGCCAGCGTGCTGTACGGCCTGTACCTGGCGGTTATCAGGATATTCCGCCTGGATAAGCTGCGGCCGCACTATAAGCCGTCGCTCCTACGGTGGTGGACGGTCTGCTGTGGGACGCTATACCTCATGCACGTCTCGTACTTGAGCTTCTGGTCGTGGGACTACACCTACAACATGGCTGCCAACGTCGTGGTGGGTATAATTCAGAATCTGATGTGGACTGTGTTTAGCTTTCGGCAGTACAAGAGGTATACGAAGTCTTGGACGGTGTGGCCTAGCATGATTGTGGGATGGCTGATATTGGCCATGAGCCTTGAGCTCCTCGACTTCCCTCCGATTGGCGGGTTTATCGATGCCCACAGCTTATGGCACTTAGGCACAGTTGTCCCCACCATCTGGTGGTATGCGTGAGTTGTACCCTGATCCTTCCAGACAGCCAGACAGCCAGCCAGCCTTTTACTGACCAAGGTGGCCTCTTTTCCCACAGGTTCCTCGTCAAGGACGCAGAGTTCGACATCACCGAGAAGCGTCTGCGTGCGTGATACATACGACATAGAATGGAGCTATTAATATATATATCATTGATATAAATATATATTTCTATACGCCCTGGACAGTAAATATAAATGCCTGCTGTAGTCTATCCAATAATGCAGGCCATCCCACCGCATGTGAAGCTTTCTGATGCTTGTGCTGCAAACACGCCAAACACCCTCCAACCCCACGCTTCTTCGCTGTGCATCCCAAAACCTCAGCTGATTTCCCCCTCTCCCCCCCGCCGTATATAAAGAGCGAGCTTGTCACCGCTACGCTCTACCACCACACACTCTCTCACTCGTCGTAGAGGATATCATCACCAATGGCTTCCGCAGAGGTTCAACAGGCCATCAACAAGGCCGCTTCGGCTTATACCAAGCCCGAAGGAAAGATCTTTGAGTATGGAACGGCTGGAGTAAGTTCATGCTCGTGTAGGCGCCCTGGAGAGATACCCCCTGGACTAACCAATGGACAAATCTAGTTCCGTATGAAATCGTAAGGAGCCTTGTCCGGTTGCATTGCCGTTCCTCGCGCATGGATCTGTCTAATGGACGCTTCATAGAGAGCTCCTCAACACCGTCGTCTTTGCCGTAGGACTCTTGGCTGGCCTGCGCTCGAGGAAGCTCAACGGACAATACATTGGTGTTATGATCACTGCTAGCCACAATCCGGCAGAGGACAATGGCGTTAAGCTGGTTGACCCAATGGTATGTGTGGTCCTTAGCTGTATATCTGATTATGAGGAGGTCACTAATTCTGGTTATAAAACTATAGGGCGAGATGTTGGAGGTAGGAAACACTTGGAAGCTGCCATAGCTCGGTTCAGTGGGATCTTTGGCTTACCTTTAATAGGCTGAATGGGAAGTCTACGCTACCAGACTGGCAAACGCTCCCCTAGAGACCCTCGGAGAGGAGTACGCTAAACTTGTCGATGAGATTGAAATTAAAATGGACAACGCTGCCCGCGTGGTTTTTGCTAGAGATACTCGAGCTTCTGGCGCGAGGCTTGCCGGAGCACTCAGCGCAGCCATGACAGCCTCTGGAGTCGAATCCACCGATTTTAAATATATGACCACCCCCCAGCTTCACTATATTGTTCGCTGCAAGAACACCTTGGGTACTCCCTACGAATACGGAGAGCCAACCGAGCAAGGTTATTATGAGAAGCTCAGCACTGCATTTAAGAAAGTTATGAAGGGACGCACCACCACCGGATCAGTGACAGTCGACTGTGCCAACGGCGTGGGTGGTCCAAAGCTTGCGGAGCTCGTCAAATTTATACCAGCTGCCAAAGACGGCGGATTAGATATTAACGTTATCAACGACGATGTTATTAACCCGGACAGGCTGAACTCCGAGGTAATACAATTCTCCCAACGATACCCCTTGAGGAAAGAGATGGCTAACATAGATACGTTGATCTAGTGCGGAGCAGACTACGTGAAAACGAAGCAGCGTGCTCCATCTTCCTCTAAAGCCAGTGGACAAGACAGGTGCGCCTCGCTTGACGGTGATGCTGACCGATTAGTATACTACTACATGGACGCTGGTGGTGTCTTTAGACTGCTTGACGGTGACCGCATCGCCACTCTCGCAGCTTCTTTCATTGGCGAGCTTGCAAAGAACGCAGGAGTTGCCAGCAAGATCAAGATCGGTGTTGTCCAGACCGCCTACGCAAACGGTTCCAGCACGGAATATATTGAAAAGGTTCTTAAGCTTCCCGTTGTCTGCACCCCTACTGGTGTCAAGCATCTCCATCACGCGGCCATGAGATTCGACGTCGGTGTTTACTTCGAGGCCAATGGACACGGAACCATCACCTTCTCCGAACAGGCTCTCAAAACCATCAAGACTGCCGAGCCACAGTCCCCAGCTCAGCAGTATGCATTGGAGAGCCTTGTTGCACTCACAGACCTCATTAACCAGGCAGTTGGAGATGCGCTTTCTGACATGCTTTTGGTCGAAGTTATCCTTGCTCACAAGGGCTGGACTCTGAAGGAGTGGGTCGCAACATATACCGATCTCCCCAACCGACTCGTCAGAATCGAAGTGCCTGATCGATCTATATTCAAGACCTTTGACGCTGAGCGAAAACTTCAGTCTCCTGCTGGTGCACAGCAGCGCATTGATGATCTTCAATCCCGCTATAATAAGGGACGAAGCTTTGCTCGTGCCAGCGGAACCGAGGATGCTGTCCGCGTATATGCCGAAGCTGCCACTCGATCAGAGACTGATGATCTGGCTACTCGGGTTGCGGCTGTCGTCCAGGAAGCTGGCAAAGCTGCAGCCGGGCAATGATTGTAATTTTCAATGGATGATGCTTCTATGGTTTGTAATCACGACTTTTCTCATGAGATGTTTTGCACCCCCAAAAAAAGTTATTATAAAATCATACAATATTGAATGGCTTTGCTGGGTTGTTTTACGAGACTTGAAAAAAATATATTTTGTTGTTAATGCTTGTTAATTACTTTGGAACAGCGTTCAGCTTCTTTTCTACCTACCACCTTTCGTCCTATGTTTGGCTGGGCGTCATTTACAAAAGGCTACAATTTTCGGACCAGATACCTATAGATGTATCTTATCATTCCTTGAAAAGAACATCTAAACCTTCGGCTTCTTGTTTGCTATGCCTTACCAGCTCCTAAAGTAGGTATTCTTGCATTTGACTATTAGACAAATATTTATATTCAACTTCAGATTTATCTCAAGAGCTTTTATGATTTCACAAATATACCATGTCTCTAGATATTTCACATCGTGTACGAAACGCTAAAATACGACTAACCATGTAAACCATAACCTTGGATTCAGCATAAACGAAACAATTAACCCGGTGATCATCTCTCCTCGCGGTCCATGTCATCTCTACCCCTCTTTGAATCAGTTCCATTTCTTCGTCCTCGAAGCGTGGCGCCTTTAGTCCCCCGCTTCTCATGGAGATCTTTCATTTCAGTCACCGCAATTCGTTGAGCATCTCCCACCCTGTCACTCAACACCATGACCTCCTCTTTATCAGTTTTATATTCAGGCTGCTGCTTTCCCAGAGCAGTTTCGATTCGCTGCCATATCTCGACTTCGTATTGCGTTACAATGCTGATTGCACGTCCACTCTTACCTGCACGAGCAGTACGTCCAACACGATGAATATATGTCTTGCTATCAGAGGGTAGATCGAAATTCAACACCAGATCGACAGCAGGGATATCAAGACCTCGCGCTGCAACATCGGTGGCCACCAGGATATCTCGACTACCGGACCTAAATTTCCCCAGGGCACCTAGACGGGCTGATTGGGATAGTTGGCCGTGGAGAGGGATTGCGCCGAATCCTAGGGCGCGGAGAAGAATAGCAAGCCGCTGTGTTTCGTTGACGGTCCTTGTGAAGATGATGGTAGATTGGCCGGGAAATTCGTTTAGGATGTGAACAAGGTAAACATCCTTGTACTTGTGGGGGATGAATAGGTATGATTGGAGGAGTGTCGAGACGGTTTGATACTTGTTCGAAGAGATTGATATCCGCAGAGGGTTTGAAAGTGAGGCGCGCTGAAGAGACTCTACTTTGGAACTTAAAGTCGCGGAGAAAAGGTACGTTCGTCGCTCCCGCGGAAGAACCTTTAATATCTTGTCCAGCACCGGGCCGAAATCCAGGTCAAGAAGTCGATCTGCTTCATCCATCACTAGGTATTTTAGGTTGCGCAGCGAGAAACCCTTTGTGTTCTCTAGATGGTCAAGAAGTCGTCCTGGTGTCGCAACGATAATGTGTGGTTTCTTCCCAAGAGAAATCGATTGGGAAATCATGTCCATTCCTCCTACTATAACAGCGCATCGGACTGAAATAAGCGACCCTAGGGCCTCGAACGATTCTGATATTTGTACCGCAAGTTCTCGAGTTGGGGCCAAAACTAGCCCAAAAAATGACTGAGGCTTTTCCATAAGAGCTAAATCAATCCCAGACATCCATTAGTCTATTACGTCTTTATTAGATAGCAGCAGTGTGCAGAGAAATCCATTTACCTTGAAGTATAGGCAATGCGAACGCCGCAGTCTTCCCACTTCCTGTCTCTGCCAACCCCACCAAATCTCTTCCTTGTAGTGCCAGAGGTATAGATTCGGCTTGAATTGGGGTGGGGGCTTTATATCCAAGGGAAGTACATGCGTCGCATAACGAATCAATGATTCCTAGCTCCTTGAATGACTTGGGAGCCTCTGTGTCTGCCGATTCCTCGCCGTTTTCTTCGGGAGCTTCCTGTTCCTGCTCTGAAGCTGCAGAGACATCCTCAGAGACATCCTTGGGGGGCGCATGAGACAATTTTCTCCGCTTAACATTCTTAACTGTCGCCATCTTTGCGGTTATCCTATTATTAACGGAAAATTGCTTGATATATTTACGCTGTCGATTTTCTATCAGATAAAAAAAAGCTCCAACGGCTTTATATTTTTTAAAGTTTCGGGGCTCGTAAAATCAATGATCCGATATCAAGATAGAAGAAAAAAAGTTCAACTAAAGAAATGCGGTTATCAAAATCGAAATACCCAGATCGCTTTCATAGCTTTATTATATATTTAGTTTAAGACAGCTGCTCTGAAATATGGCGAAAAGACGTGTTAAGAAGCGGACTCATGTCCCTCCGCCGCAGGCTCGCGCGCCAGCCACCAAGAATGGAGCTGCCGCAATGAACAAGTCCCCCAAGAGCATGGTGATTCGAATTGGCGCAGGACAAGTTGGCTCAAGCATGAGTCAATTGGCGAAAGACGTGCGATCCATGATGGAGCCAGATACCGCAAGTCGGTTGAAGGTAGGATCATGTTTATTCAATCTTTCACCACTCAAAATTCTAACAGCTTTGATAGGAACGAACGAGGAACAGGCTGAAGGATTATACTGTCATGACTGGCCCGCTGGGAGTTACTCATCTCCTGCTATTCTCGAAATCAAACAATGGAAATTCGAATCTCCGCATTGCCCTCACACCCCGCGGTCCAACTCTAAATTTCAGAATCGAAAATTATTCTCTATGCAAGGACGTTATAAAGGCATTGAAGCGCCCGAGAGGTCTTGGGAAAAGCCATACAACTCCTCCGTTACTGGTCATGAACAACTTTTTATCGTCAAAAGAGGAAGGGTCGTCAGGGAAAATACCGAAACATTTAGAGTCCCTTGTCACCACAGTTTTTCAGTCCCTCTTCCCGCCTATATCCCCTCAAGCGACTCCCCTCTCCTCAATTCGTCGCATCATGTTACTCGACAGAGACCAATCGTCGAAAACTGGAACAGACGAATCGTTTACAGTAAATCTACGTCACTATGCGATCACGACAAAACGGGTTGACCTATCAAAGAGGATAAGACGGCTTAATCCTCGAGAACATCGCAGCAAAGAGAAGGATAAAGCTGTTCCAAACCTCGGGAAATTAAATGACGTTGCGGATTACTTGCTCAGCGCCGGCGGCGATGCTGGTTTTACTTCTGCTAGTGAAACTGAAATGGACACAGATGCAGAGGTAGAGGTTTTAGAATCCACGACCAGGAAAGTTCTGAACAAAAAGGACCTTCAGCGGATGAGAGACGGTGGATCTAAATCAGCCCGCGGTTCCGGATCAAATGTCGAAAAGAGGGCGGTGAAGCTGGTGGAATTAGGACCGCGCATGAAACTAAAACTGATAAAGGTGGAAGAAGGACTATGCGGAGGGAGGGTTATGTGGCACGATTATGTGACCAAGTCGAAGGAAGAGTCCCAAAAACTAGATGCATCCTGGGAGAAGAAACGAAAAGAAAAGGAGGCTAGGAGGAAGATACAAAAGGAGAATGTCGAAAGGAAGAAGGCTTTGAAGGCTAAGACGCCACGGGGGGAGAAAAATGATGAAGAAGAAGACGATTCTGATGAAGACGATGAAGATAATTGGGATAGTGATGATTTCATCCATGACGAAGGGGAAAATGAAGAGGACGAAGAAATGGAAGACGAAGATGCATAGGCTACCCCGTCGAAGAAAATCATGTTTAATTCCAGCTATTCATCGCTAAGGATACCCCTTGTATACAATATTGACATGTATCTTAAATTGCAGCAAACGTTGGCCAGTCTACCCAATGGCGTAAATCCATCATAGATAGCCTTGACAGAACACCTTAGCCCTATCTCTGTATTAGACATCAGAAAAGCAGAGACTTGTCATTTATATCGTATATATGGGTACTGAGAGCTCATAAAACCATGGTCTACAATGCAGGATAAACCCTGTCAGATTCTATCAAGCTTTCCCCATACTCTTGAGCTTTTTTTCAACGAGTCTGTCGACCATCTTCTCCAGTGCGGCTGAATCCCCGCTTGTTTGTCCCTCGAAGTAACCATGTACCGTTTTCTCAACGTACTTACCCACCAAATCAATTTCGACGTTGATACTGTCGCCAGGCTGCTTCTTTGAGGTGACGACCTTATCCTGTGTATAGGCGATTAACATGACTTCCCACCAACCATCTTCACCGTCTTGAACCTTGGTGATGGTTAAGCTAGCACCATCGAGTGCGATAAACCCTTTCTCTACAACATATCTTAGCAAGCTCCGGTCTTTAGGCTGCATCCTTAGGACCAGAGAATTGCCATCAGGTGTGACCGAAAGGAGCTCTGCAGTAGTGTCCACATGGCCTTGTACAAAGTGTCCTCCCATCCGCGTCGTGGCTAGCACAGATCGTTCAAGATTGACGGGTGATCCAGCCTTGAGGGAGCCGAGATTCGTCCGCCGTAGGGTCTCAGGAGCAACCCCGACTTTGAATGACGACTTGTCGAACGCCGTTACAGTTAAGCAGGTGCCTATACGGTCCTGTTAGTCGTTGACTTCACCCTTTCGGTCCATTGAAATGAAAGGTGGCATACCGTTAACACATATGCTGTCCCCCAACTTGGTGTCGGTAAGTATTTCTTCACAATCTGAAATTGTCAAGGATGTCCCACCCCCGCCAGTAGAGGAGTCATCCTGGGGATCGAGCGCTGTCACAGCTTGGGATCAGTTAGCATTGAGTCTTAATTCCAGTCAGGAGAGGAAAACATACTGCCGACCTTCTCTACCAAACCGGTAAACATGATGTGCGAGTGCTGGCTATGTGTTGACCTGGATATAATGTTGTTGTTCTTGTTGTTCGATCTGAACTCGTCGGGAGCCGAGGCCGCGGTCGGGAGTGGGGCCGCGCTTGTGTCCTTGATGCTGCTTTCGGTACTTGCGCAGCCGCTCGTTTTACCGCCGGTTGTTCGTCCTCCTCCAGGATGAAGCCCCGGTTAGCATCCCAATTCACTTCCTCCATGCAAGAACTGTGCGTGTCGCGTTTCCTGAGAGCAAGATGAACACATACCGTGCCCTGCGACGCCTGGCGAAGGCGGACGGACTCTCTAAGTTCGCCAACAGCACAGCTACCGCAGCAGCATGTCGGAGCTTTTCGACGGCAGCTCCCCCGGCGGACACACTTCCCTTGGCGGGCATACGGGTTTTGGACATGACGAGGGTTCTTGCTGGGGTGAGTTGGCCCTATTCGTGAACTACAATACTTCATTTTATCGGTGGAACTAAATGCGGTGTGTAGCCATACTGTACTCAAATACTCGGAGATTTAGGGTGAGTCTTCATATCTATTGCTTTGGGGATATCTGATTTCAGCAATGGTTAACAGTGTCCTGTCTAATTTAATAGAGCGGAAGTGGTCAAAATTGAACATCCCTTGAGAGGAGACGACACACGAGCGTGGGGTCCTCCATATGCGAAATACAAAGACAGTGCGAAGGAAGGTCCCGGAGAAAGCGCATACTACTTAGCTGTAAGTGGTTTGGAGTTTGAATATGACTTGAGATACAGCTGCTAATCTAACACAGGTCAACCGAAACAAAAAATCAGTCGGACTTTCGTTTGCTCATAAGTCCGGCATTGAGATCCTCCATAAGCTCGCAATGGAGAGCGATGTGTTTGTGGAGAACTATATTCCTGGATCTTTGGCGAAGTATCAAATGGACTACGAATCCCTTCGAGCCATAAACCCGAGATTGATATACGCCAGTGTGACTGGCTACGGGCAGACAGGACCCTACAGCAAACGTGCTGGCTACGATGTGATGGTTGAAGCTGAGATGGGGTTGATGCATATTACCGGATCGAGAGACGGGCCTCCCGTGAAAGTTGGTGTCGCCGTGACTGATCTAACAACCGGCCTGTACACGTCCAACGCTATCATGGCGGCATTAATAGCTCGGGGTAGAACTGGAAAGGGCCAACATATCGATGCCTGTCTGAGTGATTGTCAAGTGGCCACACTAGCAAATCTTGCGAGCTCAGCACTGATTAGCGGCGAAAAGGATTCAGGCAGATGGGGAACAGCTCATCGTAAGTCGATTTCAATTTGACTCTGATACATGATGGCTAATGCAATCGACAGCTTCTATCGTGCCATACCGAAGTTTCAAAACCAAAGACGGCGACATTCTTCTTGGCGGTGGAAACGACAGGCTCTTTGGAGTTCTTTGTGATAGACTGGGCCACCCGGAGTGGAAAACAGACACACGGTTCACAACCAATGCTCTGCGTGTCGAGAATCGGGAGATCATCGACAAGCTCATTGAAGACCTTACAGAGCAGAGGACAACTCAGGAATGGTTGGATGTCATGGAAGGCAGTGGCATGCCATATGCGGCTGTGAATGATATCCAGGGAGCTCTTAATCATTCTCACGGTAAGTTGCTGCAAACCCGCTGTCTTTTTTATTTTTATTATTTATCTAATATTCTCTGTAGTCCTTGCTCGGGAAATGGTACAGGAGGTAGACCATCCAGACTGTGGACCTATCAAGCTTGTTAATACGCCAGTTAAATACTCTCACGCTACGCCGGGTATCAGAACACCACCTCCGACACTTGGACAGCATACCGATGAGGTACTACGAAATATTATGGGCTACAATAAAGAAAAGATAGCTCAGTTAAAGGCGGAAGGGATCGTTTCGTAGAGCGGAGGGGATATTCCATGGCACTTTGGATAACTTTTTCAAGGGTTAGGGGTCAACTTTCACCTTAAATCTGCATATATAGATGAGATAGATTTGCCTAACAGTGGCATATATAACTATATCTAGAAATCCATTAGATCTTTCGGTTTATATCTCTCTTCTCTTCCTCCAACTGCTTCTTGTACCCCCTTAGATTTCTCGGTTCACGTGACAACACGAGGAGTTGGCCGCCAGCTTGTTCTCGGTCATTTTGTCCAGAAATATAATTCTCCCTTCTAGCACTCTACGTTATATTAGATCAAGAAAGAGTGAGGCATCTTTCACTGGTGGTTTTGATCCTGCATCACTTTCAACCTGTTTCAATTTGGTGCTCAACTGCTCAAAGTTTTCCTTTTTTTCCACCCTCCTGCTTGAGCCACACATCCGAACCTCGAAGGCTTACACAACACATATCAGCGCTGCTGGCTTCTCACTCTCGTGAATGGGGATAAAAAGTTATTGAAGTTGATCAGACTCTACATAATTCCGTGCTCCTCTTATATAACTATGGGATCGAATCCCGAATTCGCTGCCATGCCCCCGCCACCCATATCACCTTTCACGACAGATACCACCAGTTCAAATATGATCAATGGAGCACGGAATACACAAATATCAGATATACAGGCGGAGACTCCTACTATTCCGCAGGGAAGAATGAATAATCATGTCCCTACGCCGCCTATGACCTATGGGTCTAGTTCGAGCGATCTATCATCGGTATCCTCGATATCTGCCCAAGACGGGTTCGACACAGCGGCAATCGCGACAGAGGGGACTCCTGAAATAAAGTCAAAGGAATACAATTTACCGCCGACGAAACCTGATCTTTCGTTAAAATATTCAAACCCTGTTGCAGGATGGAGAAATATCGCACCTGCACCAACCCCTGCCACTGCGTTATCAAATACAACTGCTACTGCTACTGCGGTCATAGGAGCCTCTACAAGTACTGAAGGGACTAAAGTGGCACTTGTATCAACACCAAAGGCAAGCCCTTCGAAGCCGACGCCACGACGCCGTAGGACCGGTGGTGCAAAGTCGCGGAATTCTCGAAAATCTGGTCGATACGGCGACGACGATGATGAAGGAATCAAAGCAGAGGATTCAGACTCCGATGGTGATTCCTCTGATACGCCCCTAACGACTACACAAACGAAATCGGGCCGCCAGATCCATCGACCAACATTGTTCACCCCCGAACATTCCCAAGCAAAATCTGCCAGCCCAGATACAAGCCAGCAACAGCTACCACGGAAGCGGAGACGGGTTTATCGCAAAGGCAAGGAAGTTAATGTGATATGTCTCCGTTGTGATAGAGGACATAGCCCGAGATGTAATGCCATCGTGTTTTGCGACGAATGCAACGCGCCTTGGCATCAATTTTGTCATGATCCCCCGATCGGAGATGAGGTTATTACGGTGAAGGAGAAAGAGTGGTTTTGCGGCGAGTGTCGACCGGTTAAGCCTCCCGCGGACTTAGCTTTACAGGCAAATGGTGAGCCTAACCGGGCGAACATTGTGTACAGCAGCATAAATTCATCGACGTCAACTCCGACACCAACAAGCGCGACTCAAACGCCCACCTTGCTCGGGAGTTCACAATTTTCCCGAGCAGAGAAGCAGGGATACCTCTCCAGCCTTTCTCATGCCGCCCTAGTCAATTTACTGATGAATATATCCGACTCCAGGCCGGACATACCACTATTCCCAGCAAACTTGAATGAGCTACACACGTCCTCGTTCAATTCTGACACGTCGATGACAGGGAAAAATGCAGGCAACTCATCTATCACATCGATTCCATCGAAACGACCATCCGACAGCCTCCGCGCTAGCACAGGTGATAGCAACGAGAACGATGATGGAGATAGCGATGGCGAGGAAGTGGAAGAACATCGTTTGTATCCAAGACCAGGCAACGGATTCCGTCTTCCACCTGATTCTGAAGACTTGGACATTCTCCTTGAGGATCCATCGAGTACAACGTTTAGTCATGCGCTGCATGGGCCAGCCAAGGCGATGGCGGAAGCTAATCAGCTACAAATGGTTGGTGGGATAGCGTAGAGTGATTACTACTCTACTTCCATCTCACCGCGGTCTGTATTGTTGATGAATTGAGCCCTATTCATATCCTGGTTGTGCGATGGCCCCTAGACCCTTACATACCTGTTGATATATGTATTTTATGCATGAGTGCGAGACGAGCAAGTGTAACCTTATAACAGAATTCATTAAATCACTGCATTACCAATAGCAAATACAACATGAACAAGTAGATTAATTGCGGCCCCTCGCCCGGCCTGGCCTATGGCTACATATGGAAAAGAAATGCCAGCGAAGAAAGGGGTATAAGAGCATCAAGTAACGTTAAAACATCAACATCAGCGAACAAGTGAAGAGCAAACGGTTACCCAAAATGGAAACGACAGTAGGGTATCATAGGTAGGAGAATGGTAGAGGCACAAATAAGTGCCTCGACCTTTCCAGATCAAAAGAAATGAGAGTTAAGAGGTCATTAAAAATTTAGTTGCGTAAACGGTACGAGATAAAGGGAGATGGCACTTCGCCTATCGGCCAATGCCGTTCAGAGCCTTGCTCACACTGGCGTTTAGATATTCTCTACCACGTGAGCGTTCATGGCGGTTTGGAAGCCATCACCTCCGTCCTGTTCAAAGGGGTTGGGGTTGACGTGGCGGCTTGATCCCTCCCCAGCTCCTTCGCTGGCCAGGGCTGCTTGCATGGCGGCCTGGTTGTTTGCGGCAGGGAGGAAAATGACCTTGGAGTTTGCCTAAGAGAGGGATGATAATCAGCATTTAGGGCCTTAGGCAGTAGGAATGAAGGTGCAAGGTGCATGCTTACGCTCTTGGCCATTGCCTGCATAGTATCGAGGTATCGGATCTGCATCGCAGGTGCAGAGGACAGGATATCGGCAGCGGCTCTCATGAGCTGTTTAAAAAGGCCAGTTAGAACTTTCGTCTCGTCTTAAGTATTGATGAGTAGAAAGGGAAGGTAACGTACCTTGGCAGCCTCGACTTCGGCGCGCGCAGCAATGACCTTACTCTCACCGATTCGCTTGGACTGAGCAGCCATGGAGAGAGATTCCTGCAACTCGTTGCTGAAGATGATATCCTTGATCAACATCGATTCGACCTGGACACCCCATCCGCCAGCAACACCTTCGATGATCTCTCCGATAGACTGAGCAAGTTCCTCGCGACGTTCGATAACATCCTGCAACACGCGAGCACCGACAACATGGCGAAGAGTAGTTTGGGTCCTCTCGACAAGCGCCTGGCGGATATCGGTAATACCAAACGCAGCCTTGTGTGGGGAGGTGATTTGATAGTAGATGACTGAAGTCAGATGGAGAGTGACGTTATCCTTGGTCATGCAGACTTGACGAGGCACCTCGACGATCTGGATCTTGACGTCGATGGTCGTTAGGTTCTCGCTGAGCGGATTGATCTTAACGAGACCTGGGTCGACAGCGCGCTCAAAACGACCGAACTTGGTCACCAGTCCAACCTGACCTTGGTTGACAGGCGTGAAGGGGTTCGGGCAGCAGAAGCAACAAGGTATAGCTCCTAGGGTACCAATAATTTCTCCCAAACCGTGTACTAGATTATTCAGTCAGTAAAGAGAGCAATGCATTGGAGGGCGCATATGCTTACTAAAGCCGGAGTACCAGCTGTGAGCGTCCGGGTTATCTACATCAGGCTGAAGAACCTGTGCATATCTAGGTTGCAAATCATCCAGACGAGCAGGCTGAACGGTGATGAGCTCATGGTGAGGACGAAAGCCGACGGTGCTTGATTCTTGGTCAGCTTGGGGTTCACTGTGCTGCTCTGGTGCCTTTCCATTGGGCTGTGCCTGGACGCGTGGAGGTACACTTTCAGACATCTTGAGTGATTTGGCGGACTCTCTTTATAGGAGATAGATAATAGAATGTAGCAAGTAGCTGACTATAAGAAGAGGATATAGAGGAGCTGAAGAAGGTATCGTGAGATGATGATGAAGCCGGGGATGCGCTCTCTTATGTATTAGTTCCATCTACAGAAAGTCGAAGCTCGGCCAAACGCGCTCTTCACGTGACCTGCCATAACGGGGCGCCCCGCTTTACCCAGAGAACTCGGCTTGGCGCATGATGACATAAGCATGGCCGCAGCAATACGAAAAACGGTCCCAAAGGGGGAAAACATCCAGAACATCCAGCACCAGCGTCAACGGCGTGGTTCTCTGGGGCCAACATCTGATTAGTCGGCTCTTCGTTTGGGAAGAAGGCAGTGCAGAGCTTCCTCCCCCTCTTCGACGCCCGGTTTATTCCTCCTGTCCGCGATCCGATGAGGCATTTACCTGGTTGACGGATGACAAGCTAGGTGGACTGATGGGTTTGACCATGGTCTGGGGTTTAGCAGTCGAATCTTCCTGGGTATACGGAGTACTGGATGTGATATACGGCAGTTTACGGAGGACAGCTATAACGTGATAGTTACTATGAACGAAATTCAGTCGGGCTAGAATTGGGCACGATGTTATTAATGCCGGAGAATACAGAGTAGTTGTTGGTTGAGGATACAGATACAGTCTGTTGTCTCGCCAACGACGCTCCATATGCCCAAGTTTGTCGAGATCTACGGCATCAGCAGCCAGTATTACCTCAGACTGGGTCCACGACTTCCTTCGCCCTGCTCGTAGCGCGGCTGTATCTTCAGCGGCCCCGTATTTAAATCACGCTATCGAATCCTTCAAAAGACCCATCGTGCAAGCAACAGATGATCTTAACCCAGGACTCAGCCAGTTTCTCGATATTAATTGTATCATCGTGCTGGATGTTTGGCCAAGCTTGATATCACGTGGGCGGCGGCTCAAACAAGCGCAGACCCTTACATAGCTAGTCGCTGCAGAGTCAAGCAAGGCTACCCTTCACGCCATGGAGAGGTTGACTTGGGGCGCGCCTTAGGCTCCTTGGAAGACGATGCGCCATGCAAAGCCACGTTCAGGGGCTTGTAAGTATCTATGTTCGTGTCCAGCCACTGAAGCCAGCCGTCCGGTCGTGTCATATCAGCATATGTATCTTCGGGTATAAGAAGGGAAAGTCCAAGATATATGGATGGATAAGGGGAGTGAGCAGCGTGTTGACATGGCAGAGTGATCATCCGAGGCTGATATAGTTGTTCACATCCATGGAACAAGACGGAGGGAGTCCAAGCGTCCCGGGGTGGGGCCACACATGTCAGATATCCCGTTGATATCGACGTCCTTGAACACATCTATAGCCGAAGCAGCTGCACGGTGTAAAGCAATAGCGAAATCATGGAAGAAAAGTATTGGCAAAACACATCTTATTGGCGAAACAAAGGCTAGACTTTCCATAAGTACATGTAAAAAGTTATTATTAAAGGAAAGGATGTAGGAGATAGATTGAGCTGGAAGAGGTCACTCAGCCAGAAGATAGAAAAGGACAGAGTCAAGGATTAAGAAGAGTAACCGATGTATAGAAACACAAAAAGAAAAAAAGAAAATGAAAGTCAAAAACACTTTTCCCAAACCATGATGTAAAAGGCCAAAAAAGGAGAGTAGAAAGTCGTCAAACTTAGACTTAGCATCCTTGTGCTGGTCTAACGGGATATCTTTATTGAAGGAAGGGCAGGTAGAAGATGTACTCGTGAACCGAACCAGATCAGATCAGTTGGCGTCATTGGCCTTTGCAGCACCGTTGCCGTTCTCCTGGGCCTTCTCCTTGTGCGGGACTAGGATGTTGCTCAGCCAGAGCAGGTACTGAGAAGTGACCATCAGCCCGGTCGAGACGGCCGCCTTTCCATGCAACACGACCGGACCACCCTGAGCGAGCTTGCACTCCGAGTCGTAGGTTGATCGGACGTACTTGGTGCCATCCTCGGCGACGCGGATGTAGCTCCGGACAGTTCCCCGGACGTCCTCGGTGGCCTTGACGAGTTTAGGGTAGGTGCTGTCTACCGTGTTCAGGCCCTCGTTGCCCAGGTGGTCTACCTTTTCGACGTAGGGAGCCACGAAGCCGTATGGTTTGGCGAGGTAAGGGAAGATGGGCTCGAGCTGGGAGTAGCTCTTGTCTGCGTACTCGAGCGGCTTCTGGGCGTAGGGGGACTTCTTGAGGGTTGTGAGGGAGTCAGAGACGATGGGGTAGGAGATGAGGTGCTGCGAGTTGTTAGTCTTTGCCGTGTGTATGGTATAGGTATGACTTACAGAGAGGAATTGAGAAGTTGGCCTGGTGCCATTGGCGGTTGGTTCACCCATGTTGATGCTGGAGGTGATGATAGTTGTAGCCTGGTACTCTTGATGATGATAGTTGTAGCCTGGTACTCTTGATGATGACAGCTGTAGCCTGGTACTCTGGATGATGGTGATGATGGTGATGAAGAAGGAAAGAAGAGAAGCAAGGAAGGACCGGAACCTTTTATCTAGAACCTCGACCTCGACCTCGACTCGCCGTCATTTACTTCCATGCCCAGGAAGAGTCTGCCCAGCGAATTATCGCCGCCGCAGGGCCAGGATGCTCTCTCTCTCTCTCTTTTTGCCCTTTTTTGCCCTTTTCGTCCTCCTTCTAGATGCGTCCCTCTCGCATGTGATAATGTCTACGTCTTTGTACATATACTTCTATGCCTCGTTAAATATATAGCGGTGTAGGTACTGGTACTTGTGTTTCCCCTGTTGGTGCCAAGTGTTTAGCTAGCATGTGAAAGTGCGTTTTATCGCGTCTTTTCCTTCTTTTTATCGCGAACAAGGCAAAAAAGGACGAGGAAGAAGATGGAAGAAGGAGAAGGCCGTCGCCACAGATACGACGAGGCGATATAGACCTTCACAAGCCAGCAGTCTTCACCTCGCTAGATGGTAGATGGTGTAACTCCGGCGTAAGAGTCAGCCTGGTTTGTTGATAACAGGTTGCCAGCACGTTATCTGTTTATTGCGATCGACTATGCAGCAAGCAAGCATGCGGCGTTGAGGGTTAAGATACTTAGACTAGGCCGCCGGAAGGGTTAGGGATGGGCTGATAGCTTGCTGTCCGTCGTGTCCGGTCCATGGCAGGTGGGGGATAGATAGCGGTGGCAGGAAGCTTGTAATATGTATAGGGATACGTACTTGCTTCCCTCCCGTCTATTGGGTGCTGTCTATGCATGGGCGTTTTACAGTCCGCAATCTAGATGTAGAGGACGAAACGCAGGCTGCATGGTTCTAGGGAGTTGCCGGCTGAGACGTTATCTGGTCTGCCGTCTATATCATGATGATACCCATGATAACGATAGCACGAGATAGAGTATCAGGTCTATCGGTAGGTTACAGCCGTAGACTATTCTTAGAGTCCCTGTAATCCAACATCTAGCATCCACTTATCAGCATGTGAAAACAGAGCACGCAGATAACTACGGGTGATCTACCCTTGACGTGCTGGTGAAGCAGCTATCTATCACATGTAACTATAGTCTTACATCGAGCGTTTCAAAGTGGGTTTGTTATCGAATATTTCTCAAGTGTCATTTGTATTGTTTTTTATTTAGACAATCAAACGTCATATCATTCCGATAGATTGCCTGCTATGCACTGGACTTCCATTTTTTAACTTGGTATCTATGCATGAGACGAGAAATAGCATTCATCATAAACTAGAACCGTCCTAGCTCGGGAGAGGAAAATGCAGAGAAGATATAAGTGACAAAGGGGACCATTAAAGCGTTTTATTTAGAATCCTGCAGAGAGCATGTTAGCCTTTTTTCTCATGTGCGAAGGGGTGGGCGAGGTGACGTACTGAGAGGGGTGAAGAACCATCGGTTCTTTCCGCTGGTGTATCGTTCCTCCAGAGCCTTCTTGACGGTCTTCTTTGCCTCCTCCCGCTGGGAAACTTCCTTGAATGTGTCGTTGGTGACGGCACCCTTGAGGCCCTCGAGCTCGAGGGTGTAGCGGGTGGGCATGAGGTGGTTGTAGTTGACGGTCTTGATGAATGGCTTGACCTTGCTTCGCTTCTCGACCTTCTTGGTGCCCATTCGTCGGGTGATCTTGGATGGGTATCGCTCAACACCGACGACGAGGGCGTAGGGGAATGGGTGGGCCTTGGAGCCAGCGTCGTATGGCTGGACTATGACGACCTAGAAGAAAGACGTTTCGTCAGTTTTCATTCACCAACCTGGTGCGCGCTCTTCCTCTTCCTCCTCTTTTGCGATGGTATTGATGGATAGTGGAATGCGCGAGGCCATTGACGGTATTGCTGTTCTCGGAATTGTTGTGTGGTTTTGTGTGCGAAAATTCAAGGTCGTGTGTCTTTTCGATATCCAATTCCACGCCCAACGAACGAGCGCCGTCGTTCCAACCTGTCGTCCATCGCGCGGGAAACCCAACAACTCGACAAGAAACTGCAAAAGAAACTCATCACCGTACCTTCTTTCCGGCATATCGGCCTCTGGTGATGATGGCCACACGGCCCACTTTCATGACTATATTTCGCAACACATCGTCAGTTTCGAGCAGAAGGAAGAGACAGTAAATAGTCTGTAGAGGTGAGAGAGGGACGTACACTTCATTTTCCAGGAGTTCCGACGAACGTGGGCTGGTCGAAAAATGTGATTGTCGAGGGAGTTGGTGATGTCGGTCTGTGGTCCTTCTTTTTCGATCAAAGTCAGCCCTGGGAGGGAGAGAGCGAGGTTTCTGTGTGTGCGGTCCCGTGATTGGCCCGCTTACCGGAGTAGCGCTAACCCTGAAGTAGCATGTTTATCCGCCCGGAACAACCGTCATCGGAAGTATGCCGTATCTGGTTTAGCGCCCTTGCCAAGCCCTGCCGCTCCGGTAACCGCGGGTGATCCTTGTTTGTTTACTCTTTCACTGTTGTTGACCTGACATATCTCTGGCAGTTGGGCGCCTGGATCCGTTGCTTGTGCAAAAAAAAAGAGACATCTCCACCATACCTAGTGCAAGGTTGTTTCGTCTTCTCTACTCACTTCCATATTACATATACCTGGAGTCTCGGGCCTCATTTCTACTTTGTCTGGACGGAAGAATACCCGGACTATCGCTATCTACCTGCTTGTCCCCTTTTTTTTTACTTCCTTCGGTTGTCTGGGTATAGTGGGATGGTACTTGGTCGTGCCGAACCTATACCTGAGAGAATCTTGTTTATTTGCTCTTTTTTCAACGAACGTTACGATTTTTAAGTGATCACGATCCATCATCATGCAGTCAAGTGATAGAGAAGATAGTCGAGACCGCGAGCTGGTCCTCAGACATCAACATGCCACTTCCGAGTCCAGAAGCTTGATCCCAATGTATGTCCTCGCGCATTGCGCATTGCTTGTCTCACGATATGCATATGTCTATTAACGGTGCGAGATGGCTAACGATCTATTGTGAACTGCAGGTGGGATAGCGCAGACCCGTGTAGAGCTCCACCCCCTCTACCGCTGAACCCAGGAGGCCCTAACAGCCCCGTTACTCGACCAAATGCCTCTGCTACAGTTCAAGCTGCTGCCGCAGCACTGGCGGAGAAGAGTCAGGAATCGACTCCGAGCTCTTATACGGTCAACCCTATGCCATTGAAGCCTCCTTCTCCTGAGAAGTCTTTGATAAAAGGCCAATATCATAAGCGGATGCAGTCACTCCAGAATGTGACCAACAGCAACGAGTTCGCTTCTTACCTTGAACGCCGTGCGTCCCCAGAGAAGTTTAGACGTAACAGCATATTCGACCGGGACGACAAGAGCAATGACACCACCCCAACCAGGGGAGGAGTCGAAACTACTCCAAACCGTGAATCGCCCACCCAAGCTCGTGTGTCAAGCAGATACCTGACCAAGCCTATCCTCGGGGAGAACACTCCTCCATCCGCTACGATGCTGGCATTGCGGGATATGCAGATTCCAATGGACTTGGCTTTACCTATGGAGACTCCTAGGCCGGCGACGACGACGACCACGACCCCAGTAAAATCTGAGAAACCGACCAGGGCACCAGAGAGCTTTGATGGCCTATCGGCCCAGATCATTAGCTTAACTAAGATTGCTACCTCCCTGCAGCAGGAGATGAGCCAACTGAGCCGTCGAAGCAAGGACAATGCCACGGATCTAATCAGCCTCAAAGCTGCAACAAACGCTAGAGACGAGGATATTCGAAAGAGTCTCAAGGATCTGTCAGCCAATCTCTCTTCTAAAATGTTCGATCAAGACCCACATACCACCACCCCAAGGGGAACGCCATATATACACCCAGCTACCGGTGGGTTTATGCTCGATAGCAAGGCACATGAATCGTCTCCAAGCTCGAGGAAGAGCTTTTCTGCTCCCCGGATGTCAAGCCCCAGTAGCTTTGCAGCAGCTTTGGAAAGAGATCTCGCCACTTCCCCAGGTCCTATATCCGACGGGTCAGCTAGCATAGCACTATTGGAAAAGGTGCTGCGTGAAATGGCCACGAAGGAAGGGCAGGAGAAACTCTTGACCCTGATGGAAGATGTTCAAGCACGGCCAACCGAAAAGGACAATGCAATGACTACGATGCTTTCAGAGATTCTCAACCTTGTAAAGGAGAACTCTGGGAGCCGTGCGCTGATCCGTTCCAGGGGTGATATGGGTAACCAGCTCTTCGGCGACAAGCCCCAGGCCCCTGACTTTGGACAAGGCACTCGATCTGGTCCTATGGGTTCCGAGTCTCCAACACCCCGACGCAATACCCCAGATTTCAGCGCAAGTGTTGCCCTGCAGCCATCTAGCCCTCTAACGGAAGACATGATGGCCATTCTCAAGCGCGTCAAACATAGCGTTGCAGAAGGCGGAGGCATTACTAGCGAAGTCAAAGCCCTTGTTCGTGAGCTCCGCGGCGAGGTTTTGGGCATGGGCCGGGACCTTGCACGGAAACTGGAGGAAACCCAGGCTAATAGATCAATTGACGATCGAGGATCGCTAGGGCCTGGAAAGGAGGAGATCGAGCAGATCGTTGAATCTGCCTTGGGCGACCTGAGGCAACAAATGGAGCAGATCATCCAGGAAAGCCGTCACAACTCCGAATCTTCGGCTCTTGCACGATCCACAGTTGACAGCCAGGAGGTTTATATGGTTGTGAAAAGGGCCATTGACGAGATGCCTCTGCCCCAACCGCAGCTCCCTGCACCACCGGAGCACGAACCTGGCATACAACGAGATGAAATTCTAGAAGCCGTCAGGGAAGCCTGGGAGACCTATAAGCCAGAAATTGAACTCCAGAACTTTGGCCTCGAACGGGATGAGATCTTGGAATGTCTTACTGAGGGGTTGAAAGCCTACCTACCACAAAAGGAACCAGTGGATCCAGAGGCAGTCTACCAACAAGTCCTCGATGCCGTTCATAACGGGCTAGAGAATTTCACTCCTCCCCGTGTTGAGCCCGATATTTCCAGCATCCGTGAGGAAGTCGTCAGCGCGGTTAGAGAATGCCTGGAAAGTATCGAATGGCCTGCTCCACCTGTCATTGAACGGGAGGACTCGATAAGACGAGACGACGTCCTTACCGCTGTACAAGAAGGGCTCTCCTTCCAGGAAATCCTCAAACGAGATGATGTCCTGAGTGCCGTACAAGAAGGGCTTACGTTCCAAGAAACCCTCAAACGCGATGATGTCTTGAGTGCTGTACATGAAGGACTCGCTTTCCAAGAACCCCTCAAGAGGGATGATGTCTTCGGTGCTGTGCAGGAAGGGTTATCATCACTTCAAGAGCCCATTAAACGAGATGACGTACTGAGCGCTGTGCAGGAGGCTCTCGCATACCAGGAACCCATCAAAAGAGATGATATTTTGAGTGCTGTACAGGAAGCATTCTCATTCCAGGAGCCCATTAAACGCGACGATGTTTTGAGCGCCGTTCAGGAAGGACTCGCAAGCCAGGAGGTGCAGCCACGAGAAATCGAATTCAATCGCGATGACATCTTCGAGGCTTTGAGACTCGGAATTGATGATGCTTCTGGTACTCTGACAAGTAACCTTGGAGAACAGCTCATCGAACACCTCCACGGTATGATCCTTGAAATGAAGGATGAGTTCAAGGAATATTCTGCCGCAAACGGCAGAGACACTGAACAAGTGCTGGACGCAACGAAAGATGGGCTCGAGGTTCTCCGAGGACAAATCGAATGCTACGTTGATCGTGCAGCCGATGTAACTGGAAAGGACGAAATCATTGATACGGTCAAGGACGGATTCCGTTTGCTTCAATCCGACGTCGAGAAGTGCATCCGCGAATCTACAGAGCGAAACCCCTCAGATACCGTCGAGCTACTCGATGCCATGGAGAAGGAATTCGAGCATCTTCGACAGACCCTAAGTAGTTTGCTCATCCGATCCAACACTGCCTCCGATAAGGACGAGATCCTCGACGCCATTCGAGAAATAAGCGAAAGCGAAGCCTTGAAGAACAATACCAACGCTTCGTCCGACAAGGATGAGATCCTGAACGCTATCCGAGAGATAAGCGAAAGCGAAGGATTGAAAAACAATAATTCTGAGCTTGCCGATATGGTTAAACAGGAACTCGAACATCTTCGACAGACCTTCTCTATGGCCCTGGTGAGGCCTGATTCATCCTTAGACAAGGACGAGCTTTTATCTGCGTTCAGGGAACATCTTCAAGAAGCCCTTGACGAGCAAAATCAACGGAAGGATGGGAACGAGAGCATGGTGTCGAACACCAATGAACTCCTCGATGCTTTCCATGACGGCGTCGAACAACTTCGGTCTGAAATCGATAAGCTCCACGATAGGCCAGTTGAATCTAATGCGAACGAAGAACTTTTGGAGAATCTTCGAGACGAAATTGCCGGGCTAAAGGCTGGCATGGATCGATTGGTTGAGTCTCATAAGGACATGGAGGAAGCTAGCACTACTCGAGGCGGAGAAATGATGTTGGCCGGCGAAAGTTCCATTGGTGGTGATATCGACGGCTTGAAAGCCCTTGTCACCCAACTTCAGACCAAAGTAGAAGCTATCGACATCAACCCAGTTGTCCCGGAAAGAGAGAGTGATCCGGATATCGTTAAGAAGGGCGACCTGTTTGAAGTCCTCGAAGCTATCCGAGAGGTCCACGGATCTGTCAACGAAGCAGCTGCCAACAACACCGCTCCCCGCGAGATTATAGAAAACGAGTCGGATGTCGTTAAGAAGAGCGACCTATTTGAAGTCCTGGAAGCCATCAGAGAGGTTCACGGATCTGTCAACGAAGCAGCTGCTAACAACACCAGTTCCCGCGAAATTATAGAGGATGACCCGGATGTCATTAAGAAAGGTGACATATTTGAAGTCCTGGAAGCCATTAAAGAGGTTCATGGATCTGTCAACGAAGTCGCTGCCAACAACAATGCTACCCGTGATCTCCCAGAGGAGGGTGCGCCTTCAGTCAGCAAAGAAGAAATTGACGCACTCCAGACTCTTTTGCAAGAAATGAAGACTCAGTTAGACGAAATCACTCCTTCTGCGAGCGCAACATGGGTCACTGCTGAGAAGGTCGAAGCCCTAGAGACACTGGCAAAAGAGACCAAGGAGACCATGAGCGTGTTTGCTACTCATATTGAGATAGAGGGCCCAAGCAAGGAGGACATCACAAACCTCGAAGGCATTATGAAGGACATTTGGGTGGTCGTCGAAGAAATCAAAACCGCCCAGGCTGCTGAACCCGAGGAGAAAGAGGACCCTGAAAAGGTGGTGAAGAGCGATGTTCAGACCTTGGAGACACTTCTCTTCGAACTAAAAGCGCAAATCGAAGAACTTGTTCTACCTGATGTTGAAACCTTGCCGACAAAGGACGACATTGCTAACCTCGCTACCGCTGTCACTGAATTCAAGGAGAAGATGGACGCTGAGAATGAACTCACGGCCCAAGCCTTTGAAGCACGAAAGGTTGAGCATGGCGGCCTTGCCGAAAAGATCGAGGAAGCAAAGCTCTTCATCGTTGACTTTAGGGAGGACTTCAAAACCAAGCTCGCTGAAAGCGACGGAACTATGGGTGATATGAAGACATTGCTCGAATGTTTGAACGACTCCACCGAATCATTCGCCAAAGCCGACAACATCAAGGAACTTTCAGAGCTCATCAAACGCGAATCTGAGCGATCTCATGGAGACCGAGAGGCTGCCAAGCTCGAAGAAGAGGAGCGAGGTGTGGCTATACTAGCTAAAATCGAGGAGCAACAAGGTAGTCTGAAGTCAGATATCGAGGCCGAGATTGACAAGAAATTCCAGGAAGTCATTGCCAAGTATGAAGATGCACAGCTACTCGCTGATGCTAAATTCACCGCGGCAGAAGAACGAGACGTGCAAAACCTGGACGTGTTAGTGAGCACCAAGGCCATCGCCGAAGACCTTAAACTAGTTATAGGAGGAATGGGTGAAAGTCTGACTGAAGCCTGCGAGAGAATGAACGACGACGCAAAGACCTTCTTCGGCCGAGTTGACGAGTCATTTGTCAAAGTTGATAATCTACATGAAGACGTGAAGGCGCAACACGAGGATATGAAGACTCAGTTCGAAAGAGCGGTTGCAGCTACCGACCGCATTGAGAGTCAAATCTCCCAGACACACCCCGAGCTCCTCAGTTCGATCAAAGAGATCCTTGCCGTCGTTGGCCAGCACTATGAGCACTCTCAACAGTCCACCAGAGACTTGAAGACGAACCTCTCCGCTCTACCAAATGTCATTACACCACTTCTCCCTGCGCTTCTACCCCCTCCCCCAGAGGTCAAGGAGCCGGAATTCGAAAAATACGATGACACGTTGATGCACGAGAAGCTTGATACTATCATCTCTCATGCTTCCAACACCGACAGCTCCACAGCACAGATGGATAAGCTCAATGCACTTCAGGAACAACTCAATGCAACTGCCCGAGAAGTCAGTGAAATGATGGCCTCTCAATCCAAGAAGGCCATCCTAGATTACGAGGACAAGAAGGAAGAGGCCATGGAAACCGCCCTTGCCTTGGAAAGACGTCTCGCGCAGAAGGAGTGTGTAGAAGCCGAGGTTGCATCTCTGAGAGAGGAGAAGGAGAGACTTATGCAAAACATCCGGGAGTTGCGACAAGAAGAGAGTGATCTTTCGAGAAACAAGATCAAGTTGACCAAGGAGGTTGCTGGCATGGAAACCGCTTTGCGTATCCGACAAGAAGAAGTGCACCTCATGGAGGATCGTGCTGAGGAACTTGAGAGGAGAATCGTTGAGGGAGTCTTGGATCATGCTCGAAGTCAACTTGTGAGCCGCCATTCAGGATCAGACCGCATGAGCTTGAAGCGCGTCCCAAGCTCAGCCAGCACTGCGACTCGCCAGACGAATGCTAGTACAGCTAAGGCCAGCAGTATCCTCGGAAGCAGTGTCGGTATGGCTCTGAAGCGAAGATCTAACAAACGAGCCAACGGATCCTCTGTGGGCAACGCAAAGAACGAACGACGAATCCTCAGTCTAAGCAATGTCTCAGGTAACCGCGGAACTGGAGAGCGGCTATCAGTGCCGTACAGCGGTTCTCACGGCGGATTAGCCAGTCTGAAGCGTAGCCATTCGGTCAAGACCAACCAAGGCTACCGACGACAGTCCTGCGATACTCGACTGCTCGGTTCTAACAAGGAGAACGAGGCGTTCCAAGAGGAAGAGGAGAGCCTGAGCGAGGCAGAAAGTGACACTGGAACTGAGAGAAGAACAAGCTACACAGGTACATATGCCGATAGCGTTTCTTATGTTACTGGAAGCACCCTATCTACAGACCGTAGAACCAGTTACTGTTCTACTAACGCAAATGGGTCAGTCGCAGCAGAGTCTGAGTCGTGGCAGGAGCCCAGCGAGTACAGCCATGCAACCGACGAGGAGGATGACGATGAGACGCAATCTGAAGTGACTGACAAGGCAGAAACGGAGGACCACAACTCCAGCCTGCTCGAGTCCGAGGAAGAAACGACGGGAGACGAGGAGGAGGAAGAAGGAGATGAAGAGCCTACCTTGCACGCTCTTGACGCGAAACGTGGCGATATGGTGCTGTTCCACCAGCCCAGTGACAGCGGAGTTGGTATGACTACATCGTGATATCGAGACGTGAAAAATATAGAAAAAAAGAAAAGAAGTGCGGAGTGCAACTGGCAGTGCCTTGATGAGTTATGACATGTTTGTTTCTTGAGCGCTTTCTTGACCATTTTCCTTTGTATTTTCCTTGTGTGTTTCTGTGTTAGTTGTGTTATTTCGGTTAGGGGCAGCCTGTATAGCAAGTAGTTAATATACCTCTTCGTCTCTACTTCTCTTCTTATACCTTCTCTTCTTATATCTTCTTATATCTTCCTCTCGTAGTTATAAGATGTCGTCTCTCCTTCCTAATTAGGCCATCTTGAACCTTCCCCTTTCTGGATGCGTATCATGCGATTATCCAAATGCGTTGGGATTCACGTGATAAAAGTAACCCGAAAGGGACTAGCGCCATCTTCAGCATCCCCAACGGGCCAAGGCGGTCACCCGCATCCGGTCATGCCGAGGCTGGCAGAAAAAAAAAAGTCCCGGAGCGCGCGCGCATGGGCCACACGGCGCGGTCAGGCACGCGAGTCACCATCCCGGACATATTACATTTATCCGTTTAGCGACTCCTAGGCTTCAGCTTCATCTTCACCTCCTGATACTCCCTTATACCCGAGCCGACAGACCTATATAAACACCTATATCTCCTGCCCTGGCTTCCTGCTGTTCTGAGCGCGGCTCTATGGACAGCAGCTAGCACGCAGGCCTCCGCTCCGTCATCCTACAGGCCCGCTTCTCCAGACCTAGATCTAGATAGATATCTGCCTATCCCCACGCCACGATGCTCGACCCTATACCTCCCCCGCGATGGCTTCAGGATCTGGTTACGCCGATGGCAGAGCGCTGGTCTCTGCCGACGCTGCCGTATCACGTCCACGAAATCATCCTCTCCTTCGCCCTGTACCAGTTCATCCAGTCCGTCGTCGGACCCATGCTCTCTACCTGGCTCTTCCCAAAGATCTATCCTAGCTTCAACAGGCGCACGAAGCTTGGCTGGGATATCCATGTCGTCTCTCTCACACAGAGCACTCTCATCTCCGTCTTGGCGTTGTGGGTGACGTTTGCAGACGAGGAGCGCAGGAGCATGACGCCCGTTGAGCGCGTGTATGGGTATTCGGGGGCCTGTGGCTTGATACAGGCCATGGCGACGGGATACTTCCTGTGGGATCTGATTATCAGTGTCAGACATGTCAATGTGTTTGGTGTCGGCATGCTGTTCCATGCGATTAGCGCAGTGCTGGTGTTTAGCTTGGGATATGTAAGTCATTACCTTTATTCTAGGAAGTATGAAGTCAGCTCTAACGTGGGAACAGAGACCATTCGTCAACTACTATGCGCCGACATTCATCCTATATGAGCTCTCCACCACCTTCCTCAACTTCCACTGGTTTTTCGATAAACTGGGCATGACCGGCTGCCGCGCCCAATGGTACAATGGAATGGTCCTCCTCTCGGTCTTCTTCTCCTGTCGCCTCATTTGGGGCTCATACAACTCATTCTACGTATTCTGGGACATCTACAGGGCTTTCCAGGCGACCAGCAAATCTGCCCAACTTAGCACCGCGGAGTTTCACTCCCTAGTCTTCAGCCCCAGGAACACGACCATGTGCCTAGACGACAACTGCATTAGGGCAAACGCCGAGATCTCTCAGTTCGCCCACTTCTCGGCAACCGGTATTCCACCCTGGCTTGCATTCACTTACCTAGGTAGCAACACGGTCCTCAACACTCTCAACTGGTACTGGTTCTCAAAGATGATCGATGCGGTGCTCAAGCGGTTCAGAGGCGAGGACATTGCGCCTGGAGAAAAGACTGCCGCACCAGAGTCTATCGAAGGAGACGCAAGTGCTATTGTCCTTGAAGCAGCTGCTACACTTGAACAACAAGAAGACGCTATTATTACCGGTAACCTGGCGAATGACTCCAAGACCTCAACTACTACACAATCAATTCCTATGAATGGCGAATCTAGCGCTCGGAGACGGAAGGCATAGACAGGCGTCTTACGGTTGGATAGTAATTTGGTTTAATCTTTACCTTTTTTTTTGAGAACCTATTCTCCCCTCGTTCCATGATTGACGAATGCATTTACATCTTGCCTTGATCTAATATTTTGCCATAGCATTGATTGTTTTATATTCCTCCCTCTCTTTGCTGGTATGACGTCACGTTCGCTTTTGTGTTTTCTTGTGGATGCATTCCTTGCATGTTATGATTGTTAGATGACTTGATCTGTAGATTTTGTACGTGAGCTTTATGCTGTCCTTGTGGTTGTCACGCTTCCAGGTTTGGGACACTATACTTTCTTTCCCCTAGTTAATTCTTATTCTTAGTGATATTATTATCAGTGAAACAAATATTATTACTATTATTAAAAACGGTTGATGTAAACTAACTTTGAGTCTTGTGACATTTATCTAGATATCGGAGCACATAGAAGTACTGTAAGAGTAAGGACAACTTGATTCTCTTACTTATTAATTGGCTTGTAAAGATATTATACAAAAGGACAAAAAGACAAGGCTAGAAATGGGTATTTTCTACATATCAACTTCTATCTTGTTGCACGAGGCGGCTTTGCAAGCATATACCGCACAGATTCCCTCGCAACAGCCGTATCCCACGCACTATCCTCTCCTCCACGTCTAAACTCCATACCCTTATCACCCTGTCCTGGCCGTGGCGTTTCTCCAAGCACAGTCTCCAAGTCTCGTCTCTGACTGTTTATCCATCGTTGCATAAAATTTGCTGGGTCCTTACTCATTGCAGTATAAAATGAGTGTTTTGCCTTCGAATGGTGCAGTGCCTGTACTGCGAGAGCTACCTGGTCGTCTAGACTAGACACATGGCGGAGCATGGCAGGGAACTCCGGAGAAGCAGTTAGGGAGATAAGTTTGGCGCGTAGAGGGTCATCAATTGCAACGCGGATGTCGTAGATCGTGGGTTTGGGGTCCTTTTGGAATTCGGGGTCTACACGGATGGTGTATGGTAGTTTGATGGGCTCAAGAGTTGCAGTGTGTGTTGCGGTGCTTTCTGGGATGGCGGGAAAGTACATCTTCTCACAACCGAAGATCTATGATAGAGTATATAGGTTAGCCCTGCGCGTTTTACACCGTAACAATGTTAGAAAACTTACAGCTCTCAAACGGTCATCACATTGGATTGTGCGTTTTTCTTCACTTTCTTGTAATCCTGAAGCTTTGACGTATTCCCATATTCCGGCCACTATGCCGGCTCGCGTGTCTTTATCAACATCAAGGATAGCAGCCAGCTCCTTGCTCAATTGGAATCGTTCAGGTGTTTCGTCTCTCACGAGGTTTATGGTCACGTTTAGGTTAACTTCTGCAGCTCGGGAGAATTCGAGCGTGTCGAAATCGGCACTCGCTGGTAGCGCTGCAGCATTGGCCGGTACATCTGGTTTATTCCAGGTGATCGTGGCCAAATCCGCGACACCATTTTCAGTCGGTTTATCAAAGTCGACAGTTATAGTTTTGAAAAATTGAGAAAATCTCTTTCGTTGTGGTTTTGGCTTGCTGGTCTTTGCGCTTGATGTATCCTCCTCCATCGCGTCAGGGTCGCGCTCCCGGTTTTCAGTCTCTTCCTCTTCATCACTATCGTCAGGAATGGTCGGGTCGACGTTGTCGTCGAGCAACCGCCCTTCGATTTTGACCTTGTACCGTCCTGCGCCCAACTTCGTACCCATAGCTTCGTCGGAATTGGAGTCCTGCTGTTGCCATGGCTGGCTCTCGACCGTGTTGGATACCCATATTCTCATCGTCCGGAATCTCTTCACGTTTTTATTGACGGAATCATAGATATCAAGCCTCTTCCTGATCATAGACGCGTCCAACCGCTTCTCGACATCTCGTAGCCGCTTGTATTGTTGCGCCACGTCTCCAATCACAATATCTTCAACATTATCTGGCAGATTCTTGTCCGTCGGCTTTCGACTCCGCCTTACAGCAGCTTCAACTGGGTTGGGCGCATGGCGCTGGCCGAGCATCTGCGGGTTTTGCATCGCTTGCGCTGGGTTATGTTGCATTGGCATACCTACGGGCTCAAGGGTCAGGAAATTTCTGTATCGCGAGGGCTATACCGACAGTTCCAAGATGGCACGAGCAAGGATTGTCATAGTTATTAATAAGAGTATGTAAGACACTCACCAGGGACAGGACCGTGTCGGCGTGGCGTGGCTGGAGATCGGTAAGTGGCCTGTTGTGGATAGCCACGATAATTGGGCTGCTGCATCGGAGCATTCATCTTGGCGGTCAATGGAGAGTCGCCAATATAAACTACCTATTAAAGCCGGCCTAAACGGTGAGAGCGGACGGGATTCGTAGATGTGCTGGCTTGGTGGATGCTGGCTGGGAGGTAAACGAGCCGCATATCGCGATGGAGAAAGCTGTAAGGATCATTTTTATGATATCCTGCACGTGACCTCACTTCGTAAACACTCTCGTCCACAATAAAACCATAGCTCATGGCCTACCATATGTAGACTAAAATGCGGAGTACAAAACACGATATAGTGTCAATTGTTCATTGCTCTATCTGGATATACGCCGTACATGATGCGAAAATAATGGGGGAGACCGAATGATATTGCGGAGTACAGTATTCGCGCCACTAAAAGTCACACCATGATAGAGGCTGTAAACACGGTCTTTTCACGAATCATAAGGCTACTCTAGTAAAGAAGCTTTGTTAGTGTACAGAAGATCTACCACTGTGCTGAGTCTGTCGATGGTCTCAAGCGCAGCATCGTATCCCTTGTCCCTCTCCGCCTCGTCGAAGATGATCAAGCAGCCGGCACCTTGGTCAAGAACGCCGATTATCACTTTATCAAGGATCATTTGCGACAGCTTCTTCTCAACCTGCTGCGTATCCAAACCCACTATCTTTGCAATATGGGCAATCTCTACCCGGCTGAAAGGTTCAATGACCTTGATCAGGTTCTGCTCCAACATGGCATCGTAGAGCCTTCGGAGATGGTTTCGGATGAAGACATCACTGCCGAGCTCATATCTGTAGTCGGACAAGGCTTTCTCGTATTCCTCCAACGATCGGTTCGAGTGTGCACGGGCAACAGCCTTCATGGCTTCTAGGCTTGTGCCAGCATATCGAATTGCGTGTTTGGAGGCCAGCAAGGTATTGACATCGTTCCCCAGGTTCAACATTATTTTGCATAGGAGCATGTACTGTAGGGCAGAGGTAGCCTTGCTGGCATCCTCCTGGGCGTGGTAACCCTCAAGAGCTTCAATAAAGTAGGAGAACGCGGTATTGAAATCCTTATCCTCGGCATGTAGCATTCCACTCTGCATATCCAAGCCAGCCTGCAGTAGAGGTGGGGTGTAGACGGATGCTGCTGATGTTCGAGCTGAAGTTAATGCAGCGCGGGCCTTTGGCTGGTTACCAAGGGCATGGTAAACGCGAGACTCCAGCAGCTGAACCTCCACAAGCACAAGTTTATCATCCAGGCGCTTAAGTTCGCGGAGAAGCGAGTTGATTAGGGTAAGGGCATCATAGTACGTTTGCTTCTGCATGTATATCACAACAAGCCTGGTCTCGAGATTCTGTCGGAGAAATGATCGTCGTTCAGATACGGCCCATTCTATACACGATTTGATGACGGCAATCTGAATGTCGAGTGTGTTTGGGATATCGGTGAAGTAGTCGAGGAGCTGGCGGACTTTAAAAAAGAATATCAGTCGGGGGAACTTCATTTAACCATATAAAGCCTATTAACGTACCCAACTTCGCTGACTTGGCCTTTGCAAATGAGGAGAATGAGGATCTGCTTGTTTTGAGTAGCTCCGCGAGCTCGTTCGGTTTCTTCTGATCTCGATAAAGCTTCCCCAGGCCTAGTAAAGCAACTTCATACTCTCTAGATGCGGCCTCGCTGGATCCCGGGCCTTCAGCAATCACCTCCTGGTATATCTTCTGGGCTTTGGCTGGGCTCGTCTTCGCTGCTGCCTCTGCTTCCGCGAGCCGTCCAGCTTCATTGGGGGCTGGCGCCATGGTAATCAAGAGTAGGGAGTATAGAGCAGCTCGCTAATTAAAAGGAAAGAATGCTAGTATACCAGCACTCAGCTTCACCCTCTCGGTTTATCGTAGGTATCAGTGTTGAGGATGCTGATGCGATGCGAGAAGTGAGTCTGCAGCTGGCAGCTTGCTTGTTTGGGCGAAGCTGCTCGACGTAGGCCGGAACATCGTTTTCCCGCTGTCGGTGGGTTTTTGGTTATCAAAAAAAGAAGAAGCTGCAAAAGTAAAAAAAGATTTCGAGGTTTTGAAGATGTCCGCCAGCAGGTAACAATCACACAATGGTAAGTGAAGCGCTCGGCGAAATTATTGGATACTGGTTCTAACTATGTCTGTTTAGAAAATTAAAGCTCTTTCTCGGTCTGCTGCTATGCAGCAGACTCCAGGAACCAATGTTCAAAGAGTACAACGAAACATTGACCCGTCCCAGCACCCATTCGAACGGGCACGCGAGTATACAAGGGCTCTTAATGCAGTCAAGATGGAGAGGATGTTCGCCGCTCCATTTATCGCACAGCTTGGCAACGGACATGTCGACGGTGTTTACAGCATGGCAAAGGATCCAATTTCCCTCGAAAGATTCGCAAGTGGGAGTGGAGATGGTGTTGTAAAAATCTGGGATTTGACTACACGCGACGAAATCTGGCATGCTCAAGCGCATGAAAATATTGTGAAGGGGATGTGCTGGACCTCTGACAGGAAACTTCTCTCATGCGCCAGTGACAAAACCATCAAGCTCTTCGATCCATACAACACCCCCTCTGAATCTTCTCCGCTCGCAACATACCTGGGCCAGGGCGCATTTACTGGCGTATCACACCACGAAACACATCCATCATTCGCCGCGTCTTCTTCCGTGATATCCATCTATGATCTTTCTAGGCCGTCATCTACACCCTCAGAGACCCTCCATTGGCCAACAAGCACAGACACTATTACGTCTCTAGCCTTCAACCGTACCGAGACCTCTATACTTGGGTCCACCGCAACTGACCGATCTATCGTAATGTACGATCTACGCACTTCATCGCCAGTTTCCAAGGTGATACTGAAGCTCGCTTCAAATGCAATTTCCTGGAATCCCATGGAGGCATTCAACTTTGCCGTCGCGAATGAAGACCACAACGTATATATATTCGATATGAGGAAGATGGACCGCGCCTTGAACGTTCTTAAAGATCACGTTGCAGCTGTGATGGACGTTGAATTTAGTCCAACTGGGGAGGAGCTCATATCCGCATCGTATGATCGTACTATCAGACTATGGAACCGGGAGAAGGGTCATTCGAGGGACGTATACCATACAAAGCGCATGCAACGGTAAGCCATTCCAAAAAAGAAAAAAAAAATCTCGCTTTACATTCCTAATCAACTAATTATTTTTCCTTCAGAGTATTCTCTGCAAAATTCACTCCTGACAACAACTATGTCCTGTCTGGTTCTGATGATGGCAATATCCGACTCTGGCGCGCAAATGCTTCCTCCAGGAGCGGTATTAAGAGTGCGAAGGAGCGCCAAAAGCTCCAGTATGATGATGCGCTGAAACGCCGATATGCACACATGCCTGAAATTCGTCGCATTAAACGCCATCGACACCTGCCTAAAGCTATAAAGAAAGCGGGAGAGATTAAGGGTGAAGAGATAAAGGCACTGAAGAGACGAGAAGAAAATGTGAGGAAGAACAGCAAGGGGGTGAAGCCACGACGAAGTGAGAGAGAGAAGATGGTCTTGGTGACAGAACAATAATCGTCGAAGGCGAAACAGATGCACGCTTTGAAAAAAGATTCCTTAGGCCGTACTGCATCATGATTTCATGCCGCAGATATCCACTCAGCTGGCATCACTATCATCTTCATATTCAGAACTGCTGCTCGATAGCGGCATTTCTTCCTCCTGCCTATTATCCGTCGAGGCTGAGAATGTCGATTTACCAATGGCTGCATCGACCCCGCTTAGGAATCTCGCAAATCTCTGGATAGATGCTGGAAGTATGGCGTACAGGTCCACGAACAAAGCATAAGCCGGCATTCTAATCACTCCGCCCTCCCCGCTATCGATCATCGACACTATTTCCCGTGCAACCTGGACCGGCTCTAAGACTGGAGCCCAGAAACTACTCGGTGTTTCTACACCTTCAAATAAAGGTGTTGCGATTTGGCCAGTTTCGACGAGGATGGTTTTTATTTTCTTGGAGGCTTTCAACTGTCGTATTTCCGCATCCACCGTTTTGTGTACTGCCACCATGGCGGCCTTTGAGGCGACATAGTCTGACAGACCAGCTGCGGTAAGGTGGCTTAAGACAGAGCTCACCGTGATGATTGTCCCGCCTGTCCGAGAGGACAACATCCCTGGGAGGAATGTTTTCAGCGCATGGAAGTAGGAGAGGAGATTGGTGTTAAGAGTTGTGTCGATGGCCTGTTCCGAGAGGAAGAGTAAAGGAAGCCCGTTGATGGCAGTCGCCACACAGTTTACCAATATAGATGGCCTCCCAAGCTATATCCGTAGACGCTCTAGTTAGCCATCTCCCCCTGAAACCAATCGGTAAACTTGGGTATAACTAGGAAAGAAAATAAAATATTTGATAACATACGTCCTTTGCTATTTTCCGGGCTACCTTATCAACCTGCTCCTTGCTGCCCATGTCGCACCTATAGTATTCTATGCTTGGGAATTCATCCCATCTCACATATCCCACATTATCGGCCGGGTCTTTTACATCCAAGACCGCAACACTCACCCCGCGCATTCCATATGTTTCTGCTATAGCCAGCCCGAGTCCACTGGCACCGCCTGTAACCACAACAACCTCCCTTTTGAAATCAACATTGCGGGGTAGGCCATAGGCTATTCGGTTGTTTATATATGATAACACAAAGAAGGAGCTCAGGAAAGTAGCGTATGCTGCAGTTATGATAAAGGACGGGTGGGAGTATGGCGTCGCCTGAGCGACTAGACAGAGAGGTATCAGCCAGGCAATAAACGGGTGAAGAACAGTCTTCTGTAGGACCTTCACGAGGATGTCAAATGTTATTGGCGGGTTATTTGATCTCGAGGCTGGTGCCCTTATACGGGCGGCCTCTTTTGTAGAGGGCATCACTATGATAAGAAATCGTGGGTATCTTGCTATACAAAATATATGTCCCGCTCTTGGGTATGGACCACCCTATTAATGTTCCAAAAATATGTCATAAAAATAATTCTTAAATCGCAATATGGGCTGTTCTGCGGAATGTCCGGCAGAGTGGCGTGGCTTTTTACTTGGAGATGTGTTAAAGTCGCGATATAAATATTCGAATAAATAATAAGCGCCAGCAAGACAAGACCCAGTCGGGTTTAGCGCTCTACTTTCAACGTCACCAAAAAAACCAAGTTGACCAGCTCAAGGAAAGACAAATGATATTCTACTGGTCTATTACTACCACTCAGTATTGATAAACATAATGGTATAACATGTTTTCATAGGGGAGACTAATCTCGCCCTGCTGGACTGATGGTTGCCAGGATCAAGATGATTCTTGAATTCCACTACAATCACCCAATCTATCACTCGTCAACCCTGCTTTTCCAGGCACACTGTATCCAGCCTCTGCCTGACGTTGATACGAGACTTGACGCAAACGGACGGCTTCACATGGAGTTAATCGCAGCTTTACAATTTCGTTAGCAAGCAGAGTTTATCAAATACCCGATATCAATTCGAACTCACATATATCTCTCCTCCGACGGCATGCAAAAACATAGCTATCCAGAGTGCCATCCCAAAACTCAAGCCAAGAGCAGCTGACACATTCTCATCGTCGCCATTGAAATCTGCGGCAACAATTGCCTGCTGCTGCACGTTCGACCTGTCGTAAAAGGCGGAGCAACTCGGGTATTTGCTTAACGTCTTGTTTCGGCCGATGGTATAATCTATTTTATCGCAAGGCCAAACTGCATGATACCCACCTATTGTTGTCATTACCGACGCGGCTATAGCGAAGATGAACCTGTTGGTGATGATAGCTCCCATCTAACATTTCCAGGTTAGATGTGGCGCCTCTCGCAGACTCTCTATAGAGGACTCACATAAACAAATGTCCGGATCATCCATGCCCTGTGCTGATCAATCTGAAGCCTTTTGATGTTATAATATGCGAGTCCAATTCCGGCCGTGGTCATCAGGACTAGAGTCCCTGTGGCCCCCTGTGTCTCCAAACCACCACCGAATGCCCGTCGAGCTATCATGAGAGCTCCAACATTCGCAATGAGCACTAGAAATATAATCAAGTACCCGGCAATGCGATGCCACAAGAGAAATTTGTATCGAATGATGGGTACGAATTGAAAGCAGGCTAAAAATGAGGCAGCTTCAGGTGCAGATCGTTCTCTTGAGTTAGCGTATAACATAGAAATCGCAGCTCTACAGGCAGGTAAGTGGTGTGCCAGTAGCCATACTTACGCAAAATACACCCAAGGTGAAGGATTATGCCAACATGGTACCGGGTTTGACCAAGGTAATAAAAACACTCTCCCGGAGCAGCATTCCCTTTCTTGCAAAAGACGCCAGTGATATTGATGTATTGGAACCTTGCTAAGGTAAATCCCATGAATGCCCCTGCGAAAATGAAAACTAAATTGATGTCAGCCAACAAGCAAACCTTTGGATACGTATTTTAATATAGGGTCATGGATACTAACACAGGATGAAGTTATATCCTTTTGAAAACCCAACATGTCGATATATCTTCCTAAAGACCAACTTGGCAGTGCTACCTATCTCCGTCATTTTGAAGATGGTATCTAAAGTAGTATGTGAGATGCAGCTTTTCCAGGTTATAAGCTTGGGCTGGTTGCTTTACAGTGACAAAGCTCCTTCTCCCTGGTGCCTTTCCAGCGACTTTATAGCTAGATCCCTTTCTTAGATTAACATTGGAGATATGGATGCACAATCCATGGCTACCTCATTTCACCAGCTCCCTAACTACTTCTAGTCACCGTTTGCGCGTCATACAATGGCGCGACGTAATGGCCAACGTGGTTTCGCTTAAACTGAACCTCTACCAGGCTAGAAACATGAAATACGGAGTATGAGTTTCTATTTTTATAATTGGGGATTTGCTATCATCGATCCACGATCATGTGACCCCCTGGCGCAATAGATTTCCTAAAAGGGGATAAGTGACTTCGTATACAACTGACGACGCAGCGCAATCAAGAGCTGCATCTGTTCTTGTGGCCATATAAATGTGGGAAAGATGGAGCAAAATTTTCCGTTTGGTAGGCCTGCCAAAGGGACATGGACGTGCATTTTACTCTTTATCGAAAACTAAAGCAATATGCCAAAGATATCCGAGGGCTGCAATACCTGCCGGAGACGGAAGAAGGGGGTGAGCATTCCACAAGATCCGGAGTTCTATATCAAAAATTGGTGGACTGACCCAGAATGGTAGTGTGACCTGCAGCGACCTACCTGCGGCCAGTGCAAGAAATTAGAGATACCTTGCGAGGGTTATATGCGGCCGCTCAAGTTTATTTATGCATCCCAGCGAGTCCGTACGAGAGACGACGTGCAAACAAGTTCTTACAGAACTCCAAATTCCGGTAATGCATTACCATACCGGGGACCTGCCACTAACAATGCTATTGGGCCAGCATTAACGAGCCTCGCAGCTCTGCAAAATTCAGTTATTGCTGATTCATGTTCTGGGTTGTTTTTGAACCTCTTTTTGGGAAATGCTAGCCTCAGTTCAAGATCATTAAACGAATCTTGCTTCACTGGCTGGATGGGTGCGACTTCTCAGCTTAGCGACGTAAACCCAACGCTGCGCAATGCGTTGCTTGCTCTGGGACTAGCCAGGGTTGGCAAACTGTCCCATGATTCCAGAATTGTGCACAAGAGCCAGCAATTCTACTCCTCCGCACTAAATCAGCTATACCAGGGCATCGGGAAAAACCCAGAACATTTGGATGACGAGTCCCTTGCAGGGGTAATGTACTTAAGTCTTTACGAGGTCCTACTCCCGTATCACCCTTGCGCTATTACTTCTTCTATGTACTAAATATATCAATTAGGTTATTGAAGGCTCCCCCTTGAGAGGCCTTGGCTGGGCAAGCCATACTGACGGTGCCACACGATTAATGAAGCTACGACCTTACTCACCGGAGTGGACAAATTTCAGGAAGAAGTTATTTCTTGGACTGCGTTTCTTTGCTGTAAGTGGTAAATGATATTTCATTCAGACGGTGGCCGAGTTAGGTGAACATCATTAACCATAACGTCAAACAGGTAATACGTGCCATTGGTTTCCGACAACCGTCCTTTCTTGCGAGCCCTGAGTGGATAAATTTACCTTGGCTACCAACTGGAAACCAACACAGTCACCGATTAATCTGTCTATTAGCTTTGGTTCCATCGATTCTAAGGGATATCGATCTGATTCGAGACGACCATTCATCCCACAATTCGTCCAAAATCAAAGAGGTTTCTACGAAATGCAGCAGTCTATTGAACAAACTCCGACTATGGAATGCTTTGTTTCAAAGCGAAAGGGAGGGATTGCCTTATTGGGATATGCCCTCTGCACTTGCAGCCGGTCGTGGAAGGGAATTTGCTAGCGGACACCCTGTGTTCTCAACCTACCTTCATTTTCCCGACATTGAAACTGCCCATCTACAGATGCTCTATTGGACAGCTCAATTGCTGATCTGCAATAATCTTTGGTTGGTATATCGATTCTTGGAGAGCCAGGAGGTTCAACCATCACGCGACCAGAGTAAGTCACTATTTAATTTACCTCGAGATGACAGTAGTGATCCTGAAGGTAGGCAGCGGCATTGCATGCCTGAATTGCCTATAACCACGGCTGATCTTTACACAATTGCTATCAATATTGCCCGCTCACTGGAATATTTTCTTAATCCAGAGTTAATGGCCATCGGAGTAACCATTTTTGTTTTCCCTGTTACCATTTCTCTGGGCTATTTTCAATACTTTGACCTTTCCGAGGCAGCATGGTTTCGTATTGTATATGATCATATTCTATTGTCCTCTGGGATAGACGTGGGTGGGTTTCTGGAGGCTGTCGCAAGTGAGAATTCACTTCATCTTGTTAGAAGCTAGGTATTTACATTATTTGGAGTGAAGGACATAGAGTTATACACACATTGAGAAATATTACTTACGTTGATACGAAGTACAAGATGTCAGAGGGCGTAATAATGCTGCCTGGCTTCCCCTGCTTGATTGAAACTCCACCTTCGTCGAGCATAAATACAACATCATCACAATCAAAACACACTCTTTGAATGTTATAAGACCAGAAACCCTCGACAACTACGAATAACAGTCAGCGGAATAAATCTTACAAGCGTTACTTAGCTAAAGGGCGACATAGGAGTCGTAAGCATGGCGGCATTCTCAAACTCAGCTTGGAAAATCATCCCGCAGTTTTGCAGTATCTCCATCCCCCAGACTATCAAATTTTACACCGAATCCCTCCACTTTACTCTTGGGGGTACGCATCCGGATGACGAGAATAGCATCCCTATCTTCTGCTCAGTGGCCATCGGCAAAAAGGCCGACGCGAACATCTACTTCTTTAAGACGAAGCTGCCATCCTCAACCAACGAACGCGGAAGTGAAGATACTGAGCGCGTTTTTCATCACTCATCGGCAATGATCGCACTGGGGACTACTGAGCTGGATGAATATTATGATATTTTGACCAAGGAGGGGACAGTTAAAATCACCAGGCCTATCGAAGATCAACCATGGGGCTACCGACAATTCACTGTGGAGGATCCCGACGGCAACAAGCTTACCTTTTTCAAGTTTTTGGAGGGCGGAAATCCGGGCACTGAATAAGTAGCTTTTAAAATCAATTAGCTATAGGATATGATTTCAGTCTTATATTTCTGTCTCTTTCATGGGTTACTATCAAGTTGATATTCATTGAGCGCCTTATCGATAACAAGGAATAGTCACGTGTTAACTAATATATAGAATCCTAGAACCTTAATTTCTCAAAGCTCAAAAAAAAAAGTCCGAAAATTTCAAGAACTAGATAGAAATATCAGCGCCGACATCATGCCCCGTGAGAAGCAAAAAAGAGGCCGTCGGGCGGAAAAATCGAAGCGAAAACGAGAAGATGAAGAAGCCGAGCCCGATTCGCCAAAACGGCAACGAACTGCAAACGAAGAAGAAAACCAAGTGATAGCCGGAGCCGATTACATCCCTCTCGATACCCGTGATAATGAGCAGGAGCAGGAGCAGGAGCAGGGACATGGACAGGAGCAGGAAGATGATACTCCCTTCTACGGACTACTCGATACCGAGGAGCAAGAGTATTTCTCGAAAGCAAGTCAGACATTGGAGCTCAACTCGTTTGAGGATGACGATGATAAACGACTATTCATTGAAAGTGTCTACGAGGAAGCCAAGGGGAAGGAATTGAAAATTGCCTGCAGTCAGTCATGCTCTAGACTCATGGAAAAATTGATTGGGATGTCGACTCCAGTACAAGTAAAGGCCCTATTCGAGAAGTTTACGGGTCACTTTCTACACCTTGTCCAGCACCGCTTTGCTAGCCATTGTTGCGAGTGCCTGTTTATTCGTGCCGCTCCCATTGTGACCTCCGAGATAGAGAAGCCAAAGGATAAAAAGAAAAAGGTCAAATTAACCAACAATGAAGATGGGGATATGGAACAAGAAGGGTCGCAGACTCAAAAGTCCGCTACGGATTTGTTCTTGGGAGTAATCTCAGAACTACAAGGGAATTGGGGATACCTTCTTACGGAATCCTTTGCATCACACACTATCAGGGTTCTACTACTGATATTGGCCGGAGAACCTCTCGCTGATCAATCCAATGCGAGGGTACTCGCTAGTCGAAAAAAGGAAAATTTAGATTCTATAACAGTAGCTACTCAGTCAGAACAGTCTGTGCGTGAAAATAGGGAGGTCCCTGTGGAATTCAATAAGACATTGAAAAAGATGATAACAGATCTGAGTGCCGGTTTGAATTCCACTTACCTTCAGGCACTTGCAACCCACCCTGTTGGAAGCCCCGTTCTACAAGTTGTTCTATCAATAGAGCTTGGTCATATAGGAAAAGAGAAAATTAAAGACACAAACTCTGTTTTCCGGAGGCTTATACCAGATGACACGCTTGAAACCAAAGAGGAGGGCGTGGACTTTTTAAATGGCCTGTTTTACGACCCTGTTGGATCCCGTCTACTGGAAACGATTGTCCGAGTTGCACCGGGAAAGTTCTTCAAAACGTTCTACAAGCAAATCGTTCGTGAAAGAATTGGCTCTTTGGCACGAAATGAAATAGCATCCTATGTGGTCATTAAAGTCCTGGAGAGAGTGAGCAAAGAAGATCTTCAATCTGCCATAGAAAGCATACTTCCTGAGATACCCTCGCTGGTTCAGCGGTCTCGGCTTAACGTGATCAAGACATTGATAGACCGATCAACTGTTAGAGGAGCTGACACTACTTCCCTTGCAAAGGCACTGGAATCCGCTTATGGTGACGATAGTGTGGTACGTCTTAGGACACTACTTCTTGGGGTTGACACTGAGAACCAGACCACCGAGGATACCACGAAACCAAAGGCCAGCGCTTCCCCTCAACATCTTCACGGATCACTACTAGCACAATCTATGCTACAAGCACCTGGAGCCCTCACATTGATGATACAAAGCGGCTTTATCGCCGCACCGTCAGAGACGATAATGGAAATTGCGAAGCACTCAACAGCATCACGCGCTCTGCAGGAAGCCCTTAAATGCTCCAAATCAAACACTCAGTTCCGTCGACAATTCCTGCCGCGCTTTTACGGACAGATGAGCGAATTGGCTTTAGATAGCAGCGGTTCCCACGTCGCTGACGCCCTCTGGAACGCGACCACCGACCTGATCTTTATCAAACAAAGATTGGCGCAGGAGCTAGAGAACAACGAATCGGCTCTACGCGATTCGTTCCTGGGGAGGGCAGTATGGAGGAATTGGTCTATGGATTTGTATAAGCGGAAACGGGGCGAATGGATGTCCAGAGCAAAGGGGCAGGATAGCACCATGTCAGCGTCAACTGCCGATTTGAGCGCCGCGCCGGCAAAGAGCAAGCTGGACTTAGCCAGGGCACGATATGCGGCTAGAGCCGAGCAGCAGGAGAAGCCAGACAGCAGGGAGCAAGGCTCTCGCGGCAAGAAGCAGACCATGTCGGCGCCGAACGACCTTCTGAAAGCGCAGTAAAAACCGCAGCCTGTGACGTCACTCCATGTTTATCTTTACGTAATTACGATGACAAATTTCTTTGGCTGGACTTGACTCACGTGATATCACCCTAGATATAGTAATCCAGTTTCAAACGTTTATATATTAGAGCGTTTCCACGTTGAAGCAACATTCTCGCAATGTTTCCGTCCATTGTTTGAAACAAGTTTCCTTTTTCTTTTAGAAATTACAGCAGGATGGAGCGGCCTGAAGAAGTGCGGAAGGTGAGTCTCTCTGTCTCTTCTACTCTTAGCTGAGCAGGAAGCTTATGGCAAATTCCTGCGTTGTAATCATTTATTCGAATAGCGTTAAATTACTGGAGTAATCGGCTAAAGACATACTAGGTCTTAACTTCGGTCCAGGAGCGCGTTGTTGGGTTTGTTGAACAAGCCGATCGCGCTGCCGTGGAGTCAGGGCAAGGAGACGATGAATCTCGACCCAAGATATTGAACTTCAAGAAACCGGAAGAGCTCAAAGCAGTATTTGAACAAGATTTGACAGCTTCGGGTCAAGGACATGATGGTCTCGTTCGAATTGTAAATAACCTTCTAAAGTATTCTGTCAATACCTGGCAGCAGGGATTTCTTGACAAGTTATACTCAACCCCTAACGCCCCTGGCCTAGCGGCAGAGTTGCTTCTCGGGACATTGAATGCCAACGTGCACGTCTATCAGTCAGCTCCGGCGTTAACGGTTATCGAAAAGTTAACTACACGGCGGCTGGCCGAACTTTTTGGCCTAACTGGACCTAATGCTGGCGGAATATCTGTGCAGGGGGGTTCTGCCTCGAACACTACGGCAATTGTTGTAGCAAGGAACACTTTATTCCCTGAAACCAAGAAGGAGGGAACTGGCGACCATCGATTTGTCCTATTTACGAGCGCCCATGGCCATTACAGCATTGAGAAGGCGGCACAGATGATTGGTCTAGGAAGCAATGCAGTTTGGAGTGTGCCGGTCGACAACGAAGGACGAATGATTCCACAAATGCTCGAAGAAGAGATCCAGAAGGCAAAGGATGCGGGTAAAACTCCACTTTTCGTCAATGCCACTGCTGGAACAACCGTTCTAGGAACATTTGATCCTTTCACAGAAATTGCAGAGATTTGCCGCAAGCATAAAATCTGGTTCCATATCGACGGAGCCTGGGGTGGTGCTTTCATCTTCTCTAACCGTCAGAAACACAAGCTCGAAGGCTCACACCTGGCTGATAGCATTGCCATAAACCCTCATAAGATGCTTGGAGTACCATTGACCTGCTCTTTTCTCCTGGGTGCGGATATGACTCAATTTCACAGCTCAAACACCCTTCCAGCAGGGTACCTGTTCCATAACGATGTGTCTGCAGGCTCCGAGGTATGGGACCTGGGTGATTTGACCTTGCAATGCGGACGCCGAGGCGACGCCCTGAAGATGTTCCTCAACTGGAATTATCTTGGCTCAGCAGGTTATGAGGAGCGAATTGACTCCGCTAGTGACGTTGCTGTGCACCTCTGCAATCTCATCTCAGAATCCCCGGATCTAATTCTACTCAGCACGAACCCGCCACCATGTTTCCAAATATGCTTCTTCTACGCGCCTTTCAAACAGATGGTTTACCATACCGATAAATTGGTAGACGGCCGCAAACCTGATGAAGCCGAGCGAGGGAAGCTCAATGGGGAGATCACTGAAATCATCGCCCAGGACTTGATCCAGCAGGGGTTCATGGTCGATTATGCACCACCTGCCGCGGCTCAAGTGGAAGGCGATGGTCAATACCTCAGATGTGTTGTGAACCTTCGAACTACGAAAGAGACAGTAGAACGCCTTGTTACTGTAGTCTTAGAGCTAGGTGCCAAAGCAGTCAGGCAGCAACGTGGTCTAGAGTTGAACTCGACTTTTGCGAACCCCAACCAGGCTCCAGCGCCTGGTCAACGGCCAAAAAACCCTCTAGAAATGGGTCACGGCCCCCAAGCAACTGCTGCATCAGATTTCGTTCTTTGAAGTCTTTTGTTAAACGGATAACGTTCGATGTGCTTTCTAAAAGGTTTCAGCGCCCTCTTATTACTTGTGTATATAAGATATGTGGATTATAGAATATAAATAAAAGGATCCCTCAGACATATGACTGTTAATACTGAAGTTTGGAGGACACATTCGGAGGTTATATTTCATTTCTGTAGGAATATTATGCATCCCCTGAAAAAAAAAAAAAAAAATTGAAATTGCATAAGAGGGCCTAGCTATGGCATCTATAGATTTAACTACGGACCTCAACTCTTCTCTCCAAAACCGATCTTGCCTCTGCTTCTGTCAACGTGTTTATACCAAGCTCAGCCAAGACACTCCTTGCACTCTCATTATTCGCAAAGAGCCTCTTTTCGGCTTCCCACAGACCTAGGTTTCTCACGGTATTATCACCAGTGCCACTTGAGTCGGCATTTTCAGGTTTAATCTTCAACCCTAAGAGGAATAAACCGTCCTGGAGCTTTTGGATTGTTCGCGCTGAATATGTTTCGCCAGCTTTTACGCCAATAGCAGCGTCAACCGTGTCACAAATATTGGCGACATCAGTAGAAAGCTGCGCGGCGCCAAAAGTAGAGAATGAATGCCGCATGAGGATACTATCCCAAATGTATGTCTGAATAGCAAGGAGGATATGGTTAGCGACACGGCGTCTTGGGGCAACGGCTAGCGTGCGAGAGAGGAATGAAAGGTCGGCGGTGAGAAGCCGTAGAGTCTGCACTAGGTCTAATGAGGGTGTTGTAGGGGAGTCGGACTCGTCCGAAGAAGAGCGTAAAGAGGCCCATGTTGACACCTGGTAATATGGGCGAAGGGATGTTTGGACACTCGATGCTATAGTTGACTGGATTATTGACTCGGATCGCATTCGAAGCTGGCGATATGCTGCGGCTGTTTCGTCGAATAAGGCACCTTCTGCTCCATCCTCGAGGTGATCCTTGTTATTGTTGGCAACAGAAGATGATGTACGTGCGGCGATCTCTGAGACGGACATTACACCAGCTACCGGCTTTCCAGTGTGGCTATGCCTCGTTACCCGGTCCTGTAGCTCATACCAGAGCTCAAGGAAGAAGACATCGTCGCCCCAGTCTTGCATCTTTTTTTCTAGATATTCAGCACTTCCAAATATCCTACACAATCGCTCTAGACCAGATACTCCTTCTATATTTGGCTGACCAGTCGAGGAGCCTTGTACTGTGCGCCCTATGGCGGATGTCATAGCAAGGTAAGCCTCGAGGCCAGAATGTAGCCTCTCGTGAAACAGGTCGAAAATAGTTATTTGGATATCAATCAGGAATCGGAGCTTTTGGCTGAAAGATGATAACGGCCGGTAAAGTTCTGTGATGTTTTCCAAGAGGTCATTAACCCGGAGGGCGGCTTTCGTTGGCTTAGTTGCCGTTGGTGCTACCCCATCGTAGTCAATTTCTCCCCCATCCTCAGCATCAATGATATTCTGATACCTGGCCAATGCGAAATTCTTTTCCACCTGAAGCCATTCAGAAAACCAGTTCTCCTTCACTAATATTTCCCATGTCAGGCCTTTCCATGCGCTTTCTTGGGCTGGGTTCGACGGGTAAGACCACGAGAGTTTAAGCTCATTATCGAAATTCATAAGCTCATGAATTAAGTGACTGAAGGCCTGTGGGTGTTTAGATACGGTTGGCAATAAATTCATTGTTTTCTGTCGCACCATGGGTAGGAGGGCAGATATAAATGATGAAACTGCATCCGAATAAATGGACCCAAGTAGTGGGGGACCTTTGAGGCCCCTTCTATGCAATATAGGTTGCAGGTAGATGGAAAAGAATTCAGCGTGGGTACTGATCAAATCTAAAACATGGGATAGGAAATATTCAGGCTGTGATGAAAATTAGTAAAAATGTAACTTCATTCTCCAGCTGTATAAAATTTAACATACCTTATCCAGCCTGTTTGTAGGCCGGTCACCGCTGAAATGATATTTAAATCTGAGCTCTAGAGGTTGCGCCATGACTTCCAATGGGAGTAAAATGGGCAGCACAGAGCAATCCTTGAGGTGGGCCTCAACAGTGTCGTTTATAAGGTCACTAAAGGGGTCAGTTAGAACATGGCTCTTTCTCTTATAACAGATAAATATACGTACGGCTCTTGAAATTCCAGAAGCAGATCGCACCAGCGCATCCATTCATCAATTAATGGCTCCGAGGGGAGTTCTTTCATAGGCCACTTCATTTTGTCCAGCACATTTTGTAGTTTACCAATATATTCCCCATAAACTAAGCCCCTCAACGTTTCAGAGACTCCCTTAACATAGTCAAGGAGGTGTGGTGTAGCGCCTTCGACTCTTTCCTGGCCGGATGATATCGATATCTCGATGGAACGGAGCTGCGCATAGGATCGTAAGGCATCGTGGGGAGATGTTTTCATCTTCTTTATCACATCCTTGCTATAAACCGGTCAGCGGCATGTTCGATGGCCTTGACCACGGGGGAAAAGACAAACTTCAGGTGGTCTATGCTGTTCAGAAGCTCCAAGTATCCTTGCGACACATCAAGCCTTTGCAGCCTAGCAATGCTATCTTCAAATTTCCGCACAGCCTCATCGCTATGTTCCGATTGCGTTACAATGAGTAAGCGACGATCTATATCGGCCTGGTGTTTGCTGAACGCCTCTGCCTCTTTGCGGACAGCCTCCGCATGTTCGTTTGAAGCTTTAGTAGCGCTTTTGAGTATTTCCTCTGCTTCTCGGAGCTAAATACAATCCAAACTATTAGTTTATGATAACGAAATTTGCAATTAGGATGGTGCATATTACCTGTTGTCTCTGAAGATCTTGCTGCTCCTGGAGGCTGTTGAGGAGGGTATCAAGACTCAGGAGGTCTTCGAGGCTTTGAATCTTGTCATTCACAAAATCAACAAGCCGCGTCGCATCTTCGGCAGACAAGTGTTCCGTCATTTCTTAACTACGCCGATAGACGGGCTGGGTAGGTTATACAAATTAACAACAGAGCGTCGACAGTGGCATGTTTGTTTAGAGCATGGAGGAGTAATACTGTGGTCACTAAACCTCAGGGTCTTGGCATCGATAACAACCTAATCGGTGGATATAAAAAGAGCGACTTCCAACCTCTCTCCAAAGATAGAACAGGACATACCTGAGAGAACTGACAACGTCATGCGAGGCCCTCTATAATGGCCAGTCCAGCGAAAAAGAGGAAGAAAAATGAATCGAACGAATCGCCGCAGAAAATCCGAAGCATTGCATCCTACTTTAGCGGTGCGAGACAGGCAACGCCACAGCTTACACCCAGCACTGAGCACGGCGAGCTTACGGATGAGGAATTGGCCCGGAAACTACAGGCAGAGTGGAATAAACAAGACCAGGACAATGCTGAATTACCCACGCCGGAGACCATGGCAATAGAGAAACCACTGCAAAAAGATTCCCCAGCCACTGATCTTGCTGCCAGTCTCGCTTCAGCTACCGACCGGAGTAGTATACAAACTACTCCTGCTCCTAAATCTATCACTGGAAGCGGGACAAAGGGAGTTCTGGCTTTGCAGAGCTCGTCGGCTGCGGAAGATACCATATCTTCGTCATTGCCCTTTGATCAAACTCCCCTTGCATTTGACCCGCTTGAGCACAAGGAGAAACTCCAAGCACACTGGGAAGCGGACGGCGGAAGAGCATCGTATGCTATTTTAGCTCGTGCATTCTCTCTTGTCAACGGCACGCAAAGCAGAATCAAAATAGTCGATATACTAGTGAACGCTCTCCGACTTATTATTGTTGGGGACCCCCAAAGCCTTCTCCCTGCGGTATGGCTTGCTACTAATGCATTTGTTCCGCCATACGTACCCAGTGAGTTGGGTCTAGGGGGTTCTGCCATTTCTAAAGCGCTGAAGAAAGCTTATGGGTTGGACAACCATGGTCTTAAGTCACTTTATAATAAACACGGTGACGCTGGCGATGTAGCGTTCGAAGCAAAGAAAAAACAGAGCTTTACATTAAGACGACCAAAACCGTTGACTATTCAAAGTGTTTATGATGCTCTGATGAAGATTGCAGCCAGCAAGGGCACAGGGAGCCAGGAGGTAAAGCAGAGGATCGTTGAGAAATTGCTCCAGGATACTAGAGGCGCGGAAGAGAGCCGGTACATTGTTCGTACGCTCGTTCAGCATCTTCGGATTGGAGCAGTCAAGACGACGATGTTAATTGCGCTAGCAAGAGCCTTTCTTTACTCGAAACCGCCAACAGCAGGTTTTTCGATACGTTCACATTCGGAGTTTACGGGCATGAAAAAAGAAGAGCTTGTGAATATCTACTCACAAGCAGAGGAGACTATTAAAGCATGCTATGCACGACATCCAAACTACAACGACATTGTCCCATGTCTACTAGAATGCGGGATTTCCGCAGAGCTTCTTATGAAGTGTGATATAACGTTGCATATCCCTCTACTTCCTATGCTGGGTAGCATTACACGCGACCTTCCGCAAATGTTAACTAGATTGCACGGACGATCCTTCACCTGCGAGTATAAGTACGATGGGCAGCGAGCACAGGTCCATTGTGATGCGTCGGGAAAAGTTTCCATATTTTCTCGCCATCTAGAAGTTATGACAGATAAATACCCGGATTTAGTATCCCTTGTCCCCCAGATTCGATCTGAAGGAGTCTCTAGCTTTATTTTAGAGGGCGAGGTGGTTGCCGTTGAGAACGAATCTGGCGAGCTGCTACCATTCCAGGCTCTCACAAATCGGGCAAAGAAAAATGTTGAAATAGGCAACATTAAGGTTAATGTCTGTCTATTCTCGTTTGACTTGATGTACCTGAATGGACAGCCGTTACTCGACAGGCCATTCAGAGAACGACGGGAACTTTTAAGGAGTCTATTCACTGAAATCCCAAATCGATTTACATGGGTAAAGAGCATAGATGCTTTCCCATCTGATTCGGATGCCGTTCTAAGTTTTTTCAATGATGCTCTCAACGTAAAGTGTGAAGGGATAATGGTCAAAGTTTTGGATGACAAGCCAGTTGCGGATCAGTCTGAGACAGCAGGTGATAGTACCATTCTCGGTGATACTGGCTCCGGCCCCGAGGAAGAACAGCCGGAAGACCCTACAGACCCGGCGGAGAAACAACGAGGAAACCGTAAACGACCTCTTCTGTCTACATACGAGCCTGACAAACGACTGGAATCTTGGCTCAAAGTGAAAAAAGATTACAATTCTGCCTCTGATACATTAGACTTGATTCCCATTGCAGCATGGCATGGCCAGGGTCGAAAGGCCAAATGGTGGTCACCAATACTTCTAGCAGTACGAAATCCGGAAACGGGTTCACTTGAGGCCGTTACTAAGTGCATGTCTGGCTTCACGGATAAATTCTACGAAGCGAACAAAGAGAAATATGCGGAAGGCAGCGACAATCTTATCTCACGGCCAAGTTACGTGGAGTATTGTGGCGAGCCGGAAGTATGGTTTCAACCTCAAGAGGTCTGGGAGATGGCGTTCGCAGATATTACGCTGAGTCCTACGTATCTCGCTGCGATTGGACTGGTTAGTGAAGAGCGTGGCTTAAGCCTTCGATTTCCAAGATTCCTAAAAGTGAGAGAAGACAAGGGCATTGATGAAGCTAGCACTTCGGACTATCTCGCTCATCTTTGGAGGAAGCAGACCGAGAAGTCACAGGCAATTGGGACTGAGCAAGGGGGCTGACTTGATATATTGCAGACTCAACCATCTGCACCTATCGCTATGCAACTACTTTTCCACGCGAACAACGCACCATGGTGGGTGGTGCGGGAGATGACGGGAAGAAAGTGGCATGTTAAAAGCTGGCTCTCAACTATATAGAGCTAACGCCCATTACGTCATACCAGAGGGCAAAACATCGAGGTTGTGAACATAACAATAAACAGTCTGTCGCTCAATCGTCTATGTCGCCACCATTCCGTCATTGCTCGCCGTAGAGCTGACGAGATAAATGATGTCTAGATGGCTCGTTGTGTTGGGTATTATACACACAACTCCAAAAAGTCCACAATCAATATAATTCACATACCCAAACGAAATGCCACTCCCACGAAAAGCTCTAATCGCTGTAACCAGCGCCAATCCTCACTTCTACCCAGACGGGAAGAAGACTGGGCTGTTTTACTCAGAGGCTTTACATCCGTTCGATGAGTTGCAGGCCGCTGGCTTCCACATTGACATTGCATCGGAAACCGGAACCTATGCCTATGACGAACACTCGTTAGAGAAAAAATTCTTGAGCCGCGAGGACGAAGAAGTTCTGCATAACGAAAATGACCCATTCAATAAAAAATTGAACCACCAGCTGTTCAAGGCTGGTGACCTATCACCCCATGAATACGGCCTGTTCTTCGCCGCTGGTGGGCATGGAGCTTCTTACGACTTCCCACACGCACGGCACCTGCAGTCTATTGCCTCAGATGTTTATAAGCGCGGTGGTGTCGTGGCCGCCGTCTGCCATGGCCCTGCCATTCTAGGAGGCATTCTTGATGCAAACGACGAACCAATCATTAAGGATAGGACGCTGACCGGCTTTACCACTGAGGGCGAGCTTGAGCTCAAGGTGATCGATCAAATGAGGGGAGACAATGTCCACACAATCGAAGACTGCATGGGGCCAACAGGTGCCCACTACGAAGCTCCACCAACTCCATTCGCAAACTTCGAGAAAGTCGACGGACGGATTGTCACTGGCGCGAATCCAGCGAGTGCCAGGGACACGGCGAGAGATGCCATTAAAGTGTTTGATGGGCTGGAGTAAATTACCCCCGGCTCCAACAAGTAATGGCAGGAATAATGCAAGCGCAAAAGTAACTGCTGCTAGGAATCACCTCTCATTTACCCCTTTCGGTGTATATGAAAATATCTAAAAAAGTGTATCGCTATATGATGTGATGAGGATTCTCCTTTCTACTTAACTCCTAATTCACTCCTTTATGACGAAACCACCTATATCACAAGCGAATTCTTAGTCTCAGCCTAGCATTGAGAGATGCTAATCATTAGCAGATAGTGGAAGTTAACAATCGACTCTAGCAGTATTTACTCGCTACTCGTCATCCAGTTTTGTCCACATTTAACTATACTCAGAAGTAACATCCAAGCTAGGGGCAATGCTCCACGTATGAATATGAAGGGTATCATGGTTTCAGCACATAACTGCTTGAAGTTCATGTACTGTGTATACCCATTACGTCTAGTATCTTTCTATGTTCAATTCAGGCTTACTTTCATACTAGAACCATCTATTGACCCATTACTCTCTTTCATCTCCTTATGGAAGATAGATAGCATCTCACAATTTCTACGCCCCTATTTCTCCCCTCGAACACATGCTTTATGCGGTGAACTCCCAATTCTCGGGGAACCAACCGAACTGCACGTCGGCATTACCTTTGAAGACATCATCGTATCTCTGGATGGTTGTCTCTGGGCGCTCCTTTTGGAGGTAGTACCCATGGACAATCTCCTTGATCTTCGGATGATTCCACATCTGCTTCATCCACGCAAGCGCCTCGGGCTTAGCACTTGATAGACGAAAGTTATAGGTCCGGAAACGCTGAAACAGAGCGCAGATGTCAGACATATCACAAAAAACGAACAAGCGGCAGATCCACCAAGGAATGGGATGTATGCATGTCTGGACTGACCCAAAGAACCGGCCAAAAGAAAGCATCGGCGATACTAAACTCGCCGAACAAGAACCCATCATCGGCCTGCTTCAGTTCCGCTAGTCGAGAAACTGTATACCGTCTGCTCTCGGCCCAGAGCTTTAGGCAATTCTCCACCTCTTTAATTGCGCCGTCATACATGGGAACATTTCCCGTGTACCTACCCAGGGCATTGGTGTGGTAGTATGTTCGTAGCACTGTACAGAGACCAGAATGCATCTGTGCGACGGCACTGCGGGCTTGGGCCCGTAGAGCGGTATCCTTGGGCCATAGGGGCAGATCCGGGTGGGACTCGGCAAGGTATTCACAGATCGCTAGGGAGTCGTTGATCTGGAACGATGAGCCGAGAGATGGCACCTCGAGTGCAGGGACTAGCCCTGTTTTCGACAGCTTCGTGGCCTACATATGCACATGTAAGATGGACTGTGGGGTGCATCTATCGGGTAAGATGTAGATCTAGGTACCTCCTCAAGCGAGAGCTCGACTGACTCGTGGGGGATGCGGTAGTAGTCCAGTAGGACGGCTACACGAGCAGTCCAGCCTAGGGAGTAACCACAGGTTAGAGGTGGTGGTTCGTTGCACCGAGGATCGCCTGCAACCTACTGGAATAGCGGGTGTAAGCTCCAATGAGCTTGTACTGATTCTCCATGCTGTTGGACCTTCTGTGTAAGCGTATGGTGAAGCTGTGCTACAACACTAGAAGGAGAGGGGTAAGATAGGGACTATTTATACTGTTTCCAAGGTGCGTGAGTCAATTTGTATCCCGTATCTCGAGCAGCTTAAAATGTTGATATACTAACCAGATACTCCACACGGACGGCTAGCTGAAGGGCGTGAGAAGTTTGGGTGAGCCATGCTCTGTCTGCATTCCCGAGTTGTACGGCTATGCAGCATGGTCTATCCAATTAGCGGTCCCTCGAAGCGTAGAATCCATGGTATGTCTCGTATTGTGGCCGAAGGTGACAAACTCGACTCTATGATCTGCCAGACATCTGTCGGGGTGGTGACAAGATGCTACATTGCAATCTGAAACATGAAAGCCACCGTCGTCAGCTAACATCGTCAGCCAACATCAGCATCACCACACCAACAACAACATCATCATCATCGTCAAGCTATCCTGTATTTTAGCAAGATGACTTCCAAGGTCGGAAGTTTTAGTGATGACGTAACTCTAGGAGTCCAAATTAAGTTGCTTACGTCATGACCACCCCCGCCCACGTGATACCAACTAGTCAGCTTAATTTGATTATTAATCCAGTATATTACATAATAAAAGACGCGAAATTAGCGCGTTAACGCGTCGCAGGACGCGTTCCATTAAGCGAACCTTAAAAAATATGCAAGTTTACGCGCCGTGGCAAGAAAGACAACGCATCACGGAGTAAAGAGAGAGAAAGAGGAGAAGCCGGATGTATCAGATATATTGATTAGTTATGAGCTTCTTGTAAGCTAGAGCCTACATACAGGCACACGGAGTACTCCGTACATGGTGGTGATGGCGATGGAGTGAGATCGAACCATACAGCTGGGCAGCGATTAAAAAAAAAAAGTAGGAGGGGAAAAAAAATTAAGCTAAGTTTAGAAGATGGCGGGACGAACGCTTTAGAACTTCACAGGGTACTCGACAGTGTAGAAGGAAGAAGAGAAAAAAAGACCAAACCCGTTCATCGGGATAAGATGGTTGTTGTACAGAAGTATACGTAGAAAAGAGGACAAAACAACAAGGTAACCTGACAAGACCGCCGAACAACGTATTGGTTCATGATATCTGTATCCATCGCGAGAAGCGAAGGGGGAAGGGGGAGGGGGGAGGGGTAAAGGGGAGCTATATCGGCAACTCTTCACCAAGCTGCAATGCTAGACCGACACCGCTGCTGCCGCTACCGCCAGATCGCTTAGAACTCGAACCCCTGATAGGACTTGGAGGAGCGAGGGTATCGAAATTCAACCTCTTGCGTACCTCTTTCGTCGTGCGAGGCGTACGCGGAGTCCGAGATGGATTGTTTAGTGGAGTACGGGAATTGGCACCGTTAGTCCAAGCTCTCTGGGCCGGGCTGGGAGTAACGTTGACGAAATCGGCAAAATTAAAAGGCTGAGAAGGCGTAGGCGTTGAAAGTAGCTGGAAGGGTATGGCGTGTTGGGTTGGTGGTGTAGAAGGGAGGAAATCCGGCATTCCCATGCTTGCTGTGTGCGGGGCGGGTTTGCCGTTGATGGTAGCTGGCGTAGGCGAGTTGGCGAGGTAAAGTAGTAGATCGGCTCCAGAGCCTGAACCAGCGGCATCTTCGCCTGCCTGGGAGGTGTTGAAGCGGGTGCGCCTGGGTGGTGGTGTGCGTGGTGGGGGCGGTGGTGCTCTGAAAGAGGCGGAGGAGGACGAGGAGCCTCGATGGTCTGATTTAGAGAGCTGGGGGTCGATGTGTGAGCCAGTATCGGCGTCGACGTCTCTTTCGACGTCAGGGTCCGGGATAGTATCTGATTCCGAGATGAAAGACGGCATGGTCTCGTACGTCCTTCGTTGAAGCTGACGCCGGGTAAGGGGTGAGGATTGCGGCGCAGTACCGGACGCACTCCACGATATCCGCGGTATCTTGGGCAGCTGGTGTTCTGCCATCACATCACAGCGGCGTCTCTTGCGTGAGCTGCCAGCAGTTCCACCACCGCTAGAAGTCATGCATTGCATCGTCTTGATATCGAAAGTAGCTGCATGTCGGCTGCGCGAGGACCGAGGAAGTTCCTTGCTCACCCTCGGGGTGCGGACTGGTGACGAGGTAAAGGGAGTCGAGTAGCGAGCATCCGCGGAGTCCGATGAGGAGCAATCTGACCCTGCCTCGCTCGGGTGGACATTATGCTGGTACTGGTGTAGAGATTGGTGGTGGGAGGTGACGGTGCTATCGGAATCAGACGGTAGGGAGTCCTTGTCTCTGTGCAGGCCATGCAGGCCATGTAGACGCTCGTAGCGGACTTTGGCAAGCCCAAGACGGTCCTGTAAGTTGAGAGAGACCTATATCCTGTTAGGAGGAGTCAATAGACACTGACTGGAAGGGGGTCCGTACCTGGGCGATGTCTATCTTATGGATGGCCTTCTTTGCAGAGGCGGTAGGCGAGGTGATTGACATCCTCCACTCCTCCAACGGCTACACTCCAACAACGGACGACTCTGCCTCTGTCTATTCTGACAGCGAGACAGCCCGTTGACGAGTGGTGGGCTGTTCAATGCCGGTGGTGTTCGTCCTGTTGGTGATGCAGGGTTTTACCGAAGCACGAAGCACGATTGGTAGCACTAGACTAGCTAGGCGACGGAGAATGGCGACTGGAGGCTGCGAGATGGCTGAACCGTAACTGCAACGGAGCCACGAAGTCGACTTACAGGTGGATGGGCTGTTCTGGTGCCGTTGGTTGCTGGCTCTTCTGCTGGTGGTGGTGGAGGAGGAGGAGGAGAGGAAGAAGAAGAAGGTTACCAAGCCAGCCACGCCCAAACAAGCTACCAGATGCAGGGACAAGGGGGATGCCTCTTTGTTTGCAGCCAGGGACAACCAGATCTACTCTATATCTAGTACCCTATGCTTCCTCTGTCCATCTCCTCTATCTGTTTATTAGTCTATTTCATCTATTACTGTACAGTGTATACCCTGCTCGTCTTCATCGTGCTGACTGTTTGCCACAGGAATGAACAAAGTGACAGCAAATCCAACAGCCCCCACCCGTGATGCCTGCATAATATACACTGATTGGCCATGGTCTACGCCCTCACGGTCTGGCAGCCAATGCAAGATGCTGGATCTCTCGATCGATGGAGAGTGCTGGAGATTGCTGCCGTGAATGGAGCCAGGGTGAAACAGTGATCGCCCGTAGCCAACTCAGCAGCAGTAGGGCTGAGGTCCCAGGGGCTACCCTTATCTCTTTAACTAGCCTTTAACTGGCTCTTCACCGGCCTTTAACTGAAGCTTTAACTGGGCGTCGGAGCTTTAACTAAGGCTTTAACTAGCCAACGCCTACTGGAGCTGCCGATGCAGGTTTCCAGGATCCTGCCAGCTCCCGCCTCTCTTCTTACTTGCTGCTTCTTGCTTATTCTTCCTACCCGTCCCTGCTCGCCACCGCCAGCAAGCAAGCATGTCCCAGGAACAGATGCTGGACCTGCAATTGCTCTCCCCCTGTGCTGGTTGCTGCTGTCGCTGTCACTGGCACTGACACTACAACTACTTCCCCAATGACGCTGTGAACTGTAGGGACCAAGAGCGTGTCTACTGCGTCCTGTGTTGCACGGCAGGCCATCACACAAAGATTTGACCTTCTTTGCTTTTGTCCATACTGCTTGCTTGATTTTCACCTGCTTACCACGTCCTTGTCTTGTCCTGTCCGGCTTGCCTGTCTTGTCTGGCTGAGCTGGAAGTTCTGTTGGCAGTGCTGGTCCCTCGCTCGTTAAAACACCGAGACCACCCCAGAGATGGCTTCCGGTGACAAGAGCAAACTCTCCAGCGGCATGACCTTTTTCAAGGAGCTCCGTCGTCGTTCGAAGGCCGGGTTTCATTCGAAGCCGGCCGCAGTCGATCCGCCGTGTCTTTCTCTGCCGACGAGCAGCGCCGGCGAGTCCGATATCAATGGCTGCGGAGGACTCGAGAATGGGAACGGCCATCTGAACGGACACACGAACTGCAATGGGAATGGGAATGGGAGTGCGAACGGGAACGGTATTGCAAAGTCGTCGACCACCGATTCCTCGGTTCATAGCACAAACAACACTCCTCCTCCTTCGATCAAGCGGGATCTCTCCTCGAATCATCTTCCTTACCTGTCAAAGTCGGAGGGATGGCTGCCTCCGCCGACTCAACGCAATTTGCCCATAGCCACTCAGTCGTGCCGGAATAGCATAGTGGTACGTACATCTATCTAGGGCGTCTCGTATAGCTTCGTTAACCCTGGCTTGTTGGTAAATTAGGGCGTCAATTCAATTGCATCGAACGCGGCGAAGAATTTCACTCCCACCTCACCTTACGCTCCCAGAGTACACTCCGTCTCGGATAATTCATGGGTATGCTTCTAAACCTGTTAAAAGCCGGGAAAAACTCAAGCTAACCAGCTCTAGGTTAACCAAAAACTTCTTTTGCTCTACGGGCACATTGGCGATCGTGAACCTCAAAAATCACCCATTGACGGCACCATCACCATTCATCACCTCCAGGACTCGTTCCCTTCCATACCCTGGCCGGTCCGCGCCTCTTGTTTTAAAGCTTTGGTTCACCTTGTTCCTGGACCAAATCGCATCCGCCTAGAGTTCAACTCACCCAAGGCTCCTGGCGCCACCTCGCATACCTCCTGGATAAACATCAATTACCTTCCGCTGGTAAACTCGCCGCCTCTCCAGCTCGCTATCCTCCTCGGCAGTGATTCGGACGCACAGTATGATTCTGTTCCTAACAAGGGGACCAACGACCTGGACAATGCTGTCCGCAAATTCCGAATGGCCGCCTACCTGTGGCAAGCCTTCACGAGCGAGCAGATGTTCAGGAATAGTTTCGGCAGGAGATGCTTCCATCTCGAAGAGGAGTGGCAGACTGGCAGTCTGAGCGGTCGGGATGCAGAGAATGGGATCATGCGGAGCGAAGCGAAGATCCATATCATCAGGTGTGATAAGACGGTGGAAGAATTGAGAGCTCTCAGCACCGCGACTACCGAGGGTGGCTTGTTCAAGGTCACCATGGACGCTGTGCGCAAACATTTTGACCTGCGTCCCGGCGAACAACGTTATGTCTCTGTTCTCCTGCTCGATACCCACTGGGACAACGACACCAAATCTCTCGAGGCTCATGCGGCTCTGGGTTCCTCGCAATCCGCGGATCTCAAACTGGCTCTCTTTGGCTCTCACGGCCTGCATAGCTATCCATCTTGCATTCAAGATATCGTTTCAGCCTTCTCAGACTGCACTCGTACAGACACCACCTACGTTGCCAATCCTAACAATGAGTGTGGAAGCGCCTGGGAAACGGCCAGCTCGTCACTCGGGCGCCACTTGCACGAAATCGGCCACCTCTTTGGATGTCATGACGCAGAATCGGGTATCATGGGGCCAGACTACCTTCGCTTCAACCGTACCTTTATGACCTGGGAGCCTTACTCTACTCGCACGAAGGAACAGGGTGCTCGTCTCTTACTACAGCAGGACGAGTGTGCCTGGCATCGCCTTGACGTCCTCCGATTCCGCTTCCATCCATGCTTCAGACTCCCAAGCGACCCACCACCGCCTCCAACTGGTACAATCCAAGTCTGGCCTGTCGACAGCGGCAAAACACTCATCAGCTCCAGCGCTGGCATTGCCTTTGTCGAACTCTATACCACGCCTGACAACGACACTCCAACGTCGTACATCGAATATGCCGACGCCGAAGCTGGAAGCGGCAACCTCCCCAAACAAATCAGTTTCACTGATGCAGAGATCCGCGGACACCTACCCGACCACGCGCGAAAGGCCAAACATATCCGTTTGCGTATATACTCAGGCTGTCTTACTTCTTTTACTGTTGCCGATATGGCTACACTTAAGGGCAAGAACAAGGAGTGGACTGTCAAAGTACCTACGGGTACGGGACATGGGCAGTTAAGCTATCGAGGATATATGGAGAGCGCACAGGGCGAGCGAGACGAGGTAGTATATGAAGCGAACAAGCTACTCACCACGGTCAAGGTCTTTGCTGGTGATAAGCTGGGGTCCGATGCAGGTGTGCCGAGCAAGGAGACGATTGCAGGCATCGAGTTCCGTTACGAGGATGGTAGTAGCCAGTTGTTCGGAAGCAAGGGTCAGGGGTTGATCGATAACGAATACGTGCTTGGTGAGTTTCCTTTTACGCTTCCCAACTACCCCTACCTTTCTTTTACTGCTCGTTATAGAATATTGTGGCGACTAACTGTGCTCAGACTCACGACGCGGTGAAATCATCATGGGTTTCAACATCCGTGCCGACAAGGATAGGGTATACGGTGTTGGCATTCTTACAAGTTTCGGTAGACGGTCTGGCGTTTATGGGTGCTCAAAGGCGGGTCAAGGGTATGCATTTTTCCCCCCTACGCCCATTTGCACAACTCCTTCGTCTGTATTCATCAAGTTGATATATATACGCTCCCGTTGCTAACCTACGTATAGAGGCACATTACTTCCTCCGCGGGGATACAGGATCACAGGCGTTACTGGGGCAGTAGGAACTGACAGCGACCCTGGCATTAGGGGATTTTCTCTCATCATCGCTCGATAGACGACACACAGCACGCTAATTACGTTTTTCCTGCACCATGTCGTGTTGCGTCGACCATAGGCATCAACCAGATCTGCTTTCTGTTGGTTTTCTTCGCTCTCTAGCCTAGCCACCGTCGTCATCTAGCTGGCGATTCGCATCCAGAAGCACCTATCCCGTGGAGGCTCGTGCGCCAGGCGGCTGACCGGTAACGGTTGATTTTCTCTTTCAAACGTCCAGGCTTTCACTTTTCTTTCTTTTATCGAGAGGGGTAAATATTGCGATATGCTTCGATCTTCGATGGTTCGTGGGTTGGTGCGCACATAAAGTTCTCCTGGCTTACTTTGCTCTGTCTGCTTGGTGTCTCTAATCCCTGGCTTCGATTCACTCGGTATCTCGCAACCCCCGGTTATGGCTGGCTCTGGCTTTCGTCGTCCCTCGTCTCAGTCTTCGTTCTTCGCATTCGTCGACGGGCTCTCTTCCCCCCCTTTACCTTAATTACTAATGGCTACCAAAGCAGAGAGCAAACAAACAGGGAATAACATGGTGAATAAAATGGGATCTGGAATCAAGGGAGAGAGTAAAGGGGAGGTTAATAATCAGTTTTCACTTCAACGGGTCTTAATCTGGGAGCATGTGGTTTGTCTTTCTTGTTGTTTATTGTTGTTTATTGTTGTTTATTGCCGCTGCTTGTTGCTTGCCTAGTGGCATGGTAAAATATTATGACCAAATGACCACCTTCTACCACTCTTTGCATCCTTCGCATCCTTCGTTTTACCTTTCTCTCAGTCCTTGCTTTGTCTCTGCCGGTTCGGCTGCTGTTCCTGACCCCGTCCCTGAACCGGTGTTGCATCGTCGCGGCGTTGCAATCCGATGGCATACCCTCCTCTCGAAACTGGTAGACCGCGAAACTGGCAACCGAAGGGGGTTGATAGTTGATCATCAGGCGCCATCACTCTCCCTAAAACCACCCATCAGGACACACCATCATCCTTCTATCCTCATGGCTCGCGAAGAGCTAGCTTTAACTCTACCGATCTATGCGAAGGTCCAGCTAGCCCTGTTCCGACCACCGTCCCTTCGACCCTCTCTCCCCTCTTTTCTTTTTCCTTGGATACAACCAGCTACTAGCTACGATCAATCGTTCGCTTGTTTGTCTCATTATCGATCGCACTAGTTAGTGAATGGGGGTTGATGGAATCGCCGTCTTATGCCCGGTTCTGGTCGACGAGAGATAAACAAGACGAGATCGGCCTGGCTTTTCGGTTTGGGTTCGGGACATTTGTCTTGTCCTTGCGAGGGTGTACGGTGTAAGCGGCGCTACAGGATAGAGTACTCCATACTTTTGCGCAGGCTGCATGCTATGTACATGCTGTGCTATGTGGTGCGGACTCGGTTCTATCGCCATTTGCCTGCGCCACAGGCCACTCACTAGAATGCTAGGGGCGATCCGCCTCCCCTTGGCCTGCATGCTTCGCAGATAGAGTGTGGAGAGAGAGATCGGGGGTCGAGGGTGAAGCATGCACGAGCAGGCATCTCGGATGCTGTGTCCACTGTTTCATATGCAATATACGGAGTCTGCAATATGCAAATAGCTGGAGCTACGTGTGCATATGCTGATGGCATACGGCAATGCCGAGATTGGCTTGCCCACCGTCCGTGGGGTTTAGTTTTGACGGGCTCGTTTTTATATGATTCCTAATTATATCAAAAACACACGCCATCTGGCTCAGGGATATACCATACCCTGTACAGACGATAGAGAACGTACATCTGCTCGTTCTCGCTAACCGCCTATATTGGGTTTCCGTCTTTGCTTTTTTGCCCTCAATATTCTTTTGCTAGGACAAGCTCGCGCCCTGTCTAACGTCAAAACAGCCTTCCGGGAAGGAAGTACGGGGCTAAGATCAAGGTGTCTGCTTTTTTTGCTACCGAACTCTTCGTCTGTTGGGGAGATCCATATCCCATAATTTAGGTACCGGCGACGACGACGGGGATGGCAGCGACGGGACCGGTTCTCTGGAGCAATTCTCCGCTGCATGCCCATTTCTGATCTCCCATATCCTGCTGCCCCCAAATCCCGAGAGGGTGGACCATGTCCGCTTACCCGTTCGCCTTGAAATTCTCCTAGCAACCGGGTAGAACGACGAGATATATCCACATAAAGTCCGAAGTTGGTCCATGAAATACGACCGGATATGGAATGGCTATGATCGATGCCAACAAATCTCTTGAGATCTTTTTATAGTTCGGTGGTCATATTCCACATCGAAAATGTATATGCGAGATATTTCGCTGGTGTGGACCCAAGTGTGACATGTACCCGGCCAATACTCTTTTCTATAGGCAGAGAAGAGATCTCATTCGTTTCTTGGTTGTGGCGAGGTTCATCAGGGCTGATTTTAAGTGGTTGCGAAGTGGTTGAGATCATCTACTGGGTATGGACATCCCAAACCTTTTTAAGGCCTCAGGGCGAAGAAAAAAAAGTAAAGGGAAGGAAGAAAAAGGAAAGAAAAAAGCTCCTGCTTGTGAAGAATGCTCTATTAAGTATGGAGTAATGGCTACAGAGATGACTAGCCACACATTCCCCCACAGAATGGGGGATCAAGTTTGCAACATGGAAGCGGATATGCACACGGGCTATGTAAGCTTGTCCCATCATGGCAAAAGGAACTAGCTACTGAAGCTTTAGTGGGGTTTGTGTGGGAGGTAGCAAGGGAGAGAGGGAGAGCAGCTCGATCTAATCTGTGGTACGGTGTGGTACATCTTCATCTTTGCTTTTTACATCCTGCGCTGGTGTCTTGCCGTTTTGGGCAAAAGGTCCCCCCCTAGCCAAGCTGGTGATGTTGCTTCATCCATCCATTCAATCTGTTGACTAAGGGACGATGCTCACTAGATATCTCACTAGTAAATCGGCCATCGGTCATATGGCCTGCTAACGCTGGGCCTGGCGACGCTTTGAACCCTTCTTTCCCTTTGTTTGTCTGTTTCATGGGAAGGATGAACCATCAACATAGCTCCCCTGAGTTATAAGGGAGGGTGTTGCAAACGCCCATCCCAATCCCTCGGTCGAATTTGGCGAGCGTGCATGTGCTTTTCGCTACAATCGCTTCACAAGTCTAGAACCGAGAAGTTAATAATAGATTATTAAAGCCACAAGGATAGCACAACGATGCGGCGGGAGAATTGCGTTTCTGTATGTACGCAGTACGTCGAATGATGAACCGTGGGCCGTAGATCTGTGGAGAAAAGCCGCCATCAGCGGACTCTTCAAGCGATCATTTAGCCTGAAGTGAGGCAGACGAGATCTGAGCTGCGAGATAGACTGAGCCACAGGCAGCTAGCAAGTGATCTAAACCATCTCCTTCTGCGTACAGACTCAGCGCTGTGTCAGCAGCCATCCCACTGATCCGATCGCCTTTGCTACCGGATTCCGTACATCCGAGATATGGTGTAGCAGGAAGAGTCAGGTAGCAGATCGTGGCCCACTAAACACGACTAAACAGCCGTGGCCAGGGACACAGCAGGAGAAGTGGCTCAGTTAGCAATGCGGCAAGGGCTGCTGCAGCTTGGATATTGGGTCGAAACTCGGGCCTAACTAAACCCTGAGTCGAACTGCCACTTTGATACGGATACATTGTATATCCACAGCAACTGACGACTATGGTTTCTAGCCCTAACATAAGCCCTCTGCCAGACTCTGGTAGCGAGAAAACTGTCGCCTGTTCCTAATATCGTAGTCAGCGGGCGTATTAAATGCGACGTTGCTAAGCTTCCCGCCAGAATTTCACCGGCAGAGCACGGATAATGCCCGCCCATGGTAGAAGTTTAGGAGAGCTAAAACGCAGACTCAGAATGGAGATACCTATTCGGGAACCGATGGCAGACTTGTCCATGGCTTCACTCTTTCGACCGGCTCTTTGACTGGCTGCTTCAAAGGTCGTTTCGCCGCCTCTCGGGGATCCCCGTCGTCGGATTTTTTTCGCATTCTGCTCATGAATTGAGTTATCGACCGTCTGGGAAGACCTGTCTTGCTATCAGCTTTAAACCTCCGCCCATTTAAGAGTGTGGAAAGTGTAAAAAAAAGGAAAGACGAAAAGGGTAAAAAAGAACACCCCCAAGACAAGAAAAGAAAAAAGGAAAGAAAAAAAGAGGCTGGTGGTGGATGAAGTTTTAAATCAGCCTCGATGAGCTTCTCGTTGTCAAATTGGCATCAAGACTGGCTTTGCTCTAGCTTGCTCTGGCTTTGCTCTGGCTTGCTCTGGCTTTGCTCTGGCTTCGCTTTGGTTACGCCCTGCAATGCATGTTTATTCCAATATGGTAGCTGCATTCACCGGATCTACAGGCTGATACTTACGACACCGCTTGATATTCGCCCACGTCGTAAGTACTTAATTCCATTAATTAATCGGCTTGTGGACCGATGCTATCTTTGTATTTTGTGGAGTGATTTATATCGTTCTAGCCCTGGTAATATAGTTGACTTTTCACCACCTATAGTATGTCAGTTAATTCCATGCACATGTCAGAGCCAGGGCCGCCGTGCCTTTTTCTTTTTCTTTCCCTTTCTCTTTTCTCTTGCTCCCTTGCATGGGAGACGGGCTAGATGGACGAGCGGGATGCCGGACCAATATATCGTAAAAAGGGTCTCGACTTGAGCTGCCGGCGCTTTGATAGACGACAGGCCCTGTCTCGACCGCGAGCAGACGGCCTAGGACACGAGGGATATGTACGCTGCGCGCAAGAACGGGAGGCCCAGCTCGCGACCAATGCGACTCGCCGTGCCAGAGAAATCGAGATGGGTTGACAAGGGAGCCGGGGCTTCCACGATCGAGGTACCTGGGTTCTCTGCCTCCCTGGCGCGGGCTGGGAGGGAATTGACAGATGTGCTCCGTACCCCCATACCCATAATGCAAAGCCCATAGCTCGGTCGTAGCAAGCTATCGGTATCACATCCTCTACTCTTGCCGCAACATGCTGTGTAAGTATAGATGTAAGGGTTCAGTTCGGATCACAACTTTTCCATCAGACATATTCCCTCTCTCTCTCTTTTTCTTTCCTTTTCCCACCTCCCGCTCTGCTTTCTTTTTCAGAACTGATTTTCAGGGTCCAAGAGCGATTTAGAATATGCTTAGCAGCCATGCGAATATTCCCAAAGAAGCAGTTGGCTTTGGTTCGTGTGTGGATTTTGACTACGGAGATCGTGGGCCTCCGTAACTCCCCTCCCGCAAGACATGCAAAGCCCAAGCCCGCAAAGAGATCACCGATCGACGATGGAGTTAGCGTGTTCTCCATGGGCGGCCTTCTGGCTGGCTAAGACTCTTCTTTTCTTTTGCATCCCGTGCTACACTGCATGCTTACCCTGCCTTACTCCGTACATATTATTAGCTATTTAGCAATCGAGCGCGATTTCGTATCCTTATCTGTGGGTAAGTGGTAGCTGCGTTCGTTCGCACGGCGATTAATTTTATGGGCCTCCCGGGCTTTGAACAATTGATACCATTTGGTAGCCATCTTAGCGATGAATAGACGAGAGATGACAAGAGATGGATGACGATGCTGGGGACGGCAATCCCGATCGGCCTGCTTCCAATATTAGCATCGAGCAGTAGTGCATGTATAGTGGTAGAGATATAGATGGAGCAGATGGAGAATGGGGATAGAAGTCCGGAGCATGGGGAGTTATCTCGAACGTTCGTGAGCGAGAACGAAGCAAGCCAGCCCGCGGCACACGAAACACCGTCGTTGGCCTTTTGCAATATGACGAAATAGATCGAACGCCCTATTTGTTGACTCTCGGAAGATGTGAAACCCATCCTCTCAGCGTCCCCAGCAATCCATCTCTAACGAGCCCTCGTAACATCCACGTCCCCCTTGGTGGAGCCGGCGTTTCTCTCCCGCGCGCTCGATGCGACGTGACGTCATGCTCCTTCTCGCCGTGCAATAATATAGAGGCAGACATGCGATGTTAGGTCGAGACAAGGGCAAGGGTGGGAAGGTTAGGCTTTAGGGCTTGTTAGGTTTGCGTGTAGGTATGGATATTTATGCACGATCGGGAGAGATATAGACGAAGGGAAGGCCGGCGTCATTATCGGTGATGAATCCGGTGAATGAATGTACGAGTTCTAATGGTAGCCAGAGTATCTATGGTATCTATATTGGTAGTTATCGTATCTATGGTATCTATGGTATCTAGATTAGTATCTGTGGCATCTATGTTCTAGGCGTCTATTCTAGGCATACGTAGTGGACTGCGATCAATATGCGGGTAAGAAGGCCGGTGGACGATCAGATCGAATTCGCTAAGATGCATGCATATAGGTATCTACATATCGGCCGCTGTTTGAGCGTACGGAGTCGTGGTTCATCCCACGGTCCATCCATGCCTCCTGTGCACATCATGACGTCGGAGAACCTTCTCTCGATCACCTATCACCGGCGTATCGTCTATCTATAGTTCCTCAAAGGCCGAGCAGTAACTCATATCAGATCGTTGTACCGAGTCTATCTGATGGAGTCTAGTATATCAAGCGTGTACACGTGTATTTACCCCAATCTGCGAGCCTAGAGTGGCTGCATGGTCGATGTACTCTGGCCGCACAGAAATACGGACGATGGAGACTTCTTCACCCTCAGCCCGCTATCGACAAGGTCATGAACAAGGATGCTGCGGAGACACATGCTGGCCCCCTTTAGAAGTATAACTATATACCTGATGAGAAAAAATCCACCCCGTTAACTCTATCACGGCACATTAGGCTAACCAACTTACATCATCGTGCCGTCATTCTTCCGATGTTCATTTGCTGCTTGCTCGGGATAGTATCTCTGCCTAGGTTTTTTTTTTTTTTTTTTTTGTTCTTTCTTCCTTTTGCATATCTTCAATAAGTAGTTGACTATGGCGCTCTGTTGGATTTCTGGCCGGAGAAATTTCAAAACGATCTGAGATTCGGTTTGGCGCACGGTTAGCAGTGGAGAGAGGTCGAGCAGTAAAGAGTAAACAGTAGTAGCAAGCAATCAGGCAGTGCGTCAGCCACGGTGGTTAACGATCGATCGACGAAAAGGTGTGTTTGGGGAAAGGGGGAGAGCGATGGGTGTGGCAAAAGTCAGACAGCAGATTAACCGTTGGGGCTCTATTATCATCCATTATAGCATTAGTCCATCCAGGATGTAAAGGGTACCTTCGCAAGGAGAGTATCGTAGGGGACAAAACGGTCGTCCTATGACCAGGGATGCCCTTGTCCTTGTCCTGTCCTTGTCGTGCCCTTGCCTGCCCTTGCCTGCCACCAGGGATGTCTAACCCTTGCCGAGGCAGGAGCTAGAACTGCAGGGAGAATGGAAGGAAAAAAAGCGACCAGATGGCGTCAGGACCCCCACTGGCGAAAGTCCACAGTCCACCGCAGTCCACCGCGATGTCCACATCGACGCTATGGGCTCCTTGATCCAGCGTCATCATGCCCGCAATGGTTCGCCCGGGCTTCGACCCTGTGGCGCTCTCCGCACCTCCCTCCAGCCGTGAGGTAAAAAAGTAGACCAAGTAGGGTTGAGTAGGCCGAGTATGTGGCGTGTGGCAGTGCGAGGGAGGCCATTGGATTGTGTTTTTTGGGCGGTTCCTCTGGAGGGTACCATCTCCTCCGCGCACAAGAAGCGTAAATATGTATGTACAGAGTACAAGGAGAGGAAAAAGGAAAGGTGGCGAACCAGAGAGAGGGAAGAGGAGCCCATAGCGAGAGCAAAGGACGGGCGAGCGCATGATCGAGCCATCGAGCCATCGAGCCATTGATCCAAGAGACCGATCGTACTTCTTCTCGAGATGAAGAGAGAACCATTCGAGAACAATATATGTGCGAGGTTGTGCGACCCCGTCTTCCAGGGAGTTGTCTGTTGTTGTAAACTAGTAACTCTGTATCTCGGCCTTCGAGTGGGAAAGTATCGAGCGAGCTTGCAGGAATCGACATGCAGCTGGTACCCTGCTCCTCCGTCGATGTGATGTTGTCGTCGTCTTGTCGTTGAATACCAATATCAATATCACCCCTATCAAATCAACCCTATCAAATCGACTCAGGGGCCACCACCACCACCAACATCGCATCCTCACCACCACCACCACATCCTCAACATCAAATCTCATGAGTACAAGATACATCGAGCGGCGAAGAGCCAAGCTTCGATGCCCCGTCTGGCTCGGCCAATCATCCCCGAAGCAACCTGCCCTCCCTCCTGCCCCCGGTCTGGAATGATGGAGTTGATGGAGGGTGCAGCAAGCGGTCCCAGGGATCAGCGTCACTCTCTCACAAGAAGGAAAAAGGAACGTTCGGCTGGTGGATGCATCCTCGAAGCATAATGGTCGACCCCAGCAATCTGCTCTCCTGCTCTATATCGAACGAACGCAGGACGGAGCTCCGTCAATGACATAGCTGTGGCCCCACCAGTTGCTTTTTCCCGTCTATCGTCATCTCTTCTTTGCTTCTCTCTCTCTTGGGGGGAGCTCTCGACTTGATATTTATCAGACGGTTGCCGCCCCTGGGGAGCTTCCCTCTCGTAAACCCACCGACCAACAGCTTAGCTATATTAAACCGTGTCTCTCTCTGCCTTATCCTACCATCGGTACTGAACCCGGCTCTCTCGGCTGGCTCTGAACCCTGGCATATCCCAGACCCGTCGGCCACCGTCTTGCATTCAATCTCTCCTCCCTCTTGCAACCTCTTTTCAATTGCAATTGCTCTCGGGTTCTAGAGCTGGACTGCCTGCCGTCGTATCCTCTTTTCTCCTCTGCCCCCCCCCCCCCCCCCCCCCCCCCCTGGCCCTTACTTGCCGGGTGCTAAGGTTGGCCCAAAACGGCATCTACTTATCTGGCGGCCACTTTCTCCCTCCTGACTCTGGCCATCTTGAACGTAATATACATCTTTCTCTCTCTCTCTCTCTCTCTCTCTCTCTCTCTCCTCTCTCTCTCTCTCCTCTCTCTCTCTCCTCTCTCTTCTTCTTCTTCTTCTTCTTCTCTTCTTCTCTTCTTGTTGCTCTTGTTGCACTTGTTGCCGCTTCTATACCCGTACCGGCTCGCACCTTGATTGCCCCTCGAGAGGTGTCAGAGCCTGGCTGGCCAGCTCTTGCTGTCGAGGAATAAGGGGAAACGTTTCTTTGCTCAGTCTCTCATCGACCGTCATGTTCCGCAATCGGTACGTACTTGGTGAGAGAAGGAGTCGGGGTTAAGCGTCGAATACAATCATCATTTCTGTTCTTCACAGATAGCTCCTCAATTGGTTCAATACTGACTAGATCCTGCAGGAAAAGCTCCCAGAAGCCGAACGAGGCCTTCCTCGCCCAGTTCAAGCAGGATTTTCTCAAGACCAACACTTTTACCCGTCCGGCCATCCCTTCTCCCCAGCTTCCTGCTCAGCTATCCGGGGTGAAAAGCGCCAGCATGGGCCAGTCACTAGTTCACAGGTTGGTCATCGATTCACCCGCATGAAGGGGGCGTTGAGAGTCCAAGCAGTTCCTCTTTTTTTTTTCCTTCGATTTCACAAGGATTGATCATGGGTGGGGAGACTTGTTCTTTGCCTTGTTGAAGACCACCCTGCGTGCGTCGGAGAAAGCAGTTTGTAGCAAGGAAAAGAAGACTGACTGTCGTCCTTTTTCATAGAAACACACTGGACGCGCATGATCCGTCGAGAAACCACGATCTTCCCTGGGCGTCACTGTCCAACCAGGTCGGAATGGAGACCGGTCAGAGCATGTTCGGTCTCAGCGGCCAGAATCCCTTCTACGGTGCGGTTCCCGGTGCAATTGGAATGCATCAGGATATGAACAGCCCGCTCGACGACATGCTTAGCCCTCTGCTTCCCGCTGCAACGACCTCCGTTGACCCGTCGGTCATCTCAAACCAACCTATCAACATGACCAGTATGCAGCAGGCATACAGTCCACACATGGCAGCCGGGCAGTCCATGGCACAGCAGATGGGCGGTCAGCCCATGGGAGGAGATCACATCGATGCATACGGACAGCCACACACCTTTGCTCCCGCTGCCATGCTTCACAGAAACTCCGACCTGGGACCCCTAAGCCATGAAAACTCATTTGCACAGCTTCAGCTCCGTCGTGGATCGGCCGGGATGCTGACCGACCAGAAGCAACAACACCTCAAGGATCAGGAATTATACAATGAAGAGTATGTCATTACTTCATCACTTGATAATATACATTGACTAACATGGGAACTCCAGGTTTCGATTCCGTGCCGTACTTCGCGCGTCTACGGCGATGGTCAGAGACCCAGATGAAATCCCCATCACATATCTTAACAAGGGCCAGGCATATACTCTTACCATCTCGGACTCGGCCGCGATGAGTTCTCCCCGCCGCCCAACGAAATATCGCACCTACGTACGAGTGTCCTTTGAAGAGGAGGAGCAACGGTCAAAGCCTGCTGCCTGCTGGCAACTATGGCAAGAAGGCCGTGGGGCGAACGAGGCCCATCATCGCGACGGCAAACTCCTCGCAGTCGAACATGTCGACCCTAACCAGGGTGGCGATGGCGAGCTTCGCCATCAGCAGGTTCAGCTAGAACGTGAGAACTTTGACGGGTTCTCCGTGCTTTGGACCCCCAACAGGGCCAATGGCCGACACGAGTGCGCCATATCTGTGCGGTTCAACTTCTTGTCGACCGACTTCAGTCACTCCAAGGGCGTGAAGGGTATTCCTGTGAGACTCTGTGCCAAAACCCAGGTTGTCTCAGGCATTCCAGAGATCCCCATGCCGGAGTACGCGGAGGTGGCTTACTGCAAGGTCAAGCTCTTCCGTGATCACGGAGCGGAGCGAAAGCTCTCTAACGACGCCACGCATGTTAAGAAGCAGATGGAAAAGACTAAAAGCCAGCTCCTGCAGGCCGAAACAGGTTCCTCCAGTGGCGAGAAGAGGAAACGAAGCGGCTCGATCTCGTCGAGAGGAGGAAGCGGAAACAAGGTCAACAAGACCCCCAAATCAAAGAGGTCCTGGTCTCAGGGACAAGGCGACAAGCCACCGTTCGAAGATGACCTGCACGCAAAACTCCAGAGCTTTGTGGACATGTTCCATTCCATCCGACATGCCAGCGTCCTTAATATCAAGGGCGATCTTCAAGATGACCCGGACGCCTTCCCAGTGAAATTGGACATGTCGCTAGACAACAACATCACCGGATTGGACTGGGATCCATCCCAGGCGGCTGCCACTGACGGAGGTGTTTCCCACAGTTTCTCGCCAGCAAGCAGCCACCGCTCCCTCACCTCCTCGGGCCACTCGTATGATGTAAAGTCAGGCATGGTCCCCAACAGTGCGATGTTTGAAGACTCCCGCCATGGATCCGTTGATTGGTCTGGTCTGGTTTCCCACGACCCTGAGATTCAACAACACCTTAAGCACAACCAGACTTTGACCCATCCCGTCAAGATCCAGAGACAAGGCGCCAGCGATGCTGGTGATGGTTGGTTCGAGGCCATGGGCGTTGACCCAAACTACAACCCTCCATCAGACATAGTAGCTGTTCCAAGTAAGCTACCCATCCTCCTCCATTACCCCATCCATAAAGTTTTATACTAACATATTCTTGCTTCAGAGCACTGTTTCTACGTCAAGGCCCAGCAGAATGATGATAAGAAAACGGCAAACTACCACCACGCGATATACATTCAGCACCGCAACGCACAGGAGTTCACCGACGCTCTCGCTCGAAAATGGAAACTCAACCCAGCCAATGTCATTCAGACAATCCTGGTCCGTGACGGCGGAGTGAAGGTCATTGTCGATGATGATTTCGTCCAAGAGCTACCCGAGGGTAAAGACATGGTCGTCGAATTCCTCGAATCACGCGAAGAACCAGAGGACCCAAACATGGATGTCGACTCTCCCGTTTCTCCAGGAGCCGGAGGCGCCATCGAGATTCGATTGAAATTTTAATACACTACTTCCCGTCATTATCGGGTCGTAACAAAAAGCAAAGGACAAGGGAAAAACCACCAAAAAAAGAAAGAAAAAACACACACAAAGCTATCTACTGGGGGGCTTCTTTATTATTATCTTTCTTCAACTATGGAGGTGGCCATTTGTTGTCACCCTTCAGCTTATCTTCTGTTCTGCCAACCCTTCTTCCTTACCGGCACCCTCGTCGCTTGACCAGATATCACATAACGCTTTAATGCTTGTCCTTCAACTCGACGGTCTCGAGTTAACAAAAAATAATAACGAAAGAAAGCCAAGGGCTCATGGCGCAAACATCATAGACGGCTTTTTAACAAATCCGCGTTTCCAGGCGACTGATGTACTTGTGATTGAGAAAAAAAGGGCTGCTATTTGATTTGATTCTTTACTTATTTTTCCCTCCCTGTTCTAATTCCTGCTTATTGCTTCCTCTTGGCCGCTTTCCATGGTAGCTCCTACCGATTTCTTGCTTCCTCGATTACCCCCTTTTGCACGGCCGGGTCAGGCCTTAAAAAAAGATCTCATCGGCTTAGCGAAAGAGTATGGCTCCAGGGAGGGAGAGGCCTTTTGCTACCTCTCCCGTTAATCACGACTACGACGAATCTCTTTTGTATACGGTGGACACGGGTGGATAGGTTTTCTTTCTTCTTTTATCTGGTTTGCTTTTCTTTTTTTTTTTTTTTTTTGGTTGTACTTGCTTGGGCTTCTTTTCAATTGTTTCTGATCCTTTCTCTATTTCTGCCTTGACTTTGACGGCCGTGTTTCGATGGTTATTTCTCTTCCTTTCTTTTTTTCTCTTTTCTTTTTGGATACGCGCTTAATTCTACTGGTAATTCTTCCTTTCGATGTTTATATTTTAAGTTTTTGTGCTTTTTTTTATTTCTTTACCAAAAACCCTATTTATTGTAGTCTTAGTCAGTACTTAGGGATACAGCCTCTTCTGAAGTAGTGAGAGATTAATGAAGTTGTAATCTTTTACACCATCATTTCCCTTGTAAGAATCAGCAGCCACGCAATAGAAAGAAATCACACATTCTACTAACTTCCGCTAATATCCGCCAAGCCTGCACGTTTCTGCTGTTTGTGGCAAATTATATGCACACATAAGAATTTTCATTTTTTTCTGTTGAGACCAGTAGAAAGAGTACTTTCTTTTTCCCACCGTGCCTTCTACCCGTAAAAGGGAAACGGTAAGTAGCCCAAGTAGCAAAAGCAAATTGTAAAGAAGATTTCCATGGATTTTCGCCATGATATCATCCGATCCAGGGATCAAGCATGTAAGCTGTATGTCTGGTCTGGGAAAACGTCATCCCATGAACCTTCCCCTCCCTCTACGTTTTGCATTTCAGCCTATCCGAAGTTTCCGCTCCAGCAGAAGGTTCGTCATGCATAGGAGTTCCTGCTCCTCGGAGATGCCGCAACTTGTCACTGGGATATCCCGTTTGTGAGCCTTGAATGTAGAGTTGACGCCTGCATATCTATATAAAACTTAGTGGGAGGCTATGATGACACTCAAGGCATACACAGGGATATAGATGCCAGCACATAGGGAGACTATCAGAGACTTGTGGAAGCCTTCTCGAAGACCAGACTTTCATGCACAATGACGTTGATGTGCAGTGTTAGCGCCCTTTTCTTCACGTGGGTGTGGATTTGTCTGTGGGGGTTAGCGTAGAACGTTAATTTTAACCTCCCGTTGCTTGGCTACTTTATATCAAATTGAAGATAGGAGCATAGGAGAGATGAACCGTTTGTTTTGTAGTTTATATGTTTATGTGGTTGTTCACTGCATGTCTACCCTGGTTGGGGGTGGAAGGATGTGATGGGGATGCTTGGATGAAGCAATTGGACCTGTGAAGGGAAGGCTAAGATACATTCCAAAGGACTGCATTGTAGGAAATGAAACAGTACATAAAGGGCCTCCTGGGGCTCCTAAGACTTCTTCTTGATAGCAGCTTTGTAGCTTGTAGTAGATATCCCACGGTATGTTGACCTCCAGACTGCTTGATGCAGCTGGCAACGGCCTCGAGACGCGGCTGGAAGACAGACCAGGCTGGCATCTGGGACCTCGAAGCGAGCTGGCTGGTGAACACTGCTCGTAGCCGAACCCTCGCACACATCCAGATGCTCAACCGACATCAGAAATCTCTTCATTAGGGCGGGAAACTCTGCTAGTAAGACGCAGGACGCTCGCAGCAGACCAGCCCTCCTTGCCCGTTCGGGTATAGCCCCTCGCTCGCTTGTCCTGTTGCTGGGTAACCCTCTACCGCACTATAAAAACCCCCTCCCCCTCCTGTTTTCTTCTTCTTCTCTTCCTCTCTCTCTCTCTCCTCTTCTTCCTCACCAGCACACTCATCACGATCGTTCTCTTCAGCTCGTTCTCATCTCTCGTTCTCAAGTCATCAAGCCATCAAGCCTTCGTGCTATCCCTTCGTTATCCATCTACCTGTCACGTCTTCGTTGACTCGTCCTCCGCAATCAAAATGATTGTTTCCACCAAGCTCATCATGGCCGTTCTGGCTTACGATGCCGCTCTCGCAGTTGCTGGTAAGTGGTATCATCTTTCATATATCCCCTGCAAGATCCTCACTGCCATGCTTGACACGTTTTTTCCACGGCTTCAGCTTGTGCTGGATACCACCGAAGACGTGTCATTGCATATTCGACTCGCCAGATAACTGACTGTCTCCTATCAACAGCGGCTCCAAACGCCTTCAATGCAGGTGTTGGTAAGTACAAGCATCGATGATATCCCATCTTGCATCACATCCCATTTCCTGTCTTGTTGATGAAGCAACTCTAACGTTTGTCATGTCAGCCAACGTCGATGTCAACAACATCGTTGAGCGTGATGGTAAGCCTATTCGAGCCCCCTATCCTCCTGCCTCAAGTAAAAAACGCGTCCAAGAAAGTCGTTTTCTTGCTAACTGGCATCTTAGTTGCAATGACCGTTACCGTCACCATGACTGACTGCGGTCCTGCATCCACTCCTTCGACTCCAGCTGTCCCAGCTTCCTCTGTCACCTCTGTCAGTGCCAGTGTCCCAGAGGCTCCAACCACCACTCCAGCTGGCTCGACTGAGGTTCCACCTTCTACCGAAGTCCCAACTCATGGCTCTACCACCGAAGTCCCAACTTCTGCCATGTCCACTCCCATGGTCTCCGAGTCTAGCTCTTCCATCAAGACTCACACTTCGGCTACCCGTGAGACCACTCATGTTTCTTCCGGTACTGCCACTCAGACTGTGGCTAAGCCTACCCCATCCGCCATGGCATCTCGTCACGTCGGATACCACGCTGCCTTGGCTGGTATCCTCGGAGCTGCTATCTTTGCGGCGTTGTAAACCAGTCCAGAAGATTAGGATGGCAATTTGTTCGTCTTGTGTTCTCAACGATCCCCTCTTTATGAAACACACATGTCAAACTCGAACTGATGTCCCGTCTTCAAAGCATGTATCCACCCTCAGTGTTTACATCTCTTCTGACTTCTTTCTTCTCTTTCTTTATCTGTGATCATGATCCTCGGCGGCGATTTGACGAAGTTAATGTTTTTCAAGACTGGTCTGCAATGTAATGTTGATGATGGAATGAGGCGGCCTTTTCTTGACGGTTTATCAAAAGGATCTTTAGTTAGCAAAAATTAGGGGAGTCTGGTCTAGCCATTCTTTCAGTACCTACCGACAACAAATCAAATGGACTAACTCTCATATCTGCCTTGCTCCTTACTTATACTCCTCATTCGGACTCTGGGTATAGATGGCACGCAGCCTTGTTGATATTGATATGATGAGCTAAGGGTAACAACTCTGCTGGGGCGCGGAGCCGAGCCACACAAATACAAATGTCGTAAACACGCCCTCGACACGCTGACAACTTACCTCTACAGACGAAGAAAAATGAAACATATCGCTCTCCAAAAACACAAATATGAATATGTACCGAAGCCGAACTGCTCCAATTAATGTGCTCAAGGCATAATTATCCAAATTCTCTCCGTATACGTAGCAAAACAAAGCCGGAGGCTGGGTATTAAAAAATGGGTATAATCACGTGATCAAAAATATTAATGCAGTTGTGATGCTGTTTTTTTCTTTTCTTTTCTTTTTTTTGGCTTTTCGTATTTTATTCCTATCATTTCATTAAGTGGTGGCCTCGAGGGAGCTGGCACAGATTCGGCATCCATCTCCTATTTTATCTCGCAAAAGTCTAGCATTGGTAACTTTGAGGCCGACGGTGCGAGAGAGTATTGATGACTGCATGGAGGATGGCTGGTAGTGAAGTCTCGGTAAAGGTGAATCCTGCTCCTGTGACTCCTCCTGTGCTTCGGGTGTTGATTGACCATGAAGGTGAGATAGGTGATATATATGCCCACAAGCGAACACGACAATGGTTTCCGTTTCTATAAAGTGTTTGAGGATCGTTAGAACTTCCAGGAGACGAAATAGATATTGTATGCCTTGTGTGGCGGAAAATATTTACCTTGTTCAACAAATGAATTCTTACATCCCGCGCATTTACCTGGCGGAATGATTTTTGATTCCCTCTTTTGCTTTTCATCGATTGTTTCACCATTTGCACCCAGCTGAATATCGGTGTCCTGACCTTCGGCGCCTTCCACACCATCTGTTTCATCGTGGACAATATCAAATTTCATTCCTTGCCGTTGGCCTTTGCGTAAGGTGGCCATACGAATAGCCACTTCTCCTGCTAACACTTTTGCCACTCCCTGACTTATGCTAGCTTGGATATCGTGCTCGCGAATCATTCTGGTAAGTCCTTCTCGCAGGCCTTCGATCTCAAGTCCACTTGGTATTCTCCTAACAAATTTTATAGGATCGATTGCCGTGCTTGCCTCTGTGAGTAATGCGCGAATATACTGCGGCTTGTCCATTGAGTATGATAACAAGTCATCCCAGAGATCCGGGTCATCCTGAGATTTGGCAAAGGAGATGGCGTGCGAAATATCCTTCAGACTAGAGAGAATAAGATGAAGAGCTCGTTTCGTTTGTCCAGTTTTGGAAAAGAGGTAAATAAGTTCCGGCGTGAAATTTCGACTTTCACAGATGGAACATGCAGTGTCGTACGAATACGATGTGCTGGATTGCAAGAATTCCATGAGTAAAGGACGATCGTAGTTTGCAAATAGTTCAACGACTGTATCTGCAAACCCATCGATCAATACCCTCCCTTCGTCTGCAACTAGTTTACCTGCCTCTGCGTCGGTCCTGTGGTGCCCGCGTGCTCTGATACTAGGTTTATCTCCCTCCTTAGACACAAAGTCCCCTCTCCAGAGAGCACGAAGGTAGAAGTATAGGAAAAGGCCCAGATCCGCTTCTTGTAGTTGTGATACTACAATCTCAGGATGAACGATCCCGTTGGCTGCCTCACGTACAAGGAGCTTGATAGGTTCCGATGTAGCTTCTTCTAGCTCAGACGTGGGGGTGGTCTTAATTCGACTTTTTGACACTCGAAGCAAAATAAAGCCAGGTATGTCTTCGGAAATAGAGTCCAGCAGATGGTACTCTCGTATCAAGTTCATGACCGCATCCCCGTCCTGAAGCCTAATATAGCATCGTAAGGCTTCGCGGTAATGCCCTCCAACTAAGAATAGCTTAGCAAGGCAGTTTAGGAGACTTCGCCAGTCTTCCGTCCCTTCCTTCATAGAACTAAGCTGGTCTTGTATGGCTGCAGTAACGCTATCAGTTTCGAAAAGATTGGATGGCCAGAGCTCTATTAGCTCATTGAACCTGGCCCGATCACGAGAGACATAGTGCCCAAGTATAACCTCATATACAAATGATGGCAATGGAGGTTCGATATCAATCGGCACATGGGGAGTGATTTCGTCAAACTTTCCCTTTCGTGCGAAAACACAGATCCAATGATCCCAAGCTGCACTAGACTGAAGGACTTTGCTACAGGTATTTCCTGCCTTTTCCCATTCTCCTTGGTTAACTAGCTGCTTCAGCCACAATTCGCCAATTCGGTGCTTTTCCCTCTCTAACTTTGAATTACTGGAGGGGCCAGTAGACTTGATGGATGAGTTATCGAGAATGGGTCGTGGAACAGGGCCTGGCGCACTCGGGGTCGGAGTTCCTGGCGGGCTTACCTCTGCCTCGCCTGAAGCTACACCAAAAGCTTCTGGGTTTTGTTCTAGTAGCTCCCAAGCTTCTTCATATCGATCATGAGAATCAAGCCACGCCAGCCTATCCTCGAAGCCCCTTTTGACAGCGATTATACAATCGTAAGGGCTATGGACAAAGATCCTGACCCCCAGAGTAGCAGCTAGCTCGATCTCTTTGTTGTATTTTCCGTCATGAAGTAGGCCGGTATATTCAGCTGATCCGATCGCCTGAAAACTGGATCCTCTATCAGCACTGCTAGCCATGCTGCGAGTGCTAGTACCGGAACCAAAGAGCCGCTTTGGGTAAAGTGTGGCATCAATAAGCCCGGACGTGATCAATTCTAGAGCTCCCCGTTGGCTAGATGAGGCAATGCGGCTTATCGGAAGTGTATCAAGGTGGTAGTCGGAAGCGGAGAGGTTTTCATAATTCCTAACAGTCAAGATGTCGCCGCTAAGTTCTTCTTCAGTTTCAATATCTATAAGGCGTAGTTCAGGTTGTAGACCATTCTGCCTTCGTCGAATTCCGCGAGCAGGGCCAGCCTGCTTCGATGGTGTTCCAGGCTCGTCGGCTTCGGGTATGATATATGACAAAACAAGCAATAAATTTTGGGTATATAGCGAAACGCCAGATATGATACAATCGGTTCGTAGTCTGCGACAATGTTAGAATCACTGGCATCATGTCAGGGTAATGGAAAACGGACTTAGTAGTAATTTCAGCAGAGGCAATCCTCTTCTTTCCAATACCCGTTGATTGGTCACCGCGAGACACCTTTATAATCCAGATGGTCCCTCCCCAACCGACAAGGAGTTTTTCAGGGTCATTATCTTTTAGGCGCTGTGATTGAGTAACAGGTTCGCCCTCTTGTACACCAGCTGCATCATCGCGTTCTAGTGAATCCTCATCAATCCATACAACCCTGGGCTTCCATACTCCGGCCATTTCATCCCAGATTTGTGACCGTGGCCGGTCAGTATGGCCAAACCGCTCCCAAGCATGTTCTACCTCTGCCTGTTCCAAGTGCAGGTGGGATCGCATTATCTTTATACCCTCCTCATTTACCCAGGCAACGTATTTCCCAGATCTCGACCATTTGATGGAACTAATCGCTCCTTCTCCGCTATGCAACACTCTGTCTTTTCCATTGTTTCCCCCAAGACCTAGAGATCCAAACCAGCCTGTGGGACTAGCAGCCCCTAGTGACGCGTTCGAGCTCGCTCCAACACGACCACCAACGGTAAGAACTAGATTTCCGGATTTTCCTCCCGAAATATAAGTCCTATCACTTTTGTATTCGGGTGATAATGCGACCGCGCTAACTGGCCTTCCAAAGTTACGGAGGGTCACATCCTTTGGGTCAACTAGCGATGCAACGCAAACGTTTCCGTCCATAGAAGAGGTCGCAATATATATCGAGTTTGACGGTGTGGGTAGGATTACGTTATGTTGCTGTGGTTTAGAGCCATTCGGGCTTTCAGATATAGACGCCCCAGATCCACCAGTCTGCACTATGGGTGCGAAATCGGCTTTTGAGGGTGCAGGCGGCGGGAACGGGGAGATCGAGATAGAGTCGACACTTGCTGAATGAGCGTGATAAACTCGAAGGCGTTGAAAGAATGGTACGGAGTAAACATGCTACAAGTCATCAGTTGGGTCAAATGCGAATATGAAAGAACATGACCTGCATACAATGTTTCCGTTATGGGTTCCAACAATCTACAGAACTCTTAGTTAAACCTGCTTCTAAAGCTAAGTGGTAGTATCGTCGTATAGCATACCATTTTATTCCCGGCAGTCATGAAGGTGCTTGTGGCATCCTTGTTGCGATAGAGCGGGCCGAGGACAGGTGTAATCGGGGCGAATTTGAGTCGTGGTTCCTCATCTTCCATGTCATCTTCATCCTCTTCTTCCTCCTCGTCATCATCTTCATCTTCCTCTTCCTCTTCACCTTCCTCGCTCATGACTTCATCTTTCGGGGTATCTGTGATTGTTGCGTCGGCGGTCGTCGTCCCTGTATGCGTCTTCCGTTTACCGCTCCTCGCTTCGCTGGGGCCCGCGGCCTCCATCCCGCCGGGATTATATCTTATCTAACAAGGCGCCAGTGCGAATGAAAGCTGGCATGGCATGCGCTGAGGAAACCTGGAATCCGGGGTTGGAGGAAGTAGAAGCAAGGCAAGCTCCCGAAGCGGCATTTGGGAAGCTTACCGGATGATTAGTAACGCCGACGCCCCGGCATCTTTTTATTTGATATCGATCAAGGAACAAGTTATGTACACCATCTTCAGAGCTGTGTATAACGGCCTTTGTTAGAACCCTTTGGAGCCGCCGCGACGCTTGAAGGCTGGTATGCATCTGATACCGCGATTCACGGGCTAATTACCCTTCCATACGCTTACTTTCGTAGCAGTTATGTTCCTTCGTCGACTTTTATCCGCGCCTAGAGAATGTGCCTTGCTCAAGAAGCCCAGTCATAGGAATATCTATACTGCGCCTTTCAGCAGACCTCTTGGTGCCGCCTTGGGTCGCAATGCCTTCCACTCCTCCAATGGAAAGTTTGAACAGCAAATTGCATCCCCAGATGTAGGGAAACCGGTACAGCAGGGCAAGTCAGGGTCGCCCAGGGGAATGCGGATATCTCGATCCCCGGCCGGGAAGACTTCCTTACGGCGTGCAGCTGTTGAAGCGCAAATATCGAAAGATGTCAGGCGACAACCGACGTCACCGGAAGTACTCTCGCCTGAGCCAAAGGTTAGCAAATTCGGAGTTGGTCATCCCGATCGAAAATAGCCTCAGTAGTTAACCTCTTCAATTCGTCACAGACTGTCACCGCATATGCTGTTGCCGAGCGGTTCGATATCGCCAAAGTTATGGAAATACTCCTAGCGAAAGGATACGAACCCGATCCCCTCGAAACCGGGCTCTACCCGCAAGTCATCCACATTCAAGTCCCTCTTGATTCGATTCGACGGACAACAAGCTTGGCATCCTCAGATCTACCTTCTGAGGAGGTTGGGGATATATTTATATTCCCTTCTGGGACCCTCGTGTCGTGGTCCCTTCCCGAGACGTTTGCGTCATACCTAGCAACGACCGTGCTATTACCGGCAGCTGAAAATCCGCACATAGAACGAATGGAGACGGAAGATCTCGATTATATAGAGGATCCCCAGAAAGACAACAGTTTTATGAAGGGCGATGTAATAATCCTTGGAACAAAACCTAGCGCCGAGGACCAGAGGTTGCTAGATAGCAAGCCCGCGAATCGACCGTCGGTTGACACGGCACTCACAAAAATCGCATTCTCCTCGGGCCTTGCACGAAGTACAAAGCTGGCCGTATTGGAGAGCCTGCTACTAAACTACTTTGACTCCACGCGAAATATACCCACACAGCTATCGAAGGGATCTCGCCTGCCGTACACACGAAGTTTCATATTACGAAAGACCGGACAACTACTCAGTCTACGAGCACAGTTAAACCTTTACTCGGAATTGACAGACTCCTTGCCGGATATCTTTTGGGATAGCAGACACGAACTTGGATTGGAAGGAAATTACGACCAGGTTGGAAAAGCTCTTGATGTTGGAATTAGGATCAAGGTATTGAACGAGAAAATGGACTATGCGCAAGAGATTGCAAGTGTCCTGCGCGAGAGATTGAGTGAGACCCACGGACTCCGGTTAGAATGGACGATCATTCTTTTGATTGCTGTGGAGGTTTGCTTCGAAGTTTTAAGACTCTGGAAGGAGAGAAAACAAGAACTAGCGGCTGCTGCAAATGAAAAGGAGGAGAGACTTGTTGATGAGAAATCTCCCTCTGTTTAACCTCTCCCTTCTTCATTTTGATTTTTTATTCCCCTTCAGCCGATATGGCCGACACTGCTATTGAACATTTGCTACACCCCCACTTCATCATTGTACAGATACCACTTGATTTTACGCGCTGTTCAGATAGAATAACGGATATATACAGCTATATGCTTATATACGGGTTCTATATTATGACTAGATTTATAAAACGTTCCCACCTGAGCGAAGATCTCGACCCTTTTGGCTTAGGGGATATCTGCAAAATGTGACAGCGGTTTTCAGAGCCCAAGCCTACCCATGTCCTCTATGTTTAAATTACAAAAGGATGATGAGCCTTACAGTAGACCACGCTGTTACCAGGACTGATGGATAAAAAAAGTGCAATGGTTCGACAATTATCATACAACTTTGCGCGTTAAAAACATCCCAAAAAAAAGTCATTCAAAATTGAGACCAGCTGAAAATTTGACATCGAAATCGTTATGATAAGACAAGGGAAAACAAAAGGATATCTATAAAACTTCAACCTGGAAAACTGGACACTCCACATACACCATATCGCCGCGGTGCCTTGCAAAATCAATAGACGGGAAAACGTGCAACATCAGAGACAAAAACAAAAAGGGAAGCGGAGGTTATTCGGAAGCACATATTATTATTTCAGCTCGGTCGTGAATGAATCAAAGAAAGCATCAGTATTTGGTGATAGTGAAAGCGGGAAATAGTCATTGTCGAGATTGGCGCCTTCTCCATTTAATTGGCTCAGGAATATGTCATCATCATATTGCGATGAGCCAGATTCGGAGATGCCTGTGGTTGACTGAGGTCCCAAGGGAGGAAGTTGGTCCGGATCGAATGTTGACGTGCTTGCTTGGCTTGAGAATACATCGTCGAAGTCGTTGCCGCTTGATGCTTCAGTGAGGGTTGACCCTGCATTAGCTGGCCATAAAGTGCGGCATGGCGACCCTGTCAGGTCTCTCTTGCTTTCACGTTTGACAGGGGTTGGAGATCCACAGTCAAGGGGTGGGAGCTCCAGGATCTCTTCAGGGATGTCGGCGAGGTATCGTTTCGAGGGAGATAGGCAAAGTCGGTTTTCTTCGGGTTCTTGAGACGTTGAATAATAGCTACGGGCTGGGGAGCCGATGTTGCCGGTACTGTAGCTGGGTGATGCGGGAGGCGTGAATGTGAAAACATCAGGAGGCAAAGCAATCGAGTCCATATCGAGGAATAGCATTTCCTTAGCAGGACTATGTTCTCTAGTGCTTGGGGCATCGTAGCTGTCGCTTTCGGGTGATGGTGCAGATGAAGATGAACTCGACGAAGAGTCTTGGACAGGCGGGCTAGGCGCCTTCTTCCTCTCTCGTTGTCTTGCTCTGGTTGCCTTTTCCCGTCTCTCTTCAAATTTAGGCCGATCCTTCCTAGGTCTCCCACGTCGTTCTGCTCTCCTTACGGCACCCACAAATGCACCGCTGCACATCCCGCGTTGCTTATGTCTTGTTAAAGCATCATGTCGTGCAAAACTGTTTCCACAATCGCAGGGGTATGGCTTAACGCCAGTGTGGATTTTAGCGTGTCTCTTTAGGTCATGTCCTCGAACGAAGCTCTTGTTGCAGTGATTACATTTAAACTGCCTGTCGCCAAGGTGTGTTTGGACATGCGACTTGATATTTTCTTTTCGTCCAAACCTCTTCATGCAGCCGTCAAAGGTGCATACCCACTTATTGTCTGCTGGGTCGGGACCTTCAATATAGCCGCATATATCCTCAAGAGTAACCCCTGTTTCCTCTAGGGACGCATCGATACTGGCGTCGAGTTTGAGATCAGCTATTGTGACGACACGAGGTGCTAACGCCGCTTTTATAGGAGACGAACACCCGCTAGCGGAACCAGTCCTGGGTCTCGTTGGTAGAAGGGTAGCCGGAGCCGGAGTTGGAGCTGCAGCTGGAGCAATTGGAACCTTTTTCCCTCGTCTGACAGCGAGTTCTGATGTATGTTGTTTGGGGAGCTCGTGGAGGGACGAGAAGGAGGTCATGATTGGTGATGGGAGGTCACCTAAGGTGAATGGGTCTGAATTCTCAGCATGATGGAAGGTGAGGTCGGTAAAGATGTCATCGTCTGTCCTGGACAACTTAGAATCAAAATGCTCAGGCAGCTGAAATAGCGGTGCATCTTGAAATGGTGGAATATCTTGCTGAGAATAATAGCCGTCTGCGGGTCCCTGGGACGATTTTGCTCGTTGCATTGGCTCAACATTTCGAGGGAGTAGAGGTGGGGGAGCCTTTTTGGTGGGAGATGAATGCGCAGTTCGGCAGTTCCTCGGCGGGATGACCGCTGATTTCCAACAAGGTGTTGTTGCAGGAGTTAACAGGAAGGATTCTTCTTGTACGTGAAATCGTTAGCCGTGCTCTAAATAAACGAGAGAATGGCAACTTACCATTATCAGTCTGGTGGATTGGTGTTCGTGGCCGCAGACTCTCTGAAGCGTTATTGATGTTGTAGTCTCCGATATCTAGCCATCGGGACCAGTCAAACGCCTCCTGTCCATATATCGATGCATTCTGCTGGTGCCGTGCAACACCTTGATCGAGACTCAGGCCTCTGCGGTGTAAAGCCCGCCCACCAGGTGGTGCTGGTGCAATAGGCCTTGGGGCTAAGTGCCTGTTGAAGGAAGGCGGGACATGTCTGTCCCTTGCATTCTCAGGCTCAGGTGGAAAGGTGAAGCTTTGCAACATTGCTAAAGCTCTGCTGGATGTCTGCTAGAAGAACGAACTATGGTCAAATAGCTTTGATCTAGTCTGGGTCGAGTACAGTTACCGCAGCACAGTCGAATGTCAAGCGAAGTTCATTGCCTCTGAGGGCGTCTCTAGCTTGTATTCAACAATGAGACGGAGCCGGTGAATATCCCAGCGCGAGGACCTTTAACGATGAAGGTGGTATTTTGAGATGAAAACGGTTTGCGAATGAGCTGAGCTGGCTATATACTCTGAGCCAGGAACTGGTAGAAAGGGCGGTGACAAACAAGTCGAGTTTAAGAGCGGGCGCTCAATGGCTTTTTGGTGAAAAAGTAATATATGGATAGGCTGCCCTAGGTGATGGGCGATGACATGCTCTTCCGCTGGCTGGCAAAGGGTCCAAGGCCTGATAGAAGGTCGAAAAGGCCGTCGAGGAAGTAAATACAGCGCGTCGGCCAGGCAACGCCCGATCTGAACTAGCGCAATAACCTAATCGGTGACTTATGTAATAGTAGTCACCTGATATAGATCTGGTCACATGATCCACACTCGCGAAAATTAAATTCGAACATTTAAAGATTCAACGAGGAGAGAGCTTTCTTCTCCCCGCCACCATTTGCATATTGAAAGGTTGAGGAAGACAACTTGTCTAGGTACGTTGGGACACTGCACTGCTTTCTACGGCACTGCTTTCTGCAGAGCTCCTTTTTCCCGCTTGGTATTATACCGCTGCTGGCAAGGAAATATAACTAACCAACGTCGTTTATCAGGCCTTTCGTCAAGATGCAAATTTTCGTCAAGACCCTCACGGGTAAGACTATCACCCTTGAGGTGGAGTCATCCGATACCATTGACAATGTCAAGACAAAGATTCAGGGTGAGCACCGGCCGAAATATACTAGCAATTGAGGGAGAGGGGTCATTTCTAACGTATCTATAGACAAGGAAGGAATTCCCCCAGACCAACAGCGTCTGATCTTCGCCGGAAAGCAGCTCGAGGACGGCCGTACCCTTTCGGACTACAACATCCAGAAGGAGTCCACTCTCCATCTCGTGCTGAGACTCCGTGGTGGTGGTAAGAAGCGCAAGAAGAAGAACTACACCACCCCAAAGAAGATCAAGCACAAGCGCAAGAAGACCAAGCTCGCTGTGCTCAAGTACTACAAGGTTGATGGTGATGGCAAGATCGAGCGCCTGAGACGCGAGTGCCCTACCCCCGAGGTGAGTTCAACCAACATGCAACCATCTATATACCTCCGTGGTCACGGTGGCTAATTTGAAAATCCTTTAGTGTGGCGCTGGTATCTTCATGGCCGCTATGCACAACCGTCAATACTGTGGCAAGTGCCATCTCACCTACGTCTTCGATGAGTCCAAATAGATTTAAGGCTAGTCATCGACAGTAGTGTGCCTCGAATGATAGGATTGTACGAGCCGTTAAAAATGCTGCTGGTGGTGTCAGATGTGGATGGTTGCCATCTCGAATCGATATATTCTCGGTAGCTAGGCTAGATTCATGAACATCAATGAAAGGATATGAACTTTGTCAAAATTGATCATCCATTCGAGGGTGTAAAATATCTAAACGAGTGACACGAACTGTATATGCACAGATATAAACATATAACTACATCATAAAGCAAAAATCATGGTCATCAGTGGGTATGAACGGTCGTAACGCAAACATCCAGCCGTCGTCCAGGCACGAAAAGTCCAGTCGACCGAAGGATCTCCTTAGACGCCAAAACTCATCGCAAGGGGTGTTGGGGTAAATCAGGCGTTGAGGTGTGAACAGAGAAAAGGAAAATGTTCGAATAAGGACAGGTAATCCAGGCCTCCTGGTTCAGGAGTAGGCCTTCTTCACGTTATCGTACTGGCTCTCTGGATAGTCGATCGAGTTCTGGGACTTCTCCAATCCCTTCTGGCCGTTGGCAGTCGCACCGTCGACGAACGTGGCGATCAAGCTTCCGCCGGCCTTGGTGGCAGATTTACCACCCCTATCTCCGCTAGCTTCCCACCACATTCCACCTCCAAGGCCATTATCGATAACCCACTTGGTCTTCGCCTCGACCATAGGAACGGTGTCGTAGGAGATCATGGTGCGGCTGGCCTTGTCATAACTGTAGGAGGCACCGCTCTCGTCAACTATCTGCTCGGTAGCTCCATCCTTGGGGAGAACCTTGTAGTCCCAGATCCCATTCTCCCAGCTTCCCTGGCCAACGCCCTCGAAGGGTTTGCCGGGTCCGTCAGTGTTGGTGAATGCGCGTCCGTATAGGGGCATTCCCAGAACAATCTGGCTCTTTGGTACACCACCATTGTTGGTGTAGTAGTCGACTGCAGCAGAAGTTGAGAATGGAGTGCTGGTGGGGTTCGACTTCGAGGGCCTCAAATTAGCCTGGTGTCCCGCGTTCTTGTCCCAAGCTCCAGCGAAATCATAGGCCATAAGGTTAAAGAAGTCTAGCTGGCCGCTCATATCCTTAAGCTTGAGCTTCTCGTAGTTGACGTGGCCTAGATATGTATGTTAATAGTTGTGCAAGACAGCCTCGGATGCTGGGCATAACTGGATCGACATACCACATGGAACAGCAGCCGTGAGGAGGAATTTGCGGTTCTTTTGAGCCGCATTGAGGGTCTATAAACACGATGAGCCAAATTGTTGCCTCTTGGTAGTCTTGGGGAATCAAACATACCTCTCTACAGGCCTTTAGGAGCAGGACCAAGTTGTTGGCCTCCGTCTCGTCTACCGCAGCAGGTTAGTACTAAATAGTAGTCTGGTGAGGGTCCAGGGGAACTCACCCTTGGGGTACTCCCAATCAACATCAATGCCTGAAGTGGAATCGAACGAATTAGCAATGGTACGCTATTTTGTCATATTTCCAGAGGTAACAAACCGTCAAAGCCCATGTCAAGGATGAGCTTGGTGGCTGACTCGGCGAACTTCTTCCTTCCAGCATCAGTGCTGGCAGGTTGAGCAAAGTTTGTGGAATATGTCCATCCACCAATGGACAGGAGGACTTTGAGGTTGCGGTTCTGCTTCTTCAAGAGGAAGAGCTGCTTCGCGCATCCGTAGGCATTTTTGCCTGGCTCACTCCAGGAGTCACCCGGGTAATGCTTCTCGAGATCAGCATAGGTATCGGAGAGATAACTATTGACGAATAGTGAGATGTTAATGATAATTCATGTTTCCTGTACATCACTGTAGGAGTGACGAATGAGACAAGATTGTGAACTCGAGGTGACATACACTTCTCCAGTTTCCGGGCGGATGTTGGCAAATGCGTAGAGGACGTGTGTCAGCTTATCGATCGGGAGATCGGCCGGGTTGAATCCTCGTCCGTAAATGCCCTGAATTACCACGATGGTTAACAAACACTGTTCCTGACAACTGTGGAGCATGAGAACCATAACGTCAACTGCTAATACATACCCAGTTCACAAAGTAGACAACGGAGCGGTATCCCACAATGTTTCCCATGGTGACAGATGTATGAGAAAATACAAGGATTGTCTAATGGTGAATGATGTTTTCAACTGCAATGAGGAATCAGTGTGGATGGTAGAAATTGCGATCTGGACTTAAGAATATAAAGGCAAGTAGGGTACTATATAAGAAAGGAGAGAAGAGATCAAAAGAATCGAAGTATAGGACGGGGGTATAAATAGAGAGCGCCTAGGGACCACACCCCCTTTTCTTTTTCCGCCTCTGATCCAGGTACCATGATACTGATCATTATACCAATGACAACCACCCATGGCAGGTCACGACGATTGTATATTCAACTGGACCTTGATCATGACCAGCTTCCAAGCTGGGTTGTTGCGCTCACCCGCACACCCGCATCTACGGTGCTAAACGGGTGACAAGGCTCGCGCTATCTCTCCAGCAGCTCCGACCCCCTTGCTTTTTGCCTTCACGTTGGTTTTGTACGGCGAAGCACGCAGTTCAGGTTGCACAGTGACCGCAGGCCTCCGTCGGCCACGCCTTTTCTGGCAAGTACTCCGGAGTGCGAGTGATCGAGCCCCATGATATCATAGATTGAATCTCCCCCAGGCTGCGCCTTTGAAGAGTAACAGGTAGCCCTGTAAGGCTGGCCCAAGCGGAGAAGAAAGAGGCGAGTCTCGTGGAGACAAACTGGTATATCGATGGCATATTCAAGGAAAAATAAGTGGCTTAGCACTGGGGGTGCCTATCATACCATACACAACCTAGCTACCGTGTATGGATAAGAACTTGGAGCGAAGCCACCGCGGGGGATCTGCTCGACTAGAGCTGCAGTCTATACAGCTCACATCGCGAATGAGTGAATCGCCTCGTCCCAGCTTCGCTTCGTCCCTCGTCGTTTGTCCTTGGACTGGGTGTATCCGAGGTGCATCTCACAAGCCACGAGGTTCTATAATTAATATAGATATTATCGTTCCATCCTGGTATATTCGAGGCATCACAAACCAGTTTACGGCCACCGTCACCGTCACCATCATCTCCTCCCGGCGCACGCAGTTCCCGCCGCCACCATGAGACCGCGCAGCGCTGAGCCTGACGCCGGCGCTGACAGCCCCCCTATACAGCCTGACATGTATCGTTCTACCACCAGGACCACGCGGGCGTTGACAGAGTCACACAGAGATTGGGCTCGCACCCTCCGGGAGAGCGAGTAAGATAAATAAGTGAACAGCTGCATCTGATAGATCGTATAAAAAAGCAAAGGTGACCAGGACGCAGCCAACCAGCTCGATGAAGTGAGGTTGAAGATCGGAATCCTTGTTCCAGACTGGGAAGTTTATGCGGCCTTACGTAAGCCATGGCCGTCCGTTGATGCGGCTTTGGAACGTTACATCTGGGCGCGATCACACGAGCGATAGACACGCCGGATGGGCAGAGAACGACGAGGGCGCAGATGAAGGATCAGTGGCGGGCAGATTGATGCGGCAGAGAGAGGGCAAGGTAAGTGAAGAAAGCAGCGATTTATCGATTAGTTAACTGCTTCTATATATACATCCTTCGAGCAGAGAAGGTAGACAAACAAGGATCTAGCTAACCAGTAATTTTGATCTAGACTAGAGGGATATATGGGATATTGAGTATGGAACGGGTGAAAAATATGATAATTAGAAAATCCTATACATGACATCTCGTCGTGTTTCATCTCATTGCCGTATCTAACTCTCGTCCTTGTCCATTCTGTTCAACTCCTCTTCCTTCGCGTTCAAGCCGCGGAAGATGAAGAAGAAGATGATACCGGTGGCGAAGGAGGCACAGGCAAGACCGACGAACATCCATCGGATGGCTGGGTCATAGGCAACGGGGATAAGAGCCTCACCGATGGCAGATCCGAAGGCGTTGGTGAGCAGATACATAGACTGGACGAAAGACTTCATGGACACTGGGGCCTTGGTGTAGGCGTACTCGAGACCAGACACGGAGGCGAAAATCTCGGAAATACCAATGAGCATGTATGCAGGCGTTTGGATGGCGATGTGGACGTGGTTGCCCTGGGCAACACCATCGACAATACCCTCAGGACATGCGAGCGGGTGCTCGAAGCATGGTCCGGCGTTGTAGATGAGGGTCTGCACGATAGCAGCGTATGCCATGGCGAGAGAGGCGATGATGAAACCGACAGAGATACGTGAGATTGGCGGGAAGGGGATGTGAAGCTTCTGCATGATGGGGTAGACGATACGGTCGAGGATAGGGATGAAGATGAGAATGGCGATTGGGTCAAAGTTCTGCATGAGATCGTTGGGGATGCCGTGGCCCTCCATTTGACCAGCCTGGGAAACGAAGTTACCGGAGAACTGGTTGTACACGACCCAGTAGATTGGGTAGAAGGCGAAGACCTTGCAGGCAATGAGAGCACGCTTGAGCTCATCAACGAACTGGTCGTCCCACTGGACGCTGCGGCGGTTACCGTGCTCAGCTTGGTATGATGGCTTGGCAGCATCCATGTTTCTGTTGGTGACCATGATCCAGAGAGCGCGGAAGGCATTGGTGATGATGGAGCCAGTTGGAGGACGAACAACGTATGCCTTGCGTCCGAGGATGAGGGTGACAGTTCCGACAACGAAGACACACAGGCAGAGCAAGTATGCGGACCAGAAGCCAACATACAGCTCCATGTATGGAGTGGCGAGCAGAGAGAGAGAGCCGATGTTGATACAGGCGTAGAAGATCATATAGATTCTCTGGATGGTGATGGCTGGATCAATGATGACACGCTCACCGGTGCTGAGGGTGGAAACGGCGGGCACACGGCGCTTGTACTGATCAGCAATTAGAGGGGCGACGTTGGACTTGATACCACCAGTGCCGATACCGATGATGATGATGGATGCAATGAATCCACCAAGTCCGGCTCCATGTTCGAGAGAGCTGTGTACAGAGGTAGCAACGAGGATGACGAGACCAGCCATGTAGACGAAGCAGAAGTAAAGGATGGCCTTGTACTTTCCGAGGTACTGATCAGCAACAATGGCACCGAAGATTGGGGTAACTAGACGATGGAGTTAGCAGGCAAGGACTGGAGAAGAGCATCCATCACTGCATGCTTACCATAACACCAGAACTGGAAGAAGGTGGTCAATCCAGTAGCACCCTGATGGCCGAGACCGAGAGCACCACGTCCCTGGCTACCATCGAATGGACGCTGGATGTAGTTTTGGAACAAGCCGTTCATTCCATAGTAGGTGAAACGCTCGCAGAGCTCAACAACGGCGACCAGCCATGCCGATAGTGGCAGACTTTCACCAATGTGTCTGAGGTTGAATTTTTCGCTCTCGGTTGGCTCTTCGCCGCCTGGAGTCTCGAAACCCTCGCCCTTCTCGGCATCGAGGCTGTCTGAGCCAGCCTTCGTGTCTAGTACAGCATCATTGGCGACTTCTTTTGTCTCATACTTTTCATCAGCATTGACTTGCTGGGTTGCCCTTTTTAACAGCTATTAGCAACGGTCCAACAGCAAAAGAAGGAGAAGCAGAGAGGACTCACTGAACCGGCGCAGTTTCTTTATCAGCCATGACGGCGGCGGGATGGAGATGCCCTTGGACCTGTCCCAGAGCTGTCTTCCGTCGGGTGAGGGTAAAGAAAGAGCTCCCAAGCAGTGTCAAGTGATGGGATGAAGGGAGAGAGCAGCGGGCAGAGGAAGAGCAGGAAAAGAGAGAAGGAGAACGGGCTCCCGCCGGCAACGATGGCTGATATATATTTCTGCTTCCTCCCCTTCAGAAAATTCCCGGGCTCCACCTATCATCCATGCCGGATATAGGTATACGCCAGAGATAACAGGTGACTTGGAACCCTAACCAGCAATCCCGAAGTGAGTGGCCAGGGACCAGTCCTGGGCAGGGCCGGCCGGGGGCAAGCTTGAGTTGTGCTGTTCGAGCGCCCGCTTGAGACGCTGCTGGTGAAGCCCCCCGTCAATGCAACGTGAAGGCAGGCTAAAATAAACCTTGGATCGAAGGGATAGGGTCGCATGGGAGCAACGCCATCAAGCCTTCGACATGAAGGATCAACGAAACTGGAGAAAGGCTTGTACGTACATATGCACATATGTATGTGCGTAAGTATACCCTCTTGCTGTGTACTTCGTATGTAAGTTATCCTTCTCCCGGAAGTTTCGTATTTTGCTGGCCCAGTGGAGCCGTAATCTAACATTGCCGAGGCCAGTTAATTAATCATCTCAGACCTTCCAGATGTCCTGATTTAAGCACTCCGTTGACCCTTTCCGAGAGCTGAGAGGCTGGACACGACAAATAACCGGGTGCTGGACAACATCAACTGCATCCTGGCACTTATCTCTGAGGAAAAAGGCGACATCTCCAGCCCTCCCAGTCTCTGACAAGGCCGGCATCATAAGCTTTTCAGTTGAAGCCAAGTTAGGATGAAATGCCGGTCGATCCGCAAGTGAAAAAGTCTGTCTGGTAAGATTTGTTATTTATCTTACAACGTCAGGAAATAAAAAACACGGAGAACGGCCACTCCGTAAAAGTAAAGCGACAAGATGCGCGCCCTTTCCGGTTGACGGCGCCGTTCCCCATGGGGCAGGCGAAAAAAATCCTTCCAGAAAGGCACCTGGACAGACGATCACATCGGCTCTTTCGCTGCTTTCGATTCACGCTCAATCACCACCGTCGTCAAAGAATACTTTTTGTCGCTCTGCTGAGCCGAAGGCAAGCTCATTAGCTACACGCCAAGCCGGTTCTTAGGCAGTTCTTAAGCCCTGCTCAGAGTCTTGGATAAGGCTTGTGTGGACGCACGAGCCGAGGTGCGCGGAACAGTTCAGCGCAACCCAGAGATAACATATACGAGGATGGCCTCTTTCTTCTGGAAGAGCTCCATGGTTTCTCTTCGCCTTCCCTGCATGTCCCGTTAGCCTATTTGTTAGCCCGCGCCAGTAGTGTGAACCACACTTGCTCTTGTGTTGGCGTCGTTACCACCAATGATGCTCCGAGTCTCCTCGCCAACGCTGACAGCAGGTCCTCGCATCCTTGACCCTCTGGATGACATGCTGTTCCTGTAATGGAAGCCTGGGGGGTGATGCGGAGACAGCTGGGCCAGGTAAGAGATACGTATTCCTGTTACAGAAGACAAATGTCGCACTTCCTTGGGGCTGTAACATGGATACCTCTGAGGAAGTATCCCTAGCTAAACCTAACAAGGTAAGGCAATCCATTAGGTGCATGCTGATTGGACTTTATAGGGCCCATGAGCTTGACAGCTTCTACCCACCTTCTGTTTCTATATCGAACTCCCCGCTCTCTCGTTTTCCTTCCGCCGAATATTACATTATCACCTGATTTCCGCACTCGCGATCCTTGCTAGGTTGCTACCAGTGCGCACCGGGCTCTCTCGGATTCTTCATGCTCAAGGGTCAACCATGCTGAATTCACATTTATTTTATGCAGTGCATGACTCGACAAACCCGTTGGTAGCAGCGCACGCATTCTCATGGCTGGTTGAGAGTGAAGCTGTTGTTCTCCATCTACGGAGTGCGGTGTGGAGAGATGGGCGTAACCGACGTAGCTAACGGGCATGCGCGCATTTACCACTACCATCCACCCATATTTTCCGACATCTCGAGATACCTGGCTGACCTGCTTGTGGAGAGAGACGTGGAGAAGTTTTACCTAACAATGGTGGTGTGCAGGTGTTGATCTTACAAACCGGACGTATTATCTCCAATCATCTTGCCTCTGGATGGCCCCCGTAAGATGCTCCGTGCTGCTTTAATTGGGCTGAGCAACCTTGGTCATCCATACCGCGATTTTAGTTTCAACGAATCTCTTCCCGTTGGCTAAATACTTCGTGGCATGTCCGTCATGGTCGGAAAAGTGTGGAAGTTTTCTTTCTAGAACACGAATGGGCTGGTCTTGGTTTATCATCGTCCATTTACCCGATCCAAACCGACTCTAGGATGAGAGGGATATAAGGTAATTAGCTTGTTCCAACAGAGGTATGTATCCGTACGGGCCTGCGGAGAGGAGCGCCTTAAGTGGATAGAATTTTATCCCCGACGACAGGCCTCCACAGCTAGCTTTTTAGCGCTCGACGGATGGAGGGAACATTGGGGGTAGAGCTACGGAAGCTTCCGTTCGCGTAAATATCTCCCGGGGACAACGTTTTTTTTCGGTTCCCTTCGATAAATGTTGGCATCGTCGAGGCTGTCACTTGAAGGAATCGGCAAAGGATCTGAAGTAGGATGACCTACCTTATGCACTGGATGATATATTTGATGAGATGAGATGATGGATGGCCCCCATGAGTGCGTGTTCCTTTTCGGCCGATCGGGCAATCATCTCCAAGATCGATACTCCGTATACTTGCGTGGTTTGTGTCCAGCCTAAGTATACCTTGTTGTCTTGTCGCCAAGAAGATATCAGATGTTTTTCGAACACTGTTCCCTCATCGTTTGGTGTGTGTTGATGCCCATCGAGGCTTAACGCAAGGCTAGATCAAGAACAGTCGATCGATTTTCATCCGATCCCAGCCTCCTCCACGCGTCGATGCGAGATGGATGAGAAGAGGGCTGTCTCAGGACTCGAACAAGCACTGACCCGTGACTTCATGGCTGAAAAACGAACTAGCAACAACAATGTTGGAGCTATCGTCCACTCATCATGCAGTAGTAGAGATCGAGGCATAGCTGCTCGATTATATCGTGAGACACCTATAAGAAAAATTCTTAACCGAAATGGCATCGATTAATGGGAGGATGTTGACCTTCGGCTTATGCTGATTTTGTATGGTGATGTTGGACGAGCACATCCAACATCAGCTCCAATTTCAGCTCCAACATCAGAAATTAGCCAGATTAATACCTAAGATAAGGCATCCGACTGCTGCCTCCTTTAAGATGCAAAGGGAGTTGCACACACATCACATATACATGGGAGTGCTCACCAGATGTCCCATAGGCTATCTGATCCCGTATGACCCGAATGAGGAATGAGGTGGCCCCTGCCTTGCACGCCACTATAGAGACAGCACTCATTCGACCATCACCCACCCACAAAACGAAAGCTGTCCAGGTGACGCCTCGTCATATATCGCCGTTATGGCTGCCTGAGGCCGCAAAGGAAGAACGTCCTTCTCGACGCACATTCGCGGCAATGGCCCCAGCCTCAGCTTTCATGACAGATTCGCCTCCTCCACTAACGACCCTTTCCCTGTGTGCACAATAATAATGTAGGGTTCTCAGCATACCCCCATTCGTAGCCCATATCTGCGGCTTACGGCTTGCGGCTCGCGGCTTGACCCGTTCGCCTCGCACTAGCGATGCAGCATCAAGCTCGACGGGGAATGTATATATCGTTATATCGCGTTGAATGGCTATGGGGTAGCCAACGCATATCGATTATGCTCTGCACTTCGTCCGGTTCATATATTGTGGGTGCCGGTTGAAACCTAATCAGATAGGGGGAGAGGAGGACGAGCATCATGTATGGCTTTCTGCGGGACGGCTCGGAACGTGTCTCTTTGTCTTCCTGATGACGACAGATCGTATGCGGGGGTTCTGCATCGTGGCAACTATAGAACAAGCACCTAGTGGAGTCTGAACCTGTGTGTCTGAATATCCTGATAAGCGGGTGGTTCCCACGCGGCTGTGCGGCGGATGAAATATCTATCCGTCAGGACAGGCTCACCGCGAGGTATCATTGTGGCTAAACGTGTAAGATCAGGGCGGTCTACGGGGTACTCCATCGAATGGAAGGGTAGCTTGCCAGAAATAGCCCAATATCAAAAGTATCAACAACAGCCAGACCTGGCATACCCATGAAGATCAGCTCGATTTTCTCAACAGCCAGGTTGAAATTCTCTTGTGCTCCTTTCACAGCCACCACAACAGGCATATACGCAGGACCGCCCACTGCTACACCGGAGAACCTGAGCCGGTGAGCCAGCGGAGATGTAACAGTTGTTGCGCGGAGCAAGTTTTCCACGCCGTTGTCGTCCCAGGAGGGGAAATCTCTTTCCTGCACAGCCACAACCTGCAAGCCAGAGCAGAGATTTTAGCACGGGCCATGCAAGGTACCTTCCATTAAACTTATGCCAAGACCATGTGGCTACCTGAAAGAGCCTCCACGCTAGTCTTAAAGGGGAAATATCTCTGTGATTAACCTTTTTCCCATTTCGGCGACAGCGTGCGCTAGTCCAGAAGCGGTTGGTCTCCCGTCCACTCTGTTTCTTGTTTGGGCAACATCCTTCCCTCTGCGCAGAGCACTACTGCAGCCACAGACTCAGGATAGGCCGACATGGCCAGAAAGGAGAAGGTTATGCCGAGTATCTCGCTGCCAGAGGGAGGAAAACTCGGCACATCTGAAGGAGAAGAAGCTAAAGGTGTGTAACATCCCACGGTAGCCCTCAAGCCATTGCTGGCAGCCAGCTTTGCCGAATAGAGTCACGGGGGAATGGTGGCAAAGCGGCCAAACACTATTGGCGATGGGCTTGATGTTGGATTCAAGGAATAGTTGATCTGCTGAAGTTGATCTTCTGCGCTATAGAAACCGCCCGGCATCGCTGGCCAGCATCATTATTCTCGGATAACGTCTGAAATGCACGGTGGGTCCCCCAAGCTTTCAACACGCATAGTGCATGCACACAATTTGTTTCGCAACGTTTGATCGACCAATGGCGTGGATGAAGTGACCTTCACCTCTCCTGCAGTCCGTATATATGGGCCCGGAAGCTCCTACAGAAACCACGTACCTCCAGCATCTCCCATAACCCTTGATAAGGCCAAAAAAAGATAAGAGACATTATAGCCCGCCATGTCTTGCACTATTGACCCTGCCGCCGCTGTAGATGTCGTCATGCAAAGCATAACTCCGCAGGTCAGCTTCTGATGGCGCCCTTTTTATTGAGACAATGGATCAGCCGACAGCATCCGGTGGGCATCACGACCAAGCAAATCCTCTCCAGCCACAGTGGCGAGTATCTCGTACATAGTACACGTCGAAGAAGAGTGACATCAGGAGGGAGCGCCACCTTCCAGTTTCGGGTATTTTTCCTTAGGTAATGTATCGGTGTGGGATACGATGCGCAAACGCCAACGTTGGGAACGCAAGCCACCTGAATGCATTACGTGGATGTCAGAAAATTCGTTAAGGGGAGGGGGGAGGGGCCGGGTAATAAGGTTTCCATTCTGGGTAGGATGATTCTCTGTAGGATGTGCATGTTTTGGTGAAGCGATTGATTGATCCAAGTTAAAATGTAGAATGTAGAATTCAGTTTTGATAGGATAAAAGCTCCGCTCTGCGGTGCGCGTTTAATATAAAAATGAAGAAGAAAAGAGACGTCAGTCATGCGATGCCAGTTCGTATTTCCCGTTACAAAAAAAGAAAAGAAAAAGGAAAGAGGTAAGATGCCGTCGCTAAATTCTGAGTCCAAAAACAAACAAACAATGAATGGGTATCCATCCGTGCCAAAAAAGCCCTCCACAATGCCCAAAGTTCCAAAAGTCCAATTTTTAGATTGTAGCAGAAAAAGGGGGGGGAAGGGTTGAAGACAAATAAACGAGGCAGCTAAGATATGCAGGGCCGTGTAGAAGCTGATTGGGTGGGCAGTAGTCATGTGTGGGCTATTGAGACCGGTTCCCATGCTGATAGTATGAGACTGCTCTAGAATGAAACGAGTTTCAAGGCCAAGACGAGGATAAGAGATGTATGGGTCGTCCAGCGACCCCCGAAAAGGGGAATCCAGTTCCTATCGCAGTAGATCAGGACATTGAAAAGCATAACTCGAGATAAGGATAAATAAGAAACGGTCGGAGGCAAATGGATCGTCGCGGGGATCCTGATTATGGCGATTTTCGAAGGCGGTGGTCACCCATGTGGTATCGCGCGCACGCACAGAGGCAGGATAATAGACATTAGTTACTAAGAATGCGACCGAATCCAGTTCAGTATGGTACTCAATGAGGGGTCTTCGTTGAGCCAATAGCCTGCACGGACATCGGCAGAGGCAAGGGTGCTCAAGACATAGCTGTCCGTGATCCTCGAGAGTTCCTATGCCTTTTAATTAGAGAAAACAAAACTCAAATAAGGATGGCGGAAAGAAAAGGAGGAACATTTTCCTTACAGTGCGCAGGGTATCGTCAAGGCCGGCGAGGGCAGTAGTGTGACGAGAGCTGGGTCGTTGGCCCTGGAGCATCTGTGCTCGGCTCATCGCCCACCGTCTGGCTGCGGCCATGCGTTGGTAGATCTTGTGCGCCTGAAACCTGCGCGCGCTTGCATCGAGAATGATCCTGTCATCATTTAGTAAAAAAGGGAGGTTCAGGCTATATATATAGAGCGTGTATATAGGTACCTCTGCAACTGGACCTTTTCAAACTCGCCGTCACCTTGCAGATTTTGGATTGACTGGATGTCGAACTGTGATGCCAACAACTCCTGAGCTTCGGCAACGCATTGTCTCATGAGGATGTAGCCCTGGGCCACCTCTCCCATCTCTGTGGCATCTAGCTTCAGCTGGGATATATGGACAAGCAATGTTCGAAAGTCGTTGATTATTTCAGATACTCGTAGAGCACGTGCTTCGTTATCTATCTCAAGAGTAAGTAGGTAGCCCGGTGATGATGAAAATGCACTACGCCGCATGCATGAATAGAACGTACATCCGTCAGGCATATTGGATGAATTGGTCCAATTGGAGTAAGCAGAATATTAAATGTATAGAATCCGATCGTGGCCCGCGACGAGTGAACGGTGCTCTTGTTCAATTGAGCTGATTAGTGGCGTAGAGAAGAAAAAGTAATGAATGTCCGGATTAGAAAGTAGAAGAGATAGTAGATAGTTGTTGATGATGGAGGATGGAGAGGAATAGAACGTCTCAAAACGACGGGAAGAGCCGAGCTTAAAAGGACGAAAGACGACGAGACCAGCCAACATGGTGAACTGGCGATATCTAAGAAAGCCCCCCTGGCTATCCAATGGCGCTGGAGATGAAGGCATCGGACAGATCACCGAGCAAGAAAAAAAATGGGAACCAGGTCACCACCAAAGCTCCGTACGACCAGATCTTCAAGGTACCGCCAGTGAACGAATCGACGGGAACCCAGAAAATGGGTCCCTCCCATCGAGCTAGCAGGCATTGGCACGACACGATGCATGTCTTGATGCTATCCTCGTCCTCTCTCCGCCGGATGGACGAGTTGCTGCAGGGCCAGCTCGCGCCTGCGTCAGCCACAGTTCACACACGCCACAGACACCAGCCATCTAGACCGTAAGCGGCTAGCGCGGCCGCCGTCGCCGCCAGCTGACTTTCTGCCGTTGCCACGCTTACAAAGCAGTCTTTTTTTTCTTTTATCCGACGTCCTTTACAGCATCGCAAGCTGAATGGCCCCCTGAACTGTCTCCAGCGGATGGAGTAATGCAGCGTATGCAGCGATGCTCGCCTGCGTCTACTGGCTCCGAGTCGACACAGCCGCTTGCGTTGCACAGACCAGCAGCCATCCGTGCGCAATGGCGATAAAAACGACTTCGCGATACCTGCGCTGGGATGAATTGTCCCGAGGTCCGATGGGAAATAAGCATAAACTGCTGCAGACGCCAGCAGAGGCGAAAGTCATCATCGTTCTGCTTCGGCTCTTCATAGGCTCTTGCGTCTCATGCAGGGGAAGTACACCTCTGGCAGACTGTCGGGCCCGCGGGTCGATTATCCAACCGACTACCCGGCCCGTTCTATACAGGAACAACTATGGGGGGGAGGAGGAGGATGCCAACTCAATGCCTTGTATAGATTAGAATTGATTGGAAAGCGCTCGGTTTTGATGCTGGCTAGGCAGACTGAACTAGGGGAGGGACCGCTTTCTCCTACACAAAGGGAGATAGATTACCTAAGGGGAGGAAAGAAGAGGTTTGTTGTAGAGTAGCAGTAGCATCGTCAATTGGATTCTCAAGGGGGAAAGTGAGTGAAACATGGAGCAATTCAATCCCTTTCGCTGATGGCCTGCAGCCGTTCCTCAATCTCGTCCTCCGTCAACGTACGGAACGCGGTCTGTGTGCCCTTGGTGCCATCCGCACGGGGTCCACCCACAATGCCAACCTCTATCTCGCCCTTTTTGAAATCAACACTCAGCACGGTACCCAGGGTCGTTATCGCCAGCTCCACCACGTCTTCCCAGCTTGCACCTCCGTCGTCCTTGTTCTTCAGCTTCTTCTCCAATAGGTTGAGGATCTCCTGCTGCTTGGGTCCGGAGGCGGTGGCTCGGTATCCAACGTAGTACCCGGCTGGGTCACACTTGAATAGTTGCGGACCATTTTCAGAGTCGACCGAGATCAGAGTCGTTGCAACACCCAGAGGTCTCATGTAGGCCTAAATATATGGTTTATGGCGTCAGCTGAGTGTTATTTTGGGTTACGGAACACTTTACGCATTCCATGGGAAGGGGGGAAGGCCAGGTAAACAAACCCTTTGTGTGTACACCTGGCTGATATTGGCAAGGCGCTTTGCGAGGACATCGCATGGCATCTCATATCCAAACTTGTACTCGAACTCTGCAGCTTCACTTCGTGCTCGGGTAACCTGTGCTCGACCATCTGCTATCGAACCCGTTACGACGCAGCCCACTGATGGGGAAATCTTGAAGACATGGGACACGGAGGATGGTTCAATGAGCTTATCCTGAATGGGGATATTCGTGGTTAGTTATTCACTTCTGCAATCAACCGCACATCATCTCCACAAGAAAATAAAAATCGTACCGGAACCTTCTTCTGTGATATAATCACAGCACAGTTCTTGCCTCGAACTCCGAGTGATGTGATGTTGGCAGCTGTAATGGCTTTGAAAGCATATTCTAAACATCGAACAGAACGTCAGCATCCACCCGGGACGACAATGTCAGAGCTCATATTACTGACCGACTTGGTACAACCTCCCCTGGTCCGAGAATATAGTAATATGTCTATCGTAGCCCGCGCTTCCTATTTTCACAACCGTTTAGCTGGTGGGACGCTGTCAACATCGACCGTCGGTGAGCGCTTACCCGACATGGTTGCTGAGGACAGATACGGTAGCTGAAGAGGGAAAAACGTAACAGGTCGTAAGCTCTATCTATGCGGGCCGTCTAGAGAATGAACGAAGAGAGTATCGTGGTAGTTTGGTAGATAGAAGCTCTTGTGGTTGTTGAACGCGTTTGCAGGAGCTGCCTTGGAGTAGCAAGCTCGGGCTGGCCCTAGCGCCCGTTTAGGCTTAGTGCAACATCCCCAGAATCAAAACCCATAAGAAATATTTTCTGCATTCTCAGAGTCGAGATTGGACTTTACAAAACAATATCCCGCGACCTATACGGTTCTACAATTCTTTCTTGTCATTCGTTCTATTCTGACTATCATTGCTGGACGGCCCATGCATATAATACACCAATTGGCAAACTGTTAACCACCAAATTTTATGCTCTCTCTCCCACCAGTTTGACGTGAGATACGAGAAAAAAACATTGGATCATGGGATCTACTCTTCTCTCTGCCTCGAAGAAGGCCAAAACTAAGTCAAAGCCTGCCAAAAACTCATCCAATAAAAATTCCGAGAGCGTCAATGAGAATGGCGAAATTCATCCAGATAGGCTCAGCCAGGTTCCGTCAAAGAAACGAAAGGCCGAGCCAAAGAGCCAGCCGGACCAAGATGATTCCAAGGACTCTTCTATACCCGAAGATATGAGCAAACCAAAGACCAAATCTAAGTCTCGAAAATCCGTCACCTTTTCAGAAGACACAAAACCACAGGAGGAGACAGCCGATGTGGAGCTTACGATAGACCCAGAGGATGACCCCGATTCACTTGCAAACAGAAGAGCTGCCAAGAGACGCAAACGTGATGAGCGCAGGAAAGACCGGAGTGCTTCAGTACAAACCAAACCAGAAATCAAAGTCTCATCCGATCCAGTCTTATCATATCTCTCGACTTATCAAAACTCAAGAAGCGAATGGAAATTTCAGAAGAACCGAGAAACGGCCGTCATCAAGAACTGTTTCTCTATAGATCGGATACCCGCTAGCTACAACTCTGCGCTGAGCGCTTATCTTTCCAGCTTAAAGGGCGAAGCGGCTAAAAAGCGCATCGTTGAAGCTGCCAAGGAAGCTATATCAAATGACGACAAGAGTACGAGTGACCCAACGACGGCTGATGTTGAAAGCCAGAGATCTATATATGATGATGCTGTAGATCTGTTCAGAGACCGACTGGAAAAGAAAGATGGTAGTGGGGATGATGATGAAATACCTGCCGGGCTAAGTCCGTCATGGCATAAGAGGCTGAGCACGAGACAGCGTGCAGAGTTGATCCTTCATCTCTTGGGTGACAGTATTGTGGCTCCGAAGTCGCAGCCACCCAAGAAGCCTACCCGAAAAACTAGAACTGCCGTTGTATCCGACTCCAGTAGCAGCAGCGAGAGCGATAGCGACAGCGAAAGTACTAGTGATAGTGGCAGCGATAGTAGTGATAGCGACAGCGACAGCAGTGTTACATCCCGCTCGGTTCAAAAGCCTTCAAAGACAAAGTCGAAGGAAACAAAGGGTGTGGAAATAAAAACCAAGGCAGCCTCTCCGTCCGAGTCTGAATCTAGCTCAGGTATGTTAAATTCTTATTCCAACCACAGGCCTGACGGTTGCAATGGGGTTCAGACGAACAGAACTAACTAATACTGCAAAAGCCTCTGATAGTACATCATCCTCCGGCTCCGACTCGGATTCGGATTCGGATTCGGACTCTGATTAAGTTGTAGATGTATACAAGCGTTTTCTACTTTTATACATGCTATAGATTATGATGAGAAACAAGCCAGTTTTAAATGATTGCCCCTCGTACTTGAATTAAGTCCCACTGTGAACATTAGACCCTAGCTTATATTATACGTATTCTCTATCATCAATTGGTGATTTATCGCGGTGTAGTGATATTATATTGAATATTTAATCTTCGCCAATGGTATCATTACCAACATCAAAACTTTATCAAGCAAAAACATGAGCTAATATTAAACCCCTCTTTCAAAGGTTGTGCGCCTAAAGACATTCAAACCCATCATGAAACGCCTGTAGGTTTTTCTTGGTCCCTGTCCGCCGTTGAATCCCCGGTACCACTAGGACCGCCAGCGCCTTTCCTTTTATCTTTAGTTGAAACTCCACGCCTTCTCCTAGTAACTTGATATACATCATTAAAATTCATCACTACTCCCAAAAAGCGCATGTCGACGTCTGGTTGATACGCTAGATCACCAAGAAGCGTAACTAAACGAACTCGGAAATCGGAGGACAGTTCACGCAGACGCTCGCGGAGGGAGGGTAGCAGATGATCTTCTCCTCCAAAGAGTGCATCGCCGCTGGGAAGAGGGGTGTCTGGCGAGTTTGGCTCCGCAGTCCACCATTTTCTTTGATTTGTTGATATATCAATACCGCCCAAAGCTGGTGAGTCTACTCTTCGAGTTGAGTCAGATCGGTTTGGTCGGGTGGACTGTTGCTGCATATCCTTTTCAGTTACCCCCCATCGTCCCTGTGCAGTTCGGGTCTCAATCTTTGCGTTAATTTCCTGTCGACGAGTGAATTCCGCGACTGAAAAGGAGTATAAACCATCCACTGCATCTTTGTATGCAAGCATCACTTTGAGTATTTGGTGGAGCTGGGAAAGGAAAGAGTCTTCTTTACTTCCAGTTGATGACGTGCCTGAGCGAGGAAATGAGGACGATGACGACGAGCCTAGGAGACCCTTGTGAGTAATCGAGTTCAAATATTTAGTGTGCGCTTCAATGAGATCGTCCAGTGTACATCCCGGTTTGGAGATGGCGACTTGTAACTGGTCCCAGCTGGCTTCAATGACTTCGAATAAAATATAATATTGAAGTTGGCAGACAAAGTGGATCATTTCAGCAATAACGCAACGAGCCCTTTTCCAGTCTGCCCCAACTTTGTCATCGACACCACCTAATACGCCTCTTGCACCAGTCATGCAGCGCCGCCATGTGCTTCCAAGTGCAAACTCGACTCGCTTTACCCTCCAAAGGAAGTTGAACACTTTCAGGTACTGTGTCGAGGCCCAGGGAGTAATAATCACGTCAACAGGAGCGTCAATTTTGTATTCCAGGGTGAAACAATCCCAACCGATCTCGCCGTGGCTAAGCTCTAACATGCGCGCGTCTAGACGCCTTAGCACATCGGGAGAATCATGCTGGGCGTTAGATGATCGAATAGCGTGTTCGAGTTGAGCAGTCAAGGTGTGACGATACTGGGAGTTAGCAGGACGGTCGAGATTTGACGATAAACTTTCCATGAGCAGGGCAATGAAATCTCCCTGGCCGAGTAAGAGGTACTTCTTCAAAGCATTAAGGTGGTCAAATAATTTGAATTTCGAGTCCATCAAGAATATGAGGCGGGCCATGGTAGTTTTGTATGCTTCGTCGATATAAGTTTCAAGGGTAGCAGTATCGCCATACTGCAACACTTTAGATGATTCTCGCGAGTATGCCACAACCCAGGCTGAATCACCACAGCCGTATCTAATAAAATTGAGTGATTTGCCAATCAAGAACACTTTCTTTGCAAAGTCATGTGTCATGATGGTTGGAACCATATCATTATCCAGCTTATATTTCTCATCCCAAACACTTGTTGCCGTCCGCCGTGGGTCTATGTCGGGTCGGGTCTCTGGCTCCACGACAAAGAATTCGTTATACGGGTCTGATAGTTCTCCATCGTATATCCATTGCCTCAGCATATTGTAGAATGGCCGCGTCACATGGGTTAAAAGCCGCTCAGCATAAGCACCAACAAAGGGGTCACCGTGAGAGGTCGAAAACTCATGAATCATGGAGATCAGTTGTCCCCCTCGTTTATTTTGGGCCTCTTCTACCATCAAACTCATCAAGCGCAGTGCGAGAGTGGCATCTTTCACCCATATAACACATCTCTTCAGTGTAACCCCGGCTCCCATAACTGATTTTTGATCGGCAGAATCTTGGGATACCGCAGTGAGAGCCCTCCTTATTTCCCCTTCTAGGGTCGCTACCAGGCCAAGGTACGAACGAAGCTCGCTCCCTATTGCAGCTCTTAAGCTCTGCTCAATCAACCCGCCTTCGGACTGCTCCACAAACTTTGATAATCCCCGATACAATAGACATGGCTCTGCTAGTGTATGAAGTATGGAAACCAAAGGTGTGGGGAGTGTCTTTGGAAGTTTTAGGACAGACTGAGCAGAGAATTCAAGGTTCGTTGTCGATAATCCCTGCAAAAAGAAAGGGAGGTCACGGAGGATTTCCGGCTCAGATGGTTTCACCACTACCTCATCTTGGGCCGGAGGTTCTGGTTCTTGGGTTTGCTTCTCGGGTGGAATAAAATCTTCCATGTTCCTTATAGTTGAGCCAGACGGTTTTGGCTCATCTTCGACCTTTTTCCTACGTTCCGGTTGCCTGGAGGACTTCGACTCTCGCCATTCGCGCTGGGATTGGCTCAGCTCAATGGGCGAGACTTCTCTGCCGATTGCAGAAGCTGAGGACCCGGGGTTAATGCTCTCGGGTGCATTTGGCCGTCTTCCTCCAAATTTATCCTTTATCGACATATAATCCAGTTGACGTTCGTCAAGCAATGGGCTCCGCGCTCCCTCCCTGAGTAGATTCCCATCCCGCTGGTCGGCATCACCGCCACGCTCGCCGATGCGATAGAGTAAATATAGAATTGCCCACTTCTGGCTCAAAACGGGCTGCGTAAGAAGTCGCGAGTATAGATTGGAGAACCGAACCGCCTTGTCGGGCGTTGTATTCACTTTGAGCAGCCTGCGTTTGATCAGGTCGGGTGCGTTGTTGATAACTTCAGCAGAAACCTCGACGCTTGACCCAGGCTGCTGCTTATTCCCACTACCATAGTTCCTTATAATTCGCCAGGCATTTTCTAAGGCAAGCTGATGCCGAAGTTCATCCCTCTCAGCAGCTTCTGCGCGTCCGTGACCGTCGCGGTATGATTCTGAGCCGGTATCATCGTCGATAGCATGCGGACTGGGGGGTAGTAAGGAGTCGACTAATTGCGACAGCGCGTCTTCGACGCGGCGGCTCCGAGGATTCGCGGATTTAGGAGGAGGAGGCATCACGCAGATGCATGAGAGGGCAGCATCTGGACATATACCTATGCTGTGGGCAAGTTCATGCTTCAATTCACCTTTTGATCCCACCAAAGTCTCATTATCAGTCGCGAACCAAACACTTACTTAATCAGGACTATACGCATTGTTTGCACTGTTTGTATTAGACTTGGTGTGATGTGATTACTAATCGAGCTTATTCATCCGCGACTTAAAGGGGAACATTTTCGATGAATATTCAGAACAAATGTGGAAAACATTAATCATTATTATGCACAGGCTGTGATATGGAAAGCCCTGACTCCATCATTCTCCTTTACCAGCAGCGGCTTCTGGATGCGTATGTTTTGCGGTCCCCGTCTCAGGTACTGATTCCTGTATCGCTGGCCCTGGCAACCGATATCCTTCCCATTGGGACTTTGGTATATACACATATCTGACGCTATCCCACTTGAACCGGCCATAGATGGCAAGAAGGGCAGCAAGAATTCCAAAGGCCAAGTAAACTCCACCGAAAGCTTTGTTTCTGAGCTGGCAAAATGGAAAGGAAGATGATCCGGATATAGCTGCGAGAGCAACTCCTCCTGTTCGAGCCAACACACTGATCACTGGGATCAACAGCTGCCAGGCGACGTGCGGGATAAGGGCAAGTGGCAGAGCCAGATATGCATAGAAGAAAGATGCGAAAAACCATGTTCCATCCTTTTGGAGCGGTGACTCGTAATAGAGGACCAGCGAGAACGCAACACAGACAATGGCTAGAAGCAGAAAGCCGACGATGATAAGCCATGCCCTCGACCTCAGTTTCATGACCGCAGCTGCAACAAGCCAGAGCCCGATGACTGCGCCCGGGAGAGTGGGATATATCCAGTATTGAGAAGCCCACTTGGGTGTTTCCACCTCCCCACTGTCTGACACTTGGAGGTTGCATGCCTTGTAAACTGAGATGCTCGACGCGATGACAGAGAGCAAGTCGACTATTATTGCTTTGCTATATTCAAACGTTGACATGCGCCTGCGGTCCTATACAGGCTCTCGGGGATTGTAGCCCATGTAATAGATTTTGGGCAGGTATTCGAATGAACTGGCATGATAGACAGCAAACACACCTGCAACACCAGGCATACTGATACGGAGACACTGCCAGCAGACAGCAGACATGAAGGCGCCAAATCCATGTTTCCAGAGCTTGGGAATCTCTAACAACCACCAGGTAACATTGACGCACAATGCGGCGATGATAAAAATGGCCCAATCGGTCGCGTCCGCCGTACAAGAGTTTTCCTTGCTATGATTCAAGGAGTGGTATGAAGAACGGGCCATGTTGGTTTGGTATATTCCGTAATTATCTCTTGTCTCGATGGTTTCTTCGAGCCTGACAGCACCGGGGCTGGGGGGATAAATACGGAGTCGCATACCAACAAAAGCATTTATAGGGGGTAAAATGTGGTAACACAAGCATCTGCAATTCGTGAAGTTGTATCCAATCGTGTCTTGATATCGACGGCCTCATAGCCAAAGAAAACATTCAGCCTCGTATAACGGCTGGTGCGAGCTAGTACGAGTCTCATATTTTTAGGACGCATCAACACGGCTTGCCATTCAACAAAGACTCTTCTCCTATTGGGTTTTCAGGAAAGAAGGCCAGCATTTTCGAGTCAGCCGATTCATGATTGACAGATTCAGGAACCATGTCTATCAGTACGACCATCATCCGTCTCGTCATATCTGCTCGTCTCTCTCTTCGTTGGGATACTCCCATCATACCGTGGCTCGCAGTTACAAACTAGATATTGAAATAATTATCAGTATCCTAGGAGAGAGAAGCCGCGAAGTCATGGATATACTTGACTTGATGTGCTCCATTTGACTGCTTCCACAGCCTGAACGGCAATGATATTCCACCCTAGCTAACAGACGAGAAAACATGCTAGCCTAGAAACTAATGTCTCGCACAGCTAGCATGGGTACAAGTCGTTGCCTGGGTCAAGTAAATACTTGTGATTCCCCCATGCGGCGACGCCGCATTATTTTATGGAATATTTATTCCTCGTATATTTTCCATTCCAGTCTGTGTCTGCCGTGAGAGCTTCAAACAGCAAGCAAAGGTGATTTTCATATAATCATCAATCGCCATTTCGGTTATAAAAATAACGGATGACTCAATTTTCGACCTATCTGAGATTTTACTCCAGATCAATGATGTGCTTATACCCTAGATTCCCACTCCTTGTTATCCTTCATCTAGCCCCCTCGCCACTTATCCAAATATATCAAATGATGACGGTCAGCGAAACTCTCTTGCTGCAATAATGCTGTTAAAAATCCCCAAAAATCGAAATACCAAAGTTCGATGGCATTTAATCTGGATCCCTAACCCCCTCATTCCTCCAGACCCGATTTCAAACTCTCTTCAGAGGTTCGAGGGCGTGCATATCTGTTTTGTAAACAGATATCCCTAGCGGTGTATTACGATGTTACGGATGCACGTAACATTTCTATCATCTACGAAACGTTAGAATTATATGCATTAACTACTTAGGAATATCCAGCCCGCGAGCCAGAAACAGAATATAGGCCCATTACTTCTAGAGCATCTAATTATAGGAAGATTCGTGCAGATAATTCCTGTATGCCACCTAGCAATCAAATATACTTGAAGATATTGCATATACCCTTGGAGAGCGACGGTTACACACAGGCGAAGGAACCTTTGGTCTTCTACAGCCAGTCATCCCATCAGAAGCTCTGTTTCTCCATCACCCCATGCTGGAGGCCTTGAATCTTGATTTCGATGCCGCCATACAACCCTATAGCAACGTTGAGCAACCAGTACGAGATATCTGTGGTACTCTACTCAGTTACCCGTGTACGGTAATTCGCTGCCCTCATACATAGAGGCCTTGAGGTTCACTTAGTTTTGTTTTGGGCAAACCGGATGAAATTCGCTGAAACTCGCCTCTCCAAAAGATATTTTACCCCCGAATTTACAGCGATTAACCATGTATAAGCTCGGCAAATTTCAGTTCTCTACGGATCAAATCTTAGCTTTATTGAGTAGGAATGAGAGTCAGCTACTGTCCTTATGGAAGGTTCTGAGGGCTGAAGAGCCTGTTACTGTCGCATTTAGCTGAATATTGGGCAGAAGAGATCATTGGGAGGCCAAATCTCACAAGTTCGTTTTGGTGAATGAAGAAAGTGACTCGGAGAGATTTATGGAATCCAATCAAACTTCCAAAGCCACCGCCGCCGCCATGTAGTTTTAGCTTCCATTTAGATGACGGCTATAGATAGCTCCAGGGGGGGCAATATCCAGGGCCTATCTAGTTTCTCTAACTATATGTCTTAGATCGACAAAGTTATAGTTAATGGAGGAAGAACGAGTGAATGGAACGATACAACAACAACGCATGCAGAGGTGGGCGAGGAGTGTGATAGTAGGGTTGCACGTCCTCCGGAGAGGGATGGTGGTTACCAACTCAGTTTTATGTTTTTTTTTTTTTTTTTTTTATCTAACTTCGCCTCTGGCCGGGTCAATGTGCTGTGTTGCTTTTCTATGGAGGAAGAGGGGGTTATAGGACTAGAGATAGAAGTCTTTAAACATTTGATGAGTCAAGTTAACCCGTATGCTCGTCCTGTTTTCTTCTATACTCCTCAGAATCTAAGACACGGGGAGCTCCTTTCAAGCAGATTCTCGCGGTGCTGGTTTGAAAAGCATAAACTAGGTATCCTTGATATCATAGCTACCTGAAAGAGGCGTTTGTAGCCAAGCTATATACCCTGCCGGTTTTTTCTCCCGCAACTTAGATTCAAGCTCTAAGTGAAAAAGAAAGCCAGGCTAGCACCCACCCAGCCGTCTATGCATGTAATTTGGAGAGAGCAGAGGCGGTACATCATTGATGTATCTCGTATATTTTAACTGTTTACTCTACTTCGCCGCTCGGAGTTACTATTGATAGATGCAGCGCCAGAAGTATGACTACATCATAGCCCCTTGATGAATAAACACTGCGGGCCGGAGAGGAGAATATTTCCAGAGTAAATAAAGGGGTTATTAGTGGCCTTGTAATAAGTACACCATAGTCAGAACATGTTCCCGAAATAAATGTCCATGTCATTCCCAGCTACTAAGAGTAAAAACATTTTTTTTATCTTTTTCCAACATTTCAATCATGACGCTCCAGTTCATTATCGACATGGCTTTCGTTAAGCAGCACAAGCTGGGCCCTTCAAAATAGATGATTTCACTCTATTTTTCGACCTGGTATTATTAGGGTGTAAAAGCACGTGGAACTGCTAATATATCCAGGATCGAGGGTGGCTTGGTACTATTAGCAATGTTAATATACATACTTACACTCATAAAGTTTCGGGAAGAGAATCATACCTTGTTCACAATGTGTGATGCCCATGTTAATACCATGTACATCTACCATCCCTGCACTTCTGAAGCGGCAAGCACTAGTGTTGTAAAGCATATAGTTAGTACTGTGATACTATTTCAACCGTAGAATGTATATGTCATACCTTTTTGCAATCACCACCGCATGTACCAAGTGGGCAAGAGCATTGGCCGTAATTGCATTTCTTAGGGTATGCACACTTCTTGCAATCATTTCCACAAGTATCCTTTGGGCATTGGCATTGACCGTATATGCACTGCTTGGGGTACTCGCATTTCTTGCAGTCATTTCCGCAAGTATCCTTCGGGCATTGGCATTGGCCATTCTTACACTCCTTGGGATGCTGGCACTTCTTGCAGTCATTGCCACAGGTATCTCTTGGGCATTGACATTGGCCGTATATGCACTGCTTGGGATACTGGCACTTCTTGCAATCATTGCCACAAGTATCCTTTGGGCATTGGCATTGACCGTATATACACTGCTTGGGATACTGGCACTTCTTGCAGTCATTGCCACAGGTATCCTTCGGGCAGACACATTGGCCATTCCTGCATTCCTTGGGGTATTCGCATTTCTTGCAGTCACTTCCGCATGTGTTCTTAGGACAGACACACTGGCCATAGATGCACTGCTTAGGATACTGGCACTTCTTGCAGTCATTACCACAGGTATCCTTTGGACAGACACACTGGCCATTTCTGCATTCCTTGGGGCGTTCGCATCTCTTACAGTCGCTTCCACAGGTATCCTTTGGACATTGGCATTGGCCGTATATGCACTGCTTGGGATACTGGCACTTCTTGCAGTCGTTTCCACAGGTATCCTTTGGACAGACACATTGGCCGTTCCTGCATTCCTTGGGATATTCGCACTTCTTGCAGTCGCTTCCACATGTGTTCTTAGGGCAGACACATTGGCCGTATATGCACTGCTTAGGAGCTTTGCACTGTAATTATGTTAGATTTGTCTCTAGACTTGAACCCGAAGACTAAAGAAGATTATACACGTACCTCCTTGCAATCATTTCCACAAGTATTTGCTGGACAAGAGCACTGGCCATTCTTGCATTGCTTGGGAGCCTTGCACTATAATATTTGAATATTTTATTAGCCTTGAACCCAGTGGCCACCTGCGGGATGCGCACATACCTCTTTGCAATCAGCACCACAGGTATCCTTTGGACATTGGCATTGGCCGTATATGCACTGCTTGGGAGCCTTGCATTCTTTGCAATCGGATCCACATGTATCCTTTGGACATTGGCATTGTCCATAAATGCACTGCTTAGGAGCCTTGCATTCCTTGCAATCGGTTCCACAAGTGTCCTTTGGGCAAGAACATTGGCCATTTATACATTGCTTAGGGGCATCACATTTTTTGCAATCAGCACCACAAGTTCCAAGTGGGCAAGAGCACTGGCCATAATTGCACTGCTTAGGAGCTTTGCACTGTAGTTATGTTAGTTAGATATTTGACTAGACTTGAAACTAGAAGTCAGGGAAGTTGTAGACATACCTCCTTGCAATCAGTACCACAAGTGTCCTTTGGGCAAGCACATTGACCATTGATGCATTGCTTAGGGGCGTCACATTTTTTGCAATCAGCGCCACACGTTCCGAGTGGGCAAGAACATTGGCCGTAATTGCACTGCTTAGGAGCCTTGCATTCCTTGCAATCAGTTCCACAAGTGTCCTTTGGGCAAACACATTGTCCATTGGTACACTGCTTGGGGGCTTTGCACTATTGGCATATTAGTATATATCCGATAAGCCTTGGAAAACAATGGGAAATAACACATACCTCTAAGCAACTGGCACCACATGTATTAGGCGGGCAGGAACATTTATGGTCTTTGCAGAACATTGGAGCCTTGCACTGTTATTTATATTCAGTTAGCCTCGGTCATCAACAGGACATCATCGTGTCCTTCCAAAGGGTATAGAGGCAGAGCAGACGTACCGGCCCACAGCAACACTCAAAACCATTATGCGCAGCCTCAGAGACACATGCGCCAACATTCTTATATCCACATTTTGAATAGTTGTCTTGACACCAGTGTGCACACTCACTGTTGTCGTGGCCAGGGATTGCCAAAGAAATGGCGCCTATGGAGTTCAGTAAGATATTGCAGAATGTTATACCAGTGGGAATATGGGGAACTCACTGAAGAGAGAAAGTAAGAGCAGGAAGAGGAGTTTAGCCATCTTGAATCGCCGTTGATATTCCTCTGGGCTTTAGATTCAGTTTGGTGTAGGACTAAAGGAATAATTCAGGACATGACGATTCCTTTTATGTTCCCATGCCAGCTCATACACCTCAACCAGCAGTACCCAGCTCCAGTTTGATATATTAGAGTTCATCGTCCCTCAACCCCGAGAAGTTGAAAACCCCCTACCTACGGGAAACACAGGCTGCTCTGGAATCTATCGAAAATGTCAAATATTAGCGAGGTTTCGAATTCAATCTTGCATGTTCAGTATTAGCGAAGGGAGAAGTCCAACCCTGTTGCATTGAGAGCAGCATCAGCCTTGCCCCGAGATATTAAAAAAATGACGTGTTAAACAGCCGAGTTGATAGAGAGAAACTCTTTCCAAAGGTCAATTCCAGTGGGAACTAGGTATATCTCCCGTATTCGTCCAAGATGCGTGGCAAAACCAGCAAGCTTCCCTGCCTAAGCTCGGAGCTGGTTAGGTCGGTACTTTGTAGATTGATTCAGATGAAATATTTCCGACCTCTCGGACTGCTCATGCTTTGTGTTTTGAGGCTGCAGGTCCAGACTGATGTACTTCTTCTAGCCCGCTCTAGCTGTGTTTCGAGCCGCAGCAACGCCCCGACCTCTTTCCTCAGTTCTGGTTGGATTGGCGAGGTGACCGGCCAATCGCTTAAGGGTCCGATGCTGGTGGTGTGTTGTTCGACTTCAAGCCGCATGACGGCTTGTATATTAACTAGCGTACCAACTTGATTTGCCTGCCCATTAATCTTAACCGGTTGATATCACAATTACATGGCACCTATGAATAGGACTGCCAGGGCGCATAATCGAGCGCCTCCTGGATAACAGCTGTCTGTTTTTTGATTCTCGGTTCAACACTGATCCATTCTCTCATCCAGGTAACCGAGTCCAGACGTATTCGAAACGCCATCGAGTGTACCTTCGTGAGGAGCTGGTAGGGGGGCAACCCGGTATTAGACCTTGCTGCAGTGCAGACTGCCGTAGAATATACAACCTTGGAGGCTCGGGTTACCTAGAGAAAGGTTCCAACTATCCAAAGTGATATTCCTGGCCGGTAGCGAGGAGGATGAAGCTGCTCGTTCTTCGTCCCCGACAGACCCCGCGAATTGTTGGCCCGATGTGATTCCGCATAGAACAGACCCCGATGCGTGGCACTTTTCACTCAAACGGTTGAGAGCATCTCTATACGGCTTGCCTGAGGATCGACTGGATAACTCGGAATGCGTGCCTTGTCATGTTACTATCTGTGGTTGTCTTTCTGGTTGTTTTTGCAACAAGGATTCTTTCTTTTCCCCGGATTCTTGGCATGCAATGCAACCTTTTGACATCGACCTCCGACACGGGGTGGCGGCTAATAGTTCCATGTCCCGGAGCTACTGCAGCAGAGGAATGAGACGAGGACTCTACGGTAGCAATTCCTCCATGACGATCTTGCTGTTTATACCAAATATGTCGTAGGTGATCTACGGCAGCCATTATATCCGGAGACGAGGCCTATGGTACAGAGCAATATGATATTGATAGCTGACAGGTATTACCTAAGTATCCTGCTGCCAGTGATTCGATGTATACTTCTATGTATACGGAGTACCTCTTCCACATCTATTTCCGTCTTTTTTTTCTATTTTTAACCTCTTCCGCCGTTTCTTGCATCTCCTCAGTCCCCTCCAAAGCCATATCAGCTTCGGCGAAACCTTTTCCTTCATAGCTTCTTTTAGTCTCTCGATATCTTCCCTTGGCTGGTCTCCCATACGCTCCAACCCCTCCTCGTACTTTCGCCCAATCCTTCTTTGACCGAGCAGCTCGTGGCTCCATCCGTCTTGAAACTTGCTTCCGCCACCTCCTTTGACTGCAGGTCTCTGTCACGAGGCGCTTGACATGCAGGAGTCCCGGAATTCAGGTTGCTTTATCTCAGCCCCGGGGATTCTCTTGTGCACGCACTTTTCCCATATGGCATTGAATGGCAGCAATGCAGGTGCTAATGCCTGATTTCAGCCCTTGATCGTCGACCTGTCAATTTCCCGGTTGTCCGTATCGAATAATGCTTTCCACGTTGTCGAGCCAGAAATTACACACGATTCTCCCATTGGTGCATACTGTTGAATGTACGACCTCAACTCAGTACATTGCCTGAGTCCTTCAAAAAAAAAAATTGTTGACAACTGCAGTCATATAAAAAATAGCAAGTGGCTCCCTCAGCTATGTCAATTGATCCCGCAACAACTGCACAACCACAGCCATCCTTGGCATAAACGCCCAGGGCTGTATGTGTATATCCAGAGCTGAGGGAACTATGCCTAATGAAGTGAGACATACATCCCCTTCGCCAAAGGCTTGGTTGCATACCGTTGTTGACTTTGACATATGGTGATGGCCGTTAGGTTAGCCTATACAAACCACTATGAAGCCTAATGATGTTTTATTCCAGCAGTCACGGCGTCAGAATACCCTCCTATGAGCTCTCTGACCTCATGGTAAATTGTCACTGCTGGGAACAATATTCAGTATTTCCTGTGGGCGTTTTCTCCGGGGCAACATCGTCTCCACCTTATGGCGGTTTTTTTCTGCATTATTGTCTATCAGCCCAGTCTATTTTTCGAATAGATCGTCGGCCCGCTTAATTGAGTGGGAAACCATGAACTCCGCCCTTATCGACCAGCTTATCGACGCCAGTAGCATTGTCAGAAGAAAGCCACACTTTCTGGCAGAGTTCGAAGTTCAAAGGGCACCCATCACACGCTCAATTTTCACTTGGGAGGTGAAAGCGGGGATATATCTTGTTGGATCACGATCATACAGGTAATGCATTACCCTGCATGGTGTACACATTGAGATAGGGTCTTGAAAGTTCATCCTTAGCCTTGAGGGCATTAACGAGATCAATGATGAGGCCTTTACCTTCAGATGTGCATATTTCAGCCCAATGCTTTGTGATAATGGCTGCAGGATGCGTTAGCCTCTTATTATGCCTATCCAAGGCGGTGGGAGTGTGTAATGTCTAGCTAGGCTGTTGTGGCATCACGAGGAGAAGCTATTGTGCCATTTTTTTTGCAGGGTAAGTGGATGCTCTTTATGAAATCTTTCGGTGTAGTAAAATGATCCGGGGTATGAGTATGAAGTTATCATATTTGTGTTTAGAATCAAGGAGAAGGCATCTCTCAAACCACGGTTTAGCACAATTATATTCAACACGGAACTGGTTCATTTATAGGCTCATGGATCTTCCATTTTGGACTGAAGAGGCGACCAGATCCTATACCCACGAGAAACGGTGCAAGGGTTATCACCTTTTGGTACGTTCTTATCGAGAAATACCTCCTGTCCGAGAGTTGTAAGAGGCAACTCATCGCACACCTCACTGCCACCAACAGGGCCCCCAAGAACTTTGGCTAAACGACAGCATGAGCCAGGTTGCTAAACGAAGCTGGTACCATAACTAGAAGGTAAGTGGGAGATCTTGTGTTAGATCCAAGTGGATTATGAGGGCCTCAGCATAGACTCGGATGAAAACTCTGTGAAACGTGAGATCAGCGGCGTTTCACACTTCAAGATTGAGTGTATAAACAGACACAGGGACCAGAGCTGTGCTGGCATGATTGACCACGACATGACAATTTAGGCTATCAGCATCTTTGGTCTTGGGTAGCATACTCTTGTATGGAGGAACACTATGTTTCCTTTGAGGTCTAGTTATTCTCGGCAATACTGTGTGGTTTTTCACTTGATTTTTTTAATGTGTTTCAGATTCATTGTGATCTAGTCATTAGGAACCTGGAACCAATATATCATATGTTGTTGCTAACTATTGGATAAGTCATGCTAATTCCATGCCTACTCATAGGGCGTACACTTTTTATTTTCTGGAATCGGGCTTGCTTCGTTTCGTCGGCCTTTTAACATTGGCACGGGATTCGAAGTCCGGCGTTATTTTAGTGCTGTTTGAAGTTGATTAATTCTGAGAGTATGGAGAGCATTGTATGGAATAATTGATAGATAAGATAGATTTCCGCGGATCAAAGTAGCTTTCATTATTCATAAACACTCTAACCACCTAATGACGCAAACAGCGTGTAGAGTAGTGTGTTAGTCACATCACATATACCGAGCAGAATCAAGTTCCGGGCGATGATGTTGTGAAAGAGACGGGTAGGATTAATCTTCGGATGGAATGAGGAATGAACTCCGTGGTGTGAATAAGGAGACAGCCCAATTTATATCCGGTCACGATATTATCGTCACGACGGGGTCCAGAGTACATCGGGAATATAGGAACGTGGGTGATATTTGAATAAGTGGGGAATAATAATTTATGATCTAGGTGGTTTATTTTTCAATTGGTTCCGAAGCTCATCTCGAAATAACTGGAAATATTTCTTGAGTCCCGGTCCTGCGATGGACAAGCAAGTTAGAATGGCCTTAGAATAGTAATATAATAGCGGTGTAGCGTGTGGATAGATACCATCAATGTTTGTGCCTCCCATATCTTCGGGAGCCTTGCCATGTCTGAATTCCTGGACGGATTTGTGGACGCGCTGGACGGCTCGATGGAAGGTCGGGCTTGCCAGAAGCTGGCTTAAGTTAGTTGAATGATCTTTCGACGCGCCATCAGCGGGCCATAGATACCCTAGCAGTAAGCCAAATCTATATCGTGTGTTAGTTAAAGGCCATCTGGAAGACAAAAGCTGAAGAGCTCCAACATACCTCAAAGAATCTTAGCCACATTCTGGCTTCCTGATCTACATCCCTATCTTGCGGGTACTTGCTGACTCGCGCCCAGAGAAGAGCGACAAGAGCTGTTCAGCATGCTCGTTGTTGAAGAAAGATCAAAAGTGCAAACGTTCAACGACCAAAAGTGCAAGCGCAAGAAGTTGATGTATTATGTAAGCTCAAATGTATTATGTAAGCACGAATGTATTATGTAAACTCAGATATATTATGTAAGTAGTTTATGTAAGGTGTATTATGTAAGTTTCTATAAAAATCGAAATTGTAAGGCATATCACGTGATAACCCACTATTTTGGTGCAAAAAAAGGCGCTTGGGCCCAAACCTAGTTTCCGGCCGTTTCTTCCCAACGCAGAAGGACGAAGCAACCCGCGATGCCACAGGACGCACGACGAACGGCGGCCTCTTCTCTCGATGGGACCTGTTGGAACTACCGCTGCCCGCCGTTCTTTTCTCTGCTCTAACAATCGATTAGCTGGACTGGGACCCTGTCGATCGGCCGTTTAGTGTGTTTGTTTGTTGACTTGAAAGTTAGCGCCGCTGGTCGTGAGTGTTCCAGGGTAGCTTGCTCTCGCATCTGCTGGTGACGGAAGATTAATCAAGCAACAGGACCAGCGCTCTGCATCGCCGTTTTGACTCCTCGACCGTGGACTCTTTCGTTATTCCAGCCAGACCGACAGTTTGACCGTTATCGACACTTGCCCTGACAGCTGACTTGGCTCGTCGTTTTGCGTTCCCCCCCTCATTTCGAACCTGTTCTACCTGTATCGCTGCTGTGCTCGATAAACACCAAGGACCATCATTACGATACTCTGGTTGCTGGTTGAACATACTACAGGGTGCCGAGGATGCTGGGCTGATCGCAAGTCAGCAAAGCTTCGCTGGCAGGTCCTCGATTTTTCGAATCTATACCCCCTCGATATTTAGGGGCGCACACGATACGAAGCCAGAAACAATCCCCCCTGAAACATTATACTATAGAATTAATAGTTGAACATCGGTATATTCATCTATGATGGATGGTCAACGCCAACAATACATCCCCGGGGCTCCCATGGGATCACACCAGCAGGGGCATATACCTCTACCGCCTCCGCCGCCGCGAACCCAGGCCTCTCATGGCATCTCTCTACCGCCGCCTCCGGGCCCCCCGCCAACCTCTCTATATGCGCTTCAAGGGATGCAACAAAGCTGGGCGCGACAGGGGATGAACCAGCAATACCCACCTCCACCTCCTATGATGCCAGTAAACCACGCTCAGAACCAGCACCTAGCCGCATACGGCATCCAGCAGCATCGAAAGCCGGGAACGCTTTCTATACAGCCTACTATGGGCGCAGACGACCCGCCTCTCACGTCTGCTACCTATATCCCAGGAATGGGGACGTTTGGCCCGGGAGTGGGAATTCCACCCCTTGTCACGCACGAGTCTCACGCCTCGTTTGGGAGACAGGACCCCTATGCCTACCAACAACAAGACTTTGGTGCTTTTAGACAACAACAGCAACAGCAGCAGCAACAACAACACCAACAACAATATTATAAACAACCTAACGAGGGGATGACACAGCACCATCAGGCCCAGCGGCCCTATCAACTCTCCATACCTCAATCAGGACAACTAGACCCGCTCTCTTCGGGGCCATCCACTGCCACAAAATATAACCATACCCCTCAGACGGCCCTTCCCCCTGCTGACCCTCCACAACATGAGAACCAATCTTTCAATAGTAATGCCGCTACGCTGAATGGCAACTCTAACGGCGATACCGAAAGGTGGCCTTTAGACCGAGTATTACTCTGGCTAGCTAACAACGGGTTCTCCCAGGATTGGCAAGAAACCTTCAGGGCATTGGACCTGAAAGGCGCCGCTTTCATTGAGCTGGGCTCAAGAGGAAATCTCGGCAAGATGCATCAAGTTGTTTACCCTCAATTAGCAAAGGAATGTGTCAAGAGCGGGACAGGGTGGGACCATCCCCGTGAACGAGAGGAAGGGAAGCGCATGTGTAAGCTTATTAGAAGGATTTCCAGCACTCTTGGGCCTGAGAATAGCGAGCAAGGACGATATTACCGACATGAAAATGCAGCTTCACACAGCGCATCTACAGATGGCGGAATTGAAAACTCGCCCAATATAGGACGAGAGCCAATGTCAGCAGTGTCAAACAACATAACTGCGGAAAACAGCCCTGGACAGCAATTTGCCAAAGTGGACACATCGAACACGACACAAAGACAATATTCTGGCCAACATATGACTGTTCCAAACGCCGACGCTTCAACCAATGATTCAAATGGACAGGATGCTGTCTTTCGACGAAAGCACAGCCCGTCAGTTTCAAGCGATACCGGTTTCCCACCTCCAACATACTCTGACAGTAAATCCCATGCCAACAGCCCCGCTGCTCAATTTGCATCTCTTGCTTCACCTGGTCATCACAATAAACGAAATAGTTCGGATTCAACTATGAGCCGTGGCCTCTCGTCCCAAGGTGGAGCCGGTGCCAGCGGACCAAATTCTTCTATCCGAACCAGTATAGGCGTTGCACTGGGGGATTGGCGTAACTATTCTCCCCAGGAGCAACCCAAGCAAGTGAACGATACACCCCACAAGGAAGGAAAAAGCCTGTTTAATATCTTTAGAAAAAGAAACAACCACGACAACTTTCACCATTCATCTGATGAAATGTTCGATTCACCAACAAGCCCAGGGTTGGGTGCCCGCCATACCCCACCATTCGCAACTTCTGGCCAGACACCATCCGCAGTGTCAGAACATGACAAGTTCCGGACACAATCGTGGAATATACCGCCACCTTCGCCAGCCAAGAAATTTGTGTTTGGCACAGTTGACGGGTGGAACTTTCGTTTGATCGATGTTTCTGATGTTGATGCGGCTGACTCGCTCCGAGCTCTTATCTGCAATAGCGTTGGTATCAAAGATCCTGGGAGTGCCTTGATCTACCTCACCGAACCTGGACAAATTATGCATGAGGAGCCACTAAGTGACACAATGCTAGTAGTGAATCGGCGCGCCAGATCAGATCATTTAGGAAGCTTGAAATTCTTTATTCAGAGCATTGCGATGCCGCCGTCTGCTGGATTGGGTGTTACGTTTGAAAGGTCAATTAATGGTTACAGAATCCCTCTGGATATGATGGACGATGATAACTCGAGCCGAGTTTCAACGGCACGACGAGTTACCCCGGCCGAGAGATCCCAGCATGGCCTGTCGAACACCAGTGTCTTCCCACCATCTACGAATGGAGGCCAGCCCAACACTCCGAATGCTGCGGCTGATCAAGAAAAGGAAGTACTGCTACAGCGGGCGCATGAGCAACACGTACGTGAAGCTGAACGAAAACAGAAAGCCTATCTTGATTCGAGGAAGGATCGGATTCAAAGAACTGAGATTTCCACTGGAAGCGCTCCCGTTAGTATTAAAGGTGACCGCGTGATTGATTTTAATGTACCACGCACTTCGCCATACGAAGACAAGAGATCCGACACCCTTATTCCGTTACGCAAGCCACCGCTCGCCCCATCAGAGTCGAACACGCTTACCAAAGTCAATTCCCTCAGTAGGAAGCCTGAAGACCTCAGAATGAGGAATTCAAAGGAATTCCAGCCTGAATTCCACAGACAGCAGTCATCTGACCCCAAAACAATTTCACCAAGTATAGGTTTTGGCCTAGGAGCTGCCTTGGCCAGCGTTGGGAAGATGTCAGGGGCAATTGGAACGCCAATGCGCTCGTCCACTACCCCCAACCCTTCAACTGAGGGCGCAGGGAGGCCAGATTCGAGACGTTCTGAATCTGGAGCCATATCTCCAAACACAACCCCGCCAACAGACAAGGAGAACCTATCTTCCAATACCTCAAGCCGCAACGAAGACCGTGAAGGTAACGGTAGTAGCAGTCGCAAACCCTCGACTAGTGAATGGACCAGCCAGCCGGACACAAATTCATTTTCTTCGTCCGAATCTACACTACCATCGAAGCCAACGTTACAGTCTCGGAAGTCTTATGGTCCTGATTTTGATTTCCAAGAGTCCCCTGTTCCATTTGCTAAATCCCCGTTGCCGCAAGAAGACTCAGATGATGACTCGGACTCAGGTCTTTTTGCCAAACCTTTAGCTAGACCAACCCCGCCTCAAGCGAAGAGGAAGCCTGTTTCCGATACGTCCAAGAACGAGGAATTAAAACCAACGTTAAAGGTTAATACGGAATCGAGATCAATCCAGGGACGCTCGGTAGCATTCAAATCGCCGACCACCTCAGGCACTTCCGGGACTTTCCCTCCTAGTGCTATTTTCGACCCAAGTGAGAACCGAAATTCTGCTGATGCTGACACGAGTAACCCATCAACGGATGATCGCGACTATGATAAGCGTCGGGAGTCATTTGTTAGAGACGATATTTGGGCAAGTAGGCCTCCTGTAGAAGGAATGATCGATCATTTGGACGACTTCTTCCCGGGAGTTGACCTGGATGAACCCTACTTGGATGGAAATGCTCAGTCCCCTCCACTATCGCCTTCTGGGCCGTCATCCAGAGACGAAACAGAGCCAGAAGTAACAGAGGCCAGTAGTGGCACGGGCCAAACCACAGGTACGGCAGGGTATCAGCCCCTGAAGGATATCTCCGATGTGTTGGGATCAGCCGAATCGACTCTTAAGGCAAAGAGGGTGCCAAGTACCGTGGCGCACAGGAATCTATCACGATCAGGAGGGTTGAACAGGATGAAATCTATCCGTGAAGTGGCTAAGGGAGCTCACCAAATCAACCGGCACCAGAGTATACACAACAAAGGCGCAGCAGCATCTGGAATTCTTCGTCGAAAGAGCACGAAGATGTTTGGCGCTAGGATTATGCAAATTAGTCCAAAGCCAGGAACACGACTTAGTGACCTAGACCCGATGCCACAACAGCCAACAACCATGGTGCAGCAGGGTAAACTGCCACAAAGACAACCAACCTTCCGTATCATTAGGGGTCAACTTATCGGCAAGGGAACATATGGCAGAGTGTATCTGGGCATCAACGCAAACACTGGTGAGATTTTGGCCGTAAAGCAAGTCGAGGTGAATCAAAAGGCTGCCAACTACGACAAGGATCGCGTGAAAGAACTGGTTTCTGCAATGGATCAGGAGATAGACACTATGCAGCATTTGGAACACCCGAACATCGTCCAATACCTTGGGTGCGAGCGAGGCGATCTCTCAATATCGATCTACCTCGAGTATATTCCCGGAGGCAGTATTGGTAGTTGTCTTCGCAAGCACGGGAAATTCGAAGAAAGCGTTGTGAAGTCTCTGAATCGTCAAGTGCTAAGTGGACTCTCCTACCTCCACGACCAAGGAATCCTTCATCGAGACCTAAAGGCAGACAACATCCTGCTCGACCTTGACGGTGCCTGCAAGATCTCAGATTTCGGTATCTCAAAGAAGAGTGATAACATCTATGGCAATGATGTTACCAATTCCATGCAAGGTTCAGTCTTCTGGATGGCTCCTGAGGTTGTTCAGTCGCAAGGCCAAGGATATAGTGCCAAAGTGGACATTTGGTCGCTCGGTTGTGTCGTTCTTGAGATGTTCGCAGGTCGACGTCCATGGAGCAAAGAAGAAGCTATCGGGGCAATCTTCAAGCTGGGTAGCTTAAACCAAGCACCTCCTATCCCTGAGGATGTGGCACTTGAGATCGAACCTGCCGCTCTCGCCTTTATGTATGATTGCTTTACGATGTAGGCCACAATTTTTCCTTATGCCACCCCTGACGAGTAATATCCCACATTTTACTGACGCCTCTTCTAGTGACACCTTCGACCGCCCAACCGCGGAGACTCTCCTGTCACAACATCCATTCTGCACCTTTGATCCGAACTTTAATTTCCTAGATACCGAACTACACGCCAAGATTCGACACGTCCTGTAGAGCCCCCCTAAAAACCGTTCGACAGGTATAGTTTACTTGTGTTCTTGATATTTCTCTCAGAAATTTGGTCATGCTGGCATGGGCCATCCTTTGAAGAATAAGGAATACTCGTCTGACTTTAAAATTTGCCCCCAATTTTCTTTTTGTTATCTCCTTTTATTTCGCCTCCCGTTCTCCTATGTTCGTTCTACCGATCCGGCCCATCTTGGAAGACGGCTTGGATTTTCTTGATCTTGTTTATGATACATCACTATAAATTTGTTATGAAGCCAGGACTAGCGTAAAGCATGGGCGTTTGCAGGATTTCTTACCCTCGGGCTTACTCTTCCTTTTAATGATTAGTTTGGTTGTTTATATTGAAGCAGTATGGCGTATACATACGTTTATTCGGTTTTGAATTTTATACTATAGCCAAAATTACTATTAAATATACCTATAATACGCCTTATTGTTCATACGATGGCAGAGATGCGTTCCTGGATACCATCCTGTGTTGAAAGTAGATGACAACCCCTGGGCGCCCTAGAAATATCTCTGCTCACGTGAGTAAGCCCCCTTAGTCAGCCTCTCCTGTGCCAACACGCGATGAAGAGCGAGACTTTAAGCAGACGACGCGACTTCAACTCCCCGAGTATATAAACTGGGTTAATGAACTGAGGCTACCGAGATATGGCTTCTTTATCCTTTACATTGCGTCCAGAGGCGCTTCTACAGCTTCGTGATGTACTGATCTGTCTATCCAAATTCAATGAAACCGTCTCAATTGAAGCCGAGTCTGACTCTGTAAGAAATACCCATGTAAACTGTTTTTTTTCATGAAATAAACAGGTCCATATATATCTATATATCTCACAGTGTAACAAGAGTTGAATTAAGGCATATGACTAAGTTTAAACCCCTAGTTGCGCTTTTCAACGCTGAATACTACCAAATCCGGCTACGCATCGTACAAGTTTGATGCCACGTCCTTCTTTGCCCAATATTCCTATAGTGCATCTAGGAATAAAGATAAGACTGGACGGGATAAGGTTTCTTGTCAGATATACATCAAAGTATGTCCTCTCTATTGCCGTTGGAGTTAGATGGTTTGGACTAACTCTTGATTCTAAGGCGCTATTATCCGTGTTCAAGGGACGGGCTATCGATTTCAAGGACAAGGATACTGGAATTGAGCGGTGTGAAGCCCAATTGTTCGACAGCCCAGATGAATCAGAATGCCGACTAGTCGTCCAGATGATTTGCAAGCACGGTAAATGGTTCGCTCGGTCATGCTTGATGTTATATAGCGCTAACGTGGGTGTGTCAGGGGTCCTCAAGACGTACAGGCTAACGTACGAGCCAGCTGACATCCAACATGCGCTATTTGACAGATCTGGAGCCCAGAACCAGTGGGTTGTGGACTCAAAGTTCCTGCGAGAAATTCTTGACCATTTCGGGCGCAGCGCAGAGCAATTAGATATCTACCCTGATGACGACCGGGCTGTATTTACCAGCTTTACGGAGAAGGTGATGGCCGGGACAGGTATGATCTCTACGACCGCATACGTTAGGTTCCTGGCTTTTCTAACATACAGCAGAAATATTGAAACAACCGGTCCATACGTCGGTGGCCATTGAGACGCGAGACTTTAGCCACTTCGCCGTTGAGGAAGGGTTGCATGTTGCTATCAGTGTTAAAGACTTTAGAGCTATTATTCTCCACGCTGATACCCTTAAGACACAAATTACTGCTCGATACACGAGGCCCTGTAGGCCACTGCAGTTTTCCTACGATGTGCCGGGGATGATGTGTGAGTTCACACTGATGACACGAGGCGAGGGTGTCGATGAGACAGAGTCTGTCCCTTCACAGACCAATGTGGCGCGGGAGCTATCGGCTCGACCTATGCAGCAGCCCGTCGCCAATGCGCCAGTGGAGAGAGGTTCCAGCGTCCGATTATCTGGCAGGGAGCAGCAGCAGCAGACGCAGGTACAGACGCAGGTACGATCCCAACCGCAGATGCAGATGCCGCCACCGGCATCTCAAAGGCAGGAAACCAAGCCGATCATCCCACCTGGATCGCTTGCGCCTGTGGCACCGATCGATCATGAGAGCTTGTTTGTTGCAGTGGACGATGATCACCAGTGGGATGAACCCCGCTACGGCGACGAGGAAGAGCAGGAAGATATGCTTCGATGGGACGCAAATCTTGACCAGGTATGTATTTCCTTGTTTGCCGTGCCGTTTCTTATGTGGTGCTTCATACTGATGTGATGTGATCCAGGAGGCATTGCGACAGAGCCTCGGGGGAACGATACGGGATAATGTATCTAGGATGGAACCCGTCAACGAGCAAAACATGCCCGATGCTAACCCCACTGAGGATGATACGATGGGCATTCCGCCGACTCAACGAATATCGCAGGTGAGATGTGCTGGCTTTCTATATTAAGATGCAACGCTAACCGGGGGTGTAGATACGCGGTCTATTCGACTAATGCCGCCGCTTGGCATATATTTACTTGGATACCGACTCAGACATCATGACCCAACTCGTTGCGCATCCTGCACCAACAGCATCGATGCTACCACCGTCCAAGGGCAGTGGGATCTCATTCCACCGTCCAACGACGTTACCTTGCTCATCAGTATTCGGCCCGCAATTACCATGCTCCCCCCACCCAAACGCAATCAACGTTCTACGGTCGATGGCGCCAACAACGTGCTCACTTCCAGCAGCCAGATGAGCCAGAGCCGGCATGGTCGAAGGAGGCAACTGGCCTCGATCGTTGCGACCCCAAGCCAACACCCTGCCATCGCATAAATGTACATAGACGCCATGCCAGCTGGTAGCCAGCGAGGTATATCCGGCTACCATAGGGGGAGCAGCGGACGAGATGGCCCATTTATCCGGACCTAGGATGTAAAGTGGTGACTGAGCTGAGGACGAGGATGAGGACAGTGAGCCAGAGGAAGAGCCGGCGAGGACGGTAAACTCCCTGCCACAACTGACGGCTCGCACATGTTCAGGAGGCATATTACCACCCACCATCATCCTTTGCGGCGACCAGACGACCTTCTCACGCACCTTGTCAGCTCCCAGCTGACCCTTCCTAGCCCCTCCCCAACCGTACACCGCACCGTCATCCAGGAGGACGACGGTATGTCCCATCCCGCTAGCAATGGCGGCGACATGCGTGCCATCTGGCGGGAAGTTAGACATCCGAACTGGCACCTTTGTCTCCGTCACATCGGGCCCCAGGCCCAGCTCACCCTTGGAGCCGTGGCCGACGACGTAGATGGAACTCTGATTTACAAAGAAGGAGGCAGACCATGTTGCTGAGATGTGGGAGAAGGTGGTGATATTGTCGTCGGGGGTGATATCGTGGCTGATATCGCGGGCGATATTGGCAGGCGGCTCACTGATTACTACACGCTGGAAACGGACGAGATTCTGGGTGGTGGACGTGCCGCATTCGCCGTGCGCGTTGGAGCCAGCAGCATACACGATGCCTGAAGGGAGTCGGATCAAGGTATGATTTCCGCCAGCGGCAAGTCTAACCTCTCCCGAGGCTGATGGCTGGCCTGCAGAAGGTTGCTCGTCCCCCGCGAAGAGACACCGCGCCGGCCTGTCGACGTCTTCCATATGCCCGATCGCCAGTTGGCCTGCGCCATTCGACCCGAAAGCGTAGAGGTGCATCCCACGTTCCTCAGCGGTGTTTCGTCGAAATGAAGTACCACGCAGGGCAGGCAGGGCAGCAAGACAGCAAGACGGGCAGGACAGGCCCCGGGGGTTACCTATACCTACCTCCAACTGATGTCCCTGGTCTGTCGGGCCCAACCCTACGACCAGCTAAGGGAAAGTCTATAAAATCCCTCACGCAGGCAAGGAGAAAGTAGGAGCGGAAGCTCTATTCTTTTTCTGCCTTATCGTTCTATCTTCTATCGTCAGCTTCATCTCCTATCAACGAAGTCGCAGTGACCAAGCAGAGAGCAACGAAACCGACAACAGTCTATCTAAGTATAAGCCGGGACTGGGAGGGACTGGAGAAGCTTGGTCCTGACATCCCGGCTTCCCAGCTGGAACATTCGCGATGTTGCTAGGGGCGCCACCCGGACAACTCCCGAGCAGCTTGGGCAGCAACCCCCACCGGCTCATGGCTTGACTTGACTGGCTGGCATCAGGAATTCAGGATTACCACCACTGGCCAACCTCTGTCCGCGTCCTGTCCTCCTGTCCTCCTGTCCCTCCTGTCCTCGCCGACGCTAGGCTTCACGATGTCCTCACTCGGGATTGCTGCTCACCCTGCTTGGCGATGGTGGGATACTAGGGACGGAAGCTAGTGGGACGTGAGGAACTGATGGACTGAACTTGATGCTCTCGGAACCGCCGTCCATCTGTACTTTTTCCTTGAGATAAGAGGTCCTCTCGTGATATGGTCGCTGGACATCTCTTATCTCCATCTCGAGATATACAACTGGCCGACGACGACGCTGCTGCTCTGATTCGAGATGATGACGCAGGCCAAGGGGTGAGGCCAAGTGGAGGGCAACCTGCAGGCTGCTGGCCAGTTATATCGCAGACTTGGGAGACGGGGCCGTCGCGGGAGATGATTTCATAGCATGGGCTCGGTACTTGGGATAGATACTTATATGGGCTGCCTCCCATGGGCAAACAGGATGTATATCTCCGTACTTAATTCTACTCTGCCACTTTAGCTACAGCTGCTGCTACTCAATTGAACATACCTTTACCCTCCAAAACCAGTTTTCTCCTTTTCCTGCTGGTAGCACGGCGTAAACCAGGGCCACCCCCTCAGTTCGCGTGTACCACCGTCAAGCTGGCGTCCTCCGCTTCCCCCAACTTCCTTTCCTATTTCTTCTCCTCCCTCCTCGCCCTTCCTACAACATCTCTCACCTCGCTGCTCAAGACCATCGCCGCCGCGCTCTCGTCCGCCATCTCGCTCTTCCACGCCTCGCCGTCGACCAGATCCGTCCTCGCAAAGCACAAGATACCCGCCTCCACGCTCCCCTCGACCTCCAGCAAGATGTCGCCCAAGAAAGCTATCCATTTCGGCGGCGGCAACATCGGCCGTGGCTTCGTGGCCGAGTTCCTGCACGAGTCGGACTACGAAGTCGTCTTCATCGACGTCATGGACCAGATCATCGACAAGCTGCAGGAGACCAAGTCCTACACTGTCACCGAGATCAGCTCTGCCGGCGAGACCGTCAAGACCATCTCCAACTACCGCGCCATCAACTCGAAACACAACCTCGACGATGTCATCCGTGAAATCTCATCCGCTGACGTCGTCACCTGTGCCGTCGGACCCAACATCCTCAAGTTCATCGCCTCGCCGATCGCCAAGGGCATCGATGCTCGAACCGTCGAACGCCCGCTCGCCGTCATCGCGTGTGAAAACGCCATTGGAGCAACCGACACCCTCGCCGCGTTCATCAAGGAACACACCGCCGAGGACCGTCTCAAGACCCTGTCGGACCGTGCTCGCTTCGCCAACTCGGCCATCGACCGTATCGTGCCCACCCAGGACCCCAACGCTGGTCTGAACGTCAAGATCGAGAAGTTCTACGAATGGGCCGTCGAGCAGACTCCCTTCGGAAACTGGGGCCACCCGGACATCAAGGCCATCCATTGGGTCGACCATCTCGAGCCCTACATCGAGCGCAAGCTCTACACCGTCAACACCGGCCATGCCACCGCTGCATACTACGGGTATAACGCAAAGAAGAAGACAATCTACGACGCCCTCTCCGACGCACGCATCAGGAAGATGGTCGACGATGCCCTCAGCGAGACTTCACGCCTCATCGTCGACAAGCACGGCATTCCGGAGGAAGAGCAGCGTGCATACGTCAGTGCCATCATCGAACGTATCTCCAACCCTTACCTCGAGGACGTCGTCGAGCGTGTTGGCCGTGCTCCCGTCCGTAAGCTGGGCAGGAAAGAACGCTTCATTGGGCCGGCCGCTCAGTTGGCTGAGCGAGGTCAGAAGATCGATGCTCTCGTGGGTGCCATCGAGCAGGCTTTGCGCTTCCAGAACGTCTCCGGGGACGACGAGAGTGTTGAGTTGGCCAAGATCCTGAGGGAGGAGGACTGTGATTCCGCCACCACCAAGCTGACTGGTCTCGAGCCAAACCACCCTCTGTACGACCGTGTTGTCGAGAAGGTCAGGAAGGTCCAGAATGAGTCTAGGTACGTTCGGGCCTTGGGGAAGATGTGATGGGGGTATCTAGCTAACACATCGTCCTACAGAGAAATGATGCCATCTGTTTTGTAAAAGCGATTCAGCGTGCAACTCAAATCAAAAACTCGACAGCTCGAGGAGCAAAACTGGGATAACCAGAACTACCACGAAACACCAAAAAAGAAAAAACATCATCCAACCAGCATGATTAACGATGTATTTATTATTCCCTTTCTTTCCTTTTGTCTTCTTTTCGGACTCGGGCTGGGGCGTCGGCGTAGATGGAGCCAGACCAGCGTTCACATTCACAACAAGTTAGTAGTTAGCTAGCTAGTTACGAGATATTTCATCAAGCCGCCATGAGCGAGCTCAAGCAATAAAACACAACCTGTATCCTTACTCTTCTCTTCTTCTCTTCTCTTCATCTTTTCATCTTCTTTTCCTCTTTTCTTCTCGACGTTGAGAAAGTGAGTAATCACGTGGTCGGAATCCGGACTACTTTTATCCGAACCCGAAAAATGCCGAAATCCGGGCCGTTCTTACGTAATAATCGGGGATAAAAGATATCAAAAAACGAAGAGAAGGAAGAAAAAAAAAAGGCAGGACAAGGGAGGGCCATGTTCGTACATGCATGTAAAGGGAGTGAGGATTGGACAAGGATACTCGCATAGACGGTGTTCGTTTCTATACATAGCAGCTGTGGGAGATGTGATGGCCTGGTATATCCGGCCGCTAGCCATGGAGTGGAATACCCGGCAATGCTCAACTCTTTATTCTGTACTTCCTATGTATATACATGGAAAGATTATCGTTCTTCCGCGGGGGAGGGAAAAGCGAAATCGAGTCCCTGCCTGCCACATGGCTCTTAGTCTCTTGGTGCTTGGGTTTCTCCTGCGGCGGTACTCCGTCTCTTTGTAACTGTGTCGCTTTCTCGGCGTCCTGCTCGTTCCAGCCACAGACTAGGTTCACAGAAGACCCAGAGGGCGGTGCAAGAGTGGAAAAGTAACGAGGAGAAGCACCAGCAGCGAACGAGCAACTTGCTTTTTCTTCCCACAACGTATTATTCCACTAAAAATGGAGATTCGTAGCGTCGTGGTTACATCTGCAGTACGCGCGATATAACCAGAGAATCCCGGCCGGGTAGCCTCATGCAGGGCGGCATCAGGTGCCTCACGAAAGGGCCTCGACAAGTTTACCTCCTTTCCCTTATTTTCCTCTTTTTATGTTCTCTGATCCATCGGCTGTGAAACGGTTCGCATGGTGTTATTTGTTATTCCATAGAGGTACTTCCCTTATCGCTCTTATCGATGACCTCATAACGTGGGCCTGGACCCAGACCTGTTTGCTGCTGGCGTATACTGCACACGACTAGATATCTGGACCGGCACGAGCTGAGATCTTCGTCTGTATAGCATCATCTCCCTGTACTCGTCATAGTTCCACTGTATATCTGTATATTTTATCCATGCTGATATCTGTTCAGCTCAGCATAGGGTTTTTGAGCCATCACATTGGTCCCACACCGCACAAATAGACGTATATATATATATATATATATCATCTTGCGACGCCCGATCTTCACCAGATCCCTATTTTATCGAGGATAGGAGGAGGGAGCATGGCTACTCTGCCCTTGCCGCCTCACCGGTCCCTCCTCCATGGAGTCGAGCAGCTGCCGCCGTACACTCCTCGCATAGGGCCTCCGATCGACTCCGAAACAGCATCTGTACATTCAAACGCGCCGTCATACGTTTCTGCTGCCCCGTCCTACCACTCGTATGTCCCACCACTCCATCGACGGGCGAACGATATACCCTCTAGTACCTCGCCGACCGAGAGTCAACAACGCCAATCACGGCTAGAACCACAGCAGCAGCAGCAGCCGCCGCAGCGACCGCTGGACCGGACCCGAACGGAACCGAACGACACGAACCGACATGGCCTCCCTCCAACGCCAATGTACGCCCGTGGCTTCGAGAATCGCATCGGCCCGACATCCCCCTTCAGCAATTCATCAAATTTCACCCCCCGATCCATCAGCAATACCGCCTCCAGCCTTCGGTCGGTATATAACTCGTCAGAATGGGTCCCGGTGATGGGCGGCTTACAGTCGCGCCATTACCGAAATGTCGCGAACAGGCGTGCAACTAGTTCATCTAGTGAAATCGATGCTATCTCGAGATTCATATTCCCGGGCCTCTTTCAGACCGCCGCAACAGACATCACGACAACCAGTATATCCGAAATAGAGAATCGGCCTACTTCGTCTCGGAATGTAGCCGCGCCGGTTTCTCTTGGAACAGTTCATAACTCTTCCACATTGACGCTCGTCCATTCTCCAGCCGAAGAACCGCCCGCCACTGGGCCAATCCCAAACGAGTCATCTCTACCCACACACTCCGGTGTACACCTCCCCCTATCTCCACATGAAGACCCAGATCTAGTAGGTGAAGAAGCGGCTGCACGGTTCCGTTCTCAACGGCTCTACATGGCCTCTCAGCAGGAGGAATTGAATCGAGTCCAAGCCCAGTCTCGAAACCATGCTCAGCAACAAGAGCCCTCCCAGCCAGGTTTGGTCTACCAGTATAGTTCACTGGTATCGCCAGCATCCACCTCGATTGAATTTACACCTTCACCGGAACAGCAACGCCGAGCTCACGGTTCTCCAACTTCTCCTGATAACACCCTGCTCCGGCCTAGGATTAGTAGCGAGCGCATCGAAGCAACCAGATCACGGAGTCCAGAAGTGCGTCAATTTAACGTTCCTCCACTCACACCAGCACCGACAGTGACGCCCACTCCCACACCCAGTGCACGAGCTGGGCCGGGCCCAGGGACCACTTCACGGTACAACCGCAGATCTTTAGTCGACCGCGACGACGTCCTGCGCGCCCAGGAATCGCAAAATTGGGACTTCATGTTAGCACAGATGGCAGACGGGGAAGGGCGCGAACGTAGTTGGAAGAGGTATAAGGGGCAAGTAGAGAAGCAGATACATGTTGCAAGGCATTTGAAGTTGGGGCCCCTTTTGATAGTTGGTTGGAGGAGGAAGTTGGAGGAAAGGAGGAAAGCGAAGGCAAGGGGCCTTCATTAGCATATGGCAATCAATTTTGGCGGGACTGGTATGGGTTTTTCCTTTTTGCGTATAATTTTAACGACATTGATGAAATGATGGTATTCTCCATCTTCTTTTGCCCTTGATGGGAGGATTGCGGGTTTGGTTCGGAAATTGCTTGAATGCGTGCAAGCGGGATCTTGGTTCACACCTAAACAGCATGTCAATTCCACTCTTATCCTCGGTGACTGGTTGTCCATATCCGTAATGTCTATTGTTCGTTTGCTAGTATGTATTGCGGACCGACAGCGCTCTAGACAAACTAGGGCCCTTAAGAGATGGTGACTTAGCATATTCCCCTGCCGGTTCTAGTTTCGGTAGGTTCTAGTCAAGTTTTCTCGGTAAATCAAATAAATAGTGCGTATGGGCGATCACTATAGATCTTGGTGTCAGTCCAGGCTATAGGGCATGTCAATTCCAAGCTTGAGATCCATGGTATCTGGTCGACGGCTCTGTATACCGAGACGGAGCTTAGTAATTGGGCAAATTCACGCCAAGGCTGCATCAGCCACTCCATATCTTCTTGTTAATTGCAGCTCAAGCCGTATGAAAATAAGGGGGCTCTATCATGTCTTCTTCTTCTTGTTGTTGTTGTTGAGATGATGAAGAAGTTGGTTAAACATCGTGGAAGTACTTTATATCACGTGATACATGGAAACCTTGTGGGAGCTAAACATCGAGACCAGATAGCACAGCTTCATACATCTCTCTCGATATTCAGCAAGATACGTCGACCGTTTGCTGCTCGGGGTAGTTGGCAAAGACGACCATGCGCTTTATTTAGACGATGCACAAAAATATAGACAGCGGGGGAGCCGAACCGCCGCCCATGTCCCTCGAGGATGCACTTGGTGGGATAAAGAACGACCTGGAGTTCACTCAATGGTACGTCAACATTAAAGACGAATTACTAGAAGCAAGCTACGAAAAATATCAGTATGTGCAGTACTCATGGAGCCTGGCAAGATTCCCATTTTACTAACCTGATGTTATTTTTTAGATCATGCCTTGATGACCTAGAATCGTCGACATGCCACCTAGATTCCCTTCTCCAAGACACGTCGCAAACCCTGGAGCTCCTCTCATCCCTATCACAATCCTTCGAAGCAGTGGAAGAACACACATCTGCTTTTCAGAAACAATGTGAAGGCCTGCTCTCGGCCCGGAACAAAAGCTCGAAATTAGCAGATGATATTCAAGAGAATTTGGTGAACTATGATTACTTAGATCCTATATCTCGAAGACTCAACGCGCCGGGGGCTGGCAACTCGGTCCGCTCGAAAGATTTCTCAATGATGCTCAGACGCCTGGATGAGTGCCTAGATTATATGCACGCTCATGTAAGTCGACATTCTTAATATGATGCATTTACGGGCTAACATCCTTACTCCCAAAGCCTGAACATAAGGAAGCGGAGGTATATAGGGCGCGGTATCGCTTACTGCTCACTCGTGCACTTACTCTAATCCGTGGGCAGTTTGTCTCAACGGTGCGGGACATCTCAGCCGGAGTTGCAAAGCGAATAGCTGATCGCCAACTTAACGATACCACCATGTCCGCCCTCTTATACGCCAAGTTCCGTGTTGGTGCCCCCGAAATGAAGGATATAGGGCTAGAAATCCAGAAGCGGGCAGTTCCTCCTTTGGACCCCGAGCAAGGTGCGGAAGCAGAATACCAGAGCCTTCTTAATGAACTTCATGTAAACTTCGCAACATCCCGCGCAAGATTGGTTGTGCCGCTCGTAAGAAAGCGGTTAAGTGATATTGCAAATGCACCGAGTACCTCGAAGGATTTAGTTGCATTTGCGAGAACAAGTATCAGTTACGTTCGCGGTATATGCCTTGACGAATTCGAATTATGGGGAGAGTGGTTCCATGGCCAGTACGGGCTTTACGATTGCCTGGAATCTATTTGCGAACCTCTCTACGACCATCTGCGGCCTCGGATTATTCACGACAATAAGCTCGTGAAGCTATGCCAGTTGTGTACACTACTCCAAACTCGGTACTTGAATGATCCAGATGAGGATGGAGAAAATGTGGCGGATCCAAATCAGTTGGACTTTGCGGTATTGATTCAGCCCGCACTCCAGGATGCTCAGACACGACTCGTGTTTCTCGCACAGGCTATCCTGCGGGACGAGATTGAAAGGTTCAAACCCCGTGCAGAAGACCTTGATTACCCTGCCAAGAACAAACAGGTATCACTGAATATACAAAACAACTCTTCTCCGGCGGTTTCTGGAAGGAAAGGTTCTTTCATTGAGCCGAAGATGCCAGTGGTTGTGGATGAGGATCCTGACTCCCCAGCGGAGAAAGATGCCCAATGGGACTTTACGTCACAGGCCTTGTTTGAAGGGTGGTATCCTACGTTAAAAAAGGCCATTTGGCTATTGAGTCGTATATATCGACTAGTTAACGTGTGTACTCCTCGCCCCTTTATTATTAATCAGTTCATGCCTTTAGCTAATAAGACTCCTTTGTATAGTCAAAGGTATTTGATGATCTAGCTCATCAAATTGTCCACCAAACGACTGTTTCGATTCAACAAGCCGGTGCAGAGATATCCTCAAAAAAATCTAAACCGGATGGACTACTATTTCTGGTCAAGCATTTGCTTGTATTAAAACAGCAAATCGTTGCCTTTGACATTGAATTTGTGTCACCGGACATGTCCTTTGATTTCTCCGGGGTAACTAACACTTTCTGGGAGCTACGAGAACGAGGAGGGCTTTTCAATACCCGGACCTGGATGCAACTTGTTGGGGGTGGTTTACTACCTCAAGTAGTTGAGAATATGTTAGACGCCAAAGTCGAGCTCGACGGCACACTGCGAACTGTAATCAACGATTTCACCAAAACCTTTGCGGCCAAAATGACTTCCAACCTACCATCCGTCCCGTCCAAGACAATAACTCCAGCCCTATCCCAACAAATCCAAAAGGGCGTTGTGGCTACACGCCGGTCTATCGAAGAGGAAATTCCCAATTTACGGCGATTGCTAGATGACTATCTTGAAGACAAAAGGACTAAAGAAACCCTTGTCGGTGCTGTGCAAGATAGCGTCATCCAAATCTATGAAGACTTTCTCGAGGCGTATGCCGCGGCTGAGGCCAGTAAGGATAAGCTCGGTAGGAAGAATTCAGGGAAGTCAGTGGCTGTTGGGGAACTCTGGGATATTGAGAGGTTCGGAGATTGGACTGATACTGTCTTCCAGCCCAAAATTGAGGCTTATGGAAGCGATAATGATGATGAGAGCGAGGATGATGAATCAGAAGGGGGGAATGGAGATTACAATAATGATAGTGATGACGATGACGATGACAGTAATTAAGTCTATGTTACTGAAATGGTTGAAATATAATCTATTATTCATAGACCTGATTAAGAGGATCCCAAGCCAGATAGCCGAGGTGTTACAACAATGACCAATAGGCACGCTTTCTCTTGAAAGAACATTGTACTACCTAGAAATTTATGCGCAATACGTTGTTTTAAACATTATGCATCCAAGGGGAAGACTATATTTCTTAACCCTGGATTTTGGGGGTAAAACTTCCATATCCTTTAAATTTGATATGCAGTTATATAACTAGTATTTTGTTATTTGTTCAATTTAATATTCTGGCATCCTGAGTAGTTTATAAGAAGATACGGAATATAAGACGCAGAACGCCATGTATAGCAAAGAAAACAAAACCATGCTACCAGCCCTAGACCCATAGTACACTAAATCCCTCAACCCAGAAAACCAAAGCCCAACCATTGTCTATTAGTTCCCATTGCACCTTAAGAAACATACTCCAACCATACTTATACAACCTATCCACCAGCCTTGCAAGAAACTACTTAGCTGACCGCCCGCCATAGTATACCACGCCGACCAAAAAGAATCGAATAGTTCCGCTGCCGCGTCTTTCTGAGTGTATATATACACTCCTTCAGTTCGCCATCGTCTCTCATAGTATCCAGATGACTCGCTTAAGGTTTGCTGGGATCTCGATATCTAGCCAAAAGGCATTAGAAACAACCTTATAAGTCTTTCTTTGAAAGCATGGGTTGACTTACATTCAGCGTGTATGGATGCATGGCCTCTTCGTAAGCAAGTTCCAGACTGTGAGTTATCTGGCCCAGAGATATGACGAAAGTTTCGCGTTGGCGGTGCTGTTTGAGGGACCTGAGGATGCCGGTTGCCACTGAAGTGCACTTCTGGCCAGGGTCTGGGATGGTTTCTCCCACAAGGACGGTCTTCGCGTTTCTCAACAATAAAGCCTCGTGCCTCCGTCCTCGTTGTGATCCAAATTTGACACATTGGTATAAATCTGCGCTGTGGATTCCTGACAAGCTTAACTGAGAGCTGTGGTGAAATAGAAACTTGCAGGACGTATGTAGCCAAAGTTCTTTGAATAAAGATTTGCCGAACAACTAGCAAAGTGTAAGAGATCCTCCGCTAGATTTAGGGTAGCAAAATATCTTCTTCAAATAACCGGCATACCAGAAAGTTAAATAAAGATGTTAGCTAGCTTTCGATCAAAAGAACGCCTTATAATAGGAGAGCTCAAAGACACCTATATTCCCTGGTTGCCTGCTCGGTTTGACGTGGTGACAATCACAGGTCAAGCAATTATGCCACCAGGTTGCCCAACCGCAGTCGCCAAGGCATCATTCTAACCCGGTACACTGGTAGATTCGGGAACTATAGCAATGGATTGCCACTATATATCCCATTATGTGACATTCCTTGTAGGATATCACTAGCGTAAGAGTAGATGTGGAAAAAAACGACATGCGAGGAGCCGCATCCATTGCGATTCGACGACCGATCGCGCAGCACAGCCCCATTGTGTCCTTTCAGGTATTTTCGACATGAGCTTGGGTAAATGCGTGATGTATTCCTCACACACCACACACACAAGGCATCCTTTGGGTATATTGTATGTCCAGGTGATGACTAGGCGCCGTAAAATACAAGGATGACTAGCCACATCGATGGCTCAACCATTCTTATGTAAGGATTAAGCCACGAATCCCCACAGAAATGCATGAAAAAACACCCTTTGCCCTAAATGACTGGCTGAGGAGAACCAGAACGGTAGGCCGCCATCTGCATGCTACGGCGCAAACAAGGCATGATTTATTCGGACTCCAATAACCAACGAGTCGGTCCATGGTTCGTGACCTTTCGACTGATGAATCGATTAAAGAACCCAACCCGGCACTGTCGGGCGGACCTTGAGGCTCAATTTCCCTACTATACCCCTTTGCATTAGATGGAATGCGCGAAGGGATGACGCTGCAAGGCATAATAGCACACATCGGCCGTTTTCCAGAATCCCTACGCCGCCGATACAGCGTCACTGCTGACCTCCCAAGATCCAGGCAGCAGCTCAAGTTCCCAGCATAACAGAGAACTAGCCGCCGTTGTCTGTGTTTTCTGGGGAAGGAGTTGACGTTGAAACAAGGTAACTAGCCAATAGAAAAGGAAAGCGGGAGGAACACAGAAATTTCCTAATATGGCTAGACTTGGATCCACTTTATAATCCATGACAACATAGTTTAGTCATCCTTATATCACAGAGTGAGCAGGTGTAGACACTTTGTGTTGCTTCTCACTTTCCTCCTCTGCGAACGTTTGCCTTGCTCGTTTTCTCGATCGGCTTCCCTCCTCTACGAACGTTTGCCTTGCTATCAAAAGCCATATACCCAGGTATGGCCGCATATCCCAGATCGGAAATCGTGGTACTTTCGCCTACCTCGCCGCTTTCAGTTTTATGCAACAGATCTGTTACGCCTCAGTACGAACGAGCCACTCCAAGGCGAAATGCGGTCATCTCACCGCTGGGATCCCTGCCGGAGGGTGATTCTGGCCGTGTAAACTCCCGCCTATTTACGCCATCAAGACAACTTTTCCCAAATGGAGAAGCAAATATCGGTCAGTTTTCCAGCAATATCGCGTTCCTGGCTTGTAATGCTAATATTATCATAGAAGAAAGGACAACCTTACGCCCTGGGCATGGCCATCCTAGCCCACCTCCTTGGAGATCTCGACTTACTCAGGGTCCTCTTCCACGCCACATCATACTTGACTTCGACCTTTTTGAGGACCCCAGGGCGTATGGTGAGAATTCAGCGGCGCTCTTCCGGATCTTTCCATCAACCGTTTGCGTTTCTTTTGATGATCGTTTTCTTGTTTTTGTGTTAAGTGCTCTCCCAGACCGCCCATGGCCCCAAAGAGTTGCGGGAGTACCGTGCTACTTCACAACGGAGTTAGGAGACCTTGGACCTTGTGCTCCAATTCACCGCTCAAGCTTTTCGCATATCTACATCTCTAAGGAACACGACTATCGAAATGATGAGACCAAGGCAGAATTGGTATTCGAGGCGACTAAATCCCATTTTGCAGGAGGGCCAATAAGCATCACTGAAATCCAGTACTGGGGAAATTTCATCATCGTCGTACTAGAAGATCGTGCTGTCGACATATCAGAATTGCCACGGTCTATAACTCGCTGTAAATGTTTCTACCTTTACGAAGATGAAATGGCGCGTCCACTGAGACAATCTGCTCTACGCCTAACGGAACCAGCACCTGGCACTTTTGATGATGGCGAATACAAAACTTTACGCCCGGGAATTATGGTCAGCTCTGGAAGACATCGCATGGAAGGGCGGGAAGTTCTCACGTCGTCTGGCGTTTTGGTTCAAGACAGAAACGGCTACCAGTACTTAACCGTTGCGTCACACGGATTTCCCATGGGCGATAAAATCTTCCACCCAAATTCAGAAGGGAGGCAAATCGGCCAGTTGATAATGGAACTCAAAAGTACGGATGTCGCCCTGGTCAAGTTGAATGGCGATTTTCCTTTCATCAATGAGCCATTCCAAAACACTGTGGTCCCAGGGCCTCCCGTGAAGCTACGTCGTTTCGCAAGCAGGGGAGAGACCCGACCAGGTAGCAATGTGTACATGAACAACCCGTATACCAGCTATATCGAAGGCGTCAGCGGAATCCAGGCTGTATTACGCGTTCCGGGAGATGATCCTCATGAGCCTGAGCAAGAATGGATTAGGACACGATGGGACTATACAGGCCAGGGCTCAAGTGATCAACTTACCAATGGAATATGTGGGTCCCCCTTATGGGATGATGAGGGTAATGTCCTCGGATTCTTTCGTTACGCGCCCCGATCGGGGCATTTTCTCGACTGGTGCATGTCTATTGCTAGCACCGAATTGGCCACGAGAGGCTATTCCATTGTTACTCAATAGCTTGATTTGTGTATTGATGGAAGTCAAAATGTACGGTAGGGTTTCTAATGATCGCGCTCATGACATGCGTGAACAGCGACAAGGGAAATAAATAGAATCGGTTCTTCGGAGAACATGGGGAGCACTTACATGAAAGCGCTCTGTCAAGCCATCCAGACACATGTATTACCGATGCAGCACTTACTAGAATCTTTAAATAGAGTCTGCCCCATGCAGGAACTTCACCTGAGAATTATAATCAGGCTTCGGCCTCCTTCATTCATCGAGAAATGTACTCTATAGCCTGACAACTATTGATTTTTGGTCCCTCGTTAACAGCAAATCTTGCCCGTTGAGTAATACTTCCTTAGTTGTCTGTGTATCGCCATCGGCCCTGACTATAACCAAGGGAGACGAGCAAGGGGTGTTGCGCCGTTTATTCACTATCTATACTTCTAACCTCCCTTGCACCATATCCATCATCTGCAGACATAGATGCCGCCGGTTTCTGGACAAGGCACAAGCAGTTACGATTATCCGAGGCAAATCATAGAGGGACTCAGATATCGCCATGGAAGGGCGACAGGAGGCCTCGCGTTCCCTCGCAGGCTTCCATTGTCAGTGCGTACGTTCTATATGGGCCATAGCACTGTCTGACTTCGTGCCATCGGCAAACGGCCTTACGGCGATATCAAATTGTCGGCATCTTCAAGGGTGACTATCGGTCTGATGGATGACCGGGATAACACGCCCGCAGATCATGACGTCGAAGTGAACATCCCAACGCAAGTAACGGCCCGGTCACTCTGTCAAAGGGCTTAAAAGCCGGAGGCCCCGACGGCCGAGGGACGGATGATTTATCATCGAAGAGGATCATCGAGTGGTTATCTGTTTACCCCGGTCGCTTCCCGCTGTCCACATCCCTGGCCTATCATGATTCTATTTTTCTCGATCTTTCGAACATACAGGCTGCGGGGAAAAGGGAGCCAGGGTTCGCCGGGGTTATGTCCGTATCAGGCAAGGTCTACAAGATCGCAGAGAGGCCAGAGATTTGCTTAACTATATAGTTATGGCCCTGTGGCTGGAGTTAAATCCTGTTATTGAGAATGAGGACGCTGACAGGCTGTTCTTCATCCACTCGGCTACGACAGAAGAGCCAACGAGAATGTCCAGTGAGATATTTGCCCTTCACCGACATGATCATGCATCAAGCAATGGCAGGATAAACTCAGGGTAGCATGCATCGTGCATATACGTATTTATATCTTTACCCGCATCGATCATCGTATCTCCACCCCGAGCAAGGTAAAGGCAAGGGACTGGGATGTGTTTGACTTTCAACTCTGCAAGATTACGCCATCCCCCGAAGAAAGGTTTAGAGATAAGATGTTGAGGCTTTGGAGTTAGATTTGATCATTCGTCGAGTACAAAACAGAAAAGAATAATGGGTATCAGAAGATCATCACTAAAGGCTAATTCTCACATGTGATTCACGCAAACCTGTCGCCGTGTAGCACAAAGACACATAGCAAACGAGAAAGATCGGTATATTCTCTAGAAAGGGACAGACCGTAAACATGATAAGGTACCTCGGGCGCCGATAAAGAAAGAAGCACCGTCCCGTTTAAACCCATATCCAGCCGCGAAACACCAATACAGCCATTCAAGTGTCACGTCGCAAAATATGCTCCATCATAGTGTAAAACAGTATACAAAGGAAATCGTAGACGGTTGTGTCAAAAGTGATGCGTAAGACGGGGTTCCCTTCACGCCGGAGGGGGAGTTCTAAGGCCGGGTCGATTCCGAGAAAAGTTCATGAAAGCGCGTTTCTTAAAATTCAGGCCGGAGCCCGGGGAGCCGTTGCCTGTAGAAGAGTTGGACGACGAGGAAGTCAACAATGAGAACCTTCCTCCGAATCCTCCGATCGATGGGGATGTGCTGCCGCTGTTGCCGCTATTCCCACTGTGATTGCTGCCAAAACTGCTGTTGCTCCTCCTCCGGCCATCATCAGGAGCGCTTCTAGGGGTGGGGAGCCAGTCCCTACTAGGGCCAGTAGCGGCACGCGGGCGATTGGGGTGGCGAGGGGGTATCATCGGTTTATTTCCTAGGTCTTCTTCTTCTTCTGGCATACTATCGGGGTAGGTGGGTTGCAGGGGGGCCGACGTGTGCGATGGTACAGATCTATTGTTGAATAACGATGACACCCGGCTAGGCACGTACCAAGGATGGACTGGAGGAACTGGGAGTGGGGGAAGGCTCTTTTGATCCTGTACGTGCATGTCTTCCATCATCTCGTCTATTATCTCTGTAGAAACGTTGGCAGGGTGTACATGCTTGTCGTCAAATTCGCCACTGTTGTTGACGATATGGACGTTCCATGGCCTAGGTAGATTTGGCAATGCAGGAGTGGTCGGGGTAGCTATATTTAGCGGTGTGTTAAACAAAGAGGAAGAACGATTGGCCGAATCATCAGTGTAGAGAGATATAGAGCCGTTGCTAAGTTCAGTACAGGCATCGGTATCAACACCGGCCAACCGCATGTTAGAATTGTTAAATTCAATGCTGGGAACTTTATTCCCGGTATTCTCGAGATGGCTACTCTTGTCATCGGTGGCATAGCAGCTATAATCTTCTGGGAACGACGGCATAGGGGGTATCAGTATATCGCCCTCCTCACTCATGTCGAAGGAGCGAAGACTTCCTATTATTCCTCCCGATTGTTTAACTTGGCAATGAGGTTGGGTAGAGCCAAAGTCAACTTGTAATATAGCCATGGCAAATTTATCAGCGACATATGGAGCGCGCGGTCGGTATTTTGGGTCCCTAGCAAGCATCTCCTTGACTGTTTCTAAGATTGGGTCGACAGCATGGAAATAAGACTCAGATTGCTTAGCAGCATCCTTTTCAAGAATAGTGATCCATGAATATATCTGCCGTGTATTTTGGTCGAGGTGGAAGGAGGAGTCGGTTGCAGAACGGACAGAGGCCTTCGTACGACTAGTACAGCCGCGATGTTGGGCGAACGCCGATTGCTTCCGTTTGCATAGATGGGTCATGATATCAAGTATTACTGCCGCCAGGGAGAATATATCGGAAGACAGCGGGAGTTGCTCAGCCGAGTAACAGTGAGAATTGGTTGGGATAGGTTGTGGGGGCGAGTGAGAGGTTGTACTTTGGTTAGATGTATGTGTACTAGTAGTGGATGTTGAGTGCGCATAGGACGCTCTCTTTCTCGATGGGCCCGTGTTGGTGAAGTCTGAGGACGCCCAAGAGGTGAGCCTGCCTCTCGAGTCGTAAGGATATTTAGGTGGTGACATGGGGGAAAATGATAGATTGTCGGTACGGGTTAAAGCATTCCTCGTGCCGGCAGGAGGCTGTTGCCAGGTGCTATGTTGATTTGACCATTGCTCTGGCGCAGCATACTCATACGCTTCAGCAAATTCTTCTTTCCGCAGTCCTACCAACATGTCATGGACATCGAATAAGCCGAGATAGATGTGCATTTTGGCGTCGATTAGGATATTCGACGGCCGAATGGCTCCATGAGCGTAGCCTTGGTCGTGCAACCAAGCCAATCCACTGGCTAAACAATTTGGCCAGTTGATAAACCATCGTTTCTGTTCCAGTTTTGAGAATTTCCTGAGGGCTGATGTCGTCCTATCATTTATAAACGATCGCAAAGTGCATTCTGGTAGATTGAACAGGATGTTGACTGTGTTATCAACCGCATAGGTGCCGAAGATCGATAAAACATGCTCGTATGAGAAGCGCTCTAAAGATCTGACTTCCCTCAAGACGTCGGATTCGCTTAGAAAGTGGGATGCCGTGTCCTCACCAATCGTAATCTTCAACCGGAGGTATTCTTTAACCTCGATACCAGAAAGTGCAACTTTCTCGACAGGCAGCCTGTCGGAGAGTATGACAGCAGGCCGATCCTTACAGGGTTCGATTGGTATTGTTTCGTCCTCATCGTATGTAATATGTTGACCAGATTCAATACCTCTTGCTAAGAAACGATTTTGGATTTCAACGAATTTCCAGTTCAAGAAGAGGTCCTCGCGATCCGGAGAAAGCCGAAGGAGTTCGGCCTTATTTGAGTCGAAAGGCAGATCAGAGTCATCATACGTTTCGTCGACGAGGCGAAAGATGCGACTCGGTATGTCGATTTCAGTCAAGATCAAAAAGAGTCTGCGGCCTCGCTGTAGAATCCAGTCGATGTAGGTGTCATCTGTTAATCCTTCACCAAAGGCGATTTTACTATTCAGTCGCTGATGGAGGATTGGATCCACATGCTTCAGTACGAATTCTCGCGTGACCGTAGAATCTATCTTCGCCTCCGTCCACAAAGTCGCTGCGAGTCCCATGGTTCCTCGCTGGTAAATTTCAACACTGTTGTTGCCTTGATTGTGAAGCTTTCTCTAGTAGTAGATGTATATGGAGGGGTGCATTATCCTTGTCGCCGTTTCCATCGCTCGGTTCCTGCTGACTGAATATCTATGGCGATGGTCAAAAGACGGCAAAAAATATAAAAGAACGAAAATCCTGCTGGAAGAAAAAAAGAGCAATGACCAAGGGGATCACAGAATAGGGGAGCAACAATCCATTGTATATTTAGTCAAATATCCTAGATGGCGCTCTCCCCCACAGTCACGCTCTGCATAAGCAAACGCCCGGTGAATGGTCGGCCGCTTGCTGAGATGCATCGGAAGCGCAAGACTAATTTTGCAGGGATTAGCCCATTTCTGGAGGTTTCGACCGGGCTGAGCAGGGGTTAGGGCTGGTGAGTGGATATTTTCCCCATGGGATCTGGAGTCGACCACATGAAGGGGCCTTGTCCATCCGTGCGATGGCTGCCGGGCTTTTCCTTGTTTGTCTCTGCCTATCCCTGTCCTGCTTTTCCATAACATGACGACTAACGTCTTATTGGTGGCGCCTTGCATGCATACGGGAAATTGCCATGACTACTTCATGCTCCTAGTAGGAGGGGGCGTTGGTTCGAGGGCAAAAGCAGACGGGAGCGATTCTAGAATGCTGCTCGTGTGTGCCGCTGGGTGTTCGTGAAACGGCAAGCGTAACTCCCGTACACGATAGCGCAACTCGTACCACGCGTTCTCGGCAAAGAGCGCGATACGGACTTATGGATGTGTGAATCCTGCCTCACCGGAGAAGACGGCCACTGTCGCAAGCGGTGGGGAATCCTGGACGGCTTAAGCTGCGATCACGGCCCTGTCGACGCGGAGAGAGGCGAAAGCGAGAGATGTTAGCGGCCTCTGCCCCCAGATAACCGAACCTCAGCCAATAAATACGAGGAGTTTCATGCCCAATGGATGTCGACATGACCTTCGTCTATCGATGACAGGCATCCCCTGACCAATCCTGATATTCGTTTTGGCTTCTTTCCATGTTCTTTTGGGTGCTTTCGTCCGTTTGTCATGATGGCCGTTATGTTCTCCACATTCATCGTTGGGAGTAAAAAAATCTAATTTGTTCGTATCTTTGGAGTCGATGGGGCTGATGTCGTACGACCACTCACTCAATGGAGAAATACAGCAACAAACAGTGGCTGACTATATGTGAATATCAAGCCAGAGCGGAGCATATAGTCTCGAGATATTCTGTCGATACAAGATATTCGTCGATACAAATCCCCATTTCGACTGCCAAGAATAGCCAAACTATGAAAATTATGCACTATTGGTAAAATAAAATCCGCTGGTCCAACATTTATATCCAGTAAAAAGTATGCCTTCCCGTCCGATCCAATGGATATCAAAACAACGCCAAAACATCCAATCCAAACATTTACTCGGGGTAACGGAAAAGCCAATCGCAGATCTTCCCAAGGTACGGAGTAGCTTATCAGTGCTGTAACTGTTGTCGCTGCTGCTGCTCCTTCCTTTGCCTCCTGATCTGTTCTCCAACGATAATGCTAAATAATCGCCACAAAATATCTTCTTCACTCCACTCCATCGCGCCATCACCTCCATGGCGGATATTATCTTGGATCAGTTTCTGTCGGAACCTTTCAACGATCACTAGTTGTATCTCGGTGACTTGTCGACGATGTTGCCCATCTGCCGACCACATCCACTGACCGATCATCTCATCCCGCTCCTCCGTGGGGTAATATTTGAAATTCTCTGGTCGCACTTTGGCCTGTCGATAGATTTCGCGAAGTTCCACATAGTGGTCGTCGGTAAAGTACCCTGAAATCGCAAGCGGCTGGACAAAGCGGTGTCTTGCTGGCGCTTTCCCTTTATCATTGCTTTGCTTTCGCGTTGGAGGCTGTGCAGCAGGGGCCGCAACCGGAGTAGCAGTAGGGTCAGGGTATTTGGTCGTGGACCTTCGTTTCGAAGCATTTACTGGGGCAGGGGTACTGGTTAACCATGCTGGTGCAAGGTTGCTGGTCAATTTGTTAAACCATGTAACCGTGGATGTTTGTTCTGGAGGCTCTGGAACAGAAGGGCCGCTGATGTCACTCTCCGCGATATCATCCTCGGATGCTTCTTCCATTTCTCCATCAACATCATTTTCGCCGGGGGGTTCCTTGAGTGCGACACGTTTGGACAAGCTTGGGCCTGCACGCTGTAATTGCGCTTCCTCTTCTGGTGTCGCCGAAGTGGGATTGGCTAGCCTTCTCGGCTGGGTATACGAATGCTGAACACGCCCTTCGTCGGTTTGCTCAAGCTCAAAATCCCCTTCAAGTTGTTGGTGTCGTTTGGAGGAGCCATTGTGCGGTATTGGTGGTTCGTTGAGTTCAGGGCTAATTGGGCGACTATCACGTCGAGGAAGAGATTCTAACGTCCCTCGGGACGGATGATGTCGTGCAGTCTCCACATTCGACCGACTGAAATCACCTTCGTAGAAACGTCTGGTGGCGCTCTCCGGGGTGCCCAACAGGGGTGACAGGGATGCCTCGGTATCCCTGTACTGAGCCATCTTTGATTTACCAACAGTTAATTCGGGGAAGGCGTGTCTGCGGCTGGAGAGGTCTGGAAGAGGGACCATTTCGTCACCGTCATTCGCGCTATAAGCCTCTTCTTCCGACCCAGCCCGAGGACTTGGAAAGCCAAGTGTGCGCCGGTTAGGTCGCTCATCGTGGGCGATATGAGATAACGACGGAGAGTGGGCTTTGGCTTCGGGCTCACGAGCCGCTTGTTGCCAAATGTCAGTCTCCTCTCCGTAATCCGCCTCTTCCTGTTCCTCTAGTTCTTCTTGTTCGTCTATCATAACGTCTTCAGCGCGCTCCTCGTAACCTGCATCAGTAGGATCGCCGGTACCAGGGTCTATCGCTGGTTGTGATACGCCATCATCACTATTAATGACAATAACCTGGCTATCATTGGCCAATTCTATCTGTCGACTGATAGCTTCCCTTTCACGCCGCCACTCAGCTTCGCGCCTAGCCATCAATGAATCTATTGATGTATCCCCAGTATTGTCCTCCACAGGGGAAGGCTCCTGGCGTGGGCTTCTCGTAATCTGTTCGTCCGGCCTTTTGGGGGCAGGCGATGGTTCTAATCCTTCAGATATGACCCCTAGGTCTGGGTATACCACACTTTTGCTTGGCCGCATCGACGTTACCTCTTGCAATCTGGTGCTCTCCCGTGCTACAGGTAACTCTCGTCGCTTTCCGCTTGGCTGTCGTAGCCTTTTGGCAAGCTCTTCTCCAAACCGGACGCCGGCGCGCAGCTCTCTCCGAGTTTCCATATTGAAGTCCTGGAAAAGATGGTCAAGCCTCTGCTTGGTCGCTTCTATATCATCTGTGTGGTCTGTATTTGGGCTAGAAAACGGTGTTTGGAGGTTACCGCTTTGTCTCCTACGGTCCATTAGGCCATGAAGAGCAATTCCAGCCCGTATTACGCGGCACAGTCGAGCTAGGGGTCGCCTTTTGGCAGGTATAGTTGTAGCAGGAGTAGCAGGGGCAGGGGGAGGCCGAGCAGATGAGATGGTGTTAAGACGTGGAGTGCGCTGAGGCCTAGATGTCATATCTCTTGGTGATGACTGTTGGAGCGAGGAGATCGCCTCATATAATTGGCTATGCGGACGTTTAGAAGAGGACTGGGTAGTGGAGATATTTGGTGATAATGCGGCTATTGATGCAGGTTTCGGGGATATATGCTGCGGTGCCGCGGGGGTCCCATTAGATTTTGGCGATTTGGTCCGACTGGCTTGATTTTCAAATAGTTGGCGTAGCCGCTGTCTCGCTGATGGCAAAGTATTCAACGATACCATGCTGAATCCTTCACTTTCCATTATTGAATCAAATTCCCGGTGTTCGTCAGTGGGATCTTTAGTTTTCGATGCAGTTGACTCCAGGCCGGCCACACGGTGTGTAGATTTCTCTAGCGTTTCGTCTCCTACTAATGAGGAGGAAGTTGGTGTTGGATATGCTCGTTTAGGCCTAGGAGTGCGGCCTGCATTGACAACGTTAATGGGCGATAGGCCGCTAGGTATCGAGGAGGTCGCTAGGTTCTCTTGTGATGCAGGGGGTTTCCTCCTATCTAAAGGCGCAACTCCAACTGCGTTTGTAGAGAGACTTGGGTTAGAGTCTGCGTTAACCGGTGGTGCTTCCATCGCGGGATCTGTCAATTCGACATTTTGATCCATCAAATCACCGTCGTCGTCATCATCATTCATATCTCCATCAGCTGCAATATCCAAGAAGACGTCTCCAAAATCCTGCGTAGGTTCTTCGAAATCTTGTGGGGAGATATTGTCCTCTACTGTTGGCGCAACAATGTCCTCAACAGGCGTGCTTTTGTGAGTTCCAGTCTTTGTCCTTTTCTCCGTCGACTCAGGGACCTTTTTTGTAGGTGTGCTACCCTTTTTGTGTCTGGGAGTAGGGGGCCTTTCTGCAATATCAGATTTGCTCTTTCGTCGCCGGCGCCTTTTGGGAGTTGGTTCTGTCGATGATGTCCCCTTCAAGGGAACCTTCACAGTTTTGCCATCTATCCAAGGCCCCAGTCGCGTTTGTGTATTGGCCTGATTTCCATCCTCATCTTCCTCCTGCTCGGCTTCAACGGTCACTCGTATGCGCCACGGACTAATATTGCCGTCTGATTGTAGGACAGCTTTAGTGGGGGATAGCGACCTTCGGTCAAAACGCGTCGCTTTCGAATTCCCCGAGGGCGTAGATGGCAATAGTATATCCTCGAGTCGTATAGTTTGCGCAGTCTTCTTGTCAGTCTTCCTTGGAGACTGGTAGTTCTTTTGATGTAGCGGTGGCCGTCCTCGTCGTGGGGTTCCGGCTTTCTGTGGTGACATGCTTCGCTGGGGAAATGGTTTTCTGGCTGACGAGAGAAGGTAATCGGGGTCGCCTGGGTACCCTAGAGGGTCGGGAGAGGAGGTGCTGCTTCGCGAAGCCATCGTTGATGCCCCTAATATGACCTTTTATCCCGCCGTCATGCGCCCTGTCGCAAGGTGTTATCGGAAGACTCTGATAAACAAAGATGCATGCTTTGGCTCGCGTGAAAAGCTATATACTCCATATATCGCACAGCACGCCTCGTTGTCAAAACAGCCATCAAACCAGCAGTCCAACAGCGTATCGCGATCACATCGACTTCTTCCCATCTCCCTTCGTCGTTCGAGTCCATCGTCCCTGTTGTTTAAGCGTATTAGTCATTCACTCCATTAGGCCCAAAAGGGGAATTTGTTTACGCGCGTCTGGATAAATATTTATGCGAGGGTAATCCGAGCGCTTGTCCTAATAAGGAAATAACTGATGTCGATCGCGTGCTTGTTTCCTTCTTACGTCATTTCTTCTTTCTCTCTTTTGATACTCTGTATATACATATAACATCTGGAGGATAACTTCTTGGTGAAGGGGTCATCTAGTTGCTGGCTCTATGTGTTCAGTTTGTCTGTATACGACGGATATAAATCAAAGTGTTGCGGCGTGGTCATGTTGATCCCCAGAACTCTACGCTTTATTGGTAGGAGATCTCCGCCTGCATGGGTTGTATCCTAGATACATTTGCAGAGGTTCTTACCATAAGCTCTTGAGGTAAGGACACCACTCCTTTTACGAGAGTAGATATGACGGTTAGGAAGTGTAGGTGATAGGTGGAAGGTCAAACATAAGCACTACAGGTGTATAGAGGGCACCGTTGCCTTCATGAAATACAGCGGCATCAAGAGGTGATGGTAGAGATCTCTGGATGTCCCGCATGTACTCCATCATGCGGGGAAGCTTACATCCTATCAGGTAACAAGCATCTCGCCGTTAATGTTCCATCCGGGGAGCCGGTTGTAGTATTTGGGTTCGTACTTGTCCGCGTTACCACCATATTCACAACGCCTTTAACCTCAGCGTCGCAGTTCCGGTCTTATGATGTTACTTGCGCCAGCATTGGGGCGTTAGGATTGCATCAAACCCTGGTTTAATGACCATAAATTCACATAAACCCCCAGTTTTCGTGTCTGCCGCGCTTCATGTTTTTACCGTATAGCATCTCAAATATATATGAAGTCCAAAGAGTGACACTCCTCGAAATACACCCGCCCTTCATTATGGATTTATCTCGACACTTAATGTTATTGTTGGTGGCTGTTCTTGGTATGATATCGAGCTGTTCGGCATGGGACTTTCAATATGAGTCAAACGGTACAACTACAAATGGCACATCTACAAACGGAACGTCTTCAAATGGAGCACCTTTGGGCTGTCCAGTGACAAATGGAACATCATCATCGCCTAGCCCACTCCAAGTATACACTATTTCTGCAAACAACATTACCGCATCATTCATTCCATATGGTGCCCGTTTGATATCACTCCTTGTTCCGGACCGCGATGGTAAGATGCAGGACGTCATCGTTGGATACGACGATCCCAAGGACTATGTCAAAGACACTCTCACGAATCATACATACTTTGGATGCATCGTTGGAAGATATGCAAACAGGATTAAAAACGGAACATTCGAGTTGGATGGAACTACCTACCATACCCCTAAAAACGAACTAAACAAAACACAAACACTGCATGGCGGAGTCGTTGGGTATGACCAGCGAAACTGGACCGTCACTGCTCTCTCAAATAGCTCTATAACCTTCAGCTTATTGGACAAGGGCTATGAAAATTTCCCGGGGGATGTTATCAACCATGCCACCTTCAGCGTCAATTCTTCCTATGGCACCAATGATTCCAACCCACAAGCGCAGTTTAGTGCCCGCACCGTTTCCCTCTCCTTGACAGAAAGGACCCCTATAATGCTGTCACCTCATATATACTGGAACCTAAACGCTTTCAAAAACGAAACTTTACTGGAGGATACATATCTCCATATGCCGTTATCTAGCCGATATGTGGAAGTGGACTCGCGACTCATTCCAACTGGTGAAATAGGCCAGGTTTCGTCGTCTCCAAATGGTACTCTTGACTTCACGAAAAGGAAATTAATCGGAAAAAATATCAAGGCTGCCGAGGGGGTTTGTGGCGCGAACTGTACCGGATACGATAACTGCTTCATCGTGGATCGGCCCAATAACGCATCTAACTGGACATCTTCTCCCGAAACTATGGTACCTGCTTTGAATATGATTTCTACGACCACTGGAATTAGCATGCTGGTTACGACAAACCAACAGGCAATCCAAATATATTCATGTAATGACCAAAATGGCACCATCCCTGTTAAAAAATCGCAGGTGGCAAGAAACCAGGCTAATGGCGGCGGAAATGGCACGGCTATCGATAAGATTGCACAGTATGGCTGCCTTGTCATTGAAACAGAGGGATGGATTGACGGCATCAATAACCCCATGTGGGAGCAGGAAAACTTTCAAATATTCTCCCCTGAATCAGGCCCTGCAGTAAACTGGGCAACTTATCTGTTTGGAACTACTCAACCAGGTTCCCAGTAAGTGAGTAGCCAGCATCCAACGATTTGAAACGGGGTGGAAATTCGACATCGGCCTCGACTCTAGGGGAGGTAGTATTAAAACGTAATAGTGATGAAGTGACCAAGGAGATTAAATAGGTTTTTATCAATTCTTGTACGTAACATGCGGTAATATGAGACAACACTATTCTTTGCCACCCTTGAACAACAAGATTGGACCAGATGTTGTATATTAAGTAGAGAGAAGCAAGGGTGTAATAATGAGCTGCTAATCAATTGTCCCATCCATCTCAAAAAAGTTCACAATCACTTAAAGAAATCCATGAGGCATTATCCTTGGTATCCATGCTAAAACCATTGTGTGTATCTGTAGTATAGGAAAATACCAATACTATGTTTCAGACACAAGGGTAAATAGTTCGTTGATTAGCAGCTGAACATATCATTCCATTCACGCGAAGATGGGAGGTATCGGCAACTATTGTAGAAATATGTTAGATATGTGCGGTTAAGTGAAATGAGAGGAAGAAAAGTCACGCAAATTCATAGGCAACGGCGACTAAGCAGATGATATCTCTATAAAGGTCTATCTACTTAGAGGACGAAACAACTTACACGTCAAGAACATCATTTCCACCCATCTCCTGCTTTAGGGCAGAAACGCGGTCAATCTCCTGCAGGTGAAAGGCGACAAATTTGGCCAGAAGATTTCTCGCGTTCCTAACCCCCTGAAGGCGCCAGTTCATGTACATGGCGGCATACTGCACTTCAGGACGCGTTGACATATCTGAAAGAGTATATGAGAGTTGATCAAGAGTGGTATTATGCTCCTTGATCTCCCGTTTGATTCGGTCCAACTGGCCTAGATGATAGTTCAATAGGCCATCAAGTGCAACGAAATCCCTGGGGAGCTCATCGCGAGGAGAAGGCGGAGAGGATGGTGGTGAGCGAGGGGCCGGTGTTGGCGAGTGGGAGCCTTCGCGAGGAGGAGGAGGACCTGCGAGACGGGTCTTTGAGCCATTATCAGTGCTAAAGTGGACTGAGAGGGGAGCTTCCTCGTCGGTGGTTGGGATCTTGAGGAGCGAGCTGGTTGAAATCTTGCGACGAAGCTCGTTTGGCTGACGAGATGGAGGTGTATGCATGTCTCCGGGCCCTTTGCTTGCTTTCTTGGGGGGGAAGTGGACGAGAAGATGGATGATATTGGGGGTGAGAGGAGTTGAAACAGAGAACTCACTCGCTGTGTGATTGTTTTTGAATGAAGGAGTCCAGAGTGGGCGAGAAGAGTCGTCGAAGAAGGAACTTTCCGGCAACTTCAACAAGAGGAACACAGAAGATATACAACAGCTAATCGAAGACTGCAGCCTGCGTGACAGGAAACCGTGCTACTCAACTAGTGTTCTAATAATCTGCCTAGAATGGCCTTCACTCTCCATAAGGCCGGATATAAAGGGACAAAATTCACATCCGAAGTGTTGGTGAATACCACTCCTGAATATTATCGAAATCTAAGTCCTGGAACCGGCAATTCTAGCCTCGGTTTGGGATATATCAAGGACAATGATAACACTGACAACATACCCCTTGTTCAACACACAAAGGACGTGCCATCTATATTCGTTCAACCAAGGCCATAGAATACAGAAGATGGGTGAAATTGATATCAGATGTGCAAAAGACGGGCAAAAATATATTCTAAGGGTATCTTATAACGTGTAAACCAGTTTGGCGAGACTTGACAGTCCAAGGAATGCAAAATATTATCTCCATTCACCAAGAGTCCAGCTAGATCTATCTCCTCCGGATCGAGCAGCTCCTGGTCCATGGCCAGACCTTCTTTCAGGCGGATTAAGATCGAAATCACGGCTGGCACCTGCTAGGCCATGCTGGATGTACTTTTCTCGCTCAACCTCTACCAGGCCCTTCACCTTGAGGCTGGTCAACAGACTAGCCCCAGCCCATGGACCCAAAGAATCAACCTGCCGAAGCACTCCATGCACATGTCTATCATCTTTCCGTCTCATCTCCATTTTCTCATCAATGAAATTTGGTTCTAGCTCAGGAGGCTCTCGGAAAGTGGACTCTGGCTCATCTTCGTTTGACGTGCTTGAACTGCCGTTACCACTCTGTTGATATAACCGGTTTTTCCGCCTGCTCATAGACTTGCCTCTGGACACTGACCATTGGTTCTTCTCAACAAGGGCGCTCACATCATCCAGTATTCGTTGCCGTACACCTGGAATATTCGCACCGCCGCCAGTAAAAACTATTCGTGACATACAAGTACCGCGTAAATCTGGCGGTAGCGAGAGGAGGAAATGGTATACCAAAATGTCCAATGGCATATCTTCGTCATCCCAGTCTCGTGTTTCATACGGGCCACCGAACAACGTAGATTCGGTGGGCTGTGAGAACCGCGAAAACGGGATTTCGGTATAATTGGACTCAGACCCAACTGGTAATGGTACGGCCACTTTTGAATCCAATGTACGAGTGTATGAGTCGCCGTTACCACCATCGGATCCCGTAGAGGGTGCAGAGTGCGCACTCATAAATTCCGAGTCTTCGGAAGTCTGCGAACTCTTCTCACACCAGGCCAGTCGTATCAAAGCTTCCTCACAAAGTTCGAATGGGACAGATACCATATCCCCTTTTTCGCGAGTGCTGGACCCCTCAGCCTCCTGGGCGGTCTCAGTGAGCATTTTGCCCATCTCCCGCATCATCATCTTCATTGCCCGAGTGCTTCGCTTTGACCGGATCTCTCGATATTCGTAAACGGCCGTAACAACAGTCTCCTCCCATCCAATATCTACAACAAGAGAGGACCGTAGGCCAGCTGATACGGTTGCCATCGCCGTGCTCGGAAGAAGGGTGATGCTCGGGTATTTCCAGCGGCGAAATATAGTTGAAAGAAGTGATGCCAATAGAGGGTGCGGGACTATTGAAGGTAGAACGAGCACCAGCCTTGAGGATCCCGCATCTGTAAGTAAATATTTGTTGTAGATCTCTCGAATAGCCCGTTCAATTTTGTCTTCAAAGAGCTCGATATCAAACCCACGAAGGTCCGAGGTCCATAGCTCATAGTTTTTTGACCACGTCCCAACATCATAAGTAGACCGGTTTCTCGCCGTAGCTGTGCCATTGTTGCTTCTGATCCAACCACGATAATCGCCGACTCTTCTTCCTTCTTCTGTTCCAAATCCAACGACGCAAGTCTGCACGCTATTCCCCTCAAAACCGGCACGAAGCCACCTCGACCCGATTTCTAGTATCACCGCATCTTCTTCCTGTCGGAATGGCGAGCCGGGGGACGAAGTGCCCGTATAAGGAGACAATACCTGGCGTTGTTGCTGCGGCGTATGGGGGGATCCTGGGATCGAGGCGATCGAGCCGCGGGCTTGATGACGAAGGCCTCCTCGTAGATTGGCACCTGAGAGAGACTGCCTTCTTTCTGAGTCGACAGCGGATGATGAGGTTGTCGCCATCCTCGAGCTCTTCCTGTCCGTGGCCGTAGATCGTTAAGTCAATTGCAAATGTTCGTCCAGAGTCGCGATTGATCGATAGTGACAATAATTGGCTGAAAGAAATCACCACTCGCTTCGACCCATTGTAAAATCAACCGCGCTGGCAAAATGAACGTGAATAATAGCTCGTTCCTGGAGGTTTGAATAATCGTTTGTCATTAAATAGCTATGATGTTGAGGCTCCCTACCATGCGAAAGTCTATTGAGTGATCGCGCCCAGCCGCGATGTCACTATTTATTTACTTTCTCGTCGACTTTACTCGAAGATAAACAACGACCGATGCCATGGGCCGCAGGGCTTGCCACTATTACTCAATCGCCTTGGTAGTTTGATAAATCATCTGGTTTGATCTGGGAAGCTGTCTGAATAACCTCGCCTTCCCTTTACTCAGAGCTAGTCGGGCGTTCTAAGCTGATGAATGGGGATTCCCGGGTAAGGCAACACAGCTACCATCTCGAAAAGGATCACAGTATACTGATGTATAAGGGCACAGGTTAAAAGACGAGCTTGGCTCAGGAGAGCGTATCTCCTTGGCCAGGTTCTCAATCGGCCATCTCCAGCGTACGAGCAGACCATTACGTCTAGCCGTTGACATTTCCATATGGCTTTTCCAAGTGCAGGCAGCACAAGGAGGAGCAAACCCAGCTCTTAGAACCCTCTTTTTCCGCCTGACGAGACTGATATCTCTCCCGATCCAGCCGATATTCGTTTTCGATGGACCGCACCGACCGGATTACAAGAGGGGCCGGCTCATTAGCAAGAATGCTGCCAGCAGAGAGATAGAGCTTTCAAGAAAACTCATTAAGCTCTTTTCATACCCATGCCATACTGCTCCAGGTGAAGCTGAAGCGGAATGTGCGAAACTACAGCGAACCGGCGTTGTTGATGCGGTCCTGAGCAATGACGTTGACGCCCTAATGTTTGGATCCAAAGTTACCCTTCTTAATTTTTCGAAAGGCTCGGCGAAACAGTCCGGTGCGGCTACCCATGCTGATTTATACGACACCGAAGCGAAAGAAGGAGATAATAAGGTCTCGTTAGATATCGGAGGCATGGTCCTGGTTGCGCTGCTGAGCGGCGGAGACTATTCACCTGCAGGAGTATCTTTCTGTGGCCCCAAATTGGCGGCAGAGATTGCCAGAGCTGGCTTTGGCGAAGATCTTCTTGAAATAACGCGGGATATGCTAACGGGGCCACCAGATAGTGTGACTGAAGAGGGACTGAGGGAGTGGCGAGAACGACTGCAGTATGAACTAGAAACCAACGAGAGTGGCTATTTCAAAACAAAACATAAGGCGGTCAGGATTCCAGATGATTTTCCAAACATGGCCATTTTACAAAACTGCGTTCATCCTGTCACATCTACACCCAAGAAGCTTAATGCGTTTCGCAATCCGGATCTCTGGAGCCGGAAAATCGACGTTGGCCAGCTTCGAGCATTTGTTGGCGATTATCTAGGCTGGAAGAATCTCATAGGAGCCAAGAACTTTATAAGGAAACTTGCTCCCTCCTTACTGAGCTATGAGCTCTTTTGCCGCTCCCTAGCGCCACCTAGGGACGAGATATTGGTGAAGATATCCGCCAGCAAATCAGCCGATGCATTTGATGGCTTGCCTGTGCTGAAACTGGAATACGTGCCACTGCACGTTGTTGGTTTAAACCTGGAGCTAGAAACTGTTCCCACTACGCCTCAGGAGGACGAAGTTATCAACCTTGATTCGTCGGATACCGACGGTGGCCAAAAGGAAAGCCAAATCATTGGCAAGAAGCGAACTTTGGCCGAATACAATCCGGCTCTCCCACAGACGATATGGGTGTTTGAGGCACTAGCACGTTGCGGTATCCCGGAGGCCGTGGATAAGTGGACTTTAGAATGCAAGGAGAAAGAGGCAGCTAAAAAGCGGCCGGCGAAAAAGCCAACCACGAGGAGAACGAAAGTGAAGGTCCTGGATCCGGGAATGAAATTGGGATCTATTCGGCAATACGGGGTTATAACCAAAGGGCCTGCTAAACAAACCGACGCTACATCTTCGTTGGTAAAGAGCGAGATCCCTTCTTCAAGCGACCAAAGGAGTAGTCGAAATGAAAATTCTTCTATAGGTAGCAGTGGTACCTCCTCTACGGTAGCCCCCGCTAGTTCATCTATGAAGAAAACGGACGCTCCTGATTCCTCTTCTTTTGGGTCCTGGGACTCAGTTTTCAGTGACCCATTAGACTGCGTGGTGCTATCAGAGTCTACCAAAGAAGGTAGGACACCACTCCCTATATTTCGAACCCTCACGCTCCAAAATTCTAATTTACAAGATTCCATTGTTAGATCAGTCGTCGAGGTAGAACTGGCAATGAGCCGTATAAATATCTCAGATCAACTCCCCAAAGCAAATACACAACCCAAAGCCACACGTTCTGTTACTAAGAAACCGAATGTCTCATTGCGCCAGAAATCCGTACCAATTCCCTCCAGACGCCTAGGTAAACCGAAAGAGTCCGTGAGGGATAACGGCGCCATCCCTCCCTCGTCTATTCCAACCTTTACCTCATCGGAGTTCCCGTCCCTGACTGAGTTATCCGCCGAACTAGACAGTATTGAACATCATTATACCCCTATTCATGCTACTAGGACTCCACAGAACATAGTAGATCAACGCAAAATATTCATGGATAAAAGTCGCATAACCCCAGCACCAACCATCGCTACGAGCGGTCCCAATTTCGAAAAGTCCGAACAAGCAGTGGTTATGGGTAAGGAATGCAGTACTGACGTTTTGCACGTCAATATCAAAGATGGATTTTGGAGCTATGCCGAGGAAAATATTGCTGCAGGATGCCCCTACTCGTCGACCCCAAAGGGGAGCCCATTTTCTGGTAGCGGATTTAGCAAAGCAAAATGTCTTGGGAGAGTGAGTATTGTTGACCTCACCTGATTGGAAGGGCTCAATTTTATATATTTTTGAGCACGCGGCGCGAGAAAACTTGGACCTCTTTTTGACCTTCGACCCATGAATATCGAACCACGAATAGGTTTTGACAGAAATGACCCATATACCCAACATGATCCCTTAGAAGGCCCTACAAGCGCAAGTGCACGAAAGGATAACACTAGGCATCGTCCCCATTTTCCAGTTTAGCCGAACTACTTCACTGATATCTAGTTGGACCCCTTTAGTGTAATCACTATGTATATACTTCATATAATCCTATATTAAAATACTTCCGACAAGAAAATAAGGCGGTCTATTATCCAAATAAATTCTATCACCCTCGTGAACAAATGAAAAAAGATTGTCTAGGTAATACCTAGTCATTCGTGCAAAATAGGCCAAACCTCGGAACAGCGGGTAAAACGTATACATCATTAGAAAAGCGGCATGAAAAAGGGGTATTAGGAGCTATAAAAACGTGAATGGGGCTAGATATGGGGGTAAATAAGCATTGAACATTGCCTGCAGATTTACGTGCTCGTCAAGATGGGAAATACGAAACTGGAAATGTAAACTCCGTTTCATCATAGAATGCAAAGGGGGTTGGTTGGTGAGATTTGCAAGGTGTAGTGTAGGTGTATGATACAAACAGGGAGAAAGGCATAAGGAGGATGATTTAATTTATGTATTTGGGAAGCTGGGTTAGTGCTAGGTGGTCAGAACGAGTGTGAGATGAGCGTGAAGAGCGGGCAGCGGGAGAGTAAAGGGAGCAGAGAGAGGTAAGAAACATGTCATATATTGCAAAACATGAAGATTGGAGAGAGATCTAAGCACCGAAGACTTTGAAGAAGCCCCACATCCCAATTCCGCTCAAAAGAGGGATTGTCAAGTTATCATCAATGCCGAAAAGGTCAATGAGCTCACTACCAGCGCCTACAACGCCTGTCCACAAGCTCACAATTCCAAGAGCAAGTGGACCAGAGACGATGGAGTTTTCAGAGGTCGAAGTTGGGAGACCAATCCATTCTATCAGTTTAGTTGCGGCTGGAGGTAGGAGCCGGATGGAGCCAGTAAACATGTTGGCGTTCTCGGGGTCATCAGGGAAAGTTCCTACTGCGGGAACGATGTACCCCCAAAAGGCCACAGCAGTCATCACACCAACGACCCAGGCAGCAAGTGTACCCGCCAAACTCTTCCCGCGGCGGAGGCGGGGGGTATATCGGCCGTAAAGCCGGCCAAATGTAGATGCAGCGGTATCACACCAGCTGAGAAGCAGGACAGAGACCATGGCGATGTCCTTGGGAAGGAAGTAGAGGACTATGAAGACGCCCAAAACGTACCAGATCACGCCGTTGAAGCCCGAGACTTCAGTTTCGCGCATCAGGGCTCCAAGACAGCGAATGTAGAACCTGTTGACGGCGGGGAAACGATGACGCAGGAAGTCGGTAGCTGCGATGGGAATGAAAGCGGAAAAGAGCCAGGGGGTTAACTGGTCCGCCTGTACGCCACGGCGGAACATATCGAGGGCAACAAAGCCGATGGAGACATGTAGTAATTTACGCGGAATCTCATGGCGATGGATGAAGGTTCGGTAATGCGAGTGGAGAGGAATCAGGCCGAGAGGAGAAGGAGACCGTGAAATAACTCGCCAGCTGTTCTGAGCACCCGAAAATGGTGATAGATGGCCATTTGCCGACGTGTGCCCATTTGCTACCGGAGTAGCCTTATCACCAACCCCAGAGTAAGACTTGCGCCGACGCTGAACAGAGGAAGACAACAAGACCGGGCTTCGAGAACGGGCGCGAGACCGCTTGTTTGTACTGGAATCTGAGCTGGATGCATCGTCGTTTGAAGCCTCCTCTTCCGGGATGGGAGGAGGCGATGAAAGCGGCCGCTTATCCGAGATGTAGTCTCTTGAATCCGAGAGGTCTGAAGGTGTTGGCGATGGGGAAATCACACGCGGTGTCGCGGGAATATCATATTGATTTGGCATCGCAATGACGCTGTTATCTCAATCTCGACGGGCGAACAAGCTCCACCTATATCTGGATGAAGCCCGATAAGAAGTTCAACAACACGTCCGAATATGGGTTGAAGAGAGCTGGTCTAGCTGAAGCAGACCACGTCCTGAGCTCACTTCAGGCTGGAGGAGGTGAGACTAGGTATGTTTGACGGTGGTGATAGAACGGGTGACCCGTGGACCGGGTTGTATTGCACCAGGTGTTCACAGAAAATTCGAGTCTAATGAACCTTGGAAAGGAGGCGGGCGGAGAGTATGGAGTAACGTTTGCTGGACGGGCAGGGAGCGGGGTTTGCGCGCGTCGTCGCCCAAGGCCGCCTGGTCGCAGGCTGCGGATGGAGGTTTTGAGTCTGTTCTTCGTCTTGTCTCCTTCTCTTCTGCTGTTTCTCCCTTTTCCATCTCTTCTTTTTCTTTTTTTTTTGCTATCTCAAAAGAATTCAAGATGTCGCGATGACTTTGCCACGTGATGACAAAACACGTGATAAGATTAGATAACAAATATTCACGTGATGTATAAGTAATCATTCACGTGAATATTGAAGCCCTAATTTCGATGTTTGCGCTGTTTGCTTTAGGAAAATATTCTGAAAGCTTCAAAAGTTGACGACGATGCGACGCGGTTGAAGAGTTGACGGAGCTGCGAGAGGATATATATATACCCGTGGAGGCGTGGATAGACGAGAAATCCATAGACTTCCACTATCCGCGCATTATCTGCCTCTCCGCCGCCTTTACCAATGGCCAACAGTAACCCCCCGAAAAACCCCCGCGCATGGGAAGCTCTAACTCCGCCGCTATCACAATGGATCCTCGACGCTGTTTCGGCCATGGGCTTCAGTCGCATGACTCCAGTACAGGCATCGGTCATTCCTCTGTTTATGGGGAACAAGGACGTTGTCGTGGAAGCTGTGACGGGGAGTGGGAAGACGATGTCCTTCCTGATACCTGTCGTTGAGAAGCTATTACGGCTAGATGCTCCGGTGAAGAAGCACCATGTTGGAGCTATAATAGTGTCGCCTACTCGGTACGATTGCTTCTGTAAATATGTTCGAAGCTATATACTAACCGGTATTAGAGAACTGGCAGAACAAATTTATACCGTGCTCCTCTCTCTCCTTGCTTTCCATGGACCCTCGGCGTCGAAACTTGCTCAGGTTGATGGCAAAGAACCAGAGTTAGACCCCGAAACGGGCAAGCCATACCGCTCATCAGCACTTAAAGTGCTTCCCCAGCTGCTGCTTGGAGGCACCACAACACCAGCGCAAGATCTCAGTGTCTTCCTAAACCGTTCCCCGAACCTCCTCATTTCGACGCCCGGAAGGCTGCTGGAACTTCTCTCCTCGCCACACGTCCATTGCCCACAGTCCTCGTTTGAAGTGCTAGTTCTTGATGAGGCGGATCGGCTTCTAGATCTAGGGTTCAAGGATGACCTACAGAAGATCCTTGGAAGGCTGCCAAAACAGCGTCGAACCGGTCTATTTAGCGCCAGTGTCAGCGAAGCTGTTGACCAAATCGTACGTGTCGGACTGCGGAATCCCATTAAGATTGCTGTTAAGGTCCGTGGAGCCGGCGCAGAAGACAAACGGACACCAGCTAGGTACCGCTCTCCCTATGATTAAATTATCACCAGCACCCATCTAACCAACTCTATAGCCTCCAAATGACCTACCTCACAACACGCCCTTCTCATCGTATTCCCGCCCTATCCAAGCTGCTCTCATCCATCTCCCCAGCTCCCCAAAAGTCAATCATCTATTTCTCCACCTGTGCCGCAGTAGACTACTTTAGCATAATCCTCCCTTCCCTCTTACCATCTACATTCACAACCGTGCCACTACATGGCAAACACCCGTCCAGCGTCCGCCAACGTAATTTCACCCGATTCACCCAATCCGTGGCCGCAACCATCCTCCTAACCACTGATGTCGCGGCTCGAGGACTCGATATCCCCCTCGTCGACCTCGTGGTGCAACTCGACCCACCCGCAGATCCAAAAGTTTATATCCACAGATGCGGACGGGCCGGTCGTGCAGGCCGCCGCGGCCTAAGCGTCCTCTTCCTCACATCAGGCAGAGAAGAAGACTACGTACCCTTTCTAGCTGTGCGGAAAACGCCAGCTACGCTCTTCTCAACTCCACCTATTACGACGACAGATGCAGAAGCACAGAATGTAACAGATACAATTCGTCGTGCAGTACTCGCTGATAGGGCGGTGCATGATAAAGCACAGCGTGCTTTTGTCAGCTGGGTGCGCAGCTATAGCAAACATCAGACCAGCAGTATCTTCCGAGTTGCGGATATTGACTGGGAAGACACAGGCCGGTCGTGGGGGTTACTTAACCTTCCTAAAATGCCGGAACTAAAAGATTTCAAGGGGGATAAGATGCTTGGACTCGGCTCTGGGGGCGTGGACTGGGATTCCTTTGCATATAGTGATAAGCAGAAGGAGAAGAGCAGGTTAGCTGCTCTAGCTGAGGCAAAAGAAAAGGGGGAAGCTACTCGGGCATCGCGAAAACGGCCTGCTGCAGCTGGGGAGAGCGGTACGGTGGCTTGGAGCAAGAAACTGGATAAGAAAGGTGAGAAAGAGAGGAAGCGGGAGAGCAAACGGGTTAAGAGGGAGCAGGCTATGATCGAGGCCATGACTGAAGAGGAGAAGGCAGAGTTACGACGTACAAACGAGATGGTGGAGAAGATTAGAAAAGCGAATATAGAGACGCGGAAGAAGAATTTGGCGGCCGCGAAAGAGAAATCGTCGGATTCGGTGGATGACGACGAGCCATTTGAAGGATTCGATTAATACCTGTATATTATTACACACTCAATTGAATGAAAGACTTCAAGTACGGTCGACAAGGAGATATGGTGTGTCCGTAATAAATATATTCATAATGGCATTAATGCCTGAGCGATTCTTGGGTGCTCTCTCTCTCTCTCTCTTTTTAAAACGCAGGCTCCTGTCATTCTAGATACATGCTTGGCTCACAACATGATAAACGAAAAAACGAAAACGCCCAGATGCATACAGACCCAAACTCCACAAACAAAAACTCCAACACCAAACGAAAAACAATGATGAGAACCCCCTTTTCGACCAACCTGTAAACACCCAACCCGAAGGCGGGCGTAATACAGGAGGAACAGTCAGGGAGCCTCGAACGCTAAATATACAGAACCAAATCCCTCACCACCGCCGGATAAATCCAACGATGGGAACAGGGTCAGCCAGGACCCGGCCCTGAAGGGGGGGAACCTGACTGAAGTCCTGCATGGGAAACATGAAACCACAGAACGCCCAAAATGACAGGAGCCGCAACTAAAAGAATGGACGTAGGACAGGGGGGGCCCATCCATCAGTGCAGTCGTAATACGGCAGAGTTACCTCTGCCGCATTAGCTGCTGGAATCCCATTCTCAGCCGTTCGTTACTCGGCCGGGCCTGCAAAGAGAACCCAGTTTCAGCGGCACGAGGCCACTGAAACGAGTGGGGGACGAGTCCCTGTCCTACTACCCCCTGGAGAGCCGGCGACGAAGCCGGCACGGGGCTTGACGAATATCGCTCCGCGGTGCGCAGGCCGCTGGGAAGTCGAGGTCGGAACCTTTCCATGTCCGACCTCTGTCTCTCAACAGACCTCGCTCCTATCGTTGCGGGGCGAAACAGCGGCACTGGCATTGTCGCGAGGGCAGGTCGCGACGGGGGTGCAGCGGCGACTTGGCCATTGGAATGACCAAGGAGTACTCCCCTGGGAATTGGGGCAGGGAGTACACCGACCTCAGGGACGATACCGGAGGACGACGAGTCTCCAGCCCCCGAGGGGACCGGATCCTCGTCGATATCGTCGAAGAAGTCATCGCCGTACAACTCCTCGTACGTGAACCCGTAGGTGCTCTGCCCTCGGGGTTGGTTGTCGGACCCCCCCTCCACAAGAGGGCTTGGTGTTGTCATCTCGACGTCTTCGGGCGACGGAATTGTCGAGACTTGCTGTGGAGAGGGGGTTGCCGGTGCCGCTGTGATTTGTGATGGAGACTCTGGGATGTCTTCCATCACGTCTGATGCCGTGAGGTCCCTCTTGCGGGTCTTCGACGGTACGTCTGGCGGGCTCGGGCCGAATCGTACCTGCTTTCGCTGTCGAAGTCCGCCGCGCGCAGGTGTTTGGCTGTCTGCGGCGGCGGCTGTCCTCAGGACACCAGGTCGAACGCTGGCCGATGGTTGTTCGGGTCGTTCGTTGTCGGACGACTCAGCTTCGGAGCTGGAAGTCGATCCAAAGTAGCGCAAGTCCATTCCGTAACTGCACCCGGGGGGGTTAGGGATGGGCTTGCGCCTCTTTGGCCTGCCATTGGTCGTCTTGGCCACTTTGTTAGCGTTTGGCTTTGACGAAGTCGGTTGATAAAGCTTTACCGTCTCTTGGGCCTGGCGGGCTTCTTCTTTGGCAAGCCGAGCTTCCTCCTGTGCCTGGCGCGCAGCCTCTTGGGCGATGCGAACTTGTTCTCGTGCCTGGCGGGCGTCCTCTTCGGCTTGGCGAAGAGCAGCTTCTCTGGAGTAGCTCGACAATCTATGGTTTCTTGGGAAGAGATCGTAGGAAAGGTCTTCCTCGTCATCTTCCTCTTGTGTCTGCTGTTGTGTAGCTAGACTTCGGACTGGAACTGAAACAACTGGCTCTGGCAATGCTGATGGTGTGTCCTTCCACTCCTCCGAGATGGAAGGACCAACTGCATTCGCGCTGGGTGATACTGACTCGTAATTATGGTGGCCATCATCATTTTCATGTGTTCGTGACGCGTAGCCAAGCTGCTCTGTTTCATTGGAAAGGTTTTGGGAAAGGTTTTCGTGATGCATCACCGGTCTATGACTCTGACTCGGTGAAGTTTCATCGCGTCTCTCATGTTGAGACGGTTCGGCGCCGAAGGCGGGTAAGAATCGTGAAATCGATCGAGGGACTGAACCAAGCAAGCCCCCAAGACTCCATCCAACGCGTGTTGGTGTGCTAGGCTGTAGTTCAGGTGGAGATGAGTGCACATTAGAAGCCGAAAGGCTGAGTGCCGTTGCAGTGGTATCGACTGGAATAGAAATCGCGACCTCATCTGATTGTTCATCGTAATTAGCATTGTTATTGTTTCCATTCAGGGAGGCGGCTTCAGCGGCTTTCTTCTGTGCAATCAACTCTGGAATCCTGAACAATGTCCTTTGAATTTTGCCTTGACTCTCGAGGACGCGGCGGCGTTGACGATCGGCGTATGGTGTGACTTGACGGCGACGATGTATCTCTCTGGACTTGATGGGTTTACGCTGAACTTTCTTCTTCGGGCGTTGCTCATCGCGAGCTGTCTGGTGACCAACATTCTCTTTATCTTCGTCGGTCTCTCGTCTTCGTTTACCGGTGACTGTGTTCACTGGTGTCAGTTGTCTGGTTCTCTCTGCAAAGCGGAACCCTTCATGGGTCCAAGTAGTATGATTCTGTGGACAAACCAGCACCCTGCTGCAGCAAGGGCAAATTGGCGTGCGCTGAATGTTTGAATTTGGGTTGGAGAAGAGAAGAGGTTGTGTGGTAACGGGAGGTGGGTAAGAGAGAAGCTCTGCAGGACTGGTGCGTTCGCCATTGCGAGTAACGCCGCCTTGCATGTCGACGATAGGGGTAGGGGACACCTCCAAGCTGTGAGGGCTAATCAAGGAGGCGACAGGTGCAAAACGTGAGAAAGGTTGGTGCCTTTGAGGCAACGGCAACCTGCGAGGAAGGGGCATAATAGGGCGTGAAGGAATATTATTGAGCTCACTCTGAGACAGTGCTTGGTTGCCGTTATTAATGCTGGTTCTGATATTCTCGTTGTTTTCGACATTAGCCGTGGTCTCTACCACGGGGGAGACGTGCAATGCGTCGGTATTGCGAGCCGCAGTCTGAGAAGCCGGAGCTTGGGCGGGAGTAGAGGGAGTGGAGCGGGAAGAAGGAGGGCCGTTTGCCTGTAATGGAGATGGTACGAGAACCTGGACTTGGACTTGCGGAGTCGGAGTCGGAGTGGGATGGGAAGGTGTTGTTGGCGCGGTGACGGTGTTATTGTCGTTACCGGCGGCGTTGCCACGGTCGTTGCTGTTGCTGTTGTTATTGTTATTGTTTACAGCAGTGTTTACAGCTTCGTTGCCATTGCTGTTAGAGGTGCTGCTTTCTGCGGCAGGAGCTTCTTCACGCTCGTCATCTTCATCATCGTCGTAGCTTCCTGGCAGACGCTTCTTGGGAGCTGGCTTCTTGCCCTTTTTAGCTTTGCTTTTGTTGACACGCGTAGTTGCTGCTTTGGGGGCTTTTGTAGCTTTGGCAGCTGGTTTGGGAGCAGGAGCAGCTTCAGTAGCTTCAGTTGCCGTTCTGCGAGTTCTGCGTGGCGTCTCCCAGATCTGGTAGCCAGATGGCGACATGGGTTGGGATCGAGTGCGCGCCATTGCTGCAGTTGGACTGGGAAGACGTTAGAACGCGATCAGATAAGCAAGTGGGGTGATAGGACGAGTCTCTGAGAGTCTGATAGCTCGAGAAAGTGGCAAGTGAAGACGTGAGAAGGTGAAGGTAAGGGTGAGGATGAAGATGGCAAACACCAGTCTTCCACAGAGGGATAATGAGCTCAAGACAGGAGGGGCAGATGTAACGCTCGTAGTGTCAACGAGTAAGTGAAGATATCAAGCCGCGAAGCTCAAAGGCAGTAAGGGAAGATATCCGGCCATGACGCTCGAGGAAGCGAGGGACTGGAAAGCTCGAGCTCAACAAGATAAGAAGCTGAGAAACGAGGCAAAACAAGACGTGATAACGAGAGAAACGCGTTCAGAAGCAGATACGAGCTTGCAAACGTACCTGGAGAAGACTTATCAAAGGCCAATGCTCGTTCTGGTCTGAGACGGCTGGTATCAAGATGCTCGAAGCAGGACTGGGGGTGCGGGTTGCTGTGGTCGTGACGAGAGAGAAGGAGGAAGAGAAAGAAGGAGAAGAACTCGGGGACGCAATATATATGCCAGAAATCTGCTTAGAGGTGGCGTGCGCGCCGCTGCGAGAGCAGTAACACTCCAGAGATCATTGCGGTGTTGCAAGGTCGAAGGAGGACATATATTTCCCGAACTGGCGCAATATTTTTTTGGGCGGGTGGTGACGCTGCTTACGTAAAGCAACACCACGCTAAAATCCGCTAAAATCGACGCTAAAAAGTCACTTACAACAACACCTGGACGAGGTGAAGGACTCGATATCAGACTAAGAGCAGTCTAGAAGGGCGGGTATGACACAAAAGGACGCTAAAAGTAGGTGACGCGGAGAAGTGAGAGATGGCGACAGACAGAGGACAAAGTGAGAGACAGAAGGTGGACAAGGTGAGGCACGGCGAGGTCGAGATTAGAAGTAGATACGTCTATGAAATACGCCTAGAAATACAAAAGTGAAGCGACCCAACAGGTGATTGTACAGTATATAACAAGTCGATGCACCCAATTAACAAACGTCCACTCGCTGTCCGTCCTCACCTCAGTGTAATCTCACCCTGCCACGCGGCATCCTTCAACCCAAGCGTCTCCATCAGGTTCTGCCACCTCGGGCCTCCTCTCTCCTTCCTCCGTAGATACTTGAGCAGCTTCTGTCGCCTGTGCACGAACAGTCGTAGTCGGCGCTTGTTGTGCTTGTCCTTGTGTGAGGTCGTCTTCAGCTGGTTGGCCAGCACCAGGATCCTAGACGTCAGGATAGCAACTTGCACCTCTGGCGAGCCCGTATCAGGCCCAGCACGCGGTCGTTTGGCGGATGCCTCGAGACTGGCGGGATCCTGGCCGGCGGCTGCGGGTTTGATGTCAAGCACTCGGTCAGTGTTGTGGCGTCCAAGTATATCGATCGATCGCTTGACGTTCAGCTTCGTTCGGTTCTTGTTGTTGCCGTTCTTCATCATCAGGATTCTTCGCACGGCTTCCTCAGCCGTCTTGTGGTCCTCTTCGTGTTTTTTGGCTGCGTCTTCGGCCTGCTGAGGGTCGAATGTGCTGCTGTCAATGGGCTCGACGGGTCGCGTGAGCTTCTTGGACCTCTCGAGGGCGTCTTCAAGCTCTTGTTTGGAGATACAGTAATTCACGTAGCTCATCTCGTCGTTGCCGGGGGGGACATGCACTCCCTTGGAGCCCAGGGTCGGGTAGAGTGATGGATTGAGCATGGCTTCGATCAGAGGTGTGCTCTCGCTGGCTACGGGGTCACCAAGAGCTGCAGTGCGCGCTTCGTTCAACTGGCGGTGTCGAGATATATTGGCTGCCTTCCGCTGACGTGCCTGAGCCATTGCAAACGGGTCCCGTCTCCGTCGTACTTTGCTCTTCGATGCAATCGTCCTCGACGGCTGGTACCCGACCCGGCTCAGGGACAGGTTGTTAAACCAGCTACATAGCCCTGTACCCATAATTGATCAGTACTATACGCTCAATGCCCTTCCATAATACACTGTACATACCATTTGAATTAACTCGAGGCGCCATCTTGCGTGAATCCGTTGCTGTTCCCGTCTTTCCTCTGTCTTTCTCTCTCTCTCGTCAATCTTCAAATTCTTTCCTTCCCATCAAATCTGCGTCCCTTGGCATGCCAAGCCTATCCTTCGGCCCTATATTCATCCGTCATGCCCTAATCTCTTAGTCATTGCTTAGTCACGCACAAACGAGTAGCCACGCCAAGAATCCAAAATAGGCGGGAAATTCGACTTTCGCGAGCTTCAATTTCGACCTTCTCGTCGCTCTCTCTTCACCCCCGTCAAGACAACCGCCGTCGATTGATATTTTCCTTTCCACTACGTCTTCCAGCAGGATAGATATCAGTCGCCCATCATGGCTCCTTCTAACCTCCCACCCGTTTTCAATGCCACCTCCCAGGACATGGAGATGATGCTCACTGCCCAGTGTCATCAGGGCTCCAAGAACATGCAAGTCCACATGGAGCCTTACCTCTGGAAGACTCGCCCAGACGGTGTCAACGTTATCAACATTGGCAAGACCTGGTAGGTCTTCAATCTCCAGTACGAAGGATGGTCAAGACCGCGCAAGAACTAATTAGTTATTCAGGGAGAAAATCGTCCTTGCTGCCCGTATCATCGCTGCCATCGACAACCCAGCTGACATCTGTGTCATCTCTGCCCGTCCATACGGTCAGCGCGCTGTCCTCAAGTTCGCCGCCCACACCGGCGCCGTTGCCATTGCCGGTCGTTTCACCCCCGGTAGCTTTACCAACTACATCACCCGCTCTTTCAAGGAGCCCCGCCTCATCGTTGTCACCGACCCTCGCACCGACGCCCAGGCTATCAAGGAAGCCAGTTACGTGAACATCCCCGTCATTGCTCTCTGTGACGCCGACTCCCCAACCAACTTCGTCGACGTTGCTATCCCCACCAACAACAAGGGTCGTCATGCCATCGGTCTCGTCTGGTGGATGCTTGCCCGTGAAGTTCTCCGTCTCCGTGGAACTCTCGCTACCCGTGAGACCGAGTGGGATATCGTTGTTGATCTGTACTTCTACCGCGACCCTGAGGCCGAGGAGACCAAGGAGCTCGAGGACGCTAAGGCCGCTGAGACCGAGGAGGCCGTCGTTGCTCCTGAGGCTGGTTTCCCCGCTGCTGACAACTGGGATGCCGCTGGTGGTGTTCCTGCTACCTTCGGTGGCACTCCTGCTGCCGCTGCTGCAACCAACTGGGAGGCTTCCGGTACTGACTGGGCTGCTTCTGCTCCAACTGGTACTGAGAGCTGGGCTGCTGACACCCCTGCCACTGAGGCGAAGTGGTAAATGCGGCTTCTCAGCCCAAAAAGAAATAACACAAAACCCGATTGTCCACCCTAATTCTCCTCTACTTGTCCGTTTACATACACCAATCATGTTAAAAGCGGCAAAAGAAAGATTTAACGAGTTCATCAACGCTTTTCTCCACACGGTTCCTGCTTTGAATGTCATGGCTTCCAATTGACGGCGCTTACGAGGGAAAGATACCCATTTGATCTCGGATCATCTGGGGGAAAGCCCTGTGCTGTCAAGAAGGGGCGTACTTAATCGTTGCCCCACTTCCATTAGCTAGTACCGAACAAAATATATGCAATTACTTGAGCCTCTGCATTCAGGTCTATCTGTCCATAAACATCCATATGCCTATATCATGACAATTTCAGGGGCTAAAGAATATTGTATCTGTTGCCACCTATAAGCCACTCCCAGCAACGCTAGCGTTCACGCCAGTCTCATGCGTATGCAACCTCCTGGCATAGAAACGCGCCTGCACGGGCACCTTAATCCCCTCGAGCAGCTGCACGGTGCTAATCTCACAAAGCTTCACTGGCAGGTTCTTACTGCGCCTCAGCGCTATACTCAATGGCCAACACCACGGAACAATCTCGTCAGCTAACTCCACCAAGCGGCCCACGAGAATCACCCAGTGTTGTATCTCCGATGGGTCTACCGTGCCCCGGTGCTGCCCAAATCGCACAGTTCGGTTCCCTGATTCAATCATGGCACCACCAGCGGTAGAGTGAGCTACCATACCCTCTATGCTATACGCCATTATACCTTGCGGATGGTGATAGCGTGCCTTTGACCCATCCCAAAGTTGGCATAACGCTTGCGTGCTGGTGCAGTCCAGTATCCGTTGCTTCACGATACGCGGGTTTAAATGGGATAGTAAGGCGCTGGGGGTGAAGACATGAGCTTCGTTGACACGGCTAGAGGGATGAATCGCGTTTAGCTGCTTCTGGTACATCCAGACGAGGGCCAGGAGGTTTTCTAGAGCGGTAAGGCGGAAACCTATACTCTGTAAATCATGTCCCTCTATCTTGCCATCTCTATCGCCAATTATGGAGCCCACATGCACGTTCAACGAGCATGAGTTGTTGGTAAGAATATCGAACCCCCCCGTCAAAGAGTTTAGAGCTTCCTGAATCGTGTGAAATGAACGGCCTGTAAAGCTCATAACCGGGGCCACAAGCTTGACTGGACAAAAGCCCCATTCATCCCTGATGATATCAAATCCGTCAACTTGGACATTTGGGGGTGGTATTTTAACTTTCCAGTACGACAAGTTGACGCAATGTGGAGGATAGTTGTGCACCATGAATCCATGGTCCCGCATAAATGTGACAATCCGACGATACACAGTCCGCATTAGATCCGGGTACTGTATGAGGTGAGCGCATCCCCTATTTTCTTCAGGAATAAAGTCATCAATCCTAAATTTAACGATGAATTCCATTTCAACGCCGAAAGAGTACCATGTATAAGGCATCTTAAACGTGGACGGGAGAAGAAAGGCCCAATCCATTAGAGGTAGGGTATCGACTCGTAGAATATTTTTTGGTGGCAGGATATTTATTTATAGAAGCAATAATATATTTCAAAAATGAGGGCCAATATAGGAGGGGATGAAGGGTATATGAAAAGGAAAAAGAGAAGGCATCCTCCTACTTTAAGCTCGTTAGGAGGTCCCTTTCTAAAGTTCTGGTGGATTCCAGCAGCGATTTCTCCTCAGGGAATGGCATTTTTCGCCATCTTGATGTATAATGGGTATATAATGGCCAGTTATAGGAGATATATGAGGGGGAAAATTCCACTGCAATGCGATTGCCAATTGGCGCTGCTAGACGTCTCAGCATCCTTCATATAGTAACTCAGATAGTACAATGTTGCGGCAGTTCTCCTGCAATAGCTGAGAATATCCGCAGCCCACATTACCAGGTGGCAAAACTCTTCATTCAACATTGGATTCCTGGTTATTCCCCGTTCATTTGAAAGCGCTGACCTAGATTACCTTGAAGCGGCACATCAACGGAGTTTCTTAGCTCAAAGGATAAGTTACTACAGTTGATGGAAGAGCAACTGACGTTGTAAACACAACACAGCGCCAAGTATTGACACGTGACACAACCATGAGCCTAATAAGACGTCTACTACGAAGTATAAGGTCCTCTATCTACACTCAATCATGCAGTTTATCCAATAGATTTAATATCTTCTTAACATATTTCATACTGTAAAGAGGCTCCTCTCATATGTCTCAAGGGGTCTATATCTATAAAGGGCAACTCGGGGTAAGCTTAGGAGTAAGAAGTATATCTTTTTTGGTGAGAAAATATACGAGTGCTTAAAGTCTTATGCTATGAATATCCATGTTTCACCACATAATCACAGAGGGATGATCTGGTATTTGAATCTCTCCCCATCTCGCGCTTGCTCGCGTGTCTATACTTTGGGGATAAGCCACGGTGGGGCATAAGTAACCAAGTTAACTTCACAGCCGCTGTCTTACATTACGTCGTTTCCAATTCAGCCTACCCGACATCAGCCCTAGATATAGGCACTGTTACTCTAAACGCCGTTTGCTCTAACCGCAACATTGTGAGAGTCTCGACTCTGGATCGAAACTATGATCCGCCCACTAGATTAATTGGTAAAACACCAGCCAAACATGCGAGTGAGCGAGATGGGATGGAGATTTTCAGATGATCTCTCACTGGCGCTAGAGATGTATCCAGCTATTTTCTTTTCTTTTTATCGAGTAGAATAGATTTGATTAAGGAGCACTGAGAATTCTCGGAGTTTTCACCTTCGGGAAGGATCACGTGACGATTGCATCGTCACAATTTTTTTTTATATTGCGTTCCGAATAATTCGACGGCAAAGGCCAGATCGGGAGAAGTATGAGAGCAACTTGTTGGAGGCGTTGCGGTGCTATTCAGAGAGTCAAAATTCCTACTACAGGCACAAAACGCTTCTTATCAACCCCCGGATTGCTCACAGCGCAAAAGATGACCGAGGAGTCAGCCGTATCTCCATATTCCAACTGGAGCAATGCTAGTCTGATTGACCGAATCAATGAACTCGAAAAGCAGTTAAATCAGCGCTCCCAAGGCCCTACCCCGACGGCCAACTCCGGGAGCGAAGCGAAGGGAGAAAAAGACAAAGATATTGCAGCAGCATCCTCTGTTGAAAGCCCACCACTCCCAACGTCCACCCCACCCCCCGACCGACCAACGAGTTCAAATTCTTCACGGAAGGCACGGAAATCAGACAAGGTCTCTCGAGATATAGACCCTTCTAAATACTCCACTCGCCTCATTGCCCTTAAAATTGCTTATCTCGGCAAACGATATAACGGATTTGAGCACGCGAATGGCAATTATACCGAAGCCCCTACAGTTGAAGAGGAACTATGGAAGGCTCTGAGGAAAACCCGCCTTATATTTCCAACACATAAAGAATGTACGGAAGATTTTAGCGAAAAGGATTCTAAATACCTTCGGCCGTACTCCATATATTGGGATGGATGTCAATACTCTAAATGTGGGCGAACTGATAAAGGTGTCAGTGCTTTTGGACAGGTGATAGGTATCAGGGTGCGAAGCACAAAGCCATCACTAGACCTCTCAGCCGAAGGAAAGAAGAGGCCGGTCACAGCTTCAGATGCCGCAGCTCCTAAGGTTTCCGACACAGAGGTTGAGAATATGCTAGCGGGTTGCGATATCTCTGATACAGAAGAAGCCAAGGAGGCAAGTTGGGATGATATTGGAGATGAATTGCCTTATGTACAAATACTGAATGGTGTTCTGCCAGAGGACATACGTGTTTTGGCATGGTGCCCTCGTCCGCCTCCTGACTTTGATGCTCGATTTTCATGTCGCCAGAGGCGGTACCGTTACTTCTTCACGCAGCCTGCATTTTGTCCTGTGCCTGGCACCCACGGAATCGTGAAAGCCCGAGGGTCAACACAAGACCCATCCAAACCGACACTTAGGGAAGGTTGGCTAGATATTGATGCAATGCGAGAAGGGGCACAGTATTTTATAGGCAGCCATGACTTCCGGAATTTCTGCAAGGTCGATACGAGCAAGCAGTTGACGAGCTTCGTGCGCCACATTCTACGTGCGGATATAGAAGTTGTGGATCCTAAGAAAACCCCTCTTGGATTCGTTGACAAACCAGGATTTGAGCAGTTTGACAACAGCCCAGCAAATACTGGGGTTCTTGACAGCGCTGATGATGTTAACCCTTCCGCGGGCAAGGTATATTCATTCACCGTGCATGGCACAGCGTTTCTATGGCATCAGATTCGTCATATGGTCGGCATACTGTTCCTCATTGGCCAAGGCCTCGAATCTCCATCTATTATCCCCGAGCTATTGGACATCACAAAGAACCCACGCCGGCCTGTGTATGAGATGGCGTCGGATGGCCCTCTTGTTCTTTGGGATTGCATATTTGGGGAACACGAGGATGAATTAGATTGGGTTCACCCTGGTGACCCACGGGTTATGAATTCACACTCTAGGAAAACTGACGGCAACTTTGGCCATGGCGGCGTTGTTGAAGACCTATGGACTATCTGGAGACACCGTAAGATCGATGAATTGCTAGCCGCAACGTTATTGGAGTCCGTCGCGAACCAAGGTCACTTAACGGCCGTTTCTAAACCTGCTAATCATCCAACCAATCGACATCAAACGATTCGGAGTCAAAGGATGTTCGGTGGAAGCGATAACGCGAAGCTAGTCGGAAAATACGTGCCATTAATGAAAAGGTCCAAGCTTGATCTTGTTGAGGATATGAATTCCCGGTATCTATCGAAGAAGGGCCACAAGTATTGGAACAAGGTTTTCCAGTATCAAGCGGAACAGCGGAAAGCATCACTTGAAGCTGAGGGAAAAGCCGTGGCTTACGAATAGATAAACGTCCCGGAGCAGGACGTCACCCATAGCATAATTATAGATTCACACTGCCGCGGACTTCGATTACGAGGCCGATTCATAGAGGCATTTTCGAGCACCCTTCCAGACTTCCTCAACGATTGCGCGCCTTGGTAAAAGGTTCTATAACTCTAGGTTAGCTAAGGGCCCAGACATAGTAAAAGAGCAAAACAGCACAGAAAGGTGAGAGCAAACATACGGGAAACACAACAACCACATCAGACTCTCCGTCTACAATTATAGCCAGATAGTATCTCACTTCAAACCCTCTGAAAGCTTCGTGTATAACGATATCCTGTATTTGGGTTGTAGGGATAAATCTGGTTGTTGCGCTAGGGAAGTATGTTGCCGAAGACGTCGACGTTTGAACTCCCAACCCACGGATAACAAGTAGAGATTCCTCTATATTCAGTATCAGCGTCTATACCCTCAATTGCGTTGGAGTAAATAGCCACGAAAACGAACCAGTGTATCCTTTTCTCACGACAAGGTATAATAATACTGCGCTGCATGCGGCGATTATCTGCCATATATGACTATCCGCAATATTGCATGCTATTGTCCCTATGTTACTCGCCCATATCGTTTCCCACGGAATTGCCGTCCAGTCTTCGGGTATGTGGCTGCGGCTCGTAGCGGTGTCGACCAGCACAACGAACGCGAATATCAGCGCTCGAAGGATAATGCCGACATAGAAAGCAAGTTTTGAAGAAATTGTCGACCTGGTGGACGCATTGGAGACGGTGAATTGAACTGTAGTCGACGAAGGGCTGTAGGTATTCAAGTGCGTAGGCATTAATGCCGATTTGTTGAGGGGGGGGGTTGATAACAATAAGTGTATGGCGTAGTGCGTTTTATGTGTGTCAACTGCTTTTGTGCCACTTCCGTCGCATACTAGACATAGCACTCCTTGTATTTATCACTGCGACTTAACACGATTGAGATGTAGAATCAAATGTTTCGAAATTCGTGCTCCCAAGCCACCCTTGACGACGTACCAACGTCACTTTTGCCTATCCAGGTACACAAATTTGATATCATGTGACGTCCATATAGATCGATCTCGATTACATAATTTTCAACCTCCTTGCGATTCTGTTCCTAGAAATCGCCGTGTCTTATAGGGCGTATATCACCGGGAAGTACATGGATGGAGCGGTACCTTGTTAATAAGCAGGTTAACCACATATTCGGGCCTGTTGAGGTGCCTAGCAGTTCATACATATGCTTTCTCCTATCTCCTAAGGGCTCGTTTAGCGAAGAAGTACTTAAAATATTGAGGCTGCGACCCTGCCAACGCATGCCCTGATTCCCTAAAGGGGGAAAGACAAAACAACATGGAAGTACATGCTAAACACTGACCATACGGAGGACATGGATGGCCTGCTAATCGAACGCCTACAACAACGCACGTGTAAGTAGATCTGCAAGCCTCGTACGTAGTGTGAACGACTGAACCTGGAGAAAAAAGACGAGGAAACCCGCTGCTTGCGCCTGGTTTGCCGAGAGCCTATCCTTCGCTATGAAAGGAAGCCCTGAAAGCGAGAAAGGGAGAAGCGAGAAAGCGAGAGAATATGGCCAAGAGGTATCTGATAGACCAGTGACATGACTAATACAGGAACTTGTTAGCACCTTCAACCTTGGAACTGTTTGCTTTGGCTGAATATATCAGATTTCGCCCCAACTAAATAAACACAGTTTAGGTAGAAACCCCCAAGACCCACCAGAGGTACAGCACAGCAGCCCAAACGCACTGCGAACATTTCCCCCCCAAAGTCAGCCAGAGAGGGGAAGGACTTACATAACCCATTTAAAGAGGCTGCCGTGTTCCTTCTTCTCCCGCTTCTGGTCCGTTTGCGTCTACAGACTCCATGCCGCGGAGCCCATCGCCGCGTCGAGATCGAGATGAGAGGAGACGAAGCCGGTCACCTTTGAGGCGCCACGACGACAGAGACAGTGACAGAGACTCTGGGAGGAGAAAACAACCGTCTGGTTTTCGATGGAAGGAAAAAAGACGTGATGACGATAGGGATACAACCCGGTCGAGAGGCTTAGAGCGTGGATATCGTGACAGTGATAGACGAAGGTCACCGTTCAGAGACCGGGAACGGGATAGGGATAGAGAACATGAACGCGAACGAAGGCCAGGCCACAAGGACGATGTAGGCAGCGAGAAGACGACCGAGAAGAAGAAGGAGAAGAAGAAAGACGACGAGAAGAAGGAGAAGAAGAAGAAGCCCACCGCTGCTCCGTCCAACGAGCCCATGATTATCGTCAACGTTAACGATCGACTGGGCACCAAAGCTGCTATCCCATGTCTTGCTTCAGACCCTATCCGTGAGTACCTCCCACCCTTCTCTGACTGCTGCCAAGTCTAACCTTTTATACAGGCCTCTTCAAAGCCCAAGTCGCCGCCCGAATCGGTCGAGAACCCCATGAGATACTCCTCAAACGACAGGGAGAGCGGCCGTTCAAGGACCAGCTTACCCTGGAGGACTATGGTGTCAGCAACGGCGTACAACTTGACTTGTGAGTATACTTCTTTTTCCTTGACGATTGGATATGCTGACTGTGGTGTAGGGAAGTGGACACGGGCGATTGATGGGTTGCAATGGCACATTTCCTGCGCGCTCTCGGGAGAAGCTTGTGGTCATAAGCTGTGGTATATGTTATAATGAGCCGCTCTGGGTCTTGCACGCCGGTGCTCGCCCTTGAAATAATACATCTGTTTAATCTATTGGTTCCTCCTTGGCTTGTCCTGGTCTTGGTCTTTTGCACTCTCTACACTTCTATACGTGTACTATATCCGCTGCATGGATACTCATAGCGAGATAGCTGGTAACATCTGCACTCCTACCTCCCTCTCCCCCTCTACCTTTACTCCTTCCTCTACCCTTATCCTATCCTATCTTCCCTCTATATCCTCTGCTCTATCCTATCCTGCCTGTCTTGTTATATGTCTGGTATCGTGTTGTATTGCCTAAAACGGCAAGAAAACGTTACGCTGACTAACACACACACTTTCCCGCTTTAGGCCCCCAGTGGACCCCTTTCCACCAATCATCATGCTCCTTTGCATGTGACCTCCGGCAGAAAAAAGCCTGCTGCAAAAATGGGAATTCGAAACATCCACAATTCCGTGACTGACTTTTTGCCTCATTTCCTTCGGGACAAACTTTCGCTTGCTGCTCACTATGCTTGCCTCTCGTCTCTTGCGTCTGCTCCTGTCCTCCATGCTGCCTTAACAATGATGCTGATAGCGAGCTCGTGAATACTGTCCTTCGTGGGAATCAGTGCCACCGTCTTTTCGTCCTTCGCCTGTTTGAGTTGATTGGCCTCAAATTACCTCAGCCGCGGCCTGTTTGACAAACCCTCATCGGCGGATTTATATACTCCTTGGTTTGCATCATAGCCATCCCGGATATCCTTCAGCAGCAACTGCTCGGGTCGTTCTTCGCTGCAGCTATCCGCCATGGTCCGAAATATCGTCGTCCTGGGCGGCAGCTCCCACCCCCAGTTGAACGCAACTATCTGCAAGCAATTAGGTATCCCGCCAGTCAACGTCTTGTTGTCGAAGTTTTCTGTCGGCGAGACACGCGTGGAGATCAACGAGTCGATTCGAGGAAAGGATGTCTACATCATACAGTCTGGCGGAGGAAAGGTGAACGACCACTTGATGGAACTCTTCATCACCATCTCGGCATGTAAGACAGCCTCCGCTAAGCGAGTCACCGCCGTCCTCCCGCTCTTCCCATACTCTCGTCAAAGCGATATCCCATACAACAAGGCCGGAGCTCCTCTTGTAAAATCGGCCGCTGCTGCCAAACCTGAGGCCAGCAACGCTTACACTTTTGAGAGCACCCCGCCTACCCCGCCTGCTGGAAATATAGAAAGCCCCGGACTCCAGAATGGTTTGGATGGGCTGCACAAGGGACTCGCCCAGGTTCAGCTAAACGACCTCGAGAATGCCAGCGCTCTGAACAAAGCGCGATTGTCTCATTACGTCAACGGGATAAAACGTAGTGATACCTTGGATTCTTCAAGGTCTGAAAACGGCCACCAACGCATTCCTACCAGCCACAGCGATGAAACGGCGAGCAATGCATCGAATACCTCGAAAATGAATGCATTCCAGCCTCGCCCTGGTTACCGACAGTGGGTTGCCCAGGCCGGAACCCTGGTGGCTGACCTCCTTACATGTGCTGGTGCAGACCACATCATCACCATGGATTTGCACGATCCCCAGTACCAGGGATTCTTTGACATCCCCGTCGACAACCTTTACGGACGCCCATTGCTCAAGAGATATATTCAGCAGAACATCCCTGGTTATCACGACGCTGTGATCGTCAGTCCCGATGCCGGAGGAGCAAAGCGAGCCACTGCCATCGCGGACTCCATGGGCATGGAATTCGCTCTCATTCACAAGGTAAATGAAACGCCATAATTTAGCGATAAAACGCAATTCCTCGTGGTCAGACTAACTTCGTATTGTCATTTTAAAGGAGCGACGTCCCACCAAAATAACAGATCGTCAGAACGCCACCATGATGCTTGTTGGAGATATCAAGGACCGAACTGCAATCCTTATTGATGATCTTGCCGACACCTCCAATACCATAACTCGCGCCGCGAAGTTGTTGAAAAAGGAAGGCGCCTCAAAGGTATACGCCTTGGTCACGCATGGCATATTTAGCGGAGATGCCATTGATAGAATAAACGCGAGCGCTCTGGATAAGGTTGTCGTCACAAACACAGTAGCCCAAGAACATAACCTAAAACGATGCCCCAAGTTGGAGATTTTGGAAGTTGGCCAGGTTTTTGCTGAGGTATTTCACACTCCATCTCTGCCCTAGCACACGCCCTTAGGTCAGCAACGTTTCTATACAGTTACTAATCTGTTCTTGTCTCACTATAGGCAATTCGCCGTGTCCACCATGGTGAAAGTATCAGTGTGCTCTTCCAGTATGACTGAGCAATCATGACAATCATCTTGCTATCAAAGCCTATATCAACATTCATATATCTATCTTACTGCCCACCATTACCTTTGCTCTTTCTCCACCTCTCCAACTCCTTCTCTCTCCTTCTTACACCGTTTTATTTTCCTTGGCCTGGTGTTTTGAGACATGCTGCCCAGCCATACCTCAGAAACTCGGTTCATAAGACAGTCATTTCAGAAGAAAGACTTTGCTATGTCTTGCTCCCAACCTTTTCCATTTAATATCTGGATTACCTATTCTCCTTCTCACGTTCTTCTTAATTCACCAAATACTAGCAAGGTAAGTGGTGAAGGATATATCTTTATTTGGCCACACAGATGAAGCTTTTTCTTCCTAATTTCTTCTTTCATATTTTACACATATGGACTGCCATCAATGAAAAAAAAAGATGAAAACAAGCAAAACGGGGGCCCAGAAAAAAAAAGATCGATACAGGAAAGAAGTGTGGTAGGTTTTATTCTTATGGCTTGTTTGTTTTGTTTTCCCACCTGTTCTCTGTTAAGCTACTCTTCATTGATACGGGTGTTTTTCTCGAATTGCTCGAAGGGTTGGCAACCGATTACTCGCCTTTATTGCCCATTCTGCTATTACCAATAGGCCTGTTTGCGTTGGTGCGTTGGACTTTACTGGCTTCTTAGTATCTACCATTCACTGCTGGGTACATATCTTTTACATAGTTACTATGCTGTAGTTTCTTTGTGCGAAGGGCTCTCGATCCTTGTATAGGTTACTACGCAAGTTCGGCTACATGCTGTAAACCCTTTAAAGGGATTGTTACGCGAGAGGGTTGGGAGGCTTCATGTTAGAATATTTTACCGTGCAAACGGAGTACATATGTTACGAATGAAAAAGAGACTACGGAGCATAGGAAGATGATTTGTGCGTTTTTTTTTTGTTTCTCTCATCCAGTTGAAGAGTGTATGATTAGCCGTGTATGACGTTGCCGGAATAATTGGTAAATAGTTTCTCTAAATGCTGAGAACATCCGAAGAGCACGAGCTAGGGAGTGGTCCGTCGTATAAACAAGATAGGGTAATTATGGAAACATGGAAGGGATGGATGTCTTCCGAAAAAACAAAACACAGTAAGATAGTATATCGAAACTCCAGTAATATCAAAAGCAAAAGACGAAAGAATTAACCCCCTAAAGTACGCTTATATAATTCCCTATCCTATCCTTCTGATTCTGGGCAATACACTCCGCGATCCAAGTGATATTGCGAATTTCCTGTGTTTACATATTTAGTTAGTAAAAGAGTTATATAATAATTACGAGAAAAGGGTCACTAACCTGCTCTCGTAGTTTCACCCAAGCGTATATTATGGCAGGAGTGAACTGGCGAGTAAACACAAGCTTCAACAACTCCATCTCCCTCTGGTAGAAAAGATCCTCCAAGCTCTTGCCATCACTACCAGGGCCACCGCCACCTGGCTGGTTCAGGCCAACGGTGTCGAAGAACGCCTTGTAGTCGGCCACGACAGTCACCGCGAGTGAAACGCCCTCAAGATCATCCGCTCTGGATAGCATCAGAGAGCCCTCGGGGTACAACTTGCCGAACTCGGGATATAGCTTTTTCCTCTCGGCTTTGGAAAGTTCTGTGCCGAATGAATTGAGGGTGATGTTGATTGCTCGACGATCAGCTTCGAATTCTAGGGCTTCTGACATGACTTCCGAGGTGGGCGAGTCTTTGAGCTCAGGGTCGGTATTAATGAACTGGTAGAAATCTTCCAGGTAATTCTTGTAGAGCGTGTTGCGGACGATCTCAATGTTCAACTCATCGAGGTCCTGGTGGCTCAGACTGCCCTTGAAGTATGGCGCCAGAGGGGTTTCGATGAGCACAGTGTTGTAGAGTTCCTCGATGTTAGTTGCCACGCAGAGGACGGGCATGGTTTCAAACAAGCCGAGTGGGTGACATCTTTCTAGTAGCTCTCGGGTGTCTCGCTCGTGCAAGGTACCGGTGATGAGGAGGGCGATATTGTCGATCATGTACCCGTAGGTAAGGTATTCCATGAACTTGGCTGTCGAGCCACTGGCCTGTGCCTGTAGATAGCGGAATTCTGCAACAAGCTTATCGGTTGTCTTGCCGGCTAGAGCAGATGTAGAAGGGTTCGGAGGGAGGGCAGCCAGGAAATCGCCATAGGACGGACCCAGTTGAAGCTTGACATCTGTATACAAGGTAGTCTTTAGCAGATTGCGCCTCGGCAGTGATCATTGCTGAGCAAGGTCATATATGGAGTATTCAATATGGATTAGCAAGGGTATGTACACACCGTCGACGGTATCGCATTGCGTCAAGTTGCTGTAGTTCTGCGTGTTTAGAAGGTTATTGCGGTATCCGCGAACGACTCCTTCAACATAGCTGAGGGAACGGGTTAGCCTGGGAAACCCAAACAAGCCGGGGGAAACCTACCCGTTATCCACGTTGAAGAAGAGGCCCTCCATGGTGACTGGCCTGGCTGGTGCTATGCGTAACTTCTTCGCCTTCGTCTTCGTCTTCGTCCTCGAGTTGCGTCCTCTTGACACCATCTTGACATCACCGTCGACCTCCTTCGCTGCTTTCTTGGGTGATATCACGTGACTGTCTTACATAATAGTGTGAGTTTAGCAATTTTGCACCTTCAAGACCGGAAAAAAAAATAATTTGGATTTTCGAGCAAGCAGCGAAGAAAGTGTGCGTCTCTTGTGCTCAACACCGCGGAAGCTCTCGCCCACGCATTTTTGTTCGCGCTCGAGCTCTACAGAAGCTACGCGAAGCCCTTTTGTATATCTATTCTCTTCTTCTGGGCAACCGCAGCCATGACCCTCTTCATCCTAACCGAGACCAGTGCGGGCTATGCCTTGCTCAAGGCAAAGGACAAGAAGCTCCTCAAGCGTGATGATCTCGCAGCAGAGACCGAGACTGCAGAGGGGATCTCTAACCTGTATGTTTGCAATTGCAATTTTTGGCCCTCGATTGGCGGGAGAGACGTTGGGTTATTGTCGATGAATAGAGATAATACTCTGAAGAATTTTTCGTCATGATTTTTGGATAGCTCTTTTGGAAGACTTTCTTTTTTTGGATAATTAAACGGACTAACGGCTATGCCCTCTACAGTATGAAATTGAAGAACTTCCAGAAATTCGATAGCGCCACTACTGCCTTGGAGGAGGTTGCGTCTATTATTGAGGGAAAGGTCACACCCCGTTTGGCCAGCCTTCTCGAGACCATCAAAGATGAGAAGAAAGTGTCGTTAGCTGTTGCAGATGTCAAACTTGGTATGTTATCGGACCCTACCTTCGAATGGCGCAGTTTATTTTCAATTGCGATCCCTGCGCAAACAATGGTCTTATATTAACGCGTTATTCTTGTACAGGCAATGCGATTGGCAAGCTACCAGGTCTATCCATCCAGCCTATTGCCGATGGCAACACTGCTGAGCTTTATCGTGCTATCAGAGCCCATCTCCCAACTCTTATTCCTGGATTGGTGCCCGCTGATATGTCCACGATGTCCCTGGGTCTATCCCACTCTCTTGCTCGACACAAGCTCAAGTTCTCTCCTGACAAGATTGACACCATGATCGTCCAGGCAATTTCTCTTCTTGACGATCTTGACAAGGAGCTCAACACCTACGCTATGCGTGTGAAGGAGTGGTACGGCTGGCATTTCCCCGAGCTGGCTAAGATCCTAAACGACAACATGGCATATGCCAAGGTTGTTCTTAAGATGGGCATACGCAGCGACTCGGAAACCACAGATCTTTCAGAAATTTTGCCTGAGGAGATTGAATCCGCCGTTAAGATGGCTGCTAACAAATCCATGGGTACTGAGATCAGCAATGAGGATCTTGAAAACATTCAGTCTCTAGCCGAACAGGTTGTTGGATTCTCTGAATACCGCCAGCAGCTTGGCAACTACCTTTCCGCTCGTATGGCCGCCATTGCTCCTAACCTTACTGCATTGGTTGGCGACTTGGTCGGTGCTCGATTGATTGCACATGCTGGAAGCTTGATGAACCTCTCCAAGAGCCCCGCCAGTACTATCCAGATCCTCGGTGCCGAGAAAGCCCTGTTCCGCGCTCTTAAGACTAAGCACGACACTCCCAAATACGGTTTGATCTATCACGCTTCGCTCATCGGTCAAGCCACCGGTAAAAATAAGGGTAAAATGGCCAGAGTATTGGCTGCTAAGGCTGCAATTGGTCTCCGTGTCGATGCTCTGACTGACTGGACCCCTGATGCCGATGGCAATGAACCAACTGAGGAAGAAAAGAGTGCTCTCGGAATGGAGTCAAGATACTACCTCGAGAAGAAGCTTGCGTTCCTCGAAGGAAAGCCACTCAAGCCCAGGGGTGTTGCCATTGCTCCAAACGGCGTTGAGTCTGCTCATCCTAAGAAATGGGAAATCAACGAAGCCAAGAAATACAACCCTGATGCCGATGCGCTAGTTGGCGACGAGGATGCTGGCGTAAAGAAATCCAAGAAAGAGAAGAAGTTGATCCAGGAGGTTGAGTCCGAAGATGAGGAGATGAAGGATGCTGGTTCGGACGAGGAGGAAGACTCAGATGACGAATCCGAGGAGGAGAAGCCCAAGAAGGAGAAGAAATCCAAGAAAGAAAAGAAGTCAAAGAGCAAGGGTGATGACAACGTCGAAGAATTGGCCGAGAAAGCTGGCCTCAGCGTCAAGAGATATCTCCGAAAACTCGAAAGAGGCGAGATTTCCTTCGACAAGGATGGCAACCCGTCCTCCATCAGCAAAAAGGACCTGAAGAAAGCCAAGAAGGAGGCTAAGAAGGCCGAGAAGGACGCCGGAACGAAGCGAAAGCGATCAGAGGTAGTTGAAGAGGCAGATGAATCTAGGAGCGACAAGAAGAAAAAGAAGAAGAGCAAGGCTTAAGTTGATGTGTGCAGTAGTAATGCTGTCTGATTCTTTTTGTTGCTGTATCATATCCAGCCCCTGGTGTCTTGGTTTTTGTCTTCTTTGATATGGTGGCATCACTTATGGCGAGATGTTATTTCTCTGAAATTTTTCTTTATTTCCTTTGGGTTCTTCATGGTGGCGCACGGGGATCTTTCGAGTTGGTCTTTTCTAAATAGTACAAAAGGAAAAGTGTTCAGATACTTTCAATTTATTTGATATTGAATCTTAACTGTCATTTCCTTTTGAAGGAGCATTTGATTACTTTCTACAAATGATAATCTAGGCTTCAAGCGCAATTGTTAAGGTATCAAATGTCGATGCAGATAAATATTCATTACGTAATCCGGATCTCAATAAAAAAATATTCGTCCATAAACTACTTCAAGGTAACAATTATCAAAAACGATATCTCCGTTTAACTATGAAGGTCAGTGCCTCCGAAGTAGCTACTTACCATACCTGCAAGCTAATTGCATCAATAGGTCCTCGATCCCCAATCCGCAACCCTCTCCAATGTCGAGGTGCTAGCTCACTTGAAACTGAATCCTCCCCGCCTGCCACCAGCTCCTATCCCGAATGCAAAGAATTTCGTACCCAAACCGGACTTGAGAGATTATAACACAGTCGTAAAAGAGGTATAGAATTCCTTTCTGCTCTATATTCGGAGACTTCCTTTACTGACTTAGCACCTCGCCCGCAGTACAATGACTATGTAGCTCGCCTATCCCCGCATCTCTTATCATACCCTAGCTTTTCATCAATATCTGCCGAGAATGCTGCCTCACTGGACACCCCTGATAAATCGATAACAGACCTCGATGTTGCTCTGAGGACACTCATCGCAAGCTTAAAGCCGTTCAACTTGACAAAAGCGGAGGTATTGACGATCATCAATTTGGGAGTAGGTCTTGAAGCCAAGCCGGAAGGGGAGGCCGCAGAGGATACTGTCATGCAGGATGGGGAAGGCGAAGATGGGGGCCAAGGAATAGATTATGGTGCTTTGGCTTTGCTAGACACGATTATCGAAGACAGAGAAGAAAGATTGGCAGACGAGGATGTTGCTGAAATTCTAAGAATTGTGAGAGAGACTCTGGGGAAGAAAGAACCAGCAAAGAAAGAGGCTGAAGAGGTGATGGAGGAAATCTGAGGGCTCTTCTCTGTACCAACTCCATGTGGTACTCTACATCGACATATTACCCTCTGTCTCCTGAAGGGAGGCAGTTCCGGAAATAGGGAGGCCCTGGTTGGATGGAATATCGGTAAGTCAGATTCCGAATCAGGCTAGACATTCTTATTGCTAATAATGTAGATATGTACCCTTCATTCTCATCCTTTGGTTGAGACCGACTACCTTGAGGTCAGCCTGAGGCGGCCTATCGGGACTTCACAGGGCATGGTGTCGAATAGCCAAGGCGCATCGACGAACATTAGATGGGAAGCAAGTGCTATCGTGAAATGTTCTCAGGCATCTTATCAAAAGGGGAAATCTTGGTTTGTTGGATGATGATATATACCTAATCTTTGGGGGTTATCATAGACTGCTGAGGGAAGACGCCCGACATAGCAGCACCGAGGACTCGGTAATGGCATGTTAATACAAGACATCTGCATAAGCTACGGATACTTATTTGTGTTCAAATAAGTTATGTGGTTGGTTTTCAAGCGGTATCCAGGTTGTTTACTTGTGTATAATTTAACCCAGAGTCGTATAGCTTGAGATATATATTATAGCGGCCATCTTCCAAGAGGCCGTATAACCAATATTTCTCCAAACATCCCCCTTGTTTGAGTACGTGGGTAGTAGAATTATCTGCTTCCAAATAACGAACAAGTAGGACGGAAGAGAAAACGTAGCCAGGAGCATTTCTGTTGAACTCTCTAGTTCAAATGTGCCTTTGTCATACGCGCCGAGCTGCTACTGCAGAATTAGAAATATACAAGTTAATTTAATATCTATTCGAGGTATATCTCATCTCGTAAACGTTGTAGATTACGCATCAGCCCGCCACCACTGCTCTCTGGTTTTTCTCGAGAGGGGAGTTCAGACGCTCTGCCCTTTGATGGGGTCCCATTCGCCTTTCGACTCTCTCTCTCCTCCTTCTCCCTCGCCTGGCTCTCGAGGACCTTCCGTCTGTCATCAACGATCTTTGCAAGGCTATCAACAAACTTTTGTCTCGGCTTTTCTTCTATTGTGCCCTTCCATACGCCTGCAAGGAGCCGTAATTCCTCCACCCGACGAGTTGCGGCTTCCAAACCAGCTTCACCTCCACCATTACTGTCCAGCAGCTCGGTGACCTGTGATCTAAATTTTTTTGCTACCTGACGGCCCTTTTCCTCTAGACTTCGTGATTCAGGGCCAGCCTCTGGAGCGGAGACGGAAATGAACGAAGACGTAATTGAGACCTCAGACGGAGGCAGAGGCCACTCCATAGCCTCGCCAAATACCTGTATCACCTCCTCCAGCCTCGATCTAACCTGCATCAGGGTTCGTAGGCGGGATATATATTCCGGATCTTCTTGCGTGACTTCCGGCTGTTTCTGGGTATCCAGTTCCTTCTCCTCCACTCTATCTTCTTCGTCTGGCTGGTTTACGTCTGGGAGGGAAGTAGAGGCCGGCTCGGGAAGGCCCTGGGGTAGAAAATGTCGAATATCATCCTGTAGTGTGTCCGTGAGAGTGTCTGAGAGGCCGATTGTCTCTCCACGAAGGACCTCTACCTCATAAGCCAGCCGTCCACTGCTTCGTATTATCTCGTCCGTAAGCTGGTTGAGCGTGTTTGATAAACGTGCATTTTGTGCAGTGAGCTGGGATAACAGCGATTGAGTCCGAGCAGAGACGTCTGCGATTGAACTTCCGCCTGCTGAGCGCGATTGCGAGGTGTTCAAGGGCGGGAGAGTGTCGTTCAGGAAGTCGACTGGGTCGAACGAGGGGTCTGAGAATTGAGGCAGCGCCGGGTCGACTTGGGATGGTGAGCCTTTTCGAGCATCCTCGCTCTGTGTACTGGGCCGTTGGGCCATGGTCAGATATCTTATATCAATATCCGGAAGCCCCAAGTCGTAACAGCAACGACCATGCCGACATGGACAAACAGTAAACTCGTTGCACAAATACGATCCAACTCGTGCTGGTTATTTAGGTTCAGGATAGAGCTAACGTATTCCACCAGTCAACGATCATCACCACTTAATGAACACACCCCAAAAACTCTGCATCCACCAAAACAACCACCTTCCAACAGCCACAAAATGGTCAATGAGGCAGCAATTGCTGCTGCGATTGAAGATTTAAAATCGCAAAAGACTCCTAATTACTCACAAACCGCTAAAAAGTTCAAAATTAACCGAATAACGCTGGCGCGGCGGTATCAAGGTGCTGCAGTCTCAAGAGCTGAAGTAACATCTATCCATCGCAAAAAGTTGACAAATGCACAAGAAGAAGTGCTCCTACAGCATATAAATCGATTATCAGAGAGAGGCCTATCACCTACGCCCCAGGTACTGCGAAATCTCGTATACGAGCTCACTAAACAGGCTGTTGGCATCAACTGGGTGGCTCGGTTCTGTAGCCGGCACAAGGATCGCATTAAGAGTCTCTATCTCCGCACCATTGATCAATCCAGGCATGTTGCTGATAATTCCAAGCATTTTGAACACTTTTATGAGCTTGCAAGTACTTGTTTATTAGTAGTTAGCTATTAAATATTGATATTAACCTCTTCTTTAGCTTAGGGAAGCAATAAATAAGTATAATATTACTCCAGATAATATTTACAACTTTGATAAGAAAGGCTTCCTTATTGGCCTAGGACATGCTATTAAACGGGTGGTTCCTGTTTATGCGCTTAAAAATAGAAGGATAACAGCTATACAAGATGGAAGTCGCGAGTTTATCTCTCTACTCGCTACTGTCTCTGCAGATGGAGAATGGATTCCTCCTACACTTATTTATAAGGGAGAAGGTGATCTACAAGACACCTGGGTGGACAAATTTGACCCTCAGAGAGAAATAGCATATTTTGCAGCATCTCCGAATGGCTAGAGCAATAATAACTTTGGCAAGGAATGGCATTAAATATTCAATAAGCATACAAAGGCAAAGGCTGGCCGGGGAAGAAGGCTTCTTATTCTAGATAGCCACTCATCTCATATCAATATGGGATTCATCGAATATGCAGATAAAAACCGTATCTTGCTAGTTATCTTACCTCCACATTCAACACACCGTCTGCAGCCATTGGATGTTGGGATATTTGGGCCATTAGCCAGTGCATATTCCCAGGAAGTTGATAATCTCTTACGTAGCGGATATGGGTATCTATCAATGTCAAAGCGAGACTTTTGGAGACTCTTCTACGCTGCATGGAAAAGAGCTCTTACACCAGCAAATATTAAGTCTGGATTTGCAAGTACAGGGATATATCCTATTATGCCTCAACGTCAAATGAAATACTTCGATAAGAGACCTCTAACACCTCCGAATATCGATATCGAGCCTCCTACCCCTATTACTGTACGGGGTCTCCGCCGCGCGGTTAAGAAAGTGCAGCTCTGGCAGTCATTAACCAGCCTTCATATATCAAAGATCATCCGCGCCAGTGAGAGGCTGGTCTTCGATAAAGAGATCTTACTATATGAAAATAAGTCTCTTATAGCTACACTTATATAAGAGAAGAAGAAAAGGAAGCGAGGCAAGGGCTTAGGCCTATTTAAAAAGGATAAAGCAGGCCAAGCGTAGATATTCTCTCCATCTAAGGTTAAAGTAGCAAGGCAGCGAGCTATTAAGGTAGAGACTAAAAAATAAGATAAGATAGCTTAGGCAGAGGAAATAAAGCTTTAGCGATCGATTTACCGCGATAATAAGACTCAAGAGGCTGCAGAGAAGAAGGCTTAAAGGCTTGCAGATCAACAGCAACGTAAGGAGGCTCTTAAGAAGGCCCGCGAGGAGACTGCAGCACGGCGCGCAGAGGCAGCGATTGAACGGAAGCGTAAAGCTAGTGAATTGGAAGCTGAGCGAATGGCTAAGAAGGCCAAAAAGGCTCAAAACAACGTCTTAAGCCCTATCTCACCTTCCCGATTAGGAAAGAAGAAGACTTCACCTTCTAAGGTTGCTCCTATCGATCCTATTGCTCTAATACCCAATTTCCTATCCCAACCGCGGGGAACCCGTTCCGGGCGAGTTATCAAGCCCAACACTTGTTTCTTTTCTTAATCTATCTAATTTGTATGTAAACTAGAACCCTACTATCGTTATTTAATAGTCAATTTTATTTGTTATTTACGTTGTGTTGAGATATCTCGATATTTACACGCATGTTTGGACGTAAGGAGCATTTGGAGGTGGTGATCGTTGACTGGTGGTGATCGTTGACTGGTGAGATACGTTAGAGATGTGGACCTTTGACGCCAACTCAAAGCTGAAGCCCGAAACACGCAAGATTTTATATACGGCCGGCCTTGAAGAGTCGAGATGTCGAGATGTCACTATATCGACGCCGGCCTGTCTATATCCCATGCTTGTCCTGATGTGTCCCTGGCCTTTTGCTGTTGCTGCCTAGCTCTAGATCAGGCTTACGTGAGGCTCTTCGCTTAACCCTCGATAGCTATTTAACTAACGACTAAGCGCCAGTGCCATGGATATCTGAGAAGAGACTCGATGACGCTCCTCCAGCTTCCCGCTGGCCATCTATATACCCTGGCCGCTGGTTCTGCTTTCTTCTCGAGATGGGAGACCGGGTTGCTCGGCCTTTGACGAATAGATTCTGTATACGGACTATACAGTAGATGCTGCAATAATCTCACCGTCACCTAGAGCGTATGGCTACATCTGCTAGAGTAGAATATCCCCGGTATGTGGAATTTCGCCTTTATTGTTCTTGCTGCTAGAGTCAAATCAGCTGTAATCTAACATGACGTCTTTTATATAGCCTTGTTTGCTTCACGGCCTTAATGTTTTGATGGATCATGGCCATCTGAGCGTGCTTCACCTCAATGCTTCACCTAATGCTTCACCTCATGCTTAGTCGCTCGATATTGATAGCATCGGCGTCTCTCTTCTTGGATATATTTTCCTTCTTCACTTCTCTTTTTTTAAACCTCTCTACTTTTATCAACCTTGGCTTAGTCTTACCTGGAAAAGGGGAGTAGTAGTTGTGCATAGTTTGTCTCAGCTACTGGCAAATCCCTTAGGATGCCTAGAAAGGCATTCATTCGCGACCTCAAGGAGGCATCTGCACCTGGGGCCTTCTCAGGGCTCACAAATGTGAAGCCTGGTGAGGATGATGGAACGTTGTCCTGCTCTCTGACCCTCAGTGAGAGCCCTCAGCAATCTGTCAATATTGAGTTTATGGTAACAGGTATGCCCAAGAATGAGAATTATTGCCTTGTTTCACTGAGTATACATTTGCTAATAAATGGAATAGATATCTCACTCTACCCAGAAGGACATGAGTTTCTTATCTACACCACCTCGGATGATGTTCCAAAGTATGTTACAGAGGTACTGGGACAAGCTCAACGGGGCATCAGCCGTTTAGAGATTCCTGATATGCTCTCGCAACTAAGCTACAACCTCCAGAAGAAGCTGAAATTGAAGGCTGAAACCGGCGATGCTATCGATGATAACTGTGATATTCAAAATGACGGTGAAGCCACCTTATTCTCAGAAGTGGAGGACCCCCTCGCAGATTTCAATGATGACGGAGATGGATGGTCTCCAGATTCAGAGCAACCGAATACTCAAGGATCGTGCAAAAGCAAAGATTTGGAATATTCAGAAGACGAGATGGAGGAACTGGTTTACAAGTTATCAGTAGACTTGAAGACAACAAAGTTGGCCGGTTTCCGCGTTGGATATCTTGGACACAAAACAACCCCTATAGTCTCACTCTCATGCCGAATCTCGAAGCTTGGAATATCAGAGGATGCGATGAAAGCATGGCATGTCAAAGAGCAGCAATATCTGGTCTGCTTGATCCGCTACATTGGGAAATACCAATCCTTTGAAGAGCTCCTGCTCGAGGACCAGGAAACTGGAAAGTCTTCTGTCGAAATGCGCGTTGGCCTCTGCGATGTGTATAAACCTACTTTGGAAAGTGCCCTCATTGTGTTTGGCCAAGTTGGTCTGGGAGGCAAGACTTCCATGGCTGTGGAGGCTGGAGGTGGAGAGATGGTACATTCCTTCATTAGCAAGCCGCTGAATGCGCTTCTAAACGAACGATTCGTGAAGATATTGCGTTATAGGAACAATTTCGGCCAGACCTGGTCTGGGGCAGAGCGATTTTTTAATGAATTCCAAGGAAAACCTATTGGTAATTCAGACCCCGTTCACACCAGTTACCAGGAACCTGATATCCCGGAAGAAAAGGCCGCCACGTTCCCGGACATTTTGAAGTCGGATCATTTCATGGAGACGAAAGCATTAGGAGCGTCCTTCCCCCTCATAACAATGCAATTCACGCTTCGCCATTTCGTACGATGTACGGAATTTTGTCTTGTCTGCCATTGCAAAACCAATGACACGTTCGAGGCAATCAAGCCCTACGTTTGCTCTAAGAGCTTGTGTTTATTCCAGTACATGACTCTCGGGTTTGGGCCCAGCCTTGAGTGGGAGATCATTGCGCAACCATACGTCGTCGACTTGCTGATCAGCTTTACTTATTCCAGCGCATTTCGAGGCCGTATTGTCGACATGCCAACTGGGCTTGGGCTTCTGGTTCCAGCCGGTATTGTGGAAGCACGGAACCCCCATTTATTCGGTAATTTTAAACTGCCTTCTCCAGATGAAGACCCTATATCGCACCGTGGTGTAGTATACTTCGACCGGTCAACAATGGCGATGAAGTTTCCTATCAACTATTCACAGGATGTTCGCCGAGTGCGTGTAGGCGACTGGCTTGTCGTCCTCGATGGTTCAGATCACCTCCACTGCCGCGTGATTGATGCGTCTACATGGCCTATAGTTGAGCTTTCTGACCCCATCAATGTATCGACAAGGCCGGCGGCAAGCCGTTCCCTGGCACCCCCGAAGTCGACATCAGGTTTTAAGCAAGTCTTAATTGTCTGGTATGATCAGAACTTTGACAACCTTAGCGAAAGGTCGCAGCATTTTATGATAGTGACCCTACTTGATACCCTTCCAACGGTCACCGAAATGAAAGAGTACTTGATGGAGAACTCTAGAGGCTCCCATCATACCCTTGGAAATTGGAAAAATAGGATTTCTAAGCCTGCTCTCGATATTTTGCGGTGGATAGTTGCATCAAATCGATCCTGCATCATCCAAGACGATCCAGACCCTACCGACAATGATACCGTCACACCCATAGTCAATAGTGACCGTGTCGGGGGAATTGCTGGCTATATGCAATTCCGCCTTGCTCAGGGGGCGCCAGACAAGGAAGAACGGTTTTCCCAGGCCGTTATGTTCGCAAAGGAAAGACTGAAAAAACGCCAGGCTACACTTTTTGCCTGGCATGGTAGCCATCTCTCTAATTGGCACGGTATTTTACGAGAGGGTTTGCATTTCAAGGAAATTGTAAATGGACGGGCATATGGAAATGGTGTCTATATGAGTCCATATTTTTCTACTTCCGCAGGGTACGTCAGTGCTGCGACATCCTGGGATCCCCTTTCGGGGCCCCATTCAGGAACTGAAACATGGCCTGGCAGTAAGCTGGGGGTTTGCAGCGCGATATCATTGAATGAAGTGGTGAATTGCCCCGAAGAATTCGTGAGCACTGCTCCACATCTGGTTATATCTCAGTTGGACTGGATTCAAGCTAGATATCTATTTGTGCGCTGTTCTCTTAACAAAGACATGGGAACGTATGCGCCTGCTGCGACAAATCAGCTCCCATATTACGAGCAAGACCCGAGTTACGTGGCACAGGGCCCAGATCATAAACCGATCATCATTCCCTTGTCTGCTTTCAGTCAACAACGGCGTCTTGCTCTTGGAATAAGAGCTGGCAACCCTCCTCCAGAAAAACCGAATGTCGCACCGGGGATCGCAACTATGGTCGATACTACGACAGCCGCACCAGTAGCTGAGGTATCTCCTACACCATCTAAACGGCAAAAACTGTTTATCTGGACTGGAAACTCCTTCTCCAAAGGCGTGGGGGCTGAACCGAAGGACGTAGATTCGGAAAATTCGGATCCTAACTCTCCCACGAGAGCTCATATTCCAGACCAGGCACCACGTATATCTCCATTGCCCACGCAAATGGATGCAGACGGATATATCAGCGAGGACACAGACGTCGAGGATCTCGATATTATCATACGGGCCAATGACATTGATATCAAGCGAGCCAGCCGCAAGCAACCCCAGGAGGCTCCAAAAGACATCAGTAATGGTAAAGATAAGGGTAAATGCAAAGCTCAAAACGAAACCCACTTTATCCCCGGAATCCTCAACCCAGCAACTCTCCCTGTGATGGCAGCTCCAACCTATGCCACACCATCTGCAACAGCTTCTCTTCAGCGTGAGCTACGAGTAGCGCTTCGTACCCAAGAGAACGAACCACTCGCTGATCTAGGCTGGTACATCGACCCCAATCTAATCAATACCGTCTACCAATGGATCGTTGAACTGCATTCCTTCGACCCCTCGCTTCCCTTGGCAAAAGATATGCAAATGGCCGATATCAAGTCCGTGGTCCTCGAACTCCGATTTCCTCAACAGTATCCAATCTCTCCACCGTTTGTGCGTGTCATTCGCCCCCGATTCCTGGGTTTTCAAAGCGGCGGAGGCGGCCATGTTACTGCTGGTGGTGCACTGTGTATGGAACTCCTGACCAATTCTGGATGGTCTGCTGTGTCTAGTATTGAAAGTGTCTTGCTGCAGGTGCGAATGGCGATTTCTAGCACGGAACCCCAGCCAGCGAGACTAGTCTCCGGACAAGATGCTAGAAGAGGGAAGGTAATGGATTATGGTGTTGGAGAGGCTGTGGAGGCGTATATTCGGGCCTGTAGGATGCATGGTTGGCAGATTCCCGCCGATTTTGAACAAGAGGCCAAGTGTGGATGGATTTACGCAGATGATTCGACCTCCAGAAATTAATATCCATTTTTCTAGCCCCCCCCCCCCCCCTCTTAACCACGTTCTTGAGGGTTACGGGTTAGAGATCATGTGGAATGCCTTATTCTACTTATTGCCTTCTTCGATACCGCTCAGGGTGTATTAATTTGGCAACAAATGAGTTCACGAAGCAGTAATGATGATGAATCAGGGAATAAAGGAGTTTATTGTGAAAATGTGGCAAAAATATATCCATTGAATGAATCATCAAGCAACAAATCCGAATGGCCGTCCTTTTAGCAAATAACGTAGTTTTGGTTGCCTCTGGAACTCCTCTACAAGGCAAACTAGATAGGTAGAGTAGTTGACATGAAACATTGTACTCGAGCCTCAGAGGAAATAAGTGTAGGAAAAAGTAATAGCTGCAACGAAGAGAAGAGAAGAGAAGATATAAATAGAGAATAATATAAATAGAGAAACGTTGGTTAGGACAAATCACCTCCACCCTCCTTCCTGCTTATCGTTGAAATCGTATGTAGCTTGATCCAAAGCCATCAGCGACATTGAGACATGAAATTAAAACAAAAAGAAGAAAGCCAACGTAAGGAAATAAGCGCGTATAAACATGACACCACGAACTCCGCTTTGTGCTCCAGCCTTTTCCCCCATAATTTTTAGACAAAATATAAAAGAACGAAGGGTAAGAAGAATTACTGTGGTAAAGGTACAAGCAAAGGGGGGGTAATGATAATAAAAACAACAAAAATAGAAGAAGAGCGAATGAAGAAAGTATGACATTCTTCTTGGATCTGTATTTCCATAGAGGAAACCACAACCACAAAAACCACACCGCACCGCACAACACAACACCTAAAATTATTCCAAATGGAAATTACCTAGCCAGTCAGGTTAACTCGTGCAAGGACAATAGCATCATAAACAAGAACGTAAAGGGAGAGAAGATGAAGGAAAGAAAGAAGTAGCGAATCGATCGCTAACTATCGTCGCATCTGCCAGTTCTGTGGCGGGAGGATATCTTGAATGCCATTTTGCATGCTGTTCTGCATACCATTCTGTCCATTGTTTGGCATCCCATTGGGCACATTATTCGGTATTTGAACTTGCATTCCGTTCAATATGATACTTAGGCCTTGGGACTGGCCGATAGGACAATCTTTATGGGCGGCGAGCATTGATCTCAACATGGCGTTTTCTTCCCTTGCTTTATCCAGGAGGCCCGATAGTGCCTCGTTGTCGCTGGAGAATGCCTCCGCTTTTCTTATAAGGGTAGCAACCCATTGTTTCTTTCGTTGACGGCATTTGAGCGCGGCAACCCTACAGGACGGTTAGAGGATTGAGGCTATGAACGGGCTGGGTGGATGGTAGGCAGAAGGATGATTGGATGAAGCGGAGTCATTCAACATACCTGTTACGTTCTTTGAAATTTTTCTTCTTTTCTTCATCAGTCATATTTTTCTTGGAGGTGCCAGATGCGCCAGTAATTGCGGCATCAAGTTCGCCATTCTCAAAATTATCAAGATTATCAAGATCGACGGAGTCATCATCAGTTAGATGTTGCTTGTCGGCAGCGGCACCATTTGCGGCCTTCTGTCGCTTGTTTGAGGCTTTAGGAATGTCCTCCGCCTTTCGCCGGCCGTTTGCAGCGCCTCCCTTTGCGGCGACGCCTCTCTTGCCTTTACTACGGGTATTGATCTTCGACGTCTCGGGGCCGTCTGATGAATTCCCGTTGCTAGGTGGTGCTGCACCATTTTGGCCATTAGTTTGGGAGGAGACGCCATTCATGGGTGGGCCATGAGCCTCACCATTGCGGAGAGGCATCTGCATTGGCTGAGAGGTTGGACCTGGGAACGGATTGCTCGTGGCCTGGGCACCTTTGGCTAGCATGAAGAGACCATTGGCAGCGTCAGTGGCGTCCGCATGGGCAAAGGGATAAGACTGCGGTGCAGATTTTGGTATATCCATTGAAACAGCCACCTGCTGAAGAATCGAATCTTGCTCCTGAGGATTCGAAGTAGGAGGAGGTGGAGGAGCTCCGTTTTTCCTTGCCGCATTGAGCGCGGTTCGCTGGAAATCCAAGGTCGTGGGAGTGGCGTTTCCGCTGGCCATCTGTTGGAGTAATGCAGATGGGCCAGGGCTTGGGAACATCGAGCCCCCACCGCCAGGAGTCAACCCTGTGCGCAATGACGACTCGTTAGGGGTTGGGAACCCGCGAGTGATACCATCAAAGTAGTCATTTGATCCAGCAGGGCCTGCAAGCATAGCAGGGCTCAGCGGGCCTGCACGAAGTGAATTTGTCCAATTAAACCCCCCGGTGGTCGATGTGCCTGGCAATGCAGGAGATGTCAAGGAAGCGACGGGAGGAAGGAGAGATTTCCCCGGGGTGTCAGAGGTCGGGTTCCCAAAGGACTGTTCGAATGGGTTGGGCTCAAAGGATAGATGAGAGGTGTTATGGATCCCTGAGAAATAATCACCGTTGGCGTCGTCAGCGGCCTGTCCTGGCTTTGGCGGGGACGCGATGGCCTGCGAGGCATCTACAGATGCTCCGGTAGTAGCTGCGGCCTCAGTAGACTCCGTTTGGTTTGCTGCTCCACGATCTAGCGGGATGATGTCAGTTATGACGAACATATAGGCATGCATAACCCTGATATAGATCAAAATGTACATCAACAAGGCAATGATACGACAAGGATAATGCGATTGCGATGCAGTGTCTAGCAGCTGGAGGAGATTTTACACCCCAAGGCCAGCGGCAACTAGGAGAGTGACAGGGAAAAGCCCACCTTCTGACCGGATCCCACCCTCCGCCTTTGTCGAGTCGTTCCCATCCATTGGCGAGTCGGTTCTGGACGCAGGTAGGCCAGCCTGCGGGGATGCAGCCTTGCTAGCGGGAGCGGACATGGTATAATGAGAATCAGGCGCGAGCCTACTGCGTTGTGGTGGTGAGGAAGTCGGACAGCAGCGAGATGGCGCCCGATGACGATCTCTCGAGTCTTCCCGATCGCAAGGAACGAAAGGGAACAAGAGGGTTCGGGTGGCTAACGGCTCCCAGAGGGGACAGTATGTGAAATAGAGGCACGAGCCCGTGAGTTCAGGCCTAAGAATATGGTTGTTGCGATGTGCGCGCTGTTCATTGAACGATGACGATGGGGATGACGATGGATGACGATGCAGCGACTTGAGAGAGCAAAGGAAAAACGAGCGAAGGTGGAAAAACTCTGACGACATTGATGATGTCGTTTGCTGAGTAAGTGGTCTTGGCGGTCTTGGCGGGAGAGGTTCGCTTAAGCATAAATTCTAAGCATAAATAGCGGAGAATACAGATGTAGATAGATTAGATGGCAGATGAAGATTAGATGAGACATTGGGAGGGGGAGATCCGATGGGATACGATGGGATACGGTGGGATACGGTGAGATACGGTGAGATATGCCTGCTAACAGAAAAGAAGACGGCACGCGGAAGCCTGGGTCTGGTTCGACCCATATTCTGACTCGTCCTGACAGCATGCTCACGTCAGGTATTCCAATATATATACTCAACTACGAGTATGAATCTGCTAATATTCTACTGCTCATCTGCTAACCCATGTACTTTGCCGCTATATTGACATTTATTTATTGACGTTATATGTGAATTCATATATATCCACCGGAATATCGCTCTCACGATGGGTAAGAGAAGGAGAGTAACATACTGCCTGACTCCTCTGGAAATAGCCCGGGAGGCAGCCAGAGTGGATGATGAAATCGACAGGATCAAAAACCAGCTAGCAGCACGCCCGTCGAGGATCCAGACTATCGATTTATCCCACCTGCTGGCCTCTCTCAAACCAAACCCAGATGCTACTCCTTCGGGGACCCCGGCAGATACCCATCCCTATGAACCACCCCCGTTCGTAGGGACAGTAAGCATCCTAGAGGACAGGCTAGATGCCGCACTGTTTGCTCTGGATGAACTCAAGATACGAAGGAAAGACCCTACTCGCACCGCGCTTTGGACTGACGCGTCGCTGGTGAAGAGAAAGGCTGGCATTGCGGTGGTGACAAAGATAAACCCTGCTCTGATTTACGATTCAAAATGGTTCACGCAGGTGCACAACGTAAAATGTGAACGCAAGCTGTCGTCCGACATTCTTGAGCTGCTAGCTATTCTATTCTCAAAGCAGTAGAACTTGCCGCCGAGTACTTCCCACCTCGAAAAGTGATCATCTTCTCGGATTGCCAGTGGGCCCTATACAAGGTCAAATACCCGAAACTAGTCATTGTCGATTGCAACCCGGATCTCTTTCGCTTGTGGAACGCCATCGCGGAGGATATAGCAAGACGATCGGCCCTCCTAAAATCGGCGGGCATTGATCTTCACCTCCACTGGGTGCCCGGACATTCCATGGTACCAGGTAATTACTTGGCCGATCGCCTAGCGCGTCGAGGAAGGAATTATGATGGCCGTGAACAAGACCTCTGACACATGAACCCTACAGCTTGTTCAGCCTTGCATGTTCGTGTCAACTACTATGCCATCTGAGAAGATTACGAGCAGGAAACTTAGTCAAATATTTGAGCTCAAATGTTATGTTATGTATCGTCACCAGACATGCAAGTTGCACAGCATGAAGACGTTCTATGACCATTCTTATACACCCAGATACCCAATATCCAAGGTCGAGCCTTCAATTGCATGGCGAGGCTCATGATACACTTCTATGCCGTGAATCCGAGGTTTGGTCCGTGGACCTAGCTCCCTAGCATCGAAAAAAAGGGTTCAGTACGTCACTGAGTAAGGGGCACGAAGCCGGGAATTGTTCAACCATCCACTCTGCAGGGGACTCGAACCCCACACCTAGCAGAACGTCTTCTGCCGGGCCACCGACCGGACTGAAATTTCAGAGATGAGGACCACACCCTACCTTGGATGCTTGCTAGCCATAATGAACCACCACTTTGACAACATGCGCCTTTAACGAACAAGGGATGACCTGGGCTAGCTAGGGTGGTAGCGTACAGGCTACTAAGTGCAGGTTACTAAGAAACAGGGGAAAGATGAATATGGAATGTTATTATCCGACGAGATGAAGCGAAGTAATGAAGAGGAAGGGTGGAGATATGAAAGGAAGAGGGATCCCAAAGTGCGAGGAGGGCGATTTAAAGCCTACATTATTTACCTTGGACGCTGGCAGGTGCATACGAAGGAGACAGCTTCTTGGGAAGGATATACCATGGTGTCATGCCTCCATAGGGAGCTGCGACCAAAAGATTAGCAGGAGCCTATTGAACTAGCTACGATGACTACTTCTAGCTGAAAGACAGTTCCAAAGAATCGAAACAAAATAGATAATCCAACCATGTAACCTTATCAAGGTAATAAAAATTTTACATCGGTGCTTATTTTATTGAGTTATATCAATGTTGATTTATCCTCGTAAAATGAACAAGACCGTCGTTAGAGTGTAAACAACAGTGTATATAGAGGGGAAGGAAAACGTGGGAGTGGACTATTTAGCATTCAACTAGGATATCAGCACTGTCAAGTTTTAATATCATACTGAATCTACATAATATAGCAGTAATTATAGGTAATTCATCAAGCTATAACTGGCTGTGATATAAAGTATGAAACAGAATCGATGACGCAATGTGTCGGCTTCTCTCCGTGCTGTTGTACGACCTGTTCCCTAACTATACACAATGGTCCCCCATTGGACAATCGGCCTTTTGTCCCTTTGGCCCAATACTCCGTATAATGTTTAAGGAATCCCATTGGAGGCCACACAGCTGAGTCGTCCGCTCTGTAGCTATCACGATCCACGATAGGTCGAGTAGTTCCATGGTCCAAGTAGCACAGGGACATGATAATGCCTCCATCCCTCCTCGCCTTCTCTACCATCGACCGCAAATCGCACCTCCACCTCAGGCCAGAAACAGTTCTCGACCCCTCGCTCACGGTACCACTCGTCAACACCGGATAGTCGAAGGCTCCATGTTGAACGTGCCTGTTTTGAAGCAGGCCGGTCGGGCAATTGGCTTAGAACGGAAGAGACTGATAAAGATTGCCCCTCGCAGGTCCAGTTCTTCACGCGTCCATCAGCGTCCGTAGTTGCTGTGAATTTGGGTTGCTTGTCGGACAGTGAGAATGAAGAAGAGGTAGGTTTCCCTTCGTAATTGACCATAGTCAACGTGCAGGAGATTCCTGCTCCGGGAAGGCCGGTGTATGTGTTCAATACATGGCAGGTAATCGGATCCTTGTCTGCCATCGTTCTTTCGTGGCTTGTCTCCAGGCCTCTTTCGCTCTTCTCGCCCTGGTTGGTTGGCTGTTTAGGCTGAAGATAATGTTGAAGCTGCAACAGTCTTCTTGATGAGGCGGTATAAGTAGATGGGGTAATCTGGTCTGCCATCCACTCAACCCTAGGTCTCTAGTAGTTATGTGCTCGAAGATGATGCTCTTCTTCACTTTTATATACACTCTCCGTCCGTGGCGGAGGTCGCCGCCTGCCTCGTCCGGCACGTGATATAAAATTGGGGAGACCCCTTGGTCCATTCAGCGCAGTCAGTGATATGACCGTCGACCTAGGGAGCTTTGAAGAACTCTCCCAAGGGTATGTGATTAACCTCCTACATCATCCAAAACCATAACTGATATATTAATATTAATATTCTGGACCATCTATCAAAATGCACCTCTAGGGTGATTTATGATCTAACATCTACCTTTATAAGTATTCCTCCTTCTGTTTTCTTGGCCGGCCTGACGCCATTATTGATGCTCCATTCCCATCCAGACTCCCAAATGCTAAGGTAAATAAACAAAGAAACAATAGTGGCAACACTGAGCGAGAAAGGGGTTTGTAAATTCTCGGGAAAGCAGGAAAGCACAACCCAGCCCTGTCAATTAGTCGAACGCCAACCTGCTCCGAGTGATGCTAAAAGGTATGTCGTAACGAAAGCCCTTCGGACTCGGAACCCTTAACGTCTTTGGCCAGAAGACCGTCAAAGCTACCAAGCGTATGCTTCCTCGAAGTACTCTATCTGCTGATACCCCTTAAACATAGCGTTATGAACCGCGTGTCTCACTTCATGGGTCAGGGAAAGAGGACCACAACCCAATATTGCAAGCCGTGAATTAGCCATTTTAGCGCTTTCGGCACTGTTTATGACAGTCGCCATGATATCCGGCCTTTCGGATTCCACCTTATACTTCAACGCAGCTGTTCCGATAGATTCTGAGCTGGCATCGCTATTTGGGACATTGGTTGGTTTTGCTTCAGCCGAAGGTAAAGTAATACCAGTCGATCGAGATTTGTTGTCAGAAGTCGAGTGGAACGAAGCATGGAAATCTTCCCGGTCAAAGGCGAGACTCAGTTCCTTTGAAGCCACTTGGTGAATGAATTTAATTTGCCTTGCTGACCATACAAGCGTGATGCCTTGAGTATAGGTGCCGGCACCAGTTGAGGACGAGCGACGGATATGATCCTGGATATATGGGACAGCGCCAGCAATGCCGGTACCCCCAACAATGAACAGAACTGATTCAAAAGCCCATAGAGGGGCAGTTTCTCCATATGGACCTTCTAATAGCAGCGTTATCGAGGTAATGGTGCCGCCCGATTGGATACATTGCTGACGAAGATTTCTAGTCCAACCATCTAGTGGGCGTATCCAAAATATATATTGTACTTCATTGGGTTGACCATTGCATGAGTTTTGCTTTCCTGCCACCTCTGCAACAGAAGATCGTAGGGAACTCATTTCCATTTCGTTATCCGAGAAGGAAATGGCGTTAGATTGTGGGTGCTGTTCTCTAGTCGATTCAGATTTCTCGACCCATGCTCCTAGTGTGAATGGATGGCTCTCATACCCTCTCCACCTAAAAGGCTGATATATAAAGTAATACTGTCCAGGTTTCTGGGAAATAGCAGTTGTTGCCGGCGTCAACTCAAGTCTAATGATATCTGATATGTTGTCGTAAGTGGCCACGGTTTTGGTATGATGTAGTTGCTTCCGAACAAACCGGACGCGGAAGTTGCAGTAAGCGATTCGAACGAGGCATAAACCTTTATCAAATACCCAAATAATGATAGGCGGCCATAGATAATTAACATATTTACCGTTAAGGATCGAGACGTGGCTAGGCAAGAAAGTCAGCAACGCCAATCGAAGAAACGGCATGCTGGCTGCGACTTACTAGAACATTGTGACGATAACCACAATTGATAATACAATGTGCATACGCAGAAAAATTTCGTAGAATTTTTTTCGAAACCATGCCATCGAAGAAATCAGCAAGGAAAGCATCGCTACGGTTCCCTAGACAACGATTAGTAGTTTCTTCTCACATGCTGCCCGTATAGTAAGGCTTATGGATCTAGCTCACGATAATTCCACAATAAAGCCACGGCTCTTTAATCGATGCTCGATGGCTCGCCGAGTCTCCCGGAACTGCAGAAAAATGCTGGTCAACAATGGTTCCTCTGTGCTATTTATGAGTCGACAAACCTTTGGTGGAATGAAGAACCATAAAAAGTACGGAGTGAATCATAGCCAAAACTATTGCGGCAGCTGAGACCTGTCTATGAAGGATATTGAATATTCGGAAGCTCCAGCCGGTTGCCCATAGCAATATGTTGTTTCGTCCTGCAAACATCCAAATAAGGGGTAGGTGTGCGATTGATAGAGTTCCAGTACGTTCGGCAATGTATTGGCACCGCTGTACTTTTATGCTAGGCCAACTTCATATGGGAAAGTAGTTAGCGGATTTCAAAAATGATCGAAAAGGGGAACATAGTACAGTAGGCTACCAGCGTAAATCTTGTGACTGACACCGCATAAGACTCCAAGTATGATCCAATGGGAGAAAATCGCAATTGCCTCCAGTCTGGTTGGCATATTGCACCCAGTTGTTAGCTTTATCCGCTTGCAATAGGGCCCAAAGAGGCAGGGAGTTGTTAGGTGTGTTTTGATACACCTGGACAAATATTATAGCGGATAAAGAGAGCAAGAAGTATTTTTACGCTTACGAGCGTTACTACCTTCTAGGTTGCCCTTATTTTGCCCCAGCGGAGGTGAAAAGACCCAAGTGCAAAAATTATTGAGAATTCCGACAAGGATTATGACACCCCAAATACCGTACATCGCATATCTAGGTTTTCAAAGTTAGCCATAAGAGAATCATAACAGAGAAATTGTTCATTTTATATGTGGTTAGGTACCCGCAATAATGATTTATCCTTGTTCCAGAAGCATATACAACCTATCTTAGATTAGCATCTGCACTATATCAGATGTAGTCACAGAGAGCGAGAGAGAGAGAGAGAGAGAGAGAGAGGGAGAGGGAGGGAGGGAGCTCTTACAATGGTCTTCAATGAAAGGTTATATAATTCTTCAGAAATAACCATCGGGCTCGTAACATTTTGGGCCTCCCGGTTCTTAATGACTTGCATTCCGGCAATGGTTTCGTTCGTAAGATTGGCAGAAAAATTTGACATTGGCAAAAGTGGCTGAGAAGTGTGCTTATTGCAACTCTCGTCTAGAAGAGCAGCTCCAGCGGCTATCTCAGTATCATTGCAGAAATGTTTGGAGGATGCATATACTGATATAAGCTTGATGTGGTTTTGACAATTAGTAACCCAATATTCCTCGCCAGGAGGTTCTTTAAATGTCATATTGCGATATGCCTCATAAACTGCAAGGAAACACCTCTCGTTACTCGCAGGTTGCTTTGCCGAGGCAAGGCCCAAGAGAAGTGCCCCTAGAATAGGGCCGGATAAGAACATAATTTTACCTTGAGGGCGTTCTTGCTAAGTAAAGCGCTGTAATACTTATCCCCTTGCCCGAATTTCCGCAGTTCCGGTTAAATTGTCTCGACGATTTGTAACGGGAGGAAAGAGGCTCAATCTTGTGTATAGCGTATGGGTATAGCTGTAGTATTAACCCCGCCAGACGGAGGGGAAATGGAAGACAAGTGCCTGTGAAGTTGAGACCATGTTGCGCTAGAGATCAGTCAAAAGCTGCCTGATTTCAATTTTCCTAGACTTATGCGAGAACAAAGTGTCTCACATTGTCGCGGTGGTAAAAATCCAACGGCCCTAGAGAACGTCAAGTAACCGGCCGGATCTGTCGGGATCCAGCCCAGTGCTTGAGTCCTTGGCCTGGTTGGAGTATTAATTTATCCCGAATGTGCCGAAAATATCGTAATATTTCCGCTCATAGACGAATTTTCCATGTTCGCTACACAAACCAGCCCATCCCAAGGGCCCGGCACTCTCTCCACCAACGCTCAAGTTTAGATGGTGATTCCGGGGAAGCCATTTTTGATGACCAATTGGCGTTTCATCAACGCTAAACTGTTATGCATCCATGGACCCTTTATACATCTCTGTATAATTAAAGTCTGTAGGATGCACTGTGTAAAGTATTTATGCTCTACCTAGGACTTTGTAAAGGATGGCAAAGGATGATAGCGTTAACGGTGGTGGTGGTGGTGGTGGTGTTCATTTTAAGGTTTTCTTCTGCTGGACTAGCGCGCTGATCTGATAACTAAAAGAAAACGGGTTTACAATCTTATCAGATTTTTCGGGGCTAGGATCTTATCAATCTAACCACCTGCAGTCGTACAAAAGGTTGTACTCGGAACATCCGTACGTGTGGTATGACATCCATGCCCTACACCCGAGGGTCAGAGATTTTAAGAATGGTGGATTGTTAGTTTCGCTTCTGCCGAGCCACAGCTGCGCCGTACCGCTGGGTTCTAGGACGTATGAGGAGATAGTGTCCGACAATGCTACAACATCGTGCCCATTACTGGGTAAATGGTGAGGTTGTGCAAGCGTTTCGTATCTAAGAACAGAATGATTCTCGCTTGATAAATAATTCCCAGTATGTTAATTCAACGGCGGGTTTTAATGCCGGTATGGCTCGTACCCTCCACGGTAGGTGACTCGCTCAACAACCAAGTTCCATGGGTCTTTCGGAGAGAATTTATTTTTGCCGGTTCTAAAGGCTGCCATACATACCCGTAAGCTGCACCGTAAGCTGCAAAGAGATAATAATGCCGTAATCTCAACGGGCGTTTTTCATTCCCAGACGAAACACGACCATCATCTCACCAAAAGGCAACCAGGGCACAAGCAACTTTCAAAGGATCTGATAGGGGTAGATATCGTAGGAGGAATGCTTTAGCCTTAGAAATCACGAAAATGCTTCGGAACAACTCCATTGCCGTGTGTTCACCCAGGCTGGGAGCTATTGTAAATAAAATTGGAGGGAGCATATATTATTAGTATGTCGTAAGCTGCAGGTCAGGCCAACCCACCTCGTATACTAATTCTATCTCCAAATCATAACCCCTCAGCTCCGGAAGGCAACTTCGCTTGCGTACACGGACAATTAGTCTCTAGACTATCAAAGCGGTTCCCAGGACCGTGGCATCCTGGCACCGCTAAACCATTTCTTCCGGAGGCATTTTCTGGTATGCGGACAGTTCTGTGATCTCGCCGATAGTATACTTTTTATATCACTCGAGTAAACGTATACGCTACGTTAGAAGTAATGTGCGTGCGTAGACTCCCTCACTGTTTTGTAAAGACGACGATGAAGTTCAATTTGGCTCGATGTCAAAACCTTTTGCTTGGCGGTCTGTGTCACGTGCCATGAACAACTGGCGTTGGCATCAAGGGAACAAAAGTACAACGCTCGACCAGAAAGGCGTTAGTTGTTCAAATCAGCTAAGCTCTTAATTTTACGGCTGCTCTACAATATAGGATCCCACCCCTGCTGACTGTGCAACACCTATCGGGGACACACTTACCCTCTACAAGCTACTCTCGAATACCCCTCAACCTCCTAAACCTCCTAAACCCCCGCCGAGACTATCGACATGTCCTCCACCGCCATAATGGGCGACGATGATGCCCTCGAGCCTACACTCCAATGCCTCCTAGACCAAAAGACTCTGCGCTGGATATTCGTTGGTGGAAAGGGTGGAGTGGGTAAAACCACTACGTCATGCTCGCTGGCCATACAACTCTCCAAAGTGCGAAAGTCGGTACTTTTGATATCCACGGACCCAGCGCATAACTTGAGTGATGCATTCGGTCAGAAGTTTGGTAAAGAAGCCAGACTTATTGATGGATATGATAATTTGAGTGCAATGGAGATTGATCCCAATGGGAGTATTCAAGATTTAATGGCTAGCGGGGGAGGCGCTGAGGGCGGTGATGACCCCATGGGCGGGTTTGGGCTGGGTGGAATGATGCAAGATTTGGCATTTAGTGTAGGTATTATCGGCTATACTTCTATGATCAATCACTAACCAGGTTTCTAGATACCCGGTGTTGACGAAGCGATGTCCTTTGCCGAAGTACTAAAACAAGTCAAATCCCTATCCTATGAAGTTATTGTCTTTGACACTGCCCCTACCGGTCATACACTTCGATTCCTACAATTCCCAACTGTGCTGGAAAAGGCCCTTTCGAAACTTTCACAGTTATCTGGCCAATTCGGCCCAATGCTTAACTCTGTTTTAGGTGCCCGTGGCGGCTTACCTGGCGGTCAAAACCTTGACGACGTATTATCAAAAATGGAATCTCTAAGGGAAACAATTGCAGAAGTCAACTCTCAGTTCAAGGATGCCGACATGACCACATTCGTCTGCGTCTGCATTGCTGAGTTCTTATCCCTATACGAGACAGAGCGCATGATACAGGAGTTGACGAGTTATCATATTGATACCCATTGTATTGTGGTCAATCAGCTTTTGTTCCCTGGAAAGGATAGTGCGTGTCAACAATGTGGTGCGAGGCGGAAAATGCAAAGGAAATATTTGAATGAGATCGAGGAGTTATATGAGGACTTCAATGTTGTCAGGATGCCATTGCTCGTTGAGGAAGTCCGAGGGAGAGAAAAGCTGGAAAAGTATGGCCCTTCCTTCCACTATTGCGTTTTTTATTCTAGTTGGGGTTTGGAACTGACTTGTCTTCCATTTAGCTTCAGCGAGATGTTGATGCATCCTTTCCAACCGGCTCATGAGGACTAATACAGCAAAATTGATTAAACCGAACAAACCCAAAAAGTTCATCATAAGAAAGGGTGCGATCAAAAGAGTTGTTCCCGTATGGTAGAGGGCGATAGATAATTTCTAGACCTTACCAGCCAATCAATTAACCATTTTTACTGACCAATCATTCTGGCTCGCTTACACTTCACCGCTTTCAAAGATTTCCGTCAGGAGAACCTAAGCATGGCGCAACAATCATAAAATGAACCGGCTACGGCTGGATACGCCTTGCATCAGTACACTATTTGTTCGCAAAACCTAACACTACGAAGCGTCGATCGATATAGCGCTGTTAGCAGAAGAAAGTACAGAGTCCTTGAGAGAGAAACTTCAGCTTTCTCCATGCCTGGAATAGCTAAGCTTGACCCTAGACCCATGGAGTATCCGCATCACTGATAGTCTAGTGAATATGACACCTGTACTCCGTCCACTCAAGGATTATGGGTGCAACGGGCAATCATATGCTAGAAATGGTGCATACCCGACCCAGAAACCTTACTAACCCAACCGTTCATTTAGCAATTGGCCTGCATAGGTAGGTTACTATGGTCCCTGTCTGGTGGCTCTCACAGGACAACTGCAGCCATACCCTACAAGCGAATCAGCATGCCCGGAACCATACGGAGCTTCCTGAGATACGGCTCACGCGGCCCACGGTGTCCGCATGGCGGTCAATAGAGGGGTGATGAGTTGCCCGTGGGAATACGAAAGGGAGAGCCCTACTCCTTAGGCGGGATCTGGCCATGACGTACGGCCAGTTCGGATCATTATTCCTGGATGGGCACGGAGTACTTTCTAGACAATATTGCTTTGTTTTGGTTCATAGCACGCCGCCAGAGCAGCTGATTTCGGCGGAAGCTGAGGTATGATCTCATTTCAACGGATTGTGGGAACGAGCTAGAAGAGTAGGAGAGCGGAGAGGGTTGATCTTTGTGAACAAGGGTTTGTTTATATGCAGCTGTCGTGCTCCAAAAGCCGAGATCTCCAGCGTCGTTGGCCAAGTAAATATGGCAAAGACACAGTAAACAAACCCTTCATGTAAGCATATCATAGCTGATAGCGGCTCTATCGACTATATTTGCTTTAGCTCATCGCCGAGAATTATCCTTTAAAGGATTGTCGCTTTTTAAGGCTGGCGCGGGAACATATTCACCGACTCAAGGCGGTGGCAAGGCCGGGGCACTTTCACCAAGGGTAATTAGCTCGCGCTACGGTAACTCATCAGTGTTAGCCTGGCAGTCCCACAAGAGCTTTTTTTCCCTTACCAATGTGACGATGCGCCAGCAGCAAGTCAGAGCCATGGTTCCAGAATGATCCCAGTATTGTATCAGTTGCCACTGGCCATGGACACGTTCGCGGAGGCGCCTGTCAGAGAGCCGAGGGCTGAACAATAATATATTTTAACGACGGTGAGGAGGTCTGCCGACTCTCTGGCGCCGAAGCTTCAGCCAATCCGTCCCGCGCATCGCACAGCGGGTTTCCCAGAGACTATGGACTGTTGGGCGTTAGGTTTTCAAACACTGCACAAAAGCAGGAATCTTGCGAATCTGGAAGCGCCACGACTTGGGCCAGGGTGTGCAGCAGTATGGAATTAGCTGCAAGCACCCGCAACGATCGGAGGCCTGTACGAGCGTGAGTGGATGTGCCTCCAAGCCCTGTGTACGCGTGAAGCCTCACTTCGAAGCTGTGGTTGAGATAGGGCGACGGACGAGCACAGGGATCAGCTGACCTAGTGGCCAGCCTTGGCTGACGTAAGGCAGCAATGGGCGAAGGAGACGAGGGAAAGGGGATATAAGAGCTGAGGACGCCCGTCGTATTCGATCCTCCCCAAGCCTCAGACATACGTTGAACTTGGGATATACGACGTGGTCTTGTTATGATAGCTCGCAGCCTCTTTTTTTCTGTCCTACGTCCTTCATCTTTGCAGAAGATGAAATTCTGAGTGTGTTGAATATCTGCCCTCAATACACTATACGCACTCCTCCCAGCTCGTGATCGATTTGATAGATAGCCTATATCTATATCTTGTATCCTGCCTCTGTCTGTATCTTTCTGCATCTTTCTCGCTCTCTTCTTTTCTGCTGTCTGTTTTTGTTTTCCTTTCCCTGCCAGATATCACCGGCACACAGCCAGTCATTATGTCACAGTCCGAGCAGTACTGGCTACCAGGCTACGAGCTTTCTCGACAAGTCATCCTCAGCAATATCCATATATTTCTCGGCCCAACGGCATCTGCGAGACCATATACCTATCATGTATGGAATTTTTACCTCCTCTATTCGTTGATGGACCTTTCCTGCCACAGCGTTCCCTGACATGTCATTCTAGGGCCGAGACGGATATCTAGTCACTGGAAGCAGACTCACCCAAGTACGTTCCGTCCCTGCCGGTACGCCGAACACTCTCTTGGAACCCATCCTAATGTGAAGAAAAACTGCAGCAACAAATCGACGACCTAAAGACCATGTCTAAGAAGTTTGAGCTGGACCAGACGATAAAAACAATGCACATGTCAAGTAGCTACGAAGAAGCAGGTGAATCGGCCGGTCAGACATCCATCCACAAACCTGTGCCGGTGTCGACCATATCTAGGGGTCGCGAAAGGCTCAAGGAGCGAGAGCGTGAGAGAGAGCACCGCTCGTATGATCGTGGCTCACGATCGAGACGATACCGGTGATTACGTCCAGATGCAATGATTCGGACGTAAGAATACGTCCTAGTTTACTGTACGGAGCATACAGTACAAATGTTAGGATATCCCCTTGTGCGTTTTCAGGTTGCTGTTTTATGGGTTCTTATTGGTGTCTCGGTGGACTTATTGTTTATTTTCAAAGATGAGTGAGAGGGTACGATAGACAATGTTTTGATACGAAGTGGTCAGCACCATCGTCAATACGTTTTTTTTTCTTCTGCTCATTATCTCCCTACCGCTATTGTCTTGTATAGCTTCCTTCTATACCATCTACCCGTGTTGCCCTCGTTCATACCATCTACCGAAGCCTAAAGTTTGCTGCAGAAGACTTGAATCAAAAGACCATTAAACGGATGTAGCATAAATCTCGTTTGACATTGAAACTAAGACATAATAATCCTATGCATAGATAGGAGTATGCAGGCCATGAATACACGATAACTTAAAACGCCCACCCAAACGTATCGATCCGAGCAGCCGTTCCTCACATGGCGAAAGGATCAATAAAAGAAAACATAAAAGAAAAGAAGAACAAAGAACGGCCGCGCGTCGAAAAGATGATGGTTTTTTGTTCATTCCTCCGTTCCTCGTAAGAGTCATTCTCAAATAGGTAACCAAGTCACGTCTAACGTCTAAGATTATAAAGATTTATTTGGCAACAGCCGAGCTAGAGGTTGCGTTAGTATATCAGTACACTATATTTATGAGACAGAGACGGCTTACCTTAAGACCTGTGTTCTGAAGAAAGCTCCCTTCGTCTTCTCGATGACCTGCTGGTAGACTGACTGGGGAGGGTGGTTCATTAGAACGGTCCCTTCCTTGTAATCGATTTTGGCGTCAACGCGAGTGTCGCGGATCAGGTTAACAATCCACTTCTCGCCTTCATTCTGACTTAGACCAAGGCGGGTGGAGAGGTCACTATAAAAATAGTTGGTATTGATATCAATGGCAGTAGGAGAAAAAGAACAACGTACTTGATATCGATTCGCTGATGGATTTTGCAATAGCTCTCTGATATTAAATGTCTGGCGGACTCGACAAACGCATCTGCGGCAGCAACGAGGAAGAAGTCACTCCGTAGAACTTCCTCAGCTTCGCCAAGTTTCTTCTGGGCCTCCTCGAAATCAAAATCGATATAGAGAGCCTTGACGAACTCGGTAATGGGATCTTGGTATTCATATTCTTCCTGTCGGACGACACGGATGAGGTCTTTGAGCTGCTTCTGGTAGAGAGAGGAGTTCTTGTGTGCGCGGCTGCGGTTGGTGATGACGGAGGCGGTGAGGTAGCGGAGGATCCAGGGGCAAGCGGTTTGGATGGTGTTGATGTAGGCGGGGTGGAAGAACATGTCTGTGAGCACATCACGGGCGGGTTCGTGGTTGAAGAAAGGGAAGAGAGACCAGTGGATGAGCCATGAGCGGTGCTGGAGTTGTCCCAGCGGATTATTGAAGAGACGCGTGTCGATTGAGTCCTTGACCTTGGTGATTTCCTCCATGGCGCCCTCCCAGTTGGTAGTCAGGATCTCGCAGGCGAGTTTACCCCACGTAGCGGCGGCAACCTTGTCGTTATCTGTGGACAGGACACGGAATTGGTATAGGAGCTCGGCGGCATTGCCGTAGCTGCCACAGCTATACTGGAATCGACCAAATTCGTAGAGAGTGTTGACCATCTCGATGGTGACGCCGTGCTGCTCCTCGAGGAATTTCAAGTTGGCGGCCTTGTCACTGCGCAGGTTACCCACAACGGCGTCGTCCTGGAGAAGCTCTGTGATCTTGCTGCTCTCGTCGACGTAGTGTTGCAGTTTCTGGACGACTTCCTCCCGTTTCGTGACAAATTCCTCTGGTACGTTATCGGAATCGTTGATCTCCTGCCAGAGACTGGCGATGTAGTCGGCCATGTTGGTATGCTTGAGTAGCTCATATTTGGACTTTGTGATCTGGTCGATGGCCTCGTCGTCTTCCTCCTGGTTAGAGGCAAACTCGAGCAGCGGGAAGATGAGCTGGCGGTCGAGGTAAGGGATGAGCTTGGGGAGCAGGTCGTGCTGTTTGGCGACCTCGTCCGCGGTGGCTGCAGACTGCGCGGCGGCGTCCTTGAGCAGCGAGCTGGCTGACGTCGGGGCGTTGTCGGCCATGGTCACGGTTCACCACTTGTAGATAGCCAGCCGGGGGTATCGTGGGCGTCTTGAGTCGTGGTTGAGGAAGTGGAAGTTCAGGAAGTTCTCGATGTTCGTTCGCATCCCGCTTTCGGACTTTTCGATCTTTTTCTTGTGTGGGCGCGGAAGACGCCGCGCTAGGGCCCGATCGGGTTAGGCGTAGAAAGCATCCAGCGACTTCATGAAAAATCAGAGAGAAGACGAGATAGAAGCTGAGATAGAAGTTGAGAAGACGAGAAAACAGAGACAGAGACTAGATAAAGACAGGAGACAAGGCTCAGCAAGGACGGAGACATCGGCTAGCAGCTCCAGCACCTGTACAGCAGCGTCTCTAGGATCCAGGATGGCTTCCATGCTTCCTGCACAACGGTCGACGGTCCAGTGCCTCCAGCGCAGGTTTACCTCTCCAGCTTCAGTTAATGGTCTGCTGCGGACGTCTCTATCACAGTCGAGCAGCTCTCGTAAGTGAATTCTCTTCCCGCGAGTCTACAATGCATAGCAATACCCATATCATGGCCACGGCAACAGCAACGGCAACCGCAACCGCAGCAGCAACGAGGCCAGCAGCAGCTTGGATAGAACATCTCACTAACGGAGATAGGATCACAACCACTCCTGACTTCCTCCTCTCGAACAATTGTTACTCATATCAACCGACCATTCTCACCTCCCAAATCTACACGAAGCCAAGGCAGTCTCCAGCAGCAGCCAGCTGCACCAGAAACCACTCCCGCTCTCCCTCTCACAAACCTGCCATATTTCATCCGCCGTACCCCATCGAATCAACTGCCCATCTACCTCGTCACCAAGGCCGGAGGAACCAAGCAGGAGACCCGAGTACGAAAGACAGAAGGAGATCTCAATGCCCTCCGCGCCGACCTAGTGAAGTATCTAGGTCTCGAGGCCAAGCCGTCAGAAGTCTATATCAACCAGATCAATGGACACGTTACTATAAAGGTATGCTCCAATCGAGAGAGTTTCATATACATATACCCCTACTAACGAGATCGGTGTTTAGGGATGGCGAAAACCAGAAGTGATGCAGTTCCTTCTTGATCGAAAATTCTAAAACGATACAACAACCCGCCCCTTTCTCAAATGTATTATTTCCTCCTACCGTGTCCGACTGTCCGATAGCTTCTGCAGTGCATCCGACCGTTCCGTTTCTTCCGTTTCGTTTCCTCCTCGAAAAAGGGCGTTAAGCGATATTCCGATTTTCGTTCCCATCTGCATTTCCTTTTCCTTCCTACCTTTACTCGTCCCGTTCAGTTTCGCTATCTGTTCACGCTCACGTTTCGTTAATGCTTGGCTTGGCTTTGGTTGGGTTGCGATTCATCAGTTGGGCGAATCATTTCATTTCTCTTCTCTTCCATCTCGTGTCGGGTCGTTGTCTTTCCTAAACGCTAAAGCTGTATAGTATATATCAAATCATCCCCCTCGTCTTCGTGTACTTATGTGGCTGTATTAATCGGATGGTCTACTCCGCTTATCAAGTCAGGTTTAATGTTATGTCATGTCTTGTGTAGATGCGTTTGATTAAGTGGTGTGAAAGGTAGATATGGTGATGCATCTATCGCCCTCGTCTCGTCTCGTCTCTGCTCTGCTCTGCTCCAAACGCCCTGCGTAGTAAGATATACATAAAGGAGATAAAACCAATCAAGTCGGGTCAAAAGGATACATAGAGGAACGTGATAGTATGGTGGACGTTGACGTTGACGTTGACGTGATGTGATGTGGTGGGATGTGATCTGATCTGTTGCCCGCTTTCTTCCCTGTTGCTTTTGAGGATTCTTTGTCTCCGCTATCAACTCCCTCCATACCATACATAGATACATAGATACAATTCTCGTCCATCCAGCTTCGAACATTGTTTCTTCCTACTAAGATTTGGGTTCAAAATCAACAGTAAAGGAATACCAACGGAAAGAGGATGGAAGCAGTTAAAACACACACAAAAAAGATGAGAAAAAAAAAATGAAACATAATGGAAATGAGAGGAAAATATGGATAGTAAAAGGAACAAAATCAATGGCAGCCCCCCGCCCCTATTTTCACACTTGCACCGCGCATACACACCTCCCATGCGATATATCGTACGTATCTCACTCGTTTATCCATCAGTGTGATTGCTAACGTATCCGCTGGACGGGTGGATGATTCAATGGTGGCTCAGTCGATGACTCCTAGCTCTACCCTGATAACCCTTCGTACTCACATAACAGCTTCAAGGTGCCTGGATCAATGGTCCTCGACACCAATGCACCGAGTATATTCTCCTTCTTGGGCAGCACGTTGTATCCCACGTCTAGTCCGCAGGTTTTCCCTTTATTCCCCTTTCGCACCTTTCCGCCTAGTCTGTTCAGAATACCTAGTGCCCGCGAGACAATGGTGTAGTATCCCTGCATATCATCCGGTCTACCACCATGGGCATGTGGGTGTTGATGTGGATGCTGAGGCATGGGCGGCATAGGTTGACGCGGTCGTTCGGCGCTCAAGAGGCCAGCAAGATGGACGAGACTGATTGCGAAGCCGTCGGCGGAACCTAGCCAGGCGCGAGCAAGCGGTGGGTCAGCGAGAGAAGATAATACCTCTGCTGCTAAAAGTCCCTGCATGAGGAATGGTTTGCGTGCCTCTGTGATTGCGAGGACGTTGCCCTTTGTGTATTCTGGTATTGGGGATATGGCGAGACCGAATGCGCGAGTTAGTAGGTTTGTTGATACGTTGGTGGTGGATGTGGGTGCGGTGATGGATGGATCAGAGAAAATGGATTTGTAGAGGGTGCGGTTGGGGTCATCGCGGGCTAGAAGTTTGGCCAGACTGTCTACTGCTGCAGGTAGGTAGCGGTGGGTAGTTGGTTGGTATGGTGGGAAAATGAGAGGTTCGTCGTCTGACGTCGGCGTCGAGGTTGAAGGAGCAAAGGAGAGGAGGAAGTAGAGTAATGCCAACGCCTCGTCTCGGCCTGGTAGATGCATGGCGTGCGCAAGATTACTGAGGAAGATGAGCGCATCTTTCATGAAGTCTAGTGTATTTTGATGCGTGCGAAGGAAGAGGTGTCTGGTTCCCATGTATCGAATGGCGAGAGCAAGGAAGCGAACGACACTCGGGGTGGAGAGGAGAGGGAAGTTTGATTCTGAGAAGCTAAAGTTGCGTAATATCGTAGTGATGCAGATTAGACGGTCGACAGTTCGATCGAGGTTATGTGGTAAACTGCCAAAGGGTGGGACGTCGAGCAATGATTCTATCTCTTGACGACATCCGCGCAGTAGTTCCTCGTAGGAAGGTAACTGTATCTCGTCCGATACTTCGGTGGAATGTTCGGCTAACAGTTCGAGGTGGTCTGTGGCCGTATCTAGTAGGGTAGGGAGCAGGTCGTCGCAGTTTTCGAGAGAGAGGTGAATAGCAGGTTCGGAGGAGAGGGTAGTTAATGTGTCGAGAGCCAGGCGAGTTTCTGATATTAGGCCTGACTTGAGACTCATGGTTAGAGCGTGGATGTCAATTACGCCTAGTTCATGGAAGCGCGGAGCCGAGGGTTTTAGGCGTAGGATTTCGTCGCCTAGTGGGAACAGCTCATCGACTACAATTGGGCCGTGGAAGGCTGGTTCAGGGAGGGTCATGGGCGTGTATTCCGCAGGTATAGGTTGTTTGAAGTTGAAAGTCTGTGGAACGAGGCCGTCTTCTTTCGCAGAGGGTGACGGTATACTCTGTCCGTTAGGCGACATGGACAGAGACTCTGCGTGGCTCAAGCTTGAGCGTTGCTGCATCTTGGGCTTTCCGGGTGTCGAATAGCCGTTCATAGCGTGAGGCTGCTGCATCTGCGGTTGTGGATATCCCGGCGCTTGAGCCTGTGCTTGAGCCTGAGCCTGAGCCTGAGCCTGAGCATGTGCCTGCGCCTGAGGATCAAAATGGCTGTTCATGGGCTTTCCAGGCGACATCATATCACCCTGCATTTGCATCTGCATTTGCATCTGCGGCTGTGGTTGTGGTTGCTCCCCTTGCTTCTGATGTGTAGACAGCCAGGCCTGCTCATAGGCCGCCAAATTACGGTAATACTGATCCCGTACCTCCCGCGCGGCAGTTGGATACTGCATAGCAGGGAACTGTAGCTGCTGAGCCACAACTGGCCAAGCGTTGGTGCTGGTTACCTTTTGGGAACCACCTAGCTTCATGACTGTCGCGTAGAGCTGCATGAGCACGATAGGACGTCCCGACACAAGAGGCGCGGGATCTAGAGGGAGACGGCGAGAGATCATAAATTTCTGCAGTACGCGGAGAAAGCCTTCTGGCGTTGTCGGTTTAGCCATTGCCTGAGCCTGAGCCTGTTGCTGTGCGACGGCCTGCGCCTGTTGTTGGGCAGCCTGCTGAGCAGCGTGTTGCTGTGCCTGCTGTTGAGCTACGGCTGCCTGTTGCTGAGCTTGCTGCTGTGCCTGCTGCTGCTGCTGGATATGGCGCATGGCTGCCATCTGGCTCTGCTGCTGACTAGTCATTGGCTGACCGGGCATCGGCGGCTGCTGCTGCTGTTGTTGGCGCACCTGGTTGGCCATGTGCATCTGATATAGCTGCTGGCGCGAGGCTATCTGCTGAGCCTGAGCATGCGCGTAGCCCGGCATCATGGCTGGATTCTGGTTCGGGTTCTGACCTGGAAAGGGCTGTCCGGGAGGAAAGGAAGTAGGTGCCTGCGGTGTGGCGACGCGGCTGCCGTGGTCTGATGGCGGCTGACCGGGTTGCTGTGTAGCACTTGGGAACGGACTAGGCGAGGCAGTCTGTACTCTCTGCGCGTCGAAATCCTGGGGCACAGGCGACGGACTGGCCGTCGACGAGGCCGGCTGCTGAAACCCGGGATGGAAAGCACCAGCAGGCGCCTGAGGTTGGAAATGGGAAGCTCCGTTGGCACCGACGACACCACCGACGGCCGGCTGGTAGCCCGGATAGGCGCCGTGCTGGGGCGTCTGGGAGCGCGAGACGGAGGCAGGAGGGATGCCCCCGGGTACCTGGCGTGGAGAGGAGATGAGGAAGCCGTCGTCTGGGCGCGATCGTTTGGACGGGATGACGGAGTTTGGAGGATGGAAGCCCGGAGACATGCGCGATGCCGGGGACGGGGTTGCGCCATTGAACATGCGCGTGAACTGGGGAGCGTCCGGCGGGTTAGGCGACTGAGACTGGGGCTGCGATTGGGGTTGCTGCTGCTGCTGCTGCTGCTGCTGCTGCTGCTGCGATTGAGGCTGGAGGAAGGCCATGGACGGGTCTATGATGGCCGGCGGCGGAGGAGGGTTGGCGAACGCGGTGCCGTTTCCATGGCCATTGGCGTTGGGGTTGCCTGCGCCGGGGTCGTGGGATGGGATGGCGGGCGGCGTGTCGTGGAGCCAGGCGTTCATGGCGAGTTAGACACCCATCCGACTGTGCCAGTTAGTGTCTATAAGTCACAGCTGGGGAGGCAACACGGCGTGGAAGCCAGGGCAGAGCTGGGCCGTCAGGACGCGTAGCCAGAAACCTACCGCGGTGCTCTCGCCGGCTCAAGATCGTGTAGCTGTGCAGGATACGCAGACGGCGGACGGCGGAGAGGCTGGATAGGCGAAAGAGTGTCGGGCTGTGGCTCTCGCGATCCCGCGTTCTGGCTTTCTCTCTTTCAACCTTCAAACTCGTTCTTGTGGATGTTTCTGCAGTTTCCCAAAGGGGAGGCGGTGAGAGGCGGCGAAAAAGGGGTCACGTGTCTGGCAGAAGTTAGTGATGACTCAGCAGGACGACATCGCGAGAAGAAGAAGAGAAGAAGAGATAGAAGAAGTAGAGAAGAAGAGGTGCGCCACAGGTCGTTAAGCGTAGGTAGGCGTGTGTGTAGGCGTGTGTAAGTATGTGTCAGCGTAGTGTGTATGTGTCAGCGCCTAAGGTGGAGGATAGGACGCAGGCATGGCATGGTTAAACATCCGGAGGGCGCCAGAATAGCCGCGCAGAGAGGCTGAAGAGGAAACGCGAATAGGACGGCGAGGCGAGTCAGGGGCAAGTAGGGGCAAGTCGGGACGGCTAAGGGGCAGGATAGGGGATGGGGATGGGCGGGATAGGCGGAGCATGCATGAAAGGAGCAGACCGTACTGACCTTCGAGAAGCCTGGGACGTAGCCTGCCTGACCTTAGCTGAGACGTAGCCTGAGCCTGCTGAGCCTGCTGAGACTTAGCCCGGTGAGCAGGAGAGCGTGAGTAAGCCGTAAGCCTGCTGGACTGCGGAACTCCGTCGTGGACGCGCTTTCCGGCTTCTTTTTCTTCTTTTTCGCCTTTCTTTGCTGACTTACTCTTGCTTACGGAGTACACTGCTGAGTAAGGTATATGGTCATGTGATTATACGGGCACTACAGGTACAGGTACAGGGATAGGGATAGGAGAAACATGAGGATATACAGTAGGCAAACAGGAGTATATAGAAATGGGATATATATAAGGTCGTCAAAACCGTGTGCAGTATCAAACCCTAGCATTGTATTTAGGGATCGATGACTCCGTACTCGCCCAATATTCCAGCTCTAGCCAGCTACGCCTCTAACCCCCCAAACAGGTCATACATGCCCGCGGTATTCGCGGGACCATATGGTTATGCCGCGCCGGCGATTTACAGAAGCCACTTCCACCCGATTTGGTCGTCTTCCTTCCACAGGTATGCTGGTATTTTGTCGCAGGGTGGTCGCAGACTGCCGAATAGAAGATGTACCAGCCGCATGTGCAGGACGTCCGCTTGTCTATAATAAGGTGACCGCGCTTCAGGAAGTACTGTCCGATATCCTTAAGCTCGAGATATTGCGGCCCGTCCGGCGTAGGTGAAGCTTCTCTATATCCCACGTACTCAGGTATAGCGGGTGGTTCAGCCTGTATGGGCTCGAGGGGTATATATTCATCGTGTATAGATTTGGCTGTTTCAGACGCTGCTTCACTTGGTTCGGTATCCCTATGTTCGGTATCCCTCGTTTCGGCTTCCTTTAACTTGGCTTGTCTCGATCTGATTTGCCTGAGTCTGGCAAGCCTGGGTTTCGTTGCTCGATATGCTCCATGATTTGTCGTTCTATATTTAGCTCGCCTGAATATTGGTTGCTTGTTCATCATGTAGTGGTTTTATCGAGAGTAAGACTGGACTAGAAGTATATATAACGGATTCATATGGCAAATTTGGATGGGTATAAGAGCAGTATAGACGAAAAAACGTCGGTTTAATAGAAGACACGGCATCATCCATACTGAAGCGCCGACGTCTGGACCAATGACAGTGATGGCCCCATGCAATGCAGCCCAGGATGCATGGGTAAAAGAGGCTCGCAGTCCAGTAATGGTCTGCAGCACCGTTTTGAGGCCGCCATCTTGTTGAGTCAAGCAGAGATGGAAGCTGCAGGAGGTCGACGGCTCTGCAAACATGTCACCGGTTAACCAACATGTAGAAGTTTCGGAACTGACCTTAACTAGTCAATTGTTGGTTTTGTTCCACGCCAAGGTATCTAGTTCCGATCCTTGAACTAGGGTTGATCGCTAGATACTTACTCTCGAGAATTGGTATCTTGGTTGGAAAGACGATAATAGCACAATTAACTGTTACAAATCAAGACAAAACCTGATGTTCAATATATCCATTAACCGAATTTACCTTCGCCTCGCTATGTAATTCTAATTCTAACATGAACATTAATAGTCGTACACATTCGTTTCTTCGCTTTTGCAGTCGTATGCAGGTAGACACTCGACATCATATTCGATCATTCAACAGCCGCAAAATCTCCATCTTCCTGCACATCCAGAGACTCCATCTTATTCTCCATCTCCCGCTCCTCACGCGCCACTTCCTCCTCCCAGTCTTCAACCACTTCATCGTCGTCATCGTCGTGGTCGTCCACTACCATGCCCGATGCGCCAAATCGCGAGTTCTTTTTGTAGGTGCCGACGTTTCGGCTTGCTCCAATACCACTGCGCAAGACTAGCTTCCCCTTGGCGTCGGTAGACGTAGTAGACCCGAATCCATATGGCGAAGCTTCAGTCGGGCTGCCGCTCGCTCCTGGGCGTTTCCTCGAAACAACCTGCGCCCACCCGTCATTGGCACTGGCTGATGATGCTTCTCTCAGTGCGGCCTCCAGTCTAGCTCTCTCGGCAACGGCTTCGCGTTTAGCAACCCGCTCCTTCATGCGCTCTCTATCACGGAACTTGGCGCAGTCGGCAACGCTCATTCCACGAATACCTAGTCCAGGCCCGGCAAGAGATGGCGGTAGCCAGCCGCCAGACTTAAACACAACGACATGTCGATGGGGTTCTGGGTCGAGGCTCTCGGATTTGAAACCCCAGTCTTCTGCAAGGGAGTGGACAAAGGCACGGAAGTTGGCACGAGCAGGTGGGAAGCGAGCTGAGCGTTCGGTTAGGCTGAGGGCGAGGGCGTAGAGTTTTGATTCGTAGGTTTCTAGTGTTGAGAGGGAAGACGACGATGCTAGTTCCATGTACAAGTCAAGCGTGTCCTTGGAGTATGGGAGATTTTCAAGGGTAAGGGGTTCAGAGGCTGCAGTATTGCTGGAGATAGTTGGATCGACTTCGAGCCCAAAGGCAGAAGCGATAGTGCGGTTGCGTTGGATTCTACCGCATTCTTCGTCACAAGGAAGAGATGAAGGAGATTCCTGACCCTGGCGGTCCTTATCTTTGGATGCTCCGCAGCGTTTTTCCTGCTTAATTCGTCCGCACTGGCATGCGATTGTAATTCTCGATTGGCAGGGGGTCTTCTCAGGGCATGGGAAGGGTGCATGACAAGGCTCTGTGCAAACGTGAGAGCACTGTTTCTTGATCTTCCCACACTGCTGCTGGCATGCGGTCTTGGAATCCTCACAGTCTCCGGGGCGATGACATTCCTTCTTACACGCGTGAGAACCGCACTGTAGTTCCTCCCCACACACAAGGCCACATCTAGCATCTACCAGCCAACAGGGCTGGTTCTTGAGCACCTTCTTCCCGCATAGACACTTTTTCTCCGTCAAGAATGGGCACTTTGGACATTCCTCCTCGTCTGTATGACAGTTGTGCGGTGTCTGAGGGTGGCCGCATCGCTTTGATCGACCGCAGTTAAAGCTGCAGGCAGGTGGCTTAGTGCCGCATGGAAGAGGTGGATAGAGAACAGATCGGCCACAGTTACAAGTGAGCTCATGGAAAATAGCCTCTAGACATGGAGGACAGGGCCCTCGATGGCATAGCTCCGGACACTCATGGGTGCCACATTTCAAGAGCCTCCCACACACCCGTGTGCAGATATGCTCTGCTTCGATTTCGGTTTCGTCGGCCTGTCTGACGTTCATTGACTTGAGTTTCTTCTTCGTCGCGAGCCGATCTATGGCCTTGCGTTCCCCAGAGCAGCATCGTTCACCACAGGCGTGCCTACCACAATTCAACGCGGCTTTGCACACGCGCATACATGTAGGCTGCTCAGGCTTCCCCTGATGACAGAGCGTTTTCGAGGAACTCCGCCCACACAGGCATGAGATATCCGTCCTGAGGAAACACGGCGGACAGGGCCCCGTGTGGCATGGCGTTGGACAGGTATGGCCACAGTTTAGGAGCTTGTCACAGGTCTCCTTGCAGTTGGGGACCGGATCAGTGCAAGCCTTCCGTGGCTCAATGTCCATGTTGGCAAGTTTTGTCTTCCCACAGGGACAGTGGGAAATCACATCGGGGGAGGAGGGACAGTGAGCAGGTTGTATTTCTTGTGGATGGCAGAGTTTGTCACACTGGTGGATTCCACAGTCATATAGTCTGCCGCAGGTATAGGGACAAGTGAAAGAACCGAGCCAGGATTCTTTCAGATTCCGACTTTCTCTCTCTTCCTCCTTGACACTGCACATTATTTCCTTGGAGACTTTGCCGCAGTAGCACCTTGAAGGGACCAATTCTTCACACTCCCCACAGAGACCATCATGACATGCACGTTGGCAGGTATGTTGCAGACAAGGAAGAGGCTCTTCACAAGTTTCCCTGCAGCTCCAGCCAGACACGTAGTCAGTGTCTACACATTTCTTTTGGATCTCATGTCTTCCGCAAAAGCAGCTCTGAACTGGGCCCATGGTCTGACATGGTGGACATGGACCAGCATGACAGACGGAATCGCAAGGGTGAGGACACCCTTTTCGAGACCGAGAGCACGACTGGCCACACGAATGTGGAGGCAGGCCAGGGAGAGATCGAATCTCTATCTCCTTCTCACACCAACAGCTATACACTGATGGAAGCGTGTCTTGTGGTAGATTGCAGCCAGGACACCTCCACTGGCGAGCAGGCGGGAGTTCAGAATCATCCTGCTGCTCCTGATCCCTTGGTCTGGTGAGTACGGATCCCTCACTCGTCGACCATTTCTTTATACAATGGAAATGAAACACGCTCCAGCACTGTCGACATGACCAGACCTTGGATCTGGAACCCAACTCAGACGTGCAGATTGGACACTCGTATAGTCCGTTCGAGATATCCTCGTGAATCCGGGTAGTGATGTTATCTGCTGTCGATTTCGTGAGGCACTTGGTGGGTTTATGCTGCTGTCGTCGTGGGGTCTGTCTTGATGCGGGCGTGGAAGACGGAGGAGGCGCTGGATGTGGCTGTCCAGGGACAAACACCGATGCATCGGGTCGTAACGAGGAAGAATCAGCTTCACTATTGTGAGTCTGGCCCTGGGAGGTGCTGGTGCTGGTGGTGCTGCCGCGGTGTGAGGAGCGTGAGGATGCGGGATCGTTGGGTCTGGTCAACCTGCCACGAAACGTCCTTGCAGTCACTACTTCTGGCCGGCCAGGATGAGTGCCTCTTCCTCTGCCCCGTCCTCTCCTCCCACTTTGTCCTGTCTGTTGTTGCGGTTGCGGTTGTTCTTGTGGTTGTTGCTGTTGCTGCTGTTGCTGTTGCTGCTGGCGTGGGCCACTTTCATTTACAGCGTGCGAATCACCTCTTCCTCGCCCACGACGGTGTGATCCTCTGCCTCTTCCTCTGTGACCTCCATGCGGCCGTGAAGGCCCATTTGCTATCGAAGACGAAGCTGTCGTAGGCGCGGGAACCTCTACGGACGACGTCATGCTCTGCTGTATAGCACCGGCGCCAGAAGACAGAGTGCGAGCCGTATCCAGCGTGAGAGACGTTTCCGGGAGTATTGAAATGCTGGAGAGCGGTGTTTCCGGCGTTCTTGTACAAATGAGATTCGTGATGCGGGATGCGCTGCTAACTCCGGCTGATGCGCAAAACTTTTCAAGTACGATGCGGAGAAGAAAGAGAAAATGGAAGAAAGAGAAGTACAAAGTGAGCACAAAGAAGGAGAATAAATATTAAAGACAAGAAAGAGGAAGAGACTGGGGTGGAAGATTTCACAATTTACTGTGTTCTAAATGTTTGAACTTTTTGCCTTCGATGACTCGTTGGTGGAGCCGAGGCGCATCTTGAGTCACTATTACATGTTTATACGAGAAGAGAGAAGAAGAAGACGAGAGAGAGAAAAGAGAGAGAAAAGAGAGAGAAAAGAGAGAGAAGAGAGAGAAGAATATTAATTATAGACGACATTAACATGGCTAGGCAACGCTCATGCTGGGCTGAACGGCAAAATGATACAATAACACATTAAGACATAACATATCAAGGCAAGAAAAGAACCATCTCCCCATTATCATTCCTCTTGACTCTCAGTGTCCGCCAAAGCCGCTGCTCTTCTTCGTCCTTTCTCTCCTTTTCGCCAGCCCGATTCCGTCCTCGGCCTCGTCCTCGAGTCTTGGACACCTCCTTCCCGTCCCTGGTATTGGATACCTCCTTGTCCTTGGACTCTGGTGAGCCAGACCGAGACGGCGACTCGAGACGGTGATATCGTTTCAAGATCTTATGCACCGAACATCCGCGCTCGCTGTCAGGCCCCTTGTTGACCAGCGACAAGAAGGTGGCGGCCTTTTCGATGCGAAGACTTTCCTCGAAATCGCTATCGTCAGCCCCCTGCCCGTTTTTATAAAGGACCATCTGGCTGTCATCTGTTTTGCTGCGTTTGGCTACCCCCTCATCCGAGTCGTTGAGGCGTTTATACTCGATCGCTTTCATCTTGCGTGGCTCCTTGCTGCCTCGCTCGGAATCGGTGTCGTCTGCTCCGTTGCCGCTCATTCTGCGCCGAGTTTTACTAGAGCTCATCACCTCGGATAGCTGGCGTGTCTTTGGCCGTTTTGTCTTCTTCACCTGCACCATTTCCCGCGAAGTGGAGGTCGCGGGGGCCGCGGCACTCGATCCCTCTGAAGTGCGCCTCTTCGTCCGTACGAGGGCCTTGGTGGTCGGGTCGATTGTGGCGCCGGCACCGAGAAGTGAGATGAGTTTCCCTGCCGTGCGACTCTGGCCCTTCATCGATATTCCCAGACCATTTTCTCCAGCTCCAACAGGTTCCTTGTTGCGTTTGCTGCGCTTGATGGGCGAGACGGGCTCGTTGCCGTGTCCGCGAGCGTATCCGTACTCGTCGTTAGAGTGGTCGCTACGGTATTCGTCGGAGTATTCTGGAGAGACCGAGTAGCGCATCATCCGGCTAAGGTTACCAGTCAACCCTGAGTGCAGGATCGGTGGAGCACGGTCATGGTAATGCGCGTGGCCAGTTATCGCAGCGTCCATCATTGGCGTGTCAACTTCGTAGTCGTAGCGTGAATGCTCTGGAGCCATGTTTGCGTTGGAAGGATCGGGCTGTCCACGCTTTCGCTTCTTATCGCTGGTAGTAAGACTGCTGTCCGTCCTGCTGGCTTCGAGTGACGGAGGAGGACGATCTCGCCGTGCACGTCGGTCGTGAAGCCACTGCTGCCGTTCCCGCTCCCAGTTCTGCGCAGGCGTCCTGAACTCGTTAGATCCGGCGGAGGTAGACATATTGGAGTCGTGTCTATATGGCGGCGCAGGCGGTATCGGTCCGGCTCCGTAGGAGAACCCATTTTCTTCGTACGCAACGTCGTAGCCTGTATCCTCCTCGTCGTCGTCTCGCCCATTGTCTATACGAGCAAGCTGTTTGGGCGCATCAAATATGGGTGGCGCATGCTCGACCATTGTCATCGACTCGCTAAGGTCGGCCTTGGAGGCATTGGGGGTGGTTGATGAGTCGAGGAAATCGAACACATCGATCTTTTCGGACCTTGGTTTAGCCACGGTTGTGTTTGTGTTTTTGAACGGAGGTGGACTCGGTGCTGGCGGCGGTGCGCCACTGTACTCGTCGTCTGCATCTGGGACGTCCTCGACGTATGGGTTGAGAGGTTTTACAACGGCGGTCTCGGCGATGGTGACAGCCTTCTTCTTATTGTTTTTTGCCGGCTTCTCTTTATACAATGCGCCCTGGTACTTTTGCGCCTCGGTCACGCAAGACTGCCCACGTTATTAACTTCAGCAACCAGGGTCGGGTCAAGCTGCTGGGTAGATCAAAACATAAAGCCCGATATAGGGCGGCCAATAGGCGGATGGCAGGACAAGATGTAACTGCACCACGACGGGCCCGCCCAACGGCGTGAAGGAGAGAGAAAAAAAAAAAAGAGAGAGAAGCCAGGAGAACGGACGTACGGTGTGGGATCTATACTCCGTGCCTTGGAAATGCACCATGCAGTCGAGACACGAGAACGAGGCGCCGTGACACTGGCCACGATGGGGATCGAGTTTCTTCTTGGTGAGGACATCTCCGCAGCCCTGGAAAGCCGGTTATTAGCTCAGGCAGGAAAAGTATGTAGCCAGGACAACTCACCTCGCATTGGAACGAGACCATAGCTGCGTCCTGTAGGCCAGTAAAGACGTGGCAAGAGGGGTCTGATACGGGGCGTTGGCGATGCGATGCGCTGTGCAGAGAAACAACAATTAAACGACAACCGGCGGTGAGTTGGGCAGGATCAGGGCGAGATAAGGCTGATAAGGGCCTTATAAGAGAGCGATAACCCCCAAGCCCCTTTCCTGGCGCTTCGTGGGCTGTGTTTCGTCGTCTTTCGTTGCTTTTTCTGCTCGGCCTGAAAGTTCTGCTCGCTTGGAAAATATCGATGGCTGCTAGCTAAGTCTGGCTAGTCCTATATTTAGACGTGAAGATAAGATGAAGAGACGATAAGAACGCGATGATGAAGATAAGATGGTGAAGATGAAGATAAATGGTGATAGATGAGAGATGGTGAAGATGAAGATGAGATGGAGGATGAGCGCAGCGCATGACCTGAAACGGCAGTGTTGATGTTTGGCGCCCGTCGTGCATAGAGCTACACACCACCATACCTCTGATATAGATACAGGATGAAGCTCACCGCATGCTGAGAAGATACTCGAGATGATACCTGAGATGATACTACTGAGATCCTGCCTATAGCACAATTTCAAGCTCCGTATACGATTATTCCTCCTCCTGACCCCCATCCCATGATCATCAAAGTCTAATCCGCGACAGCAGACACCCTTTTCGCCCTCTTCTGCGGTATGCTGCTGACTACGGACATGCATCTGTTACAGGATAGAGGCCGTGGATAGGTGGAGGAGGGAAAACGCTGCTCATGGCGGTGGCTGTAGTTGGTGACGTTGGATGTTGGTATATTGATAATCCATGGATACTTCGTCTATTCCTAATATACAATAACGCCGGCTGAGATCATGGTCACTTGTCGCTTGTCCACGGTGGATGCTGGTATGAGGACACAGTCGTAGAGGAAAGAAACGAGAAACGGGAAAAAGTAAGGGTATGGTACATATCACGGCGCTTAGATCAACCATTCGTGCGTCTGCCGTAATACTTGTCAGATACCTTCAACAAAGAAGATGTGCAGAGTACCTACGGCTCATCCGTTATTTCCACCGGCCCGCCAGGGAACGGCCCGTTGGCATCTCCCCAGAGCATCTTCTTCGGCCTCCTTGCCGTCCCTTCCTTTGGCTTGTCATCTGCCTTTCCCCCGTCTTTGCCGGCGTCCTTTGCAGCCTCCTTGCCCTTGCCGCCCTTCTTCTCGTCCTTGCCCTTGCTGTCTTTCCCACTGTCCTTGTCACCGCATCCGCAGTCGTAGAAATCTCCAATCTTCGTGCAGTCGAACAGATCCTTCTTCAACCGTCTATTCACCTCGTTGTGCACCAGGCAAGCCCAGCCTGCTGCTGCGTTTCGTGACGATGTCTGTGGGGGGTACGTCTTCAAAAGCTTGATGAAGTGTGATGCGCAGTCGCCGCTATGCCAGATGTTAGTTTTATCTTCCTAGCCATGTGCCCTTGCTCATGAATTCGCACGCGACGTACCATGGGTATAGTCTCGCAAATAGATAGACGTATGCACTCAGCGCTCGCTGGTCATCGCCCGTCGGCTTCTCAGGGTATCGTGACATGACCGTATGGAAAAGATGCCATGACGATCGTCCTAGCTCGGCCCTATATCCGTCCATATCAGTATCACCGTCCAACAGCTCGGAAGGAGGATAGTCTAATCGTACTTGGCCGTCTTGTTCTCCAGCGTCGGCATGATCGAATTCCCCAGCAACATCGACTTTGTGACATCGACATCGTTCGGTATCTGCTTCGGCTGCGTGAGGTGCCCCGGTGCCCGCGACTCGGGGCTCATTGGCGATACACGGAAGAAGGAGATGGTGAGGATGAAGAACACGGCCAGGCCGGTCAGGATGAAGAACCGCGACGCTGGTCGGTGAGACAACATCGTGGTCGTACTTTGCCGTCCTCTTTTAAGTATATATTCGTTGGAGAGCGTTGATCTGATATATAACGGTTAAACGGTAATGGCACCGGGCCCGGTTGCTCAAGGTCGCAACAGCTACATAAACGAACGACAAAGGACACGGCTGCCACGACGTCTCCTCTGTTCTCGGCGCCCGATATATATGTAGGCGAGTACGAGGCCAGAAGTCTGCTCCCTTTTCCTTTTCTCTCTTCAGCCCGATCGTTGGCTTGTGGCCACATCTGGGGTGAAGAGCTTAGTCATCCGGGATCTCGTGTTTGCCCCTTTTGCGGCTTGCCGAGTGAAACGGACATCAAACACTCGACAGCAGTTTGATACCCGTAGAAGTACGGAGTGACTGCAGAGTATAGACACGATGATGACGCAGAAGACATTAAGCTATCCTACATGGCGATGTTACCACTTCCAGGCAGGCTGCAGAGTTTATAGCTCGCGTGCCATGGTAGCTATCTCCTTGACCAGGAAACTGTTCAGCAGCTCCGAAGATACTACTACGTTTCTTCTCCAAACATCTTGATGCAGGATATTCTTGCACCATGCATTACCTACGTTGAATGCTGATAAAAATGATACCCATATTCTTTATTCAAAGGAGAGGAATATAAGTACTCTCGGCTTGAAAAAGCCCGTCTTTATCCATTTCCGGCTCATCCGGAGTTACGCCTGGTTATGGCCATGAAGGCTCTGGATCAGATAAACCAGAATCTGATAAGCAAACCACATAAACGGTTCACCTTTGAAACCACGGAAGAGCCAGCAGAATGACGCAGAGATCCGTCCATGCCGCGGGTGCCAGCTGTTATCTGATCCCATCCCCAATTCACGCCCCTGGAAAAGTGGCCATATACATAACTTGCAAAGATTTCACCCGCCTTCTTCACGCCTATTTCCTTTTTATGAAGAAGATCTCTCATTGTCATTTCCTCCCAAACGAAAGCACCATTCGAGCCTTCTCAAAACTGCTGCAAGGTTCCTGGTTTTATATTGGTTGTAGTTTCCCCTACAATCCGTTCTTACCCCATATCATTTGTTTTGATACTTAACCTGGGAGTCGGTCTATGCCATGTCGGACGATGACGAGAAGCCCAATCTCGACCGTCGTCCACATACACCGCGCTGGCACTACCATTATCCTCAAAGGCCTGTACTCGAAACCTCCCAAGACGAGATAATCCAAGAATGGCTTACAACGCAGGAAGAAACGGGTTGTCCAATGGATGGACCAACGGCAATGGATGGACCAACGGAGACCACAAGGAGGAACACACCAATGGGACAAACGGACATGGTGGCAGAGAACTCGATGCAGTACCCAACGAACAGCCCGCCGAGCAATCCGACGACGACTCCGACGACCAATCCGGCATGCGAATCAACGAAGATCGAAACTTCGTCCTCTACGCTCGGGAGGGATCTGACTGGGCTGCGACCAAGTATGTCACTATCAAGGCTCACACGATACTTACCGATGACACAAGTACTACCACAACCGTCACAACAATTGCCGGCGGAGGTGACCTCCAGACAATCACCACCACCACCGTTTTCGCCCTATTCAGTTTCAGAGCCACTACAATTAGCACCTCAGTTATATCCAGGCGGATCTAGGCGTGGCGCTTCTGATGGAAACTACCAAGCTCCAGTTGACGATAACATAACCGTCTCAAAGGGGGTTATCGATGACTCTAGCTCTGATAGCATTCAGTTTGGGGTCAAACAGGCCAAGGCCGTCGCTATTGCTTGGTCTCGAAAGTCACTCATTATAGCTTATGTCGGGTACGTCTAGCAGCCGCCCCCCTTTTTTTTTCCCTCGAAAGGACATAGACTAAAATTATAGCAGGGCGTATTTGGTCTTTTTCGTTAATTCTCTGCTGCAGCAGATGGCTAGCAGTCTTAATCCTTATGTTACCAGTGCTTTTTCCAAACATTCTCTCCTATCTTCTATTTCAGTCGTGTCAAGTATTGTTGGTGCTGTTATGAAGCTTCCTGTTTCTAAGATTATTGATATCTGGGGTCGTACGGAAGGGTATCTTTTGATGGTCGGCTGCTGCATTTTGGGTAAGTAGCTTTCTTAGCTGTCTTTTGAAGAAGAATGATATTAACCGGCGTTGAATAGGCATGATTATGATGGCTACCTGCAATAGTATCGAAGCATATGCTGCTGCACAGGTTAATAGTACACAATATTTACATCAACACATAGATGTAAGCTAACTGTTTGATAGGTCTTCTACTGGGTCGGCAACAATGGAATCGCGTATGTCCTCGACGTCTTCCTTGCAGATACATCTAGTCTCAAAAATCGGGGTTGGCTCCTGGCGTTCTCCACAAGCCCGTTTATTGCAACTACATTCGCTGGCCCTGCATTAGCACAGGCGTTTTACAAGTCCGTCGGCTGGAGGTGGGCATTCGGCGCATTTGCAATTATCATTCCAGTTGCTTCGCTTCCAATGGTGATTATCTTCCTTCAGAGTAGCAACAAAGCGATCAAGATGGGCTACTTGAAGCACCGGGGGTCTGGTCGGACCCTATGGCAGTCTTTCGTTCACTATGCAATTGAATTTGATGGTTTGTCACATTTTACACGAGGACTCAATTAACAGGGAGTCGCGGGGCTAACACAGTATTAAATAGTTATCGGTATGATTCTTATCGTTGCTGGATTCACGCTTTTACTTCTCCCGATGAACCTGGCCACATACCAGGCTAGTAAATGGAAGTCCCCTGCTATGATATCCATGGCTGCCATTGGTAGTTTTTTCTTGCCTGCATTTGTTATATGGGAATATTGTTTTGCCAAGGTCCATTTTGCACCATTCTATTTGTTAACCGATAGAACGGTACTTGGTGGCTGTCTCTTGAGTGCAACCCTGTTCCTTAGTTTCTAGTAAATCCACCCTGATATCCTTCTGTCTTTCTATACCATTACTAATAGTAATTACCAGTTGCTGGGACCTGTACTTCCTGTCTTACCTGCAAGTAGTCCACAACCAAAGCATCCGGGATGCCGGCTACATTGCCAACATATTCAACATTGGAGGATGCATCTGGGCCATCGTAATCGGAGCGTGAGTCCCTCCCCTTTCCCCTCCCTTTCCTACCTACCACACAGACTAAGAAGGCTTGCTAGTGTTATCCGCGTAACGGGTCGGTTTAAACTATTCGCGCTCTGCGCTGTCCCGCTCCAGGCGGTGGGGATAGGTCTGATGATCCAATACCGCCAACCAGGCTCTCATATCGGATTGGTGATCATGTGTCAGGTCCTTATTGCCATCTCAGCTGGCACACTGCAAATATGCGAACAAATAGCCGTCATGGCAGCAGCAAGTCACAGCGAAGTGGCCATTGTCATCGCCTTGCTAGGCTTGTTCAGTAACATTGGGGGTGCCATTGGCCAGACTATCGCCGGGGCCATCTGGAGCCACACTATCCCTGGGCAACTTGCTATCTTGCTTCCCGACGATGCTAAGGATCAAGCTGCAGCCATATATGCATCATTGACCACCCAGCTCAGTCACCCCATGGGATCCCCTATCCGCAACGCCATCATTGCTGCATACGGTGAAGGGCAGCGCTGGATGCTGGCCACCGGAGTCGGTGTGCTGGCGCTGGCTATGGCGTCGGTCATCATGTGGAGGAATATCCAGCTTAAGGATGTCCACCAAGTCCAGGGAACGATTGTTTAAGTAGTTACGTTGCTCCGTCGTCTGCTCTTCGTTCCATCGTGTATTGTTAGTTCACTCCACACTGGAGTTAGGACGGTGATAAAAGTGTAATCATCCTTATTCGTAACTGTTCAATCCATCTTGTTCATGTTTTAACCCCTATCCCCGACTCAGACTTGCTCGATGTATATAAAAAAAAGACCGGGTATTCGGCACGTCCGAAAGAGGCTACTGGATAAACGTTCTTCCGATAAGCCCATACCCGCTTACTCAGCCACCAACCTCCACCGACCAAAACGCCCAAAAGGACCAAAAAGTTGTCGTTTTCAGCCTGAGATCCCTGATATCGACATGGGTTTAGTTCCTGAGAGCCTCGTATCGCCGGCTTGAGAACCACAGCATCCCACCGCTCCGGGCATAAGCAAGTATACGGTGTTGGAAAGCCTTGCATAACCACGTTGTGACCGCCAAACTGACAACCACGCGCAGGGACCGTCACGATAGCAACAAGCATCATGGAGCCAAAGGGGAAGCTCGTCCGCGTCACGACCGCCACCAGCGCCCTCGACACGATCCGTGACCTCAGGCTGCATCCGCTGTCGGGTTCTATGGCGCCCCAAAGCTTGTGCAGTGCTTACTTGTGTGCATAAAGCTGCTTGTGCACTGCATTTTGAGTGTATCTTCCGGCGTGTGGATGCCGGGCCAAACCTTACAATCTCCATGTTCTCCGGCAAAAGGGAAAAAAAGGGGGGGGAGGACAGACAAGACGGTTCTATGAATAGCACTCGCTCGCCGATCTCCACACACGATAAATGAAAACACGGAGCTCATTTGAATCGTGGCCCATCACGAGACGGAGGAAATACCTGGTTAAAATGCTTTTTTGCCATGTAGCATTCTGCATATACCCCGTACATACGGAATAGTGATGCATTATTATATTCCCCGTACATAAATTATGTACTCGAATGACATGTGGAGCAAGCCCCCCGCCGGGTTTCATGACTCCAGCTTCAATTCCGACCTTCTTTTTATTTTATAAAGTTCTGCGCTAATACGATGCATCGGCAAGTTTCTTGCCCGATATTTCGAACGCAGTTTCATCCGTTTCCTCCAGGGATTGGCCATGAGGGCTGGATAACGGCCCGCAGAGCACAATGATGTTGGTTTGAGCTTACAGCGGACGCATAACTCTCGCACAATTCAAAGCTAACATGGCTAGCCCCTGTCAGGATAGATCTCAGAATGGAGATGGAGAACACTCCTGCCTTCCGTTGGTGAGACCGGGATGTATATATATCTGCTTACTTTTTCCTCCTTGGTGATGTCGGCGGGTTTTTACCATTCTCATCTCATCTCATATACATACGTGCCGGCTCGCCTTGTGCTTCAACACTCTTCATCGTGGCCTATCTTTTCTTCAAGAAAGTTTCCCTGACCTTTGCCCTCCACTGGTATATCCGTTAAGCCCGATACCTTCTTCTCTTCTCTTCTTATATTAGGCTAGTCCAACCGTTGCTGGCCAACAGGGTGGCATCAGAGCTTTGCCCTTGTGTACTATTTTTCCTCATTGAGTGAGCTTCTACTGGATAGATATACCAAGGGAGAGCTACATACGTGGAGAAGATCGACATGTCTTCATCCCTGCCCCAGATACCAAAAGTGGCGGAGAGCGACAGTATGTAATCCCTATATGTGTACGGGGTAGGCCGAGGCTTTTGATTTCCTAACATTGGTTACGTTGGTGTTTGTTTTAGAGGCCTCGACTATTGTTCCGCCGACTCATGACGATAATGATAATACCCCAGAAAAATCCTCGGTGCCCTGCTCATCATCAGAAGACAACGTCCAGGTCGACGACAAGTCCGATAATACTGAACTAAATGAAACCGTAACTCCAGTTCAAATTGACAATGCAGACATTGAGAAGGGGACTCCCAAAGAAACAACAAAACGAGTTCCGGAGGGTTATAAGGAGTATGACGACCCTAATATAGTTAACTGGGATGGTCCAGACGACCCTGCACATCCACAGAATTGGCCATCAATGAAGAAGGTCGTCATCGTTTGCTCGATTGGCCTCATCACGCTATTGACGTATGCCATAATATCTCTCGGCCTCCTTTTGTGTCCAAAAGTGTTGGCTAATACTGCCTTTATTCTAGCCCTCTTGGATCCTCGATGTTTGCGCCTGGAGTGGGAGAAGTCATGAAGGAGTTCAAGAATGACAGTCCTGAACTTGCGTCGTTTGTTGTATCCGTTTATCTACTGGGCTTCTCTTTTGGGCCATTGATCATTGCTCCGCTCTCTGAGATGTACGGCCGTGTCCCACTATACACCGCCTGCAACATTCTGTTCGTCTTGTTTAACGTTGCTTGCGCCCTTGCCAATTCCCTCGGTGCCCTGATCGTTTTCCGTTTCCTGGCTGGCGCCTCGGGTAGTGCGCCCCTGACAATCGGTGCTGGCACTATCGCCGATATGATTCGACAGGAGAAACGAGGTGGTGCGATTGCAGCGTGGGCTCTTGGTCCACTTCTTGGACCAGTTATTGGACCGGTTGCTGGAGGTTTCTTGACGGAAGCTATGGGATGGCGATGGACCTTCTGGGTTCTGGCTATTGCGGTAAGAATGGCCCTTTCGCTAAAAGTTGGTGGACAGCAGGACTGATCAAGATTTGAAATAGGGCGGTGCAGTTACCCTCAACACATTCTTCTGGTTGAATGAGTCTTATCATCCAACCATCCTAGCCCACAAGACGAAGCGCCTTATCAAGGAAACCGGGAACACGAACCTCAAATCCGCCCTCGACTCTGGACAAAAGCCAAAGGAACTTTTCCTTCTTTCCATTGTGCGCCCAACGAAGATGCTTTTCTTCTCACCCATCGTTTTCCTACTCTCCCTATATGCTGCGGTTGTGTATGGTTATCTTTACCTACTATTCACCACTATCTCTGGCGTCTTCATCGGAAAGTATCACTTTTCTCAGGGTGAGTTTGAAGCCTTATTTCCCGTTCCCCATACCCGCCTGCTTAGAGCATTATATTAACTGTACCCCCTGTCTAGGTACTGTTGGCCTTTCATTTTTAGGCGTGGGAATCGGATGCTTGCTCGGCTTGGCTGCTCTAGGCGGATCATCAGACCGTATCCTCAAATACCTTGCCGCCAGATCTGGCGGTGTTATGAAACCCGAATTTCGCCTTCCTCCACTCATCCCGGGCAGTTTTTTCCTACCGATTGGACTCTTCTGGTATGGCTGGTCTGCTGAGAAAGGAGTTCATTATATCGTTCCTATCATTGGAACGGCATTCGTTGGTATCGGCATGATATTTACCTTTGTAAGCTTTCCTGTTTCTTATAAGGCTCTTTCGTCAATTCTAACGATTATATCTAGATGACTATCTCCACCTACTTAGTCGACGCATATACTCGTCACTCCGCCAGTGCACTAGCTGCTAATACCGTTCTTCGCTCCATCTTTGGTGCTGTGTTACCCCTTTGCGGTGAAAGGATGTACCGCGCTCTCGGTCTAGGATGGGGTAACTCCCTTCTCGCATTTATCGCTCTAGCCCTAGCGCCACTCCCAGTTGTCTTCTACGTATATGGAGAGCGCATACGTACTAGCAAACGATTCGCAGTTATTCTCTAAGTTATGCATTATTTTCCTCGTTCTATCTTAGCATGAGCATGTCCTATGTTGCTATTTATTCCTTTACGGGCTGGCTCTTGATATCCTTAATTTTGAAAAGTCCCATGTTATGGCGTTGTGTATATAGAAGCTCCTTGATCTTTATATTAATTATCTATTAGTGCAAGCTGATTTGCTCCCTACGCGAGCACATTGACTTTATTGGCATTTTTTAGATAAATCGCTACAGCAGTCATTTAACTTGTGAAGGTTGACGGGTGGCACAAGCACGAGCCACAGCCTAAATACGCATATTAGAACTTCATGGGAAACATATTCGCTCAGGCGAAAGGCGAATAAATCAGTATATATCTATTAGTCACAATGCATTACCTCTTTCAAAATTGATGGAGGTTAATATCGGCGCCTCCATGTAGTCGTATTCTTTACCGTTGCTAAAGCCACAACACCAAATGACTCATTTAACTAGCTTTACGGGTATCCAACTCGAACTGTTTCTTTTCACGGTCATCTTCGTTACACATTCCATCTCATATCAACTCACCATGGCCCTCCCACCTGATGCCCTCGAGCTCAAGGGCGGATGTCTCTGCAAAGCCGTTCGTTATATAATCAAAGTGCCTCATGCAGAAAAGCGCGGTGTCGCCAGGGTCATGATGTCCGCAAAGCCTACGGACACGCAAGGGGAAAGTGAAGATAACAACGGGAAGCCAGCGTATGTCAACTTCGATTTCCCCTTGCTCTCTCTCGACCACTGCAGTGATTGCCGCCATGCTGCCGGAACACCAGCACAGGCGTGGATTATCTGCCCCCAAGAATGGATAGAGTGGGATGTGGAGCTACTGTCTCCGTCAAAGGATGGAGTAGAGCGTGTAAAGCAGACAACACTCGAAGCATGCTCGAAGGACGGACGAGGTCTCTACGAGGACAAGTCGAACTCATCCCAGGTATCAACTTACCAGGCGAAATATCCGTCCTCAGAGGACGTGACTCGGACTTTCTGCTCACGATGCGGTACAAACCTGACTTATTTTGCCAAACGACCTGCCTCGGACCCTAATGGTGTGATAGTAGATGTTACGATTGGCAGCATGGACGACGAGAGTAGTGCGATAGCCCCGCCTAACCGACAGGCATGGTGTGATTCTGGAGTCGGATGGTTCAAACAGCTTGTCAGAGAGGGTGGCCCAGAGAGGTTGTGGACTAGGAATGCTAATGAAGGCTAGAGATAATGAGATTGATATTCTACTTCTGATATATTCCCAGACGTCTTATATACATACTTGTACTTGAGTCGATAGTAGGGTCTCGGATATACGTTGGGCCGACCACTGACTAAGCAAACAAAAAAGAAACAGAAAAAAAAGAAGACGTCCCCGCACAGGATCGAACTGTGAACCTCCAGATGACTCAGCAGATTGCTGCTAACAGTCTGACGCGCTAACCAGTTGTGCCACGGAGACTTGTCTATGCATAGCCCGTCTAACTTGTTGCCCTATGACTGCGAACTCAAGGTGCTGTCGGTTACTTCGCCACGATCATTTCCCATGGATTCTTCTACACCACCCCGCCCTGTAACGATAAATGCAGTCCATAGACCCATAGACACGTCTCCTGATAAATTCATGCAATTGTCGAGTCAGCCCTGCCGTAACCCCACAGTGAATCTGATATATTTGATATGGCATGGCTACTTATACAGATCTGCCTTTGCTACCCGCCGAGGCTTTCTCTTGGTCTATTCTTTTAGCACAGCAGAGTTGAGGCAGAGAATATATAAATACCCGCAAAGCCCAAGGAAAGAGGCTCAGCCTTGAGAAGTGACACGGCATTGTTCTAACCATCTTGCAAACATGGCCCTTACACTCTCTCCTGCCCTTGTATCCGATGCCGAGCGCATCGCCGATATTCATATGAGCGCCTTCCAGACCAATGGCATGCTACTTGCTCAGTTCCCAACCCCAACTGTTCGCAAGGGATTGTGGAAATCTCTTGTGGAAAAAGTGGTCACGGAAATAAATGATCCTAAGTGGGCTGTGCTTGTTGTTCGGAATGACAGGAACCATGTTATCAGCTTTGCGAAATGGTGTTTACCCATTCTCGAATCGGAGAAGTACGAGGAAACACCATGGAGATGGCCGGAGGGTACGAACTTGACGATCTTGGATGAGTGGACTACGAGAGTAGATGATGCGAGTAGAAGGGTTCTAGGCGATACACCATGCTACCGTATGTTCTTTCTAACTCTATGTTCACAGTGCTTATTGCCCTCGTTAAAGATATACCCGTACATGTTAACACCCGCCAGGCCTTAGTTTTATGGCAACAGACCCTCTACACGAACGCTGTGGTGCAGCAGGTTTACTCGTTAGGTGGGGACTTGACCGCTGCATTAAGGAGAATGTACCAGCCGCTCTCGAGGGTACGATGAATGCTGCCTTATTTTATGAAAAGCACGGGTTTAAAAGCGAGGGGGAGATATCAATGGTTTTGGAAGGGCTGGGTATGAATGGAGAATCAGTACTTTATGAAGAGAGATGCTTTGTTTTCAGACCCTGCGCCAGTTAATCAAATCGCCTGTCAGCCACACCTGCGCCGCAGTTGAGTCGGGCTGGGGGAAAGATGGAAACAAAAGCCTGTCAAAGCGATTTGTTATTGGGAGGCTATTTCAAGCTCGAATCGTCTGTACGTCCGTTCTGGCATGAGCTCTCTGAATGTATGAACCAGCCATTGTTGCTAGAGGTCTGTACCATGATGCAAGTAGTTATTCGCAACGCCATACTTAATGTTTCTAGCCTACATACTCCGTACATTACCAACAATATTCGAATAAATACACACAGATTTACCAACATATTTTGCCTCCTCTCGTAGCATTTGAATGCGCCTGTGAGCCACAAAATATGCAGAAGCAAACAGCCTGACTCCAACCCTGGATCGAGGCGGTGCAGGGCGAACCTGGGGCTTGGCGGGCGAAGTGCGTTGATACGAAAACATGCTGCTAAACCCACGTCGCCCAAACATCAAAAACATGACTGTGTACGGAGTACCATGCACGTAGCAGAAGCACCCGTTACTATATTCAATCCATGGGATTCAATATTGACAGTTCCTTGGGCGCCACCGCGCTGCGGTGTAGTGCTATTATGAATCGCACAAAGACCCATGCGAAACATTTCTCTTTTGCTGTTTGCATCTCAAATTGATTGGCTGCACCCAATACCCCAGCGCCAAATGATGCTGTCCTTATGCAGCCTGCCGTCCAGGGCGGTAATGTCTCCCCCCCCTCAAGGTGGAGGCCTCTGGACGGAAGATGGAGGACGTGCAGGAAGGTATGCATTCAAAATGGTGTAGGCGCCGCAATTTTTACACTGGGTCCGCAGGTTTCGCACTGGAGACATCACTTCATCCCAGGACTCTGTATTTACCCCATACATATATTTTTACGAGCGGAATAACCGTCATCGGCCATTTTCTATTTTTTATGGAAGACGCCTCGATCCATTGAAAGTATGGACCCTATAACGGCCATAGGCTTGTTAGCATCCATCGCGAACCTTGTTACCGCCAGTGGACAGATAATAGAGTTAATAGGCACTTTCAAAGATGGAGAGAAAGAGCTTGCCGACCTCGCAAAAGACATTTCCATATTCCAAGAAATCCTCAAAGGCTTTGTTCGAGGACTGAGGAGTACCCAAACAAGGAACGCAATATCGAAAGACTTCCTCCAAAAAGCCGTTGAAGATGCTTCCGAAGCCATCAAAGAACTAGAGGCTCGAATCATACTCCTTTCTAAGCCCGAGAGTTCCACTGTTCGTCGAATAAAATGGGTACAGAATAAATCCAGTATAGTAAGGATTCATGGACGCATCAAACTACAGAGTGATTGCCTGCATATCCTTATGTCCCAAGCAAATTAGTTCGTACATTCTCGCCTTGTCTGCCAGAAATATACTGACCCATTCTGTCCTCTAGTGAGGCGCTCTTCGCTATGGTCAACCAAAATTCTCAGCTCCGAGAAGTCTGCGCAAATGTAGCAGCGGAATTGGAGAACGAATCACTGCACGGTGATGATGCAGACGGCTTTCCGGATAACTCTTTTAACTCATTGTTTATGAATACCTCGGCGAAGATGACCCAGGATACAAATCTCCTACCATATGGGAAGTTCGGTTCTCGACCTGAGAGTCTCAGTCTCTCGCATACAAGTTCGCGATCCTCGATTAGCAGCTCGATCTTCTCTTCTGGAACAAATAGCACATCTTCGTCCGCCCCTGATCCCGACGAATACAAACCAACCACGGCTCTAATCACAACCCAGTGCAAACCGTCGACCGCAATTCCATCGAATTCATTTACCATCCGCAAGGCATGTCGATATAATTGCTACTGTAAATGCCATACACGAAGCATAGCCGTGTCTAAGGAAAAAGTCGAGTGTACTGAGCCCGATTGCGCAGTTGCAATATTCTCCCCAAAACGGGTGGACCCTCCACGTTTTTTTAAGAAGGTTATTACTCGTTTAGTATCATCCCAAAGTGTGAGACCCCAATACAACTTGAGCAACTACCGAATGGTTCCTGAAGGGTCTGATGCAATGCGATATGTCAAACATGGAAATTTGGAAAAATTGAAACTCGCTATCCAACTTGGAGAAGCCACGTTATGGGATACAGCTCCTGACGGATGGTCCCTCCTTCATGTATGACATATCCCTCTATTGCTCTAGATAAAAGTGCTGACTTTGAATTATAGACTGCTGCCTATGCAAGAGAACTTCCAATTGTCAAATATCTATGCGAGCTTGGTGCCAACACCGAAGCTGGTGATCTCGGTGCACGGTTAGTTTTTATCCCATGGTCTAAGCCTAAGAAAAAAGCTAACAAGGTTATAATAGGAAGCCCGCTGATCTTGCTATTTTAAAGTCATTGGGTGTAGACGCTGGCAGAGTCGAAGAAGAGATTGTTCAGGTCTTTTCGAAAAAAGATGACTATATCAGTGATTTTGAGTTCACACCAATTCATATTGCTGTTCTCGATCTTTACGACCCTACAGACCGCGAACGCCCTTCTCTTGAAGAGCTTATAGAGTTCGTTGACAATGCTAACAATGCACCACCAGGCACTGACTGGTCTTCCTGGAAAGCCAAATATAAGAAGAGGTCACCGCTATTCTTATCAGTTATCGAGCAGTTTCGGGTTTCCTCGCTTGAAAACGCATCCACGCATAAGATCATACACAACTTGCTAGATCAAAAGGATAGGAAATTTCAATGGACGCCCTTACATTGGGCTAGCTCGACGGGGCGGTCGGATAAGATGAAAATTCTTATTGCTAAGGGCGCGGATCCTTTCATGCAATCAAACCTCAATGCCAACATCCTTCATGCGGCAGTAGAGTCAAACGCACTGGAAAGCCTATCTTATGCGCTCGAGATATGCAAGCTTTACCCTGATCAGCTTGATATCAACCAGGCCAATGTTTGGGGAGAGTCGCCATTGATCATGGCCGCCCAAGGTTGCCTTGTGGATTGTGTTAAGCTACTCATCAATGCTGGCGCGGATCGGAATGTTCGACAGGAAAACGAACAAGTGGCACTCCATTACGCCGGCCTTGCAAGCATGAGCAAAACCAGGCGTGAAACCGTCTCGCTACTCTGTGCAGGAGAGAATGAATATAGTCCCCATATTAATGCTCAAGACGAGGATGGCCGTACGCCGTTATTTGATTTGCTGGATGACCGCGAATGTGTGAAGATACTAGTCGAACACGGCGCAAGACTCGACGTATTGGACAACTCCGGTAAAAGCATATTCCATCATGCATGCATTCAGAACATGGACCAGACGTTGAAGCTCTTACTTCGCTTGATACCGGCGGAATCTTCGGTCAACCCGACGCAAAAAGACGCCGTAGGGGACACTGCACTTCTGACGGCTTTACGCCACGGCAATATCAGATGTGCAATGACGCTGCTGGAGCTCGACGTGGTGGGGGACATAGTTGGCCAAAATGGATGGACGGCGGTCCACCACGCGACCAAACTGGGCAACGCAGATTTGCTGGAAGCGGTCTTGAAACATCCGAGCTTCGTGAAGGGTATGAAGACCGACGATGGGAAAACGGCCCAGGATATCGCCATGGAAGCGGGAACTTGGTGTGGGCGAGTAAAGGACCTTCTGAGAAAGTACAACTCTACGGTGACATCATTACTTTCTACGGAGACGACACAAAATACAGCTTCTGCACCAATTCCGTGTATAAAACCCTAATACGGAGTATATAACTGGTTGCTCTTACACCTGTGGCCTCTTCATAGAGGGATAAATTCAGGATCTCCGGACAGGGCAATTGAAATCCGGCAGAGTTTGGGTTAGACAGGGGCTCCGAGCCAAAACCCCTATACCTTGCATCACTTCTCCACGCAGATGCTCCGTGATGGAGTGCTTCTTTGAATCGTGTGTGGACAGTGGAAACCCACTGGCAGGGAGCTCGGTTCAGTCTGTAGTAAGGCGTCTCGGCAGATGTGCGAAGTCTCGCGGCATCGACCGACCGAAACTCAGCTTGGGCGGGAGATCTGCGAGCGACCAGAGACAGAGAGAACACGTGATGTCAGTCTCTGACAGCAATGGATATAAACACAACTCCACCCGGAACAGAAGCAAAGATGCAAGGACAGCCTGAGAAGAGTGGAAAAGGTCGAGGGCTGCGGAGCCCACCGGGGCGATGGATAGAGATACCCTGGCGCTGATCGTCACAGCCTAAAGTTAAGAGGCGCCATTTTGAATGTTAGCGACGACACTAACCAATATTCTGCATATGGCTCCGTACTAACGGTCACCTAGTGCAGCTATGCTTCCGCTACATTGGCTTCCAACCTTTACTCTATCCTGAGGCTTAGTGGTTACAGATGACGTTAATCTCCGGAGCAGACAACCTGCAGAACCTCAAATCGACGTACGTGTGTTTTGGTTTTGTTAGTTTGCAGTTTGCAGGTTTACCTGGAACGGTTTATCGCCTCCTTCGAATCAAGGATTTATTATGAACATACAAAGGTCCTTCCCTGGTAGACCACCGGAGATCCAGTCTGATCTAATCCATCAACATGAGGACCGCTAATGTGCAAAATGAGCGGGAACACTGTTTCTGTGTCGTGCGAGACCCGCCTTCCATCGCCAATGATTCAAATTTCTATTCTCCATACCGTGTTGATATACTAGAGCTGGGACGGTGGAAAGCCGACCACAATTTCCCAACTAGGAATCTATACTGTCAATCATTCAATGCAGACTCAAGCAATGGAGCTGTCGCAATGCTCCATCATGGTGTATATTCCACTACCCAACACGGATGCCATTTGCGGGTTGATGTACGGAAATATACGGATGCAACTTAAACCGAAGAGGTTTCGAATTGTATCTGGTGGTGGTTCGTACGAGTCTCTAAAGTCGGGCGGGATATTAATATAAAAGGCAGGAGATTGCCCTTTTTCTCTTGCTTCTTTTCTTCATTCATCATCAACAACCTGGACTTGAAAGGGTAATCCTTATATATTATCTGCTGAGTACACCGGAGGAATCACAGATCATAGCCAAACATGCGCTTCACCCAAGTTCTGGCAGCTGCCCTCTGCCTGGGCGCCACTAAAGCTGCCCTGAGCCCCCTCGACAGAGCTCGCAAGGTCCTAGGAAACCAACATGCTTTCGACAAACGAGATGCTACACAACCCCTTGGTGACGCGGCAAAGGCCCCCAAACATTTGACCAAGAAATCGAAAAGTGAGCCTTCCTGTCCTGCCTACAGGTTTTCGACAAAATGCTAATCTCGTGAAAAAAAAAAAAAAAAAAGAGTTCTACGTTGAGCCAACTAGCGTTCCTGGCGTTCCGTTCAATATTGGCGAGTCATATGCTGGAAATCTAGCCAATACTCCGGCTGGAAACTCTAGCTTGTTCTTCTGGTACTTCCCGTCAGAAAATCCAGCTGCTAAAAACGAAATCACCATTTGGCTCAATGGTGGCCCAGGATGCAGCTCTATGATCGGGCTTCTTCAGGAGAACGGGCCCTTCATGTGGCAGCCTGGCACTGATGGCCCGGTTCCAAACCCTTACGCCTGGTCTAAGCTGACCAACGTGGTATGGATTGACCAGCCTGCTGGAACTGGCTTTTCCCCTGGCCCACCTACCGTCAAGGATGAGGTCGACGTTGCAAACCAGTTCAGTGACTTCTGGAAGAGGTTCATGGACACCTTTGAACTCAACCACAGTGATGTCTACCTCGCTGGCGAGAGCTATGCTGGTCAATATATTCCTTACATTGCTAGCGAGATGTTGGACAGGAAGGACACCGAGTACTTCAATGTCCAGGGTATTACTATCATTGACCCTTCCATTGGCGCCACTAAAGTCATAATCGATGGTGAGTTATGTTATAACCCTTCTGTTTATGCATAAGATTTCTTGCTAATATATTACCCCAGCCCCATCTGTTCCAGCAATGCACCGCTTCAACAACGTTCTCAGCTTGAATGAGACGTTTGTCAGCGATATTACGAAGAAATGGGAGGGTTGCGGATATAAGAAATTTATGGAAGATGCTTTGAAATTCCCTCCAGCTGGCCTACTCGCTCTACCTGAAGAGTCTGAAGGCTGTGACGTCTGGGACGAAATCATCGCCGCTGTGAAGGCCGTCAACCCATGCTTCAATATCTACCACCTCAAGGATAACTGCCCAACCCCGTCCAACGTTATGAACGGACCAAATAACTTCTTCAACAACAAGCATATCCAAGAAGCACTCCACGCCCACCCAACCGACTACCGTCTTTGCGGAGAGTCTGAAATCTTTGGCCCCCTCCGTAACGATAGGTCTGTCCCCAGCTCCTATGGCCCATTGGCCAGCGTCGTTGAAAGGACAAACAACACCATCATCGCCCACGGTGATCTTGACTTCCTTCTTTTCACTGAGGGCAGTTTGGCCTCTATCCAAAACATGACCTGGGGCGGTCTCCAGGGCTTCCAGGAAGAGCCATCTAACCAGTTCTATGTTCCATACGATGAGGAAACCCACACTGGTGGCGCTGGAAATGTTGGAAAAACCCATACTGAGCGTGGTCTCACATGGGCCACTGTTGATCTCGCTGGACATGGTATGTTACATCTTATTTTTTCTCTCATAATAGTAAGAAACATTCACTAACATTGCCTTTCTTTAGAAATCCCACAGTACGCTCCTAGCGCTGGATACCGACTCCTTGAGTTCATGCTCGGAAGAGTCAAGAGCTTGACTGAGACCAACTAGGGTATACATTCACCCTTCACTGTATATAGATTTTTAGATTTGGCGCAAAAAAGTCCCCTAGTACATAGATAGATTTGGATCACACTCGTTTAATAAATAATACTTCATTCTAAATAAATAGCGTTCTTCAAAGCATACATCTAGACTACAAGATACTTACCTCACTCGTACAACGATGTACAACAGAGTTCTATTTGAAAGATAATGAGTAAACTAGAAGAGCTGTGACTTATTAACAACTAAATAAGTATCATCATATATAGGGTGTATTAAAGCCCAGCAATCTTAATACAATTAATAAATCATAGACTAGGGAAATGGGTTGTGTCAGAAGCAGCATATACACAAAACCATAGAAGTCCAGCTTAAAGATAAAAGTCAAGTAAGCTGTGGGAGTGGGTAGGATAACACAGAAACAGAAGACGCTATCTTAAAACATATCATATATGGATAGACGTGGTTTGCCACAAATTAGGATCCTCATACCAACCATCCCCCGGCCAATAAATCATCAGGACAGCTATACAATGGAGTGCGGTCATAGTGTCACTTCTTCCATCTCTGCTTCATCAGTACTAGCTCCTTTAGTTTTTGCCTCCCCTGATTCTGTTTTGGACAGTTTCTGTTCTGAGCTTGGGGATTGTGATTTAACATTGTCTTTTGCACCATTTGAACTAGCTTGAGAATTTATGTTATTCTCATCTAGTTGTCCATGTGTCGGCTCTTTGCCATCACCATTCTTCAAAGTACCATTTTCTGGCATTTCCTGGCTGCTTTCTCTTTCTTCCTCCTCGTCTTCTTCGTCCTCGTCTTCTTCATCGTCATCATCATCATCATTGTTATTGACCGAAGGGGGACTTGGAAGGTCCTTCAAAGCCCCATTATCATCACCCTTTGGCGGAGGAGGTGGTGGGGAATCACCCTCCGGTCTTAGGCCGTTTGGAACTTCACTCCTTGGGCCGCCTGGGAACGGGGTAACCGGTGGATGCTGATTGTTCTCAGGTGATGATCGAGAGTTAGCTGTGCTGTTTTGGCGCCCATGCGTTGGCAGGCTCAGAATCGAGTTTTTCTTATTTTGCTGAGCGCCGACTCCAGGGCCAATTTGTCTTAATTTCGGATCAGCATTTAAATAATAACCTCTCACGCTCACAATCGTGCCTTCACGCTCACATCCTTCCACCCACTCTGGGCGAACAACGGGAATGTTCATCTCAACCGCCTTTTCCCAAGCTTGGCCTCTACCTTCTGTACAGACGAAGTGTGTGGTATCGATACGGACAGTATCGATCAGTTTTGCCCCAATGCGGTCCACAGCTTGTGCTAGAGACTCTTTTAGGTTGGCTGGCAATATTCCGGCGGTAACAGTGATTCCGGACAAATCGGTCATCTTATGAGTTCGACAAACGAGCTTCTCAGAGCTAAACATGCCGGCCGATGTTCGAAGGATAAGTTGGAAGGTATATTCGGTATCAATCGCAAGACCGCTAATCTTTGTGCTAAGCATCTCCAGCGGTCGTGGGATTGATCCCGCTTTCGAGCCATTGCGGTAAAGAGAGAGAGATTTGAGTGAGGCTGTAGCCAACTGTATAGGATCCCATTCTAAGACCAACGAGGTCTGCGTCGCATTCTTTAGGCGCAATACAGGAGGAGAAGGTGTGTTGATTCCATAAGTATTAAGGATTTTATCTTGTAACGCTTTAGAAGCAGCTTGATCCGCAGCTTCGGCAGCTTCGTTTGGAGATACGGTGATGTCAACTATGCTGCCAGATGTGATATTCCTGGGAAGCAGCACAGACGGGAACTCAATCTAGAGAAAACCCAAGTTAGCTACTGGACAGAGCATGTCTATCAATGGGTACAGACTCAGTCAACAGCGCTATGGGGAGAGTATAGCAAGCATACCAGTCGATTATCTTCTGTGAGGAGGACTGCAACGCCAGCGTCGACTTTCCCAACGGTCAGGGAGACCAACATCGTCTACCACCTCCTCAAACGTCAAGAACGGCGATATAGCAAGGAATACCTATGTGATGGCAGCCACTGAATTGCACGCAGCTCAAGTATACTCGAAATATTTATCTCGTATCGTCAAGGGCCGACTGTGGTCTCTAGCATCGAAAAGAGCTTCACCATCGCCTGGCATCAACATGAGTTACGTAATCAGGACAGACAACCCAAGGTGGGCGGTGCTCGTCGCCGCTTTAGGGAGAAGTACCTGCCGCCCTAGCGTGTATAACTAAGTAAGTCGAGCTTGCTTCAACGGCGTTTTTGATACTCCCAAGACACCACTTCAAGCACTATCTCGATATATGCTGTGAGGCGGGCCTTTGTATACCTCATATTATAGCTTGAGCCGGATCAAGTCTTTATCTCACTGCCGTGTGCATAGTCTCTTTGGATCACGTGGCTTCCCGCCACTTTCGTGTCGTCCGTTAATTGGAATCTGTCGACGCGCGAGACAGGCATCCCATATGTCGTCCACACAGCTGAATTCTTTGGTTAAATTGTCTCTGCCATTAGTATGTTTTCAATTACTCGATGGTTGATCATTTAGTCTGAGCTCTAATCATTTAGTTGTAGCAATATCAACAAAACCTGCTCAATGAACTGCGATCTGAGGATGAGCTTGTAATCTTGGCCCAGGGTTTAGGCTTGCTCAGAATAATAACTAATTTACTGCACACCTACGATGCTGCTGGTAATAACTTGGTTCTCTTAGTTGGAGCTACGGACCGCGAGAATGAATGGATTGGAGAAGGTTCGTTGGACAATATTGATACCCTGTCTGTACATGCCGATACTGATGATTTGAGGCAGCATTGGCGGAACATTATGCCGTCAGCAAGTCACCCTTGGCTAGGGGACTTAAGGTCATCAATACTGACCGGGCTACCGTTCCCATGAGGTACGATACCCCTTCACATACGTATGGACTGGTTAATGTTAATATTCTAAAGGCATAAACTCTACTCTGAAGGAGGAATCATCAGCGTTACCTCGCGTATCCTAGTCGTCGATCTACTTTCCAGTATGTTGGAGTCCCTTAATATTCCCTATGCTGTTGACCTCTCTCTGATGCGGCGTGTTAGGGCTTCTCGACTCAAAACTGATCACAGGAATGATCGTACTCCATGCTGAGAAGTAGGCTTGATACCCAGAGGAGAGTGATATCTACCTTTTGCTAAAATACTTTACAGGGTTGTTGCTACCGCCCTTGAGGCCTTTATCATCCGGATATATAGGCAGTTTAACAAGGTTGAAATGTTGAAAGCATTCTCAGATACCCCGGAGCCATTTACAACTGGATTTGCACCGTTATCAAACATGCTACGGAACCTGTTCCTTCAAAAAACTTCCTTGTGGCCAAGATTCCAAGTCACTGTTGCGGAGTCCCTGGAAGGCCACAGAAAAGCCGAAGTGATTGAATTAGAAGTACCAATGACTGACAAAATGAGAGAAATCCAGAATGCAGTATTAGAATGCGTCGAAGCAAACATCAGAGAGCTCAAAAAGTCTAATACTGGTTTAGACATTGGAGATGACTGGACAGTGGACAGTGCGCTTCACAAGAATTTTGATATCGCGATTCGACGGCAGCTGGACCCAGTGTGGCATCGTGTTACCTTTAGAACCAGACAAATCGCCAGCGATCTAACGGTTCTCAGATCTATTCTCCAGTCAGCCTACCCCCTTTTGACTATTTTGATTTTATGGATATACGCTAATGAGTCCTAATGTTTAGCTCTTTATTAACCTTTGATGCTGTTTCGTTGAATAAATATCTAGACACCGTTATAAGCGCTCACTCAGCTCCCGCTGGGTCTACAAAACAGAATTACTCACCCTGGCTATTCCTTGATGCCGCTCATGTGCTCTTCGAAGCCGCAAAGTCACGAGTATACCGGAAGAAAACCCAAGAAAAGGGTAACAAAGCTTCATCTGACGACATCTTCAATGGAATAGAACCTGTTCTAGAGGAGCAGCCTAAATGGGCTGTGCTTGCGGAAGTACTTGAAGAAATCGAACAGGACACATATTTAAATCCTGCTCCTCCTGATTCCTCCAACAACGCAATTCTCATCATGTGTAGTGACCAACAAACTTGCCGACAGGTTCGCGAGTACCTCTCGACCATGCACAGTAGGGATGAAACCTTTGATGAAAAGAAAGAGGGCGAGAATGATATATCCGATGAAGATGACCACAAACCATCAGCTGATACCATGATGCGAAGAAAACTTCGTGACTATCTCTTCTGGAAGAGAAACCTCTCGAGGGTGAACGATCATTTATACGGTGTTAAACCTAAGGAAAAAGGCATCGCCGAAGTTCCAGGCTATACCTCAATGAGCACGCCCCAGAATTACTCAGGACGAGGTCCCCCGAATAAAAGAAGGCGCGTCCGTGGCGGTAGTTCTACCGCAGCCGCAGCCTCAGCTGCAAGACAGGCTCATGGGAGCGTCCAGGTAGATACTGAAGGTATTTCAGAAGCAGCAGCTCTCTCGGAAGAGGCAATACAGCAGGCAATCTTGGAAGAAGTGCAATATATTACCTTAGATGATGATCTTGAAGACATGGATCGTTACTATGAGCTATACGATGTAAATGACCTACTTGTCATTCACCATTACGATGGAGACATGGATGAACATGTGCTCGAGGAACTGCGGCCAAGGTATATTATCATGTATGAGCCGGATGCAGCGTTTATTCGACGGGTTGAGGTATATCGAAGTTCCCACCAAGACCGGAATGTACGGGTTTATTTTATGTATTATGGTGAGTCTGTGGAGGAGCAACGATACTTAAGTGCCATCCGACGTGAGAAGGATGCATTCACAAAATTGATCCACGAAAAAGGGGTGCGTACCAGTTCAGACCCTTTATACATCTGCTTTTAACTAACAGAATCTGTAGGCAATGGCCCTCACTCTCGTACATGACAAAAGCCAGGAAGATCCCCAAGAACAATTCTTACGAACGGTGAATACACGAATTGCAGGAGGCGGTCGTCTTGCAGCCACCGCAGCTCCTCCCACTGTGGTTGTGGATGTTCGAGAATTCCGAAGCGCGCTTCCGTCGCTGCTCCATGGTCGAAGTATGGTTGTGGTCCCGTGTCAACTGACAGTAGGGGACTACATCATATCCCCTGATATCTGCGTGGAGCGTAAGTCAGTACGGGACTTGATCAGCTCACTGAAAAACGGCCGATTATACACCCAAGCGGAAACTATGCTACAACACTACACCCAGCCAATGCTCCTGATCGAGTTCGATCAGAATAAAGCCTTCACCTTTGACGCGTTTACCTCTTCTGCTACTCCTGCTACTTTCGTTGCTGATAACGCTACGGCGTTTACAACGCCTAGCTTTGGTTCTGGAAACATGATTAACCCAGCCAACCCTAAGTCTGCACAGCATCTGCTGGTACTATTAACACTGGCCTTTCCTCGCCTGAAGATTATCTGGTCGTCTTCTCCCTACCAGACGGCGGAGATATTTGCTGAGCTGAAAAAGAACAACCCTGAGCCTGATCCGATACGGGCCGTTCAAATTGGTCTCGACATCAATATTTCCGGCTTCGATACGCCGACTGGACAGCCGGGAGATATGATGGCTGCAGCGGGGATAGAACATCGCATATTCTCTCTGCTACCGCAGGATATGATACGCGCGGTTCCAGGGGTAGAACCAAAAGTCCTCGAGCGCCTTATCCTTGAAACAAAAAATATCCACGAAGTGGCGAACATGACTATTGAACACCTTGAGCCACTGGTAGGGAAAGAAGCAGCCAGGAAGATAGTCAAGTTCTTTACACGGAGTGTCTTCGACGCTGAGATGGTGCATGAAACGTGATTGTACATGTACAAGGGAGCAACTTTATAGGTTCATATCAATTTTCATCTCTTTCATTATCTATACTTCAGTTTTAAAAAGGGGTAACCGAATGGTAAGGCCCACTGGACAACAGTAACGTAAGAAGGTAAGAAGAAAACGAGGCATGTGAAGGAGAGCAACATGAATGGGATAGATTTTACCATAACCGTTGGACACCACGCTTCAACATTCCAGGGCATGATATAATAAAAAAGAGGAGACGCATAGCGACGATGAAGCAGAGGTAAAAGTAAGCAAGGAAATCGTGAATGAAAACCGTCGTAGTTGTTGAGTGAGCACGTATTTGTCGACTGCCATCTGAGCAGAGAGAGGTCCCCCGCGGTACGAACGAACCATGAAGGTGGCATATAAACACTCGCAGCCCCAGATAAGCTTCCGTATCCTGTGGCTATGTTCCTTCAGCGACGTCCGACCAGGTAACCGATCTTCTTTCTCGATGGGCATTACTCCTAAATCCAATAAAGAAGAGCCTTCATCATCCGGCCGAGATTTAGAGCCACTGGAAAGAAAACCATGATGTCCTCGTTTTTCTTAATGGACAGTGGCGGCCGAGTAGATGCCGCTGCTTGAATAGTAGGAATAATCCATCGAGCGAGGACGCGCCGCATTTGGCGGATGGTAGTTCAGATCTCGTCGACATCGATCTCCTTGTCGTCGCTGCTGTCATCACGGTCCTCGTCGAACTCGACGTTGTCGTCAACACCCTCATGGCCGTAGCTGGAAAGGAAAGTGTTAGCGATATCAACCTGACAGCAAAAAAAAAAAAAAGAAAGAAAAGAAAAGAAAATGGGGGCAAAGGGGTGAACATACGTATCGGTCTCGTTGATTTTGGCACTCTCGGGCAGTTCACCGTATGCCTTCAAGCTTCTGGCCTCGTCGGCGTTGTACTTAAGGATGACATCGCCCTTTTCGTCCTGGTAGTCTCGGAGCGAGAGGAGGATGATATCTCCCTGGTTGATCCAGACCTTCTTGCGGAGCTTGCCTCGGATATGAGCAAGACGTTTTTCTCCGTCGAAGCAGAGAGCTTCTAATCGGCCGTTACCCAACATCTTGACGACCTGGGCATATTCCTGGCCTTCCTCCTTGAAGGTCAACTCGCGCTTCTCGTTGTCGTTCTCGTTCTTTCCACGACGTCTGTTTTTACCACCCTACAGAGCAAGAGTTAGCAAGGATCAAATAAGCAGCATAGCTCTATAGACATCTTTGTAGCCAGCCTCTACACCGACCCGGGAGACATGGAGGGATAGGAGGACAGGAGGGACGGGAAGGACATGGACAGGGCAGGATAAGTTGGTGCTTATCGTGGGCGCCGTTGCGGGGTCAAAATGACGATAAAGAGCAGTCATACCTTTCCCTTATTCTTCGGCATTCTGACGACGAGCTACTGAGCAGCAGACGACTTGATAGAGTGTGCAGAGACCTGTAGATATTCGCAGCGACAGCGACGATGACGGGGCGAGTTCGTGATAAGGGCTAAAATTCAGAGTGGGCGGCCTGATTATATTTATGGCTTTCTTAGTGGGGGAAGAAACCGCGCTGGAGTCGCCACACGTGAGATGCTGACTCAGCTACTCTATGATGTGAATATAGAGTAGAAGATAATGATAGAAGAGAATATAGGAGGTAGAGAAGATAGAGGAGAATATGATAGAAGAGGAGAAGAAGATGAAGAAGAAGGAGGGGGAGAAGAGAAGGGAGAAGAGATAGTTTGTATGGCTCTTGATATCGATGCAAGTCTAGTATGCCTTGACGCCGAGGCTGCCTTGAGAGCTATACTTGGAACAGCTGCTACTTGATTATAGATATAATATTATACATACGGAGTTCTGCGTATCATAGATGCAATGAATATAATGATGCGAATATGCTGAACATGAAAAGGTGATACGGAAAAACGTTAATCCAGCTTTATATGAGGTCGGTTTTTCAGTTCACGCAGCTAGGTACGATTCACAGCAGCCGAACGCCGAATTGAAACTGCGAGGGAAGCCTCTCTCCGTCGACAAGATGGCCAAGGGACAGAAAGCATGTTCGTGGAACGTTGGGATGAGCAACCTGGGAGTCAATGCTCGCTGTTTTCTCGCAAGATACTCGCCCAAAAACATCGATTCCCCGTTCACCAGGAGGATGAGACTGACCAAGCCCATCATGGACCCAAAATTCGACCATATGCTCGAAACCAGAGAGAAAGACATCATATGGACATCTATTTCCCTCGGCAGCCCCGCTGATACTGCATCGGTTGCCCGTTCGTTTTACGCACGACAGTTCAAGTCCGCCTTCTGCGAAGCCTTGGAGAGCCGCGGATACGACAAGGACGGGAGACGGCTCGTCCTTGACTCAGAAGGGAAGGTTATTGGGAAGAGCAAACCGGGCCTGTCGTGTACAATCCAGATCATCTTGAACCCGCCGATTAAACATGCCGAACGGGAGGAGCTTGTCAAGGAAGCTGGAGTTCTAGTTCAGGAGCTGGAGAGATTGCAGGAGAAGCCGTGGCTGCTTCACGAAGGACGCCAGGCAGCGAAACTACGCAATACACGGAAGACCTAGGGTTAGATATGTCGTCTACGTTCGTTGAGAAGCCCGCCAACGAACTCGATCCTCCAGTCGACCATACAACATCAAGGCCTACAGCAACGAGCCAGTCCTTGTTCATGTACGGAAGCATGGACTCACCGGAATGTCTTCATATCGAAGCATTATATTTTGGCAGCAGGAGTACCCCAACACTCAAGCCATGCAAATATATACAACTGTTAAGACCATGGTTATTGATCCCGCCAGAGTATGTGCAGGCTAACCGCCTACACGTATTCTATGGCTTGCGCCTCAACAGGGTATCCTTGACGCTGTTGACGCCGGTAGCCGCGTGGAGGCTCTCGTCACCTCACAGGTGATGGAGTGTCTATGAATGCTCATAACCATTCGTCTATGCCTTGCCGCTGGGTTGTGGTATACAAGTGTCCCAGGACGAAGACCGGGTGAGTTCTCCCCCAAGCCTAGGATATATCAACTATCAACTATATATGCCAGTGGCATGCTCTTATCAACTATCTACCTCTCCATAATAACTACATTTCAGCCTAGAAATAGCGGCATCCCGCGTAGTCCGTAGATAAATATACATACACCTGCGTAATCGCCCAAAAGCCGCGGAGGCTTGGCACCTCCAAGCCTCTTGAAGGCAAAACGTCAACTCGAAAGCTGAAATCAACCCAACAAGCGACGAACAACCACCACTGCCACACGCTCACCGTGCGATTCATCGAGACCGGAAGCTCTCAGCCTGTATTCACGTTGAGAATGAGCCCGAATACCTGAACCTGCTTCACGATCGCCGATATTCCTCACACACGACCAATATAATACCAACAACTCCTCAGGACTTTGACCGTCCACCATGCCCTCCATTCTCACCGACGCAGATAAAGAAACAGTTAGACGAACTGTTCCGAAGCCGTCAAGTAAGATTCTCGCAGTTGCAGTAGCTAGACTCTACGTTGCGCTCCCAAACTCTCAGAAATGGACATATACCGGGCTGCAAGGCGCCGCCGTGCTCGCGAATGACTTGGTTGGGCATACATTCTGGATAAAACTGGTTGATGTCTCGGTATGGCCCTTTTTTTTCTTCCTTTTCTTTTTAATATAGGTTATATTCTTTGCGCTGGGCTGTAGACTAATGTTTGTATCATATCGGTATAGCCTGCAGGCAGAGGGATTCTATGGGACCAGGAAATCTACGATGGATTCGCATATAACCAGGATAGAACATTCTTCCACACATTCGAGCTTGAAGACTGCCTTGCTGGCCTATCGTTTGCAGACGAAAAGGAAGCTAAAACGTTTATGAAGAAAGTGCTGGAACGAGAGAAGAGTGCCAGCAAAGAGACCAAGGCCACACCCTTCTCTGCCCCTCGCGGTCAGGCACCGGCACCAGTATCGAACGGCAAAAGCCATGGTCGGTTTGGCATAGTGGGCAGCCTCTTACACGGCCATCGATCTTCTTCAGCGCCAAATCCTCCAGAGTCCGCTGCTGCTCCAAGACAACGGCCGACCAATGCTCCGCCCGCTGCCCCTACGAGCGATGAGAAGGCATCTTCGCCGCTCGATACCGTGGACCCGTCATGGAGAGGCCTCCTTGATGAGTTGAAGGCTATGGGTATTACAGAAGAGCAGATAGCAGAGAACTCAGATTTTATCAAAGCATATATCGAACAGAAGCAACAAGCCAACGAACTCGACGGCGCCGGCGCAGAGAGTACCTCGCAAGACGCAGCGAAGAGATCAAAGGCGCCTCCTCCACCTCCCCCATCAGCTCCGCCACCGCAAATATCCAAATCTCAACCCATCAGCCCGCAGAATACCGGTCGACGGGGAGCTCCTCCGCCCCCGCCTCCGACCAGACGAGCTCGACCAGATGCTCCTCCCTCTCCGCCCCCTCCAAGGGAACAATCACCACCACCATCTCCCCAGCGAGAGCCGTCTCCTCCACGGCCAAGGTTCCGAGCACCTCCTCCAATCGCGGATGCCGGCAAATATGCCCATCTCCCTGGACCTACTCCACCAACACGGAATCGTGCTTCGTCTGGCTCAAATTTAGCCAACCCTGGGCCTCCTCCACCTCCACGGCCCCCGAAAACTCCAGAAGACAACCGTTCTTCAATCCAATCCAACCGAAAGGTATCAGCACCTGTCCCTCCTCCAAGCCGATTGCCAGCTCCTCTCCCACCGCGCGGCGATTCAAGCTCGATATCTCCGCCGCCATTACCTCCAAAGACACCGCATGCTACTCACGTTTCACCACCGCCGCCCCCTCCGCCTCCTCCGCAGCGAAGTCCAGCTCCTCCATCTCCACCTCCACGACAGGTCCCCTCAATATCTGCGCCATCTCATCCTCCGCCTCCACCATTACCTACTATCAATGCGCCTGTACCACCTCCTCCACCACCTCCACTCCCGCATACATCTACTTCCGTGCCAGTAGCACCTCCTCCGCCTCCACCACCACCACCTCCTCCAGTATCAGGCGGACCATCTGCGCCTCCGCCTCCGCCCCCTCCCCCACCACCTGGTGGCTCTGCGCCTGCTCTACACAAACCCGCTGCGGATAAGGATGACTTATTAGCCTCGATCCGAGCTTCTAGCGGACGTGGCCTACGAAAAGTAAGTGAAACAGAAAAGCGTGATCGAAGCGCGGCTATTGTTCCAGGTAGCGCTGGGGATACGCCATCTGCTGGATCGCCTGCGCCTGCTGGAGGAATGATGGGAGCAATACAAGATGCTCTAGCCAAGCGGAAGAAGAAAGTCAGCGCAAGTGGTAAGTTTTTCTATCAGCCCCTAATAAACATATACTACACAATGAGCTAACTGGCTACAGATGACGAGAAATCAGACGACGAGTGGTGATCCTGCTGAGCATTTAAATGGGAAGAAAAAAGGGGTTTAATTCTAGCATTTCATCGCATCCAGCCCTTGTACAAAGCGTCTCCCATCCGTAGGCTTGCCTATACCTTCCTTCTAGCATACTCCCTTGTGGTCTATGGATTGCAATACGGAGTAAACATCTACCATTTACCCCTTTTTTTACAATATTATCGCCCTTGTAGAAGCCCAAAATGCAGGACGGAAGCGGTGAAATGTTAATCCGTGATAGCGTCACTACATCCGAAAATTGAATCTTCAACCAAAACGCAGAAGAAGGACGATGTTCGCAAGTAAGATCACCGACTTATACCTTGGGCTTGAGCTTGCGGAACCTGGGTGATCGGGCTGAGAGATGGCTTCTCCGTCTTCTGTGAAGACAGTAGCTCCATCTTCGAACCTCCTTCGCTACCTCCGCTGCCAATTCGACCACTCGCAAGTTCGTCCAAAAGTTTCCAACCCCCGGCGATGGAGCTCAAACCAGGCTTGCCCCGGCCCGCTACAATCCTCATGGTCATCACAGTCGTCTAATGCGGTATATGCGACAAGATGCCAGCCTTCGCTCGTTAAGTCGTCGTTGATTTCATGGTCGTCGACACTACGCCGTCGTCCTTTATACGCCAACCGCTACCAGTTTCAGGGTACAAATGGCGTCCGATCATTCAGTATTACTACTATAAAGTGTCGACACTTCCTACGACGACTGCTAGGATTTTCACGGACGAACGCCAGCTCACAGTTAAAGCCGGATGATCTCCCCGCAACCACCTCGAATTTTGACGACGGGAATGAGAGTAACCCTTTCAATGTTGGGCGCAACTTGGCCCTAAAAGTATCGAATGAGCCTCGGCTTCGGTGTACAGAGTTTGACGGGGTCGGGAATGTCACTCTTGTGAATGGGGAATTCAAGAAGAGCGAGCTAATCGCCAAAGTACGTTCTCTATACAGGCCTTTATGGGGTTTTATTTCATTGGGAAATCTGTTCTAATTTACCCGTTATAGTATGGACTTCTCCCTCGAGACTTGAGGAAAATCGACTCCTCTGTTCTGCCGCACATTCTTATCCGCCACAGCGCAATACTTATCAGCCTCCTCCATCTGAGGGTTCTCATCAAATCCGATCGTGTACTTGTGTTCGATGCCTATGGTTCGACAGACACTTATACCCAATCCCTGTTCATGTACGACCTTGAGGGGAAATTAAGGCAGAAAGAGCCAGCTTCACGACAGGCTTGGACTTCAGGCGCTTTGCCGTATGAGTTCCGAGCTCTTGAAGCAGTGCTTGTAAGCATCACTAGCGGACTTGAAGCAGAATTTGAAGGCGTTAGGGAGCCAGTTGCTAGAGTCCTTCGAGCACTTGAAGAGGATATCGACCGAGACAAGCTCAGGCATCTTTTGGTTTATTCTAAACGCCTCGGAACTTTCGAACAGAAGGCTAGACTGGTACGGGATGCAATTGATGATCTGTTAGAGGCAGATGATGATCTTACAGCGATGTACCTCTCTGAGCGAGCGAAAGATATACATAGAGCTGAACATGATCACCAAGAAGTCGAGATGCTTTTGGAATCGTATCACAAGGTCTGTGACGAGATTGTTCAGGCGAGCGGGAATCTGGTCACCAATATCAGAAACACGGAAGAAATGTAAGCCTTCCTTAGTATGCGGCTAAATTGGACTAAATTGCTAATTCCAAATAGTGTCAAAGCGATTCTTGACGCCAACCGCAACTCTCTCATGTTGCTCGAACTTAAATTCAGCATTGGCACCCTAGGATTAGCAGCAGGAACCCTCTTCTCAGCACTATACGGGATGAACCTGAAAAACTTTATCGAAGAGTCAGACCTTGGATTTGGTGGTGTTTCTGCTATATGTTTCACCTTGACTGCGTTCGTGTGCACCTACGGCCTCATAAAACTACGCAAAGTCCAACGAGTCCGTATGTGGGGAGAAAACGGTATACAGGATTCCTACAGGGGAGGCCTGGCTGTGCGGAGCTGCCCTCCGCCTGCTTCTCAGAGCAACTGGAGATCTGATTCCATTGGTCCTGTTTTCCCCGGCGAGGAACGTACACAACGACTACGTCGGTTACGTGGTGCGGCTACTCCCTCGGCGGCAGCTGCTTCTCCAGCAGCAGCTGCAGCAGCAAGCAAACTAAAGAATTCGGTCAAATCCAAGAAAAAACAGAATCGCACCGAGCCCGATACCCAGGAGCCGATACAGGAGGAAGTCATTCAAGGCTCATCCCTTGGCTCGGCGGCTCGCTAGCATTTCACATATCACCATTCCTGCCATTCTTGTACTCTCTAAGCAAGTAGCATCTTTCTCCTCTTACCCTGAATTCCCTTATACCCTGTTCATTGTCTAGCGTTCCTAGGAATCGCCTCTCCCCTTACAGAACATTTAATATGCGTCTTGTTCATTATTTAGATCTCTCTGTTATCTATACTACAGTCACTTTGGGTACGCGAGGGGCGTATATTTGGCGTTTCAGGGACTTGGGTTGCGGTTCATTTTGTATTAATTTAATGATATAGAAGAATGTATAATAACGTACTAGAATTATGTCTTATCACGAGAAACACCGTTTGATGAGTATATCAATTGTCTGAATAAAAAATATATTGTAGATAAGATTCATTCATTCGTTCAGTCATTTAGGTAATATCAAGTAGATTCGGTGAATCTGAATATCCCGATAAGGAGAAAAGAAAATAGATGGTGTCACCAGTGTAGATTTAAATAATGACGGTGAGGCCGGGATCCTACTCGCCGGCTAGAGCTAGAAGCTCTATATAATGTACTTTAAAGCAAAAGTAAAGAAAAAATATATGTCATAATCATTATAGGGAATGTAAAGAGTGAAGATTTATCTCAAAGTTATAACATCGCCAGCGCGGTGATGGGGTTCAATGCGCTGCCGACGAGCTCTCTCCTTAGCTGTACTGGGAGAAGTAGATGGTCGTGCTAGGAATCTACCTTGCACCGATAGTCTAGAAGTGGTAGTGGACGAAGACGAAATTTCGCCGGAATTAGGGGAAATGGTTGAACGTCTGGTTTCGCTCCTAATAGCGGTAGCAGAGGCGGTAGCCATGCCAGAACCACTATCGTATGAAGCACGATATAGATTGAGCATGTCAATGATTTCATCGCTAACGCCATCGCCAGTTGAGGAGCGGGAGAGTCCCTTGCGATCCCGTTGGGCGTCACATTTAGCACCAACCTCAAGCGCAGAAAGTAAGGCGGATTGAAGCATCTTGTTTTGGCGTTCGAGGTAGAAGACGCGGTCTTGTAGGAATTGTTGTTGATGTGATGGAGTTGCTAGGGATGATTCGGAGGTTGGAAAGTAGTATTTGAAGGAGGTAGGAGAGTATGGAGATAAAAGAGAGTCAGGGTCGCCAGTACGAGTTGCGTTTGCGCCTGGTGGTGTAAGAGGGAAGGCTTCATCGTGAGAAAATTTACGAGCCATGGTACTGTTGTCAAGTTTGAGAGGCGAGTTTTGACGGTTTCGGTTAGGATTTGATCGTGTAGACCGCCTTGACTTGCCGCTATGGGCTCTGGTCCCCATACCTTCATCATCCGATGATGGTAGTGATGGTGAAACTGGACGTGATACGCTCTCCAAGGCTCGCAGTCCAGCCACGCTTCGCGGGCTCATCAATGATGGCTTTTGAGGTACGGGAGCAGGGAATGACTGCGAGTGCCGGGGGCTGCTCGGTAAGGATCCTCCAGCTAATATGGAGAATGCATTATGTTTATGCCTAAATGACCTTTCCCTCATGGCTCGGTCTGTAAAGACGGAGCCATCTGGCATAATTGTCCTTAAAGGCGACCCGCCAACAGAAGACTTGGCAGCAGAATCACAATGAGATCCTTCCGCCGTATCCTTTGATACGGTGGATTGGATTGTGGGCGTGGCAAAACCGATGGGAGAGGATGCAGACTCTTCGCTACTTCTTGAGCTCCCATGTAGTGAGGTGTTGCAATTGAGGATCGCTGGTGAGCTGGCCTGTCGACCTCTAACGGCGTCAACGGTTTGCGGCGCAGATAAGCCTTTGTTCGATCCTTTTAGCGCAGCTCGGGCGGCAGCAACATCTCTCATCCTTAAAGCATGAATATTCTCCAACCTGCTAGCGTTTCGAACAGGCACAGTGGGAAAATGAGCTGGAAGAACTTTGGGTCCCGCGTCTGAACTTCCCTTTTTCTCGATCGAGATTTCTGGAGCACTGTTCGTTGGAGACTTTGGAGAGTCCCCAGTAGAGGATGGGTTGGTGGATGTGCCGTTACAGATGGTTGGCACAGGTGTAGATGGCACAGACTTTGAAGTACAGTGCTGCGGTTGGTCGTTGTCCTCAGATTTATGAGATGGATTTTGCCACGTAAGAGGGGAGGTGAGTGCACTACTGCTTGCAGAACCAGACAATGCAGACACCGAGAAAACATTGGACGATGGGGTAGATGATGGCTCCGACGAGACGGAGTACTTTCTGGAGCTATCAATTGTTACAGGGATTAGTTTTCGGGATTTCGATCCAGACTGGGTCGATGAATCTAGGTTTTCGCTGGAGTCAACTGGGTCAATCGATGCAGGTTTGTCGGTACTCTCGAAGCTATCTGGGTAGTTGATAGCGTGATCCTCAGATATAGGGCAAGATAATCGACAACAGAGGCTGCTGAAATCGGTTCGTCCAGCCCTTCGGGCTTTTCGACTCGAGGTCCTTTCTGGAAGGCATTGGACGTCAATGAAGGTCGACTCGCAGGTGGTCGAAATCGAGTGCCGCTTACTGAACTCGGAGTTAGTAGTGGTTGACCTTGTAACGCGGATGGAGTCTCGTTTGAAGATATGAATTTGTTGTTCTGATTGCAGGTCATGGCTCTCGGGTGTATTGGGAAGCGGTTTATCTTGAGGCCAGTAAACTGAACCCTTGGCACAATTATGAGGCACCGCGCTTTTAGCTGGAGCCTGAGGCTTGTTGTTACCATTTCGAGTCACCGGGTTAGGTTGTATCGGCATGGGTTGTATTGGCATCCCTGAACTGGTATCGAGGCTAGATAGTATTTCGCGGCCAGCTGAGGTGTCTGTCCATTCAATCTTTTCGGTTCCGTACATATCTCCCGTGAGTGTTGCTGAAGACAAATCGTACAGTTGCCCCATGGTAGCCGACGACGGGAACGGTTCTGGAGTCGGGAGGACATTCGAAGGCGCTTCTTTGGAGGAAGGTAGTACGGAAATGCCTGGGTACGCACATTCACCATCCACTTCTGTCCTGGGGGTTGCGGTGGGTCGATCGATGTTGCTATCATGCGAACCTCGAGGGCTTCTGGTGCCAGGAGAGTACTGCAGGCTCTCCATGCTAGTGGCAGGGTTCAAGTGATCGTTTTTCTGTTTGTCCCTGCTAACGGGTGAACGGCTCCATAAATCGGGTGCAAACAGTTTAACTGGAGATTTCTTCCTCCGGGAGAGGGATTCATCTCGTATTCCAAAATCATTCTGGCGCTGTTTCAACTGCCGTAACTGCCCGTTAAGTTCAAGGCTATCAAGGTCGAAGTCGTATGGGTCTGGCATGGGAATATCACAGCCCTTGAAGAATCTGATAAGCTCGGAAACGTGTTCCGATCTCTGAGGTCGACGTGCCGACCCAGCAGACCGAGGGCTATAGTGAGGAGCATTCTTGTTTCTTTTGGCCTTCTTGTTCGCTGGTGCTCGACAGGAGGCTGATCTGGGATACTCATCCCTTCCTATCGACTCAGCTACGGACAGCCTCGGAGTTTCCCAGGCAGAGAAGCAGAAGCTCTCTTCTGACGATCTCGAGGGGGTGCTTGGATGGAGCATCATCGCTGGATGTGTACCCGTAGGCTTTCAACCTTTCTATGCCACAGTAATAACAGATATTTATCACACAAAAATAATCCGCTGCCTGAGCACCCAAGCCGACGTCAAATTGCCTAGGTTAGATGCCAGTCATCGCAAAGGGGGCTCGAGCTCAGTGTGATTCAAAGTGAGGTCATCCCCCAATGCAAGCTATCAGAGCTATGGGCAAGGGGCAATTCAAGTTTGCAGTAAGGTACGGAGTGCCGCGTCGGGAAGACGGCTGAAGCTGGTTGTTTAATAGCAAGTGCATTAATGTGTGTGTCCAGATAAAAGGTGAACGACGGGTGAGGGGAGTCCGCGAGTTGATTGTAAGAATGGGCGAGCGGGCGAAGGACAGGATGAGAGAAGGAAGCACAGCATCAAAAAGGGTGAACAACTGCGGGAAGCTGCATTTTCGGGCGTCAGAGAGACAGGAAGATCAAAGTAGAAAAGCTTCACGTTGTAATCTTTATACGAACCTCCCACTTGGGAAGAGGAAAAGCAAAAAGCAAAGAAAAAAGAAAAGCAAAACGAAAACAAAGAGATAGAAGAGAAAAAGCAAAAAACCTTCAAAGGTGGATTTTTTTGAAGAGGATTCATAGAGAGACCAAGATCGAGCACGCAGGCCAAAAAGGAAATATGAGCCAGACTATGGGATGCAGTATGATCCAAGGCTATCCCACTGATTCACAGAGCTAAGTCGATGAACCCTGTCGAAGCTGAGAGCTCGACAAATCAAGGCTGGAGAAAATGACGGAGAGAAAAAGCAAGCCTGGCCATTTCGAGAGTTAGTTACATGGCACAAGCAGAAGAATTGGATCTATCAACGCCTTCCGGTAAGAGATCCATCCCACTGGAGTAACCCTCGACGCGCACACGGCGGATTTGCAGGGGAAGGCCCCGTACGGAGGGATAACATCACAAAGCAAAAGGCCGTTAAAGCCAGAGGTGCCGGACGCCCGGAGCGTCATTGGACCTTGCCAGACCGATATCAAGATATCAAAGAGATACTCCGTAGAGGCAGTGTTCGTGGTTTGGGGACGAAGGTTGGCCGATGGAGCTGGAGGTCGATGGTGTAAAGTAAAAGTTGCCGCTTTGGGCGTTGGGCCCAGGGCTGAGTCAGCCACGGCTTTTCTTCCTCTCCATCGACGGCTGAGACTGATCACATCTCGCTTCAACCAACACGATCACGATGCAAGGGAAGAGATCGAGACGTGAGCAGAGACAGGGCGATTATACCACGACAGCAGGGTTAGATCCTGCACGCAGACCGTGATTGGCGGCCGGCTGCTCTCATGTCTTCCTACTCTAGACAGAACTCTCAGATCTGCGTGTTCCTCGACCTCCCCTTGCGTTACCCAATGGGATGGGATACCAGGGCAGGTTAATTGCCGTGAGTCTCCAGTACAAGCCGTGGATGATGGACGATGGGGTACTCCATACTCCCCTTTCCCCCCTCCCCTTTTTCTTCATGGGGCAGTCCTGACACGCACCGCAGCGTTGCACGTTCGACGCGATCCAGATGGTACGAGCCAATATTCAGATACCCGTGCAACGCCTAAACGGTGCAGGATGGACCCGGTGGAAAAAGCAAAAGCCGAGGGAGGCGAGGGCGCCGCGCCTTTCCAGGGAAGCCGGGCCTATCTTTAGCACGGGCAGCCGGACGGTAGATGGTAGATGGTATAGGGTACGCGAGTCATCGGCTGCTTCTTATTATCGTCAACTCTCAGACCTGCTTTATGCAAGACAGATCGAGATCGATCTTACAGGAGGGAGTTTCTAGATTGATTGGGGCAACGCAGAGAGGATCTAGCCCCGTGCTTCATACGCACAGAGGAATTGCTGCAGCCATGACCAAGCTCCAGGCCAAGGATATATTAGATTAACATCCGCTATGATAATTAAAACGAGTAGGTACCGAGTACGACCATCAAGGAACAGGTATTTTCACCCAATTCTTCATTCCATTCTTGTTTGCCATTTCAATATCCTTTGCCATGACGAACATCTTTCTCTGCCCACAATATCCACCGGGCATCGCCCTTCGTTCGACCATTTGGAACGAACCTCCCGGGTGACCGTCTGCGTTACCCTGCCACACATTCTCCTTCACCAGCTGGTCGGGAGCGTGAGCTCGACGCGGGTTGTGTTCGGGATAGGCTAGTCTGCTCACAATATATTGCAAGTTCGCAAAGATACGTTCATATCTTCTGAAAAATCCAAGCCACTTCCAAGTATTCAGCGAGTATGCCACCCGAATGTACGGGTTTAAGAAAACGCCGGCCTGATTTGCAACGCTCGGATCACCAAACTGATCTTCCAAGTCGGCAAAGATCAAACAGCACTCAGAAGACTCCCAGAAGGGCTCTGGGTCGTGCCGAAACTGGCTGACAAGCTGGCTTGTCGAGTCGGACGCTGAGAAATTTTGAAACATCTCTGCTTGAAACGCGGCCATCCCTCCCCAGCAACTTTGGACTTCGACCGCATCAGACTCCGCCAGCACCTGGTTTCTACTCTTCGCCTGCCCAATAGGCGCAAACCAGGGAAAGAACATCAAACCGGTGCTATAGCCTTCAGTATCTCTAACCACAAACGTGTCATAGAACATGATGTTGGACACAAAGTCGACTGCGCATGCTGCCCGATATTGAGCGCGCCCACTATTGTCTACATTGGTCGAAAACAGTAGCTGAGCAGCATCGATGGCAGAAAAGTATACATCGTTCAGGAACAATACGCGGTCAAATTTCACTTTAACGTGGTTGAACCCGCTCTCCTGGTGGGGGCTAGGTGGTATAGACGCTGAATTAAGCGGCTCAAGGATTCGATTGCGAATCTTGGCCAGGTAGGCAATACGTTTTACCCGTTGATCTCCAGACGGGAGGGTGGTTTTCGGCAAATCCTCAAGGGATATATGATCACCGGCGATGATGGATGAATTACCTAAACCATGTGAGCACTCTTTTAGCTTGTGACATCAACCCAAGAAGGCCTTTTTGTTAGATATACGGACATGGTAGTTCGGCTGCCAACTTCCTGAGGGCATCGCCAGTTTCCTGTCCGCTGTCATTCTCATAAATACTGACAAAGACGTTATCCTCACCGAGGATGTCGACCAATTCCATAAGCGAATTCCCCCAGGGACCTCGAATCATCTCCTCCTGCACGATATTACTTGCTATGAAAATCTTTTCGTCATTCGGATTCCCTCGGCCAGGTCGTGTGGTACTGAGAATCTTCTCGCGCAAATCATCGTAATGCTTCGGTGGAGTTTGATATGAGGGTGAGAAGACCGCCTCGACTGCGGATAATACGATGAACAGCCAGACCAGAAACCCAACAAGCCGTAGCACGCGGTGGGTTTTCGATATTCTGTAACCTCGTTTTGTCGGACAGCAACCGATTGTAGAAAGGATGTGATGGCCCGTCTTCTCAACCCGCCTTATGAACGGACTCAGAGCCCTAGGGGTCCGTTTATGGATAGCTTGCAGTAACCGACTGCCTCGACTGGGACTGGGTTGTTTGCGCCATGAGATGAGACCCACGTCCTCTGCGTCGCAACGGTTTTCCGATGACGAACGCCGAGAAAGCTCGATGGACGTCATCTTGAGATCAAAGAATCGCTATGGAAGAAAAAAACAAAGGAACGGTCACAAAGGGAGAATGCATTGTCTGCATTGCATGGCTGCAGCAAACAGGGTGAGCGGGTTAAGCTCCGAGCAAGCTTGGGGTTGTGGCTTGGAATTTGTGAATACAATGGCCTCAGAGCGAGGCTGACGTCAGGCCGAAATGCTATCCTAGTTTGTTGTTGATCGAATCCTCCGCAAAATAGAGCAGCCAATTATGTAACGGCGAGTTCATCACGGATCACCCGGGAAGAGCTTTAAAGTCCTCCAAACTTTTTATCCCTGAGCTTAATACTCGGCCAGGCACCAGACTTAGCAGGTGGATAATTACTCCCCCTTAACTGACGGTCAAAACTGATCCTAATTCCCATCCCAGGTACGGAGTACAGGGTACTAATTGCTAGCTCCGGCTCTTCTTATGCGAAAGTGATGAACAGGGGACAGGAGATCAACCATAAGGCCGTGATTTAAGAGGCTTTTCGGCACGGAGTACATGCGCTAAGCATGGATCTTACACCGTTTTATGAAGTATCAACATTCGGACTAGGCTCTCAGTAGGTCAAGTTGTCCGTCAAGGACGACGTCAAAAGGTAGACGACATTCACAAGACCGCGTACAAGACCAAACTGTGGATAGAGGTGAAAAAAGATCACAATCACCGCGACAAGAGGCTTGCTTGGTCACGACCTTGAATTTGAACAGGGGCCGCATCCCAAGCCCGCATCGATATGCACGATTATGTATACAACATGAGAATGATGTAATGAAACACACGCATTTTTTTTTAGGCTTGTATGATGCCAATCGCACAATCGAAGCTGGAGAGTCATGCTCGAGAATGGAAGGAGATAGGAAAAGGTGGGTTGGTGGGTTGCTCGTCTTGCGCATCCTGGGTCGAGTTGATTCAGGATACGAGGATCCCCTATATCATGAGCCTTATGACCTACTGAGAACCAGGCGGGTAGCAACATCCTCTTCCAACTGCATGGTCTGGCTCTATGTGAATGCGGTAAGCTATCCAAGCCATTCCGCGAAATGCTAACAGTGCGTATAGCCGCAAGCCCGCACCTCCGCGACGACAGACAATGGTGACGGCCGTGATTCTACAACCCATATGTCTAATGAGACCTGGTCTATAACTCTGCGCTTAAGCTCCCCGGTATCAAGTCCTGTGCCACTCCCTCAGAGGCTGTGCTGAAATCGATGTTAACTGGCAGACGTAAAGTGCGAGGTAGCACAGTGAATCGCATCCTGTCCAACTTTGACGCCCGTTTCCGTTGCACTAGCCCTGGGATAGCCAAGCGCAAGACACCATGGACGGCAGAGACGGCTGGTAAATCGCCTGCTCAACGCCTTAACAGTTCTACTGGCTGTCGAAACTCTTGCAATTTCCAAGATAAAGCTGGCATAGATGTGGAAAAAATATGGGAAAAGGGGGGCCAGATCTAGTCTCCAGCGCTTCAATTCGCACAAAAGCGCGTGTACAGAGTACTTCCAGATTATATGTAAGCCAAAGCTCTCTCTAGACGCGTTTACCCGTGGGCGCGTACCAAGCACCGTAGATGACCGGTGTAACGACCTCCCGTTGTGACGGATTTCTAAAGATTTCTTAACAGAGCTGAATAGCTCATACTACCGCCATCCCGGATAACACCAAAAATCTGCAAATTGCATATATATTTTGGGCTAATATGGGACACAAGGTTAAGCCTTTTTCTTGCGTACCTCGCACTATGAGCTCCCGAGGGTGCATCTGACCCGACCCGGCCTGCGCAATAACAGGAACAGTTTGAATCTGGATGGTCGGTTTGCTAGAAGAATGGCTACATCGATTGAAGTATGGTCCACCCCTCCTGCGGCCGGCGGACTGCAGGTAAGAGTTTTCACCCCCACCCACCATGGACGTCCTGGATACGTCTCACGCACGAATGCTCCCTGCGGCTAGGCCATATAACCAGGATAGGTAAATCATCAAAGCGACGGACCTGCGAATATCTCCTGCTTATTTCCCCGGTTCTCTGGTACGTGCGATAAGGAGACTTGGGGTAGGGTTAGATGTTCGATCAGCCTTGATATCACATTCGGACCCGTTTCATAATTGCCCTACCACCCACCACCCTCCTATCTACCCGTTTGATATAAATCCAGGATACGAAATTAGAAGATCTATCCAGCCAGCCATCTACGACTCAAAATCACGCATTCTAGGTCATAACACCCACGCAGAATATACTCCCCTGCGCGTTTTGTGAGACATGGCCAGCAGCCTATCAGTGTAGGAGTTCATAGATAGGTCTGTGATTTCCGTATTTGGAAAGTAGACCATGAAAACCATCCATCCCCGGAGGCGAGGGAGACGGGGGAGACGGAGACAGGGGGCAGGGGAAATAGGGGGGCTGAGAAGCTGACGGAGTACGGAGTATATGTACATGGTGCAGGGTGGTGCTCATGACAAGGGCTCGAGTTAACGTCAGATGCGACCAGGCTGCAGTTGATTGGCAGAAACATCTAGAATTTCAATTTCACCATGGGCATGAAGGTGAAGAAGAAAAAATTCCGTTCCTCAAGACAAAGCTATGCATAGCGAAAACGCCATTTGCAAGGCCTCGACAGGAATGGGTAACATGGGAGTTACCCACCTAGGATGCATCCGCCAAGGTGCCTGGCATGTAAGTATACCAGACACAAAAAGCTGCGTCACTGTGTGAAAGCGCACCAACAATAATATCACAATATAAGGTGGCAGATGCAAGGATGAAATTTTCTAGGAATACAGTGCGAGAATGGGAGAAAATGCAAGTGAGAAATCCTGGTGTCGCATAGTTTGGTGAGTTGATTCTCCTCTATGACGTACACACTACTATGTGCCGCATGTCTATTTACCTTCGCTTTGGGCGAATAAACACATCCGCGGGTTTCTTTTTTCGAATGGGGGGTGGAGGGGGTCGCCTATCGCCTTTTGGCCGCATAGGAGGCCCTGGTTGTCCGCTCAAGTCGCCGGCCTTCGATGAATAGGTTAGTCTACGATTTCCTATTGCGTGCATGCAATGCTGCTGCTGCTGCTGCAAGTCTCGAGCAGCGCCTCTAGATATGCATACTAGACATGAACTTCAAGTAAAGCACTTACTTTATTGGCCGTTTGACCTGTTGGTTCGGAAGATATTGGACGACTCTCGCGGCTATCCCTCGAGGGTATCACAAGATCCTAAAGAGTATAGTCATATCAGTAACTGTTCTCAGGCACTCGCAGGCATTTTACTTAGCATACACTTGGGGGCGGCGCAATGCTGTGAGGATCCGCTTTTCGTCCTCTCGGGCCTTTCGGTGGGTTGATGGCCTGTGTTTGTGTAGCCGCTGGGGGGTTATCTTCTTGTTTCCTTCCCCTGGGTTCCTTCGGAGGAGCGGGAGATGCAGTGCGCTGGTCAAGGCGCATCATCTTAGGGTCGCTCGAAGTTTGGGAGATACTCAAATCGGATCGTTTCCTCTTTCCAGGCCCACTGCGCTGTTGGCTTGCGTTGCCCCCTTCTGCTGGCGACTTTTTCCCGGCGACTTGAATAAGGGGGATTTTGGGGTCATGGGCAGCGAGGTTTTTCTGCTTATGCCGTTCCACCCTCGCCTGCTGTAGATTCTTGTGGTGCGATTCCTCCTTGATAATTTTATTCTTTTCCCATTTCTGTAGGACGGTCGTGGACTTGCAGTCTCTCGCAAGATGGCCTGTTTTCCCGCATTCGATGCAGCGATCCGCTTTACAATCTCGTATAGAATGGGTGTCCTCTCCACATCTTCGGCAAGTACCTTGACAGGCTGTCTTAGCCTCGATGTTGTCACAGTTGTGCGTCATGTGCTGGTGGCTTCCACAATACCCACACACAGCTAAATCATTTAGTCCTGAAGCACCTCCCGAAGGGCCATCTGGAAGGCGTGATGCAGGAGTGCTCGCAGCACTTCTTGAGGGAATGTCGTCCGGGAATGATTCGGCTGACTGGGGATTGGATATTCTGGAAGATGGCCGAGAGATGCTCCCTCCAGCCAAAGACGAGCCTGGTCGTGACGAAGGGTTTGATATAACTCCGGTTTCCGGGAGTGCATCAACCATCTCAACATTATTTAGCTCCATATCCAAACTGATTTGGGGCTTTTGTAGGATCTGAAGGATGTCTCCCTCTGTATAAAGTGTTCGCCTACGCGCATCTTGGATCAAGGCCTTCCAAAATTCGCCCTGTATAAGAGATTGAGAGTTACCAAGCACCCAGAGCGATGATTTAGCTCGCGTTAAACCAACGTTCATTCGGCGAATATCAGACAAGAAGCCTATTCCCCGGTTGGACGCGCGGACACATGAGAAGATTATGATTTCACACTCTCTTCCTTGAAATGCGTCTGTGGTGTTGAACTCGACGGCTGTGAATATCGAACTTCCGTATTTTGCAGCAAATCGTGCCTTGAGCTCTTTTAACTGGCCTTTATAGGGAGTAATAATTCCAATTTTCCCCGTAAAGTCATAATTTTTATAGTCAGCAATGAGCCGATCGTAGAGACGCATTGCCACGGTAAGTTCTGCGATGTTCACTAAGGAGTGACCTTTGGCAGCACTTGAATGCATTCCTTGTACATCGAAAAATCTGTATGGACCCAGTAGCTCACTTCCGTGCCACGGTTTCTTTCGCAGCGGCGCCATTCCAGGACCGTCCTGTAGCTTCCCATCGTAAAATGCCAGACTTGGGAATTTGCTAATCTCCGGATGCATTCGATATTGTGTGTCCAGAAGATGGACGTCATTGGGATGGTTGGCCTGCATTCGGACGAACAAACTTTGCTCATACTGGAACCTAGATGCTTCCTTTGATAGCACTGTTGGGGGTAGCTGCTTGGGATCTCCAACCAGAACGCACTTGGAGCAGCCATACTTAAGAGGAATAAGAGCACTTAGTTCAATAGACTGTGCAGCTTCATCTATAATCACAGTCTCAAACTCGATGCTCAAACTTTGGAACATTTCGTGACCGCTACCGCTAAGGGTTGAGCAGATAACATGAGCACCGTCAATGATCTCTTGTTGTATTCGCCTTCGCGTTAACTCCGCGTTTCTGGCGGCGGAATGGTTCTTGTCTCTTGCATTGTCGATCGCCTGGCTTAATTGAGCCTTCTTTCGCTTTAAGAGATCGAATTCCCGCTCTAGTTCAGGAGGAACAGGTTCTGCCCTTGCGCGGCATTGATCAAGTCTTTGTCTCGTTTCTGTGAACTTGACTGAAGTCTCCTTGTGCTCAGTAAAATAGCTTTGCAAATCACGCTCGTCTCCATTTTTCTTCTGGCCTGTTTGGTTAAGTTTGGCATTGACAAGTTCGTCTAATGTAACGTCCAATACGTTAGCATTTATTGCATCGCTTCGACCGAGTCGAATAACGGATATCGGTTGAATTTTCCCGCCGATTGTCTTCACGCCTTCTTTAAACCTCATCACCAGTTCGTCAACAGCAGCATTGCTAGGTGCGCAGACCAAAAGTTTCTTCGATGGGGTAGATTTGCTCGCATTCATTGGGTCGCTGGTTGGTCTCGTCGGTTGAGATATTCTTCGCTCAGCCAGGGTGGTCGTCAACAACGCCCCAACAATCGCGACGATGGTTTTCGTCTTTCCCGAGCCAGGGGGCCTATAAGTAAAGGTTTAGCCAGCGTCTTAACGAAAAGACAAGGTAACTAGCAGAGCCTATTAATCTTACCCTTGGATTAATGTAAATGCATCGTTATCAACGGCAGACTTTACAGCCTTCGATTGTGCAGGGTTGAGGTCGTAAGTGCCAAGTATAGCTTTCAGGCTATCAGGGCCATAGTTAAGGATTGGAGACGGCTTTGCTCTGATAATCTCTTCACTTAAATCGTAGTATTGAAGCGCCATCAATGCCCCGTATTCTCGCTCCAAGGGCGTTAGAGAGGTAATCTTTACACCGAATAAGCCACCGCCAGGTCCAATTCCACTAGCTAGAGACCCATTGGGGTTAATGCGATAAGATACTTCCATTATCCCTTTCTTTTTCTTGATGTCAGATATTCTAGCCAGGCAATGGGGAGCGTTTGAGTCCGTTGCTGGCTTGTTTGACCGAGAGAGCAGAACCAAGTCGGCTTCTCCTAGCCCCAAATCCCTAACCTGTAACGGTTCCATGATCGTGCTGACTTCTACAAATGAGTCAACTGAAAGGCGGTTGGCAACTTTGATTTCAAATTCTTTGAATGTTGCGTCTTCTCTGGCAGTTTGAAACCCCTGCCAGGCTTCGAGGATTAACAATGGCTCAAAAGTTTTCTGGTACTCTAATGCATTTGCGAAACTATTAGAAACCAGTGTATAGTCCGTTTGGCCACAGTTTGGAGGTAGAACCGTTGTCGCAAAGAAATCCCAACTCAAAAGCGTCTTGTGAAGTGAGGATAGGTCGGGAGCAAGTCGAGCCCGCATATCCTTTGCAGAGCGTACTATCTTTGTTTTCTTGACAGGCACACGTTGTAACAGTTTCTTTCGACTTTCTTCATATGCTCTCACCGCATCTGGTTTCGAGGATACTTTCTTTCCAAGGCCTTCTTCATCCCCGTTATCGTCACTATCAGAGTCTGAGTCTGAGTCCGACGAAACCATCATACTGTCAGCGGGTCTATGCTCCACGACCCCGATACTGAGACCATTTAGGCCGGACCCTTGTGATGCTGTCTGTTCGCCAACACCGCGTAGAGGTAGGTTTTTCTTCACCCTGGCAAGCTCTATCATGTCACGTTTCTTTTTGGCCTCCCTTTCTCTTTCCCGTTTCTCGCGGAACGACAATACATTATGAACCGGTTTCGCTAGTGGTGCAAGTGGCTTAGAGGGCAGGGCAAGTCGAGTTGCAGCTTTCTTCTGGGCAGCCACCCGAGCCTTGTTAAGTTCAACGGCAGAAGACAATTCGATCAGCTCATCATCCGGAATATCAGGGTCGCTATCGTGTTCATCGATCTTGCTTGGCCTCGGTTCGGATTTAACAATTGCTGAAGGGTCCACTGGTTTGGCGAAAGAAGTGATTGTGCTCTGTCTCTTTTTCGGGGCAGGAGCAGGGGGAGGTGTAACCAAAGGTTTCTTATAATATGCCTCCAAAGATCTCACGAGCTCTGCTTTCTCACGTTCTGTCAAGATGGTCTTAATCCTGGCAGTTAGAGCAACATCTTTGACAACAGCTAAAGCTTCCTCTTGGACTGTTGCATTGAGGTCCCCAAGGCGACGGAGGACTTTGGAGACAATTCCCACCAAGGTGGTTGCAAGGTACTCGTCTTTTAAGCGTAGCCATTTTACCATCGCATTCATCGTAGTCGTTGGATATCGGAGAAGTGTACTCTGTGCAGAATCCGCTTGGCTAGGATCAGCTTCCCCAACGGCAGTAGCAAAGATAGGAAACTGGTCAAAAAGAAGCTCTGCGAACTGGATACTATCCCGACAGAATTCTAACATGGTTGACCTATCAACGCCCATCCTATGCCAATTTTCAGTTTGAGTGAAGATTGTAGAGAGCGCCAGCCATTGATACTCCCAAAGCCTCTGCAAGAAATATACTTCTTTTGCATCGCTGAGCTTCCGGGTTCTCAGTATTCCGGTTTGGGAGTCACATAGGACCTCGATTATATCAGTACCAGTTTTAATCATTCTAGGAGCAGATGCAAAAGTCTTCATGTTAGATATTCGGCGAAAGGACCAGCTGAATCCAAACATCGTAGGAACACAAAAAGATTGTAAAAGGTGTGAGATGGCCTCCTTGCGCCCCAGCTGCCCGCTAACGGTTTTTATCAGATCGACGGCTGCCTGATATGTATTTAAGTCTGCAGAGAACAGCGCTGAAGTCAGGGAGCCATTAGTTTCTTGAAGCTTAAATAGCTCGTCTAGATGTTCTGGCCTAAAATCAGAAAGCCTTTCAAGGATCTGACACGCAAGGTGAGTAAGATGGCCATAAATGACATTGAAGTGCATCTTTTCCTTCGTACTCTCCCCTTTTGTCTGGAATTTTTCCAGCCCTACAAGCGGCAAAATACCTCTAAGGGCAGCAGCTGAGAGATCAAGATTCTTCTCATCAAGATGTTGGACAACGGCATCCCATATAGGTGCTGTGTAGGTGCTTACTCCATGTTGTAGTGTGTTGTGCCGGAGAATGGTTTCGTAGTCTGACTTCAAGGATTGACACTCTAATGCGAGGGTATTTCGAACAACATCCATACACAGGGTAGAAATCTCTTTATCACTTCCATCAACATCAAATCGCGGGGGATTGAGGAAATGTTTAATGTTATCGCTTATAACTTCCATCATCTCAGACAAAACAATGGTGGCCACGGAGCCCCTGGTGGCTTCATTATCAGTAAAGCTTCGCAACGTGCGGTATAGAACCGTTAATCCACTCCGAAAACAGTGGTATTTAACAACGGTAGGAAAACGAGGCTCCTGGAGGCGGTTGAGAAGCTGATGAACTAAGAAGCGACACGCTTGTGGCTGGTGGGTGTTCTTTAGGGATGTAATAAAGGGGTCTATCCAAGACAACTTATCTCTCAAAGGCGACTGGTCCAAAGGTTCGTCATCATCAGTGGCGATCAAAAACTTTTCGTATTGCGGATTATAGAATATCTGCTCGATAATTGCTTGTGGGGAAATTGTCTGCATGGCGTCCCAGAAATCGCCTGGGGATTTCTCAATTAGGGCGCATATCGTGTTTATAACGGATCGTAATGCGGGAGATTGTATAGCGAGGTGGTCAACAGATAGTCGACAAGGGTCGAGTTCCAGGGCTCGAAGATTATGGGTGATTTGCTCTTTACTGAGCCGATGGATTATGATAGTGACTCCACGCCATAATATATCGACAAAGTCAGCATCGAATGGAGGGCTTGACGCTCGGCGCAAAGCTGCGATTAACGGCTCCTTGATTGCCCAGTCAAATTCAGCAGTCGTTGGTGGTCTGCCCAACTTGGACCATGTAAACACTGCCCAGTGGTTCCTATGTCTGTTTTGATCGAAAAGAAAATGCGTGGCCGCAGGCACATATTCGGTGATTTTCAAAGTGCGCAAGCTTTGGACCAATTTAAAGGGCTCGTCAAAATGATCGCGAAGAACAGCCTCGTTTCCGAGGACAGGAGTAGAGCTTAGAGCTTCGAAAATAGACAGCATAGCAGCCCGATCAAGCACGCCTAGTTTACGCTGTTCAGGAGGAACACTCCTAAGCATACTGGCAGCCTTATCCAAGTTCTTCCCGATCCTGCTAACATCCCAATCGTCGAGTATTTTACTGAATTTTTCCACTTCGGACTCATCGTAGCTTTCTCCCAATGTCCCAATAAGCCAAGCTTTCCCCTTGTAGTACTCTTTAATGCAGATATCACATCTTTCTAACGTTTCTTCGAGGCGTCTCCATATCCATTGCTGGTGTGCTTCAACTTCCTCGCCGCTGAACGCTAGCAGGCGTATACATGAGAGGAACTTCTCTCGACGAACCGCAGCTTCTGATATCCTCTCAAGCACGTCAACATTCGGTTTATCATCCGTTTCATTATTGTCATTTTCGTTGTTGATGTACTTGCTGTACGGTTCCATATCATCGTCATTTTTACGTGGACAGAGGAGATGGAGCTCTTCTGGGAGACTCTTCAGCTCCCTATAATAGAAAGAAGGAGTAAAATGTTAGCCAACAAGCACTTCCTGAAGATAGAGCCATGATTCGGGGTAAATATAAATGAAGATGAGACTAACTCGAGACTGCTCATCAACTCCGCCATCGTTTCCAAGCTCCCGTTGACAGGTTGGCCGTCATCGACGCTCAGAAGAGCTCAAAATCTCTCCTAAACGCGTCGATTACGGCGCGGAGGTTTTCGATAAGCGAATCGAGGTATATCCCTTCTATAGTCTCGTTTTATATCCTCGGGCAAACGGCGTTCTAAGATGAGGTTTCGGTGATTTGTTTCGTGTCCTTGGTGTCGGGGGAGTTCAAACGGGATGACAAAAGACTGCAAGGTAACGGACACAGCGTTCCCGTTGATTAGAGGTATGACGTTGGAATTTATTCGGCCAGTAAAAAGGAAGCGCCCATGAGCTGTAAGTGAGAGGAAGAGTGCGTGTGGATTTGCTGGTCCTATAAAACCGATAAGGCCGATAACGATTTACACCAAAATTAATTAGGCGCTTGCAACTCTAACAATCGGCCAACCACCACAGAGTACTATACTAAAGGGATAGCAAGGCCGGTGGGATTCAACATTGATCTACAGTACAGATGAATTTACAGTTAAACAACACACGAACAGTTCTAACAATCAGAGGTATATACTATTTTGCTGTTTTCTATGTCTTGTACTGCAGCCTGAAAAAGGCATATCAAGGGCTATAACCAGGGGGGGATATGTAGAAGCAAAATCCAAAATAGAAAGACGGGAAATCAAGGCTAGACAAGTACCTTTTGTCAAGGTATAAAGGAGTTTCTCGCTTCGAAGCACCATTTCCCTCGAGGTAAGCGAGAATATCTTTATACAAAAAGGTAGCCCTAAAGCCCAAAAGGAAATAGATGTAGCGCAAAAAATATAGTTGAGGAATTATTTGCTTTTCGCGCTCAAGGGAATAAAATTACAACAAAAAGGGAAAAGTGATATCATGCGAGAAGTATGAAACTAACATAGCCAAAGACCGAACTGCAAACGCCTAATGAAACGCAGAAAGCTGGATGAGAGGGAGAGTTGAAAATGCAACAAAACCGGTGAGGTACGCGGAGGAATGCAAGGCGGAAAATGGTATCGCAGATGGCTGATATTTCGAATTATAAAGAAACCGTACAACAGAAAGTATGGAGAGTCGTGATACGTGCGCGCATTGAATCAGTGCTGTCGGAAATTAGGGGATGGTGCGTATGTGCCAGTCGACATGGACTGCGGGTTGTATATATACACTTAGTGCTCCTGTATCGCAGGATGACCGTTCTGATCGGGCCTAGCATGGCTAGATTCGATGCGGGCTAACATTGCCGCGGAGGTGAAATCGCTGCTGGCTTCGAAACTTGACCGGACCCGGTCCATCGAGGATCTACATCGGTCTATTGACGGCCTGACACGGGGCTCTCGTGGCTCCCGCTCACGTTCTAGAGATTGGTGGGCTGGAGGTCGAAGGTCTAGGCTTGCGGTATATGCCGTTGTATCGCTACCGTTCTGGCTGCGCGGGTTATGGGTCGTTGCAGTTGGAGCAACTGAAGGGGGGTATATCGGGCGTTCATCTTCAGGCTGATTCGGATCTCGCTTCGGGACTACCTTGGTGGGTTTCACATCACTCGTGGAGGGCGCAGTGAATGCGTGCGATGGCGGGATGTAAGCTTCATATTTTTCCAGGTACTTGTACTTCCCAAGTGTCACTTGCTCTCGAACGATATCGACATCACGAGGGGCATATAGCTTCTGCATTGCCTTGATCGTGAATCGCGGGCCCAGACACATGATAACTGTCAAGGACGTGAGTGCCCAGAAGGAAAGACTCCCATATACCTCAGCTGCGGCTTTGTAGAATTGGCCCGACGATGTAGTGGCGGAATATACACCGGTCCAGAACCAAATGAGGAGCGAGCTGCATACGTTGATTAGAACGGTCAACCAGTCCCAGCGGTAGGTATTTAGCAAAACGTAGGTGTTGCTGCATACGATTGCGCAAGACGCGACATAAATTCCCATTCTTGTCCGATCGCCGAGATCTAAGCCATTCTCGGTGACGTTCTGACCTGGGCGGAAGAGTAAATGTGTCATGAAGTAGCATATCACCGATTGATACAGCCCATCAAACATGTAAAGCCTGCAAGAAGACGGTTAGGCAAATTGTACACTTAGACCAGATATAAAAGTCATAAGGATACATACCAGAATTTGGTGCGAGTCCACTCCTTCTGCTCAATGCCCGTCTTGTAAAGCTGTGGAACAGCAAGCGATACTTTATCGTCAACATCCTGATCCAGGATACCCATTAAAATGACGGGCAACGAAGTAAACGCAAGATTGACCAAGATAATGTAAGTGCCTTCGAAGAGATATGAACTATCGAAGTTATTGTAGATAGAATACCAGAAGAGCGCACACGTCCAAACAAGATTCTATTTTTGCCGTTAGAAAAGGGGATGTCATGCATGTGGAAAGGATAGGACATTATACATACCTTATAAAAGAAGTTTGCGAGGGTCTCTGCCAAACGTCGATACGACCATCGTCCATGAACGAGAATTAGACGTTGTAGGAATCGGAATTGCCCGATAGCGTAATCAGACGACATGACAGCTTGTCTTCCTTCTTCACCCGCAATACCAACGCCGACATCTGCTTCTTGGATCATAGAAACATCGTTGGCTCCATCGCCGACGGAGAGAGCCATCACCTTCAGGCCGTCTTTCACCATCTTTACAACCTCTGCCTTTTGAGCAGGACTAACTCTGCAGCAGATGACTGATTTGCATTGCTTGCACAGCAAGAGGAACTTTTGTTTCAGCTTATCGCCTATCATCACTTTCAGTGTCTCTCCGTCAATAACGAGGGCATGAGTTGAAGCTGGCGGCTCATGATTCTTTTGAGCAGCGAGAAGCTCTTCGTCGGAGCCGGTGAGGCCAAAGCTTGAGAGGTGGCTATCTAGCTCGGTGGTAGCGGCATCTATATCTTCTGGGTCGATATTGAAGACAATCAATTCCATATCGCTGGTCAATAGGTTACAGGAGAAACCAATGTTAATGGCAGTTTCGACCTTGTCTCCCGTTAGAACCCACAGCTTGATACCGGCGGCACCCAGCAAGGAGATCGTATCTGGAACGCCATCCTGAAGTCTGTCCTCGATAGCTGTTCCGCCGAGCAAGGTAAGCTCTTGCTCAATAGAGCTCGCTACTTCTTCGAGTTTTTCGTCACGGTCGGCAATGGCTTGTGCGGCGTCCTCGTAGTCCTTATTCCAGGTCTGATACTCCTCTTCGGAAAGGAAGCGCTGTCCTACACAAAGTGTTCGTAGACCTTCCCTGGCGAAGACCTCGAGCTGGCCTGCAGTTGTCTTCCTGAGTTCTGCTTGCTGGCCACGAGAAAGGCGAGAGTAGATTATACTATCTGCACCCTTGCAGAACAATACAATTCTTCCATCAGGCATCCGGATAATGGCACTCATTCGCTTCCTGGTAGAATTGAATTCCAGGGTATTTAAAACAGCGTATCGTCGTTCTTCGCCCATAACATTCAGTCTGATATCATCACCCGCTCGACCAAGGACTGTGAACCCGCAGTCTCGTGCAGTCGCAACAAGGGCAGCCTCATCTGGAGATTGCGCTTTGAAATCGATTCTCGGCGGGTCGCCTGGGGTGCGTTCTGTAATGACGGTATGGCACAAAGCAAGAGAGATCATGAATTCCCGGACGGCCTTCTTCTGGTCCTCGCCAGATGCTCCGATAAGGTCAGAGGCAAAAGTTGACGACACGAATGTCAGCTCATCGTCGTGAAGATATGGGTTGTCGTGGATCGCCCTGAGTTGCTTAAGCATCGATTCGCGGGACTGTGCTATTTCCTCCTTTGCCTTCCTGCCCACTTCCTCCACATTTATTCCTTCTCGTCGCTGCATGCCGGCCTGCGCTTCTGTGTAGGCTTCACCGTAAGTGACCCCATTTATCGTGCATTTCTTGAACTCCATGATATTCTGAGTCAGGGTGCCTGTCTTGTCAGAGAAGATATATTCGATCTGACCGAGGTCATCGGATATATTGAAGGATTTGGGCGTGCATGGGTATTCTAGTTTTTCATAGTACATGAAAGTATCGCTATGAATTAAGACGGCTTGGAGAGTACGAATGATCTCAAGCGACACGAACAGCGAAATCGGGACAAGATTCTGGTACAAGATGAGGGATGCCCAGAAGGTGATGATTCCGTCAACGCTAGGTCTACCGCCGTAAGATCCAAACTCGAAGAAGTCCAAGGAATTGTTGCCCTGAGCCCATGTAGCGCCTTGTCCTATACCAGACGCAAGGCACATGGCAAAAAGTATGATGAAATTGTACAGGACGTTCCAGTTGAGGTCCTTTGCCAGTCGGGCGGTTTTTCGGGGGCTTATACCCGTGTTGAGCATAATTTTCGTTTGCAATCCGGTAAAGATGACAACTGCAAGGACCCATTCCGTGTTTCGCAGGTTACAGCCTCGAAGCAAGACGTTGTTAATAGTGATTGACTCTACCATCTCCTTTTCGGGGGCTTCCGGATACTCTGGGTTAGCTTGCGACCACTTGACCGCACCGCTGTATTGGTAAAGATTGGGATGAGGTTGCTCGCTTTCGATCACGAATTGGGCACCTTCGCAGTCTCTCGCATGTTTCACGGCGCGTCCGCAGTGAAGGGCCTGTCTTACTTTCAGGTTCGTTTCTCCATCGAGGTTCTTAGTTTCCACGTAGCAGCCACCGTCTGGGTCTGAAGTAGACAAAACTACCACGTCGGCAGGAATCTGCTCTCCGTTATATATTCGGATAAAGTCACCCACTTCTACATTTTTCCAGTAATCGCGTTTGAACCTGGCCGATCCGGATGGCTGCCAGCCCTTATTAATAAGGCTGCCATAGAACTTGACAGGAGGCGCCTTTTTAGATGGATCGTGGGGGGAGGCAATGGTATGCTGCTGGTCGGAGTTCCCGTTTCCATTGGCGCCCGGCGACGGAAGAGGGGTCATCTGGATGCCCTCGTTCCCGTTCTCAGGTCGATCGGCCTGGTAGGATGGTCTATACGAGTAGGTCGAATTCCTGAAGTCTGCCCGTTGGGTAGCTATGGACATTCGTGGAGGATCTTCCACCTGCTCCTTGGGCTCGGCCTTTTCGCCCTTTCTAACGCGCTTGAACCACTTCCAGGCCCGTCGTACGCCCCTCGTTGTCGCCTTTTTGGCCCGACGCCACATTGACACATTATCCTCGGTAGAATTGACATTGTTCCAGCCCACCAAGCGGTGAATGGGCGAATTGTTCAAATCGTTATCCAATACCGTCCTTCGCCAGTCCTCGATGCCGTCTTTTACCGCAGTAACCGTAAGTATGGAGATCAAGGGCACGGCTCCGAGGCCAGGGTTGCTAGCACCGAAAAAGGAGAAAATCTGAAATCATTTCAACGAGTCATATCGTCAGAGCAGCCCCGTATGGAAAAGGAGTGGAGGACGTTAAAAAAGGGGGAGAAGAAAAACTAACACTGAGGATGATGGTGAACAGGAAGTAGACGTTTGCCATGTTATGGAACTGGTAGTACAAGTTCTTGGGGAGGAAGCTGAGAGGAGTGTACTTGGCTGTTCGAATCTTGTTGCGTCCGAAACTTATCGTCGAATTGCCGTTCTCGTCTCTCTGATGGGGAGGTGGTGGCACGTTGACATATATTCGTCGTCTTTCCGCCTCTTCCGAGACGTCAGACGCCGCACTCCCATTTGGAAGGCTGCTGGCGTTGGACCGTCGCTTCTCATCCTTGGATCCTACCCTCTGGTGGAGTTTATCGACGATGGAGCTTCGCTTTTTCGAGCCCTGTTGACCGGTACGGCGTTGCGTTGCCCATCGCATCCGCTTCGACGGCTTCGATACGTTCGACTCATCTTCGCTTCCAAACTGAACCACGGCCATGGCGTTTTAGCTGCTTAGATATAGCATAGAGTAAGGCCGTCCAACTTGTCTTTTTCAATAAAAACGAGAGCTAGCTGGGGGTCAATCGGGTTAGTCGAGCGTGCGCAGGGAAAAAGTCGTTTGCTACGACGGCAACAGGTAGGGCAGCCGGAAGAGCAGGGAACGATGGGGACTGACAGGAGAAGAGGAAGACCGGTCGCCAGCAGTGATATATCGTCGTTGCCAGGCCTCCGCGAGGCTTTGAGATGGTCGGTGGTACGCAAGTGCGAGTGGAGAAAACGGGTTCAGGAGAACAGGAGCTGCGAGACCAACGGGTCCATAGGGCGATTCGCGGCGCCCGGACAACGCTTGAGTGCAGACGCAGGGAGACGGCAGAGGGAGCGTGTAGTCGACGTGAGCTACGTCCTTGAGGCTGTCAGAGAGTGTGAAGCTCCGGTGGGAGAGTTGCTTCTTGCGAAGAGATGGAATATGGAATATGGAATATGGATGGTGGCCACTGCGACTTGCGGCCTGGAAAAACAATAATGCAACCTCCGATCTCCGTCTTCCTTCAGAATTATGTCTACACCAACATTACAGACGCAGAGAATTACGGAGACTACGGACTGCCGTCTAGCATTACAGACGCAGAGAACGGAGACTACGGAGTGCTGTCCAGCCTCACTCGGCGGCGGGCCGACGTGATCCTCATCCTCATCCTCTACAGCCTGTATGCGTACGTGTTACGCCTGAGCCTCGGCCATGCCACGGCGTTCTAGATATCCGTGGTATCGATAGTATGGGGTAGCAGTAAGAGCGTCAGGCCTGGATACTCGAATCAGGGGTGAAGCCGCGCCAGGGATCATGCATCGTCCCTTGAGAAGTCTAACATCCGTCGCATCTTCGCATTTCTCGCATCGAAGCCACCCGACGCTGTCTACCAGCCAGCAGCCAGCCAACAGCCAAAGCCTTGAGCCAAAGCCTTGAGCCATCATCATTATCATCCATCAGGCTTGCCAGCCTCATCCGACTCAGCTATAAATAATGGCGGCCCAGCGGCGGAAGTTCGTCCGTTTAGCCTTTCCACATCAGCCGCTTGATGAACTAATAGTTCACCACACTAATCATTACATGCAGGATGACTAGCGAACGCAAGTCAGCGAGAAAGAAGCGCTTCAGATGAACGGAGGACGGATATATCAGTGCTCGACCCCGGCCTGCAGTAATTATGCCGTGTTTCTGCGCATGGGCTGCAACGTCTCTCGTGCCCTGCCAGTTTGAGGCCTCTTGTCAACCTGAAACAGCGATCCGACTTGCGTGTCACTGATAGTGGACCGGCGGTTGCGACTCTCCTCGTATCTCACGTACACATTCAGCCTGCTTATATCAAACCCGAAGACCTCCGCTTGTCCCTGGGTCTCATCCTTGTTACGGCTCGGGTTATTTCCTTCCCGCAAACACTTGGCCTATGACGTGCTCCAGTACGCCCTTCTCTATAAGCAGTTCGATAACCAAGTCTTCTACAAGCCTATCATATAAGGTATCAAGAAACATAAGGAGACTAAAGGTTAACCCTCATGAGCTGTGTAAGTGAGTATCCAAAGGCCGTATGCATCCATTTTTACATAGCAGAGACGATCATCATGATGGTACTCCATATTTGAGCAAAATCAATATCACAGGGCAGCACGCGCGATAGATGTATCCTTATATATCCTCAAAGCATCCTTAGCAGCTCCAAAGCCTCGTGCCTTGGCCCGGTCAATCGCTGTCAAGCCATCCTCGTCCGCGATATCTAAGCGAACCGGGTACTGTAAGAGTAACGTCACTGCCTCGAGATGGCCACCCTGAATGGCCCAGTGCAGAGGAGGGCATCTTCCGTGGAATCCAACCATGGCGTAAAATGGATATTTGGTCACCTCATTGACTTTGGCTCCTCTGTCCAATAGTAGCTGCATGGTTTCTATGTCGCCTTTGATTGCCGCAATATGGAGTGCTCCTGTATTTTGAATATCTACCCCGGCATCAAGGAGGTGAACCACAAAGCCAGGTCTGAAGCGTGTGGCAACCCCTAAGGGGCCCAAATTGAGACCCCTGGTGTTGATATTCGGGTTGGCCCCCAGGCTCAGTAGATGCTGAGCCAGCGGGAATTTGTTATGGTAGATGGCGTTTATCAGAGGAGAGCCAATGAACTCAAACGAAGCATCGATGTCGCAGCCGCCGTCTATTAGCAACTGGTATATAGGAATGCCTCCTTTGCCTTCTAGGGCTGCCCAGTGCACGTAGGTGGAATGTGCAAGGTTGGGGTGATCTCTGATCAGGCTGGCAAGCTCCTCCACCTGGCCAGCGCGAGCAACGACGACGGCAGCATCAATAATAGGCTGAGGCGGCGGAGTGTGATGTCGAGTATAATCGTCAACTGTCGAGGATTCCTCCATAGTTCGTAAGAGTCAATAAAGGATAGGATATTTCAGGTTGTGAATAAGTCGTATGGCATGAAGGGGTAAACGCTGGAGAGTTGAACGGCAGAGCAATGGTGCCAACATATATATGCTCCCCTAAGAAAAAGCAAGGCTAACACGATTGCAACTTGTTATATAGTAGGCACGTCATCCAACGACTCTCACTGCACGTAGATGGATAACCTGGCAGGGAGTAGACACAACCCTGTACCTATAAACTCCCAGCCACGCTCCTGTATCTCTCTCTGCCGTTTTTACTTATCCAGCCCCCTAACCTCTACCTAAGCCTACCCTCAGGTTAAATAGATAGTCATACAACAGCATGGTGGTCAAAGGCAGGTTCTCAAAGGCAGCATCAGAGGAGTTAGACAGCCGTGACTCGCATTATCTTCATATAATAGAGTAAATGGCAGTAGCAGTGAGACCAACCGCATAATGATCCGAACGACATCCACTTGAAACGGAAGATCAGCCGATGTATGTGCAAAGTTCGCTCATCCTGTCGAGTTGGATATTTATATAGATAAAGTGCTGGTCCACGTGACATCGCGACTCAAAGGCGCGTCTACGTGTCGAAAACCACTTAAACTGCGTGCACCACCAGACGAAGGCCCAGATCAGCATCAAACGGAGCCTATGATGGTAGAGAATCGCAAGATATCCTCTTATTTCAAGCGATCGGAGTCTACAGAAAGACAGCTTGTGGCTGGCGTTAAACGGCCCGGTAGCAAAGATGGTCCGCCATCATCATCGCCGCTAACTCCCTGCCCGCCAGATTACTCCTCAGTCCAGTTCACCTCCCCCATCCTCGCACCCAAACAGCTACAGGTGCTGGAAGACCGCTCTAGACATGCGGGCGAGTCTGAAGCTATCCAGTCTACCCCAATGGATGAACCCGAGCCTTACCCCGCGGTCTCGTCCTTTGCCAGTGTTCCTGGCTCGCAGAGGGTACTTAAAGACGGGGAGATCATGATAACTGCCTCTGATGACGATGATGACTATTCGATAAATTCCATCACCATATCTACAGATGACCTGTTGGCTAGGTTTCTGGCTACACCACGACAGAAGGAGAGTTCAGATACAGACATGCCCGCGTCAAAGGGTAGGAAAGCAAAGGGTAAAGCCAACAAGGGCGGCCAAGCAGCGACTGGTGCCATACCTAAATTCTCTCTAGACGACTTGGTTGCCGATGCCACCCAGGATAAGGAGCGCGAGGCCCAGGTATCAGCCGCAAAGATCCTGCTCAAGGAGTCTGCCGGACAGAGTAAAGGCAAGGGCAAGCACCCTTCTGGCCGAGATGATATATATGCTTCTCTAGTTTCAGATACGTCGGACACAGCAGCAATAAGGCGACTTAAGGATGCAGTTTCACGAACAGAGGCCTTTCAAGAAGGCACAAGCTGGTCTTTCTTTCGTGAGGACCCGCCAAAAGCCACTCCGCAAAGCTTTCCTGGGAAGTCGATATATCCTGGTTCCTGGGAGGCGGTTCTCCGAGGTGAGACACGCCCTTCTAATCCTTATTACTTATCACCCTGCTGAAAGACGGTAGAATCTGCCTCTCGTGACAGGGCCTTTCTCTCCGGCATAGTTGGAGAGATTCTCAATGACATATCCATACCTGATGAAATTATGCTCTGGATTGTACAGTCAGGTTTGGTCACCCATATATATACGTGTATACATATTTGCCATGTACTTGGCTAACAGGCTATCAGTTGCCACGGAGCCACGAGATGAGCTTCGATTTGCATACACTAGTGCTCTTCATGTTAGTTAATCTCTCGACCTTTCACCGTATACCTGTAGTTGCTAATAATTCTAGATGTGCTCTGAATCTCGAATATCCTCCCTTCTCCAGCCTTCTAATATAGATCAACTATTTACGAAAATCGGGGCAAGAGCCAATGCACTGGCTATTTCTGAACCCGTACAGCCTGATACCCCCAATCTCGATGACGAGGGTAAGTGTCCCAGAGACGCCGTGAGTGTTAGTTTGTCTAATGCATTTTAGAGCCACCTCCTCCTTTAGACACGACGTTTCTGTTATCCGTTTTGACTCTGCTTGCTGGCCTAGCTGAAAAGTGAGTTGTATAGATATTGCCATTTTCTAAACATTTACTAATGGATATCTGTACAGATTGAACCCCCCCACGCGTGAACATACCTTGAAAATCCTCTTCCGTCTAGCTCTTGACGAAACTGTCATGAACGATGGCGCCGTATCTGCAGAAACACAACGAGCAATTGTCTCACTATTTGGCGATCCAGAGCCTGCCCTATCGGGCTTAAACGTATGGTCTCTTGTACTATATGAACCCTTTCGGAAACTAACTCTACTACTAGGTCTATGAGCTAGCAGAGCATGTATACGGGACAGTTAAGGATACAAACCTCCAGTCTCTTCTCCTTAAGCACATACCTCCGGTATCGCCAGAGCTTGCCCTATTTAGGTGTCGTCTGGCAACTGCATTTCTATTCAGAGATAGTTCACCGCTCGATAAGCCGGCAGCTCACCTCATCAACATACAGAAACTCAGTTCGCAATTAAAGAGCGATCGGTTCAAGGCCAACGAACACCGGTCTGAGGACAGAACGCCATTTAACTTCGCTGAACTAGTTGCATTAACAACAATACTAGATATCGCCATTGACTCGGGAACCTTACAGCCATCTTTCCCGAGCAAGGAGGCTGAGATGGAGTTCAATAAACAGGTGGATAAACTGGCCGATCGAGTGAAGACGGCTTTCACAGCTATTCAAGATTCGGGTGCATCACATATGAAGCGAACTGAAGCCAAGGAAGGGCTGCAGGCGCTTCATTACCGGCTGATACATACCGTGCGAACAAGACCTGTTCAGAAAAAATCATGGTTTATTTCGCCAAATGAAGAAGGTCGGATTGGGCCTGGAAAGAAGGATATTTTGGAAAAATTTCTAGGTGTCAAGTAGCCTCAGGGCAACACGAGCAAACGAATATGTCGAGAAACGCGATATGAAGAAAAAAAAATATTTGCCATGTCCACGATATATAAAGAGCCATGATACCAAAACGGGGGGTGCGGGGCGATATGTAGAATAAAATACAAAACAATATTCTAATGGTTATAGAAACCAAGAACGGTGGCAACTAGAGCTATTTATACTGCGGTGCTTCTAGTGTTCAAGGCTGGAGGGAACCGTTGGGGAATAAGACAATGGCTGATAGATATTATACGTGACGGCAACGAAATTTAGGCAATACAAATCGGGATGTGGGGTGAAAGCCCGCGCAATGCTGGAAAAGAAAGTGGGAAACACGAGAGGCACGATCAGTCGTAGAACTTGCGATTTTCATTCTTGCCGAAGAGCATCTCTCTGACTGTGGGTAGGGAGTCGGCTTCCAGTAATCTCAATCGCTCTTCAAGTGTGTTGTTGAACTCGATTTTCCCATTGCTTCCAAGAACGATGACGCCTCCGGCACTGATATACTCCGTCAGTAATTTGGTATCAATTAAAGATAATATGAGACAGACGGGGTCGACTTACGAATCCTCGACGAGCGGCTCGCTCTCGTCAATCTCCACGGTAGTCTCCTTCCCGGCCTTGTCCTTGAATTCCTTGGAAGCAGCTTCGGCAGACTTCTTGACCGTTTCATAGTCCGCCTTTCTAGCCCTGACTTGCACCTTGCTCTCGTTCAGCGCATAGAGACCCTCGAGAATGAGCCCGGTCAGTATTTTCTCGTAGTTGGCGCCCTTCTCCCCCGTTGCAGCCGTGGTGACCTCCTCTCTAGCTCGCTCAAACAGATCGTCCAGCAGCCCCTGTCTGGCAGAGAGAACCCGTAGACGAGTCTTGTTGGCGAGCGTGGATTGGGTGATCTGCTGCGTCATGCTAGCCTGCTTGAACTTCTTCTCGTACAGCTGGTCGATGGATGCGGTTTCCTGTCGTACGAGCTTCGATTTCTCAATGGCGAATTCCTCGTCTGCCTTGAGGTTGATCTCCCGGGCCTTCTCGAAAGCTTCCTGTCGGATGAAGGCGGTCATCTTGCGGAGCTCACCCGCGACCTATATGGACGGCAGAGTCAGCACATAGCCTGCGTCGACGGTGCAAAGGAATGGACCTACCTGGTCGTCTGAAAGAGCATGGCTTTGGGACATCTTGACGCAATGGATTTGACCTGGGGCTGAGGCTACAAGCTATCAAGTCAGGAGCCGAGAGCCTGAATAGAATAAGCAGCTCAGGATCCCTGAGAGAGTAGAGAGTAGAGAGTACAGAGTATGAGTATGATCGAGTGTCAGGAGAGCGCTTGGTGGTGTAGATGTCTGTCGTTCGCAGCCACCTGGAGTGGAGCGTCACCTGCTCTCCACCCGGAACAACCAACTGAACTGGCATCCCAACGACCGCATCCTCCAGCGCAGTTGCAGCTATCACCCGGCCATGCCATCACGACCAGCGTCAGCGCTCCGATCTCTCTCTGCTCGCGTATATATCTGAGTCTCGCGCGCGCTCCCGTCTCCTGGAACCCGCCAGCCATGTCTTCCAGCCAGTAGCAGCGCTACAGGCTCCAGCTCTCACCGTCCCCTTTACCCTTGCTGGATACCAATGCATGGGGATACTCGAGATGGGCCTTGGTCACCTGTCGCCCGCAGGAGGCATTGCAGTACGTCTTTCTTCTCTTTTCTCCTGCTCTGTCTCTTTCTGTGAGAAATTTTTGCTGATTCTCTGTCTTGCGACGGGTCTAGGTCGGTGTCCTAGTCGGCGTGATATCTACTAGTTTACAGGCCGTCGGGCTTACGCTTCAGCGGAAATCGCATATGCTTGAAGATGAGAAGTTTCCTTACGATACACGCAGGCCGGCCTTTAAACGGAGACGATGGCAGGTTAGTGGATGGCTGCTCGACGGGGTTATGGATATTGGTATGGATAGACGAATGCTGACGCCACGATTAGATTGGCATGTTCATGTTTGTCAGTGCCAACATCGTTGGAAGCACTATACAGATCACGACGTTACCTCTTCCGGTGCTCTCGACATTGCAAGCAGTGCGTCTCCAAACCTGGCCCCTCATCCCTCTGTTCTTGGAATCTAACGTGTCCAGTCCGGCCTTGTTTTCAATACCATCTTCGCAACTCTGATCCTCGGCGAGCCATTTACACGCTATTCGGTCATCGGGACGTTTCTAGTATGCGCAGGCGCTATTTTGATCGCGACCTTTGGAGCTATTGGTGAACCGGCGCACACCTTGGACCAGCTGCTCGAGCTCCTAGTTCGACCTCCGTTCCTCCGCTGGATGGCTGGAACCGCGGTGGTCGTTATGCTTTTGGTTCTAGGAGCTCGTGCCTTGAGGGTGGCCTCTACTCCGGGCCAGACAAGGAATTACATGTCCGTATGGTCTCTACCGCCACATTCATACCATAGCCCCAGGATAAAACTGTTCCGCGGAATGATATACGGATCTCTCAGTGGCATCTTGTCGGCCCACTGTCTTCTTCTCGCAAAGACTGCAGTCGAGCTAGTGGTTCGAACGATTGCCGACCAAGAAAACCAATTCGTTCGATGGCAGTCTTGGATTATCCTGCTAGCCCTCGTTTCCTTGGCCCTGACGCAGATGTACTATATGCACCGTGGTCTGAAACTCTGCAGCACCAGCATCTTATACCCCTATGTCTTTTGCATATACAACATAATCGCGATTCTAGACGGTTTAATATACTTTCATCAGACCTCTCAGCTTTCTGGATTACACGCTGGACTAATAGCTGTTGGAACCGTCATACTGTTATGCGGAGTTCTCTGTCTATCGTGGAGATTAGAAGACGTCTCAGCGCACCCGGGACAGGCCGCCGTGCCGCCTCCAACAACAGCTATTGGGCCCGGTTTGGGTTTAATAGAAGAACCAAGCGCCTCACCAACGTCATATACCGACCTAACATATCCAGGCGACGAAGAGTCACGCCCTGGTGAACGCCAACCCTTACTCCTCCATACACCCCGTCACCGACACCAACAACCTACCACCTTCAGTCATCCTCACCGCATTTCAACACTCCCCCACAGACGCACCACCAACTCAGGCCTTGAGGCCGCCGAAATATGGGCTGAACTCCGAGATGACCAAGACGACGAACTTGACGACCATCGAGACTCTCTTGTTCGCTCGGCGTTACTCCCTCCCGATTCTCCCTCCTCGCTTCGTCGACATTCCAAACGACAGCGCCGCAAGAGTGCAGCCTCTCTAACGGCCACAACCGGGCATCGACGTCTATTTTCTCTTTGGGGAACGCCCGGTGAGACCCCGGTACCTACAGCAAATGGCGTAAATAGCGGGGAAAACATAAACCCCAAGGAGTCGGCCTTATTCAGAGGTCTTTCCTGGCGGCCGCGGCAGGCTCTAAGAGCAAATAGACTGAGTTTGCGTCGGACCCCCACCCCGTTAATCACGGAGCAAGGCGCGACCCATCGTGGCTTGGTAGAGCGAGATGTTGGCTCCAATGCTGGCCAAGCTTCAGCCGAGGAGGCTGTAGCAGTTGGGGACGAAACATCTGCAGCACCTCAGTCGAATGTTGATCCTCAAAATACGACGGGGATCCTCGCATCTACCGACTCATCCCCTTATAACAACGCCGGCCAGAGTGCTGGCAGGATCCCCTATACAAGACGTGTGGGCCAGTTATGGAATTCAGGGACTCACTGGTTTAGGTCCTTTATTCCAGGAAATGCATCTAATGATGATTGAATATATTTGTGTAATTAAAGAGTACCGACATATAACTTTGTATTAGTTTTGGAGGCACCATAGAACAATAATTCCTTGTTAAATCAGATCCCTACCATTATCGGTAGAGGCTTACAGCATGGTATCGGTAAATTTATAAAAATAAACTACCTTTCCCCTCTTTGAAGGCCATGCTTCATGAAACACGGCTGAAACTCCTATATATGCATAGTTGCTACTCCACATAAGAGGAACAATTCGCCGAATCCAATCAATTGGCTGAGGAAGTTTCCAGCTTTCTTAGTGTACCTTGCTCAGCCAACATTCCATCCATCGGCTGAACATCCCTACGGCTTGTTGCATGGCTTGTCCCGCGCCAAAGGGCGAAGTTCTATTTGTCTATCTGCGTGCTCTATACAAACCTGCGCTCTTTGTCCGCCGTTACCCCCTACCACAGAGCACAACAGTGACAACTAGCATCCACCCACTTGGCGGATCGACTGGTGTTTATGCAGTGAAGTACAGGCGAGTTCGTATAAGAGAAGGATATACGCCGAACATTCTGTAGTTAGTTAGTATGTAAGTGATATCAATTCGCTCAGCCTCCTCCCTATCCACTCCTCTATATAGCCGCCCATCTCAGCCCTCTTCTTTTCCTGCTTCGAAAGAAAAAACACATCTTCTTACCTGTTTTCTAGGTATTTCATTCTCCTGAACATCAACCTGATCAAATACTATCCACCATGAAACTTCTATCTTTGCTTCAAGCAGGCTTGTTGACTACCGGAGTAGTGTCGCAAAAAGTCGCCTTCGTTGGTACCTATTCCAACGCCATCACAAGTCTCAGCTTCGATACGGAAAGTGGCGAGCTGAAAGTAGCGGGGAACAACTCTGGCTCTAACGCTCCATCATGGCAAGAAATCTCTAAAGATGGGAAGTTGTTGTATACCATCGAGGAAACGTCGGCCCAGAATAGCTCAAGAGGTGCTTTGACGAGTTACTCTATTTCTCAGGATGGGAAGCTCAAGAAGCTGAGCTCTGCCCTGGGACTGGCAAGCCCTGTCTCCCTGAGCATCAGTCCGGACCAGTCGATAATCATCACTGCTAACTAGTATGTTTAACCCCTTCTATCATATATGTATATATGTTGTATACTGATATCTTCTAGCGGCGCTGCTGGTGCTTCAGCATACTCTGCAAACAAAGACACTGGAGAAGTCAAGCTGCTTGGAGATTTCATGTTCAAACTAGATAAGACAGGACCAGTGCCTGATCGTCAGGACGCTCCTCATCCGCACCAAGCACTCTTCGAGCCAAAAGGCGAATATGTCCTCATGCCCGATCTAGGCGCAGACTTGATCCGCGTCCTCAAGATCGAAAAGGGGCCGAAATTCACCGTTGCTCCTCCTGCCAAAATCAAAGCCGGCACTGGACCTCGACATGGTGTCCTCTACCCGGCCACGGACAAGCCGAAGTTCTACTACGTTGTTGGCGAGCTTTCCAATACCGTTACCGCATTCTCCATGGAATATACGAATGAAACCATCAAGTTGACCGAGGTACAAACCATCTCGACGCTTCCAGAAGGCAAGACCGGAGCCGCTGGTGAAATCATCCTCTCGCCTTCTGGCAAATACCTGTATGTGTCGAATAGGCTCGACAAGGTCTTTCCAGATGCTAGCTCTGTTGCTCAATACTCCATTGATGAGAAGTCCGGCAAGCTGAAGCTGCTTGAGATCTTTAACGGCGGTGTCGAAAATATCCGACACATGACTATCCATCCTAGCGGGAAATGGTTTGTGACCGAGGGTCAAGACTCGGGCACCATCAAGGTGTTCACCCTTGATCCTGAATCTGGAAAGGTGAACACCGAGGCCAAGTCGACGCTGAACATCCAGAAGCCTGTTTGCCTACAGTGGTGGAACAATGGCGCAGAAGAAGACTCCGAGGCCGAATGTGAGCTTGCCGACTAGTTACGGTGGTTGAGATATGCCTGCAGCTCCAAGGGCTGGCCCTATTAAGGCTGCTTAAAATTGACATTTAGCTAGCATATTTTATAGACGAGGAATATGATTTACGTTGCGCATCAAAAGCAAGGCAGGTTCTTCGTAATCGTAGAGGTCTTCATTGAGTCATAAAAATCCTAGGGAAGAGGTGGAAGATAGAATAAGAAAAGGGGTCATCAAGGTAGTAATATAGAACACGGAACATTGTAGATCTACTTATGATATCGCCGTCACCTCCTTGGGCCACTTGAGCCACGACGCCCACTCATCCGGCAGCGTCGAATCAATCGAGTTCACAAGATATCTCGCCCACCCATGCATATACCACTGATCATCCACCCGCTGCAACAATGCAGCATAATAGGCGAGAATCACCAGCGCCTCTGGCCGTTGCTCGCTCAACAAAACCAGAAAATGTTGCGGTATAGCTATAGGCCACACGAAGATGACCGGCACAAAGTCCTGTCCCCGTTTCATCAGCACAAAAACCTGGGTATATGTGTTGACCAGCTCGTGAATCGCCCAGGTGTATGCCGTGGATGCTTCACGGCCACCACCACCACCAGAGCCAGCGGTATCCGGCGTACCCCCTTCTGTACGGTCACCGGATGACCCAGTACATAGCTGGAACAGTTCTGCTACTTTATCGGCATCGCACACGTCGTGAGCAGCGGCAGTTTCATGTATCATACCTTTCTTCAGCAGCGGAGCAAGGAAGCTTTGAGATAATGGCTCCCACTGTGTCTGAACCACAGAGTTGCAGCCACGAACCATATGGAACCAGTCGAATATCTCCTTTTGTATACGCGTGTCTGCATCTATACCTACTCCCAGGGTAGGTCGAGGGGTAGCAAAGGTCAGCGCAACGACAATGCATGAGAAGGCAAAGATAGCAACGCAGTTATGCGGGTCGACGCGATTTAGCGCCTCATGGAAGAATTGCACTGCGATGCTCTGGTGGGATGAGGCGCGGAGAGCCAATTCCTCTTGTCGGCTGGGGTTGAGACAGGCAAGATGCAAGGCTGAGACGGCCAGGATGCCTCGAAGTAGAAATTCATGCTCAAATCCTAGCCTAACGACCTGGATCTGCCAGAGTTCATGGTGTGCCCCTGCTGCGCCGGACGGGAGAGTTTTATACGTGAAAGTCGTGTAGTGGTGTAGGAGCTCGAGGTCGGGGATGTTTGCCGCCGCGAAGGGGCTGTTGGGGGCCACGGCTGTGCCGTTCAGCGTTGACGTCGACGTCGATGTTGACGCCGGGGCAGGAGTAGGGGCCGGCTCCAGGGGAGTCAGCACAGATGCCGTCGACGCTGCGGGCGTGATTGGAGCTGTATCACCATGGCTGAAGCTACGATTGTTGGAAGCAGGCCGGGAGACGGAGCTGCTGACGGACGCTGGCGGCGTTAGGGTTGCAAGATCGCAGTCGATCTGTCGTCGGGCACAATTGGAGCATTGCGGAGGTGTTTCATCACACTAGCATATCCCTCCTCAGATCAGCATGGTTTCTACGGTAGAGGTATGGTGGGTGGAATATTTAATGAACAGGATGTACTTTTATACGGCGAGATTTGCACTGTCGACAGCCGCTGCGAGATTTGGTATGAGAGCGACGAGGCCCCATTATATCTTCATCATCAAGACAGTCAAGGCTGGTACATTATACAGACCTCACCAGCCCGTTGTCTTTTATATCTCTTGTCTACGGTGCAGACATATACATGACTCGTGCTGGCGAAGGAATGCTCACGTAATCCTCGTATTCATCGCTTCTCCAGCTCTACGTGGCTATTATTTACGTGTTTGTACGGGGAGATAGATCTAGAGACATGATATCAATATTACTTCGTTGCATCTCCATCCTATCTAGTATGACGTGGCTGTTATCACGATATAGACGAGTCTTCTACTGCCAAGCCGAATATTCCTGCGCAGGTCAAAATGATATAGAGTAGCAGGATCACTGCTATGCGAGAGTCATAGACTAGACTACCTCCTGACTCATAATGATATCTAATGCATATCCAAGTGAATATACAAGTCACTGTCGAATATGTTGGAAGGTGAGCTGTCGTAAGTGGCAAGTAGCGCCGGTCGGATATATATTTCTCCGTATATGTTCTGCTTACCTAAGATGAAGACTGAGCTGAAGAATCAACCTGAAGAAGGCTCGATCCTTGTCTAGTAGCCTAGCATAGTAGGATGCCTCGTAGTCTAGCATAGTCCAGAGTCCAGTCTAGTCGTCCATAGTCGTAGTCCATAGTCCAGAGCGTAGTCTAGTCCAGTGTGATGTCTCGTCCAGGCCAGTTCCCGTGTCCATCGCTTCCAGAAGGCTGTGGCGTGTTTGAGGTCCAGAGGCGCAGCTGGTGAAACATCTCTCCTCCTTCATCCTCTCTTCATCGTGTCTCTCTCCTTCATCCTCCCTCACTACCATCGTGTCTCTCTCCTCTCTCCTCTCTCACTATCTTCTCACTACTCTCACTATCGTCTCTCTCATCGTATCTCTCTCGTAGTCGTAACCTTACTAAGTATACGGGGTAAGGTATGTAAGGTAAGGTATGTATGTATGTAAGGTAAGAAGATACCGGCCCGAGATGATCCGGGACAGACTAGGCAGGCGACCCGCCTTTTCCCCCTTTCAGCGACGCGGCTTTTCCTATTTCTACCAGATCGCTCGCCCTCCCCGAGTTTCTCATCCATCCCGCGACCTTACCCAAACCTGTCACTCTGCCTCCCCAGCGCGTTACTCGATTCGGCCGGCCTTCGACCACGCCAAACATCATTCCTCTTTCGGCCACTCTACGTCCACTCGACGCTCTCCAGTGCCAACCTCGCGACCACCTTCGCCTCGCCCTCGTTTGTCTCTGCAACCAGCCATGGCCGACGTCGCTGCCGTGCCCCAGGAGAACCCGTCGCCGTCCCAGGACGACCTCGTCCCGCCGACCGGCAATGGCTCTGCGGCCATGGACTCGCGCAAGCGGCCGCGCCCTGCGGCTGACGACGACGACGACGACGACGATAAGCCCGGCCGTGAGCGCCGCAAGATCGAGATCAAGTTCATCCAGGACAAGTCCCGGCGCCACATCACCTTCTCCAAGCGAAAGGCTGGCATCATGAAGAAGGTAGCTCACTTATACAGTATATCTACAGTAACCAGCTAACGACTCTCCAGGCCTACGAGCTGTCCGTCCTCACCGGCACGCAGGTGCTGCTGCTCGTCGTGTCCGAGACGGGCCTCGTCTACACCTTCACCACCCCGAAGCTACAGCCGCTCGTCACCCAGTCCGAAGGCAAGAACCTCATCCAGGTATGCCCCGTATATACACGTCAATGTCTCTGTCAACGTCAATGCTCGCATATACTGACCGTAGCAGCGCTGTCTGAACGCACAGGAGCCCACGGGCACGGAAAACGGCGTCGAGGCCCCAGAAGTGCCCGCAGACTCGCCCGACGAGGTCACCCAGGCCACCGTCGCCGCCCAGCAGCAGACCGCCATACCCACACGCCCCATCCACCCGGGGTACAACATAGCTGGCATGACCAACGAGCAGCAGCATCAGATCGCGTACTACCAGAATCTCCAACAGCAGCAACAGCAGCAGCAGGCACAGGCCGGAGGTTAGTACTCGCGTATACGCATAGCCCCTAGTTCCATGATACCCTTCGTGTAACTCCCAGCGAGAACGTTCCTATCTTAACATTTACTTTTACTCCCTCTCTCAATTGGCACTAACCGTTTGTGCACGCAGAATACTAAAAACACAAAATCTCACTCGAATGCTTTTGCCTATGCTATTTCTCTGCCGGCATTCTAGGCCGGAATTATGGGATTCTATCGGCTTCGATCTCCCTCTCGACTCACCATCTTTTGTCCCTTTTTACCATGTTTTTAGATTATAGCCTTCCGAATCACGCCTTGAGTCATGTCGACCCGTCCCAGAGCAGCAGGTTCTCTCCCACGTTGAACTGCCGGAACACGCCGTCGACATCAGTGCAAATGATTCCTGTTATATGATACCATTAAGCGGTGGATCCCATGGGATCGTATGTCTACTTAAACCCGCGTTTACCCTGTCTATCGTCTGCCTTTTTGTTTTTTATTTTCCCTACCAAACATATTACACACGGGGGTGGGGGTTTATATCGGAAACCCAGGAAAGGGTGGGGGTTATGGTGTTTTGTATCTCATTATGATAAATGTGTGTGTTGTTTTGTTTCTCTCCCTCTCCTGTCTTGCCCCCTTCTTTTTTTTACCCGCTATCCCTACCCGCCGATGCTGTTTGCTCTTTTATATTTATTTACCCATGTTACGAGCGATCGGAAAGAAGCGAGCGAGCGGACGGGAATGAGAGCATGTCTAAAAAACACCTGCGAGTTATCTGTATTCTTCTGCTTTCCTTGCTGGTCATAATTCATACCATAGGTAGCTTTATGTTCCTGCGTATATTGATATACTTATCATCGTTGCATGGATATTTAAAGCCTTATGCGATGAGTAAATTAATACATTTACATACATACATATTATCGTCTTCTCTGTTCATTCTTCTCTTTTATTAGTGCCCAGCCAATGCTATTTATAGCTCATCCAACTTCATCACCACAATCTGCGATCAACTTCAACCTCCAAGCTATCCTCCAAGCTCTCCTCCAAGCTATGAACCTCGGATGTACGGAGTAAAGCTCAAGCAATAAACGCTAGTACGTCCTATGCACGCTTTACTGCAGAGTGCGACTCTACAACATGAGTGGTTGAGGGCAAAATCACATTTAGCCGCCGAGATGCTGCAACCCGCCACCATCCCTGCCAATGGGGCGGCGCATCACCAACAGAGATGGACATCGACATGGGGGTATTTATCGCCATGTCCTCGCCGTCTCTCTCTATTTCTGTCTCTGTCTGCTGTTTTCTTCCTTATACCCTGTCTACGGATATTTCACCTGTACTCTACAAAGTAATATCCGAACCAGCTTGCTCATGCATAGATCGACATCTAGGTGATAACATATATCGACTCGGCCGTTAGCAGCCGACGAAGAAACCTGCAAGGAACCGTGGATGTGCGATCACCGGTGTTTACACTGATATATACTTGCCCTGCCAATCGAGGTTCGACGTTGACGCCTTTGGGCTGGAACTGAAGTGAAGATGGCGATTAATATCAACAAGGTGTTGACCGGCTATATTATTGCGGACATCCTCTTCCTCGCAGGCGGCATTATCCTGCTCCTGGGATCGCGGCTGGGTGAAGCAAGTCTAAACAATGAAAGGGACATCGAGAACGTTATGCGGTTGCTCCTCATACCTCGTTGTCCGATAATACGTAGGTCAAGCCTTTTCCATGTCCCGTTATTCATGGACTACATCGGTTGGTATGATATTAACTTGAAGACATATATAGCTGCCTTGGCCAACGCGATCTGCGTTTTCGTAACGTTCCTCTGCTCGATACCGGTCGTGATATTTCCTCGAAAGGGGAAATGGCTACAGCTTCATGGCTGGCTACTTGTTTTCACCGGAATACTCACTCTCAGCGTTGGTTTGAGTGTTTGGTATCAAGCGTTAATGACTCGATCAACACTACAACCGATGTGGTCCATGGAATCGGACAATATGCAAAGGTTGTTGCAGGAAAAGGTAAGTCGATATTCTTTTCACTAGATGCTTGTCGGTATTATGAGTCTAATTCGGTTGAATTTAGTTTAATTGCTGTGGTTTCGAGAATAGCACGTCCCCTATATATCACTATGACTCGACTTGTCCGTCCGACCTGCTTGCCGCGCAAAAGCCAGGCTGCATAGGCCCAATGTCAGACTATGCATACATGTTCTTTGGCAATATATCTACCGTTACTTTTGCTATTGTTGGTAAGTTTATTTGTCTGGCACCCGGTCATCTTTAATCGACATGCTGATGAATGGTTTCTATCCTAGCAATCGATAGCATTTTCCTCTTATGTGTAGCTATGCTATTCAAGGACCGAAAGGATAGGACAAGATACCGCTTGATAGACGAAAAATACGAACTCGGCATGAGGCAGACATGAAGCCTATTAGAGGAATTGTACTATGACCTGTGTACATTATGATATTATGACGATTTATTTGCATTTCAGCCATATGATTGATTTCTACTAGATGTAAAGCAAACGAGCCGGAATTACCCATGCAAATGACAAATGATGCCTTAATATACAACGAGACAAAGTATTGATCTAGCTCTCAACATCCCCTAACAGAAGTTGCAACATTGCGCGGGGTGCAGAATGCAGAATGCAGACGCAAGAACAAACACATCCCATTCCATGCAAATGCAACATGAAGAAAGTGGTTAATGAAAATCAAACAACAAAACAAATAAGACGAAAAGAGATAGCTGGAAAGATAGCAGAAAGCCGTGTTTTGGCGCCACTGACCGAAACGCCCCCGTTTCTAGTTGAATACCCGCCATTCCATCCGGCATTAGAGAGAATTAATCTGCTTTAAAAAAAGGAAAATGATATAGTGAAAATGGGTTTTGGAAAGAGAAAAAGAAGAAGAAGAAGAAGAAAGGGACGGGCCCGAAGAAGTGCTTGTAAAAGACCATCTGATTTAATTTTGGCAATCCGTTATGGAATCAGGCTGTTGGAGGGTTATACAGAAGGTCACTGCAATTACTCCGGTGTCATGCTGGATGTCTAAGTGTTTATTGCCTTTGAAGCGTGTATGGTTCGCTGAATGGGAGGCAAAATGAAGAATGAAGATTGATCAGATGAGAGAGTCGGAGGTGATGGTTTTGTAAAATTTTGTGATGGAATAGATCATGCTTTCTGTTTCCCGGCTCTCCCGTTGGCCGCCGGCTTCGTGGCTTCTACTGAGATCATATCTGCAGTAGTTCCGTTCTTCAGTTTACTCGGCGCAGCAGGCTTTTGGCCCTTTAATTTTGTTGGAATGCCGAACTCCTTCTTTTTCTTAATTGGGCCGGCATTCTCTTCTTCGCCTTCACGGACTCGTTTCCGTGCGTTTGCAGGCTGTGATGGCCCAGGAGTACTGACCTCACTATTGGTGAGCGGGGTGCGTATTCGGCTTTGTCGCGTGGATATGCCCAAGCATCTGTCGAGATGTTGAGCACTTTTGGTGAGAAGGAAGTAGCGTGGACAGTTCGGACATTTGGTTGTAGGGACATAGATTTTATCTTGTTTCGGTTGTAGGAGGGGGTTGGGGCCAGGTGTTTCGGGGATAGATGGCGGACTGGAGCCGGGTGTGCCTGATGTAGGCTGAGTTTTCTTTTTCTTGGTGATTTTCTCCACGGCGAACAGGTGGCCGTGGACGTCCCTGCCGTGAAGGTTAACGGGGGGCTGTTTGCGACAGTATTCTCTGTTGGGATCCACAGGTCTTGATCCTTCTCCGAATGCTGGATATAATAGGCGTGGGAGACGACAGTTGGGACATATTATCTCTTTAATTTTATCCAAGGGGTTACCCTTGAGGTAAACCTTCCCACTGTCGAAAATGGCACTGTCGGTTTCCAGTCGAACGCCTCTGGTCTTTACGACGTTCTCATGTGCAGCCGACGTGCCAGCATCAGCTGTTCCGTTGGGCTCTTCGCCCGAGTCTTTGACCTGGGTCGACTCTTCGGCAAGCTGTCTTGCGACGACTACAGCTGTTTGCTGGCGTGCGACTTTCTCCTCCTTGTGGACTTTTGCCACGATGTCATGAATAATGTTGTAGAAGGTATCATCCAGTATCTGGCGAGTCTGATAGAAGAGTTAAAATTGCCCGCCTATGTGTTTTCTCCGAAGCCCCTGGAGCAAGGATGGTTCTGAGAAAACACTTACAAATTTGGCGATATCGGAAGAAGACATAGAACCACTTTCTACGGCTTCTTTACCCTTTTCTGGACCAGCCATAGTTGGAGCTCCGCCTTCTAAAAACATGGCGTTAGAAGACGTTTGGAAAGGGTGTGAGTGTATGATAAGGGGGATTCTTCAAGACAAGCAGCGTAGACCTGAGAGGGAGACGAAAGAGGAGGAAACAGGTAGACGACAAGAGAGAAGAAACGGGCAGAGACTGAAGTCGTGTTGCTGCGTATAAAGTTCGGAGTGTGCCCCTTGGTTGACAGCACAATAGCACCGGGGCTCATTGATGGACTAACCCGCTTATTGAGAACTCCCTCGGTGTCCGCCAATGCCAAAATGTGACATCAGCCTGACATGCTTCCATGAAGTGTTTTATCCAAGGACAGTAGATCCAGCGCCAATACCAAATAGATAGAGTATATCCCTCGTAACCTGGGTAGCCGCTGAATCGGCGCGAGCGTTATTCGGGCCGGGCGGGCGTTGGAACTTGGGGTAGGAGTCTGCCGTGCACTAATGGTATATCCAACTCCGGATGCCAACGAATCGAGTCGAGAGGTAAGGTCTATCTCTACTAAAACAGCTTCAAGGCGTTAGAATTCAGGTAGAGCGTCTTAGGGGAGTCTTGGGGGAGGCTGGCGGTCCCTTCCGGGGAGACAGGCCTGCTTGCAGCGGCGAGTTACGCACTTGGTGCCCTGGAGGTTGGGCCTAACTGCTTGACCAAGAGTCCCGGCGTCTCCTTCTGAGCACCGTCCGTACAGCTTGAAGAGAGAAACAGGAGACAGGCGGCCGAGCTGAGCAAAGCCTTTGGCTAGAATGTCCAGCGTTCGCCTGCGGTTAATTATGTTTTCTTCCCTTTTTGCCCAGCTTTTGCTTAACTAAGGCAGCTTAATCTTATCTTATCAATCTGGGCCATCTTCCCAAAAACTTCCAGATGTTTTGTTCCACGCGCGCAGGGAGGATGACTTGACGGCGTCAGGAGAGAAGACCAGCGTGGCCACACGACGATGCTAGCTATATAACGGCTCCTTGCCCCGGTTACTGTTTACTGCTTCCTCGCGCTCTGGCTGGCTGGTTTCCGATAGCCCAGCATGTCGCGCCTCTTCTCCGCATCGAGGTCATCGCGGCCCTCCCCTCTGCCCACCACGAACCCAGCAGCATCCGGACAGCACAGTACCGATACGGCAGACCGAACAAACCTGAAGTTGACCTTCAAGAGCGCCCTCCCGCCTATGCAGCCGAACGCCGTCGTCCCGCCTCCTCCGATAAGCTCGACAGCAGCCAAATCCAACCCCGCATTCCAGAATCTCACCCCTTATGCCCATGTTGCGGCATCTACATCTACTCCCCATCCTCATGTCACCGTCAGCCAGGTCAAGACAGCTCACGTACCTTCGCTGATGCGAATAACTGGCCTGCTTCTCCCAGTTCGATACCAAAACTCCTTCTACACCGCCACTATAACGGACCCTTTCGTCGCATCCGTCTCGCGCGTCGCCTTATACCACCAACATCCGCTCACAAACGTCTATGGGACGGCGTATTCAGCAGCTAAGAGCTTGCCTTCTTCACCTCCTCCTTCGCTGCCCGGAACAGATAAAGTCATCGGTGGGATACGCTGCCGTTTGGAGCCCGCTACCCTCCCTCACCCTTCCTCTACCACCAAGGCAACAGCATTAAGGCCAGTCGTCAACTTGTACATTCAAACTTTGCATTTACTCTCTCCCTACCGGGGAAGCGGTGTTGCGGCATCGCTGTTGAACTCTCTCATCTACTCTGATGACCCCGACTCTTCGAAGAACACGCCACGCCGTGTTTCTAACATGGTCAAACATTACAATATTCGTACGGTAACCGCCCATGTTCATGAAACAAACGAAGAAGCTTTGGCCTGGTATGTTGCTCGTGGCTTCGTCGTCGAAGACGGTGTTCTTGAGGGTTACTACCGTCGCTTGACCCCGGGAGGCGCAAGAGTAGTGAGACTCGACTTGAGCTGGGAAGACGAAGATGATAGTGTTGCAGAAGACGACGTCAACGCCGGAAACGACGATGAAGATTGGGAGAAGGTGGAGGTGCATGATTTAAACACCGGCGAGAAACTAGATGATTATCAGCAGATCAGCCGCAGCTCCGTCGACGAGCTGGAGGCCGGACGAGAGAGTGTCAAGAGAGTGCGAAGAGAGTAATGGTTCCAAGTCTTCCCATTTAACATGAATTGCTTTCTATGTTCTTTTTCCTTCTCTTTTTCTTCCCTTTTTATCACTGGATACTTCCCTTAATATAAATCATATGCCCATCATGATACCCTTTGTTGTTCGTACCCCACGTTCTCTTTAACGGCCATACCCACATGAATTATACACCTCAGGCTTATGGTAGAATATATAGAAGAGCGATAATATATGGAATGTGTTATATATTCCAAAATCGAAGCATATAAGTCATTTTGTTAAATTGTCCAATAATAGATAGTCGTTCAGAATTATATACATCGCGAAAAGTGGTATCAAAAATTCTCGTAAGAGAGGGTATTTAAAAAAAAAAATTAAGATGAAATCCAAAGGGATAAAGGGTTATATATATATAAATAAGGGAGTGACGTGATGAGTGTTAGATTGCATAGTTTTCAGTATGCAAGAACAACTCGTCTTTATTTGGGTCATTCATAATGATGGTCTGCAGTTTCGCGACTGAATTTGCGACGTCAACCCGCATGCTCGGTGGCCCGCACACGAAGACACAGGTACGCCGACCAAACTCCTTGGAAAACTGCTTCAACATAAAGGGTATATCAGGGCGGCCATATTCCGTTTTCCAGCCATCCCTCTTCTGCCGGGGGAAAAAGGCAAACCGCATGAGATTCTTTTGCAGCATCGTCGGAGTAGTGGGGAAGCCAAAGTTGAGATTATCGTTATACTCAGGGGACGACTCGTAGCTGTTTGGATTCTCGGGGAAATATGGGTTAAGATGTCCGGTTTGTATACGCGGACGGACGGCCATATGCGCATTTGGTAGTGCGGATATGCTATCCTCGTTCTCCCGTCGCAGCTCTCGCTCCTTGGCCTCATCTCCAGCAGCTTCTTCTCGAATAAATGCCGAGTTTCTCTTGCTAGCAACCCCCTGAAAGACGTCGTTGAGTTTGTCGTGGAAGATACCGCTATGGGGCCGCGATTGGGAAGGCACTTCGGAATTTCTGTCGTGTCGTTTTGCACCAGTTAAATAGAAATTACAGATCATAGAATTAGGTGGTGCGCATTCTCGACAGATCCGCAATTCTTCCTTGAACCACTCCATGGTGTCCGGTCGTTTGAGGGCCCAGATCACCTTTACGGTCCTAGTCCGCGCTTTTCCATCACGCATCCTCTTGATTAGATCGAGCAGCTGGCTTGCAATGGCGGTTATCCCACTTCCGCCAGCAAAAAATATGACGTCGTCGAAGGAAGACAGCTCTCTGCGGACACCACCATAGGGTCCATCTATAAATGCTCTATAGGTCTTGTATGGGCCTTTCTCTAAAGCGGCCTCGAGCACCCTCCTAGTAAATCCGCCAAAGGGCCGAAATACAAGGGTCATATCCCGGTACTTTGAACCGTAGCTGGATGGAAAGTCATCACTGCATAGAGAGGCAATGGTGAAAGGGTGATTCTCAAGCACAGATATCCCTGGCATACGAAGGTACACATATTGGCCAGGTCTCCATTTCATCTGGGTGGGTATCGTCACCTTGACCGCATTTTCAGGGAGAATGGTGACCGCTGATTCTTCTCCGATCAGAAAGGAAAGTCGAAACGGGTTCATCCAGTTTAGGTAGAAAAGCCTAGCAAGGTATGAAACCCCCCAGAGTGCGAGAGTTGAAATCAAGTAATGCCAGGAGGTGAGGAAGTTGTTGCAGTGCCAAAACATCATTGCGAGGAAAATCATGGAGATTGGGATGTGTAAGGTGACGAATAACTCGTACATTCGGTTGCGCAAGACCGGTAGAGAGTGAACACAAAGGACGACGAGTGGTGCGAGCGCAGCCAGTCCCGATCCATATATGTAGTAGTTACCTCCAATGAATAATGTGAATAGGGGAAGAGCTCCATCCTCCCACACTGGAGTAATATAAAACGGAACCATGTGGACCAGAGCTAAGAAGAGGCAGAGATAGCCAGTCCACCGGTGAAGGACGTTTAAACGCTCGTGGCCAATGCCGGTGAACATGCTGATGAGATTGGGCTTTGTGCTCAGGGCAATGATCCACGGAAGGGTCGCAACAGCAAGCATGCCAGCTCTAATCGCGAGGGGCGGAGAGCCATCAGTGATATGAGGGTAATACAAAGGTTGAGGGAGGAAGCAGTAGAGTGTCACAAAGGTGAAGGCAAGCAGTACGAGGACAGCAGCTGCCAAAGATGGAGGGACAATCTCTAACTTGCCAAGTTTTATGACTGGCAAAGGGCGATAAAATATCCATCTGGCAAAAGCAATGCCGTTATTTACCCAGCCTATAGAGGAAAGAGCTGAGTCTCGCTTTGGCGGCTGAACGAGCGGGCCCGTAGCAGGGAAAAAGGCTTGATGAGAATTTGCCGGACTTGGTGTAACAAGTTCATAATCTGATTGCGGCGAAAGCGTTTGACCAGGGCTAAATAGCTCTTCCTTGCGCAATGCGGCTCTAATCTTATCGCCCCATATTTGATATAACCGGAGGAAAAATGTCAGGACGAATAAAACGACCGAGAAGTAAACCCAGCCCAATGCATACTTAGAGGCCTGCGAGAACGGATCTTGTTGTGATGTTGCGAGTTGCTCCTCTGTGGTAGCGCTATTAATGGGGATATTGATTCGTTTGGCAAGTGAATGAATGTAGGATTCCGAAGTCAGCGCTGAGGCTATTATGGACCCCAAGCTTCCGGGAGCCATCCTGCCCCGGGATTATGGATAGACAAAGTTTCTAGGTGTCGAAACGGTTGCCAGAAGTGAAGTCCTCGGTCGGCAGGATTCTGTCGAGGGGTGTACCAAGCCTGTGGTGGGAAGGCCAGTTACGAATCCATTGCCCTTCAGACGAAGATATTCTCAAGATATCGGTCTTGTATCTTGTATTGCGTTTTCGTAATTCCAGCTTCCGCGCAGATCCGAGCCGCAAACCAAAAGCAAGAGTGAAAGTATTGATATTTAAACGAGAGAAAGTGTGTGTGTGTAATGCTGCGCCAAAGATTGCACAGTCACCTGCAAACTAAGTTGCTCCAACGTTTTATGTCAAAGAAAGTGAAAGCTTTGTGGTAGATATAGTCTGGCGAAGTAGGTTCAGCGGCTAACCGAAGGGAAAGCTGAACATTATATGTGACATGCGAGGCCAGATTCACAGATTGCATCGATCGACAGCGCAGAAGCATGGATATGAGAAAGGAGGGCAGGGATGGTGGAGATAAATAAGTAAACAGCTCCGACTGAGGGTATCTAGCCTTCCACGTTCAGCGGAAGTCAATGCAGATGGAGAAAAGCAATTTATACTCTGGCAACTCTGTCGCCCGATGGTGTGATGTCACAATAAACCAATGCAAGGCCTTTATACGGAATTTGTACTAAGAGGTTCAACATTAAAATGATCTCTCCGTACGAAAAAGGGCAATCGAGGCGTCACATATGGCTCTGGATGGATGGATTGCGTCGGCCGATCGTTTAGAAATCAACCTAGTCATTCTGTCGCGCCTGGGGTTTAAAAGCAAGCATGATCAAGCTTTTGCATGGTTGCGAGGAAGCCAGGGGTATATATACGGTAATGATATGACAGATACCTGCTTTCAGGCAGTTCAAGCAAAATATCCCTCTCATCACCATTGACATTGTGGAGCCTATTAGATGTGAAGAGAAGGCAAGCATTCCTACAGAGCACGAGCGACCCGGACCGGCCTGGCGAATGGGATGCTCGCGTCATGATCGGTTAAGGGTCACGGATCAGGGTTGATCAGGGTTGAGCGGCCTTGGTGGCGCCGAATATCGATTGGCCGCAGGCGGTTGCCCCTCCTTATACGCCAGAACTCAAATACGGAGTCAGGGTTCAGGGGAATGAAGGACTCCCGCACCGGATAATCGGGTTCTTCTTGCAGTGAAAAGAGACACACCGCTGAGATGCTACCATACAAATGTAGCCGCCGTGCAACACACGAGCATACCAGGTCCGCTCTCTTGGGCCGATTATTAGAAGCGTCATATGATGACGCACCGTGCGCCAGCCGAGATATAGAGGCGGGGTTTGGTAAATGTTTCTTCAACATATATACCTCCAGTTGCAGTGGTTGAGCGTATCCGTAGTCTAAAGAGGGTAAGTAGAGAGTTGGCTAGTCGGGAAGCCAGCGGAGAGAGCTGCATGCTCCACACATCTGCACGCATGCAACTGGACTGCAGCAACCGAAGACGCTCAGGACAGGAGGCACCGCAAAGGCCGCCGTTCCTCGGAGCGCTCGACTCCTCGTCGCCAACACGATATCTAGGGCGTTCATTGGCCGGGTAAAAACGAGGCCTTGAGCTTTATCGCATTGTGCAACCGCCTGCTGTTGATCAGTAGAGCACTCTCTGTCCAATCAGTAGGGCGAACGGCGGGAAAGCGAGTGACGGGCTGTGAAGTCTCATGCATTAGCCCCTCCGCTATTGCGCACATCCCGTGGTGAAGACCAGCATCTGTGTGTAAGTAGTTCGGCGGTGTCGGGCGAGCATTTGCACCGGCCACAGGCCCTCGTCGTGGAATCGGAGACATTTCACTGGAACCTGTGCCGTGATTGCTGCTCCCTTGATATCGATGGTAGTTTGTTGTTTAGATATTTTATATTTGAAGTCGTCTTTGCCTTTTTTTTATTGCCCAAAAGGGAGATGATCATGTGACCATGAGTAAAAGTAGCTGCCAAGAATTATCGCCGCCTTTGTTTATCGATTCTGCCGATGTAAATCCTAAAACAAACTTTTTATAGTGAGAAAAGATGAAGAGAGAGAAGTGTTTGATGTGATATAAATTCGGATCAATCGCAAGTACGGGAAGATGGCTGCGACTAACATGGCCGTAGAGGCACCAGCCGGGCCGCCGCATGCTACTCCGTCCTTTTCTATCTCTCCGGCACACCTGGCACAGCTCCAACCGCACACATTCGCCCTCGCACATCTCCAACCCTCCCCCTCAAGCTCGCGGCCATCAATACGTATAAATGGCAGGACTGACGCACAGTTTCGCCCGGCTTCCGTGAGCACCGGCTCACTTACACATACCAATGGCAGCGCTGTTGTCCGTATAGGTGACACTGCTGCCGTTTGTGGTGTTCGCGCGGAGATCCTCTATACCGATGATATCGCGTCCTGGAACGTCACATCAGCTTCGTCTTCGCGAAGCACAAAACGGAGAAAGACAGATAATACAAATACTCTATCTGAATCCGGCCAGGAGATCAGTAGTGAAGATGACGACTCGGATATACAATCGCTCAATTTACTCGTTCTAAACCTGTCGTTGAGCACTGGTTGTTCGCCAAGTATATCTGCCAGCGCACCGCCTACGGCCCTTGCGCAATCCCTATCACATCAGCTTCTGTCTATCCTACACAGCACGAAGTTGGTGCGCGCCGACGACCTGCGAATATGGTACACGCCAACTCAGGCCAAAAACTCCTTCTCTACAAGCGGGGGCGAAGATGTTGAGATGGGTGATGGAGAGAATGCCCCCGAACCGACTGTGGCACAGGAGCCAGAAATTAAGGCTTTCTGGACTCTGTATATCGATATCCTGATGGTATCCCTTGCCGGCAATCCATTTGATGTAGCCTGGGCAGCAGTAGTGGCAGCGCTTCGAAACACTAAGCTACCCAAAGCGTGGTGGGACATGGAGACCGAAAGAGTATTATGTTCAGACAGTATCTCCGACGCTAGTAGCTTACGATTGCGCGGAATGCCCATTTCAAGCTCCTTTTGCGTTTTTGAGGCCCATGGAATGGGTGATTGGAGGCGGGTTTTTCTCCCATTTGAGCAACAAAAGGGGAGAGGGAAGAAACTAGGTGCCTCCGGTAGTAATGACGCAGACGAAACTTATGATAAATGGATTTTAGCGGATCCTGACGCCTTTGAAGAGTCTCTTTGCCCAGAACGTGTATGCGTTGTGTTGGATGCAAGCTCGAATGTCAAAATCCTAAGATTAGAGAAGAATGGCGGCTTTTACGTGGGCAAGGACGAGATGAAGGATATTGTCAATTTGGCCACGGCCAGGTGGAAGGAATGGAAGATACTACTAAAAGACTAACGCCAAATAATCTAAGAATAACTCGAGGCATGGATATTTCCTCTCAAGAACATGAAGACCATTTATGCCGTGAAATTTCCATCCTTAAGAATGATCTTGAACAAGACATCAACCACTCCGACGTTAACGTAAATGCTTATCCTCTCAGAACGCCGAAAACTTGAAAGAAAAAACCAACAATAAATGGCCACCATTGTTTAGTTAGCCGGTCTATATCCGCGTCTCTTCTTCAACGGCGGGCCTTCATCCTTAGCAACAAGAACGGGAGAGGGACTCGCGGATGATGAAGGCTCTGAAGCGGGCTGGTCTTCTTCTTCCACCTGGCCTGTTCCGTCTGGCTCTGTGGGCAATGAAATTGATATCGAAATAAGCTCGGATCGAGGGTGAGGTTTCTTCTCTTTGGGGGATTTCTTCTTGCTGCCATCATCCTTATCTCCGGGTTTATCGCTCTCCACGCTCTTTACGTCAGACCCCTCACTACCAGGTTTTCCATTCTTAGATGTCGGTGACTTGTTGCCGAGTTTACCCATAATCCAAATCGCCCATTCCGGTCCTATCACCTTGCCTAGGAACCCTGGCTCGGATAGGCTGCTTTCAGCCGATTCGTCTTCGGTATCATCCTCGTCTTCGTCTTCGACCTCGTCGGAGAAATTCCACATGGTATGAACGTCACCCTTCACGAATGCCGTTCCCCAGAGCGCAATAAGTACTCCTGGAACAAGGAATAGTAGTGCAGGTTGTGGGTGATTCGATAGCTGCATCGACAAGAGGGTTGCAACCATACCGATAACATACCCAACCACACCAGCTGTAAAATAAGTTTTTGAAAATGTCTTCGCATTGTAATACTGCTTCTCCTCGTCGGGGACATTTGATGATTTAAACCCATAGCCCCAGATCCTTTCACCCCATCCGCCGGCAGCATTTCTATATTGGATTCGATTGTCCTCGCTTGAATCTGATTGTATCTGTTGTTTTTGATTCCGCAGGTAGTAGAGGTAAAGGTCAAATCGAAGGGCAAGCCCAATTATCAACCCTGGCACCACAATGTCGCCGAGGCCCAGCATTGCTCCTGCATCACTGGCTGGAGGAAGTCCAGGGGGAGGGGGTCGTGGAAATATGAGTTTAATTGGGATATCAAGTTTTGTGGCAACAGTCACCATCATGGGTGTGTAAAACACAAAGTAAATGTCGTAGAAGAACAGAGAGCTTAGTATCAGGGTCCCAGTCCAGAATGTCTGGGGTGACATGAATTGAAGTGCGCCGTAAGAAAAGCAGAATCCCAGGAAATTTGTGATCCACCAGGGCCGAGAACCAAAAACTGAGAAAAGGACAACAGCTGCTGATAATATTATTCCTAGTATATCAATGACGTTAAATCGGACTTTGAGATCCATAAGCGAACGGACATAGGCCTGGAAGTTCACTTTCTGATAGGACACTCCTCGCAAATGCCATAAATGGCCCCGAGCAGATTGTGGAAGAGATATAGTCCCTAAGATGCCCGGCAAAGGCGACAGGCGAGCATCTGTCGATGATGTTCCCGGAGATACTGCTTCGAAAATGCGCTTTTCCTGGTTGGCTTTCCACAAGGCACCTCCATGAAAGTAGCAGGTGGGGAAGACGAAGGATCTGAATATCGTAATAGCATCCCGGATAAATGATATAGCAAATATGAAGCTGGCGTGGGAAAAGTACCAGTTCAGCAGCTTGTTCAGGTATTTGGCGTCGAAGTTTTTTATCAAAAGATAGAGACCGGAGAGAGTGATGCCGGACAAGACGGGGAACATGATAGCATCTGATGGTTCTAAACCTCCCATCTTTTGGACGACAACTTCATCAAACTCGTCTTCCTCATCTTGTTCTTTAATTTCTTTCCTAGCGGACGACGGTCTTGATAGCGATGCGTGACAGCCAATATAAAGCGCGAACAGGGTAGAAAGGATAAGATGGGTATAAGTGGGAATAAGTGGTTTTAGAATGGCAAACTCTGCAGTAACAAAGTCCATAGCCTCTGCTAGGCTAGGTAGAGAATGCATAATTCTTCTCTACCGTCGAATATCGCATAGAAAGCGAGCTCCCCTTGGTTGACCGAAAAGTCTAGACGTTAGGATATATCGAAAGAGTAGGTATAAAGAAGCCCTGAGAAGCTGTAACCGAGAGATGGAATGCAAAGGAGAATAGTCACAGGGTACTAAGATTCCGTACGCAAAGAAGAGAGTGTTTGGTAGATTCTTTTCCAGTAGATAGTTGGGTTAGTCGTTGCTTTAAATATTCAATCGTTTTAGAGTTGAGAGGTGGCTTCAAAATCCGTCATCGACTTTGCGTCAGCACTTCCAACGACAAATAAATATCTCCAAGTCTATCACATCCTCCGCACCCAAACGACCACTAGCCAGTCCAGCATCGCGTTTATATTGGCTACAGATTTAATTAAACCCACAGTATTACCAGGGAACCCAATTTGCAACCACCTGTTGAAGCTGCTCACCCTTACATTTTATATTTTTATATCAACCTCTAACCATGGCGACTGAGGTCGTTCTTGATACAACCATGGTATTTTGTCACCATCCCCAACTGCTAGTCTATTGCTGACGTCTGTGACTTTATTTCAGGGTTCTGTAACGGTTGAGCTTTACACAGATCATGCGCCCAAGGTAAGCAATCAACCATTTTGTCGTCCATTCTCCTCTCCGTTATCTACTCGAGGCCATACCAGTAGCCTTGCTAACCAACTGTATAGGCCTGCAAAAACTTCTCGACATTGGCGCAGCGAGGCTACTATAATAACGTCATATTCCATCGCATAATCCCTAATTTCATGGTCCAAACTGGCGACCCAACTGGAACAGGCCGAGGGGGAAGCTCGATTTACGGCGAAAAATTCGAAGACGAAATAAGCACGTCCCTTAAACACACTGGAGCGGGAATACTGAGTATGGCAAACAGCGGGCCTAATACTAATGGCAGCCAGTTCTTTATCACACTCGCGCCAACGCCTTGGTTGGATGGCAAGCATACAATTTTCGGACGGGTTAAGACCGGGATGAGAGTCGTTCAAAGGATGGGTTTGGTGAAGACTGGAGCTGAGGATAGGCCTGTGGACCAGGTTAAGATACTGAAGGCTCGTGTAGTCGAAGCGGAGGAAGAGTGAGCGCAACACTCTATGGGTTATGATTTATGCGTTGGCTGTGCTTCACGACGAAGGTGCCGGTTATGGTACACCATCACCGGCCATGCCACGGAGATCTTACTACAAGCCATCTTTACCAGGCTTACCAGATGCCCTACTCTCCAAGGAGTGACCACATAGGGACGATTTTCCAAAAGCACCCAGCTTCGGCCATTGGTCGCTGAAAGCCTCTGCTCGGTGTTGAAGAGACGCCGACCAGGTCTCAGACTTTGATACGACGACCAATGAGGCACCTAGAGCTATTTACATACTTAGAAAGCCTGAGAACTCTCCATGACGCACACAATAAATGTATCACCACAAAACGAACCGCATCTCTCACAGTAATTATCCTGAGCGGCAGATACAGGGTGAAATAGTGAATCTACCACTCTTAAATGACAGCACCAATGAAGGGCCGTCTACCGACATAGAACTAACAAGATAGTAGCAGTATGTCAACGCATTACACGCAGAGTGGCATGGAGAAGAGAAGAAGAAGTATTTTCGAGTTTGATTTTCGCATTTTGTCCGCACTTTGTGCCAAGAATAGATACCACGTGACTGCACCTAGTTTTCCGCGCACAAAAAGCAAATCCGCAGCTTCGACCTTCGAGTTCGACTGTTTGATAGAGAAATCTCGTCTTATTGTTGCAGCCTGGAGGATATCTGGCTGCGAGGCTTCAAGGTGTCGGTGCTTTTGCACTTCGTTGGCCCTTGAGCATGCTGCAGAGGCCATGACCAGATGTTGTTCATCTGAGACCTTGCCTCCAATACCAAACAGCTGACCATCTCGAGGATGCTTGACTTGAACACACTGGATGGGTCGAGTTGGGATGTAGTGATATCGGGGACCGGCCTCGCCCAGGCCATTCTAGCACTGTAAGTCTGGCATGCCGTCCGGTTCTGTCTCGCTTGAGCATTTACTAACTTGGTATCTGTGAAGGGCACTGTCACGATCCGGCAAGAAGATCCTCCATATTGATAAGAACGACTACTATGGCGGCCCCGAAGCAGCCTTTAGTCTACAGGAGGCAGAGGAATGGGTGAATAAAGTAGAGCAGGGTAGGCATGCTATCTAATATCTCGCTTGCGACGATGGTGGACCCTAGAATTGACGTTCTTTTCATCCAAGATAGTACCCAACTCTATGCCCTTTGAATCTGCATCAATATCACGGCCAACGCTCCTAGACGGCGAAAAGAGCCAGCTGTCGTTCGCACGTGCATATACACTATCATTGTCGCCGCAGTTGCTATTTTCTCAATCCAAGTTCCTGCCGTCGCTGGTGTCTTCCAAAGTCTACCGTCAGCTGGAGTTCCAAGCTGTGGGAAGCTGGTGGGTATGCCGACACGGAGCCGACTCCGAGTCGGATTCCCAATCAACTAAGCTACAGCGCGTTCCTAGCAGCCGCGAGGATGTGTTTACAGATGAATCCATGAGTATGAAATCAAAACGATCCCTGATGAAACTTCTTAGGCATTTTCTCCAGCAAGGGCAGGACGGAGATGTTGAACCAGACCAGGAGTTGGACCAAGAAATGCTGTTCCAGGAATTTCTGCAGACCAAATACCGCATCCCCCAGGAGTTATTTGATCCACTGCTCTCTTTATCTCTTTCGTTCAAGAGCATTGATAAAACCCACTCCACCCATGCTCTGCCTAATATCAAAAGGCACCTCGGGTCTATTGGAGTCTTTGGTCCTGGTTTCGGTGCTGTCCTTGCCAAGTGGGGTGGCGGTGCGGAATTCTCCCAAGCTGCCTGCCGTGCTTGCGCCGTTGGGGGCGGCATCTATGCTCTCGGCAGAGGAATCAAAAGTGTCGATGTGATCTCAGACGATAGCGAAGGTGAGCAGCTACATATCCATCTAACGGATGACGAATCCGTAAAGAGTAAGTACGTTGTTGGGTCTGCCTGGGATCTCCCTCAACAAATTCAAAAAGAAAGGGAGCTTCCCTATTCCCGTCTTACGCGAGCGATTATGGTTGTCAATTCACCATTGGATATGCTCTTTCCACCAACCTCAGAGAACGGACCCATTCCTGCTGGGGCGGTTGTCACTGTTCCATCAGCAAAGGGTGGTCCTCCCACCTATCTTTTGATACACTCTAGCGATACTGGGGAGTGTCCTACTAGTCAATGTTAGTATCCCCTAACCCCTCCTATCAAAGCCTATCCAGCACTCTTTCATGATGTTTTTATATTATCTACATTGTCTGCAATTTCTTTGAAGATAAAACATTTTATTTCTGACCTAAGAGCCATACCGCTCTGATGTTTACACCTCCATCGCCTTGTATTAATATATATGGTATTCATCGCTAACTCTTTGATTGAAAAGGTATTATCTATGGCTATGTTCTGCTACCGGCTGATGAGGGTCGAACGATGCTTGAAAGTGCCGTAGACAATCTCTTGAAGTCAACCGATGCAAATGCAAAGATTATCTGGAGTGCAAATTTTACCCAGCTAGGCCGCCTGGAGGATGAGAAAGTTGCCGATAACGAGCTGAAAGGGATACACGACCAAACCTTCGTTTTTCCGGCTCCTGAGCTTGACCTGGCCTTTGAAGATGGCCTAATTGATCAAGTTAAGGAAGTATGGAAGGCGATACTGGGGAGCGAGGCTGATGAGAGCGGGTTCTTGAAATTCGACGACCGAGAGGGAATGGTCGATGAAGAGGAGCCGAGCGAGAACATGTAACATATCCAATTCAATGGCCAAAGGTGTTCTTCCAAATATTATTCCTGATATAATATTGCATGGCTCTATCAAACAATTCCTGTTGGCTGTTATTTAACGCCATGTGCATAACCCTTTTTATCATGTTGGAAATTCTCATGAATGATTCCCTCGTTGTTCCATGAGATACCCGACTCCTAAGTATAAGGGGCAAATACAATAAAAACGTTGTCAGGAAGCCTGTCACAATACATCTATTGCCTAGTTGAAGGAGGTAGATGACACTTGTGTTCTTGATGTAAGATATATCCTTCTCAATAAGCAACTGTGCCCTCTATATGCATATGGATTACCCTTGGAAGGAACAACCACTGGACTCTGAGTTCTCTAAAGACAGAGTTTGACTCCATGAACCATGCTGTATGCTGCAAAGATATCACTAGGAGAGAATAGAAACATACCAGCATCAGTTGTATAGGTATCCAGGTCTAAACAGGTGCAGATGCCACGTTAGGATGTTAGACTTCTCTTTGATTATCATTCATCCTATTCTTTTCCATCTTGCATCTCTTGTCTCTCTTGTCACTCTTTATATTATTGTTAGCCTTACTCTCTTCATCTTCTGGATCCATTACAACATGTGGTATGATTCCTGATTTCTGTCTGGGTTGTGTTGTGCAGCTCTAGCAGAAACACCTCGAGACTGAGCTGGATGACCTCCCTTTTTTTTCTATTTACACCTCTGACCTCTCTCTTTGTTGTCCCACACACAAACATTCAACATTCTTTTCACCCAGCTTTAGGCCACTGCCGCTCCTTAACAATCCTTCCTAGCCAGCTGAGAGGCCCTGTCTTCCTGTCATCGGCTTCACAAGGGGGTTTGGACAGCCCTAGACTCGCGTCACCCAGAGTCCAGCAGCAATATTGTCCAATATCTAGCCCAAAATGCATGTCCGGCCTAGAATTGTCGCTATCAGCCTGGCAGTGCTGGTCCCAGTACTCTTCCTATGGGCTACTATCAGATATGATCGCATCGCCCTCTCTAACCTCGCACACTCCCTTGACCAGCTATCTCGCTCTAACCTGAATGTGCCACCCCTGACGCGCTTCCAAACCCAGTTTCCCTCAGTTGAAGCTGTAGACGGGCTATGCAAGCGAGGCTTGATGCTTCCTCCTCCATTTTCTTACTCAGAATGGCTTCATCGCAAGAACTTCACTCGTGCCTACATTCGGCCTAACATGGTCAGCCCAGACGCAAAGTTTGCATCGATAGAAACAATCAAACAGCCAGTTTTGCCTGACTTTATGGCCCTGGATCGTGGCTTGACGGCACCTCCTGGAGATAAAGGCGCGAATGTGTTGACATGCCCCCCGGTTGTGGACGTGGATATGGCAGCGGACAGTGGGGTTGACGATACCGGGTATATGTTATTTGGACTTGCAACTGATGTAGACCGGCTGAGACGATTCCTTCCATCACTCCTTTTCTCATATGGCTCTTCAAATGCAAACCTCCTTGTTCTGGTTCCGGAGGGTACTACGAATATCGACGTCCACGAAACATATTTCCGAAACCGTGGGCTTAACTTGACTCTCAAAACATCGCCTCTTGACTTCACTGCCCGCTATTTCAGCCTGGTAGAAGCCTTTACGGAGCATATCGAAAAAAACCTTCCCGATACCAAGTGGGTTAGCTTTGTCGACGACGATACCTTCTTCCCATCTCTAGCTACAATAGGGAAACGCCTGGCAACAATTGATGCTACCAAGAGGCACTATATTGGATCCCTCTCCGAAGCAAACATACAAGTCAAAGAATTCGGCCCTATTGCCTTTGGAGGCGCTGGGGTATTTGTATCCAAACCGCTCCTTGAGACAATGCATACGGTATACCAGAAGTGTCAGGACTTTGGCAATCAACCGGGCGATCAGAAAGTGGCACACTGCATTAAGAAGTTTGGAAATACCGATCTGACGCTCTGGGATTCTCTGTATCAGATGGATATAAGAGGTGAACCAGATGGAATGTTCGAGTCAGGACGTCAGTTTGACTCGTTACACCACTGGCAGAGCTGGTACAAGAAAGATGTGGTCAAAATGAGCACCGTTGCGGCTGCTGCTGGCCGTCATTCCGTCTTACGACGATGGCGTTTCGACGAACGGATAACAGGGAAGGGCCAGCGAACATTTTGGGTTCTAACGAACGGTTACTCGATGATCAAGTATACAATCGACGCTACCGCAAACGCTGAATCTGTCGGATTTGACATGGTCGAGAAAACTTGGGAAGGGGAGGATAAGGTGTTTGAGAAGCGACTTGGCACCCTGAGAGCCAAAGACCAGCCTGGAGTCAAGAAAGAAAGATGGATGCTCGCGGACTCCACAATTATTGGAAACAATGTGCATCAATTGTACTCGAGAGAACTAGATGAGACACATAGTGTCATTGAGCTTATTTGGTTGGGAGTACCAGACAGCCCCGAGGTATCCGATTAGCAAGATGTTGCGTTATGGAAACGATGTCACCTACCCATTGCTTTAAATGTGCGTTGTCTTGTTTGCCTGAAGGTCGTATCGACATGTTTCCTGAGTCTTATCAGCCTGGCCTTCCTTATCCTCGTCTCATTCGCCGAGATCAGTCCTTCAGTCAAGGGCTGCCATGATTGAGCGAGGACTGGGATTTTTTTTGTAAATTATCTCTCTCTCAAAAAAATTGTCAATCTTTCCTGTCATTTCTTTTCCACAGTGGCAACAATGGTTGAAATGATACAGATCAACCCTAGTGCAAATGGGGTCGGGCTGTGAACTGGGTATTTCTATATATCGATGCTCTGTCTGACTAGTAATGTTCTCTCCTCTCTAAACGGTGAAATAGACTACAGAGGCATGGCCAGTAGATTCCACAACCTGTAGGGTTCTACGCACCCACAAATATGTTCAGATATTGATGTGTCTAGTTCTAGAGTCTAAGTATCCTGAGAGGCTCATGGATGAACCCTATTATACTCCATATATTATTAAGAATGTATAGACAACCCTCTTTAAGATCCTCCCACCAACCATGAAAGGTCAAACTGATTGAGAATAACCAATCCCTTCTTCCTCTCCCCCTTTGATCAACATTCCCTAAAATCAGACGCGGCACTATCTTCTTAGGAATAATCCTGGTGGCAATCCAGAGTTATTCAAATGAAGGCTCTTCGTTTACGGCCAACCCCTTTTCAGTACACAATGACCCCTTGCGTATCTGAAACCCACTTCACAGGGGTTCCACCTAGTCTTTGGCACTTTCTTCTCGGATGGAGTACTCCTTGAAAGCATACAAGTCGGTCACTGTGTCATGAATCACTTAAACAACCAATTGTGCCAAGAGGGTTCTCGCACTTCCCTAGTTGATAGAGGTTGAAAGAGCACTAGCCCTTCCTCCGATTTCAGCCTTGTTGAGTTGAAATCAACAAGGCGAGGTGTTGAAATGGATTTTAGCCTCGGAAGAATAATCTAATCATCAATTCCTGTCCTTAACGAAAGTATCCCCAATAGGGAGGCTGCACTCTTATGGAGCAAAGATGTGCTGAATTCTTGCATAGCTGCTTAGGTGGCTACCCTTTCAGCTCGATGGCCCGGTACGGAGTATAACGAGTATAACGTAGCTACTCATAAACAGAGTACATCCCCCTACCATTAGCCTACTTTAGTTAGCCTCATGTTAGAGGCTCCTGCCAAGAATATTTAACTGTCTCGACATATTCTTATTCTTCGGAATCCAAGCTTGCTCACCTAGGTTTGAAGAGATAAAACAACCCTTAGTCAGCCCGGTAGTAGGTCTCGTGTAGTGGTTTGCCATTTGGTTGGAGATTTATAAAACACAAGATTTCTAACTCGTTAGTGAGCGCCTAGCGAGCCTTAAACCCACTGCTCTCTTTCAAATACGTCGCAAAATTCCGTAGGCCCGCATATGACTCTCGTACCGTTGGGATATCGACCTGGTACCCAACCGTTGCTAACCATGCCATCATCTCTCTCGCATCCTTTATCAGGAATCTTATCATTGACCCCACAAAGCTATACGTCTGAGGCATATCATATCCCATGGTCTCCTTGAACACGGCACAGGCCTCCTTAAAAGTAAGCTCATCGCCTGCAATCGACACTGTTTGCCCCTTGTATTTTTCCGGCTCTAGCAGCGCTAGGGCACCAAAGTGGCCAATATCTTTCACAGATACCATTTGCAACGGCTTGTCTCCGAGGCCTGCCCACATACTTGCAAAAGCTTTGCCGTTGAGATCCGGGGATATGTTTTCTATGTATGCCGCTGGTTGAAGAATTGTCCAAGTCACTCCGCTCTTGCTAGCCTTCTCTTTCAGGTACTGCTCAATGCGATACTTCGCAGCAAAATGACCAACTTGGGTAGGTAGGATATTCGATGCAGCTGGCCCACCACGATCGATAGAGGTGTATACTATGTGTTTTACACCATGTGCGATACTCGCGTCAATAGTGGGTAAGGCTTGCTCTTCTTCAGCACCGGGTTCAAAAGGTACGGCGACGCTGGCTAGAAAGACGCTGTCCACAGAGCCGGCCTTGGAAAATATGCCGGTGGGATTAACTGTCTCGCTTTGGACGAGGGTAACATTGGGTTTCGAAGCTATGTGCTTTGCTCTTGCCGAGTCTATGTTGCGCGTCACTGCGAGAAGTTCTATCGGTGTTGATGCGCCGGATGACCGCGAGAGAAGAGAATCGAGAACAGCACCGCCTTGCTTGCCTGTCGCGCCGGTAATAAGCAGTCTTCGTGTTGCCATTTCACCAAAGGCCTATCCGGAGATATATGGGGAAGAGAACAATTTCTCAATAGTAGGTATAATTAAAGAAGTCAAAAGGAGCATGCCATCTCAGTCTCACCCTTGTAGACTCATAGAGTCTATGCCACCATTTAAAGAGATCTCGGTCCAGAAAGCGGGCATTGCGACACTCCGACACCGATAGCTTTTACCTCCTATCGGTGAAAAATAAGAGTTAAAAGTCCAGGACGGTTGAACTATGGATGTTGCTATTTTTAATATTAGGGGCATTCCGATCTTTGCCCTCAATATTTCAACACTCTGAACTTCCTAATCAAGTATCAGTAAGCGCCGCTAATAGGATATAATATTCGACGGGGTAGCTATTAAGTAGCTTAGGCTCACCAGCCAGGCCTTTACTAGATAATAAATAAATGATGGCATTTTAAGAATAACATCTTAGGGGATCATGACTTAAATCACGGTAACGCCGCGGCGTAAATAAGGGACATCACATGACACGCCAGTTACTATAGAGCCCACTTACAACACTGCAAACGCAGAAGAACAACATTTTTTACCATTACTATAAGATACCTTACGGTTTGACCGAAGAAGGTCCTTACAGTGATATCTAATATGGCAAAGAATAAAAAAAAAATACCTACTACTACCTCTAAATATGACCAAACTTACGGCGATTCAGCTTGCTTACAAGTACTCCGTCATTATGATGAACCATGAATCCCGCCAAAAGGCAAACAAGAAGACCTATATATGAGTCCTCACCTGTTGTGAAGAAGATCAACCGTCTCAACAAAAGCAGAAAAGAGGCACCGACTTAATTTTGAGATTCTCCATCGATCAGAGCTTGACCTTCGTCCATGGCTTTGGATGACCATATCTGAGCTCTATCAAGGGTGGATAATAAACGATGACTACTGAAGCGCAAAAAGCGGTCATCCTCGTGGTTCGTTGAGGCCTCAGCGGCGGCTTGACGGTAAGGCTATACCGTTGAAAGAGGCGCGATCATCCCTCAAGCTAGTAGTAACTAGTTATTGCGATGATCATCATCGTATATTCAGTTATTACCAAAAGCAAACGAGAGGAAGCCCGTCTTTTTGCATAAATACCATGGCACTCCCTGCCGATATTAATCTTTCCTTTCTCCAATATCGTCCCAAATCAACTTCCCTTAACTAGACCATTTTCTAAAACCCACTAAACGGTCTCAACTATGCGTCTTCTACACTTGCTTGTTGCTGTTCTGCCGCTGGCCTATGCGCTCCCAGCTGAATCATCCGACTATGTGCGTTTGTTCAGCTGTATATCAACGTCTTAATGGGTTTAGCTAACATATAGTTCCAGGACAGTATTCTGAAAGATGCGGCTGGTAACACTGTCCGTGTACCTAGATACAAGTGTACCCGCCCTGAGGGATTGTAAGTGGAAGAATGACATGCTTTAGTGTGGAATGCTACTAAAAAATTTTAGGAGTGAAATTCAATCTATTAAATTGAGCCCATTGATTCGTTACTGTTATCTGTACAGGTATGCTAAGCCAAAGCTCATTTGGAACTTCTGGTAAGCTGATACTAACTTGACACAGCGATGCGGAATGTACAAATGGAAAGATTGTCGAAGTTGTGCGAGAGAGTACCGATCAAGTGAAGCGCCCGGAGGCGGGCTCAATCAGCTGCAGGGTCGCACCCAAGTCCAAGCCTGGCAAAAGTTTCAAGAACCTCAAGGGCAAGGGCAGGAGCTAGGGCGTAGACAAGCGCATAGGTCAACATGATTAGTTTGTTTATTCTATCCAAGCACAGAGAACTCTTGTCCCTATTCGATAAGGAACGGTACAATACATAGCCCAGAAATACAAGAGGCTGCCAAAGAATGTACTTTAATTGAGCCCAATTACTCAAATAATCCCTTGGAATAACAGCATATTGTGTTGCGTGATGGTCGGCAGGTTTTGTACACAGCGGTTGACACCTAACAAACGTTCCTTATGTTTAAAAAGTTATAGATCTTGTAGGTTTGGTATAGGATGATACATTTCGCATTGCGACTATATATTGACTTGCAAATAGACCATCTCTGGGTCTCAATCTAGTATAATGTTATATAAAAAGAGACATCTCCCCCATTTTCTACCATTTTATCATCATATGATCAATGGTTGGGTAGATAGATAAAAGTCCAGCCACTTTCTTCTATTAGCCAATAGGATATATCTACATTCATAGAAGGGGGGACCTAACTAATGAACGAACAGCTCAGAAGCCATGGCTGGAAAAGATAATCATGCAACCCCAGAGTTGCGTATTAAGCGGTTATGAAGAATGCCGCTCAACTAGCTTGCCCCCCTCTTTTCTCCAGATCGTCGCCCTCGCATTATCTTTAGGGTTGTTATGCTACTATATGTACAATATCGCCGGTAACTTGTCCCCCCGTGTATGGACGGCACGTTCTGCTACAACGCCATAAACCTAGATATTTGGTCGTCTCAGCTAGCCTTAATAGAGAGGTATTTCCCTCTGCCTTTCGGAGACAGCCTTGCATGTTTTTGTCCTTACCCTGTAAGGGGAGATCTTCTCATATCACTGCCCGTGCATATCTAAGGACTAGACAACAGGGTAGGGAAGTTTAACTAACTAATCAGCCTAGCGGCGGCTGGGGCTTGTGCTAGAAATTCTGGATTGTGAATGCGAGTTTGAAACCTTGCCTATTTTATTCGACATTCCTTCCTTATCATTATCTTGTTGATCAGTATGAATGATTTTCGATATCCGTTGGGCCTTTGAATGGCAGATATATGGCTTGTCGCTTTGAGGCCGTAGAGAACGGCTTCGTATATTGGTACCGCACCAGGGGATGTACGATGTGAAGGGCGGAGAGCTCCGCTGGATGCCCAGAGGAAAGCCAAGGCCAGAATAAGTCATATGGGATACGAATACAGGCCTACGGGAACAATGTAACATGACAGACCTCCAAGGCAGCTCTCGGCATGAAGACCAGACCTACTCTGTAGTGTGGGGTTGGGCTAGAGATGAAGCACATTGCAGGCGGAAAGGTGTTCGGGGATCGACGTTGGCTTGTCTGCCCTCCTCAAGCCCCACCCTCGTTTTATATACAACTATGAATAGCATTGTGTTCGCTCGAGATTTCCTTTTTCCTTTTCCATCCAATCCTACCGCAGGGCTGGAAGGCATGTTTGGTGAACTTGAGTTTCGGGAGGCATATGAATACGAGCAGAAGGAGATCTCATGGATTTGGTTGGTTCTCACCTGCTGGACCCGACTTTGGGGATCTCCATTCTTGCCTTATTTCCGGATAGCTCGAAATTATGTACATGAATGAAGTACGAATGGTAGTATCCGCTGGATACGGAGGCAATTATCGCTATACGGAGGTGCAGGAAAGGGACCAGCCTTGATGCATCACGTTCGATCAGTTTGGTAGAAGATATGGATATAAATATGCACATGTCCGTCGAGAAAATGCTCCCTTTTAATCATCCTCTTCACACCCGGCAAAGATACCCACTGTACATACAAAACCAAACAATTACATCTCATCATGAAGTTCAGCGCTCTCCTCCTCTTGGGCATCAGCTCTTTGGCCGCGGCTGCCCCACGCCCAGCAACCACTGCCTGCGACTGCGGCGCTGCTGTCACTGACCGCCTGCTGTTCAGCACCACCATCTCGGCCTTCCAAACCGCTCGCAACACCCAAAACCCACCATGCTGCGACTGGAGCTCCGACAACTGCTCTAGCTCCCCAGATATGCCACGAGGATATAACTTCGTCCCATCTTGCCAGCGCCACGACTACGGATACCGCAACGGAAAGAGACTCAATCGCTTCACTGAGGACTACCGCAAGAAGGTTGATGACAACTTCAAGTCTGATTTGTACAACTACTGCAACCAGTTCTCCGGCCTCGAGAGCTGGAAGGGAGTTGAGTGCCGCCGCTATGCCGACATCTACTATTTCGCCGTCCGCGAGTGTGGTGATGGAGACTGCCTTTAAAGGGTATCATCTGAGGCTCGAGTTGGCGTGGAAAAAGGGGACCTGACTCTGCTGGGAGAGTTATCATGAGGGAATAGGGGTCATCATGATATTGTTATGTACATAGCCCATCAATAATGCAAACTATTTAATGTCTTACCTACCTCTGATCTTGCAAGACCACGGAGAACTCGTCGACGTTGTTCCTAGAAGTTGACTTGTTTACTCCTTATATACTTCGCTGAAGGAAAACGCCTTGACCAGCTTCTACTTTTATTAAGGTTTGGCCCGAGCTGGCCTTGGCAGAGCTAGTCCATTTCCAGAATATAGGGATTATCATATGTCCGAAAGAGAGTTTATCATGTTAGTCATCGCGATTTCCACTTGAAGATAAGAAGACAAGAGAGAAGGCGAAGAGGAAAGCGAGGAACTTATACTTACAATAGCTGAGTCTGGATTTCTGCTTGCTTATACATACTTCTATCACTTCATATATCGATTCAGGCTATGTCCGGCTCCCCGCTCGAAGCTTGGGCAGTCCCCCGACTTGCTAAACTCCTCCCGCTTGACGATGAATCACTTAAACAAGTTATCACATATTCCTCTTCTCTCTCCAAAGACGAAAGCGCAGAACATTTGCGAAATCTTTTAGACGACTCGCCCGCAGCACTAGAGTTTATATCTGCATTTAATTCCCGGCGTGGCCAACAGGAAAGACAGGGTGGTAATGGTGGGACAAACACGAACAGCACGGGTAGTAGAGGTGGCCAAATACCAAAGAAAAAGGCCGATACGAAATCGCAGAGGGGTCCGTTAAATCCGCCTTCTACAGCGAGGCGGCCGGAGGGATATGGGAATACAAGCGGTGGATATGTCAAGTCACAGAAGGAGGAGAATTATATGGCCGGCAGCAGCTCTGGCGGGAAGAGTACCTTGAATAACGCATCGCCAGCTTCATCGCCGAGAAATCAATCACCTGCACCCGCACAGTCAAAGAGTAGATTGCCGCCATCTGCCACGGGCCCGATGATATCGGAGTACCTACCCAACGTCCGATCGAAGAAAGCTCCAAAGAATTTCGGCAACACCACGCCGGTGGCCCCATCATCATCCAGCAATACTTCACAGAAGAAACCCGGCCGGTCAACCCCTACTACAACCACGACAAATAACATAGCGGATATCACGTCAGCAATCGCAGCATTAGAAGTTTTATCCACAAATTCTGCAGGAACCCAACAGCGCAAATGTAATTGCGACACATCCATCCATCCTCTCTTCACACCGGCGCCAAACTGCACCTCATGCGGCAAGATAATATGTGCTCTAGAAGGTATACAACCATGTTCGTTCTGCGGCGCACCGATCCTCTCCAATGACGAGGTAGAAGACATGATCCGGGAACTACGATCCGAGCGAGGAAACGAGAAAATGCGTGCTCATAATGATAGCTTCCGCCGGGATGACCATGTCCCGTCTACACCACGAACAAACACCGAAAGTAGCACCAAGTTAAATGCTGCAAAGGCTCACCGGGACAAGCTTCTCTCTTTTCAAGCGCACAATACGCAGAGAACTCGGATTCTAGATGAGGCGGCCGATTTCGATATACCAACCTCATCTTCTACGCAATGGATGACTCCGGCACAGAGAGCGTTGGCACTGAAAAAGCAACAACGGATGCTGCGCGAACTGGAAGAGCAGTCAAAGCCAGAGTGGGAGAAGAAGAGCGTCGTTATGAGTCTAGAGGTAAAGAGAGGCAAGATCGTCCGGACCTATGATAGATCAGAGCAGCCAAAGTTGCAAGAAGCCGATGGAGATGCTGATGCCGAAGAGGCGGCCGCCAACGCTACCGAATCCCCCGAACTCTCTGTTGGGAAGGGGACTTTCTCCAACAACCCTTTGTTGAAGGGTGCTGGTTTGGTCAGACCTACCTGGAAACTAGCTGGAGAAGACGGTAACGAGCTCCCGGTGCGGAGAAGGGAACAGAAGCAGACCTGGAGACGCGTCCAGGATGATAACGATGACAACGAGCAGTGGATTCTTGATGGCGGCTTGCATGGATATGACAAGGAATCAGAGCCGGCGCAGTGTGCGTAAAGTGCAGGTGGATCCACCAGCCTACATCCATTCGACAGACTTGTAATCCTTTTTTACAGCCGAAGGGGTTCGTTATATCTCCCTTTTAGCATAATATCAGCACGGAGTAGACATCGCACCGTGCAGCAGTAAGCTTAAAAAACTTATGTGGGTCTCGATGTTAGTCCAAGTGCGGCTTGACGATATCGTGGAGCGATTTAATCATCCTCCTCCACCCTGGAAAATGTAACCAACTTCGATTACTTTTGCAACGTCACACTCTTCTCCTACCCTGAAGCTGGACGAACTGAGGTGTTTCCACGGCATCCACAGCACCGGAGGCCCTTCTTAGTCGCTATACGATCACTTGCAGGACGACAATTGATTAGCGAACGGGTCCATCTATTGGCTGGCAACCGCAGCGGACAGGACGTTTAGCTTCTGTTCATCGGAGTCGTAGCCAATCCCTCGCCTCTCGCCGACTGATCTCACCTTGGGATTCCACGGATCAGTTCCGGGTCCGCCAACCCTGAATCTGGGCTGATACTCTTATGACTGCCGGCGACCTCCACAGCGCGGACACCCTTCACATGAATCAGGTTTCTGGGCTTCGCGAGACATGCCAGTCGTCAGTTTTGCTCTCCACCTATACAAAGGCCTTGTTTTAACCTGCATATAGCTCCAAAGCGGCCGTTACTGGGGGCCGTCTCCCCGCAGAGAAGAAACCCGCGATATATTCACACCTTAGCATCTCGCTTCGCTATTTTGTCCTTCCAGTAATACTTATAATAATACATTTAATCGTCACATCTATCCCCATTTCGCCCGGAGACGGTCCGAGCCTACCCCGCGCATCGTTCCTCTCTTCATCGTCGCCCTTGCTTTTCTTTCTCGCCTCACGCCACAACACCGGGTCAAATATATCAACCCCGCCGAAATACCTACGGCAGTGGTGTGAAAGCCCGTACCTTCAGGGCCTACTCGATCCAGAGCAGATATTTTCCATTTGTCCTTCCAAGATGGCTTCAGCGGTGTTAGATGAGGCTAAGCGAATTGCTGCGGGGTTTGAGTACCCCCCCGAGGAGCTCAATAAGGGAGTGGATGAGTTTATAAGTGAGATGGATATCGGGTTGACCAGTGATGGAGCCGGGTTAAGCCAGATTCCGTCTTATATCACCGCTATGCCCGATGGCACTGAGAAGGTGCGGTATCTCCGCTTTCGTCTACAGGAAAGGCGTGTTGATGCTAATAAGATATACGGTAATTACAGGGTGTATATTTGGCAGTAGACCTTGGTGGCACCAACCTTAGGGTCTGCTCCGTCGACTTGCATGGAGACTCGACCCATTCGTTGACACAGTTAAAAGCAGCGATTCCGAGAGAGCTAATGGTTGCTAAGCACGGGGCTGAGCTATTTAATTTCCTAGCAAAGCAGATCGAGACATTTCTACGTGAGCACCATTCAGAGCAGTTCAGCTCTCATGTCGAGAAAAGACAATCTGGCGAGGTGAAGGAAGCATATACGGAAGAGCAGGTGTTCGATCTCGGGTTCACCTTTAGTTTTCCCGTTACGCAGCATGGAATCAATAGAGGCGAACTCTATCGTTGGACAAAGGGGTTCGACATTCCAGAAGTGGTTGGAAAGGATATCTGCAAGCTGCTACAAACTGCAATCGACGAGCTCAAACTGCCCGTTCGGGTTTCGGCACTCGTCAACGATACCGTGGGGACATTGATGGCTCGATCGTATAGTTCTCCTGGAAAATCAAAGACACTTATAGGCGCCATTTTCGGGACCGGGACCAACGGAGCATACGTTGAGAAGATGCCTCGGGTCACGAAGATGGACAAGTGCAGCAGTGATGCATATAATAAATCGTCTCCGGTGATGGTGATTAACGCCGAGTGGGGCAGCTTTGACAATGCTCTCAAGGTGCTGCCGAACACGGAATTTGATATACAGCTTGACAACGAGACCGTCAACCCTGGGATCCAGATGTTCGAGAAGCGGATCTCAGGAATGTTCCTGGGGGAAATCCTCCGCCTTGCCATCCTGTCCATGGTGGAGAATCCGTCCGTAAGCCTGTTCGGCAGCCCGGCCACCATCGACAAGAACTCGATCCTGTATCAGGCCTGGGCGATCGATTCCAGCATATTGAGTATCGTTGAAGCAGATAACTCTGACGACCTACAGACCACAAAGGAGCAGCTAAAGACAGAGCTAAACGTGACAGACGTCAGTATCAGCGACTGCCGAGCCGTCAAAGTACTAGCACACTCTATCGGCAAGCGTGCGGCGAGACTGGGTGCAATGGCACTTGGCGCCATTGTCATTTCCAGCGGCAGGCTGGCGACAGAGGACGTGATCGATATCGGCGTCGACGGCAGCCTGATCGAACACTATCCGGGTTTCGAGGCATGGATCCGGGAAGCGTTTCGCGAGATACGGGCCATCGGACCGGCAGGGGAGAAGAAGATTCGGATCGGGATCGCGAAAGATGGCAGCGGTGTAGGAGCAGCGTTGGGGGCCCTGGTGGCCAAGAAAGCATCCCAAACGCTACAAGGTTAGAAGTGTTTTATCTACCTGATCGTCGTGGTCCTGGTCATGGTTGCGTGTCATATCAGGGCAGGTCAATATGTCAATGTCTTCAAGTTACGGGGGTTTATGAATTCGATTGAATAGGGCATATGTCATCAACTCCTCCGTGGAACAGCCTAGCCTCTCCATCACCACCTCCTTTTGTATACAAGTATCAGCCAGGGCCTGGCATCGTATGATGATATGATATGTAGGATGATGTTCTCCCACGGCCGGCAACGGGAGGCGGCATGTTATGTCATCACGGCGGTGGTGGGGCAGGTCGCATCATCATCGCGGGACAGATAAATAGCAGCCGCCGTCCTCCTACTATCTCAATTCCATCATCTCTGCCACATCCAGCATCGAACCCTCATATTCAATTACATCTAAGCTGTATATCTCTTCAACATGTCTGCCTTGAACGCCGGAGACTCCTTCCCAGCCGATGTCACCTTCGGGTATGTCTCCTATGCATTATCTATGCAGTAACCTTGCAACCGATGGCATTGTAACATGTATTGCCGGACTAACCATGGCTGTTCGATAGGTACATCCCATGGACTGACGAGAAGAAGGAATTCACCACCTGTGGTGCTCCTCAAACCTACGAGGCCTCCAAGCTCTGGGCTGACAAGAAGGTCGTCCTCGTTTCCGTCCCAGGTACGGTCTCACCATTCCACTTCTAGCGTTATAGGATGGGCATTGTGATTGCTGCTAACGCGGTCGTGGAATAGGTGCCTTCACCCCAACCTGCTCCGCAAACCATCTCCCCAGCTACATTGCCAGCCTACCTGCCTTGAAGCAGAAGGGTGTCGATGTTGTTGCTTTCATTGCCTTCAACGACCCCTTCGTCATGAGCGCCTGGGGTAAGGCCAACGGTGTTACTGGTGATGACATTGTAAGCTCTCCCTCCCTGAATCTTTACCTCTGACTTGATGGCGGCAGTGACTGATTGTATCCGTCTTTGAACTGTATATAGCTCTTCCTCAGTGACATCGGCTCCAAGTTCTCCAAGTCCTTGGGATGGACCATCCACGATGACCGTACCGCCCGTTACGCCATGATCATTGACCACGGAAAGGTTACCTATGCCGAGAAGGAGCCCGCTCCACCGGCCGTCACCGTAAGTTCATTTGCAACCTTCTCCTAGGGTGTATCACCAACTAACGGTGTCTCCTTTAGGTTTCCGGTGTCGATGCTGTCCTCCCCAAGTTGTGATTCCCCCCAATAGAAGTATAGAGGTGGCTAGGTCCCTGCCATGGGGAAGCGGTGAAGGCTAGATTTGAATTAGGAGTACTGGCTTCCATAGACCAGCGTACCTAGATTAGAAACATGTCAACGATATCAATGATTCTTCAAACATATGTCCATCCTCCGCCAAGGAGTGACCCTCTCCCTCTCAATTGATGTAGCTTGACTCTTGATTTAATCGTTTAAGGGGTGGTAAAGTAGTAAATATGCAGCTTTTATAGTCCTGCTTAGGTAATCTACGGTCCTAAACTCAATCTTATCAAGATAAGTACGCGCTAGTCCAAATACGGAAGCCTCACGCATTTTCTCGACTTCGCGGATATAAAAAAAAACATTGAACTCGTTGGTTAGCTCAATCTCCCATACTTAGAGGCATGGCCTCAAACGGACCGAACAAGCGCAAAGGCGCAGGGGATCCATCATCATCTATACACCGTAAGCGAGTCAAGATACAGGATGCCCGCACTCTGGCTGTACAGAGCTCCGACACGGCCCTCTCGAAGACCGGGGAGCTCGACGTCGCGGCCTTCGTAGCTGCTCGACAGTTCGAAGTTCGTGCTCTGGAAGCGGGAATTAGGAAATCGAAACATGCTTCCATGACACGCGCCTTTCAACAGGTACCCAAGAACCTCAGGCGGAGAACGGCGAGTCATAATGTGAAGCGTGTACCGCGGCGATTACGAGCTCGAGCGAAACGGGAGGTATGTTTCCCCGTCATATAACCATGTGTATCTTGAGCTATGCTTATGAGTTATTGCTATGTAGATGATTGAAGATAATACACCTACTGTCACCGCGCGACGAAGGAAACCTACCGAGCTAATGCGACTTCGACTCGAAAGTGCTCGTCGACTTCAGGGTCTCAATGCTCACTCAAAGGCGAAAAGACAAGCTGCATCAAAGGCCAAAGCGGAAGAGTCCCCCCATGTTGCTGGTCATAGCGTCGAAGTTGCTCCTCGAGTCCCAAAAATTAAGAAAAATAAGCTCTCTTGCCCTCAGAAGCCACCGTCTAAATTCAGAAAACGCCAAATCTGCAAGGCTTGGTTGCCGACTCATATGTTTCATGCTAAACGAGCACATATTACTGAACCCAAGGAACCACTATGGAGATTTGCGATCCCATTGACACCTACGGAAAAATGTTATCGGTCAACCCATCGCACTAGCGGAGCTAGAGGGGCAATCGCATGGGACATGAGCTATATGTCGACTATCAGCCTTGAAGGAACAGATGCCAGTCTTGAAAGTCTGCTACGAGCTCTAGGTGTGGATGGCCAGAATGCATGGGGGAACAGTGGGAGAAAATGGAGGAATGGGGTAAGGAGCTTGCACGCTTGGGTGTTCGAACGGGATGGTCAAAAACATCCAATTGCCCCTGTTTGGTTCATCTGGTGCCCTGCCCAGCAGCCTGAAGATACAGAGATGGTAGATGCAGACAGCGTGCCAAGTAGGCGGGAAAAGAGAAAGATATCAAAACGACGAATGTTCCTTCGTGTTCACCCGTCTGCTTTCTTGCAGCTCTGGGAACAGCTCTTGAAACTATCTAAAATGCAAAAGCCCCAGGTTATGGTTGAAGACCTTCGTTTCGAGATAGGGAGCATAGAAATCTCAGGGCCAGGTGCCACTGAGGCGCTGCTAGGTGCTTTAAACCCTGCTCTCCCTGGCGGGGTTGAGGAGTGGGCTGAGGGCTCACCCGAACGTACGTGGCAGTCACTGGCCGGGTTGACGAACGCAGCATCATTACCTCAAAACGCGCTGCTTGCATTCAACGTTACCGATCCGCGCCTTCGTTTCCCACCCAAACCCATCAAAATTCCCAAGTCAGAAGAAAGCCATAATAGGCTAATGGAAATATTATCTTCATGGAAACCTGATTCAACACAGACATCACCCCCAGACCTATTCTCGCTGCCCGCTCGACGCAAGGCTTGTTGGCAGCTACCCTCACAAAAGGCAATCAACAGAAGGAAGTCCCAGGGTGGCCCTGGAGAGAATGTTCCTCTTATGCCAGGGGACCCCAAGATCCCCGTAATCCTTCTTGCAGCCAATAATGCCTCTAAAAACTCCAACTCCCAATGTTCTTGGACGGTTCTACTTCCGTGGAAATGCGTTGTCCCAGTGTGGTATTATTTAATGTACTACCCGCTTTCTTCTGGAGGAAATGCACGTTTTGGTGGCATTCAGGAGCAAAAGCAGCTTGCCTTTGAGTCCAATGCGCCATGGTTTCCGGGAGATTTCCCAGCAACCAAGGCTGGGTGGGAATGGGAAACCCGCGAACGGCAGCGAGAGAAGGAGGCGTGGGAGCGTAAACCAAAAGCAAAGAGGGCTGCATATGACAGTGTCAATCTTAGGACGGGCAAGAAGGGAGAAATTGGCCAAGGTTGGGCTTGTGATTGGGAGCGCCTGGTCTTAGGACCTGATTCACTAAGCAATGGCGAGGAAAGAGTCACGGAAGTGAAGCCGGAGAAGCAGAAGAAGAAGCAGAAGAAAAAGAAGGGAGGAAAGCAAACTGGCGAAATTAAACCGAACACCGGTGATCAGCAACCAGACGACCCTGAAAAGACCAAGTTGGCCCCTATACCGCCTATAGCTCTCCGCCAACTTGATCCATCGATGGCTTCGACAATCCTCTCCCACAAGGGCAAGCCTGACCAGCTCCCCGCCCCAATAGAGGCTTTATTAAAAACTCCTACTCTTGCAACCGTTATTATAACTCTATTAAACCGAGGCACGCCTACCCAACGTTCACGAATATACCGTCTCCCTACATCAGACCCTAGCCTTCGGGAAAAATGGCTCTCCTTGTTAGATGATCATAAACAGTCATCTGGGAAGGCAAAGGCTATCTCTAAGTCATCGGTGAACCTACCAATGCCACATGAAGATGACCTGCTAGGTTTCGTGACCTCAGGGAACTTTAATCTCAGTGCAGGGAAAGGAACAGGAATAGGCTCAATATTGGTTAACAAGTTATTCCCCTTCTCGCCCACCAATGACCGTAACATATCTTCAGATGGAGAAGTGGGAAAACGGCTCGGAGAGCTTAACTTAATGAAAGTATGCATTATTCGAGCGGCCGGGGAGAACGTTGGAAGATTAGGGCGGTGGGAAGCTGCTTAAAGCAGCTTCCCCGGCGCTTTTTGTATATATACGCTTTAGAAAACTTGATACTGAAGAATGCAGCAGTTTATAGACTTCTCTTATTTCCACTGCTCTTGCTATGGTACACATGCTAAGAAAGCTCTCTAATAATGACGTTACAGTAGTGTTTTTTCTTTAAAACTTGAACCTCTACCAAAAATTTATCCTCAATCTCTCCACATTGGCTTTCTAGCTCGCTCAGCTTATCATTTTTTGGACCCATTCCTTTTCTAACCTAGCAACCTCACGCTTGAAAGTATCCACCTCTTGCCAACAATCCAGCGGTCGTTTCTGGTTATCTCGCAGGCATTTCACAACACCTTCCCTAGCACTTTCAAGTTCGGTATCTAATTTCCGGATCGTAGGTCTGGAAGCTAGGGACTCTCGCAACGACTCAATATCCTTCGCAACCTTACCACTGCTCACGGTCTTGGGGTTGGAGGGCGTGTCATCGGTGGTTTGGGCGGGCGAGGAAACGGCTGCAGGAGCGGGATCAAATTGGGTGCCAGCAAATGGGACTCGGGGAGACTCAAGCGACAAAGGCTGGCTGGCGAAAGAGGAAGCGTTGTTTTTGGTTTTGGAGGGAGCTTCGGAAGCGTATGAGGATCCTATCCTCTTTTCAATATCTGCTAGAGTTTGTTTTTCTCGTGCGCGGATACGGTTGAGTTCTTCGGCAACACGGGCTTGGATGTGAAGTTCTAGAGATTGAGAACGTGAAGAGTCGGTCTATATTGATAATTATTCGATTGTATTTAGCGGATGCGGTCAGATCAATATGCAAAGGCGACAGGCGGACAGGTGATTATTACCTCGGAGCTTGACTGTAGCGACTCAACGAGACCCTGGGAGAATTGAACAGGTGAATCACTAAATTGGCAGGCTGTCAGTACATAAACATGAAAATAAAATTATAGCCGTTCATTCACAAGAATAGTTATCGTCAATTGACTATACGATCGGCTATCACAGAATTCGGATCGCAGGTAGACGAGGAAACAAACCTAGTGAACACATGTTTTCTCGCCTTCTCCGGGTCGGCTGGTTTCGAGGCACCTGCTCCCATGGCTTTTCCGGTCAGTATTGGGATACCCTTTGCGCAAACCGGACAATGCTGGCGGACAGGTTGTGTTTGTTTAATTTTCGGAGGTGGTGGGAATGGATTCACCTTGTATGCGTCACGGGTCCCTGAAAACGGACCACGATAAGACAAGAGGAAAGCGAAGTCGCAATTGAAGTAGGACGATGCGCAAAATTACCAATGAAGCGCCAATTGGCTTTGATCCCGGGATTGTTGCTTCTCTGTCCACCACAATCTGCATCGACTTGAGGTCTGAAAACAGGATGACATAATATCCTCACTCAGACATGTCACGTGAGAGACTTCCATATAAAATCCCGAAAAGCGCAAGTCAACTTCATACTACATCAGACGGATGGCCACTAATATAATGATAAGACTTGAGGGACTTGTGTTTGTAGTTTACGAAGAACGTCCATATAGCTAAGCCCGGTACTCCGTAGAGACTCGGTAGTCGGGGTAGACATGAACGAGATAATGTCGAGTTTATATTGGCTCGGTATATTTATCGATCTTCATTCAAGATGACGTGTTATCGGTACCATCTGCCTGCTTCTAGGGTATAAATCTTACCCTGGGAACTCGAAGGGCGTGCATATCTAAGTCCAAGTTCGCCGACAGCGCCGTACTACCTCTACGCAAATGGCAGTTTGTAGATCGAGACGGACGATAGTTTTCCGCACCTGAAGCTGCCAGCAACTGATCTGCCAATACGAGCAATTGCTCCGTTTGGAACAGGGGTGTCCAATTCTCATAGCTCTCTCACTTCGATATCTCAACTCGAACACACGGGGAGAGAACTTCCGGAGAGAACCCCGGAGCATGTATAGAGAACCTTAATCCAGGCAGTTTAAGCGGCTCATCGGATGTGAAGCCCCACCGGCTTTCTCATGACATGGACATTTTTACGTATATATAACGCTGGTCCCCGCTGTGGTGATAGCATCATTCACAAATATATCGAAAGTACATCTTAAATTTAGATCTACTTGCTGAAGATGGAGCTCCGTGGACAAGAGACCATAGCCGTGATCGGGTGAGCCACCCCCATAAAACCTACTATCAAGCCATCTCTACACGTCGTAATTGACATTGACACTTATATCAAAAGAGCGGGCGTGCTTGGTCTTTCATCAGCTTTGGAGTTGATCGAGAAACCTCAAACTTCCAAACATCAGATAGTGATCGTTGCTGATCACTTTTCAACCGACCCCCCTAACCCTGTGTATTCCACTACCAACGCCGGGGCACATTACCGTCCTGTTCCCGCCATAAATACCCAGACGGAGCGCGAAGGTGAACATGCGGCGAGAACATATTCCCGCTTTAAAAAGCTGGCTGCAGAAGAGCCAGCAATGGGCATAGAGTTCATGGAAGGAATCGACTATGTGTCTGGAGCAGCTACCGCAAATTATACAGCCATGAAGCCGAACTACGTCAACTCGGAGGGATTTCGGCTCCTAGAGGGCACGGAGAAACCACAAGGCGTGAAGTTTGCTGCTAGATACGACTCCTTTACCGTTGACCCTGAAACTTACTGCTTCCACCTACTCCGTCGCTTCAGGCTTAAAGGGGGTAAGATTCTTCGCCTGACATTACAATCTGCCGAAGAGGCCTTCCGCCTAGACGGCTACAATGTTGCTCTCGTGGTCAACTGCAGCGGTATGGGCTTTGGAGATCCTAAATCGTTCATAATCCGAGGTACGGGCGTAATACCAGACCGTTTTATCCCAAGTTCTGGAGATCTAACAGCCATTCTAGGTCAAACCTGCCTCATTGCTAAGACTGCTGATAAAACAGTGGCACAGCAAAACGAAGACGGAACATGGACTTTCATCGTTCCTCGACCTCTTGATGGTGGAACCATTGTTGGTGGTACCAAAGAGGTACGTGACTGGAACCCTACCGCTTCGCTAGCCGTCAGAGAGGAACTACTCCAGAAAGGAGCAAAGATGTATCCTGGCATTGTGAACTCGAGTGGAGGATTTGATGTCATCAGAGACGTTGTTGGCCGTCGCCCAGCTCGCGAAGGCGGTATGCGGCTAGAAGTTGAAACACTCCCTGACAAAAGGAGCATCGTCCATGCCTATGGTATTGGTGGTCGTGGGTTCGAGACGAGCTGGGGGATCGCGGAGGACGTTCAGCGGATGGTGACAGAGTCTATGGAGAAGCGGACTCTAATGAATCGGCTTTGAATCACCGTTACTCTTGGTTGGAATGTTGCAGGTAATCAACATCCATACCCCTTAACTAGACAAGAGATATAAACCCCTAGATATTAAAGTTGCTTAATGAGACCTTACAGCAAGGCGATGTACAGCCGGCAAGACGATATACTGAGGGTTCCTACCGAGTAAAAAGAAAAGAGGATAGATAATATCTCGAACGATCAAAAAGTAATCCTAGCATGTCTTGGTTTCGATCCAAGGTCCTCCGGGTTATGAGCCCGGCGCGCTTCCGCTGCGCCAACATGCTTGTATTGATGTTAAAAGCTAGTCAGAGAAAGAATATATGTGCGGTAAAGAGGATTCGCCTGAATAAAAGCAATATCATTGGAAGAAACCTGCAGTTTTGGCGTGTTTCCGTCATATTTTTTCTTTTGTGCTGCGGTGGATACGGAGTCGTGTGAGTCACGGCCAAATTTCGCCCCTGGCTCCATCGCAGAACATTCACCCTTTAACAATTATTCGGTTCGTCTATATCAACAATTGTACCGCTCAACAGATGAACGGGCAGGTCATACATACACCTCAGACCGAAGAATGTTTCCTGTGCTACAGAGAGAAATGTATCTTGGTTCAGCACTACTTCGCCAGCTAGCCGTCTGCTGTAGCCAGCTTTTCTTGATTTGTAAGATCATTTTAAAAACTGCTATAGCCAGAGATTGTAAGGAGCATGTCTTGCGGTTACTCACAACCCAAGTTTAGGAATTGGAGTATGATGTTTCATGGGTAGCGACATTCAAGTCATACGCCGCTACGGTTTGGTTATCGGTGTAAGACAAACGAGGAGAGCCACGTTTCTTGTAAAACGAGAGTCGAGTGCTATCTTTATGTTTAGAATAACTACGTTTGTATGCATCTGGAGCTTGTATATGTTTCCAGTTGAGACAGGACGAGCATAAATCAGCAACTGCGGCAGTGACGAAGCATAGAGCGTTCGGAACACGGGAGATGACGTGGTATTCTCCCAGCCACATGCTCTACTCCTTGATCAGTACCAGTTAGGAGCCGTTCTAACGTCCTTGTTGGGAACACCTAGACTTTCATACGAACGCACAGTCATGGCGAAAGGCCCGAAAAACGGCATCCTCCTGCCAGGAGGCTGGGCCAAGGAGCTGGGACATTGTACATTGTAGAGGGTCGTAGCCTAGCCTCTCCTAGCATGCTAATTTGTATAGTGTAACCATCAAGAGTAATGGAAATAAGGAGAAGGCTGGCATTTGTGGCCAAAACTGAAAGGATACCTCGAGAACCCGATGCCTTGCACAGTCTCGGTTAAACCGATTCTAGGAGCAGAATCGGAGCGAGAATAGGAGGGAGTCGTGCGTAAACTCCACTCTTTGAAAGGTGATTATAGAACGGGCTAACATCAAAGGCGTGACCCGACGAGCGGCTGATTGGATCAGATCATTTGGAGTGCGGGATGGTTGACAATTGCATGCAGGAAGCACGGCCCAAACTTATGTGTGAAGGATAGGCCCTCCGCATCATGCATGATAAAGGTACGGATGACATGTCAATGCGAATTGCAGTCGACATTTCAAAGCGTAAAAAAAAGGGCGAGGAGTAATTGGCTCTCTCGTTTACGGATGCACGCCTGCATGTCGGTCGGAATACCCGGGACCAAGGGTCACCGCCGATCAATATTTATGAAATATGGGTGCCGTCTTATCAGGGGGATATCGCCCTCTGTTGGAACAAAATTAATAGAAAGTGGCTGCCAACACCAACAAGCTCTGTATGGTATGGTCTTTAGCCGTCCATGTGATGTGGCGGGGAGAAGTAGACACGTTATATCAATAGCTTGTCGCAGTCTCGAGCTCAGGGCTGGTCGCAAGATCGCTAGGCCCGAGTAAATTATCGTAACCTGGGAGCCTGCATTGAGTGTTCCCGTTCACGGCTGATTTTCGCTAGAAACCGCCGTTCCCGGATTTCTGGCCCCAACGAGATGCAGGTGGCATGAAATGGATATGGCAAGAAACATCAAGTCCCCACGAAAAAAGCAAAGCGAACCCGCGAATATATGCGATAGTGTGGTCGACCAGGGAAGCGCCTGGCCTTGGAAGATAAGTGATATGCTATATAAAAGACGGAAAGGGGAGGCTGAAGGAGCGGATAATCAAAAGTCCGACCCGCCCGTACCTGCGTCCGTTTTGGGCAACTTCATCGTCAACTTCAACTTCAACTTCAACTTCAGCTTTCTTCTCAACACAACAACGTCTGTTCAACACCGCCGCCGGTTGAACACCGTCCAACGTCGGCGAGCCATACAACCAGGCAGCGGCGTTGGACAACGACGACGAGTCTGGCTATGCTAGATAGTTCAGATTTTGGACCTGTCTGTATCACCACGCTTGGCCACAGGATCGTCTGTTTTCCTCGAACAAAGAACAAGCAAAAACGCTCGTGTTCCGCTCTGCATATGTTGTACTTTATGTGTGTTACCGGAAAACCATAGACATTTCCTCGCGTACTCCCATGGCTTCCGGTGTTGCTGGGAGTTCCTGGTCACCTTGCCATCGAAATTGTGGAATGGGTCTCTTAGTTGGCTAAGAGAGGGCGGGATGCTTTGCATCCTATCTACGCCCTTGTTATTTCCTTTGAGTAGATTTCATTTGTTGACAGCAGCCACGATTCAGCCATTTATACACTGGATCGAAATTTTTTTTCTTGTCTCTCTTTGCCGCTCGCTCCAACCCCGCCTTAATTCATACTTCTTCACCGGCGTTGGTTTCCATCTCTGGGCTTTATTAATGTACTACCGTTGGAACCTTGCAGCTCCAGCACATGCTTTCTACTGTTCATACATACAATTGGAAACCCATAGTTTATGACTTATTGGAGCCAGAGACGCCTCTTCTCTACAGTTATTGATTCTTTAGGCTCATAGGCCCAGCTGCAGTTCGTTGCTGGGTGTGGGCTTACTGTAGCATTGAACTTGAGTTCTATTCGGCTCCTAAAAACGTTTGATGATACCTTGTGGAATTCTCCGTTGAGATTATTTCTCAAGTCATCCAAGCCTTCCACGGTGCTTTGACCCTCTGTCGTTTCCTTTTAACCCCAGATTCAGTGCTGCTGCTCTTCTTAAAGCCAGCCTCCTTGGAGGATTCGTTGCCATTGCTGGCATTCAATCGAGCTGGTGTGTATGCTTTCATTTCTCTATCTCCTCAGCTACAAGCAGACACTCGCATACCTCACCTCGGTTCTGTCTGTTACCCTTCTCTTCCATATGTGGATTGACACGCCTGTTCTTCGGACACTGCTGCTGGGTACACGTTTGCTGCTAGCTCGAGCTCGATAGCCGCGTCGATAGCTGAAGTGTGTTCCTAGCCCTAATATTTTTGTTCACTCGTGTCACGCGTGATGAGTGAACGTTAGTGTTCACCACCACGAAACCTGCACCTCCTTCAATTGAATTCACAATTTGTTCCACTTACACTTCCTCGTTGCTTACTGCAGCCACGCAGCTTGCTAATAACCGCCAACCAGCCCCATGGAGCGCGATATCATTAGCAGCTGCGGCCGGCAGTCGAGGCAGCCGTTCGGTGATGCAAAAAACCGTTCCAATATAGTCCAGCCAATTTTGCAACGGTCGCGCCCTATTCCGTTGTCTCCTTCTCTGGAGAAGCTCAACTATGCCGCCGCGGAACAAAGGACCCACGAGAGCCCGGACTCGCCATATACCCCCGTGGAGAATAAACGGATATCAGCAGTTATTGAAGCACAGCCGAAATCAAACCGTAACTCGACGATTTCGACAGGCTCTACAGCATCGACAAAATCTCGACGCAAGACCCACATTGGGCCATGGCAGCTCGGAAGGACGCTCGGTAAAGGATCGACAGGCCGGGTGCGGCTTGCAAAACACGCGATAACAGGCCAGTCTGCAGCTATCAAGATCGTGTCTAAGCGTTTTGCAGCAATGGTGCAAAGTCAAAGCATCATGGTCATGGATAAGTTTACAAAAATTCCCGGATTCTCTCGAGAATCAAGAGCTATCCCTTGCGGCATCGAAAGGGAAGTCGTTATTATGAAACTCATTCAGCATCCAAACGTCATCGGCCTATTCGATGTATGGGAAAATCGAGGTGAATTGTACGTTGCTACCAACCCCTAACTGCCCCCTAGACACGCTAACCTTGTTGACTCGCATTTTTCAAGGTACCTTGTTCTCGAATATGTTGAAGGTGGTGAACTGTTCGAATACATATCCGAGCATGGGCCACTGCCTGAAATTGAGGCCGTTCGCCTATTTAGGCAGATAATTTCAGCAGTCTCTTACTGCCATAGGTTCAATATCTGCCATCGAGACCTAAAGCCTGAAAACATTCTTCTTGATGGTGCTCTCAACGTTAAATTAGCAGACTTTGGCATGGCTGCCTTACAACCTGAAGGCCAGCTGCTAAACACTTCTTGTGGAAGCCCTCACTACGCTTCACCTGAAATAATCTACGGCAAACCATACCAAGGGGACAAAGCTGACATTTGGAGCTGTGGGATTATCCTCTATGCTCTCTTGTCCGGCTTTCTACCATTTGATGGGGGTGATCTGCGAAACACGCTCAAACTTGTTAAAAAGGGGGAGTACGTTCTCCCACCTTGGTTGAGCGATGAGGCTATAGACCTGGTTCAGAGCATTCTTCAGAAGGAGCCAGAGGATAGGATCACGATTCAAGATATGTGGCAACACCCACTCCTGAAAAAATACGAAAACCATCCTCTCTTGCAAAATGGAGTGTCCATCGGTCCTGCTCCACCCTTGTCTTTGGAGATTAAGGGGAAGGTAGTCAATGGACGCCAAGATATTGACATGGAGATATTGAGAAGCCTTCAAACCCTCTGGCATGCTGTGGATTCAGAGGAATTGATTAGGAAGCTTCTAAGCAACGAGTAAGCTCTACCACAATTCAATAACTAATTGAGGTGTATCCCGAAAATTCATCTAACACCGGAATCTGAATAGGGGTAACCACGAAAAAATGTTCTATCGTGCTCTGCAAAAATTCAGAGATGCTCAGCTGGAGGCCTCTGGTGAGCTGCCACTCAAACACTCAAGTAGTGACTACCATCATGCCCCAGTAGCCCATACAAAGAATCCATACACTCCACCTCAATCCTGGCAGGGATCTCGGTTTTCCCTTGCTGGTGGTAGTACATATGCAAAGGATGGCGGATACCAGGTCCTTACCTCTATGGGGACGATCTCGACCTACGACCCATACCGATCTTCGCAGACGCCAACCCCGAACCCCCGCGTCGAATATGCTAATGTTACCATTCATCGCCAACCATCTCGAGCGACAGACCCAAGCCCTTCTCAATCCCCAAATTCCGTTAATCATTCATCTCGAGATCAGTCGTCGACACCGGGTCCCCCCTCGTCATTCAGTGTGATGCAAGGGTTTGATTCCCAAAAAACTTCGTTAGCATCGTTCCGATCCTACAGCTCACTAGGAAGTTCTTCTCGCTACCGACCAACACGCGGCCCCAAGCACATTAGCTACCGACGAAATGTCAGCTTCAAGCATCTTCAGAATTCTCCAGCTACTCCTACCCCAGCTAAGGGTCGTGGAACTCGTTCTAACTCCCAGTATTCACTGTGCCCTGGTAAGCCAGTTAAGCCACAGGTAGCCGGAAAGGTTCAAGGTCAGATATTAGATCGCCCCAACGTGCCTTCTCTACCTACACCACCGTTTATGATGCATAAACACAAGGAGCCGACAAACCAGGGTGGCTTAACAGTAGCCAAGTCTCGACTGTCGTGGAGAGAAGATACCAGGAAAGTGTCAGCTGAGCTGGAAAAGCTGTGTGAAGAAGCTTTCAATCAAGTTTCTGATTCTTCATCCATTACAAAGGACTCGGAAGATAAGGAATTATCAAACAGCCCCTCAACTTCGACATCGGAACTATCATCAATATCTAGCAATGAAGGCCCAGAACCAAAAGTAGAAGCGGTGAAAGACTTACTACCTAAGCAGCCCCAAGAATCGCCTCGTACATACGCAGCCCTGGAGTTGGCTGAGGCCCGGCGTCGACTGATAGAACACTCAGCGCAGGCCGGTGCAGATGGGCTGCCAGACTACCTCAAGAATGTCATTGCTCATATAGATCGTCTCATTGACGGTGAGACTGCAAATTCCGCCAACAAACCAATGACGAAACAGACATTGGGAGCCCGAGAACCAACTGAGCGCCTTCCAGTTATCTCTGAAGAAAACCATCATGACAATGACTCCAAGTCATTCCTTCCACCACACGAACCGAGCAAACCATTAGAATTGAATTTGGAAAATTGGGAAATCAAGGAGTCCATCAGGGTCGTGAAGAGTGATTCTGTGAGAAGCAACCTCGGCAATGTGAACCCTTTGGCCATTCGCAAAAAGGGGAAAGCAGAATTACCTGCTCTTGACTGCGGTTTCAACTCTTTTGGGTTTGCAGGGCGCCCCACTGGTTATAATGAAGATAATGCAGTATCTCCAAGAGGTAGAGTAACCAGACATGACTCTGGTTTAGATTCAACCGAAGAAGATCCGAAGTCTGCAAGAAGCAGTGCAGTTCGGAGCTCAGGTGAGACCAAGAAATGGGCATGGTTCAAGTACCGTCATAGCAATGATGATTCCCCTGTCGAGGACAAGGAGACTGGAGGTAAAAAGACCTTTACAGATATCCTTGATCGAATGCAGGAAGAACGAAGGAATTCCACGCTAGAAAGCATCGAACAGCATTTCAAAGACCTAGGAGCAACGGCCGGAGGCCGTCGATTGATGAAACTTTTCAAAATGAAAAAATCAAACGACAGCATCCATGAACTTACACATGATATTGACGAAACTGACGTGGCAAGCACCATCAGCGATACAGACAGCAAGCCCAACGATAGCGGCGTCGAGTTAGACGACGATAGCACTGCCGCCACCACACCTTCACGCAAGAATAGCAATGATATTCCTCTGACGATCGGGTATGCCAATGCCAATGCCTGGTTCTCTAAGTTTTTGCCGATGAAGCATGCATCCAAGGTTTATGCTCTTAACATATCGAAACCCCGAGCAAAGAGGGAAATTCTCAAGATCTTTAAAGAATGGAAGAAATATGGCCTCGAGCAGCTTCGTCAGGATAAACAAAACGACGTGATCTGCGGGTCCGTGGGGGAACTGAACTGTAAGTCAAACTAAACACCTCCGGCTGGCCCCGTATGACTTTCAAAGCAAGTCATATTATTTTATATCTGATGGAATAAATTTACTCACATTACTGAACTAGTCCTTCGTCTTCGACCTGTTCAGTTTTCAGTGGAGTTCTTCTCTATCCTTGAGCATGGACGACACGCAAACCTCAGTCTTATTCGCCTCCGTCAAGACCAAGGCGCTGCATCGTCTTTCTATAAAGTGGTTCAGACACTTGGGATCGTCCTAAAAGAACGTAATTATCTCATACAGGATTCCCGCCGAGCTAAAAAGATGATTAAAGTCCTCTCTTAAGCTTTCCTTTTTTGCTCTTTTGAAAGTTGGAGGATGGGGAATGGATTGGGTTTCCGAATGAAACATCAAACCCCTCTTTTTAACAGTCCAAATCAATGTCGTTTGAATTTGGGTTTTATTTTTGTTCTTTTTTTATTTTCTTTAATCATTTTGCTGCTGGCTTCGTTTCTTGTCATCATACTTTTTTTTGTTTGTGTTGGTTTCCTGGACAAAGTTGCTTCGAACCCCATAATACACCCCCTTCTCACCCTCCTTTACCCCCCCTTCTTTTTTACCCTTCTTTTACCCCCCTTTTTATTTGGCAGATTTACCCCTCCTTGACAACTTCTTTTTCTACTGTAGGTAATTCAGTTGGTTGTATGTATTATATGGCTTAGTTTATCCCCACAATCTCTAAATCGTTTCTATGTATGGAGTGCTCCATCTATACCTGCACGACTCTACGACAGTCGATCGGCTCTTAATACTCCATAGTTATAGATAGACAAGCGGCCCACATGCCATACAAGGTGCACTATATATAAAACCGTGCACATGCCGGAAGTATATACTAGCCCTGTTATAATAGGGATACTAATGGCAACAACGCGTCCAGTCTGTCTGCCTCGTCAACCTAGATGCAAAAGCAAAATAGCAAGGCTAAATAAAGAAAAAAAAGGGGGGTGTATAATTTATATGGTGAGATCGAGAGACTTGCTACTTCTCTCTCTCCACTAGTCGGTCAAATTCGGCTATCAAAGCAAAATTAAAGAACAGTACTTGGTCAAACAGAGTCACGGACGGGGGATAGGATAAGGTAAGGTGACCAGGCAACAGGAATCGAGGGGGAGGGATGAAAGGGTTGGATGGGATAGGGTAGAAAGCAACGGTAGGGAAAAAGACTGAGGAAACAAAGTACAAAAGCAAAAAAGGCTCAGAAGACCACCGACCCAAACATGGATATAATATGCCAAACAAACAAAGCCAACGGGGACCACACTCAACGAAACAAAACGACAATAAAGGATAAAAAAACAACGAAATTTCAGATAGCCGCCCAACGTTATCTCATCCTTGCTCTCCTCTCTTTTTTGTTGTATTTTTTGTTTATCGTAAACCCGATCGTTCGAACTGATTGATCAATGGATTGCACCATGCCGTACCGTTCCATACGCTCCATGCCAAAGTAGCCGCGCTTGCGTGAGATGAGGTGGGGTGGTCCCGCGGGAAATCGACCTGTGGTGTATGTGGGATATAAAGGTATGCGAGATTGCCAACCGGAAAAGGTGATAGGAAACAAAACAGGAAAGATTGGTACATAGAACGCAGTCAAAAAAGCCACTGGAAACAGGGAAAAAACTGAAAAAATAATAAACTCAGAACAGCCCCCGCCCACCGTCATGATGTCAATATTTCCCAGTAATCCGATATAACCGGAGAAAATAAAGGAACTCATCAGCCATGAAAAAAATCGCTGAAACATGAAAAGCAAACAAACCAACTCGCATAAACGGCACAAAAGACAAAGCAAGCCACACAGACAGGTAAAGGAAAAACGTTCAGGCCATCGATCGTGTCGGGGATATTTGCCGAACGGTAGTCGATGGCGAGTAGGATAATGGACGATGATTAATGGGTTGCCCCTTGTAATGTATAAGACTTTTTCGCGATGGAATTCCAGAAACACAGAGCAAACAGAACGCACGAGGTAGGATTTAAGCAATAACAAGCCGAGGAAACCAGGTTGCTTGTAATTAAAAGTGATGCTGATAATGTCTTCCAGAGCGTAGAAATCTAGTGGTTGTGGTGGGAGAAAGAGAATAGGAGGATGTGACGTTCCTCTGGGGCGGCTGGATGAAGTAGCAGTAGCAAGTAGACGTAGCGTAGCGCAATGCAACGTATTGGTCAGAATGTTGGTTAATGTGTAGGGATAAGCCTCAGGTGTTCCGTGGTAACGCGAAGAAATGCCGAAAGTATGGCAAGGGTATATCCGGCCTCCCGACGGGTGGCGCGTTTGTTGTTGGCTTTCCGAAAATGGTCATTCCTAGCAGGTGAATGAACGGATCAAGGTTGCTATCGACCAACTATTCCCAACGAAAACTGTAAGACCAAAGGTTGAATATACGGTGCATTTGACACCCCACGCACACGCCTTTCAGCCTGTATGTATGTATGCTGATGCTCCTTTTTTTTTTCATAGTATGTTGCCGCTAATGGAATAGGCAACCCTTCCCGTGACCGGCACGCGAGGAGCCCTATTCCATCGATCGATTAAAAAAGCTTCTCCACTCCCATGAAAATTATAATAATTAGATCCCGTAGCCCTTCTTTCTCCCATTCACTATGACCGTTTGATCTGTTCTGCACTGGATTCTTCCCAGTCTTCACGTTTGGAGGGGGTATTGGGTTTATTTGTTCAGCCCTCCCCGGTTGAGAGCGTTCAGCATGTCGCTGTCAGTCGTGGTGCGGGTGCGTTGGCCTTCGGAGGGTCCTAGCATGTCACGCACGCTAAGTCCGCTTCGTCCTGGGATGGCGGGTTGTCCCGGTGGTGGGGTCGGGCCGCCTTCTCTGGCTGGTGGAATCGGGGGTGCGTTATGCAGGGGCTGGAGTGTTGGCAGATGCGCATTGGTGGTTGGGGTATGTGCGCCTGCACGTGGAGGGGTGCCCTGGGAAGGGTCGTAAGAGTAAGACGAATGGGAGGATAGGCGTCTGTCTTGTTGGCTTGTAGCGTAATAAGGTGTGGGTGCGGGAGCAGGATGGACTGCGTAGCTCGGGCCAGCGGTGGCGACGGAGACGGGAGGCAAAGTTGGCGGCTCGCCGTACTCTGGGCCGCCTGCGGAGTTACGACGAGGCAAGGGCGCGCGCTGTGATGAAGAAGAGTATGAGGAGCCAGAATTTGAAGCAGAGTGGGATGGCTGACGCATAGAGGAGGAGTAGGAGGAAGAATCATCGTCGGTGAAGGGGCGTTTGCGACTCACCGGATCTTGAATTATTGGTGGTGGATGCGCCATGTGTGGAGGAAGACCGGTTCGGTCGTCAGGTCTTCCGTATGGCGAAGGATACATGCCAGGTGGGAGTGGCAGAGTCTGTTCTGGTCCGCCGTGGGAGATAGGTTGGTGTGGCAGAGGCTGTCCGTGAGGTCCATATAGGACCACGCCTTCGCCCGGTCGTCCTCGGCCGCCTTGAGCAGCACGGAGATGAGGATAGGCAGTGTGTGCGGGCACGAATGCTTGCGCCTGAGATGAGACTGGAGTGAACATGCATTCCTGGTTGAATCGAACACAATTGCTGCATCGACCATCCTGGGAGGTATCAAAACCGGAGCATCGAATCTATATATCAGATTAGACCCATGTATAAAACAAGGCTCGGGGAGATGAACTCACCTTACGGCGTCGGCAGTATCGACAAGCTATGGCCGTCCGTTGCCTTGGGGCTGCAGCTTGGTAGACGACCGGTGGTGGACCAGGTGGAGGTGCGCCGTACATGTCTGGAGGACGCTGATAGGCGGCCGCATGTGGATGCGGGAGTCGGTAAGGGTCCTGCTGCGGATGCTGTTGCGGGATCGCAGTCATTCCGCCGGCTGGAGGAGGGTATTGATAGGGTGATTGAGAGTTGGAAGGCTTAAGTCATGCATAGATTAGCTAAAGCGCAAGTCGAGGCAAGAAGAATCAACTGAAACGTAGGAGAATAGAAATGACAACAGGAAAAGAGAGAAGAAGAGAGAAGAAGAGAAGAGAAGAGAGACGAAACGAAGACCCAAGAGGAAAGAGCACGTGTGAGATAGAGAGGATCGACGGTGGAGGGAGGAAGCTATATATAGAAAAGCAAGACGAGGAGGAGGTTAAGGGAGACAGACTGGATACTGGGGAGAAGGAGGATAGTCAGGCTGGGAAGTATTCCAAGGTGGCGGCGGCGGAAGCTGCTGTCCTTGACGGTCGGGGTCGTTTGACATTTGTCGTTTCGCGGTTTCGATTGGAGAAGCAGACAGAGGCAAGACAAGTGGATCAGAACGGGAAGTGCCTTATGCTTATATATCTAATCGGCAATAAGCAAATAGGAAAAGACAGGCGGCGTATGAGTGAGCCTGTAGCCGTGACGGAATAGACAGGGGTGGGTGCAGGATGCAGGATCCAATGTCGAAAGAGCAATCCAAACGGCACGAACTTGCGGGACGACCGGGACAGGGATGTCACTAGGCCGGGAATCGTTTCAAGATGCAAAAATAAAATAAAATAAAAAAAAAGATCCCTTCCGGTGTCTGTCTTCCGTTTTTTCTTTTCTTTTGTAAACTTGCGGTAAAGTTTGTATCTGATCTGAAAAAAAAATTCTCAGGCCCAAGTGCCACGACACCGACTAGGAGGACTGCAGAAGCTGATTCGTGGGCCTAGCATAGCCCTATAGGCGAGAGGGAGGGTGTATGTATGGCGGATCTTGGAGAAGTCAGAAACAGAACTGTCGAGAAGTAAGGCACGAACGAAGGTATTATTATTGGAGGTGAGAACGAAGGCAGGCAAGCAAGTAGCAGTAAACGTCAATTCCACAGCCGGAGGTAAGAATTATAGCAGAAGGTGCTGAGGAACGACGTGGGAGGCGTAGGGAACGCAAGCAGTGGCAGCAGCAGCAGCAGCAGCAGATCAGTCAGGCAGACAGACAGGAGGCAGGTGGACAGGCCTATGTTGGGTATCAAGAGCTAGGTGTCACCGAGCGGGTTCTGGCAGGTCTTTATCTGGTTGTAGCCCGTGTATCCTTGTATCGTGCCGAGATGTAGAGTAGGAGAGAAGTAGTAGGTCTACCGAAGCGAGACGAGGTGACACCTGTCTGAGGGGTGATTCTGGCGATTGCTGCAGATAAAGAGAGTGGATTTCTATGCAGCTGCTGCGGAGACCAGGTCTTCGGAGGTCTCAAGGGCGCGAGAGGAGGATCTGAGCGGTGAGGCCGTCTAGGAGAGTCGTCTCTGACTCGAGACGCTCGCCAGCTCGATCGCTGGAGTTTGACGATTCGACAATTGCGTCGTGACCAGAGATAGCAACAAATAGACAGACACAGACAAACGAGAAGACAAACAGGAACAGAGACAACAACAGGAAGACAGACAGAGAAACAGAACAGAGATAAGACAGACAGAGAAGACGGAAGAGAGTAGAGAAGGGAGAGAGAGAGAGAGAGAGAATTACCTGACAACGACGGAAAGGAGCAGCCACGAGGCTCCACGAGCTCGCAACGAAGGAAGAGAAGAAAAGAAGAGAGAAGGAAAAGGCGAGAAGTAGAAGTAGAAGTAGAAGCGAAGAAGCGAAGTTGCAGAAGCGAGAAGAGAGAGAGAGAGAGAGAAGAAGAAGAGAAGAAGAGAAGAAGAAGAAGAAGAAGAAGTCGACGTCAAGATAAGTGGTCTGTGCCGTGTTTGGGTCAGGTTCAACTTGGACTCCACCGGCGAAAGAAAAAACGATCCCACACCGACGCTGATTTTCGGGTCTTTTTATTTTTTTTTGACTTTTGGGGACTGGAAGAAGAAAAGAGGCAGCGCGAGGGTGATAAGTAAGAAAAAAGGGTCGACGGTGACGGTCGGGGGATGGGGATGCTTGGGCTTTTGGGCTGGGGGAAGAAGAAAAAAGAAGTACAGAAGGGCTGCCCACAGAGTCGGGATAGACTAATTTAACCCTTCTGCCCTCTTCGTACTCACTTCTTACTCTTACACTTCTCTTCTCTTCTATCATCTACTCTATCATCTGCTCTATGTCCATTCTTACTCTTCTATCATCCATTCTATTGTCTATCTATTATCTATCTACTGTCTGTCTACTGTCTCATATTCTCGATGTATGCGGTAAGTACGGTACAGCCATGTGACCATATAGTCATGACCTTACCGTATTTACATACCATACCTTACGCTTACACAACTTACACTTCAGACTCGATAGAGACGACGATATCAGCCTCATCTCTCTCTCTCTCTCTCTCCCTCTCTCTTTACTCTCTATCTACCCTCTATCTTCTTTGTCTATCTCTACCTGTCTCTACATGTCTCTCTGTATGTCTGTTTGCCTGTCTAGGTATGTCTGAGGGCATGTTGTATGTGTCATCTGACTGCAGGTACATCGCCACTGGCCACCTGCCGCGGACAAGCTCCTGGCATCAAGGACCATCCATACAACTGATCAGTGATCGATTATCCTTCCCAGAGTGCCCACGAGACGCGCTGCCGGACCAAGGTACCGCCTAGTCCGTCCCTCCGCCCCAAAAACCAGGCAGAGGCAAGTCTCTCGTCCACTCAGCTCCCTCATGTCCTCCGTTTCAGGAGAGGCCCGTCCCTCGACCTTGGGACCACCTCCTGCACGGCGGGACCAGGGAGCCAGCTCGTGGTCGTGAACCTTCGAGCGTCATCTGATGTCGTTCATCATCGCATTTTCGATAGAGTGACGACTGGTTCGATAATCACCGTCACTATCGACCCGTTCTTTGCTTTTTTCTTTTCTTTTCCCTTCCTCTGGTTCTGCACAAAACTCTCCGATCTTCATCCTCCCATCTGATCCGATCGAAGACCCCGTTGGGCATTCTAGACCAGTTGCTGATATTCTTACTTACATACGGGTCCCCCCTCCATCGGATGATTCGCCTTCCTTGCATGAACCTTATCGCTGGTCGAGATACTACTCTGCGCAGGCAACATCCCTCCTGTTTCCCTCCAGAGTGACCACGCGAGGCCCGGGTAAGCTAGACAGACCTCGTCATCACCTCATCTCGCATCTTACGCTTTTTAATCAAAACACTGGGAAAGGGTTGAAACAGTGGGGAATAGTTTCCAGAAAAAAAAAAATAGAGAGACCCAGGCTTCGGCAAGGCCAGCCCACCCGAGGCCAACTGCTGCAAGGTACGTGGATGGACAGGCAGCGCCCTGCGTTGCGCGTATTTTATCCAGATACCGGAGTATCATACACCCCTCTGCCACACAATTTATACACATGTGCTTCCTTTCCTCTGCGGAGTCCCGTCCGTCCCCCCTTGGAGAGCGGGTAAGAAAGGGAATGCTGCAGTAGCGTCCGCGTGGTATGCATGCAGGTTGGACAAAGTTAAAACTGTAACCACACTACCACACCTTTCATCATTAGTACGGAGAAGGGGAGTACGGAGGGGGAGGTACCGCGCGCTCTTCTGCCTTTGGATCGTTGCTCGCTCGTGTGCGGCCGCCAGGCCTGGGAAAGTGTGATCAACAGGCCCTCATTTTCCCGATACCCTCCCGGCTCCCTCCCGATGTCCTTCCGATATCCATCAGGCGGCATTCTCCGTTCCTTGGGCAGCATGGTGATGGAGGGAGTAGATGTGCTGCTGCATATAGATTGTACGCAGTCATGTCGGTCTGTCCATATTCGCTCATCACAAGACTTCGCATGCATGCACGTATGTAAGCGGGAGGCTGCAGATAAGCATCACATCACACAGTCCACAGCCCACAACCCAAGCACAAAAAGTGATAACCCGCCCGTGCAGACGAAGAAGCGGTATGACGAAATCAATATGAAAACCCCACTCTTCAGCCACCGCCAGCTGGAAGAACGGCAGGCAGGGCAGGGCAGAGCAGAGCAGAGTCCTCCGTAGAGCGAGAGACATCTCACTGTATGCATGCCCACACCAATGCACGCGATAGGGATTGCTCGTAAACCAATTCCACCAATCCGTAAGCACGACGTCGTACAGCCTTTTTGGGCCTACCCTTCTTTTTTTTTTTTCAAGCAGGATCGGGCCGCACCTGCATGTACTATGATATAATATCGCCGTATACTTCGTACTCCCTTCAAACTCTCTGGGCCTATATTCATCCCAGCGTCAGCATATATACCCCTCGACAGGGGGAAATACGGGACTAATATCGACTAACAATTTCTTCACCGCGGCAGTCTCGTCTTTTTCTCCCTTCTTTTTTTTTCTTTTTTTTTCGTCGTTTTCTTTTCTCTCTTTCGTTTTGCGTTTTTCTTTTTTATTTTTGGCTCCTTTCTTTAATTAGCCTTGCCCGGACGTCGATATCGAAACAGGCAAGTCGCAAATGTATCGCCAGGTACGGTTTCTCGTATTATCCGGGTAATATGGATACCACAGCAGTTATACTTCTCCGACTGCCTCTGGTTCTTGGGTGCGGTGGAGGAGCTTTTTTTAGGCGTGGCGGACGGACGGTATGGGCGGCCGGAGGGAGCGGAAGGTCAACTTTTCGCCTCAGCGGTTCGTTCGAGTGCTGTCTTTCTGCTGGGCGCTGGCTGCTACAGTTACGAGGGCCTTGTGCCTATTGCGTCAGTCAAAAGCAACCATCGTGACCGCCGGGCCTGCCAGAAGATTCGCCGCCAGCCCGCCAGCCCGCCCCCAAGGATCCGGGTCCCTCCAGCGGCCAATGACAGGGCAGAAGTGACTATTCTACGTGCAGTGGGCGTAGTGGGTTGTCAATTGTGGGCTGTAGACTGTGGGCTGTGGGCTGTGGGCTTGCTGGCTTGGGCTGGAGGTTGTGGATTTGCGAGCGATCGAGCGAAAGGGAGGGCGGAAGAGCCGAATAACCCAAATAACCCAAATTATTGGCCCAGAAGGGATAAATTACGAGTTACCGAGCCAGGAAGCTGGAAGGTCACGTGTTACCTTACACGTACACATATGTAATACCATACAGTATATACACAGTATACATACACAGCATAATACGGAGCATAATACGGAGCACACAGTATATGTCCACTGTATGTCCAATGTCCATGAATATCACGATGAGATGGAGGCAACAGAACGAGATGAGGATGGATGACGAGTGAGTACGAGGTGGAAGGATGTCCCCAGCTCGCAGCGTGCCGGCAAGGATGCCACCTATACCTAAAACATGAGCGGGTGCTGTTTCCTCCTCCAGCGCCATCTCATCGTCCATCCATCCGTCCATCCATCGCTCTCCATCTCAACCGGCGCCATCGCCGTTCGCCGCGGCACACCCCGTCCGCCAACTCCTGCCCAAGGCCCGCAAGGATAGGGATCGAGAGGTCAGTCGGTCAGTCGGTCAGTCGCCTCGGATAGCGCGCTAGTCAAGGGTTCATCCGCTCCAGCCTACGGGTAGGACGGCCCTGGCATCCCTCCGTACTTTGCGTACGGGGGAGCGTGAAGGAAGACGACAGGAGGATATGGATCTTACGGAGTGCTTCAATTGCTAGCTCGCTTGCCAATCAGCATATATCACGGTATACTCCGTAGTTATGCAGCAGGTAATGCCATGCCATGCCAGCCATGCCAGCAAGGCAACGCCAACGCCAACGCAACGCCAACGCAACGCAATATGCGGAGAGTAGCCTGCCTTACCCTCCCGTGCCGCTCCCAAATGACATGCAGGGAGCCTGCAGCCGGGGAAGCAAGCAGATACGGAGTATATGGAATGGATAGGCGGCTCTCGATGCTGTCTTGTACGTACAAAAGACGTCTACACACTTACGTACTCGCCAACACCCAGAAGGGACCCCGTATAGAGCGTCAAGGGAGATACGCGGGTGCTAGCTATATACAGCATCGAAAGCCGTTGAAAAAAGCTCCAGCCGAGGGTAGAGAGAGACTTTGATCCCTCCCGCGATCCCCCAGCCCAGCCCTGGTAGCCGACCCCGTTCTACCGCTGTCCCTTGCCCTGTGTATGGCTGATTATTTATATATTCCTGCCCTTTCCTCCCCCCTCCCTGGTTCCGTTGTACATCATCATGCCGTCCGAATCCAAATTTAGTCGGTTCTTTTCTTTTTCCTGGGACCCCATGTTCCCTCTCCCTCTCTCTCTCTTTCTCTCTCTTATGATTTTTTTTGTGTTTTCCAATGTGTGATGCTTTCCTGCATCACCCACATATGCAGCTGGTCTGGTGACCGTATAGTTTGCCTGGTTGCCCTGGTCTTTGTCCTGTCCTGTCCTGCGCTGCCTGCTTTCTGCTTGCCTGCCTTACCTTGTCTTGCACCCTTATCCCCTACAATGGGGGCGGTCCTGCCATCTCCCCTCCCCCATCTCCATCTCTGGGCTTCGCACCCTCTCGGAGCCTCTGCCATCTCGTACAACCAGAGAAGCGAACAGCAAAGTGGTAAGGATTTGGTCCGTTGATCGTAGACCCTTTTAAGCTTCGACTTCGTCTACCAGTTTCATCCCTCCCGTCGAACATCGATGATCTCGAGGTCTATCCAGGCTAGAAGGGATTCTCCTTCGGCTTCTGCCTTGTTTCTCCCTGCGCCTGGCCCTTGGTCGTGTCGGATATAATATGCGAAGGACCAAGAAACGAAAAGACGAAATAATTTTAACATTCTTAGCGGTGCTCAGGTATTGGTAACGGTAACGGTAGCGGTAGCGGCCCGCTCCCGCATCCTCCTCGCATAAAGCGAAATAAATAAAATAAAAAAAAGAAGAAGAAAAAGAAAAAGAAAAGGAACCAAGCAGCGAGAAATCTACTCAAGGTACAGAGGGAGAGCAGTTACAAAAATAAAAACACCTTCCTCTAGACATGGCACCTGGTCGAATGCTTGGTTGGGTGTGATCGTGATCCAGCAAAAAGAAAAGAAGACCGACACCAAAAACGGCCAAACAAACCAAAAAAAAAAAAAAAAAAAAAAAAAAAACGGCGAGAAAAGAAAAAAAAAAAAAAGGAAAAAGCGGGTAAAGGGAAGGCGATTATTTGCTTGAGGACAAGCTGATCAGCCGTGTCTGTATTTTCATTGGCTCGAGATGCGAAAATCGACTGCTGGCACAGACCAGAACCAGGGCCCTGAAGCTGGCCAGTCAGACGAGCGAACAGGCATATATCAGTCAATCAGCTATTGACCTGCCCTGCCGCACCGGCGCCCACCACAGGCAAGGCAAATCCAAAAAAAAAAAATCAAGCCGGCTCCCAGGTCGAAATTCCAGCGCTGTGCATTGCATTGCATGACATGGCACATTGCAGATTGATCATGTGTCTTTCGAGGTGTGTGCTGCGTGCCTGGTCATTGGCCGCGAGCAGGTTGCCTGGCGACGGCATCGGGCCGGCCAGACGCTATGCAGCGTCCTCCGCACATCGTACATCGACTACGTGGAGGGATGGGAGCGGGAGAGGATAGGGTACGGCGTAGGAATGGACGACATGGGCAATCGGGCTGGCTGCTGGAACACCGACCGGCATATGGACGGGATGCGCGATGACGATGACGGAGGGCCGACGGTTAGCATGTGCGGCCGTCGATGATAGAGGAAGCAGGCAAGGAGGGAAACAGGACAATGCACTGCATGTGCATGTTGCACGCTGCATGAAACTAGGTCGGCTAAGCAGCGAGAAGGAGAGGGAGAGCGGTGTGAGAGGAGGATGCTCGTATCTGTCGTCCCACTGCATGCCGCAGGCCCAGGGCTATCTCCAGACATGCCAACATGATCGCTGTGCATACGGTGAATCTATATCTATGTCTATATCTATACCAGCAACTCTTGATATTCCACGGAGTATATAGTAAGGCTGCGTATCAAGGGGTATATCTTACGTCGAACCCCTGTTCATCGTTCTCGTTTTGGCTGACCACGGTGAGACGACTCACTCCGGCCATCGACAGACTGACAGACACCATTGACGGCCAGACTGACCAGACGGCGATGCTGGAATCCTACCCTGCTGCTGCTGTCTCACTCTACCTGCTTCTACCTCTACTTCTACTTCTGCCTGCCTGCGTCTGCGGCAGAGCCTGAGTCCTGCGCCGGAGCCTGATACAAGTACGTTACATACATACGGTACCATACATACCATACATACATATCCTACGACCATACGACATAAGACATACGCCGACGAGTATACACTCGAGTATACATGCACTTATACCTATATGATGAATGATGGATGGCATCCAATAGTGCAGCCACGACAAATCGGAAGACGCACCAGTCAGGAAAAAAGAAAAGGGCAGCCAGGGAGGCTAAACTGGCAAATAGTAGCAACCTCCGAGCCTAATGCGAGGTTGTTACACTAGACGTTTTCCCTCTTTCTCTGCTAAAAAGTCCTGCTCAAGACTTTCCCATGCCCCGCCCATACGATTCCTAGCGCGCGCTGTGGTTTTGGTGCTTGCAGGCCTATCCCTGCCTCCCGCTAGGCCCGCATACGTCGTCGGTCATGTGGTTTGCCATGGCCAATCAGTTGGTAGATAGAGATAGAGATATAAGTAGGTGAGGTAGTAGAGGTAGAGTAGGTAGGGTAGTAGTAGAGTAATGGTAGAGGTAGAGTAATGGTGGAGTAATGGCAGAGGAATGATAAGAGTAGATAGAAAATGGTAGATGAGGTAGGTAGAATAATGGTAGACGATAGAGAGAAAGAGGTAGATGAGAGATGAGGAGTGTAGGGACGGAATGGAAGCTGGACAGATGGTTGCAGCAGTACAAGATATCATGTCATTCGATATATTTGATATTTGATATCATTCGATCGCGGCCTGTCGTTGCTGCAGCTCAGACGCATCTGCGGAGACGACGGTCGAACAGGATACGCTCATGCATCGCCCGCACGTCGTATATCTGTACGCACGTCGTATATCTATCATGCAGACGGAGAGTGGACGACAGACGGCTGGTGGACAGCGGGCGGTAGGATCCGTTGCATGGCATGGTTGATGTATATGTCCAGCCAGTATGTATATCAACCTCAAGGATCTTGCCTCCAGCCTCCCGCCGCCTGCCACACGCCGCCCCGTCGCAAGAACCAGATGCCATGGCCATGTACATGTACATACCCGGCTTACTCCAGCCAGGTTCGATGCCTGTTGTACGGATCTTCAACGCAGCGTTGCTGAAATGCCTCGAGGTGCAGGCTGCGTTGTTCGTGTCCCTAGTCTCGCTCCCTCGACCCCAGCCCTGATCGATAGGTACCCAACTGTGCTGCTTATTCCTGCCTTACCCTTACCTAGCATCGTTCATGTTTCCCCCGCAAAGCATGCAAAGAGTGGTCTATAGGCGGCGGTCTATAGCAAAGGGTGGGAGTTCGTCCTCGTCCCCATCTCATACCTTGGCCATCACATATCGACTCGACTGCAACTCGGCCCTGATGATAGAAGTATCAATTGGGTAAACGTGCATGCATATGCCATATAACAAATAATATATACACTCTGGGGAAGCCTGATTCCTTCCTTTCGATTTTAAAAACGGCCGGCTCGAGCGTACATACATCCATCCACACGGATCGCCTTTCTTCCCCCTTCACCCGTCGCCTTCATCCTCCAGGTCCCCAGCTTCATCCCCGTCTTCATCCTCGGGATCCGGCATGACGATACTGTTCAGATATGTGACCTGTCGGAATGAAACATGTCAGTAACATAGAATCACGGATGAAACCTTAATCATCCCTGGAGCTGCGTGATGGATATATTAAAAAATATATACATATTTTGCACGGCCAAGCAGAAGCACAGCAACCCGGGACTTCTCTCCTTCTCCATGCAGCGAATCTGTATCGAACACATAGATGGGCATGAGGGCAGGACAGGCAGGACAGGACAGCCTGGTCGCTAAGCGAGATTGACTCCTCGCCCTCGCTAGGGAGCGGTAATCTTTTTCCTTTCTCCATGGTTTGGTGGCTGGCAGGGGTGATTGGCAAGGGGGGGGTGGAGAACTTTGACCGCGATTGAAAGGAAGAGAGAGGGGGGAAAGAGCGCAGAGACGAGCATAGGAGGAGAAAAGAAAGAAGGGGGATGCAATGGAGGGGGGAAAGGGAGAAGGACAAGATGTTTGGATGCCCGACTCGCTCCACTGCTCGTTTTACGTAGGTTGGCTGCCTCTGTGCCCAAATTCAGCTCATTGTGCATGCATATCATACCTGCATGCGACGGTTAAGCCGCGAATGGAAAGTTACAGTGTGTGTGTGTGGATCATGGTGGGACAAATGATGGCTCTGGGACCCTGGAAATATAGACGAGAGGCCCGCGGGAAAACCGCCCGTTGAGTCGGAGAGAGGGATGGAATGGGATGGGATGGAAGGGATGGAGGGGATGAAGCTCTGGCTCTGCGGGATGGGAGAGACCGCCCGCGGGGAGGGAGGGAGGGAGGGAGGGAGGGAGGGAGGGAGGGGAGACCGGGTGTGCAGGAGACAACCTCTTGCTGCAGGCTGACGGCGCTGAATTATACTCACAAACTGAACCATGATCCCGACGATATGAGCCACTTTGTCCATGGCTTCTGGCCCACGGAGATCCTTGTCGGCCAGTTTCTTGCTCAACGTAAAACTGCGGAGACGGAGCAGTTCGATATTCTCATTGTCCGCATTGTAGCCCTATAGATATAGTTAGATCGGTCCTCGGTATCTCAGTCAATAATGGTAAAGGGGGATTGTCTTGGTGTACGGGGGCTGTAAGAGGGGAAAAAAAACGTCAATTTCGTTAGGCCTGCTTTGAAACTGGGACCGACACTTTCTCTGAACCAGAGACCGAGAAATTTCCAAAACTCACGACGGCCTGGACGGACGGTTGCAAGCAAGAAGGTTCAAAGGGGCTCCGTTCGTAGTGGCGAGGGAGCGCGCGAAGCTCTACGCAAATCAAGGGCCGCGCCAGGTCCGCCCGTAACGGCCCTTGGAGGCCCAAACTTTGGCTGCCAAAAACCCCCCCGCCTAAAGGCCAGTTGAAGGCTCCAGGGGCGGTACCTTTGACTCTGACGGTCAGATAGATGTGTTCTGTTCGAGCGAGTTGACTTTTCAATATGTGTCCGTTCGTTGGTTGCAAGGTTCATGCGAGGTGCTGCCAGTTAGCGGAGGCAGGTAGGCATTCATCATCGGTTTGCTGTCATTTGACTGAATCACCCGGGATACAGCGGAGAATCTTGCAGGTTTGGTGGGAAAAACCAACTTACGATGAGCCGGAATCATCAGGATCGGGCCTACGGAGAGTCCACGGATGGAGGTAGCGGAGGTACGTCGAGCATTTCACCTGCTGATGGCCAAGTTGACTGACCGGACGGTCGCTGCTGATAGAGCGCAGTTGCTTTCCTTACCGTTTAGACTCGACGAAAACCCTCCGGCCGCACATGAAGCCTTCGCATATTTCTGTCGATACCCCTCTCTAGGCCTAGAGCCGGAACTGGAGACCCTAAGGGAATAACCTAAAGCGTAGGGAGAATACTCTGTTTGGGAGGAGGACAGGCTTGAGGTGTGCGGTTCGCCGGGAGGAAAAATGCTTGATCATAAAAAAAAAAAAAAAACAAGGGACAGCAGCTTTCACCTACCTTTGGTTTGGTTTTGAGAGCACTTTCTTTATTCTGGTCAGCAAAGGCCTTGATCACCTTCTTCTCGTCGTTGGGAATACCGCCGAGGATTTCGCCCCTGACGTCTTGACGCATCAGTATCGCCTTCAGCCGCTGCGAGTTGCGATCGATATCCTGACGAATAAGTGCTAGTTTACTGGCTTCAGGCATCCATAGTCCTGACCCTGAAGTTATACGTCGATTAGCCTAGGCCCAGAACCATATCTAATGCTCTCTGACCGTCGGTATGTCATGGAACTATTGTTTGGAATAGCAACTGGTCACAATGGTGATATATCGAGAATACCAGTCGAGCCAGATAATGAAAAGTAGGTTTTAGTGAACTCCAAGATGGAGCATCACTCACCTATAAAGCATTTCCCAGGTTCTAGATGAAGGTAGTATGCTGCATACGGGCCTTTTCGTCCAGTTCGAGACCTGCAAGGATTATTCGATAAGGTATGTGATATATGGCAGGATAAATGTCAACGTACCATGCTGCTGAGAAATGTGGCTTATTTTTAGTTAGTTAGCAGCGGCCTGGTGCAAATATTGAAAGCTTTTTATCTGAACTTCCCGCTTAACCTGAAATGAAAACTGCATAACATACCTTGTATGGCGTCTGGTCATGACTAAAACGGACATCTCTATAGATTCGGAAAACCTATATGGTATCCAGCCCATTTAGCAAAAGGTGGCAGCATGATGGACAAGTACTTGATAGTCCTCACCAGGTCTTTTGCTGGCAGCTCTGGAATAGTCTCATCTTTCTCGGCCAGTTTCTCGTTCAGGCTTTCAACGAACGATTCCCAGTCCTTCTTGGACTTTCGATAGTCAACATCATGTCCTGGACAAATCATTAGTAAATAGAGAAACGCAATGAAGTATATGCATGCCTAAATTTGCAATGCTTGCATGTATTGTAGTGAACTCACTTTTCATCCACTCACGGTCATTGTTTTCTTTGAGATCTGCTAGGAAGAGCACTGTATTTGGATGGATCGTGCCGTCTTCGTAGGGTATACCTCCATCATCCCTCGGGGTTGGAAGCTTGATGAAAACCTCCTTCCCTGGTTCTAGTCCCGTCTTCACACCCTCTCGCCATAGTTCACTGCCTTTGCTAGATCCGCGGGGTTCGAGGACGGCGCCCTTCCCGACGCCTTTCCTTTTCTTCGTCGGCGCCACTCGTGGTTTTTTCTTATTCCTCTCTTCCTCGCTGAATTCCTCATCCCCATCTTCGTTATCTTCTCCCGCGCTATCTTCGGCACTCGAAGAGGCAGCGTTTTCTGATTCCGCATTATATGAATCCTCTGTTTCGTTATCATTTCTCGTAGAGGCTCCTTTTGAGCCATTGGACGTTAATGGAGTCGAGTCGCTCTCGCTTATGTCGGGGTCTTCGGCTTCCTTGGTGAAGTATTTACTCTTCTTCGCGGTGGATGACGCCGTGCGCCTCGTGGTCTTAGACCTTGACGGTAGCTCTTTGGTGGCATTTGTGGCATTTTTCTGGCGTTTTGAATCCTTATTCTGGTCGGGGGACGAAGTATCAGGCTGCCGCTTGTTTGCCTGTCTTGTAGGCGCAGAATTGCGAAGTGAACGGCGAGGCATGGTTGCGGAAGCGCTGTCGTTATGATCCCCGCATCGTACTGATGTAGGAGACTAGACAGCGCGGTAAATCTACCTGCGGTTAAAATAGATTTGTTGAGCTTCAAACGAAGGCCGAGAGAATGATATATATATTCCTGTCTCGTCTCGTAGCTTTTCTGAGCTGGTAGCTTGTTCGCGACGGAGAGACCTCGGCAGCTGGATGGGACGCGTTGGTTAAATATTCCTGGACGTAGCTTCGTATTCTCGACAATCACCAAGCATTCAGGCGGAAATCGGAGTCTTGGAGCACACAGAGGGATAATATATTTTACATCTTCGGCCGATGGCGCAAAATATTTCGTTGATGTTTTTAGGGGATACTTGTGCCTAAAGCTTGGGCCGGGGTGAGCGAAAAAAGTCTCGAACAATCAATTTGCATGCATATTTGACCCTCGAGGAGAAAACTACCCGCAACCAGCAGTGATAAAGAACACGGACTAAATAAGGGCCAGTTTTCAAAAGAGAATAAAGAAGAAACTATTTATCAAGCCACATTTGGAGGGAAACCCGCGAGAGGAGATCGCCACAGCTCCCTGAGATGGCTGCCATTTGTGCTAATTTCACGGCCAGGAAGGAGAAAATATTGAGAGACCTAGCTGTTCCTGATGAAGATTATACGGACTTATCTCCCAAGGGGTCTGTGGATGTCGCAATTATACCACTCATACGGGATATAAATCGACTGCCAGGACTTGTAACAACCAGTAGCTGTGCTGGGCGCATCAGCGTCTTCCTCGAACGGGGGAAACCATCCAAGGGCCAGGATGATAATGATACCATCGAAGCTTCAACAAACCCTGACAATAACTATATGAGCAATGAGGGAGGCCGCAGCGGGCCCGAAAAATCAGAAAGTGTCAATAGATTCGTCCCTACTGGGGGGAAAGGCAGTGGAAAGTGGCAATTCGTTTCCCATAGCCGTGTGACAGCTGATGCAGATAAGACCCAGAGGAAGCTGCATGATTTATTCGGGTTAAAGCCTTCGAAAGGTCAAACAAACTTGAGCAGTCACGGAGAGCTACAGCTGGTTAAATTTAAATTTGAACCTATGGTATGTACTTGGTACCCCCACAGCCCCTATTTTGATACAGCCCGTAACCTATTACAAATTTGTCAACTCAGGCAAACCAATATTTCTACAGGGAGTTTGTGATGCTAACCTACTGTAAAGATTCTTCATATAATGGCGGCGTCTCTAAAAGATGCCCATCCAGTTCTTGCCGCCGCTAGTACTGCAGGTTTCCGAGAAAGCGGCCTCCAAGGCCTTCGCTGTCTTGAAGACCCGGATGCATGTCCTATCGTTGCCGTAAGATCGTCAGGTTTGGGCCTGGAGTCAATCATAGGTTATGTGGAAGATGAAGGGTCTCCTGAGGTTTCAGTACGCAGCCTTGTAACGGAGGAATATCTGCAACTACTTGTTCAAATATCAAACGAGCGGTTTAAGACGAACACAGAACGCACGGAGAGATTTAGGGTGAGACTATTGGATTTAACTGCCGCGCAGGATAGTGGCAACACTAAGTCACGTCAGTGGGAGGATCCAAATGCTCGAAGGGAAAGGAAGAGGGCTGAAGGGCTAGAAAGGAGTAAAGCAGCAAAGGAAGCTCGACAGGCTGATGTTTTGAACTCGGACATCAATAATGACGATGGCGAAGGCTTGTTTTTTTGGAATTGATTCAATGAAAATGTTATGATATCGTCACTCGATCCTCACAGGGTAATAAAGATAGAGACATCTCATAACGAGTAGCTAGGGAGAATATATTCCTTCCTAATATAGATATATAGAACGTATAGCAAACGGAATGAAAGCATGCAAGATGCAATGGCCAATTTTACACAAGTATTGTTTTCCTAAGTTTAAACGCCTAGACAGGTTTACAGAGGCCGCAGAGAGTCAGAAACGAGCCCCTAAACTGACGATCTAGGACACATCCTTGAACTTAAGCCAACATGTACCCTCGTTCACACACCCCTTAGTGGTCCTTACGGATGTGAGGAATATTATGGCCTTCCAAAGGGCTAAAATGAGGGAGACAAAACAAAGAAAAAAAAAAACCATTAATTATTAATCGGAACAGTCCTAGTCCAACAGGTTAGTTACAATAATGCCAGCAGCCAGCGGGACTGCCCTCATGGGAGAATGCTGACTGCTAGCCAACTAGGAGCAACGCAGGAACAAATGAAAGACAAAGGAAATAACAAAGGAAATCAAACGGCGGTGTTGATAGCCGCAAGCCCCTCTGAGACCAGGGCTCTCATCACCCCGATCTCAGCGTTAATGGCGGCTTGCAGGCTCCGCCGCGCTCCCTCACCCCGCCACTCCAGCATGAGTGGCCCGAAGGGCGAGTTGCCATGTTGAATGGCGTCCCACGAGTTGTTGAGCTCCCCAAAATTGGGGACTCGGCGTAGGACAGCAGCCCGGATTAACCGGGCATACTCCTAAGGGGAAACGTCAGCGCCTATAACTAAGGGTGGTTATGGGGGTTCTCAGGCGGATTCGTACCTCCACACTTTCCTCTCGCGCACTGCCCTTGCGCGAAAGGGTGTCGAAGGGCCAGAACATCGAAGTTCTGGGGGTACCCCCTTGTTCTTGTTCCGCCGCCACGCGGAGAAGGTATTTCTGGCGTTCATTGAACGCCGGGCAACGAAGTCCTGCGTTGAGGAGGTCCCTCAACAGACGTGCATCCAGTTGGATGACTCGTCGTGCATTGACATGGGTGACCAATGCCTGCAGTTGACGCCTCGTGGCATCAAACAAGACGTTGCGGTGCTCTACGGTGTAAAGAGACTTCGCAAACCATGGAAACTAGGTATATATATGTTAGTGCAAAGTGAGTTTATAATGACAGGTGGATTAACATACTTTGTCGAGAGTGCTAATCATAAACTCGTACGGACGCTGTGGGCACTTTTCGGCGAAGGGAGCCTGGAAAGGGGCTGTCAGTCGTGGTTTGGTAGCTTGACAGGCATACGATCAGGGACTCACTCTCTTTGGCGCTTCAGCATGATGGACCATACAAAACATCTCTTCGTTTGTCAAAAACCCCTGGAAACCGGTCGAGAAGCTATCGAGATTTGGCTGAACTTCGGGATATCCGTTGGTCCAAATGACACACTTGGCACGAGGAAACATCTCACGAAGCAGTTCGTCCTGAGAAGAGATGTCGACATGCACATGACGATCACCGAGGCGTGGTGAATGAGCAGGTAAATTACGGTTGACCCATGCGAGGGCCTCCTGTGCATCACCCTGTGTGAGCAACTCGACATAGCAGTCCATAGTCTTAGCTGTAGACCGCTCCATGATGACATGAATGGAAGAACCTCTCTTTTCTGGGAGTAATTTGGCTCGACGACCGAGGAAATGCATGACTTCACGCGACAAGAGGTTGTATGGGATCTTTTAGTAGAGTTAGCTCAAGGCAATAGAATGTCAATCTTCTGTTTATTGGCCAATGTGACCCCTTTGGGTTTCAAAATAAAGGTGACACAAGAGGCAGAGTAAGGAATAGGGACTTTTGAAAATAAAAGGGAGGAGTAAAGGGGGAGATCCTACATTACTGATCTTTAGAACTGCTCCAGCTGGGGTTGGTCTTGGACTTGGACCACTCTCGAATGGATCTTCTAAAGCGAAAGATCGAACAACGCCGTTCAAGGTAGCAGATGTATTCGAGCCACGATGACCATTGAAGTGTGGGGACCCGTTTCCTGGGTAAGTGATAGTAGGTGGCCTTGACATTGGCATCTGCGGATAGGGGTTATGACGGGGAGGGCCAAAAGCAACATTGTTGTTGATATTCATGCCATGGCCATTTCTGACCATGTTATTGCGATTGTTATTGTTGTTGCTGTTGTAGCCATGACCGTTATTGCGATTATTATTGTTGTTGCTGTAGCCATGACCAATATTGTTGTTCATGGGAAACTGTGAATTGGCTGCAACAGACCCAACAGGAGGACGTGGAGCAAATGGCATTTGTTGCTGTACCGGTTGCTGAGCCGGTTGCTGAGCTGGTTGCTGAGCTGGCTGACTCGGGGGTCTCACTGGATATGAAGAAACGATGAGTGGGCCTTTGTATTCGTTTTTCTTTAGTTTGATTGCAGCAGTAGCAGAAACGGCAGAAGGTGAAGACACAGGCGTAGAAACGCGTACAGAAGGAGAACCAGGAGGGGGAGCAGGAGTTTCAGCGCGAGGAACAACGGCTGGAAGGTGGGAAACAGAAGAAGTTCCAGACGTAGTAGTAGGAGGGACAGCACCGGGGATATTCGAGGGTGTAGAAGTAAATCCAAAAGGCAAAGGAGGACGAGGAGTGGTGGATGTTTGAATTTTACCTTGCTGAGGATTCTGGACATTGCCTGAGGCCATGCCTGGAGTTCCCGTCATCGGCGGCATCCAACGAGACGTGTTGTTATTGTAAGGGAACTGCCCCTGATTGTGGCTTCCGGAATACATCTGAGGCAGATGAGACTGGGAATTAGGGAGATAAGGTAACTGATGAAAGAATGGCTCAGCAGCGACCGTGTCTCGCGGATGGTAAGGGGCTGATGCTGGTGAAGGGGGAGGAGCAACTGGAGGACTGCCAACGGAAAAGGAGACGGGGGATAAGAGACGAGAAGGAGGTGAAAAAGGACGTGTTTGTGGGGAGTGAGGTGTAGGACTGAGAGAATAGGCGAGAGGAGTGTGTGCCGGAGAAAAATTTACAGCGGAAGTTGGCGGTGTTACTTCACTAGCTGGAGCTTCTGGAGCTGCTGGAACTTCTTCTGACACTTCTGTGGTGGTGTCGTCGAGTTTGGCATCGGGTTCACTTTGCATCGGCTCGTCTTGATCGTGAGATGAAGCCATGCCGGCTCCTTCAGGGGTCGACTTCGTTTCTGTAACCGCACCCTCATCGTCGTGGCCAGTCTCTGCAACCTGAGGTTCTTCATCTTCCTTTGGATTGACGTTCACAGCCTCTTGAGTTGCATTATCAGGCAGAATTGGAGGCTGCTGTGAATGACGACGGGGTTTGACTCGACGGGATACCATTTTGATATCGGTCAACCACCGATGATTTGCCTTGATAGCAGGCCACTGCCTCAAAGGGCCGTGACAATGACAAAAGACAAAGAGCTCGAAGCGAGTGAACAAGATATTTGGGCTGAATGCTGGCAACAAAAGCTTGAGAAATAGGAATAAAGGAGAGACAGTCTTCTCTGTTAACTTCAGGGACTTGATAAGGACTTTAAGTCACAACTTTGAGAGCAGCTTTGACCTAACCTTTGATGTGAAGGATGAGTCTCCAGATGAAGTTGGTGAAGATACCAGAGGAAAGAGGAGAAGAGAAAGAGGTCAACGGGCAGAAGATAAAAGGGTTTTTATACTGTCTATCGTGGGATGCTTAGTCGTTGCTGCGCTGTGAAAACTCCGACTGCATGCAGATAGGGCTAGGGCACCTGCTGACGATGCGATATATGCAATGAACATGATGGCTTGTGATAGGGAATTCGATGAACAAAAGCTACAGAGACAGCCAAGGGGGCATAGGGGTCGCCGAGCGGGATTATGGGGGATTGATATCAGAACAAGGGGAGATTCCTTAGAGTACGGTGCCGGGGGTACTAAGAAGGAAGGGATATATAAGTGCCTTGAGAATATGGTGTATCAACTTCTATTACAGGAGACACGTTATCTCTAGACACTTCATTGCACCGAAGGGCATGTCCCATTTGGACATGGCTGTCCAAAATGTGCTAGGAAGGGTTCCTCCGTTAGCAGGAAGGGTATAATAGAGGATGCACCTTATATATTAAGGTGAATGCGGTGGAATAGTTATTATAGAGAAGTAGCGGCTTTCGCTTATGGGAAAAGGGGTATCACTTGGAGCTCTACTATCATTCCACCCAGCACTGCTGGGACAAGCGGACAGAAGAAGAATAGCAAGAGTTCTACAGCAATTTTTATGTATTCATGCTGCAGAAGAAGAAAAGGTATCAAGTAAGGTCTGTTTTGTAGTAGGTATCAAGGGCTGTGGTCAAAATTTCCTATTTAGGAAACCCGATCCGTGCTTTGAGATATAGAAGGGTATATAGATATAATAAACATGGAAATATTACGTATGATAAGAGGCCGGAGCCCTTTTTATTCAACGGCGCACAAGCATAAAATGAGCATAGGAGAAATAGTAGCAGAGTAAAGCAGTTGGTCGTGGACTCGCATTTCATCTGTTCGTGGACGACTTCAGGATTGGCTAGACCTTTTTAGTTATGATTAAAATCATTTACAAACCTATATACAACGCCTAGTATCGAGTCATAAGGCATAGGAAAGGTCAAGGGCACGCTGAACCGGACGACAGGGCGAGTCCCCTGCTCTCGAATCTAAGGTTATGTAACCGGGTGGTAGGAAAAGATGCAAGGCCGCTAATCGAACTGCAATGATAAATGTTAGCTAGGAACGGTGAGAAAAGGGGTAGCATTGAGCTTACGGGAGTCAAAAAAGATTCTGCAACAAATCGCGCACGAGCATTTAACTAGCGATATGTGTTAGTGTTTAATTCGAGGTACGTGAACATGGCTTCACACTGAGAGAGGCCACGTAGGGATAGATGAATGACTCACAAAGAGTCTCATCTCGGATATTTCCTTATCCACTTCTTCCATAAACTCGATAATAAAGTCAACCAGTTTGTGTTTCAGCATAGCCTCGGTGTGGAAGTTGGTAATCAAAAAAGAGATGTCATAGCCCTATCTCAGTTAGCTCTAACCACCTATATATATGTACATTGACCGGGTTTGATTACCTTTACAGGCTTCCGTCGTAGGATGAAGAAAGCCTCTGCTCTCTGTGTTAGGAATCTGGTGAATTTGTGTACGAGAATGTGCTCGATCTCGTCAGCCTGCTTGATGCGGATGCTAACTCGAACACTGTTCACACTAGGTTCTATAAGGACTTTCTCTTTCTCGTTTCGCGCAACCGTAAGAGGGTTGAGGAGAAGCTCTGGCGAAGTGGCTGCCTCTATTTCCGGGACGTTATGTCGCTCCGACGTCTGGGAAGCGAAGTTCGATACCGCAAGGGCGGCAGTTAAAGATGAACGAACGCATTGGAGGTACGGTCGTAGCGATTGTGACTATACAAATGGTCAGTATATATTCCAGGGCAGGCTGCCGGCAAGGGGGTGACGTACCATCTTGATAAGTTGTTATGCTAGGTATTAGTTTCCCCCGCCTTCAAAATCGATAATAGGGTCAGGATTCCGCCCAACAGGTATCGTCGGTGCGGCAGGACAGGAATAACGGCTGAGACCAGGCTCGTATCAAGACAGTCAGGCTCCTGCTCCGTGGTATCTGGCTCTCTTCGTCTTGCTGTTGCGATGTGCATCCTTTGGTCGTTCGTTTGCGTCCGCTGGCGGTTCTAGCGGGAGTTTGCACTGTTTGCACTGTCCCTCGCCCCACATAGAAATACGCCGGCTGGCCCAAACCCTTAACGACACCTTGAGGCGAGGATACTGTTTACGCTGCTGCATCCGCGAAGGAGAAAGACTGCCAGGAGTTTCGAGATATCCTTCGGCAAACTACGAGGAAACATGGCGTCTATACCCGGTAATGCGTGAGCCACTGTCTTTTACCCGAAGTTCATCCCGCTAATACCTATCTTAGTGATCGTCAAGCACCAGGGCAAACGGCACGAAGTAGAGCTAGACCCCAGCTCAAATGGCGAAACCTTCAAATTCCAACTTTACTCGTTAACAGGAGTTGAGCCAGAGCGACAGAAGATCCTCGTCAAAGGTGGTCAACTCAAGGATGACACCCTCCTCTCCTCGCTCAATGCGAAAGCGGGCCAGACGTTCATGATGATGGGCACACCAGCCAACGGAGAGTCTGGTCTGGCATTGAGGAAACCAAAGGAGGCCACGAAGTTTCTGGAAGATATGACCGAGGCTGAGGTTGCGAGGGCGGATGGTGCCATACCGGCTGGACTTCAAAATCTGGGAAACACCTGCTATCTGAACTCCACTCTCCAGGCCCTACGCCTCATGCCAGAACTCCAAGAAGAGCTTTTAAAGTACAGACCTACGCCACAGGGTAGCTCCAGCCTCTTTGGCTCCGGCTCACTGGACCTCACTGCTTCTCTGCGGGATTTGTACAAACAAATGTCAGAAACTCAGCATGGATTCCCACCAATGATGTTCTTGAACGCGCTCAGAACTGCCTTTCCACAATTTGCACAGAAGAGTAGGGACGGTCACGGCTACGCGCAGCAAGATGCAGAGGAAGCCTGGTCACAGATTATCTCGCAGCTTCGACAAAAGCTTACGATAAAGGACAAGTCCGGCGGCGGTGAAAAGGACGTATCCTTTATCGATAAGTACATGGCTGGGAAATTTGACTCGGTCCTGGAGTGTGACGAGCCGGCTGCTAAAGACGGCGGGGAGATGGCTGTGGAATCCTCCGACGTGTTTTTCAAGCTCAACTGCCACATTGATAAGGAAATTAACCATCTTCACGATGGGATCATGGCCAGTTTGCAAGAGAAGATCGAAAAGCACTCGCCTACCCTCAACCGAGATGCCGTCTACACCAAGAAATCCCGGATCTCACGTCTTCCAAAATACCTTACCGTTCACTTCGTTCGTTTCTTCTGGAAGCGGGAAACACAGAAAAAGGCCAAGATTATGCGAAAGGTTACGTTCCCTCAAGAGATTGATGTCGTGGACTTTTGTACGGATGAATTGAGGAAGCAGCTTATCCCAGTTAGGGACAAGGTCCGCGAGATCCGAAAGGACGAGCATGACATGGAGAGAGCCCGGAAACGCCAAAAGATTGCTCATAAGCGCGAAATGGAGGCAAAGAATGAAGAGCAGATATCGGAGCCACTCCAAAAGAAGAAAATGACTGAAGCTGCTTCCGAGGACAGCAAGGAGAAACCCCAAGACAAAGATGCTGCCCCTGAAGAATTTAAAACTGATGCAGAGTATGAGGCTGAAAAGGCTGCTGCTCTCCTGGAGGCCAAGAAAGAGCTTTTCTCCCTTATTAACGAAGAACTTGCAAAGGATGATAGCACAAACAAGTGTGGACTCTACGAACTACGTGGTGTTATCACCCATCAGGGCGCAAGTGCAGACAGCGGTCACTACACTGCCTACGTAAAGAAGCAGGGAAAACTAGTGGACGGCAAGAGACGGGAGGAGGATGGAGGCTGGTGGTGGTTCAATGACGACAAGGTCTCTGAGGTGCCAGCGGAGAAGATTGACACCCTATCCGGAGGCGGTATGTTTCCAGCATCCTACCCCCCTCCGTACCCCTGAATACATAATAGCCTAACTGACATACACCGGATATAGGTGAATCGCACTCTGCTCTGATCCTTCTCTATAGAGCCATCGAGCTACCTAATGCCGACGTACTGAAGCAGTAGATCGTGTGGGAATGGTTATCGTCAGCGCATCTTTAGCCCAACACATCCTTCAAATTGATCACCGATCCAGCAGATCCCTTCACCTCTACATTGTTATTACGAACCCTAGCATAGGCGCATTTAGCTAAGGAGGACATTTGCTGTCTGACTCTTGAGGTAGAACATTTTATGAATCCCTAGAAATGCCTTTTTAACTCGTGTATTAGCTTGTCATATATCCATTGGTGGTACGAACACCCGTAAATATTTGCCCATGTACCTTCGGTTTTCCTTCGTCCACCAGTCTACGTGGTTGCACCTTCTTCCTCTTATCTACACGATGCTACAGCACATATGTTTGATATATTGGTACTGGCTTGCGCGCTTAATCTAAGTGGCTGTTAAGCGCGTGGCTAAAGCTTGGCCTAGTTAGCTTCTTTAACCGCGATTGCTGCAAACCAACGTAATTTCAACCCAGTCAAGAGCTTGACACACCCAGCGAACATGCTACAAGGAACTAGGGGTGGGATTCTTTCTCGCCTCTCTTCCACAGTCTACCATAGGCCCGGCCGCCATGGAATCTCATTCGCAACCGGACTGGCTTCGCTCGGTCGTGCTACCCCTCGACCGTACGGCCCTATCAGCCATCTTGAACAGCCGGTCTTCAGAAACCAGACTCGCCCGTTAACAACAATAGTAACATATTATCCACCCGATCCAAACAAATGGCCTCGCAGACTTCGCCTTTTCCTTTACATTATTCTATTCAGCTCCCTGGGTAGCATGCAAGCGTCGAAGGTGATGGATATGTTTAGGGGACCTACAGCAGAGCCCGACATCCCAGAGGATATGGAACAAATCAAAGCACTCAATGCTCAATTCTCTAGACTGGAGATTGTCAGGCAGTTGCGCGCAGACCCGGCTTATTTTGAGGGGGATCTATATGGAGGTCTTACTGAGGATGAGAAGCGGGTGAGGCTTACTAGTGGGAGCTTGCGTGGATCTAGAGGCTTCTCATGCCAGGTTTGTCATCAATACACCATTATACACCCAGAGGAATTGCTTCTAATTTATGATTCTTTGGTAGCGCATATTCTACAATCCAACAGAAAACATCATCAAGGCGGTCCTATACATTGGTCATGGTGTTGACGGATGGCCTACTGTCGTCCACGGCGGTGCCATTGCTACACTCCTCGATGAAAGCATGGGCCGTTTAGCCCTTGAAAATCTTCCGAGACACACAGGTGTTGCGTCCACTTTTATGATAACCTATAAAGCGCCCCTTTCGCCCGGCCAATATATTTCGGTTGAGGCGAAATATAACGAGTATTTGAGTGAGAACAGCGCTGCAGTCGTCGATGCGGTTGTCAAGGATCAGATGGGCGGAGTCTGCGCTGAGGCCATAGCCATGTTTGTGGATCCTAAGAAACTGAGGTCGACGATAATCCTCCCAGTATTCTAATGCCAGTTGAGCGGGCTCAACGGCCTCTTTCTCCTATTCTTTATATTCCCCAACACGTTGATATACATGCTGTGCCATATCTTCTGCTTAAGTTATAGAGCTGCTATCAATAACTTACTTTCTAGATGACTCAAACGTTTCGCTTGGCTCCAACTTATAACAACCTTTCAGCGAACGTGTTACGGCGGCTGCGAGCTACCACTGAAAATAAGCACGATTTTACATATTAGACTCTGACGCACAGGTGTATATTTGGTACAAATACGTAATCAAGGAGTTATAATATATCGATGGACTGCAATGGTATATTGGTCTAAACATCATTAATACTTGGATATATCGTACATAAAACATTCGAGAAGTGTAAAGGGAAGGAGGTCAACGGGGACTCCGTATGACGCCAAAAAATGCAGAGCATGTATCCAACAATGATCATACACTTAGAATAGTTAAGATAAGCGCATGTTCCTTGCCTGTGACGAATATTAGGAATCGGCACGTTTTACATAGTTTCTGTTCTTTCAAGCTGGTTCTTGCCAATCCAGCCCGCAACTCTACTAATAGAGCCGGAATGGGCTCCTGGCTTTCTAGTGGTGGGTGTCGGGGCTCGTTCATCAAGACTCGTTCGCCCACGAGTGAATGAAGGTGTTGTGTTGTGTTGGTTTTCATCGGATTCCTCCCCTTCGAGCCTGGATGCAACCTGGTTTGAGTTATTCCTCCACTTTTTGGCGCTTGTGCGGTTACCCAGAGCTCCTGGGTTTTCAGCCTTAATTATTAACTTTGGAGTGGTGGTTGGCCCAGTTTCCGACGCTGGCGCAGTTGGTGCAGCGGGTGTAGCGGGTGTAATTGATGACACGGATGATATAGACGGGGGTGGGGCAGGCATATTGATCACCATATGTTCTGAACATTTACACCCGCAGCCAGTTGGGCATAATGCAACATTGTTGCTTTCCGCAAGGTCGCCGCCGTCAGTCGAGGCGCCCGAAGAAAACCATTGGGAGTGACACTTAAAGCAACATGTATGACCACAAGCTAAGCATGGAACGAACATGCCTTGGATTATCTCAGTGCAGATGGCACAGGACATATTGGGTGAAACTGGCAACGCTAAATTGCAGTTGAGACATTGGACATTGATGAGAGCATTTCGTCTGGTATTCTTCCCAGGTACCCTGGTAAGTGTGTTAGGCTTTGAAAACGCAGAGATTCGCAAAGCAGAGCCACATGTCGCACAGTGATGCTGGAGATTAAGTCCTTCGGCAGCCATGTCTGTTGGTGGGACCTGATTGACAGCCTGGCTATGACGTCTATGTCCATATCTGGTTCGTGGATATCTACCGCCGTGTTTGTGCAAACTAGAACGTTCCGACTCGCTATCGACAATGGAAACCATTTTTAGCACTTCTCTTCCTTGTATTGGCATGTTCCAAATGAACAATAAATGGGCATAATTTGCTCGGTACGCCTGATAAAGGTTTTGCAGCCGAGGGTCGAGCAGTGGAACCTCAGCCTTACAGTCGTTATCAAATGCACCCTGATGCCTTTTGATAACTTTTATGCCTCCGTTAAACCTATTAGCCCTCGGTGAAATCTGTTTATCGCTTTCTTCCGAATCCGAGAAAGTCTGGGGAGTACCGATGGCAGATGGGGTCAGGTAGCTAGGTAGTGCGGAAGCTGCTTTATTACGGAAGCCTCCGACCGAACTCCATATACTCGCGCCTTGAGTTGTAAGGCTACCGATAGGACTAGGTTGTTTCTTAGTAACGCCAGCTGGGGGTGAAGAGGATGCAGAGGGCCCAAATGTTAAGGATCGTGATAGTGATGAAGCCAATGTGTTGCCAAAGTTAGAGTTCATCCGCATATTAGAAGGTTGGTCGGGGGACCCTGATAAGGATGTGTTATAACGGGATTTACGCTCCATGCTGGATTTCACGCCACGTATTCCTGTGGGTGGCGTTGTTCCCGTAGAAAATAGGGGTGGTGTGTTGCCGTGCCACAGGTCGACAGATGAATAGCCAGAGCTATGGGATGCCGATATATTGCGCAAATCTTTGTTTGCGAGCGGCGTTGTATTGTGTTTGTCTCGGAACTGTTGATCAGAAAAGCTTTTTTCGTCTAAAAGATCCAATATACGGGGTTTCGATGGATCCTCTGTATAACCTCGCTTTAAATCTGTCTCATATAGAACACATGAGAGCATTCCAAGCATTTGGACATCTCCAAGCTGTTCAAAATGTTCAAATCTATATATTGTTAGCGCGACTCTACATAGAGTAACGAATGACATTAAGGATGTCGGAATCTCACAAGGCAGGGATAAACCAGCGAGCCCCCAAAGGGTGGTCCCCCCAGGTTTTTAGCCCATCACTATTCAGGTCAATGCCGCTATCCTTTCGTCTCAGGTAGCTTGGGGTATTCGCTATATGGCGTAAACGATCTTTGACGGCTTTCGTATCGACGGCCGCCTTGTTATCCAGTAGTAAGTTCAAAAGCCCCCAAATGTAGGAGAGTTCTGAGCGTCCTGCACTTGCTGCAACAACCATATTATGAGAGCATATTTCCGCCCGGTTGCCAAATATCTTGTACTGTTCAGCAAGGTCCCGCTTTGCAGGCAATATGTCATTAAAATGGTATATATGGACATAATTCTGGCAAGAATCTGTTGATGACCTAGCCGTGCTTGGCCCTGCAAATGACTTTTGCGAAGTGCCTGCAATAGATCTTGCAAGGTGGAACCCGATGTTACTATGCCTCCAGGCATGATTTCCCTGGAACTGCTGAGGCAGTGACCCTAATAAATCCGAAGAGCCAGAGGAGCTTGACGAGTCATATGACGAGTCATCAGAAAATTCTGAGCCACCATCCTCAGTTACAAGGCCACCGCTGACGGCTGATTCAGTTGCACCTTTCGGCGCCGGGGAACCTGTTTGGAGGCGACCGAATCCTTCAAATACTTTGTCATTGCGGGATGAGGTAGCAATCGTTCGCAAACTTATTGAGTCTAGGAAGGACGGCGATTTGTCCTCCTTCTTCGGGAAAAAGCAGACAAGCTGCCCATCGTTAGCCCAAAGCGCGCCACATGCACGTGCGACTGGGACCATGACATTGGCATTGATCGGGCGGAGTAGCTCGGACGAGCTTAGAGCAAGGTCGGAGTCCTGGAATTGGCCGACATCTTCATCCTCGTCACTTGATTCATTATCCGCAAGGATATCTGAGGTTTTTAAATGTTCACTTGATTGTTTCTTCGCGAGAACGACACTCTCTTCAACAGTATGTTCCCCAAGCAGGTAGCGAATTACGCCCTCAAGACATCCGCGTTGCCTTGAGAGATATGTCTCCGCGATTGTTTGCATCCCAGTTGTAACAGTCTTGGCTAGCTGGTTTGTCACTGCTGTGGTTCTTTGAACGTTGAAAACCGGAGCCTCCATTCGTGGGTATTCCGCAGGAAACTTAATATCAATTTTCAGAAAAACATTGGAATTCTCGGATCCCCAGGGTCCATGCATAGAAATGGTCGCTTTCCGCTGCCCAACATTTACGGATTCAAACGCTACTCGTGTGAACTTCTCACCGACATGCGTGATTTCATCCCCCAGTGTTTCCACTTCCCACCCGGAAATTTTTACTCCTCGCATCCAAGAGATAGGATTCATATCTGCCCGAAGTGCTGATCGTCCGCGTACACCGGCTCTCTGCCCAATGGGCCGAACCTGACCCCAACCGCGCGAGTATGGCATGCTCACTCCATTCATACCTTTGAGGGTATTGTTGGCGGCGATGTAGTCAGCCCGTTCGCCATCTTCATCGCCAACCTCGCCAAATTCATAAGAATGTTCATCATGAAAAGTTTTGTAGGGAGCACCTTTGCGAGTAAGGCTGAGTAGAGGGTTGAAAGACTTTCCAGTTTCGTATCCCACCCCCTTTAGGATTTCTGGGTCTACGCGGTGAAGTCGTAACTCTTTGTCTGTTCCCCACGAAACAAGCTGAAACTCTCTATGGTCTAAGCCATCTATGATGCTCCCCCTCTGCCTCCAAAGGAACTCTTTGACTTGGCCCTTATGGCCCGGGAAACTGTGTACTAATGGTAAATCAGCTTCTTCGCCGCTGGTTTTGTCCCCGGAAACGCGGCTATATAGATGAAGATCGCTGTTCCCACGCTGTGGCATGGCGAGCACGCCCCATCCAAAGGGGGTGTGCCGCGTCCGCCACACAGGAAACGGCGTATGGATAACTTTCTCGGGACTATCATCTTCTCGTGAATAGTCCCAGAATTTAATTGTTTTGTCAAGAGCACAAGTGACGATTGCTTCAGGGCGAGCTCTGTTCCAATCAAGTCCATATATTTTAGTGTCGTGTGCCTCAAACGTACGCAGAGGACATGCACCTTTTCTATCATCCCAGATGTGAAGAGACTTGTCATGCGAACTAGCAATAACGTGGGAATCCTGTCTGTTCCACTTGACTTGGGTGGCTCCGGTGAACCAGTCAGAAAACGAAACAACCGGCCTTGCCGGGGTCCTCAAGTCCCAGCAATGGACAAAACTATCGACAGCGCAAGTCGCTAGTAAATCAGGATGGTGGGCAGAAAAATTTATATCCGTAATAGCTCTTGAATGTGCATGTAAAACATGTTCGATGGAGTTCTGCGAGGTTTTCATCGCCAAGTTCCAGACCAATGCCTTCTGGTTCGAGGTACTGGCTACCCACGAGTCGCGAGAGGAAAACGGGGACCACTGAACATCGGCAACCTCCCAAGCGGTTCGATGGGGGAGGTAACGGGGTGGAGAGTACGGATTATCGAGGTCTATAACGTGCAGGCCTTCCTTTCTAACAAACCATCAGCGACATGTTATCACCTAAAAGCTCAAGGCTTTACTTACGATGCAAGAACAACATCTCTCCCACAAGGCGATATTGACATAGAACCAACCGCTTGATCAATATGAAACGAGCTGTCTTCCCCAAACGTAGGGCTATCGTAAGCCGAAGCGAGCGGCCTCGACTCAACTGGGTCCGGCATGTTTAGAAAATAGCTTTGAATTCGAGTAAGCTCCGGAATAGAGGAATCGTATCCAAGGCAGCACAGCCTTCAATGCGCCTGACAACTGCCTACTCCACACGCAATAGAGCAGGCTACAGGTTCTCAGTAGCTTGCAGGGCCCCAGTTTGCGCGTTGGAAGGTATCGTTCGCATTCTGGGTTGTCTCAGCCGGGATGTGCACCCGTCAGCATCCCCGAAAGCTGCAACAAAGGACAGGGAAGCACTGCGACTCGAGCGATAAGGTCCACGGATACTGTTTGCTCCATAGAATTACTCCCCTGACGTCGAGTCGAGGGCGCAACGGCGTCTGTAGGTTAGATGGAAGCTTCGTAGTTTAAGTAAGCAAACCCCGTTGGATTTAGCTAGTGGCACGTGCTTCTGCGGCCAGAAAAGGCTTGGCGCCTGCGGGGAGCAACTTCTTCCAAGGTGGGATAAATTTATGAGCGGCCAGGCGTATCCTCACAGTGACGAACTGAAGACCTTCTCTTTGTTTGTAGCAGCCAGGTGCAGGGATAAAGAGAGACCATCTGCCACCATAGCACTAGAGGATCCCCTTTCGATACCGCGAACTCAGCGGCTTGACTAAAAACGCGGCTGATCAGGACTCGACTGGCAGCGAGAGACCCCCCAGAGAACAATATCAACAAGGGAAACAGACCACCCGCATATTCTTGGAAGGAGTATTGCAGATACAAACGCCATTATTTACTCGAGCCCGCCTGCTCAACCACTGTTGTGATCTCTCGATATCCTTTCTTTGGACTTTCAAGCTCTATTCATAGCAGACCATGGCGGGGCTGCCGAAGCGGATAATAAAGGAGACGGAGCGCTTGATGGCAGAACCGTAAGTGTGATGAGAAGGTGAAGGAAGCCGGTGTATTTTCCCTTTATCCCTCTGCTGACAACTGCACTGTCACCCTGTAGCGTACCAGGCATCAATGCAGTCCCCCACGAAGATAATCTACGATATTTCGATGTCCGGATCCATGGTCCAACACAATCACCTTATGAAGGTTAGAATGATACATCTTGAACCAGCTGCCGGCATTCTTAGGAGACGGCTAATTAAGCAATCTACAGGAGGGATTTTTAAGCTCGAGTTATTTTTGCCAGAAGATTATCCCATGACACCCCCGAAGATTCGCTTTCTAACGAAGATTTACCATCCAAATATTGATAGACTAGGGAGAATTTGCCTTGACGTGTTAAAGAGTATGCTGGACTCCATCTTGCTACCTTCGTTGCCATTCCCGTTACGTAGCAGCAGCTAACATGTAGCATCTATTAGATAACTGGTCACCAGCGTTGCAGATTCGAACAATCCTCTTGTCAATCCAGGCACTACTCGGTGCACCCAACCCAGATGACCCGCTCGCCAACGATGTTGCGCAGCGATGGAAGGAGGACGAGCCCGCGGCTATCCAGACGGCGAGAGAGTGGACGAAGACACATGCTATGGTTTGAGTTGGGCCTTTTCAAAGACATTAGACTATACCGTTATTTTAAGTCTATCATAATCTCCTTCGATTAGATCATTTCCGTGCTGTAAGGAACGCTTTAGCTGCCATTCATTCTTCAGTGGTCTCTTTTTCACATCCTTCTTTGACGTATTGTTAACAGAGGGTTAGCTTTCTCCGTGTTTTTATAATCATCAATTCTGAAGTCAGCAATAGGCTGGTTGACATTTGAGCTATGTCAGCTGTGATCAGCCGTATCAGTGAAACTCGGGCTGTCAAGAGCTCAATTGTCAATATTGCTTGAAGAGCGAATGTACTCCCTAGTAGCCATGAAAAAGGACGTTAGAAAGATTAAATAGTAAAGTCGAGTAATATCAATAAACCTGGGATGCGATGTTGATGTTCGTGATGCTTGAGCTGGGCTTGGCTGAGTTTGAGGGCTAGTAAGTCACGTGGCGCACATTAGCGAGTCAACCTCACACCAAACCATCGAGAAGTCCGATCTGAGTCGCAAACGAGTAATTCACAACGACGTCAACAATTTTACCTCGTAAACGCCGGCTGCGCATCACCACGACTCAAGATGCGTACCTACGACGACGCCTTCAGCGGTCAGAAGATCTACCCCGGAAAGGTACGTTCCAGCATCGCCCGTCCAATCTTCAATCAACGCATCCATCGAAAGGACATCTAGAAAGGGACTGAGGGCCGAGCTTGTTGAATTGATACTAATCTGCCCTTTTATTTACTATACAGGGTAAGCTGTACGTCCGAGGCGACAGCAAGGTCTTCCGTTTCCAAAATGGCAAAAGCGAATCTCTCTTCCTTCAACGCAAGAACCCTCGCCGGATAGCCTGGACCATCCTTTACCGAAGACAGCACAAGAAGGGTCTTTCTGAAGTGAGTTGCCACCCTTACGCTCGGTCTAAAAGTTCACGGTAGCAAGTTGCTGTTTGTTCAGAACTTTGCACTTAGAGATGCCGGTTAAGAAGGACGCGCATCGAATGGTTATGGGAACATCAGTGACGTTTGGATCGGAATATTATACTGGGAATCGAGACTGACGACGCCATTACTTCGATCTGTTTTATAGGAAGTTGCCAAGAAGCGTACCCGCCGTGTCGTTAAGCACCAGCGTGCCATTGTCGGTGCCTCTCTCGATGTCATCAAGGAACGCCGAACCATGCGCCCAGAGGCCCGTATCGCAGCCCGCCAGGCCGCCATGAAGGAAGCTAAGGAGAAGAAGTCCGTTGCCGAGAGCAAGAAGAAGGCCGAGAAGGCCAAAGCCGCCCAAGCCGCTTCCCGAGGACAAAGTGGACGAATTCAGAGCAAACAGGGTTCCAAGGGATCTGCTCCCAAGGTTGCTGCTAAGTCTCGTTAAATCTCGATGGAGGGAAGGTGATGGACGGATTTACAGATGGTGTGGTACTACAATGGGTGTTTGGGCCTGGCATGCTTTTTAAGGGGTTTAAAAAACCATCCTTCATAATGAGAGCGTTCCTTCATGAGAACAACTGTTACCATCGAACGATGGATAGGCCTGGTAAAATGAATTATTCTCTTTTACCTATTCCAGCAGCGGTTTCAGCCAAACTATGCTTCGTCTCGACAAATCTCAGGACCATCTCAAGTTCTGTCTCGCTGCCCAAACCCCTGGCAAGTTCGGAGATAGTTTAAAATGAGATGTCCTTTCTACATGTACTCTCTTACTATGAGACTTGAATGATGATATGCGTAATTCTGTAATCTTATCCGTATTTATATCACCCGTCAAGCTATAACCTGTGTAAAGCCGTACAGCCATTGTCTCTGTCCACATAAGCCATTCGATAAAGTGATCTTATGATACTTGTTGTATTCACTGGTCTGTCAACGAAGTGTCCCATCGTCATCTCTCTATCGATTCCTCTTCGATAAGAAGGCGGCGTCCCAAAGCGGTAGTATTAGGGCTAAACCCTAAGAGGGTAATTATGTCTTGGCATTCGCTTCCTCCAGAACTTCGCCTTTACCCAACGACACCCGCGAGATCACCGACATCAAAAGACAAAGTCGTCAACGCATCCAAAGCACACGGTTAGTAGCACTTTTGCTCCCTCAATAAACGCATTTCCGGCAATTTCCTCGTTGCGCACTTCCTCTTGTGAATCCCCGCGTCCCATTTCGGCCCAGCTCGCTTAACTTTAGCCCCTTTGAAAACGGCCAGCCTCAGCTAACCTCTGGAATTTTGTCGCTTTAACAGTTGCATCTCTACTATTTACGAACCGATCACACATCATGGGTAAAGTCCACGGTTCGCTCGCTCGTGCGGGTAAAGTCAAGTCTCAGACTCCAAAGGTCAGTCTCACCAACTCAACCCGACACCTCCGGCCATCGCACACCTCACCAAGTTGAAAGAGAACTCCATGAGCATATCGCTTGTGGCATCGATATGGAGGAGATAATCTGGACACGAATGACGCGTTGGAGAGAGGCTGCAGCTTGGATAATACCGCGGCTATGAAACACCAGTGGACTGACTCATCTTCCGGAGGAATAGGTTGAGCCACAAGAGAAGAAGAAGACCCCAAAGGGCCGTGCTAAGAAGCGTCTTCAATACACCCGACGATTCGTCAACGTCACGATGACCGGTGGAAAGCGAAAGGTATGCCTATTCGATGCCTTCCAGCCAAATATATGGACAGCTGGGGACTGCTTGGTAGTGCTACAGAAGGCTAACTTGCCCGTTACAGATGAACCCCAACCCAGGTGCCGCATAAACGAACATAATCTGTCGACATTTTTTTTGCTCTTCGCGCCTCGTTTGTCAGCTTCGTTTCTCTAAATCCCAAAAAACGTTCGAATATGGTGAAGGACCCCACGGTTTCTCTTATATCTTGGCGATTATGAAACAGTCACTCGGAGAATGAGATGGACAAATCTATGAATCACACAACCGGAAATGGAGCGGAGCGGTTCAACATGGTATATGTCTATTGTGAGCTTGATAAGAATATTGAGGAAACGAAATAGAAAATCAAAGCTGCAACGGGGTGGATGATGAATGGATTGATATGGGAATGAGTTTAAAGAATTTTTTTTAATACATTTTCCCATCTTCAATTTCACTTCGGTTCATCTTGACTTGTTTAATGTGCTGTTTCATTCTCACGCCTATACTTAGGAATTGTATGTACGTATTCTTGAAGGAGGATGTAGAGGACCTTCCTTTATAATACTCCATGAATCATGAAATTTACAAGCGGATCTAGGAACGAAGACTCCAAAGACTCGATTTGCATGGCGATTAGAGCTATCATGTCTTAAGCGTAATGTGGACGATGGAAAATTGCCTGTGGCTGCTGTGTAATGTGGCGAGCCTCGCATCAGCCGTTCATTTGATCTAATTCTATTAGATACCTAGGAATAAGGAAGGAGGAAAGGCTCATGACCCTGTGTCCCCTCCTCTATTCGGTATATATATGGAGGTCTGCAATAGCAGCCACCGTCCATACTTATGTCTAAATTGCGTAAGACCAATAATCCAGCGCTTAAGCCTGTATCTATCATAATCATTAAAGGCTGTTTCCCCCTCCCCCACGTATGCGCCGTATAGAACTTCAGAGCAACCAGATCCAAACAAGGAGCAGAACAGTACTTGACTTTGCATGCACTAGTTCCACCTCATGAACACCCCGATCCAATACTCGACACGTAATAGCCAACAACGCCGGGTATTGGATATAGATGGTTTGGGGGTGATACACTGTCCTCTTTTAAACAAGTGAAATGTAAACAGACCCGGACCACTTTATCATCTATGTGGGATTATAAAAGAAATTCGCTCAGTTGGGAATCCAAAACACAAAAGGTGAATCAGTAGTAATGAGCCATTTCCAAACCAGCACGCTTAAAGCCACATTTTAGATAGAAGCCTTCGTTGGCCTCAGAGCAATCAAGGATGGACTAGAAGTGAAGAATTAGCAATGGCATTTTCAGTAGGTGACATAGGTTAATACCTTGTAGCAACCAGCTTCCTTTGCAACATAGTCCAAAGCATGAATCATACGCAAGCCCAGTTTCTTGCCTTGCTGGCCGCTTTCAATGGCGATATCCTCAATATGTCCTACCATTCCAGCAGAGTGGATAAACTTCCTCTCAACAATCAAACTGCCAGTGCCCACGACTCGGCCAGTTCCATCGCAGATCACTAGAACGTAGTATTCATCGTTTCGCTTTGCCATCCAGTCATATCGTTCGTTCCAGAGTTCGGTGGTGAACTCCCCAACTTTCGTGAGGACGCTAAGAACATCGAGGAAGCCATTTTTGTAGTCAGAACGGCGAAGAGGGCGAAGAGAATAGTTCTCGGGGAGCAAAGAGACAACATCAGGGGAGATGTAGGTCGTTGAAAAAAGCCCCTCTTCCGTCTTTTCACAAGGCTCGGTGATTTCGGCCATGGCGGGTTTCACCTCCTTTGTATGAATGGCAAGCACCTTGGAATCGATGCAGTTGTTCGTGATGGCCACAGGGGGGTTGGTATCGGGGATTTGAGTTGCCATTGGAGGAGCTGCTGATGTTCCCACCGAAAGTTGGTTGGATTGATGTCTGAGGTAACGATTAAGGGGTGCGGCAGGGTGACGGTTGCAATTCAGAACGCTACAATTCCGGTATTATAAAGAAAAATACGAGGCTGCGAGAGGTAGAGAAGACAGCAAATGAGATGGATATACGTTTATATCACCGATATCCTGATATACGTATACGTTTTGCGTAGGAAAGAAGAAGGGAGAAGTTCGATCGATCCAGGAAAAGGAGCTGTAACTCCTTGTCTCAAGTAAGTTTGAGGGCTGTGCCTGCTGAGTCATCAATAAGTCAATGACGTCATGTGATATTCTAGCTATAAATAAAACTAAGCGCTGTCTATATCTTCAACAGACGCAAGCTACAGATGGAATACTACAGTTTCCCTTAACATACGGCCATCTATCTCTCCTCAATGAGGACTCTATAGACGTACATGTCAACATCGACAGTATCGGCCAGATATGCACCGAACTTTGGATCCGATCGACCAGGGAACGTAGTTGCTGCGAACCGCGTTTCCCCCTTGGGACCAAGTTTCTGGAGTTGCCCGTCCCAGGCGAATTGGATCCAGCCGGGAGTGCTGGTGTTGATCAAAAAGTCCACGCGGTATCTGGTGTTGATCAAAAAGTCCACGCGGTATCTGGTGTTGATTTGGGGTGTCGTCTGCCATAGAATTTGTCGTGGCGCATCCCATTTAGGCTGATACTGGAGCTGGAGATTGTTGCGAGAGAATTTCAAGGCCAGTGGGACGTTGGCACCGCCAGCTTCGGCGTTGTCGGTGAGGTATTCCTTACTGTCTTTCGTATTAGCTTAGGCCATCAGCCAGGGGTGACGCTATACGTACAATTGCCAGATGCTGAGACTCTGCTCGATTGCTCCCAACATAAATTCATAGCGGATGGCGTATGTGGTGTCCTTCTTCGTGGCCTTGTTAAGTGAATGGTATTCAGCACGAAGCATCCCCTGCTTCTTGTGAAAGTGGGCTGCGGCAACGCCCTTGGGATCTTTTCCTGTCTTGATGAATAGCTCGGGGATGTTATCGGGGATCATTGTTCCTCGCTTAGTCTCGAGGTTCCGCAGGCCGAGGACGGATGGATCGTCTCCTCGCCCCGACTGGAAGTCGACGAGTACTGCGCCGAGTGCCGAACTAACGGCCATGAGAACCGGAAGTAAACGCATGATGGGCTCAGTGCGACTGACAGAGAAGAAGTGAAAAATTAACAGGAGAAGGAGAGAAGCAATATTTCACCAGTGTCCTTATACAATGGGCGATATATCATGTTTTATATTAGCCATTATAGCCAAAGCTTAGAGCTAGCCTCGTAGAAACTGCCCTATCTGGATACGAGCTTTGGATGCAGGCATTCATTAGCTTGTCTTGGAGTTGATCAGGGCCTAATATATGCTGTAAGCATGGATACACAGAGTAAATAAAGAGCAAAATATAGCGATGAGGCATCGCCATCTACTAACCTGCGGTTAAGGAGCTTATATTATTGCTTGGTCATTACCATTGCTTCGATGTTGGCATCCTCCGTACACCCGCTATCTGTGGTTTCTAAACAGAACTTTGATATTAAAGTGGAAAGGTAACCCTAGCTGGGATCAACATGGATGATTTAGCCTTGTAGGAGTGGTACAGACTGAGTCCTGTCGTACGTGGATCATAGGCTGCTTCATGGAACAAGAAATTTCAAGCGAAGAGATTGAAAGCAAAGTAGTAGAGAGTGAAAAGGATGCTCTAGATAGTATATTTGAAGACCCGCATTGAAGTGCAAATATTTGATGACGACTGGTGTATAGCGTAGCCGCTGGACCGAGCCATGGCATTAGGAAATATCATCGGAAGTATACCTCATAAAGAGGATGGCTCGTTATTTAGCAATGGCAGGAAGAGTTAATTCTAACATGGTAGAGGTTATTCAAGGAGTTATCAAAATGCATGCGCTAATGTAGTACTGGGTCTGACATTTGATATTTACATAGATATAATAGGTAGCTTTTAAAACCAGTAACTGGCGGGAGGTATTCCAAAGGCCCAAGCAGAGAAGACCCTTACTTGCGCTCCTTAGGGCTGATCATCAACTCTGGTCGAACGTGTTTATCGAAGTCCTCCTCGCTCAAAGCCTTCAGTTCCATGGCACTCTGCTTGAGGGTGAGGCCCTTCTTATGGGCGTTCTTGGCGACCTTGGAGGCCATATCGTAGCCAATAACGGGGTTCAGGCAAGTAACAAGCATAAGACTAGATCGAGTCAAGTAAGTAATAAGATCAAGATGTCTAGAAAAAGGGAAATTTACCTTTCGTGTAGAAGAGAATCGATTCTCTTGCGGTCAGCCTCGAGGCCGGCCACAAGGTTCTTCTCAAACGATCTCATTCCGTCACTCAAGATGCGAACACTGTGGAGCAAGTTTCGGATCATGACGGGCTTGAACACGTTGAGCTCAAAGTTACCGTTCATTCCAGAAACCGTGGTGGCGACATGGTTACCCATAACCTGGGCGCAGATCATGGTGAGAGACTCACACTGAGTAGGGTTGACCTTTCCGGGCATGATGGAGGAACCAGGCTCGTTCTCAGGGAGCTGGAGCTCGCCGAGACCGCAACGGGGGCCAGAGCCGAGGAAGCGAATGTCCTGAGCAATCTTGAAGAGGGAGCAGGCAAGAGTGTTGAGTGCGCCGGAGGCTTCAACGACGGCATCGTGAGCAGCAAGGACCTCGAATTTGTTGGGCGAGGTCTTGAACTGCTTGCCGGTCATCTTGCTGACTTCCTCAGCGATGGCCTCGTCGAAACCCTTGAAGGTGTTGAGGCCGGTACCGACAGCGGTACCACCCTGAGCCAGCAATCGGAGGTCGGGCAGAGAGTTCTCAACACGGGTGATGTTACGCTCCAGTTGGGAGACGTAGCCGGAGAACTCCTGGCCGAGGGTGAGAGGAGTAGCATCTTGCAAATGGGTCCTGCCAATCTTGATGATGTCGTTGAACTCCTCTACCTTCTTCTGTAGTGCATCCTTGAGGCTTGTCAAGGTTGGCAGAAGAGAGTCCTCGAGTTCCAGAACAGCAGCAATGTGCATGACGGTAGGGAACGTGTCATTGGAAGAGGCAGACATGTTGACATGGTCATTGGGGTGGACGGGCTTCTTGCTGCCCATGGTTCCTCCAAGGATTTCAATTGCACGGTTGGAGATGACCTCGTTGGCGTTCATGTTTGACTGAGTGCCGGAACCGGTTTGCCAGACAACAAGAGGGAAATGGTCAACCAGCTTGAGGTCTGCGACCTCAGCGGCGGCCTGCTGGATCGCCTTACCCACGGTAGGGTCTTAAAGAAACGTCCGAGTCAGTAAAACTGTTACCGGCTTATATAGTCCATATAGGGGAGTTATACCGAGTCCATATCTCATGTTCACCGTGGCAGCAGCGCCCTTGAGGATACCGAGGGCACGAACGATCGGAGGGGGCATGCGGTCCTGTGGTTGTCCAATATCAAAGTTCCCGAGGGACCTAATCCTGGATATCAGCCATTCCATTCCTCTCTCTCGCGGTCTCAAGTCAATCTCCGTATGTCGGTATCGGCGCACCTCTGAGTCTGGGCTCCCCAGTATTTATCCCCGGGCACCTGGTATACACATATCAGCCACTGACCACTTATATAGGGTCCAAATTGAGTACTAACCTGGATCTCGCCAAAGGCATCGGTTTCAGTACGAGGAGAAGCCTGCGCCAGTTCCTCCAGTCAGCATAAACACGATCTGTATAAACGACCACCCCGCACAGAATTCACTGCAATTGGAGAACCCCCCACCATCATTCTTGTTGTAGACGCAAACCCTCTGAACGCAGACAGGGCGTGGTATCCGGTAAACTGGTACTTGTTCGACACGAGCGACGGCCGGACAGCACTACTTATGGCGCGGCAGGAGTTCCGGAGGTGGAGAGTATGGGGAGAAGCGAACGATCGAGCTGCGGGTTTCGATGCAACGCGCCCGAGGGCTCGTAAGGGTGCGCAAGCGCTTCTGGTCGTGGAATTAAGCATGCTAATCGGGAGCTAAAGCGAAAATAAAAAACGTAAAAGATGTGATATTGTACAGAACAGAACGCAGGAGGAGGGTGACGGAGATGGTACAAGGCCAATTGGGATACAAGTACACGCCGGGCAAGGTGGTGAAGAGAAGAGAGAGAAAGCGCCGAAACGAGACTAAAAGAGGAAGAAATGAAGCTGTTGGATGTTCTTTTTTTCCGCTGGGGTCGGCAGATCCCGAGTTTTTCCGGCCCGTATTTCCACCAGCATTTTATATCTTCTCTTCATATCTTTACTCGTTAGGAGGAACGAAGAATTGGCTATGGTAATATAGTACGGAGTAGATACAGCAGTCAGGCTGTCTCGCACAGGGCGGCGGCTAGGGCGCCGACAGACTGCTTCATGAAGAGCTTCCCTCCCTCCAGGACCCCGTTCAGGTGGACGAACGTATGGGGGACTCCAGCGACCCGGATATGCTCGACCCTGACCCCTGCGGCCTCCAGTTTCTTCACATAGGCGACGCCCTCGTCTCGAAGGGGGTCCATCTCGGCCGTCCACACGATTGCCGGCGCTAGATTCGCGAAGTTTGGGGCGAAGATGGGTGAAATCTTCCAGTCCTGCTCAGACAGTTAGCATACTCTGACCTCAAAATCGGGGGTAACGCAGAATCCTACATCTTCAGATCTCTCCGGATGAGGGTTTCCCAGCCAGTGGCGGTGAAAATATGCCATTCGCTCGGCAGGCAGTGCAGCCGTATGCTCCATCTCTCGGTACGACTCGTACGGCGTGTTTTCACGGTCGAATTCGCCAGTCGGTGTGAACGAACTATGCATATCTATCACCGGGACCAGGAGCAGCTGCAGGCGCAGCGGATAGCCGTGATCTCTGCACATATGGGCTATCACTGCGCAAAGATGGCCGCCTGCAGATGCGCCCCCGATGGCAAGCCTTGCTAGATCTAGGTTGAACTCTTCCGCCTTGCTTCTGACCTGAAATATTAATGTTAGCTAGGGGAATCATCTTTTCTTAACTGGGTAGAAAACCCGACTCACCCATTGGACAGCGGCCCAGCAATCTTCGATGGCTGTTGGGTACCGGTGTTCGGGCGCAAGGCGATAGTCGACGTCAAAGACAACAACCTCACCTTCAAGATCGTGGACAATCCGCTTGCAGACATGATGATTAGCAGCTAAATTACCAAACACCCAACCGCCTCCGTGGAAGTTAATGTATGCTCCTCGTTTCTTTTCCTTTCCGGCTACATCGAGCACTGGAGCCATTTCGAATATCCTAATGGATATTTCACCCCCTTTCACGGGGCATTTTTGCTCGGTTATGCAATGTACATCTGGGCCGGGGGCATGGCCATAAGAAATCAGGTATTTCGATGGGTTCTTGCGGAACTCCTCAATCGGGACCTGATGGGTATGGAGGCGTCCGACATTATGACGATTATAATGCTCGACAAAAACAGGGTCGAATCTATGGATGAGGTTCTCGGGTATACTATTGAGCAACGGCTGGAAGATCTCTCCTGGCTGTAGCTGATGGAGTGCCGGGTCTCCTACTCGTTTGTTCTCCTGGACATAGAAACATAAAGGTCAGTTACATGCATCTCACAGAACTATAGCTCGGTGTCGTCACCATTGCCGAAGTGCCAGCTGCTATCATGAAATCCAATGAGCGTCTGCGTAGTTTCTTCACAAGGAATGTACAATAACCTCCAATATAAAGGAAACCGAATCTGTAGACAGTAACGAGTATATATAGAGTCAACAGGAGCAAGAATGTGAAGCGATATCAACCCCTCTCCTTGGGCTCTTGGTATTGATATACATTTGGCCCTTGCAACTGGTCTACCTCCACTTCCCCGGCTCTTCCACCTGGGCGTCTCGGCGTTTTCTCCATGCATAAAAAGTACATAGAAAAATATAGATCGCAGCACTTACCTTGGTGTCGTCTTCAACACAGCCATGTCCATTCTTTGAATATCGACCGGCAGCTGGACCAACAGCCCGTAGCCGTCGCTTGAAACCAGATATCCTCGCTATCTACTGGGCGAGTGTGTTCTCTCAGCGGTTTCTACACGGTAAACGTTGCGATGCTGGAGGCGCTTTCTTCTTTTCACGTGCATTTTTCAGCCTTGCGTGAAGGATGCACACGTCAAGCAGAAGAAGCAAAAAATACATTTAGACGAGCTTCAGCTTGTATATATTCGCCTCCTGAAGCCGCTAGGTCGGCAAGTTCCTTTACTTGTATAATTAATAACGGTACATTCGTTTTATTCAATTGGTCTATACATTCCCTTTCACGATTGGTGCAAATATGGGGCCCAGGGTTGCCATTATCGGGGCTGGTAAGAAGCTACCTCCCAGGACGAAGAGTAGCTGAAATTAACGTGTGTCTAGGGGTGTCTGGCCTTGCCTCGCTGAAGTCATGTCTGGAGAATGGTATCACGGATGCAACGGTCTTCGAAGGACGAGACGTTATCGGCGGACAGTGGAACTACCAGGAGCCCGACCCAAAGTCCGGTGCAACAGGGTCATCTATATACGACAATGTGATCTTGAATTCATGCCGTGACACTTCATCCTTTAGCGATTTTCCGATCGATCCCGCTCGTTACCCCGATTATTTTGGTCATCGTCAGTTTCTGCAATACATTCACGAATACGTGGATAATTTCAAGTTGGCGCCCTATATCAAATTGAAGACCAAGGTCATTTCATGCAGGCTGCCGCAACCTAAGGAGGAAGCCGAAGGTGCATCACAAAAATGGACCGTCGTCTATCAGGAACAGGGAAGTGAGCCGGTTGAAGCCGTGTTTGATGCAGTTTTTGCATGCACGGGTACTCTTTCAAAGCCGATGATACCAGACTTTGAGGGCAGAGACAAGTTCAAAGGAGAACTGATTCACAGCCATGTCTATCGCAAGCCGGCGAAGTTTGAGGGGAAGAGGGTTGCCATCATCGGCTTTGGAAACTCGGCCGCTGACCTGTCCTCTGAGATCAGTACGGTTGCGAAGGAGGTGCACTTGATTACTCGCAGAGGCGGATGGGTTATCCCGCGCTATGTGCTGGGCAAGCCTGCCGAGGCTTATGATAGTGAGTGTTACGTTTAACATAGCATTGGCCGGGCATACTAACCAATACGCAGGTCGGGTAGTTGAAACTATTCTCCCAAAAAGGGTCTCGGAATGGTGTCAGATGAAGCTATGTGATGCCGTCATGGGCGCTCCTCCTGACGAGATCAAGCCCAAGCATAGACTCTCCCAAGCCAACCTGACTGTGCGGAGTGATTTGCTGGAGAATATAAGAACAGGTCGCATAACTCCACACCGCGCTGGCATCGAGAGGATAACCGACTCCTCGGTTGTCCTTACGAATGGAACCTCTCTGGAAGTAGACGTCATAATCTGTTGCACAGGCTATGACATCGATCTACCATACCTTTTGGACGAATACTACCGAATGGATGAGAAGGATAGCCTTCTTCCTTCGAGAAATAGTCTAAACCTGTATAAGCTTGTTGCCTCACCTCGGTTTCCTAATCTGTACTGCATTGGTTACATTCATCTCGAGGGGCCCCTGATACCCGTAGCAGAAGCCCAGGCAAGATGGGCGGTCGGTGTCATTACCAAGCAGGTGAAATTGCCATCTGTGAAGGAGATGGAGAAGTCTATTCACGCCTATCAAGAGGGTCTGGCTGCCGAAGTAAGTGTTACTCTATTCTAATCCACTTTACTGTTGACTAAGGTGCCATAGATGGTTTCCTCGGACCGCCATACAACTATAGTCCGGTATCTACCTTACTGCGATGACCTTTTCTCCCAGCTAAATGCGGCTCCGACCTTCTGGCGTCTATTCAAGGAAATATTTACTGCCAATCCTTTACGTGGTTACAAAGTGCTGGTAGCGGTGTACTTTGGCCTCAATTCACCTGCTCAGTTTCGCTTGTTTGGCGAGGCTAGCAACCCCAAATTGGCAGCTGAGACGCTTATAAGACTCTCTGGCGGGAACAGTAGGATGACCGACGAGGAGAAGAAATACGTTCTAGAATACAGTGTTAAACGCACAGCCTCGGAATAGCTTCAAACACAACAACCTACGGAAAACGGTCTACTTCATTCACTAAAGACAACGGCCCTAGATAGATCAACAAACGTATCGTTAGAAACTTTCATTACATATATATATATATAGACTAGCTCTATGACTATGACAGAGGAACCGGGGTGATCCTAAGGTTAAGCCCATCAGTGGGCTTTAATACAAATCCTGCTTTTGGAATATTGATAACCTTATCAACCGGGTGAAAAACCCATTTCTGTATTAGGTGGACGAGGAATACTTTGATCTCAAGTAGAGCAAAAGCCCGCCCTATACATATTCGTGGTCCGCTGTGGAAGGTCTGTAACACGTAGGGATCCTGGGCAGCTTCGGGTAGGTTGTACCAGCGGTCAGGGTTGAATTCGTTTACACTCGGGCCCCATATCGAAGGGTTAAATTGGGAAACGGCAGGGTATACCATCAGCAGTGTTCCGGCTGGAAGAACATTGCCGCATATACTGACATCCTCAGTAGCAGAGCGGAGTACGGAGACAACTAAGTTATGAAATGTATTAGGGCGGTTTCCACAGTGAGTTATTAATAGAAACTTACATGGAGGGAAGAGACGAAGAACTTCCTTTAAGAAACAATCCAGGTAATCTATGGATTGTATTTCTTCGTAGGTGTAGTCCTGTCCCTGAACGACGGTGGCATTGATCGCTGAACGTAGGCGATCCTGAACAATCGGGTGGATGGAGAGCAAATGAAGACACCACATCACTGCATTAGAGCTCGATTCATGACCTGCAAGCCGTTAGTTGGTGGTGATAGTTCAGTGGCTTAGGTATGCATACCTGCAACCATAAATGTTCGCAGCTAAAACCAATTATCAGCAACTAGCATAAACATCTTAGATGGAAGGGCACTTACCTGTGAAACAAGATTATCTTCGCAAAGGGACTCGCCCCGATCGAGGTATCCACGGATTATAAGGGTCAGAAGATCATCTCCGGGAAGATCTTTTTCTGTAGGACACTTAACCCTGAGGGCGAAAGCCCGCTGTTTAACGTGCTCTTCCAACATTTGCTTGATTACTTGATTTCCGTGCAGAAAGCGGCGGTTGGCCTCGATAGGGATCCACTTTCGGGCAGGAAACCAGTTATCGAGAGCCAGCATAATCTGATCTATCGGGGTTACCAGCATGATATCGCTGTACCGCTCGTCGAACTCAGAACCTTTAGAGAGGCTATCGAGCTCAAGGCCCATAACCGTTTTACCGATGACGTCCAGGGTTGCCTTTGCCAAAAAAGAAGATACTAGTAGTTTTGTGGCCTAGTCAGAAATTTTCTGCCTGTAATAGTATGTGTGTCGGATGTTACCTTACCTTCTACAACAACGCCATGTTCGTTGGAGACCTGGGCTCCCATTATCTTGGATAGCTGGTCACCCTTCGACGCCATGACTGGAAGTAGCTTCTTGATGTTTCCCACGAGAAAGGGGCCTAGGTAGAGTAAGCTAGCAGGTAAGAGAAGGTAAGTACAGGGTTATTACCTGCAAGAATCCTCCGTTGCTGCCTATGTACATCACCCTCGGCGAAGAAGATGCCAGTCTCCCCGACGAATGAGCCGGCGGTGCGGAAGAGGAATCCAGGTTTCACGAATGAATAGCAGTGCGTCTGGGAGACTTCTCGTAACGCCCTCGGACTGTTAACTAGAACAGCTTCAGTGTTCCCGAACATCAGGGGCCGGATAAGATCCGCGTCCGGGAACTGTCTCATCCAGTCCAACGGGGCGGCATTTGGGCTGTCACCGGCAAACTGTTTATAGGTCTGGCCAAGAAGAAAGTGGTTCCCCTAGCAATGGCTGAATTTAGTAGTGTAATAGTTATCGGAAGGATGATGCCACTAAAACGAACCTTTGGAGTCGGTAAGTGGCGCAAAGGGGAAACGGCAAATGGGTAGATCAGAACATGATATATCTTGATCACTAGATAGAAGAGAGCGACGACAAGCAACGAAGTCCGAACATCTAGCGTACTCGGATAGTATCCAAAAGTATGCAGACTGAGTATCCCGGCAACGGCGACAATAGTCAACAAGAGTGATGAAACCATAGTGTCGTGTCGTAGGCTGGCTTTCTCGTCCTCCAGGACTGGTATATCGAGAAAACAGTGGAGATCTGGACGAAGAGCGAGGGGAGGCGCATTTTAAGGGCCGTTTCCATGGTCAACCAGAGATCGTCTCAAGGGCCACCGGCCAGGGCCCCAGGGCCAAGGACCCGATGGACTGTTACCCCCCCCCCCCAGGCAATTGGAGAGAAGATCTGGGAAGAACGAGAACCAAACTACGAGCGAATACTGCATCCAGATGTTGGATGCGCCGCAGGTGGACAACGCCGGGCCATGACTCTGGCTCGCAACACAGCTGCTCATATTCCACGGTCACCAGGTCTGGTCCTGGATCAATGGCATAGATCGAAGTACGACCTTGGTACTTCCAGTCAAGCCGATAGGCACGCAGGGCTAGCGGTTCACAGCTGCAATGCTCCACGCGCAGGGAGTTATACGTAGTATTTACGTACGCACCCGCTGGCTCTTGTACGCTGGGGATGCAAAATGCAGGGCCCTTGGATGCGCGCTGAGAGTATCGTATCCGCACGAGATGCTCGCAGAAAAGTGCAGCATATTGAGACTGCGAGAGACGCCACAGCTGCAATCCTTCATTAAACCGTCGCTCGACCTCGACCTTTGCTGCTTCAACAAAGAAACCCGACTGCTTCTGGGATGTGTCCTCAGATCTCATTGACAGCACTAAGACAGCGGGATGCCAATCAGCGGCTTGCCCTCCACGCCACGTCCGGCCAAAGACCGGGTCCAGCGTCAGGCAGGGTTTCTCCTTGTCCTGATAATGTCATTGTCGATGGTTGATAAGCGAGGTTGGGTTGTTCTATATCGTGTAGCAAGGGATGGTTTATGTCGAGGGTTGAAATAACTTCAGCTTATTAACCAAGTACCTGTTGGTTAACCCGAATCACGACATCGGCATCAACCACGATGAATTTTTCCTACAGGCGAAACACAGCTCCACCACTCCACCGCGAGGAAGGGTTCGGGATGGCGTCTTTTACGCCCTAAATAACAGGTTCGGACGAGCTGGAGACAAGAAGAAGCATATATCAGGCCCCGCCGCTCTTCACGATGTGCTCCGGCTCCAGGTTCATACGGCGAGGACATTCACCCTCGACGGCGACGAGGTACAGCGGCCATGGTTGACGCAGAAAACAGACCGTCCGAGGCCTCCACGGCCAAGCTGAAGAGCTACACTGAGGGTACGCATCATATCACGTTCAAAATTAAATCAAAATTACTAACAGGAGACTCTAGAGCAAGATGGGGATAATACTTACCGGACGAGCGAGTCGAGACGGCAGATCGGTCTTACATCTGCGGTGTTTCTCATCTTCAACCGTATGATAGGCACCGGGATCTTTGCCACGCCCAGTGCGATCTTCTCTCTGTCAGGCAGCGTCGGACTCAGCCTCATCATCTGGGTTGCGGGAATGCTCATTGCCGCTGCTGGAATGGCCGTCTACCTCGAGTTTGGCACCGCATTGCCTCGTAACGGAGGGGAGAAGAACTACCTCGAATACGTATATCGAAAACCGCGGTTTCTTGTGACCGGTCTGTATGCTGGCTACGTGATTCTCCTGGGTATGTAGACTACAATACGATCTCTATTCTGAATCCCTAGCTGATTCTTACAGGTTGGGCGGGTTCAAACTCCGTCGTCTTTGGTGAATACATTCTACACGCCGCGCAGATTGAGGTCAACCGATGGAACCAGCGTGGAGTTGGTCTGGCGTGCATCACAGCCGCATTTCTCATCCACGGCCTGGCGCTAAAATGGGGTCTCCGGCTACAAAATTTCCTGGGCGTGGTCAAGCTGTTGACCATTCTCCTCATTGTGGTCTCTGGCTTTGCCGCCCTAGGCGGCGTGCTACGGATCGAGAAACCTGACAACTTCAGCAATGCCTTCGAGGGCACCACTGGAAGTACGTACGGGGTGGTCACCGCCCTATACAGCACTATCTGGAGTTACATTGGGTACAGCAACGCGAACTACGCCTTGAGTGAAACGAAAAATCCAGTGAGAACGCTGAAGATCGCGGGTCCGCTAGCCTTGGGTACCGTCGCGGCTCTGTATATGCTGGCGAATGTAAGCATCCTATCCCAAACTTTTATATTGAACGTCAGTCTAATGTCCGTCAGATCGCCTATTTCGCCGCTGTTCCCAAGGAAGAGATCGTTTCGTCGGGGCGAATCCTTGCGGCCTCGTTTTTCCGCAACATGTTCGGAGACAAAGCAGAAAGAGCTTTATCCGTTCTCGTCGCGCTGTCTGCCTTTGGCAACACCCTCAGCGTCATATTTTCTCAGGGTCGTTGTATGTACTCACCTGATGTCCGCTTTACATTTACCCGTTCTAACGCCTTTTACAGTGGTACAGGAGCTGGGTCGCGAGGGTATCCTGCCATTCTCGAAATTCTGGGCAAGTAACAGGCCTAGAAATGCTCCCCTGGCTGGCCTATTCGCACACTGGCTGGTCTCCGTCATAATAATGCTCGCACCACCTCCCGGCGATGCATATAATTTTATTCTCAAGTGAGTACTGCCATCCGCCCAACTGTGACGATCCAAGTAACTGACCAAAACTTTAAAGTGTGATATCCTACCCACTTGCCGTCGTCAACGTCTTCGTGGCTGGCGCCCTCATTCACCTCTACCTTCACCGCGAAAGCTTCCAGTGGAGACCTCCGTTTAGCGCTACGCTGCCCGTCGCTGTATTTTTCCTCTTGAGTAACATTTATCTCACTATTGCCCCATTCGTGCCTCCAACCGACGGCCAGAATGTGTACAAGAGCCTCCCATACTACCTCCATTGCATCGTTGGCATCGCAATCATCGCTGCTGGAGGTTTATACTGGCTAGTATGGGCCAAGCTTCTTCCATGGCTCCAGGGCTATACTCTTGAGTGTGAGGTCATTACTCAAGAAGATGGATGGTCGAGACGGAGATTTTACCACAAGCACTAAAAGGTGTAAAGCCTTTACAGAGGGCTCTACTTCTGAACATGACGAATTCCAACCGATAACCACATTGACAGAGATTAAAGGACGTTCGGGCCAATCATTTCCAGGACCTTTGCGTAGAGAAAGTCGACACCGCCCTTCTCTCATATCGGATCCTATACAGGATTTTGGATACTATTCGCTTACTCGCTGGGCTCTAAGCTTTTCTTCTTTGCCTTCCCAGAGAGTCCGGGGTGCTTTTCCCAGATGCCAACATCGGAACAAAACCAGACCAATTGGTCGGACTAAATATGGACGGCCATTTTACGAATATGAAACGACTTATCTTTCAACAGGCAAGACGCCACTGAGCCACCTTGGGCGCTGGCTGCCCATATATAGAATACGGGCTTCAACATAGATATATAGAATAATATTAGAGCCGATACTGGCAGAGATGACTCTGTTGGCAAAATACTGCATCATAATACTTTTTTCCTCTATGCTTTTGTCTTCACACGTTCCCATTTCGTCAGCTTCATGAATCCCATTAATGCAAAGGATTGGATGTTCTGCTAGAGTCTACCTTTATTCATTGGGCGTGGTAGTAGAAACCATGTCTACATTCTATCCTTCAGTCTGATTATAAGATTGAGTAGTAGTATTGTCTGTTTACTGATTCATAACTATAATACATATAAAACCATCACACAGTAAGTGGGACATACCGTTACAACTCATCCCCCGTATTTAATCCCAAACTATCCCACAAGTCTTTTGCGAATTGGGCAGAGCTACGCCATTGTTTTTTATGCAAAGAGTTATATGCCATCCATGCATTCACTTGCGATGGTACTGTTCGACCGGTATATACCTCATTTGGATGATCCATTGCCCACCTCCACATCACCGTACATGACTGCTCTATAGCGCCTGCGTAAATATCGCTCCATATGAGGCTTCCAAGAACCCGCATTTTGCCCTTCCAGCCAGGTAATTCATCTTTGCGTAGTTCAGGGTCGTTCGGGTCATAATCCGAATCAACCAAGAGGAGAAAAGGCTTGAAGTCTGAAGGGTATAATCCAGCGTTGTCCGTCGACGGCATTGAGAATTTATCAGTCATGTAAGACGAGAAGGATGAGCTATCGACAGCAAGAAAGTCGTAATTTACTAGATTTCGCTCACTGAAGTCATCAGATTTGCTCATTTTTTCAAAGTGTCTGTTGAAGCGTGTAAAGGTTAGATCTCGAGCATCGTAACACAACATAAAAAAAAATATGACAGCTGGAAAATGAAAAGTGATATCAGTAAACTTACTTCTTCGCTGCGTCTATATCATCTTCTGGAATCCCGAGCTCCTCGCCATCGAACCATTCTAACTGTAACCGCTCTTTTATCTGATCAGCTCCTTGGACCCCATGACCCCAATCGTTCATGTCTGCCTCTAATTTCTGTAAGAAATCACTCCACTCCTCATCAGTCTGGCTATAAACAAGCTTATATATCGTAAACTTATCCAGTTGGTAAGGTTCTGAATTAGTAGCATTGCTTTCTGCGAAGCTGATTCTTCGCTGTATCCGCATAATCCATCCTGGCGGGGGCAGTTGCTCTGGTTTCCCTCGAAGGGCCTCGCGAGTTTCCGTTTGTGCATCGATTTGATAAAGCGCTGTTTTGAGCAAAGATTCTGGGTGTGCTACTCCTCTGGGAGTTCGGTCCGACTCCGGCTTCAGGGTATCCACTAGAATTTCAGTTAGCATTTTGTGATTTGATAGAGATTTGACTCTATCTGATACAGCGTCGCGACGTATATCCAGGGATGGGCTATGGAGGTCTCCTTCTGTCCCCTCAAGCAAAACATGGCCTTTGTATCCATCCATGGGCAGCAAAATAGTAAAATCCGCGGTGGTGGTGATTTCAGCTAAGACGTGAAGTTTGTCGGTTAGAATCTGTTGTTTTGGGCTGTATGAATGCTCAGATGGCGGTTGATGAGCAATCAGGTCATTTAGGATAGGGCCCCGAAGCGCTGTAGCGTGAGATATAACCCAGGAGTGAGCTCGAGCGGTTACGGTTTGATAGTGTACACGGGTGAATTCTTCCCAAAGGGCGGCCATGCTGACGGTCCCTTCTTTGCCATTGGAAGAGCGCAGGGAATTGACGGCGTTGTCGAAGTACTCGAAATGGTCATACATTACGTTATACGTTCCTTTCAGTTTTTCCTGTGCTTGTGGCAGGTTCAAATACTCAAAGGCTGCTATCACAGCGATCAAATATTCACAAGCCAGGTCAAAATTTTCAGGTTGACTCAGCCTTTTATCCTTCCATTGAGTAGGTGAGAGAGGAACCATGTCATCCAATAATGTAGACTTCCAGGAATGGATGTTGTATGGTATCAGCTCCAAGCGCTCATAGTCGTCATCAGAGCCAACTCTGATCATCAATTGGGAGCCCAAGTCTTCGGTGATGTTGTTATATGGTGCGGGAGCCCATTCGCTGTAGGGCTTCATCCACAGCAATTCCTCTTCATGGTCTGGCAAGGGGAGTGTGGTAACCTTTCCATTGGGAAGATCCCCAGTGTCGCAATACTCCAAAAAATGAACTACCGTCTGGGGTTCGATTAAACGGTCAACTGGAACACAGTTAATATAGTCACTTGCGTGATATGGATGTGGCTTTCTGGAAACACAGTGCTAATACCTACCGATTAATAGACAGCTGAATAGCCAATGGGCCGTCGTTAATGCAATAGAATTTAGCATGGTTGATATTTTCACTCCTGTTCTAGGCTGCCTGTATAAATAATGGTGGTTAGGAGTTTGTCAACACAGCATGGTCGCTGGTTAAGTCTTCTCCTTGACGTCTTGTTAGTGGCAATCATTTAACCGAGTTTTCCAGGCAGCAGTCTGGAAATGTTCTAAACAAATGTTTAAGCCCCATGTTGGAATCGACATTAAGTCGTTAGTTATGCAACATTGGCCATGGATAAAGCAGGACACTAAGGGGGCACTAATTACGAAACTTAACCAATAATTAACCAGGCTAAGCAATCTAACAGAGGGATAACTACTCCGTTCGTGCCTATAATTAGCTTGAGAACAGGGTATAGCCAATGCTTCATGTATATGGAGTACTCCGTAAACCGAGAAGCTATCGATAAAAAAACAAGTCTAGCCCTTTGAGATACACCAGACAACAGACTGAGACATCCCTCGGTTGAATGAATTGCGCGAGTTAGTGACCCATTAGATTTCCCAGGAAGACGCGATGCTGATATGACGGTGGCAGTTTATATCGGAGGTGATTACTGGGATAATCCTCACCTCTCGGGCGTGGGTGTTCGTGCCCAGTTATCAAACAATACGCCAATGGACTCTAGTCTACGTTATGACGACCCGGGGGTTGATGAAGCCTCTTTAATAGATAAATCCCTTTACAAAAGCTGTTTTGGCGGTGCTATCCTAGAGTGGGCTTGGGCTTCCTACTTTATGCTGCCTGCTGCTATCAGCTAACGGAGATACGTCATCCAAAGGAAGTCGATATCCAGCTCCTTAGCAAATTATGTAGGTTGTTTTCAACCCCATGGATGCATGTAAAGGGGGCGCCATGACTTTGGTGGATTAGTTGAACAATCGCCCTATCCAAATGAGGCGTGCTTCTGACCGGCGATATCATGCCAAACATGGGATCTGATTCCGACGGACCACACGTTACTGACCCCTTAGACATACAATATTTGAACCAAATCTTGCAGGAGTACATCGATGATACCATCGAAGGCGACCGAGGCTTGCACAATAACAATATATTTACCTCCAGGATGTCATACCCGTTTAAGTCGCTTCCCATGGAAATTTTGCATGGGGTCTTACTCTATCTGCCATCCAATTATGTTTTACGCCTCAGACTATCATTGGCAGCGTTTGCTGCTATGCCTTTACCTGGCTCATTCTGAGCCTCCTGATTTGAAGCAGACTTTGAGTTCCACTGTATATTTGAAGCTCGAAAATTCCGAGGTACAAATTTAAACTGGAGATCGTTGTATATGAAAGCTAGAGGCCTCTGAAACAATCCTAGCTTCAAGAACAGATTCAGTATCTGGGCCATTCTTTCTTGGCTAAAAGCGCTCCTAGCCAGTTTGATGTTCCGCGCAGGATCGGAAGCACCTACATTTCATTTGTTGCTCTCAATGGCATCAAATATATTTCAGACATCTGATTTCAGCAGAAAAGTGGGCTAGATGTCTGCCTTGGTTTTATAATCCCCAAAACCGAGGTTTCCATGGAACCCGACTATTTTACTAGCCGGCAAGACGGATGCAGCGTTTCGTACCTCCATCTGGCGATTGACCAGAAGAGGTTTCTTGCAATTTCGTTGTCCACGGAAAGGATATTACGGCAGAATGCGTTGTCGAAGTACGCAACATCCCTCGCCCGTCTAAAGGTCCACGTTATCTTGTTTTGATGAAATGCTTTAAAGTCCATGCGGCCAGAAAGTAGGAGACTTTTGATTAGTAATCACTTTAAACTTAATTTCTACCTTCTTGCTCTTACTCCGTGTTATCTCCTTCCAACCAATTCATTTGATACAAGCTTACACAGACCTCATAATCCTTTATTAGACCACATAATCCTTTATTACCACAGTGGCATAGTTGATAGATGACTTTCTTGCGTTTCTTGGCCATTAAGGCTTTTGATATAGAGGAGAGCATCAATATACTGCGGACTAATGGTTGGAGACCACCTTATAAGCAACCGCAATGTATTAACTAACTTCGATCATAAATATTCCCGAAATTCATGTGTTCATTCCTGCCGAGGCTTGTTGATTCTCAATATTTATTACCTTTGTTATCATGCCCTCGTTTTTTTAACTGTAAAATGCACCAAACCCACTTTAGAATAAATATCAACTGTCTTCCCCCCTTACATCACTACCAAGAGTCACAATATTTTATTGGTATTGAGGATTTATCCTCTGCAAGATGGTGGACGCGCCAAGTCGAGCCCAATTCGGTAAATTTAGCTTGACTCCGGCTCGATGAAAAGCATCCTCGGGGTTTGGGGATAAGCCTAACTCCGGAACTATACAGATATTGTATATATTAGTAGACAATGGTACCAACAAAGAGTCTAAGAACCACATATTTGCACGCAATTTATCTTCTCATTACTTCGAGTGTTATTAACCCTTACACATTTTCATTATGCCAAAAGTCTGGCTCATTACTGGTTGTTCCAGCGGTTTTGGGAAAGAAATAGCTCTTGCTGCAGCTAGAAATGGAGATATTGTTATTGCTACAGCACGCGATATATCTAAGCTCGAGGAACTTAAGGGGCAAAGCGAGCTTATAAAAACGAAGAGACTCGATGTGTTGGACGATGACACACAGATGCAAGCCACTATAGCCGATATCATTCAAGATGTTGGGAGAATTGACATCTTAGTAAACAACGCTGGGTATATCCTTGTGGGTGCTATTGAAGAGTGTAGGTAAGAGTGCCCCATGGGGTGAAGCATACATTACATTTTCCATTACTCGGAACAGAGCTAATATAGGAATAAATAGTCTCGAAGAAATCCAGAAATCATTCGCCACCAATGTGTTTGGTCAGATGAATGTTCTCCGTGCAGTTATTCCCCGGATGCGAGAACAAAAATCTGGCACGATAGCCAATCTGGGTTCAATTGGTGGTTGGGCCGGTGGTCCTTCTGCCGGAATATATTGCGCAACCAAAGCGGCAATTGCAATCTATACTGAATCGCTCCGTGGAGAGCTTGCATCGGCCAATATCGAGGTCGTTTGCATTGAGCCAGGATATTTCCGAACAAATTTCCTAGAAGGCGGCCATAGGATGAGGGCCAAGAAGCAGGTTCCCGAAGTCTCAGATAGCATGAACAACTTTTTGGACACATACAACAAAAAACAGCCTGGAGACCCTCAAAAGGGGGCAAACTTGATTGTGCAGCTGTTAGGCAAGACAGGATTGGGTGAAGGCAAGACTCTACCAGCAAGGCTTGCCCTTGGGAAGGATGCGGTTAGCTATATTGGCGACACTCTCAGTAGAAACCAGCAGGATTTGGATGAATGGAAGGATATTGTTTCTCAGACGAACTGCGATGATGTAGTCTAGACGTGAAAATCCACATGGATCGGCTTAGCTTTTGAAATAGCAAGATATGAGACTCTTTCTATGTATCCTATTTTTTTTAATGCCTGTGCCGAAGACAGTATGTAAACGCATATGAGGAGCCGGGTCATACAGAGTAACTGTCTGAGGACTAGGTCAAAGCCTATGATCTCATTCTTGAAACGCGATGCATAAGATGAATATTTTTCGTTTTCATCCTTCCTCCCTTTTATTTAATGACTCGGCCTGTCAATGCCTGGACGACCTAGATGTATGTTTAAAGTTGGATTCAGCATAAGCCTTGTATTTTGCTAAAAGGCGTCGAGGTTATCAATGCCGACGAAAACTTAAGCGCGAGTTGTATGAGAATATAAACCATAATATCTAATGGTTTTCGCAGCTAAAGAAAAGGCAGTGCGCGCATTGTGTTGCAGCACTAGCAACCTAGCTTGCACCTCATTTGTGTGGGCCATGAAAGCAGAAAGGCGTCACATATATTCCACTCGGCGAAACCTATAAAGAAAATGGAACGTAATACCAGTAGGAACCGCTATGAAAGATACACCCACTAAACGTACCATTGTCTACGTCTAAAATAAAATGGCAATTGGAAAACAAGAAACGAAAATGTATTGATGGTGATGTACAATCGGTTTATTTCTTTGGCTCCTCCGCCTTTTCTTCTGGCTTTGGGGTTGGAAGTTTGAACTTTACGGTATGGTCAGCAATGTTATATTCAACACCAGGGACGAAATAATTAGTAGTACTTACATTGTCTGGTTTCCTGTCAAGACCCTGGCCAACTCCTTCCCAGGCAGAAGATCCACCCTCAAAGTTTCGGAATGCTTGGGTCAACTCTAGCGGTTCGACCACAATACGCTTCTTCTCCTCATCATATCGGAGCTCAGTGTATCCAGAAAGAGGGAAATCCTTCCTCAGCGGATGGCCATCAAAGCCATAGTCAGTCATAATTCTCCGGAGATCTGGGTGACCAACAAAGAACACGCCAAACATATCATACACTTCTCGCTCGAACCAAAGGGCTCCATCGTACAGAGATGTGATGCTGGGAACAGGGGTGGCTTCATCTGCGTAGGTCTTGACTCTTATTCTGGAGTTATGGCGCACACTGAGGAGATTGTAAACAACTTCGAAACGGTACTCTCGCGTGGGGAAATCGACGGCGGTGATATCCGAGACTTGTGTGTATTCCGCAGCGGTGTGATCGCGAAGGAACGTCATGACGGGGACAACTCCGGCCGGGGGAACGTAAATGGTCAACTCATCCTTCCACACCGAGAACTGCTGGATATATTTTGGCAGGCAAGAGATGAGATATTGGCCATAGGTATGTAGCTTCGCCGACGTTTCTTTGTATTTGTCTGTCGGGTTCACGATGGGTCGATGCAATTGTCCGATGGCTACCGATAGTTAGACATATACTACTCATTCGGAAATATAGCAGAGGCCAATTCACTTACCAGGTCGTGGCTCCTCACGCGGGTTTGGAACTCCCTCCTTTGATACGAACTTCGCATCCTGCACTTGCGCGGACGCAGAGAACAACCGCAGCGAATTGGAGGTTCTTCCGGCCTGGACGGAAGCCAGCGAGCGGTGGCTCCCCAGCCGCATGACAGATCGCCTGGACGCCATGGTTGTAAGAGCAATTGAGCTGCGGCCCGATAGATGTGTGATCGCGGGAGTCGTGGATTATGTTGAAGTTGCTGTTTGAGGTCGTAGTAAATGCGAGACGGTGATTGGCTAGATCGTATGACGTGATTAATAAGCAATACACGTGATATTTACTGTCATATGACTACACGTGACTCCATTACTGACTAAGCAAGCGCCTAAAAGAAGACGTGCCAAGGCCTGCAGAAAGCTCTCACTTATTCTTCGCTCTCCTCTTTTCGCAGCGCATCCCATCTCGACTTCGACGTCTTCCTCCTCCACCGCCCTTTTCTCTTTCGTGTCTCTCCGTTATCACGGCAGGTTTTTATTTCTTTGCATTCGTCTTCGGGGGTTACAGCAGGTTATCTTGTTCCTTTTAATCCCGTGCTTGTTCATGGTCCTTTCCTATCACATCTCTTTTGCCCTACGATCCCAGCAGTATCTGAACCGGTGCGAACGGCTATCACAACATGTCATCGAGAGCCCTGAACGACTCAGTCATTGACGACGATGACGAGCTTTGGTGAGTGCATGTTACGGGCGTGGCCACTTGGGTTATGCATCTACTAACGTCGGTCATTTTTCACCTGCAGCCCGCTCTGTATTGAAGAATTTGATCTCTCTGATAAAAACTTCAAGCCATGCCCCTGTGGGTATCAGGTACGCGTTTATATGAAAATAACCCCTCAACCCCCCCTAGTGAAACGCCAAAAACTCTAGCAAATATTAACAACTAACGGTTAATGATAGATATGCCAATTTTGCTATAATAACATCAAAACCCATAGCGAAGAAGGTCGTTGCCCGAACTGCAGACGCGTTTACGACGAGAGCACCATCCAATATCGTGTCCCAGACGTAGATGAGTACGTGGCACGCTCCTTACCACCCTTCCAATCAATTATCGTGTTACTGACAGGGATCTCCATACATAGGTTCAAAGCGGACCTGGCTCTAAAACATCGAAAAGCAGCTGCGGCAAAGCGAAAAGAGGCCGAGAAGCGAGAAATCGAGGCTTCAAGCCGGAAAAATTTGGCCGGAGTTCGAGTCGTCCAGAAGAACCTCGTTTATGTTATTGGCCTTAATCCAACCATCCGTGACGAAAACCTATTACTACAAACCCTTCGCGGTGACCAGTATTTTGGTCAGTATGGTGATATTGACAAGATAGTGGTCAGCAAGGCGAAGCCAGGCGGCAACCCGAACCAAGGAATCGGTGTCTACGTGACCTTCGCGAGAAAGTTAGATGCAGCTACATGCATAGCGGCGGTCGATGGATCACCCAATGGCGATCGAGTCCTACGGTAAGCATTTGCATTTTGTTTCTAGGCTGATAGAGCATTCTAACCAGTTAATAGGGCACAATATGGCACTACCAAGTATTGTTCTTCGTTTCTCCGCAACGAACCATGCAACAACCGGAATTGCACATTTCTCCATGAAACGGGTAATGATAGCGACAGTTTCAGTCGGCAGGACCTTTCGTCAATGAACACACTGTCGTCTCAACGCTTCCCGTCAAACGGCTCATCTTCCGGGGGTCAACAACCACAAAATCAACCTATCCAACGTCCCTCTCCAGCAGCTAGCCACGTTCGAACCGTCAACTCGCAGAATACACAGTGGCAGGCTGTGAAGGATGACGGCGGAGTCCGTGCATCAAGTACAGATTCATCCGCCCTTCCATCGTCTGCAAGCTGGGCAAATAGGGATTCTTTGGTTCAGAGAACACGACGGGAGAGTATAGCAGCTAGTCGGTCGTCCCCAAGCCCAAAGCCTGCGAACGAGACCCTTGCTTCTAGGCCCGAGAATGGTTATGGCAAGGAACCTCAGCGAGCATCAGAACAGCCTAACGTTGCGCCAGAGACAACTGAACCCACTGAACAACCCCAGACGGTACCACAGCCAACGTCTCCTTCGCCTTCGATGGTATTTGATAAGCTGGTAAAAGCCGTGAATTCGCCAGAATTTCGGTTTCAATTCTCCTCTGCAGCATTGCCTGAGGATGAGCTAGCATTTATTGAGAATCATCCGTCGTTAATCGACCCATACGGGGGTGTTAAGCGTCGTGCCATGCGTGAGAAAGCGGAACAAGAACGGGCAAAGCTTGCACTAGATGGAAAATTCTTGCAGGCCCCCGCCGAGGAGGAGAACCTTGAAAGTGGCAGCTCACAGCTAGGCGGGGAACCAGAAGAAGTGCATGCTACTATCGGTGCACCAGGAAGGCATTCCAGAGAACCGCAGTCCGCCATACAGCCACCTTCTCAGCAGGCAACAGCAAACAACTCCACGGTGGGATCCCCGGTCTCTGCTAGCCATCAATTTCAAAGTCTCAACAACGTCAATGCCCGCAATCTTTCACAACTCCAACAGCAGCAACTTATGTTGCTCAAGTCTGCCGGAGGACAACACCCTAACATCATGGATCTACAAGGAATGTCAACGTCCGGTGCCTTTGATCAAAACACACGCACATTTCAAAATCAAATGGCTGGCATGACTAACGTGCCGGGCCACACGAGGCAGTCATCGCGATTTTCATTCGCCTACGACGTTAACTCCAAGAATTCCAATGGCAGGCTACTTGGTTCACAAGGCCCTATGATGCCAACCTCGAGCCCTAATCCTCTCTCGATCCCGGCCACCCAACACAACCTCGGCAACCAGTACTTTGTGAGCGGCATCCAAGGTCCACCACCTGGACTAAAAACCGCGGGTACTCCCCCTGTCAGTGGCGGCGGCATGTTTGCTCAAGGTCATGGTTTCACAAGCACGATGAACAATAATCTTGGGCTCGGTGCTAAGCAAGATGGAAATGCTGATTTGATGCGCGAACTTATGCGTGCCAGGGGCGGCGCAAGCGGGAGTGTTCAATCCCATGATGCAACAAAGCGTGAGTTTCTGTTTCCTTTATTCCAACAGCATAGCACAACCCCCCCTCAGGCTCCCGTTTCAGGTCTTTTAAACCCGCTCTATGGCCAGCAACTTGGGTTATATCAAGACCCGGTGCCACAGAAGCAGAAAAAGAGGGGAAAGAAGCATAGACATGCTAACACTTCCTCCGGTGGAGGCGGTGTAGTGGATCTTGCAGACCCGAGTATTTTGCAGGCGAGAATGCACCAAAGCGGCGCCAATACTGCCGCAGGGCAGGGACTGTACGGGAGTCAGGGTCAAGGTGGGTACAACCACTCCAACATGGTGTACAGCGGAGGGTTTGGGAGGTGGTAGAAACCCGTCTCGATGCTGTGTGGCCCTCCCCCGATCACTTCACCTTCACCCTACTTCACATTGCTTTACACTTTAATCACTTTGCATTTTATTTCATATTCCTTTTCACAAAATTTGCCATCGTTATGAGGCTTCCCTATTTCCCCTTACCCGAGCGTCATGTTTTCATGTGTTTGTTTCTTTACCTACCTGTGGGGAGTACACAGGCTGCTCTTTAATTCTCTTCTTCGGTTGTTTTATTTGGCATTTATATTTCAGCACTGCATATGGGGAAAATTCGTTGAATCGTATGCAGCTGGGCGTTCACATGGCGTGTTCACAACATATTCTTTTGATGAACCTGGCTGGCGGGAGGCGTCATACACATTACTTTTATCCAGGAATATGCTACTTCGAAGGGCACTTTTCGCAATATTGGGGAAACTTTTTCATATTACCTGCCAAACCCAAGGCTTAGGTTCAGGTTTCCTTTCGCGTCAACCTACCTTCTTCGGATTATACCCAAAAAATACATTTTCCTTCGAGAGGAAATTCTTTTTGTATGTTAATCCTCCCTGTTTTGGGGCTTGTACCCAAGCCCAGTCCTACCTATGTCGAAAGAAAATTTCTCACAATTATTTTGCACATATAGATGTCTCCAACTTGTTATGTGATTCGAAGTATCCTCCGCCTTGACTTGTAATCCCGACTACCGCCATATGTATATAGGAAGCTCCCCAGGCTTAACCTGTAGCCGTCTTTGCCCCTGCTACCACTCCGCTGTTCCCTTCGCTGTTCCTCCGCTACTCGTCCCAGGCATCTTATCACACTCATGAAGAGAGAGGGCGAGTTACTTATTTTTGATGGCATGCTAACATCATAAAATAGAAGACGAAGACTTTCCGCCATTAGCACCAGCTTCGAAGCCAAACTACGATAAACAATCTCCCGATACAATTCGTTTCCCCATACGGACTACAATCCCTGGCGAATCGCCCTTGTCCTCGAGCAGGTCAGGCACTCCGGCTGTGCCGCCTGGGTTTAGTTTGCCCCATGCACATCCTTCAACATCCCTTGTCCGGGAGTCACGAACATCGAGTCCATCCCTCCCAAAGACGCCTTTGACGATAAATCCGCCTCCTGGGTTAGTACATCCTCAGGCATTCACAGAATCAAATATCATCTCCGAATCAGGCCGAGGATCTCCCGTTACCCCTTTCAAACACCACAGTAGGGCGGCAGAGATATCCCTCGGATCTCCTAAGTCAAGGACCAGCAGCATTGCCAAAACCACTAGTCTACCAAGCGATGCACCCATAGCGAGAGCCCAGCAGACGTCTAACCACGGGAAGGGGAAACCACTAAAGCTTGATCTTTCTACTTTTGAGAAAATTCGCGAACCTGTGGCCCACTCGTCCACTCCTGTTCAAAATGTAGCTGCATTAGCAACATCATCTGCTGGGCCGGAGTCGAGGCCCAACACTCCGGGAACAAATTCCCGTACATCGAACTCCCCGGCTCCTCGCCAACCAAGAGTTCTACGTGTTGTTGACACTCCAAAGTCGGAGCAAGTCCTCCCCGCTACCACACCTGGTACATCGGTCTGGGGCACAAAACCACGAGTAGGTGTACACAGCCTTTCTTCTATTAGCCGACCAACGACACCTGCAGGCTCCGAATATGATGCTCAAACGTCAGCGTCAGTTTCCCGTGCGAATTCTCCACCACCAAGCAGAATTGGATCCGCGCCCGTTCGATCAGTGACGAAAAGTCAAGTCAAGAAAGATAGGAAATTGAAAGCCAAAAATGCTGAAGCGAAGAAAGACGAAATACTTCTAACAAGCACGCCTGTCAGCAGCGAGGCCCAGGCCCCGATAATTGGTCGTAAGCGCAAGACCAAGAAAGCACCAAAGCACAACAATGGGGATGCAGATACCAATGCATCAGATGGGGAGCAGAAGGAGTCATCCAGCAATGATAATACAGCTAAAGCACAGCCTGAGCCTGCTAATATCCAACCGGAACCTCCAGCAAAGATGAATGCTGTAACTCAAGAGGAGGTAAAGAAACCCGAGCCCAAGATCGCAGCGCCGGATGAGCCATGGCGAGAAAATAACACCCTCCAACAAATGACCATCGATGCAGAAGCTAAAGGTGTCCCAGTCAAGGAGCTATTTCTTGAACGTACAGCAACCCTTCCTACCCTCCTAGGACAACTTCAACAACTCGGAGATATCGACTTGAACACACATCCACTCTTCAATCCACCAAACCTCGGCCAGCGTACAGACATGAAATGCAACGCAGATGACTATGAAATGCTACACAACCCACTCGAACTAACCGAGAATGACAGAAAGCAACTTCTTCGTGGTGAACCCATCCGCATCAATAGCGGTGACCCTGACAAGCTCAAACACCGTGCCCTGATCACACCTTCAGGCTGTATCCTCCGCCATCTATCTGCCGACGAAGAAGACCGCTACCTAGCACTGGAGAAGAGCCTCTCATCTGTCCTAGACGCCATCCAAGATTCCTACCCGTCCGTTCTCATCTCAGAGCCAGACGTGACCAACCGCGGAGGCGGACTCGATGCTCTCTTCGCCACCCCTGAAAAGTTCAACATCTGCTGGGTCGACGAGGATTCTTCTCGCAGCGGTCTCGTATCTAGCATTACCGCGGACGGCTCATCTGCTATTCTTTCAAACCCCCCGCACACAAGCAGCGCCGGAAGCACAGCTACCTCGGAGCCAGAAATGGTACGCTCACACAACTGGGCTATCAGCAGTGGCGGTGAAACGGTCCCTGTTCGCTCGTCGGCATCCAAGTCAATGATGGGAGGACGTTGCCCCAACCTCGGCCCTGGACTAGAAGAGCTCATGAATATGTCTGACTCGGAGCTTCGGGCGATGATTAGCTCCTCGCAGTCTGAGCTGGATCTATCTAGAAGGGAGGTTGATGCTATTGACAAGAAGGTCATGGCTCTTGTCAAGCGGAACAAGAAGCTTGTGCAGCAGGCGTTGGCTGCGGCGATGGATTCGATGAGCCCGTCGCAGTAACTTTGACCTACTCCTATCTTCGGCAGTTGGCACATCTCCATACTCCCTCCCCTTCTCCCCTTTTTGCTCAAATGTATATTATTATGCGCGGTTCTAACTATGGACCTGTCTGATTCCATTCCCTTCCTCTCTATTTTGTTCTGAGTACATACATGCCCGACGCATTCTCCTTACCTGCATATTTATGGCGTTGGCCCGATCGATCACTGCGGTCGTTTTCTGATTCATTCCTGTTTTCAAGATACCGCATAGACACGTATTAATATGAGCTTAATCAATTGTCTAATTTGATAATTCAACTCCAAGACCAAGTCTATCGTCAAGAACTACACTACCTAGGTACTATCAACAATTGCACCCTCTAGATTATCACTTCCGAAAGCGTAAGTTTCTATTTCTCGCACTCTACTACATCAAAGAGCATCTCGATCTATTGTATGTACATTTTAGTTCGCTTCAAAAAAGACAAAAAATCGAGCCAATCAACCAGGCGATTCCTCCTAGGGAACGCAAAACCACAAAACACGCTCGTCACTGGATAGGTTTTCACTGTATGGATAAATATATATATCTGTCTGTTGCAGAGTGCAAAAGATGAGCCTGTATAAACCGTAGGCTTTAAATCAAAAGAGATGCGACGAGCAGATGGTATAGTTGAGGTTTATCGGCCGGGATTTCCAGCAATATTCATCTACAGACCCTTCAGGCCACCCTCGAATTCACTAACGTCATACTCCTTGGGGTACTTCTCGAGAATGCGCCTCAACTCCTCTCGCTGGCTCTTGACCTCAGGGGTAAGCTCTTCAAAGACGTCAGTGAACATCTCCTTCAAAGCAGGCTTCTTCTCACGCTCGGCAGCGGCGAACTCCGCGAGAACGTCCTTGCGGAGCTGTTCGCGGGTTTCACGCTCGAGATCCTCGTTCCAGATACCCTTGTTCTCCATCCACTTGCGAAGACGGGAGATGGGGTTGTCACGGCGTTTCCAGTCCTCAACCTCGACGCGGGCACGGTAGGCAAAGCTGTCGTCACTGGTGCTGTGGTGGGAAATACGGTAGCTCATGGCTTCGATGAGGATAGGCCGCATAGAGCCTTCGAGGGCCCTCTTTCTAGCTTCAAGAGTGGCTTCACGGACGGCAAAGATGTCGTTTCCGTCAACACGGATCGTGTCAATTCCATAACCGATACCACGACTGGCAATACCGTCACCTCGGTACTGTTCGAGGGTTGGTGTAGAGATGGCGTATCCGTTGTTTCGGCAGATGAAAATCACGGGGCAGGAACGGGTGGCAGCGATGTTGAGGGCGGCATGGAAATCTCCTTCACTGGCAGCTCCTTCGCCGAAGTAGCAAGCAACCACTTGCTTCTCAGCATTTGGATCCTGGAGGGCCTTGAGCTTGAGGGCGTATGCGGCACCAGAAGCGTGTGGAATTTGGGTAGCCAGGGTTGACGAGATGGTGTGCTAGCAGTAAACGATGAGCAATCAGGTCGTACATGGGCAGCACTCAGATGACTTACTGTCTTTACATCCTTTCCTCCGTAATGGACAGGCATGTTACGGCCCTTTCCGGAGTCGTTGCGGTTAGAAAAGAGCTGGCTCATGAACTGTTTCAGGGTGAATCCACGCTGCTGGAAGACACCAGTTTCTCTGTATTGGCAAAAGACAACATCATCCATGGACAGGGCAGCGGCGGATCCGACTGCAATACCTTCCTCTCCGGCAGAAACCTAGACAAACTTGTAAGTCGATGTGCCAAATAACAGCCTCGGGCCAACACATACCATATAGAAACTCAGACGGCCCTGCCTCTGTGCCTCGAACATGATCATATCCATAATGCTTACTATACGCCGTCTCCCGTCAGCCAGAGTTCCGAATCCAATTGATGGTTATATGTTGCTGCTTACCACTCAACATGTTCTTGTACCACGTCAACACCTCCTCGTCCTTGACGTCTGGGGGACCCCTCGACTTGTCAACAATCACACCCTCGGAGTCCATGACTCTGTATGTAGGAATGGCAGGGTTTGAAGCTGGGGTGACGAAGGACATCTCAGAGGTGAACTTGCTGTTCACGGCGCCTGGAAAGCGAACACTACCAACCCGCACAGCCTGTTAGCGCCTGCATAGAACATCTTCAAGAAGTAGCAGTATATACTGACTGGTCTGAACCTGGCGCCTGCGACACCGAGCTGGCCCATCGTACTCTGCTCACAGGCAGTCTGGAGGCGCGCAGCAGAGCTCCCTGGGCGGGGCGGAGGAAGCGGAGGGCCATGATGCTGTCTGTACTGTCTGGTCAGGGTATCAATTGAGGTCTGAGTGAAGTCCTATGAGGTCCGGTTCCTCTGCGCCGACAGCGATATCCCAAGTGTCAACGAAGATGAAGCTGGAGATGCAAGAGAAACGAACAATCCAGGATGTTTCTTCCCGCTTTGGGCGAAAGGTGGGCGACTTCGTTACTTGCCCTTTTGGGAAAGCCCAGGTTCGGCTGGCGTCGGCTATGAGAAGTCAGGTGACGGCTTAGTCATTCATCAAGAGAAAAAGAAATTAAAAAAAGAAGTAAAAAAAGAAAAGAATTAAAGTGGTAGGAGATCGAACTTGGAGCAAAAAGGAAAGCGAAGGCAGAACAGACAGAGTAAGTCCTGGATTACTTCGTGTAAGTTATGTGGCCAACTTCGCTGGAGGAAAAGACCAGGACCTGCGTCTATGACTCAATAGGAGAACGTAGATCACGTGTTATGGCGAGTAAGACAACGGACTATAGTTTTGCCGATATGACTAATAAGGCGTCGGAATATAGTTAGACCGATCCATCTTACATAAGGCTTACATAAGTACTTACATAAGCGGAGCTCTGGTTTTGAAGCTTTTGGAAGCTCGCGAAATGGACGAAAAAGAAGGAAGAAAGACGAGAGAGAGAAAAGCGAGGAAGAGACAGCAACAACCAAGATGGCTTCGAAGAGTGCATGGCGTGGCCTGCACTGGTGTGCTAAGAGACGGCCATTAGTCCCCCAACCCCCCTACAGATGTTTCTCCTGCTCTGCTCGCCTCCAGGTCCCAGGGCAGCAGCCCGAGGACCGGAAGACGCACTTTGGCTTCGAGACGGTGCGGGAGTCCGATAAGGAGTCGAGAGGTAGGATCCCTGGTTCAATTGGTCAGAACACTCTGTTGCTGACACGGATGTCTTCCCTAGTTGGCGCCGTCTTCAGCTCCGTAGCCGGTTCCTATGATACGATGAACGATTTCATGTCACTGGGCATTCACAGACTGTGGAAGGACTACTTTGTGCGGTCACTGAACCCGGGTCGACAGTACGCGCGAGAGAGCCCCAGCCAGACCGGCAGCAGCGATGTGGCCCTTCACGGATGGAATATCCTCGACGTTGCAGGCGGGACTGGAGATATTGCATTCCGCATGCTCGACCATGCCACCAACATCAAGCACGACCAGCACACCCGGGTGACGGTTGCCGATATCAACCCAGACATGTTGACGGAGGGCAAGAAACGAAGCCTCGACACCCCATACTATAACACCGATAGACTCTCGTTCATGCAGGGCAACGCGGAGTCGATGCCTTCCATTCCTTCCAACTCCGTCGACCTGTACACTGTGGCGTTTGGCATCCGTAATTTCACCAACAAGCAGGCCGCACTGGAAGAGGCCTACCGCGTCCTCAAGCCCGGCGGCGTCTTCGCGTGTCTCGAATTTAGCAAGGTGACCGTTGGCGTCGTCGACGAAGTGTATAAGCGATGGAGTTTCAGTGCAATTCCGTTGATCGGCCAGCTGGTGGCCGGAGACCGCGCCAGCTACCAGTATCTGGTCGAGAGCATCGAAAGGTTCCCCAGCCAGGAGCAGTTCCGCGGAATGATTCGCAAGGCGGGCTTCATCACTCCCGGAGATGGTTACGAGAACCTCTCGCTGGGCATTGCAGCCATCCACAAAGGCGTCAAACCATTGAAGTGACCTCTCTCTCGCTCTCTATACAAGAAGACGGGCGACGGCATATTTCCGTCCGACGGACCTGGAATCAATCGCTTCCTTTTTTTTTTTTTTTGGACGCCCCCTTTTGTATTACTAGGCGATGTAATTCTATTTTCTCAATCGATACTTCAACTTGAAGCTCCCCCTCCCATCCTACCTGCACATGCGTCAATGGTGGCTCTTTGAAGTTGCTTTTTGAGTTGATTCCATCCAGATGGCATATGGCAACATGCATATCATCACACTTGGCCCTGCAACGGGCCATCATGGCCGCAAAGAGAGTTTAGGATTCCTCAGCATCCCCCCCAACTCGCTCCGTCTGTTCCCCTTGCCAGAGATACTGCTAACCAAGTACGTAAAAAGCCTCGGGGTGTACGTGCAAGGCGATCCAACTAGTCTGGATAACAAACTCCCAGCTCCCCGATGGATTTGTCACGCCCTCCACCGCCTCCTATCCTCTGCGCCTATCTCGCTGGCTCTACCATATCTACGCCGCAAGACGTCTCCAAACACACGGCATCGGCGACAGGAAGAGAGCGGAGAATATCCATGAGCCATGGACACCTCCCGCCCACAGTGACTAATCATAAACCTTGATCTTATCAATCTAAAACAGTTCGCGCTTTTTTTTTTCGTCCCTCGACGGTTCCTCCAAGTCTATATATTTGCGCCCTGGACAGCGGCGGAGGCAGCGGGTTTTTTTCCTTTGATGCCACCATACTTCTCCGGCTGTTTAACAATAGCATCCTGATTACCAGACCATCCAAGGTGGCGTGTCCATTGGCTGGCATGCGCTTGCATCCCTGCCCTGTCAGGCGGACCTGAGGCAAAATCGTCCTTGGATTTCTCCTCCTTTCGGATATTTCATTCCTCCGTCCAACCTCCGAGGCCCTGAACCATTTTCTCTACTCCGGAAATGACGAATACATGAGGTCACTGTCATACCTGGGTTTCGTATCTTGCTGTTGTCCCGGACATCCATCCTTTCGTTAGCCGAACAGTGCTCGGTTTTATCTTTATCTCTCGCCGCGGGGCCGATATCTTCCCCCCTTGTGTCTGGGAAGGCGGTCAATACACACACCCCTCCGTGATTAAACTCCCTCACGGTCGATATCTACGCATCCTATTTTTGGATGAATACTGAGCCCAACATGGTTTCCACGCTCTACGCCAGGAAACGCCTTCGCCAGCTCTCACCAATGTCCCCCCCGATAATCCCGGTGAACTCACAGAGCATCAAGTCTAGCCTAATCCCACCTCTACCCATGACTCCGCCGGATCCCGAAGTCGATTCCATACCATCGGCCGTGCCTCATCCTGCATCGATAGAGACCGCAATCCATGTCATTTCTACGGAACGGGCCGCCCTCGAGAACCTTGAGCGAGTCTACACCACCAACGACCTAGCGCGGAATAACATGGAGCGTGCTGTGGAACAGATTGCCAGCACGATCAATGCCGGATCGAAGTTGATCGTATGTGGAGTTGGAAAGAGCGGGAAAATAGGCCAAAAGGTTGTTGCGACTATGAACAGCCTAGGAATCTATTGTACGTTCCTGCATCCAACGGAAGCGCTACATGGAGACCTTGGCATGGTGAGACCGGTAAGTTCAATATATATTTGACACTGATGAGACTGACCTACCGGAGCTTGTGCTAAAGTCTGGCCTTCATCTAGACGGACACGGTCCTGTTCATCACATACTCCGGAAAAACATCCGAACTATTACTCGTCCTTCCACATCTCCCTTCAACAACGGCTGTGATAGTCATCACGGCACATAAACAGCGGTCGTCATGTGCACTATTAGCTGGCTCTAGCAGTGCAAATACGATACTACTTCCTTCACCGATTCACGAACCCGAAGAGGTATCTTTCGGCGTTTGTGCTCCTACTAGCTCGACCACTGTTGCTCTAGCAGTTGGCGATGCATTAGCTCTCGCAGTAGCACGGCGGCTTCACACAACACCCGGCCGAGGCCCGGCCGAGGTTTTCAAAAGTTACCACCCAGGTGGCGCGATTGGAGCAGCAGCTGCGGCTGCTTCATCGTCTATGTCCGGCACCACAACCCCTCTTACTTCTATATCGGCTACATCATCACGGTCGATGTCCCTCGCCGGTCTCCAGGATGAACCGGAGCCGACCACACCAACAGCCCAAGGGACTTCCGCACAGCGAGTAGCGAACCTCGCTACACCTCTCCATTTAATTCCCACTGCCTCGCCAAAGCCTGAGTATCCACTACGCGTCGTCGACGTGATGCGTGCTGCTCTTCGTGGTTCTACATCTAAATCATGGGCGTTTATACACCCTAGCTGCATCCTTTCGCCTCGCCAAATCCGGACTTTGGTTGCACGTAATGATCCGGATGATAGTATCGATGATATCGACCGAGAGGTCCCTATTGGGTACGATAGCGCAGAATGGATACGAGTACCCGATACCTGCACAGTTGGTGACGTCCGACGGATTCTCGACCAAGACAAGCAATCCAATGACGTCAGCAAACTGATGTCAACCCCTACTACAAAACGAGATTCAGACGGCAATACAGTACACCGCCGAGGACGTATAATTGGTGTTGTCAACGAGGCAACCGACAAAATTATCGGTTTTATTGAAGAGGAAGACCTACGAAATGACGACTACTTCGTGAAATGAGCGAATTTAGCGAATCGAGTACCGGATGACTACATATTAGAATAATACTGCTTTCCCCTGTTAATTTTATAGCGCTTGTCGTTCATGTTTTGGGTTACCTAGGTAGATTTATACACTGCGCCGAGAGCGATTAATTGAGCGGTATTTCGGGGATGAAAGCTTTCTCGCAGCGTGCGCTCTTAATTATAGCATCCAAAAATCAGGGATAGAAAAATGAATACCCAAAATTTCCACTCAGGATTTACTTGACTGCCTTTAACTTGTATTCGACGCAGATGGTCTCCTATATAAATCTCATTTTCTACGGTATCTATCAAAAGATAAGATGGGAAGGTTAAAAAAAAATATCTTGGCGCAAATCTTCGACTTCCCAACTTCAATCAACTTGTAGTTACTGCGCAACCAGCCACCACGACCACAGAAAGCAGACGAATATGGCCAAACGAAAGCGTGATGCCCCAGAAGGCGATGATTCATATAACTGGGGTGATAAAAAACTCAGACTCCAACGACTACGCCTGGAACAAAAGGTTCAACATGGCGTGGTGTTGCTCCATCGTGCGCTCAAGGTCGCCAGAGGATTCGAACGACAGAAGCTGGGGAGGAGGGAGAAAACTGCGAGACAGGAGAGTGACAGAATGCTATTGAATCGGCATATGAACGAAGTTGAAGCTTTAAAGGTGCGGCACGCAATCATGACAATAGAATCATGAGCTTAGAAAGAATTCTAACAAACTATTCAAGGCATTGGATTTACATAAAACCGCCGAAAGATACCTAATCAAGCAAATGACGAAAACAAAACGAATTGCAGAATCTCCTGCGTTCATCCACCTGAAACTTGCAGACCGTATAGCTAAGAACGAAGAAAAAAAGAGCGATGCCGAAGCTAATGTTACAGCTCGCCTGTTCAACTCTAACCCCGTCAAGAAAGTCTTTCCAGGGCTAATGAACGAGATACGCGATATACTTGGTTTATCTGGAGATCAGCCGCCGAAGAAGAAGGGTACAATAGGGGATGATAAACAGCCTACGCAACCTGCGGATGAGGATGTAGAGATGAGCGATGATGAAGGAATAAACGAGGAGTCGGATGCCTCTCAAGGAAGTGAAGAAGAGGATTTATCCCGCTTTGACGGGCTAGTCGCATCTGGTTCAGATGAGGATGACGAGAGCGCCCAAGAAGAGGATGATATGCCAAAACCCACGACAGCAAAATACAACCCAATCGCCGATCTATCACTATCTCCCACACCATCAATTGCATCCGATGATTCCGCTGAGATCACTACCAAAACCTCCAAAACAAAACAAAAATCTACGACTGCTACGACGGCTACGACGTTCCTACCTACGCTCATGGGAGGTTACTGGTCTGGCTCTGAATCCGAACCGGAAAACGACGATCCATCCGCGCTCCCAGTACGGAAGAACAGGATGGGTCAACAAGCGCGACGGAAGTTGTGGGAGAAAAAATACGGCGCCAGCGCCAAACATATCCAAAACCAGGCCAAGGAACAATATCAGAGCAAAAATCGTGATAGCGGTTGGGATATGCGGCGAGGCGCTACGTCTCAGGAAGACACAAGAGGGAAGTACGGCAGAAACAAGATACCTGGTGGTAAACGACGTGAAGTAGTGAGATCGTCTGCGCCACAGGAACAGCCCGCGAGGCCTGCGTCCAATTTTAAGAAGCCCAACGATGACAAGCCACTTCATCCTTCATGGCAAGCTGCGATGAAGCGCAAGGAAACGAAGACTCAAGCTGCTTTTCAGGGGAAGAAGGTTGTCTTTGACTAAACCTAGCCGCTCAGAATACATACGGTTAACATCGTTAGACGTGGTCCGTCTATTACACCCATGTATTGGTCGGTGAGTACCAATGGATATATCAGCTCCTTACGCCCTGTCCTTCCGCCTTGGAATCCGGGCCTGGTGGTAAGGCAATATCTTTCGAGCCTTTGGGCGTGCATTTCGGCTTTTTTCTCAGGCTTCTAGCATCGAGATTGCCATGTACACCAGCTACGGGCTTGCCAGGTAAAACGGAAGAGTCGCCCTTTGACAGTAAAGGGATACAGTCATCTTGGTAACTGCAGTTGACCTGGATCTGCAGAAGTATCTATGCTGCGACCCTTTAGGGCCCTTCTAGCATTGCTCGTTCAGTCGACATTGAAGTATATATCTGAATATTGGTTAGGTAATATATACCATAATATTATTCCACGAAGACATGCAGTATGCGGAGTAAAGTGACATTGACAGTGTCTCTCCCATTTCAGCCGTATCCAATCTAATAATAAGCCTTCATATCAATTATTTACTCGATCAACTATCAACGGGAATTGCCCATCCTTCAGGGGGGCTGACTCAGCAATAGATCGGATATAAAAAACTGTTGCCCCTCATGCCATCATCACGATCAATTATTCCAAGCTCCAAGTTGCAAACTTCAAACATATAACCTACGGACAATAATATATAGGACAAGCCGTCTTAGCCATGGCTGCTGTTTCCGACACTTACAAAGGTTTTACTCCTAATCTACGACGCCAATTCCCTCGCGCACATCTGCCCCTCCATGCCCCTCCACGGTTCTTCGTTGATTCGGATTCAATTGCGCCGATTGCTTCAAATGAGATCCCGATTCTAACGATTATTGTTGCTAGAGCCCGTCCATATCGGTGTTATTGGCGGCACTGGACTGAGCGAACTCCCCCATTTCACCAAAGTCGCTACCCTCACCCTCACAACGCCATGGGGTGATCCATCCTCGCCTGTCTCCATCCTCCACCACACCTGTTCTACCACCGGCAAGGTTGTCCCAATTGCATTTATCAGCCGGCATGGAGTTCACCACCAGCTTTCTCCCCATGAAGTTCCTAGCCGTGCAAACATCGCTGCCCTACGATCCATCGGAGTACGAAGTGTTGTTGCGTTCTCCGCAGTTGGTAGTCTACAGGAGGAAATTAAACCTAGAGACTTCGTTATCCCAGATCAAGTGATCGACCGCACCAAGGGAGTCAGGCCGTGGACATTCTTCGAGGATGGCATTGTCAATCATGTTGGGTTTGCTGACCCATTCGACGAGAAAATGGCCAAAGTTTTTAGGGCTTGCGGCCATAGTTTGGAAGGAGAAGGCGTTGTCCTACACGATCGCGGTACCTTGATCTGCATGGGTATGTTTTCCTTTCTTTTTTTTTCTTTTTAAAATTTCGGTTTACTTTTCACTTGCTGCTCCGAAGCATCGGAAGATGCAGCCCGAAAGCAAGCAAACAAACACTGACCAACCTGTTTATCCGACTGTAGAGGGCCCTCAGTTCAGCACTCGCGCAGAAAGCAACCTCTACCGCGCCTGGGGTGGCAGTGTCATCAACATGTCCTGCTTGCCAGAGTCCAAATTAGCACGTGAAGCCGAAATGGCATATCAGATGATCTGCATGTCAACCGATTACGACTGCTGGCATTCCGGCACTGAGGATGTCACCGTGGAGATGGTCATGGGTAATATGAAAGCAAACGCCGTGAACGCGAGACACTTTATCGGTGCTGTCTTGGACGAGTTGACGAAGGATGAGCACGACGACCTGGTCAAGGGCAAACACCTTGCGGGTAGCGCGAAGTTCGGTCTTAGTACGAAGCCAACCGAGATCAGTGCCTCAGCGCTGTCCAAGATGTCATGGTTATTCCCTGGATATTTCTCCTAGTGCCGAATAACCTAAGGGCAGCCATCGCCTTCAACATATGTCCCAGCTGTTTTTGTTTCAGTATAGACTGCCTGATTTTAAGAAACTGTTAGACGTCCATTTGACAGGCATGCACCATAAACATGAATACGGAGTAGTCGGCGTGGTCTTCTTGTACGGGCATGCCGTGAGTCCTCGTGGCTGGTTATATCGCCAAGCTGAATGCACCCGGAGTAACCCCCTTTATCTGCATAGAACCCCTAGCTAAGGAACGAACGTTCAGGGAGCCCGCCTCAAGCTCGGACTAGGCTCGCGGTTCAACGGAGTCGCCCAACTTTTAAACGCCGGCGAGGCCACACATCTATATATTGCTTGGTACGATTATCCCAGCATTATCGATCGCGCTATTGCTTTCAGGGGCCGACTTCGGTTTGCGGGGCGTGACTATCTACCGTCGTACTCAAAATTGGGATAACTTTCGGCTCAGGCACATGATGCAGAAAAAGCATCGCAAGCTACCCCGTATGGATGCCACGATCTATTTTGATGCTCGAGTTACATCCAAGCGAGGATCGTGGGTAACCATCTATCAGCACGCTGAATGGCTGAACCATGTGGAATCACATTTCCACCAGAGCTCGAGAGGTTCGGCAGGGGCCAGCTACGATCATCGATGGCTGCATTGTGATCTACCGGCCCTGGGCTTGGTGGCTGCAGACGTGGGCATGATAACCGGGAAGAAACCCTACCGTTTTACTTGGTGGTAGCTGGTGGCTAATATATCATCTGCCGTCTGCGATCGCATGGCTGAGGGTCTAAATACGACCCCGATCCCCATAGTGATGCGCGGGTAATCCTTCAACAGAGTATCTTGCGGTCACCTTTTGTATATCGAGATGCGCATAGTTATATATCATGTCGTTCATTAATTATATATGGAGCACTCTTTTTCATTTTCTTCTTATCTTCTCGTTCGCCTCTGCGAATACTCCTGAATCATCGGCCTCTGCGACCAAAAGCATACGCGCTGATGTTCCTCCTGGCTATGGATCGCCCCCTTACTATCCAACTCCGAAGGGAGGCTGGGTCCCAGAATGGCAGGCAGCGTATGCGAAAGCAGCTATAGTCGTCGCAAACATGACCCTTGCGGAAAAGGTGAACTTGACAACTGGAACGGGAATCTTCATGGGTCCTTGCGTCGGCCAGACAGGTAGTGCTTCGCGATTCGGTATCCCGAAGCTCTGTCTCCAAGATGGGCCCCTAGGCCTGCGAAACACGGACCACAACACGGCTTTTCCTGCTGGAATCACTGTTGGAGCAACTTTCGATAAAAAGCTCATGTACGAACGTGGTGTCGCCATGGGCGAAGAGTTCCGCGGGAAAGGTGTCAATATCCATCTCGGTCCTTCCGTTGGGCCACTTGGCCGTAAACCGCGAGGTGGTAGGAATTGGGAAGGCTTTGGTGCTGACCCTTCACTCCAAGCTATCGGTGGTGCTCTGACTATTAAGGGTGTTCAAAAAGCTGGCGTGATAGCGACAGTGAAACACCTTGTAGGAAACGAGCAGGAAATGTACCGGATGTCCAATGTGGTGCAGCGTGGATACTCATCTAATATCGATGACCGAACACTGCATGAACTATACCTATGGCCCTTTGCGGAAGCTGTCAAGGCCGGAGTTGGTGCATTGATGATGGCTTATAATGATGTACTGCGCCCATCCACGCACTTCCCGCTGGTTTCATCGCCGCCATTGTACGGAGTACTGACTATTGTTTTATAGGTGAACGGCTCCACCTGTAGCCATAATAGTCTTCTTATTAATGGCATTCTCAAAGATGAGCTTGGTTTCCAAGGGCTCGTCATGAGTGACTGGTTTGGCCAAATTGGCGGGGTCTCTTCGGCATTAGCAGGACTTGATATGGCTATGCCAGGTGATGGTGCAGTCCCATTGACTGGAAGTACCTTCTGGTCTTACGAGCTCTCACGGTCAGTCCTTAACGGCACCGTTCCTTTGGAGCGACTGAACGATATGGTACGGCTCTTTGCAGACATACTCCCCCGCCTCCATGGTTATAATAACATCCCAGGAAGGGGACAAGCACGCAACGGATGATCTAACTTACTTCTCTAGGTTACCCGAATCGTGGCGACTTGGTTCCAATTTGGGCAGGATAAAGATTTCCCAGAACCAAACTTCTCAACCAATACCCAGGAAGAGAGCGGTCTTCTATATCCCGGGGCAGTATTTTCTCCAACAGGTATTGTTAATAAATTCGTTGATGTCCAGGGAAACCACCGGGAAATTGCCAGAGCTATTGCGAGAGACGGTATCACACTTGTCAAGAACCAAGATAACCTGCTGCCATTAAAGACAACCGCCTCCTTGACGATTTTCGGAGAAGATGCAGGCACTAATCCAAATGGGATCAACTTCTGCGCTGACAAGGGTTGTAACAAGGGAGTTCTTACCATGGGCTGGGGTAGTGGAACTGCCAGGTTGCCATACTTGAGCACCCCGGAAGAGGCTATCAAGAACAGGTCCAGCACCGCCAAATCCTATATCACAAACAGATTTCCTTCAGATATTAAGGTAAAACCTGAAGATGTTGCCATTGTCTTCGTCAATTCTGACTCTGGTGAAAATTACATTACCGTTGAAAGGAACCCTGGCGACAGAAGTTATGCTGGACTGTACCTCTGGTACGGAGGGGACGAACTGATTCAGGAAGCTGCTAAGAAATTTTCCAACGTTGTCGTTGTCGTGCACACGGTTGGGCCAACCATTCTAGAGAAATGGATTGATCTACCAACAGTGAAGAGCGTACTTATTGCCCATCTCCCCGGGCAAGAAGCTGGTAATGCTGTGGCGGACATTCTATTTGGCGATGTTAGTCCTAGTGGCCATCTCCCATACACAATCCCCAAATCAGAATCAGATTATGCACCAAGCTCTGCACTCATCAACCAGCCATTTGGACAGATCCAGGATACTTTCATCGAGGGCTTGTTCGTTGACTACCGCCACTTCCAAAAAGAAAATAAAGCGGTCCGTTACCCATTTGGATATGGGCTTTCATACACAACCTTCGGCTTCAGCGAGGCAACATTGGCCATGGGAACTCAGCTGTCCGAATACCCTCCCGCTCGGATGCCGAAGGGTACGACACCGATATACACGGATAAGATCCCAAACAGTTCAGAAGTCGCCTGGCCGAAAAACTTCAATCGGATATGGCGGTACCTGTACCCATACCTTGACAACCCGGCCAGCGTCAAGGCCAACGCAAAATTCACTTATCCGAAGGGGTATCAGTCAACGCCACAGCCTGATCCGAGAGCTGGAGGTTCACAGGGAGGAAATCCAGCTCTGTGGGATGTAGTATTCACAGCGGCAGTTAAGGTCAAGAACACGGGTAAAGCACCCGGCCGTGCCGTGGCTCAGTTATACATCGAGTTGCCGGCCACGCTGGCTGCAGACACGCCCAAATTGCAGCTACGTCAATTCGAGAAAACATCAACCCTCAGCCCAGGACAGGAGGAGGTGGTAAAGATGGAGCTCACGCGAAAGGACTTGAGTATTTGGGACGTGATCGCCCAGGATTGGAAAGCTTCAGCGAATGGAAAGGGAGTCAAAGTACATATTGGAGAGAGTGTTGACGATTTGCATATCGTCTGCGAGGTGGAGACTGGAACATGTAGGGCCGTCTGATACTACCTTTAGTTAAAGTAGTCACATAATTTCATTAGAATATAATGTTGATATAGATGTGCGTTGTAGCTTGGAAACATTTTAATAACGGTCAGAAAGTTATTTTATATTGAGTGGTCACGTGTGCACGACCTTGATGACGCCCACTCCCGGGGACCAAAAAGCTGGATGAAGAATATATATGGAACTAACTCATGCGCACATTCGTGTGTCGAGTACACGGCCTCGTCAACTGCTTTGGACAGAGCCTCACAGTTTTCAGGCAGTTAATTTGGCTTGAAAGGGAAATCCTTCAGGGTCTCTAGCAAAATGCAGGGTTTCAGTATGTCTTCACTCAAGTGCTTGATAAACAATCACTAACATTTCTTTCATTAGATATGGGACGGTTAGTTCTCGGGTCTTCCTTGGCTGCACCGGCCTAACTAGAGGAATGCTTAAACGGCTAACCATGAGCTAGATATGTCCCTCCGGACCAGGAAGGTGTTGTCTCTGGAAACAAGCTCGCTGGCAAACATGCTCTTGGGTCGCGAGCCCGACATTTGCAGACAACCGGACAGCTCACTGTCAGATTTGAAATGCCGTTCCCCATTTGGTGTTCGACTTGCCAGCCAGCCGAATCTGTGATAATTGGGCAAGGGGTACGGTTCAACGCTCTCAAGAAGAAAGTTGGAAACTACTATTCCACCCCCATATACAGCTTCCGCATGAAACATAGTGTATGCGGAGGATGGATTGAGATTCGAACTGACCCCCAGCACACTGAATATGTGGTCACGGAAGGAGCTCGACGAAAAGTTGTGGCGGAGATGGGGAGAGGAGAGTACGAAGAAACTACTACTGGGGCGGGGGAAATTCGAGTACGGATGCCTGGACAGACAGGAGAGGATGAGCCCATAAATCCATTCACAGCACTGGAGGGAAAAGTCGCCGACGAGAATAAATATATGACAGAAAAAATGAGAATGGAGGAATTACTGAAACAACAGGATCGAGATTGGGAAGATCCATACGAAAACTCAAGAAAGCTTCGAAGAGCATTTAGGGCAGAGAGAAAAAGGCGTGAAGCAACACAGTCGGAGACGGAAGCGCTCAAGGATAAATTTAGCCTTGGGGTCGATTTATTGGATGAGACCGAAGCTGACCGTATACGTGCTGGAGTGGTTGAATTTGGGCCACACGGCGATCGCAAAAGCTCCCCTTTCTCCTTGCCGTCAAAACTTCGAACAAAACCACTTTTCAGTACCTCTACTTCCTCACCGAATAAACAAGCAAATACGGTCAAAGATGGTCAATTGAAGAAGCGGAAAAAAGCAGAAGATATAGTTGCGGAGAAAAAAGCCCTACTCCAGCAAGAGTTGAGGGGTAACACGAAAGCAACAATTGATCCATTTCTCCTTACGGACGATACGGTTTGGCAGCAACCATCCGGTGCCATAAAGAAGAAAAGAGCAAACAAAGTGGCCGAGGAGAGAACGCTAAATATTAGGGATGAGGAATATAATAATAAGGATGGCAGCATTAAAGTGGGGAGCGGTGACGACTTAGTGAGCAACGAATGTGGCAAGGTTAATGATACCCATTCTCAAGCACCATCTCATGACCGTGTCTCAAACAACTCGTCGTTCCGCGCACTCGTGGATTACGGATCGGAATCAGATTGATTGCGGATTGAATACATATTTATACCTAGACCATTTACGTTATTTGCATTGGTTGGAGTCTGATGTTGTTTCTTGCATGATACCCCTGTGTTTAACATTGATTTACCAATTTTCTAATTTAGCGTGGAAAGTTCGATCTTTATTCAAAGCGAACGTTTTCTTCTATTTTTGACTTCCGTTGCTTCGATTTGACAGCATACATCATATTGTATACAACCGCACTTCTGATCTTGTCGTGGCCACACCTCAATTTTGTGCATCCTGGTCCCTGAACATCCATCCTATACCTGGCTTCACCGAAAGCGCCTCACAGTACTTGAGCCTCGAGTTTACTGTCTGATGCATTAGACGGAGCCGGAAATGGCTCCCGAGGTGGCGGGTTTCGTGGTTTGGAATCTTGGATGGCCCATGGGGCTCTTGTGCTTGGAATTTGGTGAGCCAGAGGTGCCGCAGAGGCAGCCTGAGACGGGAAACTACCTCCACGCGGATCCCCCATCCCAGAACCACTAGGTTTGGCGGCCCAGGGAGCTCGTGTCCCCGCATCTGGGTAGGAAGGCGGAGGCGGTTGCGCGGACACATGAGCTCGAGCCTGTGGGCCGCTTGACGTATGAGTAGATGGTGCAGCTGGTATTGCATTTGGGTCCTGTTTCCAAACAAATAATGACCCAAAGGGGAAATGTTGCACTACCGGAAATTTTGAAAGAACCTCCGCGTTGTACATTTTGATCATACCCTGTAGTGAATTTCGGAGAGTTAGCAACGGGGCTTATAGGGAATGACGTACGAAGGGCAATCATCACCTTATTGATCTTTCCCCAGCCGTCCTTGATACCAGAAATATCATATAACATCGGGCTGTGCTCCCAAAATGGGCCTTTCTTGACATCATGGATGAAGCCAATAGCTGAAAAGTACATGTTTGATTTCCGCTCTTTCTCGACTATGTTTAATTTGGCTACGTCAGCTGTTGCAGGAGCGTTTGGAAGAGAACCTTCAGTTGGAGTGGGTTCAGTAGGCGCAATAGCTGGAGACAGTTGAGCTGAGCCTAAAACATATGAGATGAAGGAATGGTCGTCTAGTCCCCAGACTCCGTGTGAACCGGCTGGTTCCAGTGTGTATGTTAGGATTAAGCGGCGAACTAGCCTAAGATATCTATATCATGGAAATTAGCCCATGAATGTCACTATCCGAGCGCGGAATAGCATACGGTTCGATAACTCCCACAACAATACCTCTTTCTTCTTCGCCGGGATCCGCTCGAGCAAACCCGTTGAGCTTCCAAAGACACGCAAGAAAGGCCAAAAAGCTCAGTTCATGACCTGTTCCATAGTCTAGCCTTTGTGAACTTCCAAAACTACCAGTTAGGTATGCCATCAACTCCTCCTTGGCCGTTACCGTTTCCCCGTCCTCAGATTTCTGCTGAAGGATTTCTGGAGGTAAACATTCGTCCATAATAGTAGCAGTACGTGACTCCATTTCTTCACACCATTTTCGAAAACTGATGTTCCCAAATCGCCGAGGCCCCGTATCTGGCGCCACTTCGTCAATGAGAGACTCTAGTTTTGATAACAGCAATTGCAGACGACGAACAGGCTCTGAGAAGTCGATAGAGTCTGAATCTAGTGTCCACACTTCCACCTCCGCGGTATTCCCTTCTTCATCCAGCGTTTTAGAGGGGAGCATACAGCGGTTCAATTGTAAGATAAAGATCATAATATCTCTGTAGGCGAGAGAAGATAGAAATGTTTGGACATCCTGGTGATCGTTGATCTTTTTGACAGGTCGAATAAATGTGTGTGGCGTATTAGGATCTAGTCGCTGAAGCGACGGAAAGGCGATTGCCGTAGTCATTGTACCTAAAAGATGTGCGAAGTCATCTATACCGTACCAGTGAACTGTCGCGGGGTTTAGAATCTGGATGAGCATAAAATCAATATATGACGTTTAGGTTAGTAAGCGCTTATCGCGACTTATTTAGTTAACGTGGTTCACCACCGAATGACCGCCACCACCTAATGACCGGCGCTTTGGCCACCCCATCCAAATCGCTGCATATATTAAATATCAACCTATTTCAACACAACGTAAATAACGAATTAAATTAGCTATTAAATAACGATAGTAGGGTTCCAAATTACATATAAATTAGTAAGGTTAAGAAAATAAACGAGTGTTGGGCTTGATAACTCGCCCGGAACGGCTTGCCCGGGGTTGGGATAGGAAGGGTGGTATTGAAGGAATAGGATCGATTGGAGCCACCTTCGTAGGTGAAGTCTTCTTCTTTCCTAATCGGGAAGGTGAGATAGGGCTTAAGGCGTTCTTTTCAGCCTTCCTGGCCTTCTTGGCCATCCGTTCCGCTGCTTGTTCACCCGCTTTACGCTTCCGTTCAATCGCAGCCTCTGCGCGCTGCGCTGCAGCCTCTTTACGAGCCTCCTCATGGGCTTCCTTTCGCTGCTGTTGCTCTATCAACCTTTGAGCTCTCTTTTCTGCTGCTTCCTGGGCTTTAACATCCTTCTGAATTGTACGCTGAAGCTTTGATTGTTCAGCCTGCGCTATCTTATCTTGTTTTTCATGCTCTATATTAAGAGCCCGTTGCCTGGCTGCTTCAACTTTAGACGGAGAGAAGAACTGCGCCTGGCCAGCCCGTTCCTTATCAAACAAGCCCATTGCTTTACCTCTCTTCCTTTGCTTCTTCTCCATTTGTATTACTGCATGAAGAGACCTGTTTTCATGGGCTAATATCTCATTCTGGAAGACCAGTCTTTCACTAGCATGAATGACCTTTTGAATATTGATTGAGAGGCGCGATTGCCTGCGGTAAACCTTCTTAATTTGACGGCGGAGGCCTCGAACAGTAGTAGGGGTAGGAGGAGCAACCAGGTCTGGAGGGGTAATTGGTCTTCGTTTGAAATATTTTAATATCTGTTCAGGCATGAAGGGGTAGATACCCGTTGTTTGAAATGCAGCCTTAACGTTCTCAGGTGTTACTGCTTTACACCATGCTGTATAAAAGAGCCTCCAGAAATCTCTCTTCCTCATTGATGAATACCCATAGCTGCAACGGAGAAGGGTATCGATCTCTTGGGAGTATGCCTTAGCCAGTGGCCCAAAAACTCCAACATCTAATGGTTGTAATCGATGAGTTGAATGCGGAGGAAGGATTGCAAGAAGGATACGGTTTTTATCTGCGTAGTCGATAAAGCGCATATTGATATGAGAGGAGTGGCCATCAACAATAAGAAGCCTTCTTCCTCTATCAGCCTTTGCCTTCGTATGCTTATTAAATATCTCCAGCCAGCTAAGCCCGTAGTCATCACTGCTCCAGCCGTTGGGTGAGGCTGCAAAATAGGCTGTTTGCTCATGAGGGTTGAAATCATCAAGCCATGTATCTTGTAGATCTCCTTCTCCCTTATAAATCAGTGTAGGAGGAATCCTTTCACCATCTGCAGAGATGGCAGCAAGAAGAGAAATAAACTCGCGATTTCCATCATGAATAGCACCTATCTGCTTTCGTTTAAGCTGCTCAATAGGGACGATACGTTTGACTGCCTGACCTAGGCCAATAAGGAACCCTTTTTCATCGAAATTATAGGTGTTTTCTGGAGTAATATTATATTTTGAAATCATCAATTCAAGCTAGGAAGAGGTCAGTATTTAAAGATATTGATATCGATTTGATCACTAACATGCTCAAAGTAATGCGCAAAATAAGAGGAGTTATCAGCAACCTTGCGTTTTTGATCGATAGTCTTTAAATAAAGGCTCTTTATCTGGTTATGATATCTCTCGCAGAACCGCGCCACCCAGTTCAACCCAACAGGCTCTTTTGTTATCTCATATACCAAATTCCGGAGTATTTGAGGTGTAGGAGATAGGCCACGTAGAGATAGGCGATTTATATGCTTTAAAAGCTCTTTTTCTTGAGCAGTTGTAAGCTTCTTGTGATGTTGGGATATTGCTTCACTTCTTGAGGTAGTGACTCCTTGAAACCGCCGTGTGAGCGTTTTTCGATCGATTCCGTATCTTTTTGCAGTCTGGGTATAATTAGGGGCTTCTTGGGCCTTTAAATCTGCAATTGCTAAAGCAATTGCAGCTTCATTAACCATATTACGGCTGTTGCGAGTGGTTGTTGTTGATACGCATGAATCTTTGTTGGGGCGGTCATTGGGTGGTAGCGGTCATTCGGTGGTGGCTTACGTTATCTTAGCGCGCGCGAGTTTGGCTTGCCGAGCTAGTTATTATCAACCGCGAAATAAAACAATGTACAGCAGCAGATTGACTCTCAATTAACTCATCATACCCTTGACATAAGCAGGCTAATATCAGAGCAAAGCTAGTATAAAATACGTTGGCGTTCGGCAAGATGCGCAGAAGCAACCGAATCTTACGATCACACGATGACGAAGGACCTTCCGCACAACTCACCTTCGACTTGAAGACGATCGCGAAACGATCGGCTGCTAAACGCATGGGTGCGCCATCAATTAAACAAGCTGATACATTGAGAGAGCCGTCTACTCCTCAGAAAACCTCTCAAGCCGCAGGCGTATCCCCCTCTTCCGCCCCGCGAGTTGATAACAATAGTGTTGAGCCTGCACGAGCTTCGAAGGGACAGCTAAAGCGGCCACGACGACACCAGCTGCAGAGATTTAGAGGTGATTCTGAAGATATATTTGATGTTCCCGCGCCTTCACCAAATACTGATGCGGTAGAACGGGCGGTTGTGGCAAAACCTGAACCTACGGCTGGTGCTGAGTCCAGTGAAGACGAGGCTAGTAGCTCGTATGATGATTGTCAAGAAGTTGTCGAGGTTTTAAGAACACCAAAAAAGGTGTTTGAACTATCAGCTGTGGTGGTTGAGAACATGCCAATTGAAAACATCGAAAAGCAAGAAGGAGTTACTAATGATGGTCATGATACACTGGAAGAGAGGGAACATGAGGCTAGCGGAGTGGATGAAGAGATAGCGGAGACTGACCAGGACAAGGAAGATGAACCGGTCGATTTGGTGACTAACTTGAAAAGGCCGAAAGGGGATTCACTACTTAATGATGAATATGAACTTACAAATACGGATGTGGACGAAGACGATGATGATTGCGGAGATCTGCCAGAGTCTCCCGGGCGAACCGTAATTTCGCTGCAGAGAGATATTGTCAAGGAAAAGCGAGACATAGCGGGCTCAGATGCAGAAATCTACCTCGAGTATGGTCTTCGAGATGATTCCGTATTCTGGGAGGCTTCTAAAACATTTGACCAAGAGAAAAATTGGCGTGACCTTATTCTAGAGGCCCAGAGGCTGATCAAACAGGCCAAGGGCCTAACTGTCAGATCTACAAAGAATCTATTCGGGAGTATTTCGAACGGGATTGATACCTACAAAGAGAGAATATATTCGCAAGGCAAGCGACAAAACTTCCACTCCGTTGAGACAGAACAAACTTTCATCGCAGGCCTCAAAAGGCGCGTTTCTCAGGTTTTGATTGATCTATACCCATATAACGCAGATTTACCAACGAGAATAGCAAAACTCACCTCTGCGGCTTATGAGGTGGCGACGGACATCCTCCCTGGGATGGTCGGGCTGCTGCAGTGGTGTTTGGTTGCACATTATTCCAATGACAGCATCACCGCGGAAGGGATAGACCAACTGACGCAGGTGTTAGAGTGCCTCAGCAAACTGTGCGAAGCAATTCAGGCAGAGTCACCCAGACGAAACACGGAGCTGGCAGATAAAATAAGGACTACAAGTGTACTTGTTCGGTTTATGTCTTACGTGTTCCAAAGGCAACAGCTCAACACGCGGCAGCCAGAAATCACGCAGCCTCACGGAGGCTGGACCCGAAATCTAGGGCAAGGCCACGAGAGCGCATATCCGGTTAAGTCCGTGGAGCCTATGGTAACGACCCATGCGGAAGCCCGTCCCTGGAGCAGGGTCGAAAGTGAAACTCTCTTTGACGCCTTGCGGAAGTACCGGGGTAGGTGTTTGCATTTGGACCTTGCAACATAATTTTCAGGCTGGCAGATGCACTGACGCACATGTTCTCGTTATCAATAGGACCAGAACGATACGACCTGATCCTCCTGGACATGCGGGACGTCCTGGGACATCGAAGTGCGGAAGAACTGAGGGAGAAGGCGAGGGAGACACGGGCTGGCTTGTTAGCTCTACCAGACGAGAGACGGCCTCACCATAGCCAATGGAGCTTCCTTGAGGATTAAGCGTAGCTCTATAGCGGCCATCCGACTCCGTTGCTAAGGACGTCTTGTTAAGGATGACGTATGATGATGTATTCTGTACTGCTCTGCGCAAGCTTCAGGGCTCTCTGTACTTTAGTAGAATGCTACCCCACAAAGAGCACCATCTGACATTTGCCCATGGTTGCTTGATAGGTGTTAGCTGATGACGATAAACTTGGGCACCTGCAGCTGCAGTCAATCAGGGCCTTGACGGACATGGATGCCGCCCTATCCTCTTAGGCATCAAATCAGAGCAACTTGGCGATCAACGGCCCAAAGACGGCGTGCATAAGGTCGATTGGATGCTACTGGAACCACGACAGGGAACTCCACCGCCATTTCCCCTCTTCGCATCACTCGCAGTTGTCCCGTCCGGGTCTCAGCAACTGTTATCTGTGACGTCTGCCAGCGTTGGGTTGATGAAGTTGGTGAAGTTGATGAAGTCGATGAAGTCGTGGTCAAGAATATACACATCACATGACCGGAGAATAGTATCGCCGACGTCACCTGTCCGGGCCCAGGGATTCCCTCCTTCTTTGGCTCGCGGTCCAAACCTCCCGCCTGGAGATCGGTCTCAAGGTTAACCTCCAAAGCCACCGTCCCGACTTCCGCCGTGGGGATTGCTGATAACTGGGCCCCTATCTTCTTCTTCTCTGTTTGCTTTGTTCTTTGCATTGTGCCTTTCCAGAGCGTTCTTGTAAGTGCTCTCCAGCTATCCATTTTTTTCTTCTACAGATAGGACAGGGGGTTCAGGTGCCCCTGTTTATAATCTTGGATTAAGGGAGAGAAACCCCTGGCCCAGCTTCAGTTCAATTGCTACATATATGACCAGCTATACTGACTTTATAACCTTGGAGTAGCCTAGGAGAAGCTCTTGTCTTGAGCTTGTTCGTCGTGAGAATTACCTGCGAGGTAGATGACTAGCTTCATCCTCTAATAATCTTAATACTACATACCTGTACAGACACAGGAGAACCCGAAGCTCTGTTGGTGAGTGAAGTCGGTTATGCCTGGGAGTTTCATCATGCCCTGAGAATTGTACCGGGGGCTCGGTGTGGGCTGATATTGCAGTATCACCCTCATACTCCGAACCCTGTGATTTATTCTCTTACCTCTACCGGGCACGTAGAATATTCAACACGATACCTATCTGAGGCTAACTCGTTGCTATTTAGGCTATTATCTAGTTAATTCCAGCTTCTCTACTATCGTACGACCGAAATACACCGCTTAGCAGACCCGTTTAACTACCCAGTATGACGTCTGCAGAAGATCACGTTCCCGCCGACGAGGTTGTAGATGCACCAGTTGCGGCTGAGGAGCCCGTGACTGATCAAGAAGACGCTCATCAGTCGGTTCCAGCAAATATAGATTCTCCTCCTCGAGATGAGGTGCTGTCAGCAAAAGAGGACATGGTCACCTCTCCAGCACGGAGCCAGGCATCCTCGACGGACCCAAAACGTTCGCTGATTGCTAGTGGCCCGAAGCGCCCAAGTGCTGCCGTCTCGACGCGAACTGCCAAACCGTCAGCGACGATTGCCGGCCGACCAACCTCTGGAAGCACGCTGAACAAACCCCCAATTCGCCCGACAGCGAACACGGCTGCCCGGAAGATACCAAGTTCCGCGGCTTCTGGAGCTACCACGAATGTTGCCCGCGCGTCACGTATGTCTATTGGTAGTTCGGCTGACGAACGGGCCAAAGCCATTGCTAGCTCTGGTGACGAGTCTCGGAAGAGCGGGATGTCGGGGACTGCAAAAAGAACGTCGTTATCTGGTACACTCGGTTCCAGGACTACGTCTAGACCCTCAACGGCCTCTACCGACAGAAGGTCCTCCATCACTCCTGCAACGGAGAGGAAGCCAGCGACCTCCCGTCCGTCCACTGCGACATCGCAGACTCCAACAAAGGCTCCGCTGAGGTCCACGCCGACTTCCTCTACCACGCCAAGGACGACTAGAACTATTCCTACATCTACCAAGACGCCGGCTAGCACCGATCCAGCAAAGCGACGAATTGGAGCAACAGCTTCCCCGGCCACTGCTAGACGAGCCGCCGGAGCTCCTGCGCTCGATGAGGGGGCGGAGAATGACAAAATCACGGAGTTGGAAACCCAGCTTGCCGCTAGTGAGGCAAAATTCGCTGAAGCTCAGGCTAAGATTGCGGAGCTTGAGAAAGCCGGCGAAGACAGCTCTAAACATACGGAGATGGCCGAATCGTATACACAGGAGATCAAGGTCCTGCAAGGCAAATTGGAGGAGCTAGAGGCCAAATATGAGGAGGCCATTGTGCAATCAAGCAAGGATGTTGAAGAAGCTAAACGGGAAGCTACGGATTTGGGAGAATCTAAGAGCACCGAAGCTCTTAGTCTGCAACGCGCCGAGCATGATGTCGCTCTCAAAAACCTGGAGGCTGACCTTGCGACTAAGTCTGAGGCGGTCGCTGAGCTGACAAGCAAAATCGACACTTTGAGTAAGGACTTAGACGCGGCGACAAAGCAGGTTGAAGAGTCAAAGGAGGCAGAGAAAGAAGCTACCGCTGCCCTTCAGCAGAAATTGAGCTTGCTTGAAGAGGAACTTAGCTCAAGTAAGAAAGATCTAGAATCTGCCCAGGAGTCATCCTCTCAAAACGCAGCAAAGCTCGAGGAGAAGGTTGCCTCTCTTGAGAAACAGCTGGAGGAGGCAAAATCCGAGGCTGAAAAGGGATCCGCCAATACTGCCGAAGCTGTTCTCCAGAAGGAAGCTGAAATTAAGGAACTGAATGCAGCGATCGAGGCATTGCAGGATGATATACAAAAGGCTCACCAATCCAAGACTGATGAGCTTGAGCAGCTGAGGGCTGAATTCGACTCGACTCATGATCGTTCTTTGGCTGGACTGAAGGCTGATCATGACCGTGCTATGGCTGAAATGGCGGCTGGCCATGATGTTCATGTCGCTCAGCTGTCTGCTCAACATAAGACTGAACGCAGCGAGGTAGAGGCCGCGTCAACCACTGCAAAGTCGGCTTTGGAGCAGGAACTTCAGAACTTGACCGAGAAACATGAAGCAGCCAGAGCGGACCTGAACAAGAAGATTGAAGATCTGACAGCCGAGAAGTCCAGCCTCAGTAGCCAGGTCGAGAACTCTCAATCTAACTATGAAACCGAGATCCAAACCCTCAAGACCAAACTTGAAGAGGCCGAACAAGCCCTCGCCAGTGAGAAGCTCGCAGCTGAGAAGCGTAGTGCGGACGAAACCGCTGCCGGTGCCGAAATTGATACACTCAAAGCCACGATCCAGTCTCTTGAGGCTGATCTTTCAGAGCAAAAGTCTATGGTCAAGTCACTGACAGCGGATGTCGAAGCTGAAAGAGCTCAAGTGACTGGGTTGCAGAAGGTTCTTGAGGCATTTGAAGCCGATAGCAAGGACAAGGATGAGCACCACGAAAATATGAACAAGAAGCTTAGCGCCGAAATTGAGACCATCAATAAATCCTTGGAGGAAAAGACACAGGAGATAACTTCAACGAAGCAAGAACACGCCGAAGCTCTTGAAGCCCTTAAAACAGCCCATGCAGCTGAGCTCGCCAAACATGAGTCAGACGCAGCTACATGGCAAGACAAGATCAAGGGACTGCAAGAAGAGCAGGAAAACTTACGCACACTTAAGGAGGAAACTGAGAAAACCCACGGTGCTAAGATTGAGGCTCTGGAAGCTGACCATGCTCGACAGATCGAGGAGCATACCGCTAAATTTGCCGCTCTATCTGAAACCCACAAAGCCAATGAATCTTCTGCAAAGGAGCTCGAGGATTCCCATGCTAAGCTAAAGGAGGAATTTGAAAAGACTCTTGCCGACACTAAAGAAAATCTAGAATCCACTCATGCGAAGGGAGTTGAGGAACTCTTAGCCGCCCACGAGGAGAAACTGAGTAACCTCAAAGCTGAGCATGATACTACTTCTGCCGAGAAACTTGCAGCTACGGAGAAGAAACACTCAAAGGCTGTTGCTGAACTACAAGCGAATCTTGACAAAGCCAAAGAAGCTGCTGCTGATACTTCGTCCATCGATGCCCTAAAGGCTGAAATTGCTGAGTTGAAAGCAAGTCACGCTTCCCAAATCGACACCCTTGCAAATGAGAAGGCAGAGTTAGAGAAGAAAGTTGATAGTGTTGGGGCGACTGCCAAAGACGCAGAGACTGCTCGAGAAGACCTAGTTGCCAAGCATGCAGAAGAACTTGAAGCAGCCAAAGCTGAAACAGCAAAGCATAGTGATGCCCACGCAGCGGCAGTTCTGGAAATTAAAGCTCTAAAAGAGGTAGCTACAGAGAAAGAAACCCATTGCCACGAGTCTGAAAAGAAGTTCTCCGAGCTCGAGCGCGATATGGCTGCCCTGAGCGAGAAGAACATGGAAATGGTTGAGAAGATCCAGGACTATGAAGCAACAGCCGCTAAATCGGCTAGGAAGATTCGTGAACTGGAATTTGACCTCAAGGACGCGCTGAAGTCTGACGCTCCTACGTTAAACGGATCCAGCAAGGGCAAACCTGGCCTAGGAGCAAGCAAGTGGGCCACAACGGAAGATGAGGAGCCGGCGAAGGAGGAGGCAGATGGCAAGCAGGAGGACTCTGGTCCACTTGCTACGGAAGGTGAGAAGCTTGGTTCTTCTATCGCGGGGACGGTGCGCGCGCCTCATTTCCTATCCCTAAGTTCAAGCCCTTATCGTGTGTATTTTTTGGGGCTTGGGTTCTTATGCTTGGTCCTACCATGGAGCCATTTTGGACTCGCTACCTTTGCCCTACCACGAGGATTACGCTCGCTTTATCGACGATTTTACTGACTATGGTATCCTCGCGTATATAGATGGCGAGCATTCAGGAACAGCTACGACAGCTTGAGGGTGTGAGTGATGAAATGGTCGAAAATCGTGCCAGGTATGCATACCCTCCCCGTCGGTGCGCTAATAGATCCCGTACTTACAATTCTGCTCTTCCTATAGGATCATCAATGCCCTCGAACAGACCACCCAAAGGATGAAGTCTGGTTCTAGCAGTCCCCCTATATCAAGCCCCAGCAACCCCACTCTACCAAACACCAGCAGCAACACCAATGACATCGTGGCTTTGTAGTTGACTTGAATTTAATGTTCTCTGGACCGATATCACCAAGCTCCGAATACTGTGACCAGCCTCACGGACGCGCGCCTTATGATGTCCATGCTCGGATGCAACGCTTAAACGAACGTGAGAATGGCCTCAAACTGGATCAGATTTCGCCCTCGATTTCATTACATCTTCATCTACTAACCCTGTGTTCCCTTTTTAATATGTGCGATTTCCTTTGTTACGAGATACCTCCCCGCCTTTTATTTGTATCTTGAATCCCCACCCCCCTATTAATTGTTCAATAATCTACTCCCTCCAGTAATACCACCAATGTCACCCTTCCCCATACGAAGCCCATCTGTTTGTGGATACTGTCTGTTTATAATTATTCCTCTCAATACTTACATATTTGTCCACCAATCCTTGTTGATGCCTGTATGTGACCTGTACGTACACTATCATATATCACGCTACTATGCCTGAGAAATCTGACATGACAATATATGTATCCAACTAAAAAACGACCTTAATTGATGTGTTAAGATGTTAGGATGTTGAGATATGAACCTCGGCTGAAGCCATAGTGGAATAACTATAATGCGGTTGCTCCGAAGACATTTCCCCGAACGACCTTGTACTATACAGATGTGATATATAACGACCTGTGCATGGCCAGCATAGATCTGACAGTAGAACGAACAGCAATGCGCCGCCGTCAGTGGTCCGTATCTGCCAAGTAGTATCTGCATAAGCGCATGCTAGCTTTACCGGCTGCGGCCTTAAGGTCCCGATGAACGAAAACGACGAGATTTCTTCCCCCCGGAGTCTATGTCCCGGTTGAACAAAGATGGGAAAGCAGGGTTTCTCGCCTGCCAGTCGCCGGGGCCAAGGAGGCGGGCGCAGACGAAGGATCTTATCACCAGGCCCTTCGGCAAACGGAAATGACGACATACCAGAAATCTATCAGGAAATGCTGAGTGAATCCCAGGCGGCACCCCAAGCCTTACCACATAGGAATAACCCCCCTCACAAACGACGGAGGGTTGGGGAGCGTGGGGAGAGCAAGGCTGTAGAGTGTACCGAAAACTCTCGAGGGGAGGTGGAAAATACTGCGACCATGCCTTTACAAACTGTATACGACCTTGACGCGTCTGAAGAGGAATCAGAGCCTGAGTGGGAAGATGTTGAACTCCCAAGCCCTTCTGCCTCGTCTGCTCTTCCGTCTATGCTACCAGCTGGACATGACGATGACCAAGAGCCGTTGCATATTACCCTTGGAAAGGAAGAGCACGCGGAGAAGACGAAGTCCGCCATACGACGGAAACCTATAACTGGAGCCGAAAAGAAGCTGCGTTTGGAAATCCACAAAGTTCATGTTCTTTGCCTCCTCGGCCATGTTCAACTTCGTAACGTTTGGTGCAACGATGAGGAAATTCAGGTGAGTTTACAGTGTACGCTCTTTTATTTATGGAATTATATTAGCTAACACATATCTCTTTTTTGAAAGAAAACATTGCGCCGGATACTTCCAAAACATAGTATTATGTGTTTGAACCCTAAAGAAGACCTCCCGCAATTCACTCGGTCAACAACGTTCGCGGATGGCCTGGTGCAGTCGTCCGAGGCCTTTCGACGGAGATTCAAAATTACTGGACCTGGAATGAGGAGACCGTATTGGCTGGAAGATTATTCCGCGGCGCAGGACCCAATTGTCTGATTTGCCTCTTTCCTTGACAGCGTTGTTTTTTTTTTTGTACGAGAGTTATTATATTGGCATACTAACAATCTAACATCCGGGAGCAGGCTCTTCAATATAGTGCCGAAATATTGCAGTCAAAAGATGACTTCCGAAAACATGCTAGAATGTTGCAGGGATCGAGGGACTTTGGTGCCCAGCTCTATTGTGCTATGCTGCGAGGAGTTGGTGTGGATGCGCGATTGGTTTGTTCCCTCCAGGCTCTGCCTTTCGCTGGCGTGGCGAAAGGGGAGTCCCCTAGGAAGCGGGCGAGGGAATACATTGTTCTATCTGAGGACGATATCGCGAGTTCCAGTGTAAATACTGGAACAGATACCCCAGCTTCGGATCCACCTCCGCGCCGTCGGCTTGGACAGCCGCAGTTTTCATCAAACCAGACAAGAAGCCCTGCACCACAGGCGAGAATTGGTGAGAGCGCAGTTTTCCATCTTTAAGTAACAAAAAAATTTCGACTCCTAACAGCATCCCCAGATAGCTCTGCGCCTACGACAGACTCGTCCTTTCCGGTATTTTGGGTCGAAGCATTTAATCGTGCCATGCAAAAGTGGGTATGTGTTGACCCCCTCGTTACAAACTCTGTAGGGAAGCCTACGCGATTTGAGCCGCCCGCCAGTGATAAATACAATAACATGAATTATGTAATCGCCTTTAACGAAGATGGGTTTGCACGAGATGTTACCAGGCGGTATACAAAATCGTTCAACTCGAAAACAAGAAAAACCCGAGTAGAATATACCAAGGATGGGGAACGATGGTGGAACCAAACTATGCAAGTGCTCGAGTCCCCATTTCCGGAGGATCGGGATCAGCTGGAGCTTGGAGAATTCGCGGCCAAGGCTGCAGGTGAAGGGATGCCCAAGAGTGTGCAAGACTTTAAAAACCATCCAGTCTACGCCTTAGAGCGACATCTACGGTGGAATGAAGTAATCCACCCAAAGCGAGAAATTGGTAGGGTCGGGCTGAGTAAGTTATCTTTGAACAAGAAAGCCCCACCGATGGAGCCTGTGTACCGCCGGGCGGATGTGCATCCTGTCAAAAGCGCAGATGGATGGTACCGTCAAGGGCGAAAAGTCAAAGCTGGGGAGCAACCACTGAAGAGAATTAAGGCACGGAACCAAGTGCAAAATGATACATTCAACCCCAATGAAGAGGAAGAAGCGCCAGATACACCGATGTACGCTGCATATCAGACAGAGCTCTACATACCAGAGCCTGTCGTTGATAATCGCGTCCCAAGGAACCAGTATGGGAACATCGACGTCTACATATCGTCGATGGTTCCCGCGGGAGGCTTTCACCTTAGCCACCCTGATGCTGCCCAGGCGGCTAAAATATTGCAGATAGATTATGCAGATGCTGTCACTGGGTTTAAATTCAAAAAGCGCCACGGCACGGCTGTCATAGATGGAATCGTTGCAGCGGTTGAGTACAGAGATGCTCTCAAGGCAGTGGTCGCTGGAATTAATGACGAGAGGGTTCAAGCCGAGGAGACTCGTCGAACTATGGCTGCGCTTCACATGTGGAGACTACTGTTGATTAAGTTACGGGTTCTCGAGCGGGTGAACAGTTATAGGGTTGAAGGAGAGGAACAAGCTGAGAAGGAACCCGAGGTACATGAAGAGGAGGAGCAAGGCGGTGGGTTTTTACCTGACGATGGCACTGGTGGTCCAGCATTGCCGACCGGTGGCGACGGTGCCATGGAAGACGATGATGCTATGGAAAGCATAGAACCTCAATGTGACCTGCTGCATGATTCATTTGAACACAGCAACCCACAGGAGAGGGCAGGCGGTGGTTTCATGGTAGAACCAGGGACATCACAGCAGCCTTCTGGGATTAATCCGGCACATCATTTGCCACAAACCAGAAGAGCTATGCCGTCTGTTTCACAGTCGTGGTACACCCTAGTCATCGTCCCGAAAGCAGAACACGGCCTGAGAGACGAGACCAGTCCATCACTCCGGTCCAGGCGGCAGGGCACCTTAGAGTCCACGAGCTCTCAACCAGCAGATGGCACTCACTCGGTACCTGTGGTCGTTGATACTCCAGAGCGGGAGGTTTCAGGGCTACCTGAATTGGTCCATGTTGATTCGGACAGTGAGATAGATCGTAGCTCTATGATCTCCCATGACCCTGAAGACGACAATGCTGAACCGGAGTGGCTGTTGTCAGATTGACCTACGGAGTTTAGCCAGCCCAGCCATATAAATATCTGAAGCAATGAACTTGACTTGTATATATTCTTGCACATGTGATCTTTTCTACTATCCTGCGTAGTCCAAGAGGTCAAGATTTCCTTTTTGGGCAGTCCGTAGGGGGCCGTATTACATAATCAAAACACGCGACGCGAAACGCGAAAAAAATAATTAAACAAAGCTAAATAAATCACTGATATGACGTTCCGCGAACTTGCGGCTCAACAGGACGTCGATATATCGAACAGCACGACCGGGTATTGCTCGACATCCAGGCTGCCTAATGATTTCATCATGACGAGGCCAGCATCCGTTAATAGAACTGTCGTTAGACGGCCCGGCGCCTCCAAACCTCCGTATACTTCTCGTGGCGGTAGAAGTTATCCATCGCGGACTCGCAATCGACAGAGGAGGCACCGTCTAGCACTCGGTGGGAATACTAGGAGCCAAAAGACATTAACTCAACTTAACTTCGTCTTGCCCAAATACTATCCTGAGGATGATGGTAACTCTCAACTTATCGAGCAAGAGGCTGGGCAAGATGACGATGGCGAGGACTATACCGAATTACATCCAGGGAGGACGAAGAATAGCGGAAAGAAGAGGAAGAGACAACACCAAAGTACCGAAAGACCTAATAGGACATTGACGCAGATGGTTAATGTCGACTGGTCCCTAGGCCGGGCGGAGGTTGTTGAACCTGGTCAGAATGATACCCTGCACGCTCGAAAACGGCGAGGTGCCAATATGGAGGTTATTCAAGAAGAGCCTGAGGGCTGTGTGGGTGAGGATTATTCTAATAAGCCACCATCAGATCCTATCTTTCAGGAGGGCAAGGCCAACTCGGCGGTTGCTCATGCTGGGACGGAAACCTCAATACTGAATATCGCCGCAAAAACGAAATCTTTGGCTCACGGCCAAATGCTACCACCTCCTAATCCTGTTACACCCCGGAAACGGACGCGCTGGGTAGTCCCTTCATCACAATCCCCCGAAAGCCCCGAAGTTACGCTAAATAGCCCAAGAACCCCGAAAAACGTAAGGAATAGTCCAATTCGTTGGCCCTTGGCTTCGCCCACAGCCTTACAAGACCGAGCTAGCCTCACTCCATCTCCTAATAAAGGACGTAGGAGATTCCTACTCCGGTTCGATGTGAATGAATATGATTCACAAATAGTAGTTGAGGATAACTTTCAAGTCGACGATGCCGCCGCGGACACGGCTCCAGCAAGCCCGACCTCCGTTCTCTCCTCTCCAAAGCCCGTTACTGATCCGTCCGTATCCTTTAAAGAAGATATCGATGCTCGCCTCAGTCTAGCACGTAAGGAGCGGTCGACTCAAAGCTACCAAACACCAGAGCCAAAGCAACAGGAGAATATCGTTTATGAAACAGACGGTGAATTGGATCCAGGATCCTTCGACGACGAAGGTCCGCCACTTCCGGAGATCAATTACACGAGTAACACTGGAAATTCGATGACGGCAGACGACCAGTGCCCTGTCCAACCTGTCCCTGAGAGTAACGACGGCCAGTCATCCCAAAATCTTCCAGCTTCAACGTACATGTCTGACACGATGTCCCTGTACTATACACGGCGGCCGATGAGTTATGCCTACGAGAAGTTTCCCACTTCACAATACCTACCTCTCGATACGAAAGATATACCCGAGTCTGTGCAAGATACAGAGCCTACAGAGCCTTCCCATTCTAACCCGTTGCCAACTGTCCACTCCGATAACCAGACAATACCAACAGAACCCCTTCAGCCACTACAAGACGATATACAAAGCGACAATTCCCTTCATCAAGAAGACCCTAATCCCGATCCCCCACAATCCTCGCCTGTCGTTCAGGTAGAATCATCCCAACGATCTGAGATTGAGGTTGCAGGCTCTCCTGCCCCAGATGCCGAGAGTGAGCCTCGGAGGATTATCACTTGCAGTCAGCTTCTCACTGAAAGCCTGATGGAGAGCATACCCGGTCCGCCCGCTTGGCTATCTACTTCCCAAAATAACGACCATAACGACCTTTATGACAATGGCCAGGATCGGCCTCGGAATAGTTAGATCTACTTTAATTTTGCGCATAGTTTCTCTGAACTTTACCAGATAGCCTTTGTTTATAATTTTTGAATATATATCGGTGAATTCTATTAGATTGTATCCAAATAATCGCCATAGTTGTGACCATAACGGATGGCCTCATAACGACGGCGACGGTCAACGATACACTTGACTAGCACTGCGTAAAACATGAACTTCCCTATCTGACAAAAAGTGTCTAACCAGAAGATGCTGTATTAGAGGAGGAGGATAAAGATAAATATAAATAGTCTGGGAGTATAGATTGAAAAGATGCATCTTGTGTTGAAGCGTTGGCATAAAACGTCGTGGCAACTCGGCCTTCCATGTGACCCGGGCCTAGGGATATCTACAACCAACCGCGACTCCAAGGCCGCGACAACGAACTGCATCATATCAAAGACACTCTATTTCTCCACATCAAAGGTTTTTCTCGTTTTACTTCCTCTCTGCCGCGCAGATCACGCATGGTCCTACCCAGCCATGGATGTAGCGTACGATCACATCCAAGAGGAGAGCCTAGCTTCCTCCGGCAACCCCCAGGACGACTCCGATAACCCCGATCAGCCATCGACCAGCCAGAGGCAGGACCTCACCAGCGAATTTCAAGACTCCCTCCGTGTGATATCCGCTCAGCCTTGGGGTGCCCGTCTCGGTGGGCTGTGGAGTAATGTACGGAAGCAAGGAGAAACGTACTACGAGGGAGCCCGCCAGGAATACACCGCTGCGAGCGAGGAGGCGATCAAGGGGTTTACCGGCTTGAGAGCGAGCCTAATCGACCGAACCAGAGGGCTATCGATTAGTGGACTAAGTGCGCCTGATGAGACGGACGAAGCGGCCGGAGATCGAGAAGAAACGTCGACAGCTGACGATGCAGCGACCATAAAGCCTAGCGATAAAGCAGGCACCGGCAGTGATAATGCTGAGGTGGATGGGGAAGGGTTTATCTCACGATTCCGTTCCGAGGCTGCGAAGCGGTTAAAGGACCTCGAGAAGGCGGAAGATGCAGCAGACGAAGCACTCCTCAAGTTCGGCACGAATATTCGAAATTTCCTGCGTGACGCTGTTAGCATCGCCCCGCCGAGTTCATCCGACGATAATACGGATGGCAAAGTGCTCTTCGAGAGCAGAGACGCAGATGGCAAGAGGGTTATCCACACCACCCGTTTTGAAGCCCAGTTGCATGCGATCCATTCTAGCTTGGAGGGCTTCGCGACGGATCCTGCCAGCAAGGAGTGGGACTCGTTCAAGGACGAATTCGAGGTTGATAAGAAGACAGATGATATTTCGACAGACTTGGAGAAATATCCCGAGCTTCGAAAGGCAATGGAAGCCCTCGTCCCGGAGAAGGTCGAGTATGGCGATTTCTGGCGTCGATACTACTTCCTACGCCTAGTCATTGAGACAGAAGAAAAGCGACGAAAGGACCTATTGAAAGGTTAGTCCTCCCTAATCACCACATTGATTTATGGCAGTAAGCTAATGAAATGTAGCATCTACGGACGAGGATGAACATGTTGCATGGGATGAGGACTCCGATTCAGATTCACCTGCCACCCCACATGTCATGTCTCCATCTAAACCATCAAAGAGACCTGCCGCCATTTCTGCGCCCAGCAATGAGCATCTACAGACTGGAGAACCACGCCGTTCAAATGACCTGCAATCTCAAGCTGGGAGCGATGCGAGCTATGATCTTGTCAGCGGCACCGCCAGCCATGACGCTAGCAGCCCGAAGGAAAAACCATCTGAAACTGCATCTAAGGATGAAGACAGCGATGAGGAAGACTGGGAGTGAACTCACACTAGGTTGCACTGTCGAGATATCCGACATTCGATTCCCGAAATGCTATACTTGTTTATTTCAGTTTTGGGCGTTTCTGGCGAACATGGATTCTTTTCTACTTTGGTTTTTAACTCTTGTCCCTTGATAGTGACCTTCTTTTTGACTAGCCTGTGATCCTGCTCTAATATCGATATCCTGGAATTGTTGCTTCTATTGAGGGGCTTAATGTATCTTGGATTGATGGACGAATGCCACGCGGCTGCAATCACCATTACTTCGTGATATATCGTCCTATTACGTCCCCCTTGCCTCGTGAAAGTATTCAGTATCAGCTATACAACTCCAGTGCACCCTGCTTCAATAAACCTGGCGTGGAATTGCTGCTACAATAGAGGTGGGGAAACGCCTCGTATTTATATCTATATTAAGGCGCAGCTTCACATGATGGCGGTTTGATGTTTACTTTTTTTGGGGCTCCAAGCTATATATCTCTCACGACCTCCGATCAAAGATATTCTTTAGTTGTAATCGCCGTGTGCATATCGGTTGCTGAGTCTCTTTCGACGTGGCATCTCGGGTTATCGGGGTGGTCTCTCCTGGCCACTTAGACATACTACCATATCAGCACTTTTGACTACATCAGCCCTCGAAGTACAGCCGCAAGAACCGAAATGACATCGAATTTGGCATTCAGGCCTGCAGCGCCTGCAGCGCCTGCACCAGCCTCGAAAACTCCTGCTTCTAACCGTGAGATGCCTGATACCCCATATACACTAGTGTATCGCAATGCTTAAGCATGGAACGACTATAGATGCTACTATGATGGCAGAATTACTGCCCCTCGGCGAAGGCCTTGAGACGCTAGAAGAAACTCATAATACCTGGAGTATTCAAGACTGGGGAAACTTGCAGAAGAAAGAGCTCGGCCGAGCGTTTCAGTGTGGAGGCGGTTCATGGTACGACCCCTATTCTATTATTGCCCACGTTATCCAAAATTGGCACTGATAATGATACATCGATAGGCAAATCCTCCTGTATCCCGAAGGAAATGGCGTGGATAAAGTATCAATATATTTTCAGCTCGTTCATGACCCTATTAAAGAGTTGAAAAACTGGCATGCTTGTGTTCAATTTGCTCTGGTTCTCTGGGACCCAAAAAGTCCCTCAAAATACGTTTCTCATGGTAAACGAACCTTCTATTTTACTACCTCTTTCTCCCTTGATTTGGATATCTGCTGACAAGTGGACTAGCTGCTGCACACCGATTCAATACTGATGAACCTGACTGGGGATTCACAAGGTTCTGCGAGCGCAAAAAGGAGTCAAAATCGCTGGAAGGGGATAATTCCCCTTTTTCAGGTACAGACGGTGTTAAACTAACTGCTTATGTCCGTGTTATCAAAGACCACACTGGGTTTTTATGGCATAACTTTGTAAAGTATGTATATTACTGTGTTTATCTACCCAATTGACTGTCGAGTATTAATATTTCGATATAGATATGACTCGAGAAGTCTACTTGGGATGGTTGGCTTGAAGAATCTAGGCACCACCGACTATCTAAGTTGCATTACCCAGATCTTATATCACCTTGCATTATTTAGAAAGGTTGGTGTTTGTGTTTACCCCCTTTCAGCAGGACTTCACCTAATATGCGGACTATAGACAATATACCAAGCACCAACAGCTATAACTGAAACTACAGACAAGGCATGGGCACTACAGCATGTGTTTTCCGCTCTTCAGACTGCATCGTCAGCTGTTTCGCCAACAAAGCTCACGGATTCCTTTGGCTGGAGAGCCTTGCAATTGTTCGAGCCACAAGATGCTCAGGAGTTCTTAACAGTATTACTCGATAGCATCGCTGAAAGGCTCAAGGTTACGCCATGTCGGGATGCATTCCGGAGTCTGTTTACCGTTGAAATCAAAACAAACCATTCCTGCGTCAAGGTCGCGTGCAGGTGGTCAAAAGAGGAAGAATCGAGACATATAAGGTTGAATGTCCGTAATAACCGGACCTTAATGGATAGCTTCAATGAATACACCTCGGTCGGTCTTCTTAAAGGCTTCATGACTGGTGACGTACTCAAAGAGCAGGATGTGACGAGGCATATATCGTTTGACCATCTTCCATCCGTTCTCTTCCTATACTTGAACCGAGTGGAATATGATGTCAAGGCCGATGCAATAAGAAAGCTGACTGACTATCATGAGTTTCCTGAAGAAATGGATATGTCGCAATATCTCTCGGATAAAGCTGACAAGTCCAAACCATGGGACTACCTGCTGTTTGGCGTCGTTGTCCATGCTAGCAGCGGAACTTCTGGCAACTATTATACGTTCATCCGACCAAAGCCCAGTGGACAATTTTATAAGTTTTACGATGATAGAGTCACACCAGCAACTCTTAAACAGGCTATGAGTGATAATTTTGGAGTTCCAAATGCCAAACCGCAGATTTCCACGAAAGGCCTTGAGCCATACTATGCTACAGACAAATATACGGATAAAACGGCTACTATGCTAATATACATCCGCAAGTCTGAAGCTCATAGTATCTTAGAGGATGTTTTGGAAAGCGATATCCCCGAAAAAACTCGTCCTTTGCCATATGCGCTCCAAAGACCAGCTCATTTAACCGTTTCTTATGATTCCAAACCAACTAAGGAGGGGACAGCGGCAATTGATGCACAAGGCAAGGAACTGAAGGCAGCTCAAGAGTCGGCGGCCAGCTACATGAGTGTTAAATTCTGCTCCAATAAGGACTTCCTTAGTCACCATGGATTCGACTTGATGCCCAAATTCCCAGAAGGCTATAAGTCGGCCATACCACTGTCGTATAGCCGTATCTCAGAGAGCATGGTGGTGAAGACGCTTATGACAACGATTTCCAATGATCTTGGAATAACTGGGAAAGCTATCAGGATTTGGCCATTGATAGCTCGACAAAATGGGACAATTCGTCCAACCGGGCCCCCTCTTGACCCTGAGATGACGATGGGGGATGCAAGGAAGCTACATTATCCAAGACTTCCCTCAGTAATTCAGCTATGGATCGAGAGTGAGGAATGCCTTTACGGAAAGAAAGACAGCCAGGGCTCCTCCCTGGTTTTCTTGAAACATTTTGATGCAGTAAATCAGATGATAACTGGATTTGGACATGTCTATGTTACGCCAGATGACACACCTAATCACCTTTCACCTACTATACGCAAAGCTATGGGGTGGGGATCTGATGCCGTGATCTCCTATGTCGAGGTAAGTAAGGCAAATACTCCAGTTTTGTCGGTGTCTAGCTTAACAGAACAATGAATTAGGAGATTAAACCAACTCTGATAGAGAATATGGATGGGGAGAAGACTATGAAACGCCTAGAGATTGGTGACGGGGATGTTATCTGTTTCCAAAGGTCCCTAAATTTGACCGAGTATGGCTCACTCCCTCTATGTTACTCCTCTCTCACTTCATTCTAACCATTTTGTGAATAGGTTGCCAAAAGGTGCTACATATAGTAATGCTCGTGACTTTTATTCCTCTGGATTGATTAAATAGGAACCTTGACGTGTGTTTCGACGGATGTCTGGATTGACTCTAAGCTATTGATCAAGTAATGGTACATGTCTTGAGTTAGTATAATGGTAGAGATTCCGGTTACCTGTGATTAACAACATATTGGATAGAGAAACGTTGACTTAAATCGTTTAGAATTTATACTACGAATATTATTCTCTTCGGGGGCCAGGATGGAGATTTAAAATACCCATCTAGTTAACTCTAGTTAGATTCTCTAGTTTAATAACCTCTAATGATATATCCTTCTACACACAGCAGTATGAAATAAAAGTGATGCTATTCTCTTAACCAAAGATGCCCTCTATCCGTCATATAGTGTATTAAAGTTAGTCTTATTGACCTGACCTGTTCTCCAGTTGTCTTTTGCCAGCTACTATTTTTTGGGTGATGGATCATCAGCTCGGTGAGGCCGGCTGGAAGGTATTTGTCGTCTAAGGTCTGCGGCTCTTCTACCGCCTTCAACACGGTTCGTCCTGAAGGATGGTGATGAAGGGGTCGAAGGACGTGCGGACTCCGAATAGCTCCCATCGACAGGTGACATCGATGGGGATAGCGGCTGCGATGGCTCCCTCCGCCGCCTATCTCGTGGTTGTTCGTAATATCCACCGTTCACCGGGATAGTTTTACTCTTTATTTGCGGAGAGACCTCACCGAACCCTTCGTCTGGGTCAATCGACTGCATTCGTCGCCTGGATGGGCTGCTTGCCACTGACTCGTGTTCATTGTGGTACTGATAGTCCTCCCCTCGCGGTTTTAGAGGACTTTCGTCATATGGGTCCCATCCTACTTTCCTTCGGGCTTCCGAACGGACTCTCTGGCGATGTTGTTCATCACCACCTGCACCTGTAGCGGATGACTCTTCAAGGAAGAAAGTGAGCAGTTCATCTGTGATAGAGAGATGGGATTGCTGTTGAAACTGTTGGAGTGATGTAAGTCGTAGCAATGTTTCCAAGAGAGATAATGAGGTTCGGATGTTGTTGAATAGCGGGTTAGAAACCGTCGATGAGGATGTCGGTTGGACAGGGGAGGGGGGTACGACGATTTGACTTTCTGGAGAGTGGGAGGACGGTGAGCCTTGTTTGCTGGGGATTCTTAGATTTGCCATGTTCTCTGCTAGCTTGTCTTCCTCGGTGGCCGCCTCAGACGCTGGTTCAGGTTCCTCATCCTCATCATCCGTTTCGGTTTCCTCCTGGTGAACTTCCAAGGCCATCCACTCTAGATCAAGTGCCGGCGGAAATCTCCAGTGTTCAGGTATATTATTTTGGTATTGAACAGGATCATGTGGCCCTGGGATGCTCTGGGATCCCATCAACTGCGCATCAATCTGGGCTTGTTCCTCATTATAAGGCTCATGTTCTTCCGGCTCATCGTCATCAGACGCTCCCGGATCAAAAGACCCTGCAAGTTCTTCTCGCTCAATCATCCCTCGGGGAAGAATCGCGTTTACATCGCGCTTTAACAGAAGAACCGGATTATTCGCTTCGCCTTCCGTCCCGATATTTAGAATCTTCCCCGTATCTGCGTAGAAGATCTTTGATATCTGATGAATGGGTATAAAGTCCCTGATACCAGCCTGAGCAACGCCCTCAAAAGGTCCCGGCTTGGGCTCATCATCGTCGAACGAATGGACTCTGCCATCATCAAGGTCTTCAATGATAAGCATCTGGTAAGCGAATTCGTCCGCCCTAGCCTCGCCTCGGAGATTACGCCGTGTCCCAAATTGATCTGCAAGGACCACGTCTAGAGGTACGCGACACAGCTTCACTCGCGCCTTGTGTATAACCTCTTTCCAGGTAGTTTCTCGGATCCCCTCCTCATCGGTTGGCCGGACATGGCCGGCAAAGAGTAGGTATATTGATAAGGTGAAAGTAGGGCCAACCTGGACGGAGTGGGTTGGAGTTAAGGAGTACTGAGTGTCTCCAGCCGTTAGAAAGGTACTAGCCTGAAGGAGTCGTGACGGCGAGACCGTAGAAGGCAAGCTTGTAGACAGTCTCGCCCCCGAAGTCGTTATAGCCAAATTTATGAGTGGAACGGCATCTTCAATGCGCTCCAAAAGAGACCGTATCTCCTTTATTACGAGCTTCTTTTCTGCATCCAGCTGTGCACGACGCTTGGTCGAAGCCCCTTTTCCGTGAGCTTCTTCGTTTCCAACAACCTGGGCTAACTTTTGTCCAAGGCTCTGGATATCTAATCTCAATGCTTTTGTAAGATTGACGGCAGACTCGAGGGAAGTGTTACCTCGCGCTGCACTATAATAATGTAGATATTAGGATCACATGCATGGGAATCATGATATAGGACGATATTCCTACATGAGTTCAATCATATCAATAGCAGGGGATATAATCTATACCGAGTTAGCCAGGCTGTGAATTTGAGGAGGTGTAGGGCAGTCTGGACGCTCACTTGTATTTTGCTCTGCAGACGATCTTGGAGGATTCGTAGCTCCTCTCGATCAGCGCCATCGACTTTCTATAGCGTGCGTCAGTTGGATTATCTAGGAATAGAACACTCAGCATAATGGTAGCTAACCTTGAGAAGTTTTGCAGACTGCCGTATGGCGTAAGTAGCAGTTATCGTGATGCCAGATCTGCCTTTTATTAGTATACCCATAGCCGGATTTGTATGGTTTGGTGGGAATATACCGAATAGCATAGTTCATCGCCTGCTGGGTGACCTGTAAGTGAGATCAATTAGTACCCCTGATCTCGGCCATAACCCGTCGGAATGGTGCACCAACTTTCGATAGGAGCAGATCCATGGTTGGCAGGTTGTATCTCTAGTGGACACAACATGTAAGACCGTATATAAAGAGACTATTCGGCGTTTATCTCTAACTGCTGGCCTTGAGGTCGCTTCAAGCAACGGCATCCGCGTGTTTTAGCGTCTCGCTAGTGAGTCAGGCAGCTCTCCATGCAGCGCCTCGAGGCCACGTAAAAAAGAAATTATGGATCTTCCTGCACCAAGAGTCCGCTCTTATGCATTGTTTAATTGATATCCTGGTCTTCTTCAGTCTCTTCTAGCAATGGCAACAAAGTGGGAGATGGTTACGACGTCTCGAGTCTGCTCTGGGTCGACACTGGAGACAGCTCACCGATCAACACCCACGACCAAGATTAGCTCTAAACAAGAACCAGCAGCCGTACCCCGTCTAGAGAGAAGATGACAAGGTGATATCTCTGTATATATATATATATTGATATATTGATATTTAACAGATATAAAAGAAGAAAGGCAGCGCTGAGTCAGCCCTAAGACAAGCACTGGATCTAACCCGCAAGCGGCAATTCCAGACCTCACGCCCAGTTTCCGGGGGCAAAAAAGTCGTCATTTTTCACCCCGAGAGATTTCTTGCCGGCGCTTTAACCGACGGGAATAAAGAAAGGTTGCTGGAGGCCGTTTTCTTTGTATATATACGCGCGTCTCCGGCTCTGTGCTATGCGGTTTATATACATGAAGAGAGCCCTCTACGCGCAGTTCACGAGGGACCAGCTGTGATCGCTGGGACTTGCTCTCGAATTCGTGACGCTGCGGGAGCTTAACCAGGAACCAACCCCCCGCTTTTCCCACCAGGCACCCATCCATAGCCCAACAGCGTCGCACCGTTGTGCTCCTACATCTCGATAGATTCGTCGTCTGTCTCCGGCCTACCAGCACATTTATACCGGACTGCTTGTCGTGACGGAGCCGCCGCTCGTCGCTCCAATGGCCAGCAACAGCGGAGAGCCAGCGCAGGCCGTCGAGGGCATGGACGGCGCCTCGTCGAGCTCAGCACAGGAGTCCTATTCATTCCCGACCGATAGGCTGAAGAGAGTCATGGATGATCCGTCGAAGACTCCTCTGCTGCTAGTTGCCTGCGGTTCCTTCTCGCCTATCACCTATCTACATCTGCGGATGTTCGAGATGGCGGCCGACTTTGTCAAATTCAGCACGAAATTCGAGCTCATTGGGGGTTATCTGTCACCTGTATCGGATGCATACAGGAAAGCCGGTCTTGCTTCTGCGTCACATAGGTTGGTTGCTGTTCCTGCCCTCGAGACTACGGTGGTGTCGGTATCGGTCTCTTTCCGAGCTTCGGAGGTTAACATGTGAATGCTCTGCCCATAGGATAAACATGTGTCGGTTGGCCGTGGATAAGACGTCAGATTGGCTGATGGTCGATCCGTGGGAAGCTATACAGAAAGAATACAGTCCTACTGCACAGGTTTTGGACCACTTTGACAAGATTATCAACCACGAACATGGCGGTATAGACACTGGGGATGGTACCAGGAGGCCGGTGCGGATAGCTTTGCTCGCCGGAGCTGATCTGATCCATACTATGTCCACGCCAGGAGTTTGGAGTGAAGAAGATTTGGACCATATTCTGGGAAAATATGGCGTATGCTCTCCTCCCCCCTCCCCCCTTTTCAAGTATCAATGCTGTTCTAACATGACCCTTCATCCCATTACAGACATTTATCGTCGAACGCAGCGGCACTGACATCGACGAAGCAATTGCTGGGCTGCAGCCATGGAAAGAAAACATCTATGTCATACAACAGCTCATCCAGAATGACGTCAGCAGTACCAAGATCCGACTATTCCTCCGGCGAGAGATGAGTGTTCGCTATCTTATCCCGCATCCTGTGATAGAATACATCGAAGATCATCACTTGTATGAGGACGAAGGTGCTGGTAGCTCGAGCTCAAACCTTCAAGAGAAAGGAAAGGGAAAGTAGGAACATCTTTAGATGAATGACCCTGCGAGCTAGATCTGTTTTCAAGTTTCATTCCGGTTCCACGTTGCTAGATTGGTACGGAATGATATGTTTCAAGCTTCATGATCTGAATTTATCAATCATGCTGCTGTACCATTGACCTCGCCGCTGAAAGTCAATGGCATGGCCAAACAAGACCCTTTTCTACCTTAGATAACATCTGATACCCTATACGGTAGATGGGCTCGCGCCGAACGTTTTCAAGTCTCCTTTCTTTGGATTTACAGTCAGTTTCCCTGATTGGCTTTGTCATACCCATCGATGTATTTCCTTGGGTACACTATTGCCCTGACTCGGTCATGGGAATGAAGAAAATGGCAGATTGGGTGGGAATTTTATAGATCTTCCGGTGCCCTATTTCACCGGCTATTGACCTGATATTGACATCGTCTTCCTTCTGATTTACTCGGCAAGAGACAGGGAAATTACGGGCTAGATCTTCTCCTCTAACAAGCTGATCTCGCATTGCTTTGCTTGACTTGGGTTATTATACCCTACTTCACTATTCCGGCCCTCCTCCTGCCATGGCCACTGTAATATATTATTTCTGCCAGCTCCGGGCTTTTATTGTAATTATCTGTATGCAAGCTCCGTGTTTTGATAGCGTTTAGATCTAATGATATGTCTTTTGCATAGATGAATCTTTTTTATATGAATATTTACCTAGAACCAGGGCTTAGGCCTAAGTCACGGGATCTCCACTGTGGAAAAGCCTCTATCAGATCAGACTTCGCATCCCACTTCCACGTCACCAACACACGAGCACCGCCTGCACGCTACAGACCGTCAGCGGTCGGGATTTATTCTCTGCAAGCTTCATATCTTAATTCCTTGTAACCTATCCGGCCGCCAGCATGTCCGCCCTCGAGTCGTGGGAAGACGACCCCGCAGCTCAGGATGAGAACCTGTCGAAGCAGACACAGCAGAGCCTGAACCTGAATTCACAGCAGCAGCAGCAACAGCAGCAGCCACAGCAACAAGGCTTCCGCCCGTCTGTAGCTTCATTCCAGCCTGGTGCTGCTACGTTCCAACCCGGTGCTGCGTCATTTCAGCCTGGTCAGCAATTCCAACAATACGGTGGCTACCAGCAACACGCACAATATCAGCAACCAACCGGCGGATATGGAGGCTACCCACAACAGCAGCAGTACCCCCAATATAACCAGCAATACATGCAGCAGCCAGGGGCCTATCAGGGAGGCTACCAAGGTGGACAACACGCAGGATATAACCAGGGTTATAACCAGTACCATCAACAAGCCCCTCCCCCGCAGCAGCAACAGGAACAGTGGAGGCCACAGTCTATTGCTGAGCGACCGAAGCCCGCCGCTGCCCAAAAACCAGCCTCTTCCGAACCCTCTAAGCCGGCACCAGCATCTCAGCCACCCAAAGCTAAAGTGTTAACGATCGGCGGAGATATCCCAAAGTCCAAGGCTCCTGCCGCGAGCGCAACCGCAGCGTCATCACCAGCGGCACAGAAATCGACTGGACCTGCAGCCGCAGCAGCTGGCGCTAAGGTGAATGCTGCTAAAGCTATCGAAAAGACCGAGAAGAAGGCCGCTGCCAGCGGAAATGCTTCCCCGACACCATCATCCGGACGATCGTCTCCCAACCGCGCCGACAGCAAACCCGCAGCTCGTGATGCAGACATCGTTGCTAAGGAGCAGGCTGCTGACGTCGACGAAGCGACACTTAAGGAGATTTACGGAGAAAAACGTGAACACATCAATCTTGTGTTCATCGGCCACGTTGATGCTGGAAAATCGACACTGGGTGGAAGTATCCTATACTGTACTGGTATGGTTGATGAGCGAACGATGGATAAATACAAGAAGGAAGCCAAGGACGCTGGACGTGAGACCTGGTACCTTTCGTGGGCTCTTGATTTAACCAGCGAGGAGCGGTCCAAGGGTAAGACCGTGGAAGTTGGTCGAGCATTCTTCAAGACCAGCGGCGATACCCCTGACGGACCCATGACACGACACTACACCATATTAGACGCACCTGGACACAAGTCATTCGTTCCCAACATGATTGGAGGTGCTTCTCAGGCTGATGTGGGTGTTTTGGTCATCTCTGCACGAAAGGGTGAATATGAAACCGGATTCGAGCGAGGTGGTCAAACCCGAGAACATGCGCTGCTAGCAAGGAACTCTGGCGTCAAAAAATTGATCGTCGCGGTTAACAAAATGGACGATCCAACTGTCGAATGGAGCAAGGCACGATACGATGAATGTACAACCAAGATTGGAAAGTATGTTGAAGCCTTAGGTTACAAGAAGTCCGATCTCCATTTCATGCCCATCTCTGCGCAAAGGACCATTGGTATCGACAAAGCAGTCCCCAAGGACATTGCACCTTGGTATGACGGACCTGGATTGCTTCCATACCTGCACAACATGAAAATGCCAGAGCGAAAGATCAACGCCCCCTTCATGATGCCAATCAGCGCCAAATACAAAGATATGGGTACCGTTATCGAAGGAAGAATCGAATCGGGTGTACTCAAGAAAGGATCAACTTGCATTCTCATGCCCAACAGACAAGAAATAACCGTCACTTCCCTCTATGGTGAGACAGAAGACGAAATCCCCACAGCCACATGTGGTGACCAGATTCGCGCTCGTCTCCGAGGCGTCGAGGAAGAAGATATCCTCCCGGGCTTCGTCATGTGTTCACCCAAACGACCCGTACACTGTGTTTCCGCCTTTGAGGCCAAGATTCGTATTCTTGACTTGAAGAGCATCCTCACTGCAGGTTTCAACTGTGTAATGCATGTGCATTCTGCTATTGAAGAAGTGACCTTTGCCGCTCTACTCCATAAACTAGAGAAGGAGACCGGACGAAAGAGCAAGAAACCACCACCGTTTGCCAGCAAGGGCCAAACGATCATTGCGCGATTGGAGATCATTAGTGGAAGCAATGCGGTTTGCGTGGAAAGGTTCGAAGACTATAATCAGCTTGGACGTTTTACCCTCCGTGATCAGGTATGTTTCCCTATCCATCGAATAAACCTTTGCATGGTGAATTGTAGCTAACCTTTCATTAGGGTCAAACCATCGCCATCGGAATGATCACCAAACTGATCACAGATGCTACACCTGCCGCTGCGTAAATAAACAAAACCGCAAGCGAAAAATAAAAAAAAAAATAAAAAAAATATAGCTCCATTGGATTATATTGAGTCTAATAATGGAGGTTATGATTCTTCACATATATGATTAAAGCATTTCTATTAACGAACTAGAGCATTTAAAAATGGTGGGAGGGGAAACATGGTTTTTGTATTTCATCTTGTCGCTCCTCACGTCTAGGGAAATATGCAGAGCAATGAGATTGGAGAACATGATTTACTGTATATGTATACCAAGGTGTGACTCTCTTCATATGCCCTGGATAGATTGCACTATGTAAGTAAAGTGCTCGTATCGCATGCATACATCCGTCCCCCGGCTGCATTAGCCCGTTGATCTTGTAACTCTACAACAAGGGTCATCGTGTGATACTTCCCGCTCTTGGGCGTGGTATTCCAAAGGTATATATAGCCAGAGACTTGATATTCTAAAATTAAGCCAGCAGTTTTATCCTCTACTATGTACACCGTGGGAAACAAGCCCTTCCCGTTTTCCAGCCAGCTACACGGTCATAGTTTCGCAGCCTCCAACCTATTCCCAGCCGAATAATGGGATTTTTCCTTCACCCATTTTTCAATTACGGTGAAGAGCTGTAATACTTGGTCCATATCATTCCCAGAATGTAAACAAACCCGTACTCTTTCTGTCCCCACTTTCACCGTGGGCGGCATGATTGCCCGAACCATTAGGCCTGCATCCTGGCATGCTTTGGATAGTTCTCGGGGATATTTAGTTTGAAGCGAGAAGATAGGCGATGTGGGGGAGTGCTTTGCCTCGAGAATCGAGGTATCAGATGGAGAGAGCTGCATGAGCTTTTCACGGAAGAACTGAATGAGGTCTTGAAGCTGTAGTTGTAGCTGAGCAGAGGGAAGAGTTAGGCGGTGTTACGATAAAAAATTGGGTATGATATGTATGAAATGCAGTCTGTATACCTTTCTAGTGTGGCCTTCTTCCATTAGCTCATAAGCTGTGCGGACAGCGGCAAGGGAAGGCATACCCAATGCGCTAGTGAAGATGAGAGGCCTAGCATAATTTATTAGATATTCTCTGACAAGCGGAGAGCAAAGAATAATAGCTTGTAGAATCGATTGTCAGCTTCTAAAACATGCATGCAAACCAGAGGAAGTATAGGTATACCTCCATTGCTAGCCAGCGCCTTGCCAAAAGTATGTAGTCGGATAAGCACACGATGTTCCACGCCGAGCTGCTGCACAACACCAGCTCCATGTGTACCGAACACTCCCGTTGCATGAGCTTCGTCGACCATGATATGCCCGTTCCCGCTCGGGAGCTTCTTCTCCAGGATATCTAGGATCTCTTGTATCGGCGCAAAGTCTCCATCCATGCTATATATTGACTCTAGAGCGACAAACACATTCCGTCGACCGGTCAGCAAGAGAGGGTCTTCGACGAGCAGTGCGTCTAGAACCTGCTCAAAGTCCTCGATCGAATTATGAGCGAACGCAACCAGTTTCCTGGCACGAGATAGACGCATGCCATCATGCACACTTGCGTGAATTAACTCGTCATAGACAACCACGTCGCCTGGCTGGGGGATGCAGGAAAACACCCCTGAATTGGCATCGAAGCCTGAATTGAAGATTAGGCCGCTGGGCGCATTGTGGAAGTTCGCAATCTGCTGCTCCAACTGCTCCGAGTACAAGGAATTGCCGTCCAACAGCCGCGAGCCCGTACTCGCTAGAGGCAACGAGCTCGATGCCTCTGCGAGGTTGCTCAGGAACCGACTTCGAAACGACGGATTAGTCGAGAGGGAGAGGAAGTCGTTGGAGGAAAAGTCGACGGCACCGGCAGGGACAACCTTGAGCGAACGCAAAGTTCCCTTTGTCTCCCGTCTCTTCAGAGCTTCCTTCAGCGATCGCTGCAAGTTACTTCCCGGCACGCTCACCATCGTCCTGTTCTCTTCACATCGGCCTCTTCTCCCGCTCTCATGAAGGGTCGCGGTGCAGGCGATTAAATAGGATCAGCAACGCAAAAGTGCCTCCAATGACGGTCTTCTTTTTTTTTCTTTTTTTCGTTTGAACTGTGGAGTCCTGCGATATAATCAATTACGTCTTAAAACGTAAACGAAAGAAAGAAAAAAAACCATCGAGGGAAACCGGCAAAGACCCCTCACGAGCCTTACTTTTTCCGTCCTGTATATGTCCCTGTCGGCATCGATCTGCCCCAGGTCATTCAGTCTCTGCTTGCTTTTTCCTCCCATTCGCAAAGCCGCCAACGCAGCGTAGCAACACCAGGCGGACTCCCCCCCCCTCCCCCTGCCATGGGCAAATTAGTGCCAGCGTGAAGTGCGTAAATATCGGCCGTCAAGGGCGCACTGTAACTCTAAACTGTTGGGCCCCAGAGCGAAACCCGGAATCAGGCCGTTCTAATTGGTGCCGAGGATGTATATTCTGCGCCGGGGAAAGGATTCCACCTGGCGGAGTGACGTTTTGTCAGAATATTGTATCAGAGATCTCTAGGACGGCCGTTAGTGGGATTGTGTCTCAGGGACCCCCGAAGGACTTGATATACGGGGTGCGTTGGTACTTTGCTTGGAACAACAGGTTGTAAGATGGACGTCAAGGTACAATTGACCAAGTCACAGGCCTGAGTTTCATCCGAGAGTGTGTGTTGGGTTCGTCTCGCTTGGGCGTCGCGATGCTGTCGTCGTCGATGGTTGCCGCGGGCCTCTGGCGGTCGTCTCGAGCGTACCAGGTGTACGCCGCGAACACTGATATCGGGAAGACGGTGGTGTCAGCTCTGCTATTCAACGCGATTCCTTCGTATAGGCCATGGGCCAGGAGTAAACTTCGGTTCCTGAAGCCAGTCAGCGCTGGGCCTGCCGCCGAAGCAGACGATAGGTAACACGACTTCAACGTCTCACCAGTCGGATAGTTAGCAGTTAACTGTGTGATTGAACCTGTCCAGGTACACTGGTGCTTACAATTGAACTTCCTTGACCAGGCACATCTCGCGATTCACCAGGGGAGTCACCACGGCGTGTTTGTTTGGATATGACCGGCCGCTGAGCCCGCATCTCGCTGCGAAGGACCAGAAGGTGAGTGTGTCCTTGTGCGCCAGAATGGAAGAGAATATATCATCTGAACATGCGTATAGATACCACTAAACGAGGAGCTCCTGGAGGGCATAACGTCTACTCTGAACAACTGGGACCGAGAGGGACCCAGTTTCGCTCTGGTTGAATCGGCCGGAGGTGTTTTGAGCCCTGGACCAAGCGGTTTAGTCCAGGCAGACCTCTATCGTCCGCTGCGGTTACCTGTGATTCTCATCGCAGACCCCAGGCTCGGAGGTATCTCAGCGTCTATATCGGCCTACGAGTCGCTGTCCATTCGTGGATACGATGTCGAAGGCGTTGTCCTGTTCCAGGATCAGTACTACCAGAATCATGACTACCTGAAGGACTTCTTTGGCCAGAGAGATATCAAGGTATTCTCATTACCTCCGCCGCCGCGGAAGGAGAAAACCCGCAGTGAGACGGCTCTACGGAAAGATGAAGAGGCCATGGCGTCTTTCTACGAGAAGACTTCCAAAAACGACGAGCTCCTGGGCCTGATAGACGAGCTCTCAGCCAAACATACCGAGCGTATAACGCGGCTCGAGTCGATGTCTGAAAAGGCCAGGGACATCGTCTGGTATCCCTTCACCCAACACAACGGAATGTCTCCGAAGGATATTGCTGTTATAGACTCAGCGTACGGTGATTGTTTCCAGACTTTAATCCCTGCTGATAGCAACGAGGCCGAACGTGTGTTACGGTCAACATTTGACGGGTCAGCGTCATGGTGGACTCAGGGTCTTGGGCATGGAAACCCAGACCTAGCTCTCACATCCGCCTATGCCGCTGGTAGATACGGACATGTCATGTTTGCAGGAACCATCCACGAACCGGCTCTCGCTCTGTCAGAACATGTATTGAAAACATCTGGTAACCCTCGTCTCCAAAAGGTATTCTTCACTGATAATGGTAGCACGGGGATGGAGGTTGCCTTAAAGATGGGTTTACGAGTGTCTTGCTCAAGATACGGATGGGACGCGAGTAGAGAGAATATCGGTATTCTCGGGCTCAAGGGCAGCTACCACGGTGACACCATTGGTGTGATGGACTGCTCGGAGCCTTCCACTTATAATAAAAAGGTGGAATGGTACAGAGGCCGTGGGTATTGGTTTGACTTTCCCATGGTTAAGATGACGAACGGCGTATGGAAAGTCGCTGTGCCTGAGGGTTTGAGACGGGAGCTGGGAGACGACGTATCATTCTCAAGTATATCCTCTGTCTTCGATTTGAACGCGCGCAAGGGGTCCAATATCGCACTCAGGTATAGAAAGTATATCAAACAGACGATCGAGGATGTCGTCCAGAGTGGCCAGAAACTCGGCGCTCTCATCATTGAGCCTATAATCCTGGGAGCCGGGGGAATGCTATTCTGGTATGTTCATATACTAAAGCTCCATTTGCGTAGTCCACGAGCTGACCTCTCACAGTGACCCCTTATTCCAACAAACCCTCGTCCAAGTAGTTCGAGAAAACCCGCAAATATTCAGCCGAGCTCACCCACAATCCACTTCACAGCCTACTTCATCAACGTCCTGGTCTGGCCTGCCTGTGATCTTCGACGAAGTGTTCACTGGCATGTACCGCCTTGGCCGTCGCACGGCTGCGTCATTTCTAAATGTTGACCCAGACGTATCAGTCCACGCAAAGCTACTGACAGGTGGCCTCATGCCCCTTTGCACAACGTTAGCGAGCAACGAAATCTTCGACGCTTTCGATAGTCCTCACAAATCAGATGCACTTCTACACGGCCACAGCTACACAGCGAACCCTGTGGGATGTACAGTTGCAGTATCATCGCTTCAAAAGATGAAAAGCATGGAGGACACTGGGTATTGGAGTGAGTATGTGCAGGATTGGAGGAGGGCAGCTGTAAAGACGGCCAATAGCACGAAAGGTGCGCCGGGCCCCGAGGTATGGAGTTGCTGGTCGCAGGCTCTTGTGTCAGACCTATCATATGCGGATGGCGTAGAGAGCGTATTTGCGATTGGCTCGGTGATGAGTATCACATTGAGAGACGATGATGGTGGAGGTAATTTCAAGCTCCCGTCCCGACTCTAGTTGGCGTGAGGCTCTATACTAACACTTTATAACTAGGATACACGTCCAATGCGGCTAGCGGTTTACGGAGTAAGCTTACAGTTGGCGATGGACCGTTTAACATACATTCTAGGGTGCTTGGGAACGTACTGTACCTCATGGCTAGTGTAACATCGAAACGAGAGGTGTTGGATCGGGTGGAAATGTTGTTACGAAAGTCTCTTCTCGAGGAGACAAATGTATGTGGAGTTCAGGAGGTTCTTCTTCAATATGCACAAAAGTGTTAAAAACGTTAAAAGTACATAGGCTTTCCATGGGAAAAATTTGGGTTCTATAGATGTATAGATATAGCCTACAGGCATGAATACGGTATATATTTTAGGTCACGGATATACAACTCAATGCTGGACAGATAAAAACAGCCCCTAGTGAAGAAACGGTCAAAACCAAAGGGACAGACAGACAGGGAGGAACAATCATGAGGCTGGAGCAGCTGGCTGGGCCGCCTCGGTCGCACCGTCGCTCGCCGGCAATGGCTGTTGCTCTGAGGCAACGCCCTTGTACTCCCCGCGCTCGAAGCTCTTCATGGGATAATACCCCCACTTGTCGAAGATCTTCTTATCCTCGTCCCAGCCGCTGCACTCAGTAGTAAGCATTCTTTCGCCTGTGAATATGGCATTCGCGCCAGACATAAAGCATGTAACTTGTTGTTCCTCCGTCAGGGAGATACGACCGGCAGCCAGACGAACAATGGTGGCAGGGAGGACAATTCTGGCCGTGGCAACAGTTCGCAGCAATTTATCGAACTCGATCATCTTCCTGTTCCCCAGCGGAGTTCCCTTGATAGGAACCAAGGCGTTGACGGGGAACGATTCAGGATGAGCAGGTAGAGTAGCAACGGTATGGATTAACCCTACTCGGTCAGAATCCTCCTCACCCAGACCGAGAATTCCGCCAGAGCAAACATTGATGCCGGCATCACGGACGTGGCCGAGAGTCTGGATTCGCTCATCGTACGACCTCGTGGTGATGATCGAGGGATAGAACTCTCTCGACGTGTCGACATTGTGGTTATAAGCAGTCAATCCAGCCTCCTTCAGCTCCTTTGCCTGGTCACCGTCAATCATGCCGAGCGTGACACAGACCTCCATGCCCATACCGCGCACACCGGAAACCATAGCCTTGATGTTCTTCAAATTGGACTTGCGGCCACGCATGTCGCGCCATGCAGCGCCCATGCAGAACCTGGTGCTTCCATTCTCCTTGGCGACACGGGCGGCTTCAAGAACAGAGTCGACGGTGCTTAATTTCGTTGCTTTCAGGCCGGTGTCATATCGTGACGATTGGGAACAGTATGAACAGTCTTCGCTGCATCCACCAGTTTTGATGTTCATCAGCGTGCACATCTGGATGGCCGCAGGGTCATGGAAGTTACGGTGAACGGAGGCCTAAGTAAGTCAAGAAAGAAAGAAAAAAACGGAAGATTAATACAACAGCCATCAACCTCACTGCGCGTGGATGGATGACATACAGCTGCAAAAGTAAGCTGGTTTAGGGGAGTCTGGTATATCTGAGTGATCTCCTCGCGAGTCCATGATGTACGAGGGCCCTTAGCTGCAATCGCATCCTGCAATGCCGCTGGCAGAGAGCTAGTTCGTGGGGCGACGGCGTCTGGAGAGGAAGTAGACGACGGCTTCAGGATGTTGTTCTGCACCGTCCCGTAAGGCCTGGCGAGGACCAGCTGCCTCGAGAGGCCTCTGGAGAGAGATCGAGCAGCCATTGCGACGCTATACGTGTATCCTCTTCGCTCCCTGCGGCGTGGAAGGACGGCGGTCGAGAAACTGGACGTTGACGGGCGTCGCTATCAGTCGAAGCAAATCAGGCCAGGACCAAAGGTAAGCAGCCAGAACACGTGAGCCGGGCACTTCGTCCTCGCTTCGTCTTCTTCACTTGCGCCTTTCTGGTTCTTCGGGATCCTGGCATCCACGGATACTAGTGGAGGACGTCAGCAGCAGTCGGGCAGTTTGGGTGGAGGGAAGAATCACCATGGCCCAACAGTTTGTGTTTTTAGTGAGGGGCACCTAGCCCTTCGTGCCCTTGTTCTCTCGCCTGTGAGTCCAGTTCAGGGGTTGTTACCATTTACCAAAGTCGGCGCAGATATACACACTAATACGGAGTAAAGGTCCAAGATACTGGTCAATTACGACAGGGGGATCTCTCGACTACAGAGTACACCACACGAGGTATACGCAAAGGGCTGTTTACGTGATATCGCTTTTTCGAGCAGTGCGTTGCTCGCTTCACGGCTGTTACTTTGTGCACGCATTTCTTTACCCCACGGCGGGTCATGTTTCATGGAGCACTTGGAAGGAGACATGAAGACCCTTGCAGCTCTGGTATTAGGAATACAGATTGCTTTTTTTCCCTTGAGTGATTTTAATGAGAGAATTTCTGTATGGGAAAAGCTATCCCTGCCGGAAGTACTCCGTGAAGGAATCGGCAGCGTCAGAGCAACTGCCGGCTACCCGTGAGATTTACGAAGTACGAAGTACCGTAATATGAGTGAGATCGGAGTATCTCATCATGGAACCTGATATACATTACAGCCTGCGCAGCTGGTCGGCCGAACTTCGAACATCCGGCATACCCTCCACGTCAAAGCTGGCTTCTAAATGCTAGCTGGAGGCCAAGGGCGTGAATATACCAATTGTTAACTCAAGAATATGAATGGATTCGACCAACCTGGAATATTCTTTACTTTTACTCCCATCTCTGAAAAGATTGCCGACCTCGGGAAGCATTGAAAATATCACGTGTCTGTTATATACATTTGTGTATTGCCATGGAAAGTATACTCCACTTTCTTAAATTTTACACAGAAAAAGAAAGTTTACTGGTGTATTTGGCTTACGATACATTCGGATCCAAGCCCCGAAAGCCTATTTTTCTTTTCTTAGAGGACTTTGCTTTTTATACAGTAGACAGCCACGAAGCTAGTGGATTGTTCCGGGTTAGATGTTCAGTTATATAAGATTCATTGATGTCATTCTCGTCTATAAATATGTACTTGGTTTAATCATGCAATCATCGAATGTAGTTCTGTTGACCGAAAGATGTGTGGTATCTAATTTTTCTGCGCAGCTTTCAGATATGCCGTAGAGCCTCTTCCTCCAAACGGCCATGACATTTGGTTTGCAACTTTATGGTCAACGCCCAGCTCGTCGGCAAACGACCACACGAGGGACGGCTGCTTCTGGAACCAGCGGCCAACCAGGGCGAAATCTAAACCGTCATCTTCCAATAGACTGTTGGCCGTGGTTCCAGTCGTGATGTTTCCGACAACGCCGACCACAAGGCGATCACCAACGGCCTTTTTCACTGCCTTTGCCATAGGGGCATGGTATGGTACACCGGGCAAAGCACCCCTCACTTTTTGGTCTTGGTGGTTGCCTCCGGAGCTGATGTCTATGAAATCAACTTGGCCGCCGTCGGCTAAAACCTCGGCGAAACGAACGGTGTCCTCCACTGTCCAACTGGATAAGTCCGGTCGTGATTCTTCAAGCCATTCGGTAGAAGAGACACGTAGAAATAGTGGCATATCCTCCGGCATATTCTTGCGTGAAATAGCAATGATCTCGTTCGTTAGGCGCATTCGATTCTCAAATGAGCCACCGTACTCATCCGTCCGGTTGTTTGAGGTTGGAGATAAGAACGACGATAGTAGGTATCCGTGGGCATTATGGATCTCAATGAAATCAACGCCGGCAGTGATGGCACGGCGCACTGAGGCCCCAAATGCTTCTTTAAATTCTTCAATATCCGCCTTCGTCATAGCCTTCGGTTTACCCAACCGCGGACCCCATGGGATATCACTTGGACCCTTGATATTATCAGGCCAGCCACCCACGGATTCGTCGGCAAGATCGCCAGACGAAAGCCAGGGAGCATGGGAGCTTGCCTTTCGGCCAGCATGGCCGAGTTGGATGCCGATAACCTGATTCTGGCTGTGCACGAACTCAACAACCCGCCTTAGAGGTTCTATTTGGGAATCTTTCCACAGTCCCGAGTCTTCAGGGGTGATTCTCCCTTCCGGAAGGACAGATGTGGCTTCCACCATGACGAATCCAGCTCCATGGATCGCAATGCTGCCAAGATGGGCAATGTGCCAGTCTGTAAGGTGGCCATCTGGCGAGGAATATTGGCAAAGTGGTGCAAGCTATTCCACGTATTAGCATAGTGAAAACTATATATAACCTTTTACCGTGTAAAGATGCATAGCTGTACTCACTCCGATACGATTATGAAGAGTCAGTCCCCTCAATTTCAACGGTTGAAATAGCTTTGGCGGGGCAGAGCCATTGCTCTGGGGATTTGCCGCTTGGCCAGCAGGAGGGTTCTGGTGAGGGGTGAAATAACTTATACCCGGTGCAGGTGCGTTGAAAATGCCTTTAAGACCCGCGTCACCCATTATTTCTTTCCTTAATTTGCTTGATCGGGAAAGTTTATAGACGTTTCAAGTTATACGATGGTGAAGACCAAGGTGAATTGTTCAAAAACAGAAACAAAAAAACAATTCAATGGCAATGCGCAGAAGCTGCAAACAAATAGATACACAGACAGAGTGAATATGAGATGGATAAAAACGAAGGTTGGGATAGCGATACGCCCTATATATACTCCGCATAGGGTAAAATCCAAAGGGAAAGATGAGGTGATTTGCTTGCTTTGAAATCAGGAGATTACTAATATCCATGTCTCCTAAATTTCTAACAGAAGAAGTTTGCCACCATAAAACCAAGGCTCGGTGTTTGGCTTTGTATAGGCCACGGGAGAAGGCATCGGCATCCTTCCTTCATTATTGTCAGGGCAAGCTCAAAGATAAGTCAAATCGCAAGGTTAAAGACAGAAACAGACGTAAGCCTGGGGGGGAGTTAGCGGTGCCTTTAAAAGAGAAGTAGCTGATTGGTTATATAAGATCATCTTACATAAAATAAAATTCGACCTTTTCTCCTGTCACTTAAGAGTGAGTATCAACCAGCCTAACGGGTTAATACAACAGTTTGCCGTTTTGCAATGCAAGCGCTAAGAGGGTGACGCCGAAGTCTCGCATTTGAGCTTCCTTTTGGATATCCCACACCCGGTACTCGTGCATCTCCAGTAAAGACCTGTCAGAGGCTGCGTCTACTTTGTCGTGGAGATAATCGACATAGGCTTGGTCGTATGTCGCAATTACAAGCCTGATCTCATGGCGTTCTTGCAGAATCATAGCTCGTCTAAAAAAAAATAGACCGTTAGAGCTATATCTCATCTTAGAAGACGGATTAGAGGTATGGCTTTGTGCCTTGCTTACCGATAGGGCTGTTGAGTGCTTGGATCGTCTGCCTCTGCGTATATCCATGCAGCCATCTGAGCGGTAGCCTGATGGATTACCCGATTGTTGTACCCGCGGAGGGTTGGCTTGACCTCGACAATCATGGCAGAACGCACATCGCTATCACCCACGCCTGGCCGAGATAAATGGCCATCAGTTCTGGCTTCGAAAAGAAATGCCTTCTCTCCACTGGCTGGGGCTTCGACTTTTCCGAATTTCAACGCCTTTCGGACCGGCGACCACTCGAGTTTGACATCTGGGTTATGCATGCATAGCGTTGCAAGGAATGCGATTAAGAATCCATTGACGATTTGCTCATCTTCCACCTTAGGGAAAGCCTTGCGGTATGAATTAGGGCTCATTTCGAAGGACGAAACCATCTGCGATTCGCTACTAGAACTCTTGACCGAACCATGCACTGAGCCTTCCTCCAGGCCAAACTTGTTGAAGGCTTCGGTAAGGCTACCCTGTGCCTTGTCCTTGCCCTTAGCTTTTCCCTTGAAGCTATTGTTGTCATAGTCGTCATCGGAGCTCTGGCTAAGAGGGGGGTAATGTCCTCCTTTCTTCGCTAAAGGGCTGTCTGGGGTTATCCTTCCGTCGGGGGGGTATTTGGTCGACCGAAGCCGACCGGCTATCGGGCTGAAGGACACATTTTTGTCCCCTTCTTCCTCTCGAAACGTTTCAGGGAGTCTAGTAACCTGGTGTCTGGAAAGATGCACGTACGAGAACGAGCCGAGCCTTGGGACTGGGGTCGTAGCTGTGGAAGTGAGAGTTTGAAGATATTTCCGCCAGTCGTCCTCGTTATCCAACCAACGCCTTGCCTCTGAGGTAGCCGTGATTCCCCAGTCCTTCGCATTCCGCTTAGTGTCCTGCTTCGCAGTGACCCAAAAGCTCCGAAGAAGGAGATATTGTGCTTCGCTGATCTTTGACGCTGAAGCACACGGAGTGTGGTGAATACTAGCATCTCCTAGTTTATGCTTTTTGGCATCGGCCTTCCATCCGTCCTTGCTTGTGGGGAAAGTGATAATGTCACTTGTGTTCGACATGGTGAGGGCGCTTTCCTGGGTGTTGGTTCTGGTGAATCTGATTCTGATAAGAAAAGAGATGATCTGCTGCCTTAGGTTAAGGGAGGATTTGACGACCTTTAAGTACCTTTTGAGGTGGTCACTCTAATACCCACAGGGTGTATAGTTTGCCTGATTAATTGTCACTTCAAGCCCTGGCTAGGCGCTCTATTGATGCATTGAGAAAGTTGTCTTTCCGAGGCGCAGTCTGGCGGGTGGATTTCCAACACATAGGCTACGAATTTCATATTCCATGATTGGAGCTGTATTTTTAAAAATAGTTCATTTACCGCCCATCTTTATCACTATGGCCCATCACAGCGCTAAGATGTGGGATCCCATGGGTCTATCCATTGCTGTCTCCGAAATATAACAGTTACACATTACAAGGCCATATATATATTGGTTATTGGGGCACAGGCGCCCACCCCTAGTAAGCCATTGTTTTACTTTGCCCATGTCGGTTACCTATCATTGGAGTATACTTAGTATAAGACCGTTTCTATGTTTGGCAGGCGCTTATTTGCATGAATTAAAGGATCGCTAAGGAGTTGTCGCGGTAACTAACTAACTAACAATATCACGTGATAGTTCGCTTTGTTGACCTCCTTGGTTGCTTAACCTGGAGCAAGCTTGATTCAATGAACGTCTACTTTGAGCAAGCTCCTAAAATTCCTCGTTGCCCACGAGATAACTGGTTGTACTTATTCTATTACTCCTGGTGACCGACATCTCTCCGCCATGGCTGATGTAACGAAGATCGATATCGGAACACTGGCTGCCCTCGTTGAACATAAGTCTCAAATTTTGAAGAAGCTCAAGCTCGTTCTCAAACACTTCAGGGGCGCGCAGGATGAGGATAGCATTTATTTTTCACACGAACGGCTAAGGGAGCATAACATACATGTGTCGACAATGGATATAGAGGATGGAGGCCGGTTTTTCAAGCCTGTCCCGTTGTCGGAATTCAAGGCCTGGATCTATGAGGAAAAAAATGACTATGACTTTAACTGGAGCTCTGACAAAAATAGCTTGAGCGATGCTGATGGCATTTACTATACAGCCTGGGGTATTATTGATTCAGTGATCCCAGAACATGCTCAGACAGAAGACAGAACCCTTTTCATCCAGTATACCCCCTGGAATAAATTGACGTGAGTTTCTGATATCGTACTTTCTATTGACTTTGATTATACTGGCCCTAATCAGAAGCTGTGGTTTTCTCTTACTATTATTATTTAGACTGTCTCGCACCCAGATGAATGGCCATTTAGGAAGCCTCTATTCCAAAGAGAAGACCGATTGGATGAACCACCATACAGCACTTGATACCCACGAGTGCCGAGATACAGAATCCCACGTCATCAACTTTTCTTCGCATGGCCTATATCCTAACAAAAGTACGGAATCGAAGCTTTCGCGCAGTGAGGTGCTAGTGGCTCTTGATGTAACGATACACCGGATGCAATATCCACCATACATTCTCCATCATATATTTCCGGTATGCTCAAGATATAGGAACCCCCTATATGTAAATCAAATATAGTTTTCAGCTAACCTTTGCTTAGGTCCTTATGGTTTCATGTTTTAATCGTCAAGTCCGCCTCAATGAAGTCTACTCTGAAGATGGAGTCCTGCACATCAATTGTACTCCATTCCTTGATATGGAGGTATTCGACAAATCTAAGTGGCAGTTGTTAACTCGCTGGATAGTAAGTAATCCAGTGGGCGAAACGACGGCGTACCCAAACGTGAAAAAGCTTCCGCGGGGATCCGAAAAATTCATGGTGCCACATGGTTCAAAACGGCAGTCCAAGCGAGGTTCAAGATCGCAGCCAAAGCCGCAGCCGCAGCCGAAGCCAAAACCGAAGAGGCTTGAAGAGCTCAAAAGGGAATGGTGATCCAGTATGCAGATGCTTAAAACCGGGATTGAGTTTATAGCATTTGTCCTTCCATTTTGAATTTCCATACAGAGTACGTCAAAGTGTTCTATGCTTCTCTTTCAGGTTGCTCGGAGTTGTATTGGACAAAGGCTTGGGGGCTTGGGCGGGGATAATGGGTTTTTGACATTGCGATACAGGTGACTTTAAGGAAGATACGACGAGATGACTGTAATTTTAATTCTATGGACTACAGAGTATAGAGTCACCCATTGATTCTTCCAACCCCTTTCTGGTCTGGTTGACATGACACTCGCGTCTGGCGGCTAGCGGTTTAGAATAAGCTTAAGTGGATGCACCTTATTTTCACCACAGCAAGTAGCAGCACGTGATAGGCACTCCTCTCGGATTATTCTTTACTCCGCCCTGCCAGGCAAAGAAGGGAAAAGAGGGAGAAAAAGACCCACTGAAGGACCCGTGGCGCAATGGTAGCGCAGCAGATTCCAGATCTGAAGGTTGTGCGTTCAATTCGCACCGGGTTCATCTCTTCAGTTTTCAGCTTGTTTATTCATGTATTTCTTTTTTTTTTTTTTCGCACCCACGGTATGGCACTTTTTCCCTCCCTTCCATATGGGCTTCTATGGCTTCCCAAGGCTCGCCTCTATAAAGTGGGATGGTCATGTGATCATATTGCTTACTAATACATCGCGGGGTGACCGGCCACTGTCGGCTTTTGGCGGGTGGTTGTTCGGCTCTTTGCCTCGGGATGACGTTATGGCCAGTTGTTGACATATATGGACAAGAGAGGATGTATACAGTTTGAATCACACGAACACAGGCCACCGCGAGAAGAAGAGCAAACAGCCACCATGTCATCCTCCAACATCAAGTTCCAGCTATACACGTACTTCCGGTCTTCGTGTGCCGGTCGCCTGCGCATCGCTCTGAACCTAAAATCCACCCCCTACGAGCCAATCTTCGTCAATCTACTCAAAGGCGAGCAGCTCTCTGATAAGCACAGGGAGCTCAATCCCAACGGCACTGTGCCTGTACTTGTATCCACGAGCCAGGATAATGGCAAGAGCACGACATTCACGGTTACCCAATCGCTCGCGGCGTTGGAGTACCTTGAAGAAGCGCTTCCAAACACCCGCGCACTCATGCCGGCAACTTCCAACCCCACGGCACGCGCACAAGTACGCGAACTCGCCCTGTTAGTGGCAACGGATATTCAACCCGTCACGAACTTGCGGATTCAGAAGAAGGTGAAGGCTCTCGACGCGGATGCAACGAAGTGGGCGCTGGAGCTTTCGGTTGCCGGGTTTACGGCCTTTGAGAAGACCGTTGTCAATTCCGCTGGGAAGTTCTGTGTCGGGGATGAGATTACGTTGGCAGATGTATGTTTGGTGCCTGCCGTGTGGTCGGCGGAGAGAGTGGGCTTGAAGTTGGCAGACTATCCAACAACAAAGAGGATCTATGATCGGATGGTGGAGGAGACGGCAGTTAAGGAAGCAGTCTGGCAGAACCAGCCTGATACGCCAGAAGAATTAAGATTAAAGTAATGCGGGAGGAGGGAGTCATTAAAGTAGCGGGATCGCCTTTTATATCAACTTAATATCTACACTACATAAGTATATAATGACTATATTAATCAACGGCTAGTTGATGATAGGGGCAGGGAGAATGGTAGCTGTACAGTCTCCGAAGCCAACATAGCTTCCTTCCTCGCCGCACATGCCCTTAAGAGTAACCTCATCGCCATCCTCGAGGAAGACACGGTCGGTGCCATCGGCCAGTTTGAATGGCTGCTTGCCGCCCTGGGTGTTCTCCAACAAGCTTCCAAGGGTGCCGGTCTCCTTTCCGGAGATGGTTCCACTGCCAAGCAAGTCGCCAGTGTTCATGTTGCACCCGGTCACAGAGTGGTGCGTAAGCATCTGGGAGAAGGAGTAGAGCAAGTTCTTCGCATTGGTCTTGGCAACAGTAGTGGTGGTGGTGCTGTTTGCTGGCTTGAGGTCAAACTGAAGCTGCATGTCGTAGACGTTCTCGGCTCTCTTCTCTCGGAGATAAGGGAGTAGGGAGTCGGATCCTTCCTCGGCAGCGAGACCGGTAGATCGGAAAGGCTCGAGGGCATCCATGAGCACGACCCAGGGGGTGATGGTGGTAGCAAAGTTCTTGGAGTTGAACGGGCCGAGCGGAACGTATTCCCAAGCCTGGATGTCGCGAGCGGACCAGTCGTTCATCAACACGACACCGAACAAGTGATCCTCGGCCTGGTCAATGGAGATGGGCTCACCCATCTTGTTACCCTTGCCGACAAAGACGGCCAGTTCCAGCTCAACGTCGAGTTTCTTGCATGGGGAGAAGATGGGAACCTTTGGCGTCGCGGCCGGGTTGGCGAGGATCTGGCCGTTTGGTCTGCGGACTGGCTGGCCAGAGACGATGACGGAGGAAGCACGTCCGTGGTATCCAACGGGAAGATGCTTGTAGTTTGGCTGAAGCGCGTTATCAGGTCCGCGGAAGAGGACTCCGACGTTGAATGCATGGTTCAGCCCGGCGTAGAAATCAGTGTAATCGCCGATTCTCATGGGTAGATGATTGGTGACATCCTTCAGGGGCAGGAGAGCCTTCTGCTTGAGCTCCTCGTTGGCCTTGAGAACCTCAGGGTAGGCGGTAGATTCACGGAAGACGTCCTGTAGGTATCCTCGGACCTCACGGTGAACTGGCCTGCCCAATGCAGCGAACTCGTTCAGGGTGGGCTTGGTGAAGACGTCGATGTGCGAGGAAAAAGACGGGAGCTTGGAGAAACCGCCAGCAGAGGAGAAGGCGAAGAGGTCCAGCGCATACTCCCCAATGGCGACGGCCGGGCGGGGATCAGCAGATGCCGCCGTCGAGATGATGCCAAAGGGGATGTTGGCCAGGGAGAAGGGAGAGTTCCCTGGGATCTGGAGCCACGAAGCGTTCGACATCTTTCTGATCGAGACAGCTGAAAAACGGCGCAATTGAGACGGACTGAAGGATGTGCGTGAAGGGCAGAGGAGCAGCAGCAGCAGCAGTCTCATCCCATAAAGCAAAAGGTTTACTTCTTCCCTCCTTCCTCCCGCCCGGCTCTTTTTGCACAGGGCAGGAGGGGCATGCTTACTAAGCTCGGCCTTTTTATTTTGCCGGCGGGGCAGAAAAAGACTAAAAAAAAACAAGGTTTGGCCCAAGCTTTAATGCCAAGCCTTTATTGCTTTCCTCCCGCGGAAACTTCCCGCGCCGGCTAATTCCGGTAATGCCGCGGCTCCGTTTTCGTCGATGGGACAACATAAAGATAAGGATAAGGGAAAAAGCTCAAGAGCATCGTCCTTTCTGCTTGACGGGACACATTAGAATCCCAGACACCACAGCACGCAGTATATACAGTATACACAGCATACACAGCTTACACGCTTACACAGCATACACAGCCGCCACGATGCCCGTCACTGCCTTCTCCACGCCGGAGAAATATACCTACCAGAGCGGCTTCGGCTCCTACCACGAGTAAGCGCAATGTACCCGTACGTACCGTGCCTATGGACATGGAATATGCTGACACGCATCGCCTTAGGACTGAAGCCATAGAGGGGGCCCTGCCAGTTGGCCAAAACTCGCCTCAGAAGCCCCCATATGGCCTCTACGCTGAGCAGCTGTCTGGAACGGCCTTCACTGCTCCTCGACACGAGAACCTGCGGTCGTGGCTATACAGGATAATCCCCCCTGCGTCCCACCGCCCGTTCGAGGAGGTTGACGCCGCGACCTATCATACAAACCTGAGCAAGGATGCCACCTCGCTCCGTCAGATCCCCAACCAGCTTCGATGGAACCCCTTCGACCTCGACGAGAACGTCGACTGGGTCCGAGGCCTGCACCTGGTCGCCGGGGCCGGAGATCCTGCTACGAAGCAAGGGTTGGGCATCTTGCTCTTCGCTGCTGGCAAAGATATGGGCAAGGAAGCTTTCTACTCTGCTGACGGTGATTTTTTGATTGTGCCCCAGCACGGAGTATTGGATATTCAGACCGAGCTGGGTAGGATCCTTGTCCGTCCCAATGAGATATGCGTTATTCCCCGTGGAGTTCGGTGAGTACCTACCTGCCTCTCCTCCACCGTATGTCTGTTTGAATCAGCAACTAAGTTACCCTCCATAGCTATCGAGTAACGCTTCCCGATGGCCCTGTTCGAGGATACATCTGCGAGCTGTACCAGGGACACTACCAACTCCCCGAGCTAGGCCCTATTGGATCCAACTGTCTGGCCAACGCGCGCGATTTCCAGGCTCCCACAGCTTCGTTTGACGACGAGGAAGAATCCAGCGAATACACCATCCTCAGCAAATTCAACAACACCCTCTTCCGCGCCACGCAGCCTCACACGCCCTTCGACGTCGTCGCCTGGCACGGAAACTACTACCCCTTCAAATATGACCTGGGACGCTTCAACACGATCGGTTCCATCTCCTACGACCACCCCGATCCGTCCATCTTCACCGTCCTGACGGGCCAGTCAGACCACCCCGGCACCGCCATAGCTGATTTCGTGATTTTCCCCCCACGATGGCTGGTGCAGGAGGACACCTTCCGACCACCATGGTACCATCGCAACACCATGTCAGAATTCATGGGATTGATCAGTGGAGACTACGATGCCAAAACGGCAGGTGGCTTCAAGCCCGCTGGCGCAAGTCTACATAACGTTATGAGTGCCCATGGTCCAGATGCGGCGACCCACGAAGGCGCTTCCAACGCTAAGCTTGCCCCAAGTAAAGTTGGCGAGGGTAGTATGGCATTTATGTTTGAAAGGTAACATTGACCCCTTTCCTCAAAGTATCTATCCGAATACCTGCTAACATGTTGTTGTTGTTTTTTTCGTCTGATAGCTGTATGATGGTTGGCGTGTCCGAATGGGGATTGAAGACCTGCCAGAAGGTACAGGAGGATTATAATGAGGAGAGCTGGACTCCATTGAAGAGGAACTTCAAGAACCCGAATAAGAAGTGAGCTTAACGCTGAGCTCAACAGTGTTCGACGGGTTTCGGGACAGCTTTCGGAGCCGTTGATGTATTTCTGTATGATGATTGTTAGAATGACCCTAGCTAGCATTAATGACGTCAGTATTTACCTATTCATCCAAACTACTACTATCTAATACTCGGTGGGCCAAATCTGTTTGTGCATTTGAATATCATAACTTCATTACATTTACAGCTAAAAGACCAAATATTTACAAGCTTCCCGGTTTAACAGGGGGCCCTTAAGGGGTGGGAGGTCTCATGTTTGGCTCTCATTCCACTTTGTAATCTCGGCCTGAATTGCATCCTTCACTATAGCTCCGCACATCTTCGCATACGGGTTCGTGCCTACGGCCATCTGCCTCGCCGCCTCGTTACCACAGCGTCCACCGATCTGGAAGTCATAGCTGGCAAGCTCCTCCAGCCGGTCATCAGAGACATCCTGAAGCTGTTGTGGAAGCAGCTTCGCTCGGTGGTGTTGCTTCTCCTTCTCGTCTTTCGACCGCGCGGCCTTGTAGAGAATGTATGCACGGTGAGTGTGGGCGTTGGCCAGGATGCGGGACTGGAAAGGCGAAATAGCCGCCGTCGACGAGGAGGGGGTAAGCAGAGCGATCGTTTTGGCCAGGTTGTCAAACAGCAGGGTTGAACGAGAGGGGGTGACCTGTGGCCCATCGGGCTGGGTCTGGCTGTCGGTGTCGATCAATAGGCGTAGAGCTTGAGCGCGATTTAGGTAAGCTGGCGCATAGTTAGAATGCTGTTGGATAATCTCCGAAAGCTGAGCTATGGCCGTGTTTATTATTTCCGGCGTTAGGTTTTCGTTGGATGTCTGCAGGGGTTTGAGGGCGCTGAGTTCCCGCTGTTTCAACGAGTGGAGGTCGGCGTCTGCGATGTGTGGAAGCTGTGGGAGCGAGGAGTCAGTTTCGACGCTGTTCGATGGAGATGATTCGGCGTCGAAGAGAGCTTGCAGCACGGCGGAGTCGTTGGAGGTAAGCGACGGTTTCGCCTTTGCGATCGATTCTGGAGCTGGAGCCATGATAGCGCGGCGTGCAGTGTCTTCCTTTCGTCTGAGAGGAGCTTCGAAGGAGAAACCGTGGAAGCCAGCAACAGACCGTCAAAGGGCGACGACCGGGCTCTGATATCCTCCGACGCAGCGTGGCCGGAGATGCTAAAAAAACAAAAAACAAAAACCCGATGCCAAAAGCCTCTGCCGAGCTTTCCAGATGACGTAAAAGGAGCTGTGCAAATAGCCGGGCCGGCAAGGGTCCTGGTTGGCTGTGAGGGCGTCAAGTAAGAAACACCCGGAAGCAGCCGGGCGGCCGGAAATAGCCTGCCCAAAAAAAGCGCCGGCTAGGTGAAAGCAAAACAAGAAGGATTTGCCTATTGGAGGCGTCAAATTGCCTGGCTGCAGGAAAGCCGAAATCCACGGGGAAGAAAGTGCGAGTATGGAACTGGGATTGCTTGCTGACCATTGCGGCGTATTTGTATCGGTTGCCTGTCGTGGGGCGAGAACATTCAAAAGACCGCCTGCCTGCTCGCACAGACAAGTTCTTCACTGACTTCGGAGTAATCTTCTGTATAGACCAAAAGGAAAGGCATCTGTATACCCATCACACACCTCCCTCGCCGTCTCCCTGCGTCTTGACCATCATGGCTCCCGCTGCCGACGTCCCCCAGACCACCGCTGCCCCAGCAGACATCTCCCAGTACAAGGGATACGACCACGTTCACTGGTACGTTGGAAACGCAAAGCAGGCTGCCACATACTATGTCACCCGTCTGGGTTTCAAGAAGATCGCCTATCGTGGTCTGGAAACCGGCCTCAAGACCATCGCCTCTCACGTCGTCTCCAACGGTGCCGTCACATTCGTCCTCACCTCCCCTCTCCGGTCACTTGAGCAAGCTTCTCGCTATCCCGCTGAAGAAAAGGCCCTTCTCGAGGAGATTCACGCCCATCTCGAAAAGCACGGTGACGGTGTCAAGGATGTTGCTTTCGAAGTCGACTCTGTCGACGCCGTCTTTGACGCTGCTGTGAAGAACGGCGCCAAGGTCATTTCCGAGGTCAAGGTCTCCGAGGACGAGCAAGGCCATATCAAGTATGCTACCATCCAGACCTATGGCGAGACCACACACACTCTCATCGAGAGGAAGGCGTACAAGGGCCTTTTCTTGCCTGGATACCGTGATGAATCTGGCAGCCCCGACCCAATTTCCGAGTTCCTACCACCAGTTAAGCTTGAGAGGATAGACCACTGCGTCGGCAACCAGGACTGGGATGAGATGGAGAAGGTCTGCGACTAGTAAGTTTTATCCCCATGTCCGCCCTCGGGTAGACAAACTGTATACTAACTTCCCTCACAGCTATGAGAAGGTTCTCGGATTTCACCGTTTCTGGTCCGTTGACGACAAGGATATCTGCACGTATGTACCTGATAATCCACTGAACTTTACTTCGTTCCCTCTCTGACTCTGAATAGTGAATTCTCCGCCCTCAAGAGTATCGTTATGTCCTCCCCCAACGACATTGTAAAGATGCCCATCAACGAACCCGCCAAGGGCAAGAAGCAGTCCCAGATCGAGGAATACGTCGACTTCTACAGCGGTGCCGGTGTTCAGCACATCGCCCTGCGAACCGACAACATTATCGAGGCCATCACCCAGCTCAAGGCCCGTGGTTTGGAGTTCATCAAGGTCCCAGAGACCTACTATGACGACATGCGTGTGCGTTTGAAGAAGCAGGGAATGGTCCTCGAGGAAGACTTCGAGGCTCTCAAGAAGCTTGACATCCTTATCGACTTTGACGAGGGTGGCTATCTCCTACAGCTTTTCACCAAGGTAAGCTCATCCCATCAAGAAGTTCAACTTCACGTATATCTCATACTAACGGACTTGTTAGCATCTCATGGACCGTCCCACCGTCTTCATCGAAATCATCCAACGCCGCAACTTCTCCGGATTCGGAGCTGGTAACTTCCGCGCTCTCTTCGAGGCCATAGAACGCGAACAGGCTCTCCGAGGAAACCTGATATAGATAACCCCTGTCACGAGTTTTCTATCCTGTTCCTGATTCCATTCCTGTTTGTTTTAATAATGACCCTGATGCCAGATGCCATGTCATGTATAGTTTCAGTTGTAATATTTGTCTGTTTTGCGTATCAGTATGCATAATGGAGCAAGGCAAGCTTAGCCGTTTTTCGGACAACACGATTTGACTCTTACCTCAATCTGCCTCGAATAATAAGTAGACTCACCTAAACAGTAGCCTCTCTGAAGTCCTCCTCTGACGTTATCAGATCGCTCCGCTCATGACCTTGTATCATTCCCCGCATATCGGAATCTGCAGGTCAGGGCTGATTTCCCTTCCAAAAGATGTCCGAGGGGCCGGAACATGAAGTATACCGGCATCAACTCACCCAAGATACACTTCATAAAAAATCGATAGCAATCAGAGGTGGTTGTTTATCCAAGAGCTCATCTAATTGTCAGTTTGATGCCTCAAAAAAGGTCCGACCTCGGCAGGTTGATATTAGTCAGCGGAACAACGTTAATCCAGTGTATCTTGCTTATCCGCAAAAGTACAATCTGAAGAGCTTCATTTCTCGTCAAGAGTGAACAATTGAGAGCATCCAGCCTCAAGCAAAGCAGCAGCGTCACCCAGGTCGGTGGCCCGGAAGCCATCATGCCGCCCGCTACCCCCGGACCGTCGATGTTCAAGCAGACACTATCCCTCTCCCGACTCCCCAAGGAATTCTTTACATGTCGCCAATGCCTACAGAAGCCGCTCGCTCCGATAACTACGCGACAATGGATAGGGACAAGCCAATTCAAAGGCACACCGAAGTATACCTCTAGCCTTTTGGCTGCGTTTCGGAAGCAGCCCGTGAAACCTACAATACCAAAGTCCTTTTTCACGACCGCAACGACAACGTCAGAAGCAGCTGTTACAAAATCCAGATTTCCCGATGTTAGCTCCAAGGGTGTTGCGTACTGGCTGCTGGCGAGCGCAGTCAGTGTCTTTGGCATTGTTGTGTTTGGCGGGTTGACTCGCCTTACTGAATCAGGGTATGATTCTGTTGCAGGCTAATTCTCTATAAACCATCAAGTATTAACAACCCTACAGACTTAGCATAACGGAATGGCGACCTGTAACCGGCTCTCTACCACCATTGAACGCGGACGACTGGGAGTCCGAGTTTTCTAAATACAGAGCATCCCCGGAATTCAAGCTTCTCAACCCTAACATGACCCTCCCCGAGTTTAAGTCGATATATTATATGGAATGGATCCACCGGATATGGGGGCGCTTCGTTGGCCTTTCTTTCGTTATACCGGCCGTCTACTTCGTTGCAACAAAACGAGTTTCAAAACCAATGAGTCTCCGTCTTGCTGGCATTGCAGGTCTGATCGGTTTCCAGGGCTTTTTGGGCTGGTGGATGGTCAAGTCTGGATTGAAGGACGACTTGTTCGCACCCGGCAGCCACCCCCGTGTTAGCCAATATCGATTGACCGCCCATCTAGGCGCTGCTTTTGTCTGCTATGTTGCTATGCTGTGGAATGGTTTGGCTATTCTACGATCACACCGTCTCCTTGCGGATCCAATCAAGGGGCTAGAGATTCTCCAATCGCTGAAAAATCCCAAACTGGCCATCTTCCGCCGCTCTGTAGCTGGCCTTGCCCTACTTGTTTTTACCACCGCGATGTCAGGTGGTCTCGTCGCTGGGCTTGACGCTGGTTTGATCTACAATGAAATCCCATGGATGGGTGACGGCCTCGCTCCACCCAAGTCTGAACTACTGGATGAATTTTACTCGCGGAAAGAAGACCGATCCGACCTATGGTGGAGGAATATGCTTGAGAATCCCTCTTTTGTACAGCTTGACCACCGAATTCTGGCGATGACCACCTTCACCTCCGTTATGGCATTGTGGGCATACAGTCGCATGCCTACCATGAAGAAGCTGCTCCCCCGCGTGGCAAAGAAAGGTGTCCACGGAGTTGTAGCATTTACTGCTGTACAGGTGACTCTGGGAATTAGCACACTTCTTTATCTTGTCCCTATTCATTTGGCATCTGCCCATCAGGCAGGCAGCTTGTTCCTCTTAACCTGGGTTATGGTTCTGGGTAGTAGAATATGGCATCCTTCTCGAACGGCAAGGCTCCTCCAACTTGCTACCAAGGCAAAACCACTGTCTTCTACCTCACATGCTGCTTCTCTTATAACAAAGAAGCTGTAACACCTACTGGCCAGACTTGTACATTAAGTTTCTCCTCTCTTTTTTTAATACTATATAATGAAATGTACTATATTCCTACCAAGCGCCCTGGTCAAGGATTCTTGTCTAAACACTTTCTGGTGAGAATGAATACGTTCTAGCCACAGGATAAACCAGGTTCCTCCTTTGTATTGGAATGCTGATTCTATGATTCTAGTAATTCCTAATCATTTTCCACTGAAAGTTAACGCTATTGCAGCAAAATGTACACAATAGTAAAAGTCACTTGTGAGCATCATAACCTAAGCCCTAAATATCAGGATGAAGAATGAGTAGTATTAAAAGAACATCAAGCGTCATTAAAACAAGAGTAGAAAATCCACGCCATGGCCAGTCATATTTATCAGGGTATTATGGTAGTGAATCAATAAACAAAGATGCTCGCCAGTGATCCAATGAGTATTAAATCGTGAGCATCATATGGTAGTAAACCCCTGATAAACCGATTCTCGCCTCCACCTAAAAACAAATGAAATTTATGACAAAAGAAATAGTGAGACGTCCCATGCTAAAGCTCCCAGGCACGCGCATGGGGTTTAATAGCTCTATTTTGTGGCTCGCCAACTTCCCCTTCCATTACTGAATCCCCATCAATCTCCATCCTATCAGGACTCGAGGCTTGCGATTCTCTCTTCATCTCCCGCCGCTCTCGAAATTTCGCCTCTTTCGACTCTCTAAACATATTGAATCCAGGAACGATTCCTCTAAGTCCAAGTGGGACATCGAGCTGATGGAAAGGTTTTTTGGTGGTTAGCTGTCCATATTTCCGGCGCACAGAAGCGTTAGAATTATTAGCAGACCCTGGTTGATCTATTTCCATTGGCCCAGAAGATTCAAAGCGACGTCTAGGTGCGTTTCTAGATATCAGTTGAGATACTGGTACCGCAGGGGAGACGAATGAATGGACCGGGACAGAGGGACGAGCAAACGCTCGGGCAGGGGGTCGGGCAGAAGGTCGGATAGGGACTTGGGTAGGGGCTGGCGCTGCTGCTAGAACTGGAGCAGAGACAGGAGTTGGAGTGGGAGCTGAAGTCGGAGCTGGAGTTGGAGTTGGAGCTGGAGTCGAAGTTGGAGCTGAAGTAGAGACAAGCACCGAGACTGGAACCGACCCAGCATCTGGTGCTTTGTCCCTAGCTTTGGATCTATCTCGTTCCTGAAGAGCTTCCTCTGCTGCGATGAGAAGCCAATTCATTCGTGTCTCAGTATGAGGAGAAAGATCTTTAAAAGGTCTCTTCTGGTATGCCTTTCCATCTGCCACGATTACATCTTCACTATCTGGATCGATATCAGTTGCATCATCATCTTCACCTTCCTCTTCCTCATCACCTCCATACCCACAGTCTTCCTCCAGGGCACTGAGTGAAGTTAGAGAGGACGAGCTTGATAAGTCGACATCTATTTGAGGATAAGGATTTCCAAGTGTTGGAGATACCCACGAGCCCCCTACTGGAGCTCCCCTTAAATTTCCACCATTAGAGCAGGCTGACGAAGCTTGAACTTGGCCTCGAGGTTCACCTTTCTTTAAACCGCGCTGAGGCTGCTGTGATGTCGAACTGGGAGCTTTTGCAGATATAGGAGGTCGGCTAGGTGAACCGTCTGCACTCACAATCAAATTTTTGGCAGCGGCGGAGCTACCTCCTTTCCTAGGCACATTCCCCTGACTAGAAACAGCGGGAGTAGAGGCAGCATTGTTTGGGGAATGCTTCTCTTTATCAACTGAGGTCAGTTTTGCACCACCATCTGCATTTTTCCCTTTCTTGCGAGGTTTCTTCTGTGGTTGCTGTTCTTCGTCTGAGCTGCGATAGACAGCACCAGTGAATTTCCTAGTACTTCCATGGGCACCGTTTCCGCCCCTAGCATTCCAACAGGGGATGCATATCTGCCACCCACACTCGATACAGCGCTGTAGAGTGGCTTTGTTATGTTTATTGCAGACATCACATTTTGCAGTGTGGATTTTGATAGGTTTGAATACGCTATGGGGTGCGCGTTGGGCAGAAGGTGTTGCCTCAAATGGTGCAGGAGTAGTTGGCTGTGATTGCAGCGGTTGCTCAGCTGGCTTCCCCTGGGGTGTTTCTGGAGCAAGGAGTGATTGAGATTGGGAGAACCGGGGGTGGGTGTCTTGGGGAGATGGGCTTGATGATATCTCAATCACCTCGATTTGCTTTCCATCAGCTGCAAGGGCGTTGGATGTGTTTATCTGAGGAGGCCGATTTCTAGCTGGGCTGGTGCTAGAGCCCGGTGTCCTCGCTGGGGTAGAAAGGCTCTGTCTGCTTGCTGGAAACATGATATCGGTTCAGCCAGGGGGTAGAGATTCCACGGTTTGGTGATATCAAGATATCAGCATCGAAAGAAGAGCGAGAACGTCATCAACACAAATATATTAAGTATTTGGGAAGTATAGGTCCAGTAATTCGTGATAGTAGGTGTCCAGGGAGGGCATGGAGTTAGAGAGATGGGTTATATCATAAGAAAGAGCTCTCATGGTCTAGTGGAGAAGTTGAGGGTTAAGCGAGGAAGAACCCAGGACTTTGTAGAGAAAGAAATAATACCCAGGTCCAAGTTGTCACTACGGCTTCTTCCGCTAAACTAGATATCATGCAGGACATTCACAAAAGGGCTGTGAAGGAGGAACTCTTGGTGGCTCAAAGGAACACACTGAAGGGGACTTCCGCAGTGATATATTATAGTAACTCATTATGATATTCATAGTAGTGTCCATACTAGTGAATATCCCCTTTACCGTTCAGATTTCATAGTTGATAGGTATTAAATAAAAAAAGAAGCTCTCCCATGGTATCAAGAATGAAAATAAAGTGAATTAGAATGTTTCCATAGGGACAACACAATAATGATTTTAATAGGAACCATTTTGAGAAGCTCGTTACATCAGAGCAGTCCCTATCAAAAAAGGGCTGGATCAAGGTATGAGAATCTGTAATTCTCGAAGAAATATACCAGAAGGATGGAACAGTAGAAGCATGGTCGTGAACATCTGGAGATTCCAGGTCTGAAAATAGTGCTTTTATTTCATATCACCCATGGTGAGATGTTCCTAATCTTACTCAATGACCGTTCGTGATCCCATTAGAACATGCAAAACCTCTAGCCCAGCAACCAAGATGCCTTAAATTTACTTGTGTGCTAAAGCGTTAAAATTTTATGAGTTAGAAAACGCCTAGAGCAAACAGGAAATGGTGAGGAACCAAGTAAATCACTTACGGATACCCTCTACAGGCATAGGCTGGACGCCAACAACTTCGGCAGCAAGATGATCCTTCTCCTTTGTAGCCGTCTTATCTTCCTTCATGAATGGGAATGCCAAAACCTCCTTGATGCTGTAGTTGTCGGTCAAGAACATGACCAATCGGTCAATACCCATACCCCATCCGCCAGTTGGTGGGAGACCATATTCCAAACTGGTACAGAAATTCTCGTCGACCATCTGTGCCTCGTCGTCGCCCTGTTCCTTCTGTCTAGCTTGCTCCTCGAATCGCAATCTCTGGTCGAAAGGATCGTTCAACTCGGTGTAGGCATTTACGATTTCCTTCTTGCAAACGAATGCTTCGAATCGTTCACACAGACCAACGTGATCACGGTGGTATTTGGCCAACGGGGACATCATTTGTGGGTGTCCAATGATAAATGATGGGTTGATGCATGTCTCCTCGATGAATTCGCCAACCAACTTGTCGAGCATTCGGGCGTTGGTGAGTGGGGGAGTACATTCAACGTTGACCTTCTTCAAAACCTTCTTCAAAAACTCGTTTGTCTCTTGGGTATGCAGCTGGTCGCCTGGAGGGAATTTCTCACCGGTGGCTTCCTCGAGAGCTGGAATCATTTCAATCTTCTTCCATGGAGCCTTCCAGTTGACTTTGTATTCTTCTCCTGTCTGGGTGTGGAACACAGTCTCATAACCACCAGTAACATGCTTAACAAGTCCAGACACAAGGTCTTCGGTGACATTCATGAGATCATACACATCGGCGTAAGCCCAATAGAATTCACAAGTGGTAAATTCAGGGTTATGAGTAAGATCGATGCCCTCATTCCTGAACTGGCGGCCCATTTCGTACACTCTTTCAAGACCGCCAACGATCAGCATCTTAAGATATAATTCGGGGGCAATTCGCATGAACAGGTTCATGTTAAGGTCGTTGTGATGAGTGACAAAAGGCTTAGCAGTAGCACCACCAGCAATAGCATTCATCATTGGTGTCTCAACCTCGACGAAGTCACGCTCATCAAAGTATCGTCGAATGTAGCTGACGATCTTAGAACGAGTAACAAAAACGTTCCTCGAAGAGTCATTCATGATCAAGTCAAGATATCTCTGTCTGAAACGCTGCTCTTGGTCCTTCAAGCCGTAATGTTCCGAAGGGATCTGGTGAAGACATGGCGAAAGGAGGATAACCTGGCGGGCGAAAATAGAGAGCTCACCATCATCACGGTTCTTTGGGCTGGTACGGCCGGGGAATCCAATGATACCAATAATGTCTCCTCTTCGCAGGTTCTCATGCTGGGCTTCAAAGGATACATCACCTGAGGCCTCCTGGGCCTGGCAGGCAACCTGCACCTTCACACCCTCGGCACGGAGGTCATAGAAGATAAGTTTGGCGCCAGCAGTACGCTTGGTATATATTCTGCCAGCAATGCGCACCTCCTTGTCTGTCATATGCTCTCCCTTCTTCAACGAGTCGTAGTCCTTGAGGAACTTGCGGAGGTCGTCGGTGACATGGAATTTGTGAGGGTATGGGTTGGGCTCCTTGGTCTCCCGGAGCTGGTTGACTTTGGCACTGCGGATCTCGAAATATTGCTATATGGCAACGGCGTCAGTATCGTCCAGCACCATCAATGCGGTAGAACACCGGCAACTCACGTTGGGGGTGAGTTGAGATTCGTCTTCCTCCTTGTTCTTCTTCTTGCCCTCAGCAGGCGCCGCGGCGGCAGCAGCGGCGGCCTTTTCAGCCTTCTTTTCCTCCTGAGCACGCTGCTTCTGTCTTCTCTTCAATTCCGACTTGGACACCTTCTCGCCGGTGACCTCGTCGAGCTGGAGGTTTGCGACAGCAGCCCCCGCCTGGTCAACGGAAGCTTGATCAGCCATGGTTCTTAGCAGTTCGTCTTGCGCTTTCTCTCTTTTTGAGATACCGAGAGCATGAATTGACGGTTCCAGGACGCTCCCTACGGCGCAGACTGGAAGATCTATTTATCGTGGAGGGAGTAAGTGAGTCAAGACGCGCGAATGGCGGGGGTTTGGTGGTGGTTGCCAGGACTCGTGAGTCAAGCCCGTTTTTTTTTTCTTTTTCTCTTTTTTTGCCCACAACAGTTTCATATCCCACATTAGCCACCCCTATTATTTACATACTTATAGATGGTGACAGTCAAGTCTATCATTACGTTGTCCTCAAGAGTATTAGCAAGAGATATAGCAGACATCATTTGTATTTCAAGTAGCCAGATTCATCCCTATTAAGTCTTTCCGGCTTGTCTTGCTTGCCTTCCTACATTGCTAGAGTGATACATTCAAAGTTGATAGTGACACAGCTTGTTGATCGAAAGAGAGCCATACCCCATCGTAAGTCGTCATAAGCTCGAGTTTGAAAGGATAAGACCGTAATCAAGAGTCACATCGTATCCAGGAGTACACCTAACCTAATGAGACTCTTCCCCTACGACGATCAAGGAGCAGGTTCGCAGAAAAGCGGCTCAGGGGTCTTCTCCGCGACTTTCAACCACTCTTGAGCCTTGTCGAGCTTCTCCTTCTCCTTTTGCAGGTGGGTGCGTCTGATCTGTCGCCCGCGATCTTCCGCTATCAGTTCCTGGCACCTTTCGGAGGCTAGATTATGTCGTTAGTGAGTCAGAACTTGAAAGATGGGAGATTCATCATCATCAGGGGCATGGTACACACCATTTTCCTCTAGGATCCCGAGCTTGTGTTCGATGACGTCCCGCAATTCATCCCGACAGCGCATGAACAGTTTGATGTAAATGTTCTGGCAAGTGGTATCGACAAACCGCGATGAAGCAATGTCATAGTAAGCGCGTGAGGCCTGTTCAACGGTCAACTGTAAGCTTCAAGGAATATACCAAAAATGCAACAAGTTTCGATAGTGAGAGGAATAAGATAAGCCCTTACACTCATAATTTCCAGCTCCTTTGCAAACTCGTCAGGGCCCAGCTCCTCCTTGGTCACCTTATTCGGATCAGTCTTAGTCCGTAGGCCTGTAACCAAGTGGTACCCGTCGATAGTTTTGGCATAGCATTTAGCTCTAGCAGCATGGCGCTTCTTGTAGAACGTGTCATAAGTTTCCTCTTGAACACGCTGAAACAGATCATTTGCCATTGTAAATGGCTTCAGACATTCAATATTGAAATGTTCTTCGGCCTGCTCAAAGTGTTCAACTCTGATTGACTCAAGGAAATCAATGATGATGGCTTTTAACTCATCATAGAGAGCCGTTTGCTCATATTGGCCAAATACGGAACGCATCTAGTCTAGCAGAACCTCAGATATCAGGGCGTACGTAACGTTCAGGAATGTTTTCATTGGGTCGCTCCAGTGAGACACGCTGATTTTGTTGATGGCTTCAACTGCATGGGGGTTTCCAAGGCCAGGAACGCCAGAGACATAGGTATCCGTGTTCACATTACGAATTTCTTCGAGGGTGAAAGTTTTTGCTGGTCCTTTGAGGTTTAAAGTCAGTGATATAGCGGTGATAGAGGGGACTTTTTAAAAACTTACTTGCAAAGCAATCGAAATGGCCATTGGCTTGAACCATGGATTTTGTAGACGCATGGCCATTGGACACATCTCCTACTTTCATCCGTTTCAGGTCGGTTTCTTTGTTTGAGCCGTTCTCCTTAAATTTACGTTTGCCGTTTGCTTGAGCATCGGCAGCTGTATCGTCATTCGGGCCATCTGGACTGGCCGATGGGGCCTGAAGATCAACGGAAGATTCGAGCAAACGTACGGTAGGTCTAGATTCGGCAAGGTACAACTTGAATTCAGAAGCGAGTGAGCCCCATCGCTTGAGGAAGGGGAACTTAGGTAAACCACCATCGACATGCAACTGGACATTGTTCATGAAGACGTTAAGCTTCTGGCACAAAATGTAGGGTATGTTGGCAGATGGCGGATTCGGCAACTTGCTAAGTTCATTCTGAACATGTCTAGCTTGTGTATTGATCTTATCAATGATACCGGGCAGGGAATCTTGGATCTGTTTCAGGAGAAGCCTCGAGAGGGCCGCCTGCAGACGACGAGTGCCGAATCGGTCATTGTATTCGACTAGCTCCGTTTGCCAGGGCGGGTGTGAAAAAAAGTGAAGCTCTTCTTCACGGGCAGTTGCATGGTCGACTCTTGGATCAGGATTGTTTTGGACAACGTAATATCCGTGTCCGGTTGAGAACTTCTCCCCTCGTAGGATTTCGCGCCACTGATCATACTCATTTCCATTCTTGAGCTCGACGCGATCTGGCTTGGTCAAGACGCCTAGAGTTCGCTTTCTAGCACCGGGAATATCGCGGATGATTCGTGCGGCGCTAGAGTTTGTTGCGTCATCCGTCATTGGCAGGGTAAGTAGGACAATGCAATTCTGAGCGCGGATATATTCCTTGACCAAATTCTCGACCAACGTAACGAGGTATTTCTCTTCGTCAATTTCCGCGACGTTTATGACGCCGGGTAGGTCGTAAAAAGATAAGTTCGGAAACCTAGGAGCTGTGATGTCCAGGCGGACGACGTTGGGAGAAAACTTGACCTGAGTGTAAGTTCCATCCGCGTCCTGGTCGTCGCCCGGCACGAAGTCGGTATGACTGCGTCCCGGGTTGAGAGTGGCTAGCTGAGCCCACTTGAGGTGTTCTTGGAGAGCAGCCTTATCCGTCAGCGTAGCGAAGTGGAGCTCCTCAGGGTCTTGTTCAATCCATGGTCCTAGCGGTTTGGCATGGGTCGCCCGTTGCGCGCGTCCAGAGCTGTCAAAGACGTACTTTTTCATGAGTAAAACTTTACACGTCCATGGGGAATCAGCAGAGTCGCTCTCCGCCAGATTGATTTCCAAAGGGCACCTTGTACAGCACCCAGCACTCCTCGGGACTTTGATCTCACTCATGCCCTCGATGAGTGAACTTTTCCCGACACTCTGGTCACCGACGACGACGATCTTTGGCAGTGGCAAGCCATGATTTTCGATACCTAGATGCCGTAAGTCCTGGATCTTCTTAACCACGGCTCGCATATTTTGTGCGATCAAGTTTATCGAGGTATTTCCGTCACCATCTTGAAAAGACGGCGTCTTATCTCTCACAGTGCCTAGAATAAGGATGAGTATAGAAACGACAGTAGATCTAGATATTCCATGAGGAGCCTTACGTGGAGAATAGCCACCCTCTTCGTGGTTTTGATGACGTGCCATATCCATTCCCAGGTTGATGCAAACCCTTTCTAACTGCCTGGAAGGGAGGGTGGATATGTATCAGATTGCGAGGTAGCAACGGCGAGATAGTTATGGTATCTCAGTGACCCTGTGGTCTTGATGAGCAGGTAAGTTGTCTCTCGATACAGATATCAAGAGAGTATTGTGGGGGGGAAGCGGAGTGTGGGCTAGCTCTGGTATTTAGCGAGCTGAGTATAAAGAAAACCCTGCTCTATAGACAAAAGTGAGGCTAGGGAAATAGCAAGATAGTATTGCTAAGCTGATAGTCAATATCACAGTGTGTTTGGGATCATAGCAACAAAAGTGGTGGAATCTCCCAGCCCCGCTGTAGAATATTCTTCTACCATGGCAGGACCTGACAATAACACACCAGACAAAGAAAACACAAGTCACACTTGTCATGGCACTAGCCCATGCCTAAGAGAAAGCTCATCTCATGTCCTCTGATACTGTCCTGTAGCTTCCCATCATCGGGGAGCTACAGCTGGACATCCCTTCAAACACAGGGTATACCACAAGCAGGCCGCCCAACTCGCAGGGCCACAGTCTATTCCTCCTAGACATATATCAATATATCACCTATATCAATAGTATATCCAGTAAATCTCGATATACCATCGTCGTCGTCCTCGTATAAAACTGGAGGTTGAGGTTGAGGTTGAAGTTGCCCCTGAAAAAGGGACGAAAACACGTGGGGTCACGGGAGCTCGTGGTTCACCGCCCAGAAAGCACCAAGATAGGAGCTTAGTACTGCCTCTCTCAGCTTCAAAAGAGTTGGCATCTAGACACTTTCCCCCCTGCACACAGGCACAGGAAAGACCTCTGTTCACTTGTTTTAAAAAGGCCTCTTTCAAAGCATGCTTGCAGCACCCTCTACAGCTTCAGCCATGGCATCAACAAAAGCAGTCATCCTGGTAACTAGGCCACCCGCAGCTCTCTCCAAACATGACAACACATCCGCTCCCCCTTTTTAGACAATGACTGATGATTCTTTCGCTATACCGTAGGTCGGCGGACCATCTAGAGGAACTAGATTCAGACCTCTCTCCCTGGATATGCCCAAGGTGTGTTATCTTAGCTGCCCGCTCCATCTACAACGGCCAATCCACCCCGCATAGTCGCCTCTCAAGCCACGTCAAAGCGCTAATCGTCCCAGCCCTTGTTCGAAGTCGCAGGTCACCCCATCATATTTCACTGCTTGAAGGCTGTCGCGAAGGTCCCTGGAATCCGTGAAGTTATTCTCGTTGGATACTATGACGAAACCGTCTTCCGAGACTTCATCAAGTCCGCCAGCACGGAGTTCCCCCAATTCCGTATCCAGTACCTCCGCGAATATCAAGCTCTCGGCACCGCAGGAGGCCTGTATCATTTCCGTGATGCTATCCTTAAGGGCCGTCCAGAGAGATTCTTCGTGCTCAATGCAGATGTCTGCTGCTCGTTCCCGCTGGGAGAGATGCTCAAGCTCTTCGAGGAGAAGGATGCGGAGGCCGTCATCCTTGGAACCCGTCTCAGTGACGATGCTGCCACCAACTTTGGTTGCATTGTCTCCGATACTCACACCAAGCGAGTTCTCCACTACGTTGAGAAGCCAGAGTCACACATCTCCAACCTGATAAACTGCGGTGTCTACCTGTTCGCTACCGAATGCATATTCCCGTCCATCCGCAGCGCCATCAAACGCCGCACCGCCCGCCCTCGTCTACTTTCTTACCCATCATCCGAAAACCTCGAATCGTCCTACGTTGCACAGGATGATTCCAATGAAACTCCTGAGATCCTACGTCTCGAGCAGGACATCCTCCCCGACCTCGCGGACAGCAATCGCTTCTTTGTCCATGAGACCAAGGACTTCTGGCGTCAGATCAAGACTGCTGGCTCCGCTGTACCCGCCAATGCCCTCTACCTCCAAAAAGCCTTCCAGTCTGGCTCTGACGAGCTGGCTGCTCCCTCCGCCACGATCGTCCCACCAGTCTACATCCACCCGTCTGCCACCGTCGACCCAACCGCCAAACTAGGACCAAACGTCTCTATTGGTGCCCGTGCAGTCGTTGGTCCAGGTGTCCGTATCAAGGAATCCATTGTCCTTGAAGACGCCGAGATCAAACACGATGCTTGCATCTTGTATTCTATCATCGGATGGAGCAGCCGGGTTGGTGCCTGGGCGCGTGTTGAAGGTACCCCCACCCCGGCCGGCAGTCATTCCACTACCATCATCAAGAACGGTGTCAAGGTCCAGAACATCACTATCTTGGGTAAAGAGTGTGGTGTTGGTGATGAAGTTCGTGTCCAGAACTGTGTTTGTTTGCCATTTAAGGAGCTGAAGCGCGTATGTTTATATTCCCCCCCCATCCTTCCCCTCATTCTTACGTGTTCTCATCTAACTTCTTATCATACAGGATGTTGCAAATGAAGTCATCATGTAGACACCTCAAACATCATAGACGACTCTTTATCTATATCTTGCACACAATTGTCTCAATTTCCCCCAAAATAATGACAAAAGAAATGTTGAATGTTTTGATCTTCCTAATGGCCCCTTTTGGTTTTTTTAAATTATCAGCTTTTTTTTGCTTTATATGCTATGTCTGCAATGTGGCGTGATGTTAATTAAACTTCTATCAAACAAGAAAGGCCCCATGCAATGACAATATCCATTACTGTTTATAGCTGAGCATAATAGTGTAGGGTACAGGGGGCTCCCTGGCGGTAACACATCTCTCGCTTCTGCCCTCTAATCGCCGTTGACTGTGTAATGAAACAATAGATTCGAGTGAAGTGTTTTCCTCATGCTTGGTTATAGTTAAGCTTTCTAGGGGCCGTTAATTAGGACCGGCCTCGAGCCACGTTCGGCATTCTGTCTCACATACTCTCCTTATCTACCTAATAATTACACAGGGTTACATTTAAGACCCATGAACTATGATCTACGTTCGACGCATCACGTAGCACAAGCTCGACTAGTATTCTAATAAATAAATATAAATATGTTCTAGAAGGTAGAAATAGCTTCAGGAGGAAATCAAATATCATTACAGTTCGTGATTATATACTAAGGCTAAACAATGGCATGGTGCTTAGAAGGATGATGCAACGTAAACATAACTGTATGACAAGTGGCCCTTGAAGCGTTGAATAATTCATAAGTCAGGCAACATGATAAATGAGCTTAGGGAGCACCCAAATCCATTGTACTCATACTTGATAGTCAGTTCCGGAATTTAACAGGGCCGCCAGAGTATTAAACGAGATGAGACATACTAATCAGGTCCCTTTATTTTGGTGCGGTTGCGCAAAGGGTCAAGGTGATATCAGCATCCCTCTGGCAGGCAGAGGTGAACTTCTGGCCCGCAGGAGGGACACCATTGGCCCACCAGATATCTGGGCAGTTGGGGTTGGAGGTCGAAACCAACAGGCCGCTGGTGCCGGCGAAAGCATCACCAAAAACGTCCGACAGGTCATAGAAGGTATTGGAGTTGGTCAAGGTGTATGCGAAGATAGTCTGTGGGGAACCGTTGTAGATTCCATCCTTGGTGCGGGTTATCTTAAGGGCAATGCCTCCGCTAACAGGATCGTAGCGGAATTGTTCGGAGTAAGTGTGTCCCGGGGTGATAACGTTCTGAGGGCCAACTTGGCTGCCAACAGACCAAAGGTAGGCGTTGTTATCACAGTGGTTCTCGACGATGGCGTGGCCAACGGCAGCAGTGAAAGGGGCGATGGCCGCAATGGCAGTAAGGGCAATGGCCTTGAATTGCATATTGATGGTTTTGGATGAAACTGGTAATGATATTATTGGAGTTGAAGATTTGGAGTCGATGATGATGATAATATGGGCAACCAAGGGGAATTGAGCCCATATTTATACCATTGGGGAGGAGGACCGTTGAACAATTAACAGGCAATTGATGTCTTACCTGTTCTCATAAAGTTTGAAGGAATCTATTGTTTGAATCCATGAACGATACGAAGTCGAATGGCAATAGCAAAGGATCGCACTGCCACTGATCCACCAGTGCCATTGGCGTGAAGCGGTGCCATCGATCAGAATAGCCATCCTAGGACTAAAATTATCATCCGAGTCATGATTTGCAAGGTATCTAAGTTAGCTTTTGTCTAGTTCCGGGGAGTTTTACTTCCCCGAAATATGAAGGTGGCATATATCCATAGTAAACCGACAGGAGGGTATCTGTATCGTACTTGGGAGAGACGTGGGCGAATCACATTGTTATAGAGGATATTAACTATGCAAACAGCCACTTTACCAGAGGCTAGGGCCCAGTGACATCAACAGTTGAATTGTCGGATTCTCCGCAAAGGCCCGTATTGCAGAGTTGACGTGAGAAAAAGACTAAGGACAGCCGTTGGAGAGGTTTCAGATTCAAGGAACACTTATAAGACGAGCATTTGATATCGGAATCGAGATCCTCAGGCTAACCCGAAAGAATTGTACATGACAAGCAGGGTAGCATCCGCTGAATGCTACCTTACTCTTCGAAATATGCATAATCCCTTGCTCCAAGTATTATGTCTCGCTTTAAGCAGAGATATTTATTTTGCAAGGAGCATCCCAAAGCTAAGACGTAGCTATATTCAGCCATCATTTGGATCATGTTGAAGAGGTAACTTTCTGGTCCCGAGCAGCCAAAAAACAGATGCAACCAAGGCTGTGGAGCAATGAAGTCACATCAGATCAGATCAGCTATATTCCATAGATCCAATCGATCTAGTGGGGCCCGTTTTAAGACATTCACAGGCTAGTAGTAGAAGAAGAAGCAGGCTGAGAACATGTTGCCTGCGAATTTATTGCGGGAAAGTCGGATGGAAGTTGATGTTGAGTTTAGGGCCCATCCCATGTCGATCATATCGGACGTGAAGCTAGCCACGATCATGGAGCTAGGATATAGCAATTGCAGTAAGCAGGAATGTCTTAAAATACGAATGTTTGAACAATTGGCATTGCAGCGCCCCCGCATCCATAGAAGTTAGGCGTTTTGCTCGGCTAAGGGCGAATTGTGGAATCTCTGGGACCTGAGAAGCTTCTCCGAGCATGGTTGAGGTGGTATAGACCATGGTTCTGGTTGCTATTATTAGCTGATATCCGCGATTGAGCATTCACCTAAAGTTCTCTCTCCTTAACGGCACAAGTTCAGCTGTCAGGTAAAGGTGTCGGCAGCCTTTACATCGAGGATTTTGCAGGTTGGCTAGCTGAACGATGTTCCATCCTTCGTATGTAAAGGTGGTATGCATATTTAGCGAGGGAGCAATGCGTCTCTGCGTTTTCTGAATTTGTTGAGAATCTACTCCGGGGAAACAGGTCCGATGCACATAGCGATGCACATATTGCTTCTTCTCAGGATGCGAGTATGAATGATCCCTGGATGTCTCTGCCATGCGACAGGCATGGATGGCTCGCTACGAGCTGGCTTCCTGCCATCCTTCGTATTGTGGCAATGACGTAATAGCATCCTTGAGGCTCAGCCTGTCTTCGTGATGTCTTTGGGCTCTCAATTCTCCTCGTACTCTGTAGCTGCTTTGTACAGTTAAGAAGAACTCACTAGAGGAGTGATTGGTCTATAGCATAGACTCGCCATGAAGTCTCGATTGGCGGATATCGAACCATACCCATCAGACACTGATTCCCCGCCAGCATACGAAGCTGCTGTAACTGGCGCGGGCACTCAGGTTGCACCTCCAAAAGCACAGCAGTCAAGCGGTGCAGTGACCCTGACCATAAATGGCAAATATATTTACTCATCTGCCTCCCCTGGTGAGCAGCCAGTCTATAGTCTCACCCACGCTCTAGACGGCCACGAGATAAGCCAATATGGGGTCCTGTTAACACGTATCGAACAACGGACGGTGTCTTCAGCTTCGCAAAGCGGGCCAACCACCAAGACGGTGAAACGCGATGTTTTTGCGCTTCGTGATGCGCCGCTCCTTCACATAGGTCACGCGCGTTACGAGATAGATGGCCGGCGATATTTTTCCGATAAACGAGGTCAGATGAGTAGGAGTTCCTACGGCATCAGATCGGGGTGGGCTGCTTGGGGCAAGGGGCTGCCATCTTTCGTTCTTGAGCGATCCGAGAGCGGTAATGCTAGCACGGCCGGTGAGACAACTGGTTCGTCGTTCTACGAATGGCGTGAGAAGGAAAATGGTCCGTTAATTGCGATGGAAACGCGAAGACGATGGGACATGGACAGTAAAACGGAGATATCCCCGCCCAAGCTGGATTTGATAAAGAGTTGGAATGATTTCGATAGAGAGTATTTGGATTTTATGGTTGCTGCTTGGTGCATGCACAATTGGCGAGAGGCCAAAGAGGTCACAAAAGAGCCCATAACTTGGGATGAACGTGAGTCGTATCAGTATCTTCCTCTGCAATGGGGGTATCGTTATCTTGAATGCGTATAAAGTCACGGCTTCTGTCTGCTAACCATCCATCCCATCAATAGTTAAAGAGCAGGCCCGAGTCACAGCCGCAAAACGAAGGGCACAAGGTTGGTCGGCAGGTCGTCAAGGGTTTGGTTTCGCTGGTATTGCATTATGATATCGCATCCCTCGTAGCTGGTGATACTCCAGAAGTGTTCGTTCTTGAATCGAGGCGTAAACTTCCTTTGGTCACCTTGCGCCTCAGGTTCATGGGAAAACTATAGCTCTATATAAGTTGGGGTGAAACTGCTGTCGAAGTAAACCTTTTTTTAGTCTATACCGCGTATTTGGATAGTTAAAACGTCCGGTATAAAAATTGTATATAGCCATGCCATGCTTTTAGGGATATTTCAGGCCGTTACTAATCCATCTTCGTGATAAATACCAGCCTGTATTACAAATCAATATGCACTTCGGCCTTTTCTATATAAACCCGCGAGTTTGGTGAGTTTGGAATCATCAAAAATATGTCCTGAGCATGATTTCCAACGGCAAAAGCTCGCTCATGATAAACGCCTGCGGATGAAGCTGACAGATCATAGAGGTCTCGATTGAAGGGCCGAAGTGTTAACCTTGATCATTATAAATATAACCGCAACGATCTCTAGTCGTCTATAACCGCCTTTCTACCTTTGACGTTTTATTATATCTTAGCTTATACACCCTGTGGAGGCTTAAGGCCCTACAAGCTACTCTTCTCTAAATCCAGAAGCTGGAATCTAACACCATGGCTTTCGTGCTAGCGGGAGAAGTTCAATGGCACGACGGGGAGGAGAAAATGCACCAGCTCATGCGCGTTCCGTATGAAGAGAACCCAACGGCTTCCTTCCTAAGCCCCGGTGCAGCTGCACTAGCACAAAGGTGCCCTCTACTCGCCTTAGGAACGCTTGACAAGCAAGGACGGCCGTGGAGTACGGTATGGGGAGGGCAAGCCGGATTCGTTGGTCCTGTTGCTCAATCCGTTATTGGCATTAGGAACGTCATCGATGGAACTTATGATCCTGTTACGGAAACGCTACTTGGTGGTGAACTAGCCGGTACAATTGTTAAAGAATCAGGCCCTGGGAGGCTCATGTCTGGACTACCTGTTGACTTGGAAAATAGGAGGCGAGTCAAGCTAATGGGGCGTATGGTAGCAGGCTCTATGGAAGAGAGTACCCCCAAGGATTCTGATAATGAAAGTACAGATGATAATTCCATGGGCAAAGCAGCTCAAGTACAGCTGGTTATGAAAGTTGAAGAAAGTTTAGGTAAGATACCAATTTTCCTTGCACCCCTTTTACGAGCTCGCTATATATAGATACTGACATATTTCCCTAGGGAACTGCCCCAAATATTTGAATAAAAAGCATATAATTCCTGCAACTCCCCGACCAAAGCTCATATCGGACTTACCTCAGCTTCCCAAAGGAGCACTTGACCTACTCAATCGAATAGACACGCTATTTGTGGCCAGTTCATACGAAAATAAGTCGATGGACTCCAATATTCGCGGGGGTCCATCGGGTTTTATTCGAGTATTATCTAACGACAGTACAGGCGCTGTCCTAGTTTATCCTGAATACTCAGGTAACCGCTTATATCAGACCTTAGGCAACCTCCAAACAACGCCGTTGGCTGGCTATGCATTTCCTGATTTTGAGTCAGGACATATACTGTACATAACCGGGAAAACGGAAGTTTTAATTGGGAAAGATGCAGCTAGGATATTGCCCAGATCCAATCTTGCTGTCAAGGTCACAGTTACTGCTGCCAGATATGTTGAGCATGGGCTTTCATTTCGTGGGGAACCAAGGGAGGCATCCCCTTATAACCCAGAAGTACGATACCTTGCTTCTGAGAAACCAGCCCCTGGCACCCGACTATCCGACAGCAGCGATATGAAAGTGATTTTAGTCAAAAAGGACGTTATAACCCCAACAATAAGCAGGTTTCGATTCAAAACATCCGACCCATCAACAGCTCTCAAATGGCTCCCGGGACAATATGCAACCCTCTCATTCCAGGAAGAATTAGATATGGGGTACAGCCACATGAGGGACGATGACCCCGCCAGCATCAATGACGATTATATTCGTACTTTCACCGTGTCGTCACATCCCGGACGCAACTTGGCCAAAAACGAATTCGAAATAACCGTTCGGAAAAAGGGCAATGCGACAAGCCACCTATTCAGATCTAGTGAACGGAGCGGGCTAGAGCTTTCACTTCGCGGGTTCGATGGTGATTTCCGGTTCGAATGTTGCAATGCAGATCATAGCCCTGATCAGGATAATTCCATCCTCCCCTTTATCGCGGGCGGAATAGGGATCACCCCCGTTATTGCGCAACTGCCCGATATCGATATATCAAGGTTAAAGCTCTTTTGGTCTATATCACTTAAAGATATCGGGCTAGTATACGATGTTTTTGAGAAATTCCCTGAGCTACCCAAGGCCACGATATTATTCCTTACTTCCGCGTCTGCGTCCGCCGAGGAAAGCCTTGACGAAGGTGAGAAAAAGAAGTTGGCGTCAGTGACTAGCTCAGGGGCTTCAATAGAACGCCGTCGACTGAAGCATGAAGATCTATCCTCCGTTCCCGATTCTGACGTTTGGTATCTTTGTGCTGGCACTGAATTGAAAACAGCTGCCACCAATTGGTTAACGGGCAAGAGGCTTGTATACGAGGATTTCAACTATTGACAGTCACCACAAGTTGCTTAAATGGATTCTAGCGTTAATACACTTCGAGAATTTCGGTAACGGTGCTCCAGAATGTAATATCCAGTTCACATAGGTAATTAAATATTATCCTTGATGTATGGTTCATTTAACCGTATTCCTTCAGTACTCTTTTGTGTGGGAAGCTTTAGTGTTGTTTGATGACGCCAGAACTTCTGCCTGGTTCAAGAACGTCAACCCCCGGAGAAACAGAACGAGATATCCAGAAACGCCATATAAACCCCCAGTAATCAACTGCTTGCGGCTGCATTAACCGATTTACTTCACTTTTCATAAATTGTCAACTTGAATTAGCCGTCACAATGGCTACTTATGAAGGTTGGTTCCTCTTTTTATCCCTCTCGCGGGGTTGATGGCAGCAACTACACCAAGTTCAAGCTCCCTCGAGAAGCTTAGAATATATTACTCTTCGTTCTCTAAACGCTAATAACTATCACAGTTGAACATTCTACGGCCGAAAATAACAATACTGCGTCCTCGGGTACCTCGCGCCAACCGGGCTCTCATCGCTCAACCCGTCCAGACCTCTCCACGTTTTTCGCTACCCTCAATGAAATCAGCCCCTATCAAGGCGAGCAAAGGACACGGCCACATGCTGTCCCTGTACCAGGCGATGTGAGCGCAGCCTTTAGGTCGCTCGCAGAAGCATTCGATGTTATGAGGCGCGGCGGGGATAATGCACCACTACCCATCTACGACGGCCGGGACCCTGAGATCGGCAATACAGAGCAAGGGCCGTTGATAGAAGAGATGATCCGGGCTCTTTTACAAGAGGCAGAAGCTCCTCCACGCGAAGTGGAAGGTGTATCGGAGGAATTTTGTGATAGTAAGTAACCCTACGATTCAATCACCAGCTTTCACTAACCAGCTACAATTCAAAGTGCTCGATCGCATCCCTACTTCGAAACTAAAGGAATCTCAAAGCTGTCCAATATGCAATAACCCCTTCCTGGAAGACTCACACCCACTCGTTGTGAGGCTTCCCTGCCATACGTCACACTTATTCGACCTGGAGTGCGTACGGCCATGGCTACGGCTTAGAGGAACATGTCCTCTTGACAGGACAGATTTTGGAAAGAAAGAACGTCAGAAAGAACAAGAGAGATTAGAAAGACTCATGAAGAAGTCTAACGGACTTAATGATGACGATGATGAAGAATGGGATGGCATGTATGCATAGGAGGGTTAATTTAGTGATTAGGCAGAGAGGATGTTTCCTTGAGCCTAGCGAATCCAGACGTATTTGGAAAGCCCTTCGGCCCAGGTTTATGCCTCCTACATTCTTTTTTTATTATCCCCTTTCTGATGGGCCAAATACCCCAATTCCCCGGTACGTCCAGACAACACTCCTTGAGAATACCATTCTTGCAATATCACAGAAATAGTGCCATTTTTGTGTTGGATATGGACATTCTTCATCTACCAGTGAGGCATGAGCGGCGGGCCGATATACCATTTTAAATGGATTGGTGTGGGCAAGGGATGACCATTTTTCCTTGAATGCCGTATTTTGGCTGCTATAACAATGTCATAGCCTTACGTCGAATTACTATTTCCCACTTACTTGCCCATTATCCATATAATTTCCATTCCTCACTTTTAATGTGATGGAACTTCCCAGCCACAAGCACAAACCCCTATCCATATAGGCGTTAGTTTCCTATATATATTTACTATATATTGCGCCACCATCTTTACAGATTTCACACCTCGTTCTCTTCCTGGAGATCTCTGAACGCCAGCTACAAAGGCCATTAACAATCATCCGCAAACAAAATGTCCTATACAGACTTCGAAGACGTCGACCATGCAACAGCCAACCTTATACTGCAGCTCCAGCTTGATGACCTACAGAGTATTCGGGAAGGCTGCAAAGGAAAGGGACGCGAGGGTGACTTATCAGATATCGACTTGCCGTTAGAAATTCATAACAAGCGACTCACCACATTTGCACATGGCCTCAGGGACCTAGCTGTGGCACGCAGCATTGCAGCTGCAGTCCAGAGCGATGGACAGGAAATCTACAACTGCACTGAAGAAGAAACGCGTTCCTACCAGGATCGTCTGTTTGCGTGCCGTTTAGGAGGCATAGAACCGCCTAGCGAACCCGTCTTCACCCTCCCCGACATTAGGGATCTCAATAACGAGGCGACTGACAGTGAGCAAGAATCCTCGTCATCTACTGATTACCGCAATGAGCGTCCCGCCGAGGTCATGAAATGTGAAATCTGTTTCACCGAGGTCAACAATACCAACTCTGCACGTCTGCCCTGCCATCATCCATATTGCCGTGCATGTCTTCAACAGCTATTCGAATCATCCCTGACAGACGATTCTCTCTTCCCTCCCAGATGTTGTCGGCAACATGTTGTAGTAGAAACCGTCGAAACGCTGCTGACGACGGATCTAATTGCATCTTTCAAGGAGAAAAAGCTCGAATTTGAAACGAAGGATAAGACGTACTGTTCTTCACCTTCATGCTCCAAGTTCATGCGCCCTGAGAATATTGAAGGTGAATGTGCTTCGTGTCCACATTGTAACACTACCACTTGCACGGTCTGCAAATCTGCTGCGCACGATGGAGAAGATTGCCCGAAAGATACTGTTCTAGCGGAGGTGCTCAACTTGGCTACGGAGAACGGATGGCAAAGGTGCTACTCTTGTAAACGTGTGATTGAGCTCGACACTGGATGTTACCACATGACGTAAGGACCAGACCTACATATATTGATTCTACCTTAGTTGCCCCTACTAACCCATCCTTCTCCATTTTCTAGCTGCCCTTGCTCTGCCCAATTTTGTTATTGTTGCGGTGTTCAATGGAAAAAATGCACTTGCGAGCAATGGGATGAGAACCAATTAATCCGGCGTGCAAACCAAATTGTTGACCGCCGCCCTAGGAACCCGACGAATCGTGTTGTGCAAGTTGCAAGGGCATTGCGCAATTTACAGGAGCGACATAATTGCAGCCACATCGAATGGTCCCTTGTGCATGGTAGCCATCGCTGTGAAGAGTGTAGGACGCGTCTGCCAAACTACATTTTGGAATGTGATGCTTGTGAGCTCCAAGCATGTGTTCGGTGCCGTAGAAATCGACTATAATATCACTCTATCATCAGTTATCCCGGCATACGAGACAGTAGGCCTTGAACTGGTAACTATACCGTGATTTATCACTTTCAGACAATCTCCACCTCAGTGTACCTTTACCCTCATTGTTCCTCCTGCTAGGCATTATTCGCACATCAGCCCCCTCGAAATTACTGGAAATTGTAGAATTAGCAACCACCATACAATACAGGGATCAGGAAAGCAAAAAAACGTTGTCAAATGTCCTGTTTTCAATTTCCCTATCATCAAATTCATTAATATTTCACCAACCCTTACTTCCAAAGACAAGATAGAAGCGTGGTATCTGTACAAAAAAGCTTCTGGCCTAGCTAGTCTGCGGAGGAGCCCCATTGACCTCCTTTGTACGAAGCGAAAGCTTCCCCGTCGGGCCCAAAACAGCTTCATATCCGCTCTTCTCTAATACCCGCGAATCATCCTGGACGACTTCTCTAGCTTCTAGCTGTTCTACTAGCTTTTGATTTTCCCGATTCCCTTCAAGCAAAAATTTCAAACACATAACGGCATGTTCCTTAATATATGGGTTATGCGCATCAAAAGCCGTGCAGGATAAAATAGTTTCTATACCGCCGTACTTTCGAATCTGATTCTGCACTTGTGGACATTTCCAGACAAGAGAAGAGAGCACCAGTATAACCAGCTTCTTGAGGTTGCGCCATTCGAATTCAGCAGGGTCCTCGTTGCCAATTGGCGGGGAAGGAACTCTAGATTCTGCGCCAACAGTGGCGGTGTCAATGGGCTCGGAGTCGTTAGGGTCGTATGGTCGCTCCACTGCTACTGGGGCAGTGTTAACGCTGCCGTTGTCGGAAGCTGGAGGTTCATTAGATGGCGTCTGTTGGGATGGCCTTGAAGCTGCTGCCGCGGCTGCCTGTGTAAGCGAGCTGAGCGACCCCTTAGGAATGCTAGCCTCTAGTTCTTTAATTAACGTAACTAAGTCGTAGACAATCTCCCATTGGACAAGGAGGTTCTTCCATTCAGTATTCTCTGTCAAGACGGCAAAGAATTCAAGGAATTGGTATACTCCTTCATAAACCCGTTCCATATCCCACAGATTCAATGGGAAATCCTCGGGAAGGGCGTGCCCAGCTCGAATCTGGCCCTGGAGATAGATCAAAGCACATGTCTCTGGAATGATGTTGCCGCGAAAAATGGTGAATATATAACGGACTGTCAACACGTCAACTTTCGTGACAGCAACAGAGCTTCTCCCAGTGGGGGTTTCGGTTGTAGAGGTAATGTTTGGCGGCGAATACTTTGACCGGAAAATGTGGGTAAGAATTTTAATAACGACAGCTTGAGCTGGCGATATAATATCCTTAGCCTGACCGAAATCAGAGTAAGCATGTGACATAAGGCCATTGTTCAAGACAGCTTCCATGATTTGAACCATCATTTTGAAATAAAGCTCATCATCAGGGAGATCCCATGCTGCAATGAATATCAGAAGTTCCCTGAGGAGATTTCGCCCGGTCTCTTGTGCCAGTAAAATGTGGCAACGGACAGCTTGCATGTTCTTTGATCCTGTTTTAGGACCACCTTTCGGACCAAAGCTGTCCACGATACCAGCTTGGATTAACATAGGGAGTGCCTCAATTTCTGCAGGCCCCAAAACCAAGGGAATATCAGTCAATAAGCCCCGTTGCTGGTCTCCTGGACGCCCCCTATAATCATCGTCGTCGTCCTCCTCGTCCTCCTCTTCCTCAACACTTCCATCCGCAACTGCTTCTAAGCTTCGAGAATCATCATCTGCAACCCCGCTGCGATCCATACCATCATAGTTATGTTCACCCTCAGTAAGAATGGGTGAAGTTTCTTGGAGGCGCGTCATAAGCTCATCCTTAGCTTCCTGGAGGGTTTCAGCTGCGGACTGTGCAGAACGCGTCATGGTTCTGTCCTCAGCAGTTACTGGCGCATCAACTGCAGATATAACGCCATACTCATCAAGATTCGGGAAATCGGTCCAACAAGTACGTGGGAACCCTGCTGTGGCACTTCTGTCAATACTTAAAATTGGCTTCTTGCGAGTAGGCTCCTCCTCCACCCGAGACGGGCCTGTTTGACGATCATTTAAATCTGCCCAGCCGTCAACCTTTGCGCCTAGAATGGCTGTAAGAGCGGCACGGATTTCTTTAACACGCTCTGGATCTTTGCCCATTTGCTGAATTTCTTTCAGATTCCGGCCAAGAAGTTTTTCCATGTGATCCTTAATATTAGCTAATAGCAACATGGCGGCCTCCTCCTTTATTGTTGCTGGTTCTCGTGGGAAGGACGAGATGGTTTCTAATAATAAGTCTTCTGCAGTTTGATCATAAAGAGTCCTAAGCGGTGGGTTTACGAGCCTTTCGCCAGCTCTAACAACCGGCGCAAGCCCTTGAGCGGCGGTATTCGATTGATCCAGCGGTTCCATATGAGTGATAATGCTGGATTCGCCATTCTGGTGATAGCCAAAAAGATCCAGCCAGAGGACAAGTTTTCGGTGCTCATTGTGCATAATAAAATTATGGAGAAATTGGAGGCAGGTAATCAGCAAGCGTTTGTAGAGGCTGACGACCTTTTGCCATCTCTCCTCGTTTCTCGCGTTGCTTTCTCCATCATATCCTCTTGCTGTCACCCTAACGCAAGTATCAATGAGCATCAAAATTCGCTGGTCGAATCCCTTCTCAGCAGCTAGATTTTGCGCCTTCTTGGTGGTTGCAAGTAGGTTCCGTGCGATCGTGCACAAATCGTTCAATCTCTCGATATCCTTAACCAACGGAAAATAGTTATAAGCGATCAGGTTGGACGAGGAGCCATCATAGTTTGCTGATGAGGGGTTCTTCCAGGCGAACGATTGGGATTCAAGGACGGGAATAGCTTTAGTGAGCACATCAGTAAGCCCCTGCCATATAGCAGGCGAGAATCCTAGATTTTGTCTACAAATACCGGTTGAAAATTAGCTCCACGCAATAGTTTTGTACCAGAGGATACACTTGAAAATCCCGGGCCGTGATAGCCTGGTGAGTAAAATGACAAAGGCTCTCATACCTTACGTCGCTTTCCTGGTGACTTTTGTATAATATTTGCTTGCCCGCAAGTAACATATGCTCCAGTCTCTTATCGTCAATCATCCCACGAGTTTCATAATGGCTCAAAGTCCCTGCCAAAACCACCTTTAAAAGGAGCTCTGGTGGGGTACATTTAGGGGCACGCTGCGTATTGCCATCTTCCGCAACCTCCTGCGCTACCGACGAAGCCATCGTTTGAAGTTGAAGTCGAAGAGTGACCGGTTGAATGTTTGAGGGGAAAGTGCTTGATGGAGTCGTTGATTTTGTGATAACTGCGGACCTTCGGCAATTCAGTTTTGCCGGCTCCGGCTTATCGCAAACCCTAATTTGTATAGGGAGAAAAGAAATATCAAAGGAGTCATGGTAATGAATGTCATTGTGTTCCATTAAAATTGTCTAAAGGCGATAGCTAATATATTCTAGTAAGTATAACACTATTCCATATGAAAGACAGAATCACGAAGGTTCTCCCAGAAACCTAAATCGTATATATTAACAATCTCCTTGAGATTTTGTACCTGAGTCCATCTGGTGTCAATCGGGGCATTGTGCCTATGGGGTTGCTTGATTGAATTACGCTCATCAGTGAACGAATAACCTACCCTCGGCGGTTGACCGTTTGTGTAAATAAGGGTTCGATCGCTTCGTTTAGGCCAGGCAATGTCTTCATCTTTCGGAGCAGTCGAGTTTTGAGGCCGCGGTCGCACCTCCTTCGCTTTCGCAATATATGCATAGCCATCTGCAATATCGTCACGCCATTCTCCCCACTTACTACTTTCATTCGTAGTCATCCCCGACCATATAAGATAGATATGGTAAAGTAGCATCACCGAAGAGAGGGGGGCAGTCAATGACGAAAGTAAAGTAATTGCGCCGATTCGGAGGTCGTCTGTAAGAGCAAGGAGCCAAAAGTCGAAGTACATCATAAACGGGACTCCTGTGCTCCAGTGATGAACCGTTGCCATACCGGGCACACCCGGGTTGACCACTCGCTGTAATGTTTCGTCCATGAGCAAATAACCAAGGTACGCGCCATAACAGAGCAGCACAGACGTGAAAAATAGCAACCCCAGGAAAAAGTGGTAGTTATTTCGACCCACGCAAGTCATCAGCCATATGCAATGGTGATCATGTCGCGCAACACATGTTTTGCAGATACTGCAATGTTTGCTACGGGCGGGTTTCAGATGATGGCATGTCCGACATGTCATGTCAGGGTGAAATATTATATTATCATATGGGTATTCGCGTAGATATTTGGCGTGGTTTTCGGGGTTGATGGAGGATGTCGAGTTGACACTGAGATACAGGAATACGTATGGCAAAGCGACGACGAAAGGGACCATATATCGATGAATGGCATGTAGCCTCGGCCATGCTGCAGGGAGAAATATAGCCTCAGATATAAGAAGCAAACCGACGAAGAATATCTGCCATCCTTGCAATATTAGTATGGGTTCAAGAACTCATCTATGGTGAGGTATAAGACATACCAAAACTAGCGGGTGATTCTCATTCATAAGGTAGTCAGTCGTTCTTCCGCCGCAGCTCAGCACCCTTCCACCACAGAGATAGCCATCGAGGTTCCGGGCATATCTCGGGATATGTATCCAGACAAAACGGTACACATAGCCAACGGGAGTTTTCCTACTAAGTGTGTTAGCAGCGACCACGCCAAAAATAAGACGCAATATAGCTGATATGGCTAGGGGTTGCAACCTACCTTAATGCTGGAATTCGGCCAAACAAAGTGATAAAAACGATCAGAGAAAGAGCCAGGATCGCACCAAGAATCTCCTTGAGAACCCCCATTTCCAACGAAGCAGAACAGTCTCTAATCGCAAGCAGAGGCGATCAGGACCGGCCCCAGGTCCTCGGCAGACCTCCTCGTTATTTATATAACTCCTCAAGTTTCAACTTCTGCCTCGCCGAAGCGAATCACTTTATCTAACCGCGAGATAGCTTATCTTCACGTGACCTCGCGGCGCGTTCCTGTTCCTGCATCGAAGCTTCATCTAAAGTGAAGGACCGCCGTCTCATCTCGATACCACATCTTGTCAGTGAAAGGTCGCGGCAGTGAAGCAATGGCGGAAATGAGCACGCGGAACCCCGGTGATGGGGATGCAGAAAACACTCTTGTTGGGTCACATCTATTTGAGAATATGAGGTTCTGGCTATCCAGAACCGTACCCCAGAGGACCTATCTAAGAAACCAAATCGAAGTAGGTTTTATATCCCTGGCTCTAATCTCCCTTTTGAGTTTACATGGTTAACGTAGGATCTATTTGTGTGGCTTTATCTAGACACACGGTGGGAGAGTAGTCATTCTAGAGAAAGACGCAGACGTCCTTCTGGTTGACCACTTGAGAAAAGATAACCCGCCCGGCACGTTCGTGAACCGTTGATTATATCAAATTTTGAGCGTCAGTAATATTAATCTATACCCAATAGTCACTCATACCAATTCGTTGAACGGTCAATCCGACTAGGGGTGCTTCAGGAGTTAGATGAATTCCAGGCTGGCGTGCCCCGAGGGACCGTGAGACAACATGCCATGGGGCCTACCCGACGTTATAGAGAGCCATTCACAGCTAAAGATGACCAAATATTGTACGACTGGATGCGGCCCTATGAGCAAGCGGGGGGCCCTATCTCTGGAAATAAAATATACCAGCAATTGGAAGCTCAGGTATACAATGCGCTACCCCGTTGCTCAAAATATGATATTCAATTGCTAAACCATCCACCTTAGCATTCAAATCACACATGGCAATCGTGGCGTGAACGCTATTTAAAAAAAGTTCGTGACCTTCCGCGACCGGTGCTAAGGACTACGCAGCCCGTTGATTCTACCCCTGAAGTACCAAGGACGCAACCAGGAGTTCCTAAGCCGTCTATAGCAGCCACACAAATGCAGCACGATGCCTTTACTGAAGAAGATACGGAGTTACTCCTTCATAACGCAAAGCATATTTTGGCTGTCTCCCCAGATGCTGAGGACGAGATGTGGTCAGAGTTGGCCGACTCTAAAGTAAGCTCACTTTCCCGAGTATCACTGTTCGGCGGACTAAGAGATGGCATTACTATCAGAATAAACAATCAGCAAAGGAATGGAAGGACTATTTCCATACATTTGTTAGACCAATATATGAATCCAAATTGAAGAGGAAGAAACCTGCCGCAGCCAGGACTAGCAACGTCTCTGACACTGCAGTAAAATTACCCAAAAATATCAAGGCTCTGGGTAACGAGCAAAATAATGAAACCGGTAGCAGTATACAACAGGTTAAATATAAACGACGAAGGACCCTGCCCAACAGTTTCGGAACTAACGGCTTCTCTACGGATGTGGATGCTCTAGATCTCAAAGGCAAGAGGCGAGCAACTGACTATGGGTCACGGACTATGCCACCTCCACCTAGCAGCATATCTAAAGCACCTAGTACCTCGTCTCGCAATATTGCCGTTGACCGACCTGAACAAGACGAAACCGCCCCTCGACATGGTAGTCATCAAATCTCACACCCATCAACTACAACACCACATTCCTCAAAACCACCTTCCACGCCAAAGAAGGCCCAACATAATGTCAGCGAAGAACAAGATGAAGGCGCAGATCAAGTCGACGAATGGATCAAATTTACACTCGAACGCCACGGAGGTCTGATATCCGAAGAACAAGTCAAGACGGCTCTTCTCTGCACGACATTAGACCCAATACTTGCAGAGAACGTTCTCTTATCCTTCAAAGCAGGGGAAGGAATCCCGACGAACGTAAGAGGTATTTGGACCGAGAGTGATGATGACCATCTTCAGGGAGAAGACCCTGAAGCCATTGCCCGTGTGGAAGTAAAGCATGGATGGAGAGAAGTTGACTCTAGGTTCGAGCACCTAACAGAAAGAAACGAGGAATCATACGGAGAACTATGGATGTCGGAAAAAGCGTACACAATAAAGCCAGTCATAGCGCCTATGTTTTAGCAGACAGCCACTTCTACCTAGGGAATACAAAACTACAAATGTTATCGAACAATAATTGGAATCGGATATAACACACCATAATACTCCAAGTGTAAAGACAACAACCGATAGCGAAAGAGAACGGCTTGGGAACGTGAAAAGAAAACACACATAAAACTACCTATTCCTCATTCCCTACCCACATAATCAAGCATATTTTAAGGTTGGAGAAAGGGAGATTAAAAGAGATATTGCAGGACCGTAGCACCACCTAACTAGAATATCAGATATGCTACCCGCTAAAGCTAGCATTTCCGTATTCAAGGATTGGGTAGTAGATATATCGGAAATCCGCATGAGTCGGTTTAAACACCGGCGCCGAATGGTATCAAAGGCCAGGGTCAGCTGAAAGTACCCTCGAGGCCGACAAGGTGGAATTGCCATATAAAGCCCAGGGCAGTGCTTCACTCTAGCTCGGAGCAGCAACGCCAACTGTTAGTTGGGCCAGACCGTCGCCCCCGTTATAACATATTATCAGGTAGACCCAGGTCATCATTTGGGGTTTCCCTAAAAACCCTACAGAAATTTGTCAGCTCGCTAGCTCACCTAGAATGGTATAATACTAGAAGACATACAGATGTTGTTCGTAGAATTGGAGCATCTACTGACACGGTTAGCATTATTATATCTCAATCTAAAGCCACACTTGCGTACCTTCATAGGACAGCGTTCATAGCATGTATTCAATGACACTTTCGTTTTCTTCCCATTTTTCCACTCAAGGAAAGCAAAAAGCACTTTAGTCTCCGGGTCGCGTATAATCGTGCTAACACTATCCAGTTCCTTATCCCAATCCTTTCCGATTCCAGGAACCCAGTCTGGAAGGTCGTTTTGGCCATCTTTCTTTGCGTCCTGCGCGTCCTGTGCGTCCTGCGATTCATCATCGACGGACCCCTTCTTTCTACCCCTCTTCGCTGGTGGTTTATCGGGCGTAGATGCGGCCCTTTCGGCCAATGATTTTCTCTTCTTGGTTGTCTTTTCTGGTTGTTCCGGTTGTCCTCCAATCTTTTTAAAATATTCATCCAAAGCCTCTTTCGCACCATCACTACCGAGTAGGATTAGCTGTTGAACCCAAAGCTTTTTGCAGGGAACAATTGAGGTGGGTAGTACATCAAGTTCTCTTCTGGTTCCTGTGTAATATCTGACGGTTTGTCGTATCCTTTCCACTTTACTTGGAATAGCACTTTCCCCTGTTGAGTTCATAGAGTCAGACGGATGGAAAGAATTGGACCGAGCCTGGGAGACTTGCGCAAGGGAGCTGGACGGACCTTTTTGTCAAAGACATGCCCTTCTATCCGTTCCACTACATATCTATCCAAGCTGTCAGCCGTTTCTGCGCATTTGGGGAAGATGACCATTGCGCTTCTCACACGTCCTCTGGTTCCTCACTCTCGTCTCCGTCGTCCTTATCGTCGGCTTGGGATCCATCGTCGTCCGCGTTAGATTGGGACTCGTTGTCTTCCTTGCTGTGAAAGGGAATGGCATCCCCCATGGACTCCTCATCGCTAGAATCGATAAGCGCTGGGAGGAAGCTATCAGTAAACTAGTTCTTGTTGGTAGTCTTGTTAACAGACACTCACGAGGCATAATGAACGAATTGCGCAGTGAAAAGCAGGCTCACGTAACCAACTACCAGCGGCGCAGCTCTACTAAACAGCCAGGTCTAGAGAGAAACCAAGCTTGAAAGCTGAAGTTCTGCGCAGGTTGCAAGTTTGAAGCTGGAAAAAGAATCGCGAAATCGCGTCGCAGGACGAAAGCAACGGCGCTAGTGCGTTTTGGGAAATCACCTCCCACTACGTATGACTAAGCATCACATCGTGATATTGACGGTTCTAAAGGAATTATTTCATGTTCAGTTCAACTTGACCCTGATACAGCAACATATCTCGGCCTGTCGAAGAGTGTCGGTCCTGTTTCTGCTCAGCATATCCCTTGCAAGTCCCGGTCAAAGAAACTTCGTTAACGACGGTCACCCGCTCCGCGGCGCAGCTTCAAGATGGCTATGCGTATGTTGCTGCAAAACCCCCTCCATGGCCTAAGGGAAGAATCCTCACTAACGAGCCAATTTAACAGAACTCGATATGTCCCAAGGTATTTATGGCGTACCGCTATTTATGTCTATAGTTCTAATATATGTTCAAAGCCTCCGTGGTCAAAGATGAACAAGGACGCCCATTTATCGTTGTTCGAGAGTAGGCCTCACTATTTTATATGTATATTACGGCATCACCATAGAAGCTCCGATCTAATTCGCACCATCACAGCCAGGGAAAGAAGAAGAGACAACACGGTACTGAGGCGGTCAAGTCTCACATCGTTGCGGCAAAGACAGTTGCAAATATTGTGAAGACGTCGCTGGTATGGGCTCCCCCGCCCCTTTTTATTCATAGCTGGAATGGCAGAGTGCTGATAAAATTATGTGTTTCTGTCTTGCAGGGCCCACGAGGATTGGATAAGATCTTAATTTCCCCAGATGGAGATATCACTATCACAAACGACGGCGCTACTATCCTCTCGCAGGTCAGTTGCTGCCCCTTCCCCGCTAGCTTCAGGAAGTCTGTTTAACGAAGGTGGCATTAGATGGAAATATCGAATCATGTTGCGAAATTATTAGTCGAGCTTTCAAGATCCCAGGATGAGGAAATAGGCGACGGCACAACCGGCGTCGTCGTATTAGCCGGCGCACTTCTGGAACAGGCAGCGGATTTGATTGATAAGGGTATTCACCCGATCAGAATTGCAGATGGATACGACCAAGCTTGCGATATTGCGGTGGCGCACCTCGATAAAATCTGTGACAAAGTTGAGTTCTCAAAAAACAAGCAGGAGAACTTGTTCAAGGTTGCAAAGACTTCCTTGGGTAGCAAGATGTATGTGCTAAGCTACCCCCTGCAGCATGCAATTACTCGAGTCCGGGTCTGGATTAATCGCTAACAGGTGTTTTCGACAGTGTATCAAAAGCACACGACCAGTTTGCCAAGATAGCAGTTGATGCGGTTCTTTCTGTTGCGGATTTAGAGCGCAAAGACGTTGACTTTGAATTAATTAAGGTCGATGGAAAAGTCGGCGGTGCCCTCGAAGACTCCTTGCTCGTCAAGGGTGTCATTATTGACAAGGATTTTTCCCACCCCCAGATGCCTGATGAAGTTAAGGATGCCAAAATTGCTATCTTAACATGTGCCTTTGAACCACCAAAGCCCAAGACCAAGCACAAACTCGACATCACCAGTGTTGAAGAGTTCAAGAAACTCCAGACTTACGAGAAGGATAAATTCACAGAAATGATAAAACAACTCAAGGACACTGGTGCAAATCTTGTCATTTGCCAATGGGGTTTTGATGACGAGGCTAACCATCTCCTTTTGCAAAACGACCTACCCGCAGTTCGATGGGTTGGTGGTCCAGAAATTGAACTCATTGCCATCGCCACTAACGGCAGGATTGTTCCTCGATTTGAAGACCTCAAGGCTGAGAAACTTGGAACAGCTGGTATTGTGAGAGAAATGACCTTTGGAACAACGAGAGAAAAGATGCTGGTGATTGAGGAGTGCGCCAACAGCAGAGCTGTCACTGTGTTTGTCCGAGGAAGCAACAAGATGGTATGGCCATGCATTTAACCCCAACTCTTGGGATACGGGATTCTAACGATAATACAATTTTAGATTATTGACGAGGCCAAGCGATCGCTACACGATGCTCTTTGCGTGGTACGAAACTTGGTTCGAGATAACCGCATTGTCTATGGTGGAGGAGCAGCAGAGATTGCCTGCTCCATTGCGGTAGAGGAAGCTGCCTCAAAGGTTTGTATACCCTATATCCACGCATATATATGCTATATCGGTCTACCTCTAACATATATCGTTAGACCCCTGGCCTCGAGCAATATGCCATGCGAGCCTTCGCAGATGCCTTAGACGCGATCCCACTTGCCTTGGCCGAAAACTCCGGATGGAGCCCAATTGAAACCCTCGCTTCTATCAAGTCCAAGCAGGTTAAGGAAAACAACAGCAGACTAGGTGTGGACTGCATGCAGACTGGAAGCAACGGTAGGTTTATCCCGCATAATGCCTAGAGTCATGATACCAGTTCTAACTTAACACCATCATCCCAGATATGAGAGACCACTTCGTCATTGATCCTTTAATTGGCAAACGTGAACAGCTACTTCTCGCCACCCAGCTTTGCCGACTTGTCCTGAAGGTACGCAAGCCTATCTCGTCACCTGCTCTTGACAGCATTCATTTCCAATTCGATACTAACCCGACTTGATAGGTGAACAATGTGATTATTGCTGGGGAAGATAACGACGAATTCTAAGCCCTCTTCTACCTCTCAACAAAAATTCGGCGGGAAAGATAAGATTGGACAAGTTTTTGATAAGATGACTTCCCGGCGTACGATCGGAGCTTCCCACCCAGATAGAAAGCGGTATTCCCGTTGCCGGTCCCTCGCAAGTGATCGGGTACCAACAAGTCATGCCCATATAATTAATCTATGAATGAATAGACAAAAAAGTCAAATAAAGCAAAATTCATTACGGAGCATTCCGCCCCATCCTGTTGGTTGATGCAAGAAAAGCCTGGACGATATTTCAGAGCATGTTCGTTTATACCAGCTGATGGTGTCCTATGTACGGGATAGCCTAGAGACCCTTGACCGCTAGATAACCCAAAAAATGAATGGAAAAAAACTTACCCCCAAATCTCAAATATCAACTATTCCTGTGCCTGTTTTGAAAGGAAAAACAGCTGTACTGCGTATACCTCGTCTCACCCCTGTAATAGCATTTGCACATTCAACCACCGGCAAAGAACGAACGCACACTACATACTCCGTACCAACCAGTTTATTGACAGTGTCTCCCAGCCAAGATTAATGCTGTGGGATAAAAAAGTAACGAAAAAAAGGTTTGCCTTCCTCGCGATCCCTGCTTCGTGACCCAGCAGACAAGTCATATATCTACGCATTGACCTGGAGTCGCTTGTCACCATGATTTGGCGAGACAAAGCTAGGTGATGGTTTGCAACCTGGGAGGAAGCGGTAGCGGAGAGTACAAGCGACCAGGGCATGGGGGTTACGGGATACCTGACGCGTAGGTTCTCCGTACAATGTTTACAATAAAATGGCGAACTCACGGCTGAAATCTAGACGGCAGGACGACACGGGGAAACCAGGCCCGCCCGCCACCACCAAAGGGATAGTGCATGTTTATGCTCCATAGTGGCTACAGCTTCACATGCTCCTTGCTGGGGGTTGAGATCTGATATAGGCCGTGAGAATGTGCTGTTCCGTTGCGCGACAGGTCTGGCAGACGTGCGTCCAGCCAGGGTCCCGGGCAGGCGAAATGTGACGTGAAGCGTTGCGTGCCCCTGAGAGGGCAGCTCGCTGACAGCTCTTAGCATCAAGCTCACCGACACATTTCGGCGAGAAGGAAGGGGGAAAAAAAAGCCACGGTGCAGGTCAAGTGGACGGCGGGATGGCGAATATTTCCGGCGGTCAGCTTTGAAGGTCTTTGCTTGTTTACCTCGCTGTCTGGTCTCATCTAGACCGTATGTTCGGTGCAAAAAAGGAACTAGGATCCCTCAGCTTCAATTCCATAGGTGTTCCAAGGCAGTTCTACCTGTTTAGTGTGTCCATGACCCTTGCTGTATGGCCCTTCCACTGCGCTAGGAGGCTCGGTTCTTGGTGATCGCCGCCGCCATAGATCCGTCCATCTCGATCTGAACCCCGAGAGTCAGGGCAACGCGTCGATCAGTTCCCACGCCAAAAGGACTTCGCAGCAGTCCACGCGCGAAACATGTGCTGGACGGGCAGGAATCAATAGTAGCGGAATAGTGCCATCCACAGGAAGCACCGCTTTTTCATGTACGGGGTAATTCCATTACTGTATCGGCCCTCATACGGAGCGGAGTGCACACACGGCCAGTCAGTTGCAAAAACAACAACTCTATCCCGCAGCATTCTGGCTATCGTATATGCTTCTTAAACGCATAACTTTCTTGTTTTTAAGAGATGGTCCAAGTGTGCGGCTGTTCCGTCAAGTACAAGGTACGGCGAGAATGGTAGACCCATCCATACCCTTATCGTGGACTATGTTTAGCATGCGGAGAATATTTCGGGTGTTATATCTGAAGATAGCTGCACCTGGACATGGCACATGTTCGGGAGTTGAAGATGATGATGTTCCTATAACTATCATTCAGCAAGGTGACGGACTACGTATCGTAGCAACATCCTTCTAATATACACACATCTTTGCAGGTCTCTTCCTTATCTCTCGCGTTGCACATGATCTATGACGACTGAAGCCCATATACTTCCTCGAAGCTTTTGACAGCTTGCAGAGATATTTTGTTGATAACCTGAGTTAGCAGTGTATCCACGGGGGGGGGACTTTACCTTCGCTCATAGATGTCATACGGGACCCTCGTAGACTTTGCCAGTGTATCTTCGTCCTCTGCTCCAGCATCGGCGTCCACACAGTACTCCGTATATGACGTGCCATGTCTCATTCTATGACCAACCAACCCACTTGCCAGACAGCGGCAAGTACGGCGACCTCAGGAGCTGGCCTCTGGCAGCTTTCGCTAATCCGTGATCCTCGGTGGAAGAACAGGTGCTCGGCTTCTGAAGTAGGTTCCAGATATCATCATTGGTCGTTGGTTCTCTTCGCCAGGCCCCCTCTCAACATATGCTGGCTAATTCCCGAGTATCATGGTCATACTGTAGACGCACAGCATAGATTCCCCTCTCCATGCAATATCACCCCTAGAGACACCACCCGTCGCGTGTATTAGAGCCACGGACGGCACCGGCCATGTTACGACTTTTAGCGAATTCCTATGTCAAAAGTAGACGTCAGCAATGGACAGGAGTTACTGGGTATAGCACCTACCTGGTCGAAGAGTCTCTCGTTCCCCCCTGCACCTCACTTCAGGTCAGCTAACAGAAGGGAATGTGTGGTGCTCGGTGATCTTGAGTATCGTGGTGATGAGCGAGTCTTTGTGCGAAGATGGCTCTTGATATACAGCGTCGATGATGTCATCTACCGCGCCAGTTTGGTTCACTTCTACCTAATCTGCATCTACATCTACGTCAACATCTACATACATCTACATCTACATACATCGACATCGACATCGACGTCAGCGCTGTAGTTCCGCCATGTCTACCGGAACCGACGCCCTGGTGCCGCGCTAGGGGACCGTATCCTGTAGATCGTCGCGTCGATCGTGCCTTGTGGTGTTTGGGCTGGCGATGGCTCTGACGGACTATCCATCTCCCTCGTTTTCGCTAACTCCCTCCATAACTACTTTTTCCTACAAGGCGCACCCAGCAGGATGGGCCCGGATTCAACCCCAGAGACGGCCCGCGTAGCATGGCGCTCCCATCGCCGTTTCCATCTCCATCTCCATCGAGAGAAAAGAAACGAGCCAGTCACCATTCTGGAATTGCGCATAGGTAGAAGGGTCGCAAGCCAGCGCAGAATTAACGAGCAACAAGTGCAACGACTATCGAAATGATTGGGCACTAGGTCTCAGGGGCACCGGTCTGTGTGCGGGTTTGCTGCTGAAACATCACAAAACTCGATATCGACAGATGATAGGTATCCGGAACACCCAGTTCATCGTCCTGCAGCGCTACGATTGACTGCATTAACTCACTGCACATGACACGGTGACATGGGGAGAATACGAGAGGCTCAACACATCGCCAGCATCGCTCGATGGTGAGAGCGCGGATGCGTATACCAGCTTCCCCGAAACTGACATATCATATCCCCGAGATCTCTTTGGCACCCAGCACCAAACACCAGCGACGGTAGTAGTGTTAACGCTATTTACGGTTAACGCTACGAACCTCGAGTTAACGACCTGTGGATTGCCCCCAGTCTATACTCGCCTGCAGTTATTTTATTGCCATCATAGTACATAGTACTATGCAGCAGTCATGTAAATACCCGCCGCCCCATAATTGACGAAAAAAAAAAAAAAAAAACACACATTTGAAAAGGAAAAAAGAAAAGGAACAAGTCGAAACAGGCCCCGAAAAACGTGAAGGGAGAAACCGTCGTGTATGTATCCGCATTGTCGATACTAGGCAGATACACGCTCCCTGAACAGAGAACATTGTGGTGTCGTCACCCCTGGGGCTCCGTTAGCTTCCGCAACGATCAAATCCATATCTCGTTCCTTTTTGTGTCCTCACTACATGACAGAGTACATACGCAGCATACGCAGCATGCGCGAAAAATGCTCGTCCGTCCATCACGTGGAGCAGTGATATAGGGGGCCTATTTGTCGGGGAACCAGCTTCCTCTCCTTGCAGCCAGTAACATGCAGAAGAAAGTGTGAAATGCGCGGCGCCACCGACATAAAAACGAACCCAACGAACAAACAGCTATCCGCCATTAAAATCACCTGAGCACTGCAATGCGATTATCGACCTCACCCCCTTCGTACTCGTCCTTGCACGCATTGGGCTCGTTGCTCTTGAATGGGACAAGGGAACACCGGGATCGCTTGCCAGAGGTTCTTCAATCAGCAGGCCGCATTACGTAGCATAGATTTTTCAAATAGGGATAATACAACATGCTCTGTAAAACACATTTTAAAACGGGCTAGAAAAATATCAAGGCTCGGGACTCGACTCGAGATGGAGAAACACGCTCACGGTCTCCTTCTCTAAGGGGTAGTGGCATTGGAATATTTAAATTTTTATAAAATCCAAAAAAACCACACAGGTGACCACCAGACCAAGCTCTGCTATTGAAGTTGAGGTCATTTATTGCCTATTTTATGGTTTTCCTTTCGGCCTCTAGCCATGGATGTGGCGTCTGCGATGTTCAACGGGACTGGCAATTATGAGAATATCTGATGGCCCGGGTGTGTAAGGCTTCCCGCACAGCCACTGCGGAGTACGCGGGGACCTACCTGTAGACAAGCGGTACACAATTCCCAATAGACGAGTCAGTCGGTTATGTGCATGTGTTGTGTCCATGCAATATAATATGCAGCACAACTAGGGCAAAAGCCCAGATTCCCAGAATCTCGAAAGGAACCTCAAAATAGCTGGCAACCGAGCACCGAACCAATGGTTGACTACAGTAATATCCAATTATACTCTCTGCGGGATCAGATAATATATATCAAAGGTAATAATAGAGCTGAACTGCATAAGTTGCTAGCCAAGGAGGAAGGGTCAGGGAAGCAAAAAAGAACCACTCAGAAGATTTCCGCCCACTAGCATCACGCATGCAAATCATGTAGTTATAATCATGGAGCTGAGATGTGAGAAGAATGCACGATATCTCCCTC